CCTCCTCCAGGCGCTGCGTCTCGAAGTGCACTTGGTCGAGTGGGTAGCTTGACGTAGGATGGGACAGCAGCATCGGGGTTGCGGAGATGGAAGTCGTGAACAAGAATCGGAGCATTCTGGTAGGCCTCACGAGCAGGGATCCACTCGTCCTCATCGTGTGGGAAGCCTTCGTAGTGGATTTTGTATTGGAAGCCGCTACCGCGTGGTTGAATAGCCATGATTTCATCGTAGATCCATTCCAGGTTGTTGCCGACGACGATAGGCTCGGGAGCTTCTTGAGGTCGCTCCAGGTAGGCCTTGCCGAGGGACTCTGGTGATTGATGAGGAGACAAGAGGCTAGGGTGGAACACATTGTGTATTCGCATCGAGGCAGGAAGACGGAGTTGGAAGGCTCGGTCGTGGATTGTGTCGGTAATGGGAAAAGGACCGAGATTCTTGTGCGAGAATTTGCCTTGTTTGTGCAATGCTTGGACGTTCTTGGCGTTGAGCCAGACTTTCTGGCCGAGCTCGAAGGGAGGAGCTTCAAGACGATGACGATCAGCGAAGGCCTTTTGAGCAGCTTGAGCGTCTTTGAGATGATCCTTGAGTTCTTGTTGAACAAGCTTGAGACGTTGAGACATGTCGTAGCTAGTAGCATTGCGAGAATCGGTAGTGGCATCGAAGCGTAGACCAGACCGAGGATGGTAAGAATAATTGGCAAAGAAGGGTGTTGTCTTGATGGACGCATGAACCGAGTTGTTGTAGGCAAATTCGGCTCTTGGCAAGAGCTTGACCCAATTGTCTTGATCGGCGTTGGTGAAGCACCGAAGGTATTGTTCGAGGGTGGAATTTGTTCGCTCTGTCTGACCATCTGTTTGAGGGTGATAGGCAGTAGACAGATGTGCTTTGACAGTAGGGTCGAAGTGACCAAGGAACGCTTTCCAGAACGAGGAGACGAAGACAGAGCCACGATCGGAGACAATATCGAGTGGCATGCCATGGTGAGTGAAGATTCTGTCCATGAACAATGCTGCGAAGCCTGCTGCGTCGGTGGCCTCATGGTAAGGAATGAAGTGAGCCATTTTGGTGAGGCGATCGACGACAACAAGAATAGAATCGAAAGAGTCCGAAGGTGGAAGCTTGACGATGAAGTCTAGCGAGATAGAGGACCATGGAGTCTCTGGAACAGGCAGAGGCTGGAGCAGGCCATAAGGCTTGTGGCGCGAGACCTTGGCGCGAGCACACGTATCGCAAGTTGCGACGTAATCGTGGATGTAAGCACGCATTGACGGCCAATAGTACTGCCGAGAGACAAGGTCGAGAGTCTTGGCGACACCCCAATGACCGGAGATAGGCGAGTCATGATGTTGCTGGAGAATAGCCAGCTTCAGAGGAGCATCAGATGGGACGTACACACGGTCTTTGTAGAAGAGAAGACCGTTGTCGAGAGAAAAAGGCTGGTCAGCAGTGAGATGGGATGCATCAGAAGGTGCTGGCGAGGAGGAACGACTTGGCGACGGAGAAGATGGACGGCTTGACGTCGAAGGAGGCTGCTGAAGTGCGTCGAGAGCGTCTTGCACCAGTGGATCAGCGGAATACGCGGCAATAATGCGAGCGCGGAAGTCGTTGTCTGGGAAATTGGGAGCAGACGGCACAGAGGTGACTTGCCTTGAAGTTGGCGAAGTCCGAAGAGTAACAGGAGCAAGTGACAATTGACCTGGCTTGAAGAAAGTCATCGTGCGAGTTGATTTGCGATCCCCCTCGGAAGGCCGGAGGTCCTCGCGACGGCTTAGTGCATCAGGTTTGCCTTGTTGAGCACCAGGTCGATAGACGATGTTGTAGTTGAACCTGGACATGAAGAGGGACCAGCGTACTTGACGTGAACTGAGAAGTCGGTTCGTGTTGAAGTACTCCAAATTCTTGTGGTCGGTGAAGACAGTGATGGCATGTGCAGAGCCCTCCAGATAGTGGCGCCATGCTTTGAAGCAATCAAGAATTGCCAACAACTCCTTGTCGTAGATTGGGTAGTTGCTTTCTGGAGGCGAGAAGGTGCGGCTGTGGAAAGCCACGGGTCGAAGGATCCCGTTTGTATCGGCTTGGGACATGACACAGCCAAGTGCAAAGTCGCTGGCGTCAGTCTCAATGACCACTGGCTTGTCTGCGTCGAAATGAACGAGGATAGGGGCAGAAGAAAACAATGATTTGAGCTGAGTGAATGCCGCGGTAGCTTGATCGTTCCAAAGGAACACTTTGGTCGCCTTGCTTGTGAGAGCGTAGAGCGGCTTGACCATCTTGCTGTAGTTGGAGATGAAGCGACGGTAGTAGTTGGCGAAACCACAAAACACTTGGACGTCGTGGACTGACTTTGGTTGAGGCCAATTGATGATGGCGTTGACCTTGACGGGGTCCATTGCAATGCCGGTGGGAGACACGACATAACCAAGAAATTCGACCGTGTCGACGTCGAAGACGCATTTTTCCGCTTTGACGAAGAGATTGTGCTCGTCGAGAACCTTGAGAACTGATAGAACATGTTCAGTGTGCTCGTCCTGCGTTTGGGAGTAGATGAGGATGTCATCAAGATAGCAGACGGCGAATTTGTCGAGGAAAGGTTGAAGCACAGTGTTCATCAACGTCTGGAAAGAAGCGGGAGCGTTGGTAAGTCCAAAAGGCATAACGTTGTACTCGTAGTGCCCGTAACGAGTCTTGAATGCGGTCTTCCATTCATCTCCCGGCGCAATACGCAGTAAGTTGTATGCGCCGCGGAGGTCAAGCTTGGTGAAAATCTTTGCATGGTGCAATTGATCCAAGGTTTCAGAGATGAGAGGAAGAGGAGCCCGATTCTTGACGGTGATGGCATTGAGGCCGCGATAGTCGATACAGAGACGCAGAGACCCGTCCTTCTTTTTGACAAAAAGGGCAGATGCGCCAGCTGGACTTTCGGAAACAGAGATATTGCCGAGCTTGAGCTGTTCGTCCAAGTATTCCTTGAGGATTTTCAGTTCCTCTGCACTCATGGGATAAAGCGCCGTCGAAGGAGGCGAGGTGCTCGGGAACAAAGGAATCTTGTGATCGTAAGCAGCATTATCGGGAAGGCGGGCAGCCTGAATCTTCGAGAAGATGCGGAGAAGGACGTGATATTTGTCCGGTATCGCGCGTAGCAGGTCTGGCTCGACGTCGGAATAGATGTCGGCGAGATCGATGTGGAGAACATCGTGAGTTTTTGCTAGCCGGGCGAAAGACTTGAGCGACACCATGTGGATCTGCATGACGTTGGCATTGACTGGAGGAGCGGCATCGTGTTGGACAGGCGATTGATTGATGTGCGCCTTGCACGAGGCCGGGAACTGGACTGTGGACGCAGACCAGTCGATAACAGGATTGTGCTTCGCAAGCCAAGTGGTGCCAAGAATGAGATCGTAGCCGGAGAGCTCGGCAACGACGAAGTGGTGGCATTCTTGGTGGTTACCAATGGTCATGCGAAGGGGAGACGTGAATTGGGAGGCAGACTCGAGTTCCTTGCCCGTAAAGCCTTTCAGCGGGATTGCGCTGTCAAGGGTCACGGTCGGGAATCGGCCTCGGGCCACACAAGCTGCGCTGATGAAGCAACTTGTTGCACCGGAATCTAGGAGGGCAAACGTGTCGAGGGACCTATCACCATGGGAGACGGTAACAGGCAAGACACTTTGCGGATGAGACGAGAGAGGAGGCAGAGAGATGGAGAAAAGACAGAGATTTGCGCTATCGTCTACAATAGACAAAAGCGAAGGCGCGTGAGGGTCCTGAATGGCCCGGTCCCAGGAGTGCCCTACTGGTTCCTGCCGGGTCCATTTGGGGACTGCCGAGGCTTTTTTGGACACTTGTCTTGCCAGTGACCTGCTCCACCACAGTAAACGCAAAGGTCGTCCCGGATGCGTTGTTCTTTTCGCGCTCGCCTCTGAGCGGGAGTCAAGGGCCGGAATGTGGCGGAGTCGATTTCCATCGGCTGAGGCGCCTGCGACGTCGAGGCAACAGGGCGAAGGCGCTGCTGCAGAGGTTGATAGGGGTGGTCGCGTTTTGCGACTCTGGCGAGGTCCGCAGTGGAATTGTTCAAGCGCCTTGCGAGATTCTCGCGCTTCTGGATACGCGACTCCACCTTGACAACCTGCTGCGCTAAGGCCGCGTAGTTGTTGTCGACCACCTCGTCGAGCTTGAAGAGGGCTTCGGTGAACTTCTCGTTGAGTGTGCCGAGAAGCATGTCGCACTTGGTCTCCTCAGTGATATTCAAGATCAGAGTGAGACGCTCGAACTCGGCCAGGTGGACGCTGACGGAGGTCTCCTTTCCTTGCTTGAGGGTGGCGAGCTGCTTCTTTGAATCTGACACGGGATCGCGGACTGCAAAGGACTGGATGAGGGCGTCGAGAACTGCATTGGCATCTGGCAGTCCAGGAAACGAGATGAGGCCAGTTGTGGGGTCCGCCACTGCACGCGCGTCGCGCCACTTCGCCGCATCGCCTTGGAGGAGTTGGAGAATCCAGGCGATGGCTATGCCCTCATTTGGGAAGAGGTAAGGGCAGGCCTGCATCTTGAGGCGACAGGATGCGGCGAAGTTGCGCACGTCTTGACCAAGAAGATCGGCGTCGAAGGGTTTAGGGTCCGCGATCTTGACGGCAGTCTTGGCCCAGTTGGCTGCTGGTGTGGGTGCAGGGACGGGTGGTGAGGCGGCTGCTGAGGCGGTAGCAGCTGCGGCGAAGGCCTCGAGCTGTGCAATGCGCTGCATCATGGTCTCTTGCATAGCAAGAAGAGCTTGGCGAGAGGGAAGCCCGTCGGCCTGAGGCGAAGGCACATCAGACTGGGCGGAAGGCACGTCGGGGACTGACGACATACTGGAGTGCCTGTACAAGCTTTGTTGAGTTTACAAAGTGTGACGAAGGGCGAACAGGACAGGACGAATGCTTGTGCTGAAGACAGGACTTGGGCGAGATGTAGGGGACAAGAATAGAAATTGTAAACTAAGGAACAAGACAGCGGAAGGCTGCCTACTTATGTCTACCAGGTACCAGCATGAGAGCGGATGGCGATGATGTGGATGGAGCCCACGGGAGCCGACTCTCAGCAGGAGAACAATGAAAGAAGAGGGGAAGCGAGATTGCATGAGCCCAGTGGAGATGTCCGAGCTGCGAGATAAGGAAGAGACAGAACAAGGGACGACGTGGTAGACGTCGTCGACGAGTAAGAGAGCGAGTAAGGACAACGTGACAGAGCGTTGCCGGAAGCGAGGAAGCTAGGCGCGGGACGATAGGCAACGTGCTGAGGTGATAAGCGTCGTTGAATGGCGGAAGGTAGAAGAGCCGCGATGAGTTGCTAGAGCATGTGGTGCGGGAAAGTCGGATGCGAGGTTTAAGGCTGCGTGTTCGTTACAGTACATCACGAGCAATATTGATCACATACGGGTGCTTCATCAGAGTATAGATTGAATGCGGCTGCAACCGGCGGCCGCTCCAGTGACTGAGCTGTATCTTGCGTTCACGCTGTCCAGTAGCCAGCTTGTTGCGTGTTTTCAACTGCAATAGTAGCTCTTGTGGGTGCGGGCACAGATGCTGTCAACAATGAAGAGTCTGTCCACCAACCTGGCAATTGTGTGCCAAGGATCTCAGCTAGGCTTGCCGGTGGTTGCATAGCGGTGAATATTGTCGGCGACGACGGGATCTCTTGGCCCAGTTGCGACATCTGCCCTTCTGCTGCATCGAAAAGTCCAGCAATGCGTCTGCTTTGCGGCGTGGCAGAAGGGCGCTGCTGATCGCCTGTGAATGGGTCATCACCATTGAAGAACTCATTCGCCGGTGGTGCAGGTATGGGTGTTGGCGGCGGCTGTTGTGTTGGCGCTGTCGCAAAAATTGAAGCCTGCGAGCGCCGTAGTTGCTCCATCATGGCCTGCCTGTCGAGGTTGCTCGCGTTCATCGCTTGACTGGGCCGTGAGTCATCAAGCACTGGCAATGGATCCGAGGAAGGCATGTCTGCAAACCCAAGCTGATTGACCATGGCTTGCCGATCGAGAGTGCTGGTGTAGGTTGATTGTGATGGCAGGGTGTTTGGCGCCGTCACATAAGATGCTGAGGATCCGGTCCCTGCATTCACAGCATTGAAAGAGAGATTCGACAGCGCCTGCCTAGCTTGTGGTGTCTGGCTGCGCCTACTGCTCTGACTCGACCACCTCAGTCGCTGTCGCGCCGCTTCCTGTATTCGCCGACACTTGTGGCCTTCAAACCGTCTGTCATCGCTACTCGGAAGCTGGGTTTGTCTGGCGCGCTCCTCTAGCTCATACTCTTCCGCAAAAGCTGCAGCACGACGCTTCCTCTGCGCCTCACAGCGTTTAGCTCGTGTTTGCTCGTCTCTGGCGCTTTCAGTCTCAGCAATTTCTGCCTCCAGCCCTATCTCACCCTCTGTTTGCGCTGTTGTGAGACGTTGGAGACGTCGGACCATTGATAGTGACTCCCATCTCGTGCGATCAACCATTCTGCCTGTCTCTGAGGATCTATAGTCGCGTCTATTGCTATATTGCTTTGTGTACGTGTCCAGTGGGCGCGCTGCATAACTAACCCTGCCAAAATGGCTTCGGTGCTGGACTAGTACTCTCAATTCATACTTCAAATTTACAAATCCTATCTTAACAACAAACTGCGGATGGCCAGGGGCACCATCCACATCTACCGCATGACTTACACCAGCAATATACATTCAATCTCAGTATGTACATAAAGCATCTATACAAAGTTGTGTTTTTTTTGGAAAACAGAAAACAGAAAGGTATTATTAGCGTGACCTACGATTTGGCCGATGTAATAACATTTGGCAAAATATCCTTCTTCCGCATGACAGGATTGAGTAGGGCCCAGCCCAATCATTTGTTCTTGTAGTGCGAGGTGCATCCGTAAACCTGCCTTCTATATCTTCTGCTGACCATCAAGGCTCGCAGGACCCAGATAGCATCGGCGTCCTTACTATTAATGGGGCTTAGCCTTAGGAACCAGCCTCAGAAGCTTCCTTTTCAGGTTCACCAAATTTGTCCAGTGGTCTGGCTAATACGTTAACTCAAAAAATCTCTGGTGAAGGCTATCCTCACCGTGGGATGTGCATTCCTCAAACATGGCTTAGCGGTACTACTCCCGCTTACAGGAATACAGCCGCCCTTGGGCTTAGATTCTTTGAATGTATCAAAGGCTGCCCCAGCAGCAATTTGTGCGCAGAGAATGAGAACGGTGGCGAGTTTGAAATGCATCTTTGCGAGGAAGTATCTGAGGAAGAGCTAGGAGCTGCCTTCATAGGCGCTTCGCGTGGCAAAGGCTGCTCGTCTTGTTTTGGCAAACAGTCGCAAACGCACCGCCTCAGCCACTGCCAAACAGCAAGCTGTCTAATGGGATAAGCTTGCATCCTCCACGTGTCCTCGCCATTACCATCCGTCCCTGTATGCCAGTTTCTTCGAGTTTCTGCTGGCTACACGGCGCAAACCAGCAATATCCTCAGACCATAAAGACTCTCATTGCTGGTGCCTGAATCAGTCCCTTTGACACAATATGGTCCCTCGAGCTATCTCATGAAAGAAGATAGTGTCCTCTAGTCTCTTTTAGCCCAGGCAGGGGCCAACACCAGCCTTGACATGTCAATTACAGGGGCTCACCTCGTATTCGGGCTTGCAATTGTGATACGGCCATGTGCATGTGCATTGTTGTTACTAAAAAGGACAAGTGGTGTGATGACTCTGAATGCTGCTATTGTAAGAGAAGATCTTCTTGGATACAATGTCCTTAGGTCTTGTCATTCCAGGCAGCGTCAGTGACAACATCATCTCCCGTAGACCCTGCCACATCGCTCTATTCCTGGCACTGCACCGCCGTCATGTTTGCGGCCGCTGCGCCTGCTGTCGTCTTGGCGGCGTCATAAAGGCGACGAACAGCCAACAACTTCCCCTGCACAAAGACCACACACCATGAGCAACAGCTACAATCAATCATACGGCCAGAATTACGGCCAAGACCAGTCGCAGGGTGCATACAACCAGCCTATGTATGGTCAGTCGACTGGCGCATCAGCCAACGACTACTACAATCAACCAGCGCAACAGCTGCCTACATCGCAGCAGCCCTATAACGCTGGGTATGATCCACAAGGGGCTGCAGGTCCCGTCGGCGCAGACGGTGAACGTGGTTTGGGCACCAACTTGCTTGGCGCAGCGGCAGGCGGCTTGCTAGGCCACAAACTTGGCGGACACGGTATGCTAGGCGCGCTTGCAGGCGGCATTGGCGCGCACTTCTTGGGCAAGCAGTCGCACAAGACAAGTCATGGTGGTCATCCAGGCTATGGTCAGTCAGGCTATGGTCATCAGCAGCAGAGTGGTCTTGGTGGCATGCTCAACCAGTTCACGGGCAAGCGTGACCTGGACAGCAGCAGTGGCGGTGGTGTACAGCAGCAGCAGAACGACAACTATGGCGGATACGGCTCGCAGCCTGCAGGCAATTATGGAGGCTATGGATCGCAGCCTCAGCCAGACTATGGCCAGCAGCCGTATGGACAGCAGCCGCAGCCTCAGAACCCAAATCAGACATATGGGTCAGGCTACGGCCAGTGATGCTCTTGAGTAACTTGCGAGGGGATTGACAGCGTTTGCGATCGTATTTGATGTAGTCTATGATGTATCTTGAGCTTGAGCTTGAGGCTGTCCTGTTTCTGCGACATCAAATTTGACGACCAAGACCAGACCAGCCAGACAAGACGCGACTGCATGGCTCTGCTGGCGAAACGGCTCTGCTTGCCTGCAAGACATTTCGCAACCGCCGCAACTGGCAGGCACTACGATGTAGTCTGTATCGGTGGGGGACATGCAGGTTGTGAAGCATCGGCGGCATCAGCACGATCAGGCGCACACACAGCGCTCATCACCCAGAAGCTAGACGCCATTGGTGAGCTCTCTTGCAATCCCAGCTTCGGTGGTATTGGCAAGGGAACGCTTGTACGCGAGATTGATGCACTTGGCGGCTTGTGTGCACAAGTCTGCGACGAAGCCGGCATTCAGTTCATGGTTCTTAACAAGTCCAAGGGCCCAGCTGTATGGGGTCCACGCGCTCAGCTCGACAGGAAGCTCTACAAGCGGCACATGCAGCAGGCACTAGCACGCTGCGAGAATCTCGACATTGTTCAAGGCATCATCTCCGACTTGGTACTGCCGGACGGCAAAGTCAGCGGCGTCCGTCTCGAGTCGGGCGAAGTCATCACTACGAGCAAGGTCATCCTCACGACTGGCACGTTCCTCGGTGGTGAGATACACATAGGCCTTGAGTCATTTCCGTCTGGACGACTGGGTGAAGCTGCATCTACAGGCTTGTCGGCGTCGCTCAAGCGAGCTGGCTTCCAGCTCGGTCGCCTCAAGACCGGTACACCGCCACGGATACGAAAGAGCAGCATCAATTTCAACGGTCTGTTTGGCCAGCATGGCGACGACCCGCCAATGCCTTTTTCACAACTCAACGAGCGTGTTGCTATCGCCACAGACGCTCAGACAACGACTTATCAAACACGCACGACGGTAGAGACGCATGATCTGGTACGGAGACATTTGCACGAGTCTGTTCACATACGAGAGACGGTTACTGGCCCTCGCTACTGCCCGTCAATCGAATCAAAAGTGCAAAAGTTTGCTTCAAAGCCAGAGCACCTCATCTGGCTCGAATCTGAGGGCCTCGATTCTGATCTCATCTATCCCAATGGCATTAGTATGACTCTCCCAGCTGAGGTACAACGTAAAATGCTGCATACTATTCCAGGACTCGAGCATTCCGAAATGACTTCACCAGGTTATGGCGTTGAGTACGACTATCTCGACCCCCGAGGCCTCCACACCACACTCGAGAGCAAACGTATCGCAGGGTTGTATCTTGCTGGGCAAATCAATGGTACAACAGGCTATGAAGAAGCAGCCGCACAAGGTCTGCTTGCCGGCGCAAACGCAGGGCTTTCCGCGCAAAACAAACCACCGCTGATCATCTCTCGAGCAGATGCTTTTTTGGGCGTACTCGTGGACGACCTCACCACCAAAGGCGTCGATGAGCCATACAGAATGTTCACATCGCGCTCAGAATTTCGACTCAGTGTTCGCAGTGACAATGCCGACTTGCGCTTGACCCAGCTGGCCCAGCAAGCAGGCATTCTGCGTGGCGACCGCTGGCAGCAATTTAGCACCTCTCGCGACACGATGGATGAAATTCGATTGCTGCTGCATGCGACGCTTCTGTCTCCTACAGAATGGCGCACACGAGGTGTACAGGTGAATGCAGATGGCAAGCGGCGCTCTGCTTTTGAGCTCCTGGCACGCTCCGAAATCTCTACCAAAACGCTCAAGTTAGCTGTGCCAGCTTTGGACCGCTACAGCGATACACTCCTCGCTCGACTCGATATCGAAGGCGCATATGCGCATTACATCACTCGCCAGGAGGCCGACAATCGTGCTGTGCTGCTTGCCGATGAGCAACTTTTGCTGCCAAAAACAGTGGACTACGATCGAGTGTCGTCCTTGAGCCACGAGGCGCGCGCTGCGCTCAAGTCGACACGGCCCGACACGCTCGGTCAAGCTGGACGCCTCAAAGGTGTAGATGCGAGCGCCCTTGTTAATCTTTTGCGGCACGTCAAGCGTCCCGTCGGCCCACCACTACTCGATGCAAGCCAGCCGCATCTTGCCAGAGCTCGGCCTTGAAAGTTGACAACATGGCAGCAACACGCTCGGCTTGTTCTGTTGAGCCAATCTCGAGCGCGACGAGCCGTGCCGTACTTTTGGACAGCATTTGCGCGATTCGTCGATAGAATGCATCTCCCGCATCGTCAGCGAGCAGTGCGAGCGATGGCTCATACCGGCGCGTCGATAGGGACATGCCAGCTTGGTTTTGTGCATCAACATATGGCGGGTTGGCCACCACAACGTCTGCTTTGGCAATGAGGGCGTTTGCTGCTTCGCTAAAGAGGTCTAGCTGTTGAAAGTCAACACTTGCACGCAGGAGGTGTGCATTGCGAGCTAGATTCTCTTTCGCAAGCCTGATGGCAACAGGCGATACGTCTATGCCGACAACATGTCTGGGTTTTTGTGCCAGCATCAATGCCACGCAGCCAGAGCCAGTACACAAGTCAACAACGTTCTGCCCGGGCTGCACTTCCTGTGCAATGCTCATGGACCAAGCCTCAGTCTCCCAGCGTGGAATGAGCACGCCAGGCCGGCAAGACAATTCAAAAGGGCCGAATGGCTGTGAAGCTACTGTTAGCGGATTCTACAGCGTATTAAGCACTACCTAGCAGATATTGTAATGGCTCATGGCGATGCCGTCGTTGGCACATGGCCAATACCTCGTCGTTGCTCTTGCAATGCTCCTTGATCCAGCGCAGCTCTGCCTTCGACTGCTCAATCGTCCTACACGGCGAAGCAAGCAACCGTAGCTCGCGCGAAGGAAAAGCTCGCAAGACCCGCGGTGAGAGTCGCATAGAATGTCTGGTCTTCGTAGTCAGGTCCGCAGCACAGTCTCCACAGACCCCGGCTTAAATCGAGAACAGTTCTTCTTCTCTTACTCAGTACCACCGTCCCTGGTGCGAGACTGGTAGTTGCAGCTGTACAGCTGCTGATTCAGAGGCTACCAAGGCACATTTGCATGTGTTGGCTTGGTGTGTACAGATGAATGTAGAAATTTACAAATTCAAACGTCGCGCAGTCTCTCGCGCTCTACTCTACACTGTGCCACTGTCAGCTGCTGCTGCTGCTGCTTCTCCTCCTCTACCAGTCGGCAAACTCTTGCTTGAATGGCGAGCCATAGTCATTCCCTTGTCGTTCGCTCAGCAGCATCTCCATCTCTACACGCTTCGGCTCTTGATACGTCTCAAAGTGGTGCGTGTCCCCTGCGAATTTGATGGCAGGAACAAAGGGAACCGGGCAATCTTTGGCAAGCAGCCTGTGCCACTCGCAATGCAGAAACCAGGGATGCAGCTTGACATCTTCTGTCCCTCTTGACAAATTACCCAGTCTCCGTGTAATGTCTGGCGTCAATAATCTTGTAATGAGATCCGCAGCATCTGCTTGGACATGCCCTGGAAATTTGATCTTGGCAGCCAATATCTTTTCATAGATACCAATGTGCGACTTGTCGTAAAAAGGAGGGTACCCGCAGAGCATCTCAAAAATGAGCACACCGAGCGCCCACCAGTCCACGGGCTTGCCGTGACCTTTGCTCTGGATGAGCTCCGGTGCAAGGTACTCTGGTGTGCCGCACAGCGTCCATGTTCGATCGACAATCTGCTTGGCAAAGCCAAAGTCTGTAATTTTGATGTGCCCAGATGCATCGAGCAAGATATTTTCTGGCTTGAGATCCCGGTAGATGATATTGAGATCGTGCAAGTGCTCAATCGCCAGCAGGATTTCCGCTGCATAGAAGCGCGTCACGTCGTTTTGGAAGCGCACTGCCTTGCGTAGATGGCTAAACAGCTCTCCACCCACAGCATACTCGAGGCACATGAACAGATTGGTAGGTGTTTGGAAACTCGCCCGCATTGACACAATGAAGGGATGCCGTACAATAGAGAGAATCTCGCGCTCGTTGTTGATGTGTTCGACCTGCCGCAGCCGAACGACCTCTGACTTTTGCAGCACCTTCATGGCAAAGAATGCCTGCTTGTCGCCCTCTGCCTGTTTCGGCCGTGCCAAAAAGACTCGCCCAAAAGTACCTGTACCCAATGTACTTACAAATATCCAGTCGTCGCCGACACATCTCTTTTGTTCTATCCGCTGCTGATGCAGAAGGGCCGCTTGCCGTTGTTTTGCGAGCTCTGCCTGTTGTTGCTGCTCTGGATAGCGCTGCTGCTGTCCTTGTGACTTGCGCCTGAACTTTGGGAACAAGGTGCTCAGACTCGGCAGATCATTAAAGCGATTCTTGTGTGATGAGCCTGTGCCACTCGAGCCCTGCTTGCTGTGTGTAGATGTTGCGCCGGCTTGTGCTGCTGCATCCTGCGCGCTGCTGGGCGGCCGACTACCTGGGGCACTGGAAGAAGCATCCATTCGTCATGCGCAGGAAGGCCAACGATTGTGCGATGAGGGCCCTTGCCTGTAGAGCGAAAGAGAGAGGTAGAGGGTGGTTTGGTTGCTGCTGTGGGAGGGCGGCTGGAAAATGCGGGTCGAGATGTTTGGCAGCTGCAGCGGCATGTCATCGCGGGCAGTCAGTCGGGTATGGGGGCAGGGCAGTGTGCAGCAGGGCAAGGACACGACGGACGAGGCAGGGCCGCGATGGAGGCTGCATCGGGCGAGTCATCTATGCAAAGCAGGACGGCGAGACATGGAGGGCTGAGTTAGCCTGAGTATGCTACTCGACATCGACCTCGCTGGTGCTGGACATGGACCAAAACAACAACCACAAGAAGGGGCCGCGGCTCTGTAGCTACAATCTGCTGTATGAAGAGTCATTGAAGACTAGCTCTCTCGCTCCATAGACATGCCACTACAAGTCTCGCCATGGCCGAGCACGCTGCAAAATGCCATCGCCTGGAGCGAAGAGGGCACCTTTGCGCTCCTTCTTCAAGACCACGTCGCTATCTTTGTAGGCTACCAGACGACACAAAACTAAGCTGACTTCAAGGCGCGTGATGCAGAAGGCAAGCTGTGCATCAGCAGGCTTCCCTACAAAGGGCAGACCCACTACTATGGCACATGCATAATGCAGTGCTCAAGTATGTTGTGCACCATCGACGACCAAGCTGACGGCAGCCGAGGACGTACACTCACTAACAGAAGAAAATCCGGGAGTTGGCACCCAGCTGTGCTGGTCTTCTTCCCGCCTCACACGCGATCAGTTACCAATGTTGGCTATTCGCACATCCTGTCATAGGACAGCCATTTACCGTCCAACGTTAGACCCAAACAAGCATGCCTGGCTCTTGACGCATCTGCCCTACAAACTTGGACTGGAGCGTGCAGACTGCAGTCTCAAACATGTGGATGATGCTCAGACAATCAAAGAGCTCCGTCATATGTGCATCACTTGGCTGCCGCAAACCCCGACGGGCCATCATTTTTTCGTGGCAGGGACGCAACTTGGTGAATTGCTTTTTCATCGCATCACACATGAGGAGTGCCATGTACCTTACCGCATCAAGGTCAGCGATGCAGCTCTCGCGCAAGTGCACGCCACTAGTTGGCACAGCGATGTCTTGCACTTGGCAGCTGTCGATGCAAAGGGTGACGTTTTTGTCACTACATTTGATACTTCACTCGCTGTTCAGTGCGTCCTATCGCGCCCAGTCATTCGCGCGGCCAGCAATGACGCCGTATGCAACAATGCTCGCATCTGCGTTTTTGCAGACCAGATTGTCGTGGTCTGCGCATACCCAGGCATCATGACGATTATCAGCGTCAGTCTTCCGAGTATGGCCATCAAAAAGCAGGATGTACCTCTTGGCTTTCTGGATCAAACGGTGGGGCTTCTATTATACATCGATGATCTTGAATTGAAGTTGCTGGCGCTTGGTTTCAACGGCTCGTATCTGGCGTTGCGCTTCAATCAAGACATGTCTTACCAACCAGACAGCTACCTGAGCGGTACAATGGATGCCTTTATCACACAGCAGCTAGACCGTCTCGAGTCAACACGCAAACCTTCATTGCGCTTCTTTGGCATTTCATCTTCACCTGGTGACCTTCTTGCATCCATCGCATTCGAGGCATTCGCTGGCAACCAACCGCGATACCTAATTCTTTCGCAGCAACAAACATCTGTGCACATATTGCGTTTGAAAGACGCACGCAAAGGTTTGACACAGATTGTCTCTTCCTATCTCAACGATTCGATGTCTACGAGCGTTGAGCAGCTCAAGAATCTCGCGGCATGGTCACGAGTGGAATTGATGCCGCTTGTACAAGAACAGATGGATACTACACCATCCGGCTCTCTACAGACAATGCTGTTCAAAAATCCTGCGCACAACGCCAAGCGGCTTCAGTGCTTGACACTTCACCAAGCATCGTCGTCCACGGCGGAGACGCGGCCATACACCGATGTCACTTTGCTACATTGCTTGCTGACTGCTATCACTCAAAATACGACGTGCCGACTCGATACTGATTCACTCGACATGCTCATGCGCTTCGCACGATTCATCTGCCTCTACCGCTCAATTGACAGCATGCTTCTCGGTTCGGCTCTCACCATCATCAAAAGACTGCAAGGAGAGAATCAAGATGTCAAATGGCTCCAGATATGCTACGATCATGCCATCAAATCGCCTGGAACTACCCTACCAGACGCAAAACAGATTCCGCCAGTAGACTCATGCGTCATTTGCAACGAGCCCGTGCTCGACGAAGACTCGACTCAATACGCACACTGCGCTCGCGGACACGTTTGGCAGCGCTGTACAATCACTTTGGCTCCTATCATGGTAGAGGATATTCGCAGCTGTCCAAATTGCAATGTTCATGCGCTCGTTGTGCCCGAGGTCGGCAGAGACAACGAGACGCTTTTCCGCTCATTGCTAAGTTCGTGCCCGCTTTGTCCACACTGCTCCAGCAAATGGCGTCACAGGCAGCCTGAGCTTGGCATCATCGAACGTGACCCTCGCGGTGTCGTCAATGAGCAGCCTGAACCGCCAGAGCTGCCACCCGAGGTGGTGAAGAAGCTTGCGGCGGAAGCTGCAAAGACTCCTGCTGCTACGTAGTATGTCCAAGTCGTAGCAACTTGTATAACTTAATCAGTAGCCTTGTAGCCATGAATACTCGTCTGGGAACAAGATACATACGGCCATCCGCGCAGTTCTTGCACAGGTCAGCCTGAAATCTTTCGAAGGACTTGTTGCAGTGCTACCACTCGACTCGTGACCTTACCGGACGCAATAAGCGCAATGACAAGTCCAATATCCGTCAGCACAAGAATCTGGGCAGCACACATAAAGCGTGGTGCAAAAATCTTCCATACCATCAGATGACGGCGGAAGTGCGTCGCAAACACAGCCGTTGACAAAGCCAATGCGACATTGATCGTCATGAGCATGACAACCAGGCCGAAGACTTGATCCATGGCGTGCTCCGTGCTCGGCCGCCGCTTCCAGAAAGCCAACAAGGGTGCACAAAGGGCAACAAGTATGGGCGCACTGAATGCATTGGTCACAACAAGAACAGGCGAGTACCAAGTTGGCGAGGCAGAAGCAAGAAAAGCGATGTCCCACTGGATGAAGGGCAAAGCCATCTGGTGTCCACTTGTGAAAAAGTGCAGATGCCCAAGCTGCGCCAGGACGACAGCTGCGAGCATAGAGGAAGAAGCAATTTGGCATCGACCAAGCACATCAGCCAGTAATAAGAGCTGCCATATCAAGATGCACAGGGTAACGCCGCCAAGTGGTTTTGCAAGGAATGCAAACAGACCAAGAAGTATGCAACAAAGCTGCAGATAAGACGAGCCCATAGCATTGTTTAGTCCGAGAGCAACGAGAGCCGCGCTATCTCCACGCTGCACAGCCGACAGCTCAACACTTGGTGGAGCAAAGTACCAGGCAACGATTCCAACAATTGTCAGGCCAATAATCTCTCTCCCTAGGCTGACCTTGACTCCGTTGTCAAAGTCTAATTCGTTCAAAACCCAGTAAGCGAGGCCAGATAGCAGTTGTATTGGAAGCATGACACCCATGAGCCAAAAAGAGGCGCCAGACCAAGATTGTGTTTCTGTCAGCGCTTTGCGTATAATCCATGGCAAAGCGACTGCTGCAAACATCAGCAACCACAATGAGGATCTTGCTGGTGTAGCCAGATTGGCTGCATAGAACGTGGAAAGGCACTTGTCGCCTTGCTCTTCGCGACAAAGTCTGATTGACGCAGCTGCGCGTGACAAGATCATAAAGACGATGCACTCTGAAACTGCCAGAAAGCGCGAAGCTTTGTTCTCCAGACTGAGTGATTTGTGAAGGAGTCGTCCGCCTGAAGTGACGAGAAGCAGTAGAACGATGCGGTCTTCAAATATTGTAAAGGAGTTGGATGCAAAAGCGACAAGATGCAAAATAAGCAAGATGCACGGAAATAGGTCGAACTGGCGTTGGGAATGCGAGTGGAGCTGACCAATAGAGCCGAGCAAGACAGATGTGAAGAGAACACTGTGAAGAATGCTCATTGGCATGAAGCGAGACAGGCCGAGGCCTAGACCTGCGCCTACGAGGGCTGTCACAATGATCGGCTTGGCAGATTGGTCTGGCTGAGCATTAGCTGTTGTGAAGACTGCAAGAGCTAGCAGTAATAAGCCAGAAACGATACTAGGCATATCATACTGAGCCCATTGACGACGAAAGTCTTCGAGCGTTTCCTGATGATACGCAGCATCATCAGGAGGATCTACTTCTTCTTCCTCAAAGGGCTGCTTATTGTATGCCGCCACATACCGTTGTATTTGCTTGGTAGTCAATGCCTGTGCTTCAGCACTCGACACGGCAGCATTTGAGAATGCCTCTGGGATCGGCGAGCCCAGATTGCTGAAAGGTGTTGGCAAGCCCCAGAGTATACTCAGTGTAGGAACCAAGTCAATCTGAGCTGTCCAGGGTTGGTGGCGAGCCGGTCGGCCAAAGACTCCCTTGCGACTATACATCCACAAAGCAGCTTCGAGCTCCAGCTGAGAATCACCGCCATGATCGCCAAGAGGATTCATGCCGTGATCTCCCATGACAATAATGAGTGTCTCGTCGTCGACTGTGTCCATGAGTTGCTGAATCCAACTATTCATCTGCCGCTGCTTGCGAATCATCTCTGGGTGATCTGGGCCGTAGCGATGCCCAACATGGTCGACGCCGAGACAGTGTGCAATAGCCACATCCCAATCATCGGGCTGCTGCAAATATGCAAAGAGATGTTCATAAACGCCGTCATCCACAGTGTCGAGATCCCATACGTTGAGTGAGGGAAAGGGCTTATTGAGTGACGGCTCGAATGAGGTAGGAAAGAGAGCTGACCAGGTGTCATCTCCAACAAAGGCAAGCTTCTTGCCGGCCTTGCGAAGCTGCAGGAGTAAGTTGTCCTCGAGGATTTCTGTGCCTGCAAAATTTGATCCGGCGTCAATGAACGTAGGAAGAGACCCGGTCGTCAGTCCCTTGAGCCGCTGCAAGGTTGTTGTGGGCGGGTCTGCAATGAATGGCAGGAGGAACGCTTGCTTAGGGTATTGCATCGCCGTTTCGTGCAGAATCACCAAATTGTTGTGGTATGAAGCGTTCGAGCCGGGCTGTGGAGCAGTAAAGTCATACCTTAGAGCATCGATAATGAGTATGACAGTTCTGTTGAACGTTGCTTCGATGTCGAGAGGAGCAGAGACATCATCAACCACGATCCGAGTAAGCAGGAATCCGTGGGAGAAGAGCAGAAGAGCTACGACGTGGCAGTAGATGATCCATGCCAAGACAAGTCCTTTCATGGACCAAGAGCAAGCACTGAGGCTGCAGCTAGATTGTCCTATCAGGAAGAATACTTCTAGCCAGAGGCCTTCTAGGAATGAGAGAGAGATAGCGAGAAGAGAGAGCTCGTGTGGTTGCAGTCTCGGTCGCGTCAAAATATTCGACACTTTTGACGGCACCACGCTGAGACCAAGGGGGACCATGCGTCGTAGTGAACGTAAGTCTTCAGCTCCAAAGCCTTATGAGGCGCTTGTGTCGCCATCATACAAGCGTCAAAAGCGCAGTAGTGCCTATAATGACGATGTGCAGCACCTCTTGCACAGCTCAAAGTCGTCCATTGTCAGGGTTGACCTGCGTCAAGTCATAAATGCCGCTTGTTGGGAGCTGCTATCTTGCGAAGAGCAAGCGAGATGCCTTGCGCTACTGCCTGAGCAAGACAAAGAGGTCAATCAAGGTCAAGAGACCATCAAACCCTCATTCTTTGAGCACAATGTCGTCTTGCAAGATGCACTGCGCGCGTTTCAGGATAGTCTATCAGAAGGCAAGCGCATGCCTGGCTACATCAAGCGCACTCAAGCAGCAAGCCGTGACAGGGTCGCTGGAAAGGCTGATGAATTCAAAGATCAAGAATACGAAGAGCATTGGGGAGGTAAGCATAACTCGCGCTTAAGCTACAAGACTTACAATAGACTTGAAGTAGTCTCAAGTGCATTCTATGCCTCAATGCTGACCTTTTCGATGCCTTTCGATGCTTCCTCAGTGCCGGTGGGCTCTGCCGCACCAGGCTTTTCCTTGGCGACAGCTGCCTCAAGCAGATCAATCTCCTTTTGTGCCTTGGCGATACGCCGGTTCGTCTCTTTTTCCTGGTGATCCTGAAACCAAACAAGTCGCTCCTTGAGCTTCTCAACGGTTGCTGCCACCTCGGACTGATTCAAGGGCGCTTGCACACTGACAGTAGCCAAGTCCTGGATTGTGCCGAGCGACAAGTTGAACTTGTCCGAAACCTGGGCAGACGAAGGCTGCTTGCGCTGCTTCTTGCCCTTACCAGCAAAGTAAGACTCGCCAGCCTCACGGTCCTTCTTGTTGAGCAAGGCGACCTGTCCCTCAGGTGCAGCTTCAACAGCACGAGCCTCGAGTTTATTACCAAATGAGCGGTTGAAGAGGCTGGTGGATGCGCCTGCACCGATAGCGGCAGCGGCAGCAGGGTCAAAGTAGCGAATAAGATTCTTGCAGGTGAGCATCTCGAGTTCGTAGGCGGGTGTCGATGCTTCATCCATCATTTCCTTGGCAGCATCGAGCCGCTTCTGCTTCTCGTGCTGTTCGCGCTCTGCCCTGATGTTGTCGTATCGCTTCTGCTTCTGCTCTTGTTCGTAAGCATAGGCGGCCTTCTTGTTGGTGTAGTAGGTGTCTTTGAGCTCGCGAATGCTGGTGAAGAGCTCCTTTGACTTTGCGGAGAGGGCATCACGCTCGGCATACTGCTCCTTCTTGAACTTGAAGACTTGGTCGTCATTCTCCTTGAGAGCATCGAGCTGTGCGCGAACAGAGTCGTATTCTTTGGACAAAGCCTTGGACTCTGGGTCATCAATTTGCTTACGCAACTCGTCTGCCTTGCGTTTCTCTTCGTCAATGGACAGCTGCGAGCTGTTGCTGTCTGCAAACTGTTTGCGAGCACGCTTCAATTGAGAGACTTCCTGCAGGTACTTCTTCTCCTCCACGAGCTTGAGCTTGCCAGAGTCGACCTCTGCCTCCAGACTAGCGATTCGTGCATCGATCTCGCTGGCAGAGCGGTAGGTGGACTTTTTTCGCGATGCCTGCTGCTCTGCAATCTTGCGACGGATCGAGTCCTCCAGGGCCCTGACCTGCTCAAACACTTTGGCCTTGGAGCCCTTAATGTTGGCCTGCTTCTGGCGGATCTCCTCCAATTGCTTCCGCAAGGCCTGTGACTTGGGCGACCCACCTTTGCCTGTGTCTCCACTCGCAATCTGCTCGCGAACCTTGGTGAGCTTCTCATTCACGGCCTTGAACTCCTTCTCCTTGACGGCGAGCTGCTCCTTGAAGGCGGCCCTGTGTCGTTAGCCTCCCGTTTGTGTGCATTTTCAATAAGTTGTCCTACTCATCGGGTCTCTGTGGTCTCGTGGACATGGCTGCTGCTCCCTCTGACCTTTCTACAGCACTTCTGGCAGTGGTAGCAGTGTAGCACTCAAGTCTGTCGTCGTCGTCTTCTCATCTGCTGCGTGTCCTCGCACGTGCAACCTCGAGGCGCAGTCACAGATACACGAAGTTACAGAAGAAAAAGGGGTATTACTAAAGGGCTAGATTGGCAATGAAGCCATTACCAGGGTTATGCTTGTTTCAAGGGAGGGGCCTCGATCGGCCGCATGAATGCAGGACCAGAGCCACGATCACTGAGGGTCAGGAGCATCGCGCAGCCTTGTCTCGGTTAGCAGATGTACAGTAAAGAGGCTGTTGGAATGTACGACATACCCTCTGGTGGAGTGAGGTGCAGAGCAGGCAGCGGAGATGGGGGCCTGGACGACCGATCGCTCTCCATCGACTGCTTCTCCAAATCAAGCTTATCTGGTGTTTGAGGCCGCCGTCTATCGCGGAAGCACGACAGATATCTCAAGGCCAGAAACGAAGTCAGAGACATGACGATAATAAAGAGAGCAACAATCAACAAGAGTTTCATGCGAAGGTCCGCCATAGATGCAGGAGGCTGTAGAGAATGTCGGTTGAAGGAGTGTCGTGCCGGTTGTTGAGCAGGCTGGCCGAAAGAGTGTGGCGTCCCTGTCTTTGCGGACGATGCAAGTGGGTGATTATGCTGGATGCAGGATGAAACTGTTGTGCCAAGGCTGTGAGTAGTACTGAGTACGGTCTGGTCGTGGTGGATGAGTTTCGCTTTGTTTGTTGTTTCCCTGGCGCGGGATCTCGAAGAATTTGGCGAGGAACAACCAGCTGCTGCTGCCATGGCTACTTCAACCAATTGCGATTACAGCACAGTGCAGCATTGCATCAGCCATCAAGCGCTATGAAGTATTGCTCATGGAAGTGCTCTACTGATAACTGGCGCTCATAGCCCGCAATAGCTATGGCCCATGCCAGAGTGTCCTTTGGCAGCTTGCTTGGGGCCCACGTGAACCAACCACCGCGATGATAAAAGCCAAGGACGCGGTAAAGTTGCGCAATTCCATTGAGTCGCGTCTTAGGCGATGAGCCAAGTCACCAGTGGTGCTTGTCAAGCTCGTGTAACGGCCGTCTCGTCGTCTGCGCGTCCAAAGAGGCTTGTTTGCTGTTACTTGATACCTGCTGACAGCTCGCTGAGCTCAGTTAGACTTGGGTCCGTAGCGCCGCCTGCTCTATACCTGACCTTTCCTCATGTGGGCACCTTATGAGAGGGCATGTCGCATGGCTTAGTGACGGCCCCGGTCCTGAGTCAACAATAATGCAGGTGACGCTATCATCCGTGTGATGTCCGACTGCCCAGTGCCAATGCTATGTTTATGAGTCTATGGCCGATTTTTGGCAGGCCGATGTTCTTCCAATCAAACCTCCTTGCGTTTGCCAAGTCTGGCTTGTTCTCGGAGCAAACGGACGGCAAGAATTAGGCGTAGTGAATCTAGTGATAGGCTAGGCGGGTACGATCTGGCAGTCGAGATTGGCATCCGGGCAGCTCATGTGTGAATCTCAGCCAGCGATCCATCTCTAAATCGCCTGTACCCGCGGTCGTAGGCTGGAAGTACAGTTTGCAGCACGACTTTTAAGGCTTTTCTCCTTCGACGGCTGCCAGAGGTTCAGATGCCACGCGTGGCTCAACTTTTAAGGGGAAGACTCGGATACAGGCTCAGAGGCTGCCAGGCACAGCTGAGTCACGAAGCTGGCTGATGCATGGGAGCCACTGGATGACTTGCACTGCGGCTACTGCGCCCGACTTGGACTGTCGTAATGTGGCCACCTTATCCAGACCGGCACAAGCAGATCTGTACTGATTCTGTAGGCTATCAGCGATGCCTAAGGACTCAAGGAGTAGTACGAAAACAGCATGCTGCGAAATAGGCCCTCGAGTAGGCGCATGCGTATGCAAGCTGACGCAGCCAACAATTTCCTCATCAGCCAGCAAGCAGTGCCAAGCACAGCCAGATTCAAGCTTCAATGAGGGTGTCAAGTTGTCAACGTTGAGTCACCAAGCCATGTTCGGTTCGCAGTCTCTTGGATTGGAGTCTGATGCTGGTCAGCAAAGGTAGTGATGCTGTCATCATAGACATCGCTGTGAGAAGCTTATTTCCTTGGTTCCTGGCAACCACCATGTCGCGAGGGCAAGTGGGCGGAGCAGCCGGACTCGATTAGTGGTGACTGTGGTGCACATGTGCCTGAAACCGACGTCCTGTCAGGCGAAATTTTAATCCTCCGGCCGTTGCCCCGAATAAGATTTTGGCAGCTGCGGCAATCGCCAGACCTCGACTCCACTGGCATGTTTGAGTCAATTTGACTTCTGGTAGACGCCTTGGCAACGTGTCGGCCAACGATAAAGCGTTTCAGTCTGACCCCTCGCATCGTCAGCCACGTAGCTTCAGCTGCTTGAAGCCTGCTTCACACCACTATCTACTGTGCTGGCCCAAATGGGTCATCTCTTAAATTCAAGCACGACTACTGTCGGACTACAGGCGTCTCTCGCCAAACCCCTGCCAATAACGATGTTTGCCATGACATGCCAGCATTGCCAGGTACGCAAATATCCCTCTTCTCAACGGCCACGACCTACGAAGAAGAAGCGGGCAGCGCGAGCCATGTAAATTGATGTAATGAACAACATTGGGTATCCGACTGGACCACAGGCCGCATTTCTTCAGACTTGCATTTAGTCTCGAGGGCTCGCCGTCAGTCTCGAGAAAATCACTGTCTCTCTCTCTCGTTATGATTTCCCTTTACTCGACGCTCGTCTTTGCAGCTTCGACCTTTGCAGTGGCAGTGTCTTCACCTTCAAGCACGCCAAGCTCCATCCAAACTGTCAATGGCAAACAGTACTTCACCACCAATGTAGGCTGTTACTCAGATGACTACCCAAAGTCCCGCGTCTTGTCAGGCAAGTCGTACAGTGAGCCAACCTACAACACGCTCTACCGATGTGCAGAGTTCTGCGCTGATCACGGCTTTGCCGTTTCCGGAGCAGGTAAGACTGTCCATTCATGAAGAACATCTACTGACCATATAGAATACGGACAAGAATGCTACTGCGGCAACTCCCTGCCTCCTACGCAGCTCGACAGCTCTGCCTGTGACTTCCCTTGCTCGGCCAAGCCCGATGAGATTTGCGGTGGCAACAATGCTCTCTCCATCCAATCGATTACTTTTGTTCAGAGTCTCGGTTGTTATGAAGACCAGATCAACTACCGTTCGCTGAACGGTGCCAGCTTCTCGGCCCCAGACATGTCGATCGAGAAGTGTGCCGGTCTGTGTCAGGGGTTCACCAACTACGGTGTCGAGTATTCTAATGAGTGCTACTGTGGCAATGGTCTGCGTCTTGGACCCACAGCTGCAGCCAACTGCAACATGGCTTGTTCTGGCTCGCCCAATGAGATTTGCGGTGGAAGCAATGCTCTCAGCGTCTACGGCGCTCCTGTGGTTGCGTCCGACGTGAACAACGTTACTTCAATCGGCTGTTTCACCGACTTTTACCCACAATCGCGTGTGCTCGATGGCGCCAACACTGCTTCGGATGAAATGACTGAGGCTGTTTGCTCTGCCTTCTGTGCACAGCGTGCATTCACCTTATTCGGCACAGAGTTCGGTAGAGAATGTTTCTGTGGCAACACCCTGCCCACTGTGTCTTCATCTGGCTGTACCCAGTCATGCGCTGGTGACAGCTCCGAAATTTGTGGTGGAAGCAACGCCATCTCCGTGTACTACTACAACGCCAACGGCGCACCTATTGGTTTGCCTGTCTCGTCTTCTGCTGTCGTTGTATCCAGCACAGCTTCTACCTTCTCAAGCGCCTCTGTTGTGGCTCCTGCTTCATCGACTAGCATTGCATCTTCCAGCAGCGCAGAGGCAGTTGTTTCCTCGAGCACTTCCTCGAGCTCTGTGGTTGACACGACCTCTGCTGCGGTCACTACCTCAACGACCGTGAACGCCATCACCACGTCCGAAACTCCTATTGCTTCAACTACTTCCACGGAAAGCTTGGCTGCTTCAACCACAGCTGAAGTGGTGATCAGCTCGACTACTGTCGCTTCAAGCTCCACTTTTGCTACAATCACGTCTGAGACCGTGTCTACCATTACTTCTTCTGCTTAAATTTCATAGACTAGAGCTACCTTCTAATTCCTGACTCTCATTCATAGATACACATCTCGACATGCTGCTTGACGTTTTGCCCGTGGTGACTCTGACCATTGGCCTTCCACAGCATAGCGCTTGTATCGCTCTATCAGGTCGAAGGAAACGTCCGGGTCCTGCTCTGCAGTGTGCCCTGACAATCTCGTATGTGCAGCCATGGTGGCTTGCACTGTGGTTTCCCCTTGGTCTACTTCACTCAGCGATTCATGCTTGATTGGCGTACAGATTTCGACATCTTCAATCGTCAGGTCCTGAGAAGCCTCCTCCATCTCTTGCACTTGTGATTTGACGGTGGCGCTGGGCACCCCATACGGCTCGTTGATTGGAATTGTCAGACTGTCAAACAGATGGCTCACCTCTCCGACACACGAGACAACTCGCCTCGTCTTGAACAAGGACACAAAATGCATGAGCTCTGGCCAAGAGGAGTGACGAGCAAACTCAACAATCAATGAGCGTGGCAGACCACCAGTGGCGCTATCCGGTTTGGCCTCGCTCAACAGCACCGGCGTTTCTCCGCGAGCAAAGTTGTGTAAGGTGATGGAGCCGTCGTGATCGGTTTCCGCTTCAATTTGGGAATTCCCCATTTCTTGCTGCCTGAATGTGACACTCGTGACGGCCTTGATGTAGACGGCATTCAACGCATAAGGACAAGGGACGAGCTGATCGGTGCAGACATGGAGGCGTGCCTCGCAAGGATTGAGTGTCAACAGACCATGCGCACCGCAGAATGTTTCTCCCAGTACATACGACCCGCGTATAGCACCAAATAGCTTGAAAGTGTAGTCGTCGACATGGATTTTGGTGGAGAGCGCAAGCGCAGCTGCGACCCAAAACTCCTCATACCCAAGACAGCGTGCTGGCAGGATAAAATGCGTCGATTCTGGATACTGTATCATTGCCTTGATACAAGCAGCAGAGCCTGACATCTTGCTCGCATAGACTGGACCGCAAGGGCGTGCGGATGTGTCAAGATACAGACTTTCCAATGGCCGGATCCCTGTGAGATATGGCAACAAGACTGGTTGCATTTTCAGGAATGAGGTAAAATGTCTTTCAGCACGCAGGTCACCCGTATACAAGACACTGCTCCTGGTAGTTTCGAGCAGAAACATGCATGCCCCAGGGCAGTGATTGGCATCAAGTAGAGTGACTTGTATGGTTTCATCGGCTACGACCAAGGCTATTGGCGTATTCATTGGCAAAGCACGAAGCAGCTGCTTGCCAGTATGAGGTTGTAGATGGCCATATTTATAGCAGCGCTGGGGCAAAAGCTGTTGAGCGAACTTGAGACGAGCATCCTTTGTTTGCAGCTTGGGGAGGAGCGCGCATGTCGCTTCAGAGCAGTAGATAAAGGCACCTCCAAAGCTCTCATCCTCTAATCCCTGCAGATGATCACTGTGAACATGCGAGAGGAAGTAGGCCGCAACAGCGGGCGCAGATGCCCTTCTCGGGCGAAAGTAGTCGATGGCGATGTGTGGGAACTCTTGCACGAAGCCATCGAATGTAGACATGAGAATGTATGAGAGCCATACGATTTAGATCAATGTTTCGATAGCATACCAGCAGAAGCAGCCTCAGGCCATGCACGTTTAGTATGGATGGTTTTGGTCGTAGTTGAGCGACGACGAAAAGCTGAAGGCCCAACGTGAACAAACACAACGATACACCTAGACACCGCTTCACAAGGTAGGGCCCTCCTGAGCGACCGCTGTAGTAGGCTTCTTCTCTGCTCACCCATGTTGCGCCGCTGAATGTCGGAAAAGCCAAGGACCCCGAATGGCTCGCAGAAGAAGCCAAACTGGCTCAAGCGTGTGCGTGCATCCTCGCAGCAAGAATCGCCGCCGAGCGAGCTCTCGAGCATCGCCTATGACTCCCTCCCGCAGTCCGACTTTTCGCCCGTGCTAGCGATGCGATCAACACATCGCGAGCGCGAGCTGCAGGCTCCGTCGCACTCGCAAAGTAGCCGCACATCCAACAACAATTCAGCCATGAGTGTCATGAGCGGCATATCCTCACATACGCAACAGCCGCCCAAGATGCGCTCAAGCACGCCGCAGCTTCAGCAGGCTTATCGAGAGTCCGTACAGTATCCGCCCGACTCACATGCATCCCAAGCGCGCGCAAATAGCATACAAGGCCCGCGCTCGATGCCTTCACAGCCCGGCCTTGTCGCGGAGACGGGCAGGCGAAATTCTCAGGCGACACATACTTCTCGCATGACGCGGCCATCTATGACGAGCAATCGACAGCGTGCAAGCGATGCTGCCAGTCATGATTCTAATGAAACGCGACTTAGCAACGGCGAACGACAAGCAGAGCGCACACCCTTCATTACGCAGACCTTGTATAAGTTTGGCCCAAATGGCGAATTTCCACAGCCAAAGAATCCTGCAGAGGTGGAACGACTTTTTACAGAAATGATGAGTGCGCGAGATTTGTTCAGGCAGATGCCAGACGAGTCGCGCAGACAGCTCCTCAACAAGCCACTGCCGGTGAAGTGGCAGATGGTGCATGCAGATGCCATGACCGTGTGGCGCGATCAAGTACAGCGGAGAGCAACCGAGTCTGTCAGTTCGGGTTCGAGTGGCAAGGGGACGCCAGACTGGTATGTCAAGCGCATTGTCGATCAAACGCTCAAGCCTGCACAGTATACAGCGCTGAACGTGTGTCTGCGTACTCTGCAGGTAAGCTGGGTGAGAGAATTCATCGAGAACCAGGGTCATATTGCCTTATCTACGGCGCTCGGTCAGATCAACCAGCGGCAATCGAGCAGAGAGGACGATCTCACCAAAGAGCATGAAATACTCAAGTGTCTTAAAGTGGTCTTGAATAATCAGGTATGTCTTCGATGTTCTTGATGCATGCTAACAGAAGTACGGAGCTGAGGAGACTGTCAGCCATCAACGATGCATCGACAATATCACCACGTCTCTCATTTCGCCAAATCTTGCTTCGCGCAAGCTTGTGGTCGATATTCTTTCCTTCTTTTGCGCCTGGCGTGATCCAGTCACGAGCCGCAATACGGGTCATGAGAAGGTCCTGCTCGCCTTTGACAGGCTCTGCGAGATAACGGCGACCACAACACGATTCGAGTCTTGGATGTCTATCGTTGAACACACGATTGACGGTAGAGGTATCGCTGGATCTCGCGTTGGCGCTTCAGATGAGTACAAGTCTGGCGGGCACACTCGCGACGCAAACCTCATGGAGTACGCGCTGTCAAGTGCTATGCTTGTGAATCAAGTTGCCAACAATGCCGATCAACTGCAAAATCGGGTCCACATACGTACTCAGCTCAAGTTGTGTGGTTGGCCACGAATCGCCGCAAAGCTGTCTGCCATGGGGTACGACTTGATTGAACGACAACTCATTCGCTATTTTGACAATGAAGAGCAAGATCTCCAAGATTTGGCAGACTTCGACAACCAGACCGACATCCGCGATATCGATAATCCAGTCGAGATTGTACAGGGCATCTGGTCTCGTCTTGACGCGACCAAGGCGCAGGACTACTTTCTCAGTACGCTTCAGCATTTGTTGCTCGTCAGGGAGTCGGACGATGAGAGAACTAGGCTCTTTCAGCTGATTGATTCTGTCTTGACCAGCATTGTCATGGACAGTATGTCAACACGCCGCGATGCTTCCTCAGCGCTCGGCACCTCTGTTCGAGAAGTCATGGGGCGTCTTGCTACAGATGAAGAGGCGCGCAACGCAATCGACGAAGCGAGAGACGCCTATGCGCGGGCCGACCAAATGGCCCGAGAGCGCGATCAGATGGAGAAGGAAATCTCGCTTGGAGCTGATGGGCTTGTTCAACAGTTGAAAGATGAGCTGAAGCAGGCCTACCAGGTTCTGAAGGCAAGTCAGCGGCAAGTCTATGACTTGAAGCAACAGATGGAAGCACTGAAGCTCGAGCATCGCACTATCATGCAGTCTCACGAAGTCGAGACGCGGGAGCTGTACATGATGATACGCGAAGGCGGTTCAAATGTAGACACTGGCATCATTGATCGACAAGTGCTCATGTCGAAGCTTGAACGTCAACTTGAGCGCAAAAAGACGCAATTCAAGCTCGAAGGGAGGCGCTGGGGCGAGGACAAGGCGAGGCCAGATGCAAAGCTTCGGGAACTGCGAGCTCAAATGGATCATTTCGAAAATGGGCATCAAAGTGACGATTCACAGAGCGTCGATGGCTCGCAAATCTTTGGTTCCTCAGTGCGCAAAGAGCGAATCTCCGATGGCGACGTTGTGCGGGAAAAGCCAAAGATTATACAATTCGCGAAGCCGAAGCCTTTACCAGTTCGGCCGCCGACAGCAAGAACAGAAGATGTCAGTCAGTACACAGAAGCTATTTCCAAGCTACTCAAGGAGGATGGTCCGCCTGGCACGGCAAGTTCAGGACGAACGAACAGCTCTGGCCGAGCCATCAGCTCCGGTCGCCCACCTAGCTCGAGCTCGCTGATGCGCAGAAGTATCTCGACCCCGAGCGATATGCCGCCTCCACCGCCAGCGCCAATATACTCCAACGGAGCCTTTTCAAAATCGGCCGATAGCTTGGTGCCACCACCACCACCACCGCCGCCTCCTCCGCCTGGTCCTCCACCTGACCTCACTGGCACTAGTATGGGCCCTCCTCCACCGCCTCCGCCTCCAGGGCCTGCGCCTATTATGAATGGCTCGTCTATGCTACCCCCTCCGCCGCCTCCCGGACCTGCGCCAAATCTCAGTGCACCAGGTCCACCACCTCCTCCACCGCTTCCAGGAACATCTGGCATGCCTCCTCCACCTCCACCTCCCATGCCAGGTCAAGGTCCGCCTGTACCACCACCAATGCCGGGCTCTTCTGGTATCAGTCGTTCGGGTACACCAAATCTCACTGTCGAAGACACATTGCATGATCCATCCCATACAGGAGCCTTGGGCAAGACTGGTTTGCCATTCGTTGAGCCAGGTAAAAGGCAAATGCCCATGGTCAGACCGCAAAAGAAGCTGAAGCAAATGCACTTTGATAAACTCGAGAATGGCGCACAATACACGCTCTGGGCAGAATCCAAACTGGATGCAAATGCCTTGTATGGGGTTTTGTCCCAACGAGGATTGCTCGACGAACTGGACAAATCATATGCAATGCGAGAGATCCGGCTCAATCTTGGCAACAGGGGCAAAACATCAGACAAGAAGGGCTTCCTTTCCAATGATGTGAGGCAAAGGATAGCTATCGCGTTTCATCGGTACAACGACTTAACCATCGACGACTTGGTGGGCAAGATTTTGCGTTGTGATGCTGATCTTTATACGCCAGAGATGCTCGATTTCCTATCGGATGAGAAGCTTCGGCAACAAGATCAAGCAAAGCAAAAGCTTTTGCCGTATACAGCAAATTGGCTGGAGAATGGCAATCGAGTTGATGCAGAGAAAGATCCAGCAGAGCTGCGGCGCGAGGACCAGCTATACATGATGACCTTTGTCGAACTGCAACATTACTGGTTGCGGCGCATGCAGGCTCTCAAGTTGAAGGATGATTTGGAGCGCAACTACAAGGACTGGACAGATCAGATTGACTTGGTCACGAAGACTGCACTCTCTTTACGGAATTCTCAATCATTCCGAGAAGTGCTCAATGTTGTCCTGCACCTTGGTAACTACATGAATGACATTGGCAAGCAAGCTGAAGGTTTCCGGCTTGGCACACTTGCGCGATTACCCTTGACCAAGAACGATGCAAACAACAAGCAGACTTTCATGCACACAGTTGAGCGCGTCATCCGCATTCTGTACCCTCAGTTGGAAGAATTTCTTGAAGACCTCAAAGACGTGGCAACTGCTTCAAAGGGTATCTTGTTCCACTTTTGAACCATGCTAACAAAAGTCAACATCGAATCGCTTTCTTCAGAGATACGCTCTCTCAATACGATGAGGTTGGGTATCGAGCGCGCGTACGAGAATGGTGTCATGAGCGATCGCAAGACACTTCATCCCAAAGATCGCGTTCGCCATGTTATTGAGCAATTTCTGCCCGGAGCCATCAAGAAGACTGACTTCCTGACAACGCTGCTCGAAGATATGCAGTCATCCTTTGAGAATTGTCTTATTTACTATGGCGAAGAGCCAAAGGACAATCTCTCTCGCCAGCAATTCTTCCAGAAGTTTGACATCTTTGTTCGGGACTACAAGCGCGTCAAGAAGGAGAACTTTGACATGGAAGAAGAAGCGCATCGAGCTGACATGCGGCGCAAGGCCATGACGAAAGCAAGCCAGAAGAACATCATGGAAGCTGCTTTGCAACCTGCATCTGCACCAAATCATGCCGTCATGGACAATTTGTTGGAGAAGCTGCGCAGCGGACCTGATGTTGAGTCTCGCAAAACGCGCCGACGCATGATGCCAAAGCCAAAGGCTGCCGAGACACTTGCCGCCATCAGAAAAGCGGCCGCTGTGGACGAGCCAGCCAAGGAGCAAGATACCGAGCCAAAGCCAATCACCATCAGCCGTCCAGTGTCTTCCTCTGGCAACAACGCATTACTCGCAGCTCGGGCTCAGTCCATGTTGGCTGGATTGCGAAGTGGCAAAGTAGCAGGCCCGACTGTTGCTGTTCGCACGCCGCCCGGTAGTTCGGGTACTATCCTGTCTGCAGCATCGCTTGAGCAGTCGCCCATTCGATTTGGCTTGGTCTCGGCAGAGCTGATCCAGGATGATACGGACGAGGAGATTGAACAGGGTGCCGTGTCAGATGCGTCGCAAGCGTCAGCGGATGGAGAGCTCGAGCTGAAGACACGGAGAGACACTGCTGCAGGACAGGAACCGCCTCCGAGCCCGACGCCTAAGGCCAGTCCTGCAAAGGCGGTGGAGAGTCAATTGGAATCATTCGCGGGGAAAGAGGATATTTAATGCTAGGCTATAGCTAGACAAATTGCTGCTTCACCTGTATACTTTTGCAGCCCCTACAAATGCCTTCTCGTTCAGTCGACCAGTGCAACCCGTCTTGGAGTGTTCCTTTGCAGTGGGCACAACGGAAGCAGCTTTCGTGAAATTGGCTCTCGCCAAATTGGATGATGGTTTGATCCTGGTCGTCGACAGGCTTGTTGCATCGTCGACACTTGATGCGAATTGCCGGCTGCCAGCATGATCTGTGCCAAGGCAGGCCATCTCGTTCAAGATAGGCAATCTCGCCGTTGACAGTGGTCAATACCTTTGAACATCCAGCGCATCTAAAGTGTTCGACATGATAGAAGTGCCCTAGTGCCTCGATGTACTGATTGGTCACAATTTTGCTTTGGCAACTGTGACAGTCTGGGAAGGATGCTGTGTGACAATCGAAGCATACTTCAATCGTGCCACTTTTATGTGGCATTGCGTAAAACTCGAGGTTTTCTAAAGGCTGGTGACATTCGTAGCATCGGAAACAGTCAACATGGAAGCTCCGTTGACCTGTACTCAGTCCCCCTTGAGAGTCCAGTGTCTCGCCACAACGTGCGCATCTGGGCACTGTCACATTGAGGGCTTCATGTGTCTGCTCCAGATTGAAGCGTGGCAACTTGATGGTGGTCCTTCCAGCGCCAGGCGGGTTACTGGAAGTATCAGCGGGTATAAACGTATTCTGAGGCACTTGAGGCACTTGGGGCAGTGATCTGGTCCCATGCGTAGGTTTGGGCCCTGGGACTGGAGCTTGAGACTTGGGCTTAGACAGCGGCGTTGGAGGAAGTATCTTGCTTTTAGTCATATTTTGAGAAAGAGCAAGCATGCTTGGCTTTTGAGGAACTTTGGGAAGAGGCCGCCTGCTTTGCTCAGTAGATGGCAAGCTTGGGCCTTCTTCAGTGATCTTGACATCTGTTGAAATGCGGAACCTTGGTAATCTCGTGCCAGTCAGCTCGAATATCTCTTGATTTGTTCGCTCGAGAGCCTCAAGCTTATTGCCTGTTTATCAGCATTGAATCGCATCGTTAAGAGTATGCGTACGATGCTCTTGATTCATTGTAGAGTTGGTGAAGGTCGATCTTGCAGTTGAAACTCCTGAGTTTGGCCGAATTTATTTTCTACGTATTTGCATTCACAGCTATGAAGCAGCTATGGGTCCAGTATGCATACCACAGGATGAGCGATGACTTTACGAACAGTGCGTGATGCACTTCCAGGCCTTGAATCAATAAGCTGCTCCACTCCTGCAGGCAGACCCGCCATAACACCCTTGTTTGGTGCAAAATTTAGGGTTAGGGTCAAAAATTCTGTATAAGTTTCATATTGTACCCAATATTTCGCCACCAATATGGTTCTATGGTGTAGCGGTTATCACGTATGCTTCACACGCATAAGGTCGCGAGTTCGAGACTCGCTAGAACCTTTTTGACTTCTCAATTCCGAGAGATACCAAAGTGACATCCACTCCCGACGATATCATCACGTCTACCACGTCGATCGCTACGTTTGGCTTGCCTCAGTACAAGCGTTGTTCCACAGGGAGGCGTCATTGCCATTCGAGTTTGTCAGCTGCTCGAACGTCGGCGGAATTGTCTGCTTGAGCCTCCGACGCAACCCCGCAGAAACCAAGGCGAAGACAACAATGACAGCACCTACACATCAACCAACACCATGTCTAGCTTCGAACTTCCCCCTACCAACAAGAACCTCACGAGCTTCGCCGTCTATGGCTTTGTCTACCTCCTGAAGACATCGCGTATGAGATGATGCGCTTCACAAAACACATCGCTAACGAAACAGAGGCCTCGCTCTTTGTCAATCTGCGCCAGAAGTTGCCCTTCACGGCCGATGCCATCATCAAATTCCTGCTGTTCGCCCACACTGGTGAGGCAGCGCTTGCCTTTTACCGCTCCTTGCGAGCTGGCAAGTCTCTCGGCGACTCCATCAAATGGGCGCTCTCGACATTTGTCTTTGGCTTCACGTCGCTCGGCCAGCAGCAGTTGGTGTTGAAGCGTCGCGCTTACTAGATACCTACATAGTCTGTATCAGAAATGTCAAGCCTGAAGCTGCGCTCCATTCATCCATGCTCTGCGCCGCCCAGAGACCCTTCTGCGTTCCTACTAGATGCACCACTTTGCTAGCATGTGCAGGAATGCTTGCTATATGCCCGCCCTCTCTGATCTGATGGCCGTGGAAGTAGAGCGGTTGCAATGTTGGCAGAGTATTGATTATACGCAGTGCCACCTCGCCTTGGTGTGTGATGGTCAGTATGTCTGGCGAGTATGGCGTACCCAGTCCGAGAGGGCTTGCTACCGGCTTACTGGCAAGCGCATAGTTGGCCGGCACATAAGAGATGTTGTTGACTGTATGTCGAGCATGACCATTGCGTGACTCAACAGAGATTGTCAGCGTGTAGTCTACCTTGCCCTGCGTCTTTGCAAGCAAAACACTTGGGCGATGGACAGGTGCGTCAAGCGACCATCTCAACCGTGCGGCAGGGATGATCTGCACTTGACCAGGCTCGATAAGTTCGCTTGTGTCAGTAATTAAGCTGACCGTGGTGGACCCAGCATGAACAATGCGATAGCGCTGCATACCCGCCGCCGGCGCAACTTCAGCCAAATCTCTTCCACACACTGAAATGCCTGTTGAAATGGGTCGTTCAAGTGGGCCTGCCAGGTATGTATCGAGGAGTTGACTTGCTGGCTTGGAGTATACATCGGAGACTAGCAAGACAAACTCTCGCGCAACTTGCTTGCAGTCAGGGTGGACAACAAGCACACCGGCCAGGCCATCCAGTCGCTGCACATCTGTCAGGCTTCCCCACAAGAATGTTCCTGCCTCAGCTGCATCGATTGAGATGGCAATTTCTTCGCCCGGGAAGATTGGATCTTGTGAAATGAAGGGCATGCCGTCCTCTGTTTGACTCGTATTGAGTCCGAAGAAGTGCAGAGATGTGGCAGTGTCCAATCGATTGCGAACAGTAATGTAGATGGCGTCGCCAACGTTGGCCTCGACGAGAGGTCCTGGAAATTTGCCATTGACCGTCAACTTCCCGTTCAGCTCTTCGATTGTCCAGGTCCATTTGCGCACTACCTCGTCGCACCGCGGATGTCTGAGAACATAGTCCGACAAAGGCCGCAACGTCGTGGGCTCTTGACTATCGCGGAACTCGAGCAACATGAGCAGCAGGAGCAAGGAAATGGTTACTGCCGCTGTCACGTACAACCAACGTTCCTTCTGCCGATGCGATTGTATGGGCGATAACTGAAATTGCGCTAGTGATGGCAAAGTAGACGGCAAAGTAGACGGAGATTCGCTGATGGTCTTAAGCGAATAGGCTTCTTCGTAATCGCATGCAAACGCATTGCACATCTCGATATTGAGCGGCGGAGGACGGCGCTTGTCGAAAAGAGGCATGACTGACCTCAATCAGTGTGAGCCGTTTGTTGAAAGTGTTCGCTGCATAGAGAGGACAGGAGCTATTCCCTCAGGGATGTCTGAAACCATTTGTCACAGTTGTCAGGGGCCTTTGAGGAGTCTTAAGCTTAGAGCAGGCATTTTGCAGAACAAGGCAAGCAGCAAGAAGAAGTGACCGTGTCTCATACTTTCTGAGCTTCTGCGCGTGAAGATGAGCACAGACAGACATGTACTGTCCAGAGATCCTCGTCTTAAGTCGTCTTGCTGAGTTGAAATTTGATTTTCGCTGCCAGAAACAAGCGCAAGCAAACCCCCACGCTTCCCTCCCCGGGTACACAAACACCCTGAGTCAACAGCTGACTGCCTACAGGCTCGCAAGGACAAGCGATGGACTCGGATGGCTCGCGATCTATTCTCATGTCGCCTTCAACCCGTGACGGAACTCCTCTGCGTGGGACAGGCGGGCCCATACGCTCGGAGATTCCAAGGTCGGACCCTGGTGCCGACGCTCGTTCCGCATCAAGACGCTATCGCCTTGCACAGGCCTGCGACAGGTGCCATAAACGCAAGCAAAAGTGCGATGGTCAGGCACAGTGTGGCCCCTGTGCTGCAGCTGGTGTCGAGTGTACCTTGACAGACAAGGTCACTCAAAAGACTTATCCGCGTTCCCATCTGCCAGAGCTCGAGGAACGCATCTACTGGCTCGAGAATATGATCCATCAAGCAAGGCCGGGGCTCAACATAAGGCATATACCGACAGGGACTGCCTGTGGTCTGGACGACGCGCCGTCGCTGGCGCACTTGAGAAGGTCAAGATCACCACGCAGCGGTGCTGGGTCTTCATCCAGTGCAGGGGGTAAGGGCATCGCAATACCACCACCAGCAGAGCTCAACAAGCTCGCAATGCCGGAAGGGATGGAGCCAAAGGGTAACCTATTCCTTGATCCATCTCTCGAGAGCGATGAGGGCTTCCTGCCGGCAGGTGCTGGCAAGGCCTATGGTCACTACATGCGCAACACAAATCTTAGTCAGGAACTTGCTCCCATCAGGCCCAATATATCAACGCCAACCATGCTATTCAGCAAGACGATTCGCGCGGGAGCACAAATTGGACATGCAGGAAACGACACCTATCCTCCCTACGAAGTCGCGCAGTTGCTTGTGAGCAACTACTTCAACCATTCTCATACACAAGCCCCGTTTCTGCATCATCCGAGTGTGCAGCAACGCTTCACTGCCTTCTATGCGACAAACTTCCAAGACACACAGCCAACCTGGTGTTTCATCTTTTTAATGGTCTTGGCTATTGGTGAGACCACGCTGGAAAGGTCCGAGGCGTTGAATGGGCGCAAAGTACAGCGCGAAGGCAATTATCACTTTTTCGAGTCAGCCATGGAGTTGCTCGAGGATGCCATTGACAAGACGTCCATTACCACGGTGCAATGTCTGCTGTTGATGGCAACCTACGCGCTGCAACATCCACAAGCTCTCAGCATTTATCGAATCGTCGGCTACGCCATGCGACTCTGCATTGAATTATCCCTGCATCGCACACAATCAAAGAAGAAGTCCCTAACGCCACTGGATCGCGAGATGCGCAAACGCATCTTCTGGAGTGCTTATTCCTTGGACCGGTTCGCCAGTATCTCGCTTGGCCGGCCTTGCTCCATTGCAGATGAGAATGTCTCTTGCGAATTGCCACTTGATATCGACGATGGCATGATTCGTCAAAACATGGTGCTTTCGTTGCCAGATGGAGCAGTGTCGGAGATGACTTTTTCCCTTGCCATCTTTAAGCTGAGACGTATTGCTGGACGCATTATTCAGCAGCTCTACTGCGTGAGCAACCTATCTGCACATGCGCAGTCCGCTCTAGTGGATCGCTTCGTCTCTGAGCTCGAAGTCTGGCGACTGACGATCCCATCATCCAGTCAATTACAGGAAGACGAGTCCATTGTGCCGAGCTGCTACAAGTCTGAGGATTGGTTCCATCTCGGCTACTTCCACGCTCGACTCTTACTCTTCCGCCTACTGGCCCCCAAGGGCAACCCGCGCGATCTCAGGTATTGCGCTGAAGCGGCCCTAGCAACGGTGCGGTTGTATGCTAAACTCCTCGAGCGCCGCTTGCTCAACATCAATTGGGCGACACTCGCCATGTGCTTCACAGCCGGTGTCACTCTATTGTGGTGCGTCTGGCTCTCCCCGGGTAACTCGCTGGAACCGAGCATTTCCATGGCTGAAGTGACCAAAGGTATTGAGCACACTGAAACTGTCTTGGCGGCGCTGGGTGGATCTTGGGATACTGCACAGAAATGCATCACCTTATTTAGGGAGCTATGCAGCTCAGTCGTTGTGTCAAGGCCACAGGACGGAGGTTTGGAAATCGGCGGCAATGTGCTGGACTTGTTTGATGCATTTGCCATGCCTGGTGATGAGCAGCGCAGTGAGGTCTTTATGAATGGCAATGCAACAGATGGTCAAAAGGAGGATGGCGACTTGAGCCACGCAGACATTCATGGCACGGGCACTGAGCCCACGGACATGTACACGCCATTCATCGAGTCGCTTGCCGGCGCCGATTCTGTCGAGGGCTTTGAGAATATCGGCTACTTGACGGGAGGCTTCCAGGCATTTTAGGCCTCCTCATCTTTGCTAGATAGCTAAGTGACAATGAGCATAGAGCTCAAGCTTATTCTTCCATCGCCTCGCCTTGTCCCTCTGCCGCTGCACCTTGCGTAGAATCAGCTCCTGCAACAGGGGTTGTTTCCGTCATCTCTGCCTCGCCAGCACCTGCAGCGGTACTCGCCGGCGCGTTACGGATAGCAGCTTCGCGTTGCCTGACAGCCGTCATACTCACATCACCGAGCTTCTCCAACCAAGGAACCAATTCTTCCCCTTCCATCACCGTGAATACCTGATCCTCACCCACCAGTGCGATACTCGTATTCGCCGTGGTGAGTTCTTTGTCCTGAGCCAGCGAATCTCGTAGTGCCCTTAAGCCATGCAGGATGAGCTCCTCCTTCGAGGAAGAAGCAAGCGCATCCACGTTGCGTTCAAGGTATGTCCGCGCCGACTGCGAGCGTGCGCCAATGGCTGTTGCACGGTAAGCCAGCACAGTCCCACTGCTCACAAATTCAAAGAGATGCGGACCTTGCTCATCATAGCCAGCAATCAGGAGACCGACGCCGTATGGACGTTTGCCGTAGTGCTGCGTGTTGCGCTGTGCCTTGTCTGCCAGGCTATCGCTAATGCGCTGGATGGGTAAAGGTCTGTTGTAAATCATCTTGGAAGACATGGCCTGCTGTCGCATGTAATTGCTCAAGACACGCGCATCAGGAGCCAAACCAGCCAGGGCAATGCCAAGGTGATTGTCAATGCGGATGATTTTCTTTTGGTAGGATCCAAGGTCTTCTGCATTGCGTTTGAGTGTGACTAGTGCTGCATGCGTATCGGAGCGCAAGCCAACCGCACAGGAACCTTGTTTGATGGCCTCGAGCGCATACTCTACCTGATGCAGGCGACCTAAGACGTCAATACATGACCACAGGAGTGGATGAAGCATTACCTTGCGGGGAGAATGTGGTCGCATCGTTGTCGTACTGATTGCGGAACTATCATTAGCATCTCCTTGATGACCACTACGCCGTACCATGACAGACGACTGCGCTCTTGGCAGATGCCTGCTGCTGTTTGCTGAGGGACACGCTCTCGAGCTCGTCGCCGTCGCCGTTACGCGCGTCGGGGCTGTAGGGTTATGGTAGCTACACGAGATGGGAATTTGAAGCTCACTCTGGAAGACATCCATGGAATTCACAGCTTATACTAGCATATATGACGACTGAGTTCAGTAGAGATGAGCCTAGTATGCAAGAGAAGTGACGTTGTTGTTACTGATGGTCACGTTTTGTCGTGTACATCCCGTGTGCGACCAGGTGCCGCTGAAGGTCTTGCTCAAAAAATCCATCGCGCGGCCAAGACCATTGCTGCTCTCTGTTGTGTGTCCGCCGACAGTGTTACGCTGGAAGAGGACATTGGTGTAGCCAATTTCGCAGTATCTTGTGTATAACTTGTCGGTGTTGACAATCGGGGTTACTTCGTCACCCTGAGCAGAGTACCAGAACATGGGCACTTGCGGTGTGTTACGACGGCCCATGATACCATCGTAGTCCTGGACACGAGTCAAAATAGGGTTCATCAATGTCGTCAGGCCATTGACAAAGTAGTCGGAGATGTTTTGCTTGTTGTAGGCCACAATAGCTTCATTGAGGGTGTAGTTGCGTGCAGCTAGGAACCCGGTGCGATTGTACGGGCCGTCCGTCTTGAGCTGAGAGAGCAGGTATGTCAGTGCTTGCGGGTGCTGCGAAGCAAGACCAAGAGTTCCTGGGAAGCTGAGACCTGCATACAAGGTGCCGGTAGTGGCCAACAACACGCTTGTTACGTTTGGCGTAAGGCCACCGAGAGCAGCACCAGCGATCTCCAATTCGGGTGCATAGCTCGGTGCAAGCTCGATAGCCCACTCACTGGCCAGTGCACCTCCGCTGTATCCCCAAAGTGCAACTTTTGCATTACTCGCAAGACCCAAACCAACGGCCTTGACCGCGCGAATCGAGTCAATAGTAGCGTGACCAGACAAGACACCAGCAACGAACGCTGCAGTGGGCCCTTCGTAATCAGTTGTGTGCACATACCAACCCTTCTTCAGACCCATCATCATATCGCTGTTTGCACCGCCGTAAAGCGCATAACTAGGGCTTGCGTCGACATCGGCCGAGTCGTACGGAATCTGGTAACTGAGTAGGGCAGAGCCGTTGCCGCTGGTGGGCACAAAGAGGGTTGTGACGGCGTAGGTAGCATTGTAGAGCGAATCTGTCGTACGGTAGAGGATGTGGTATGCTGCACTTGCGTTGAACAAGGACGACAAGTTGCCCGGTGCAGATCGAACACGCAGCACTGTACCTGGTGCAGTCATCTCCCAGCCGGGAGCTGGAACATAGAATGGACTCGTGCTAGGCGGTTGGATCACTGTAGGCACGTTTGAGGAGCTTGACTGACGCTTCTCGAGGATTTGAGGAGCGGCCGAGGCCAAGGCAGCGAATAGAAGGGTAGAGAGCAACATAGGTCTGCTAGGCGTGATGTTGTGGATGGCTCCGGTCTGGCAGCAGCTCTGACCTTATACTTTCCTCGAGGCCCGCATATCTGGGGTCACGCAGTGCATCTTCGAGCTAATAATTTTATCGGTCAGTCATATGCATACATGCCTTTGTCGGCCGAAAGTTGCTCTTGAAAAGGCTGGGGCAGCCCGGCTGGCGATGACTTGATGATAGATGATGACTTGACCGAGGTCACCGAGCACGAAAGCCTCTAGCCAGTGGAGCATAGCTGTTGCCGCGCGTGTAGGCCCATATTGATGAACACAGTAGCGCTGTTGCTTGCTTGTTTTCCCCGCCGGATGTTCAAATATTCCGCAACATGACCGCATCTTCTGATTCTTCTCGTCTCCAACGGCCAAGATCCATTTTAGGTTGCGGCATCGCTTGGCGATTGGGCAAAGGCGCAAAAGACGGCGACCCAAGAATGAAGTCTCGAACATTGAGCAGGCCGCATGATTCAGATCTCTCGCTGCTTGAAGATGTCATGACCCATGACTCTTACGACTCAGTCATCATGAACTGCCAGAACTGGGATCAACCTCTTACCGCGAAGTTGTAGACTACAGTCTAGAGTAGCTGTTCCCATGTGCACCATATCATACAGCAGGCCTACAGCTGTTTGAGCTGATCTCTGCAAGCTAGTTGATTCTGCAGCTGTAGTATGTGCTCGCTAGGTTGCCAGCGGTAAATGGAGGAACATGTTCTTCATTTGCTTCAGGGCAGCGTATACTTAAAGTGCTCTATTGCAGCTGAGTGTGATCATGAGATGGGCCACCATAGTGGAATTTCAGCATTCCATATTTCTATGAGGCATTGCTTGGCCCTAAGCCTCTATCAGGCTCTATGAGCTCTCTGGGAGTCTTTACGCATACAGCTCTCTTGCCTCCCTCTCCAGACCACCTCACCCTGGCCGCAGCTGAAGTGTGCTGCCTGCCTGCGTGGGATTTCCAACATTTTTCGAGATGCAGCAAGCGACAGATCATGTATCATCGAGGCCGGCATCCTCCTCGTGTGCCCCAGGCTTGCAAGGCAACATAGGATCTCTCCGGCTACAGCATGGGACGCAAGCAGAAAGGAGGTGCCCGGCAGCCCAAATCCCGCGATGATGACTGGAAAGCCGCCGCACCGAGCAATGAGCGCTTTGTGCAGTACTATCGCAAGCAAAACCTATGCGCATCGGACGATGAGTTTGAGCAAATGCTCGCAGCCTTCAAGCGCGTCCTGCCAACGACCTTTAGACTGACTGGTACTCGAGAGAATTGCCGGTTGCTGCAAGACTACATGGAACGCGCGCATTTCCCGTTTTTGAAGGATAAAGAGTATGACGGACAGTGCATCGCACCACCGAGAGCCCTTTCATGGTACCCAGAAAGCTTGGCGTATCAGCTTGATGTGCCCAAAATTGCTTTGCGAAAGGATGCGCAATTCAAACAGTTCCAGCGGTTCCTCGTGATGGAGACAGAGTCCGGCAACATGATCCGTCAAGAAGCCGTAAGCATGATTCCCCCGCTGTTGATGGACATTCGAGGCGACTCGGTCTGCTTGGATATGTGTGCAGCACCAGGCTCCAAGACATCACAAATGGTCGAGTTGCTGCATGCACGGGCTGCTGAACAAGGTCAAGATCCAATTGGCTTGGTTGTCGCCAATGATAGCGACTATAAACGCGCCTACATGCTTGTTCATCAATTGAAGCGTCTCAATTCACCCAATTTGCTCGTGACTAACCACGACGCGACATGCATCCCGAATTTCCTGGTGGACAAGGAAGGAACACCGCAAAAGTTTGATCGTATCTTGGCGGATGTGCCGTGTTCAGGTGATGGTACTTTGCGAAAGAATGTCGATATTTGGCGGGCATGGCAGCCGACGTCAGGTCTGTCACTGCACCCAACTCAAGTGAACTGTTTAAAACGTGGACTGCAGATGCTGGCGGTAGGTGGCCGATTGGTTTATTCCACCTGTTCGCTCAACCCTATTGAGAATGAAGCAGTCCTTCATGCAGTTCTCAGGGAGATTTCAGACGCGGCACACCTCGTTGACGTTTCACATGAATTACCTGAGCTTGTGCGTCGGCCAGGATTATATACTTGGCACTGCACCGACCATGCTGGTAATACAATAGACAGTGTCGAAGCTGTGGAAGAATCAAAACGGCATCGTTTCCCTGCATCCATCTTTCCACCCCTGCCTGGGGTTGCTGAAGCACTTCATCTTGAGCGTTGTCTGCGCATCTACCCTCACCTCCAAGACACTGGTGGGTTCTTTGTTGCCGTCATTGAGAAAACTGCGGAAGTCGACTTCAACGATATGGAGAGTGTGCGTTACAAGAAGCGGCCGGCAGATGGAAGTCCACAGCAAGCTTTAAAACGCACCAAGCCAGAGCAACCTCTTGAAGAGACTGCTGCTGGTGAAGTCACTGTTGATCAAGTTCCTACAGAGATTGCATCCATCCAAGCAGAGAGAACGGCCGAACCTACATTACCACAAGAAGTCATCATTGACAAACCCAAGTTCATGCGTTCACTCAATGACGAGTACTTTACCTTTTTGCCTTCTACGCATCCAGAGATTCAGAGCATAGCGCAATACTTTGGCTTTGACAAGTCTGGCTTACCACTCGACTGTTTCCTGTCACGCAACATCAGTGGTGAGCCCGTGCGCACGCTCTATTATGCTACCGCGAGGGTCAAGACACTTATTCAACACAATATGGGCCGATTGCGCTTCGTTCATGCTGGTGTCAAGATATTTTGCAAGCAAACCATGGCACATCTGGCAACTACGAGCCCGGAGCCAGTGGAAGAGATTTGTCCCTGGCGATTATCGAGCGATTGTATGGATGTTGCTGAATCACATGTCGCAGCAGACAAAGTGGCCACTTGCACACTCGCCGAGCTCAAGGTGTTCATGGAGCATGAGTACCCGAAGGCTGACCTGTTCCCTGAGTCTGACACGTCTGTGATTCAGCAGCTTGAGGGTAAGCAACTCGGTTGTTATCTGGTGCGCTGCGATTTGAGCAAAGAGCCAGACAGCCGTGTACCGAATGTACTACTGCTACCTTTGTGGAAGAGCAGAGTGACCCTGCAGATGATGTTGGCTCGCAAGGAAAAGGAAACGATTTATGCGCGTGCGACTGGTGAGACCCTTCCAGCGGCCATCAAGATCCTCAGCAAAAAGAATGGGGAGTCTGAAGCAGCTGCAGTAGGGGATGATATCGTTTCAAAGGATGCTTCTGTCTAGTCTATTCTTGAGAGGCTATCATCATTCATGCCTTTTCTGCGTCCTTCATCTCGACAATATGCTTGTTGATGTAGCCATGCTTGCGAAGTTCTTCCAGAGACAATGCTTTAGCGCCAGAGATCTGTCCTACACAATTCTTGGCCTTGCATCCACATGCAAAAGGTTGGCCCATGTCATACTGCCATGCGGGTTAATATTTCATCTTTCAGGAGCAACTTACCTCTGTACTTGGATAGAAGAAGCCCAGTGCTTCGCCTTTTACAATATCTCGACGTGCCTCGAAGAACATGGCCTCCGCGTTCTCAACATTGAGAATGCAGTTTGGGTCACAGCTGTGGTTCATAAAGACAAAATCACTATTGAGCTCAAAGTGCTCCTCTCGACCACGCTGAACGGAAGTATACGCCTTTTTGGCCGGTGTAGTGCCTTCCAATGTCACGATACGTTCGCCTGCGTGAAAGTCCTGTTCTGTGAGTTCATGTGCTGTATTGGTGAAGCTAGCGGAAGCATACCCTTGCAGCGACCGCGTAGGAGGCAAAGTCGCCTTCATTGCGGATGACTGTGATGAGGTCTGCGTACTTGCGAGGTGACATGGCTGTATCAATGCGTGATAGCTACAGAGATGAAAGGAATCTGTCGACGTTGAACTGGTGGATACTTGATGAAGCAGATCAGCGGAGCCGGGGAAATGAATACCGAGATGAGGGCTTATACACGATGGATATACGATGCACTGTGGTGGTGAGGCCTTGATAACTTGTATACAGACTATGCTTATGCACCCTAGTCAGAGTCGTCGTCGTAAAACTCATCGTCGTCCTCGACCATCAGACTCAAGTCAAGCTTGTACCGCAGAATACCACCAATCCCACCGAAACCCTTCAAGAACTGCGACCCCTCCTGCGACTTGTCCGTCACAAACTCAAGGGTCGCGCCAAAGTCCTGATACTTGGCAGCGAGCCATTCAAGCAACGACTGCCGCTCCACCACTTCGAGATCCGCACCTGTGTCTGGGTCCTTGAAGAGATCCTTCTTGAGTTCCTCTTCCCGCGGTGTTGCATGCACAATCCGCTCGTCGCCCTCTTCAGTCTTGAGTGTGAAGCGTGTCACATCCAGATTCTCAAAGACAATGAGTGTGTCTACCGCACCTGCATCAAGACCCTTGAGTGTGTCTTCCACGCCAAAGCAGTACTTGCCTGTATCCTTGGCGATTTCATCAAAGTATTTTTGAATGAGCTTCTTCTCTTGCACAAACTTGACATTCGACAAGGTTTCTCCAGCCAGCTCAATGGCTTGGTTGAAGCCGTTCTCACCACCATAAGAGACATCGACAATCTTGATGATTTTAGCCTGCAAACGTCCATCAAACATGTCACTCTGTGACAACTCCGTCTTGAAGTCTGCGGAACCAGCCAGCACCAGACCCGTACAATTGCACTTGTCATTCGTGATGAAGAATTGCACGGCCGTCTCTGCTACTTTACGCACATAGTTGTGCCGCTTCTCATCACGCAAACGCGAGAAACGCAATGCAGATTGACCACCACGTCCGTGCTTTTTGGGCAGATCAACGGTGAATTTATGCAATACGTCGCGCGTATTGCCTGTCAATGTACCGTACAAGACACCATTACCATCCATGACAATAAAGCCGAAGCGTGTGTCTGATTCAAGTAGCTCAGAGAGGGCTTCTGTGTGGAATTTATTGTCGCAGAGGTAGAGGGAGGTGTTGATGGGCTTGAAGGGTTCAAAATCGATATTGAGCTTGCGCTCTTTTCCTTCGTCTGTAATGACATCGCCGCAGTACACAACAAGGCCGTTTTTGGGTACGCGGTTGTAGAGCTTCAATCTCTCCTTTGTACTTGTGATGGCGCCCAAGACGGAAAGCCGATTGACGCGCGACTTGATGTTGGAAGCGGTACCGTACTCGTCCGCCAACATCTTGGAGACGCGTGAGATTTGGTCCTTGGGCGGTATAATGAGGGAAATCATGCTGGTACCGTTGCCTCGTGCCTGTTCAAGGGACTTAATGAGCTTTTTGACCTTCCATACTTCGACCTGTTGCTCTGTGGACTGTTGCTGTGGATCCGACATGATTTCTGCAAGTCGATCGCTCTTAGCTTGCCTCTATGTGCGCTCTGGCAGATGCTCCTCCTTTGTATATGGACGAGAATTGAGCAGGCCTTGTTGAGGATGTTGCTGCCTCTTGCTTCCCTCACTCGCCGCCTTCAATTTTTCGGGGATGGAGCGTGAGAGAATGAGTCGGGTCTCTTTCTACTCGTTTACTTGTAGTATCCAGTATTCAGTATTCAGTCTATTCCCTGTCTTGCTGCTCATGTCTATGTCTATATATCCATCTCCAGCACATCCGCCATCTGCAGTGTCTCCATGCCACCTTGTGCCATCAGCTCCTTGACAATCCTTCGCATCAACTCCCTCTCCTCCCGCTCACCCTGTCCACCTTCTCCTTCCCTCTTTGACAAGGCATCCACAGACGCCAAACAGGCAACACGGAAGTCCTCACTCACTTTGTCCGTCGGTGCAAGGAGCAGTGTATTCCAAATGGTCTTGAGCCCAGCACTGCGTACCGTTGGACTATCATGTAGCAAGGAAGCTGCCACACGTTCTAGTAGGCCAGCATCCAGTAGCTCGCCCACAGCAGTGCGTGTCTTGGCCTGAACCAAACTGTTCGCAAGAAACTTGAGGTGCACGCTACAGGTCGAGGTCTCTGCTTTGGCTTCTGAGGGTGACATGGTCACACTCTTGCCAAGCAGCGGTGAGTTGGCGAGTTGTGTGGCAAAATACGTGTTTGTGACGAGCAAGCGTAGTAAGTCAAGACCCGGGAATGCGTCTGCTAGTGGAACAGTCTCCAGGTATGTTTGCAGCAAAGACGATGTAGCTGATGCCTGACTATCCTTCGCCTTGCCACTGATGACACTCTGAACGTACGCTTCTGCATTGTCCAAAGCATCACTCGACAAGCCCGTCTCTTGTGTCTTGATTTTGCCAAAAACCTTGGCGAGGGTGGGTGTGTTGAGGAATTGAAAGGCTTCCGAGACCCTTGTTTCACGGACGGGATGACCTTCCTTGGCACTTGATGAGGTGGGTCCCGTGATGGGTGCTTCAGTGCGTGCACCAGCGTTGGCATTGGGTGCATACATGGCATCAATTTGTGGTCTAAACATCTTGCCAAACGGTGTTGCCAGGAAGGCAGAAGGTAGACTACTGATTTCTGCAGGAATACGCTGGTCGATGAGGAACTGTAGTGCATAATCAGAAAAGGTATTGCAGTTGTGTTCAAGCAAGTGGTATTTGCCCACACCATAGCTTTCTGCACAGCGATGCAAGAAGTCCTGCCAGTCTTGAATGGATTTTTGGGTTTGTCCCATTTTGCGTCGCTCAATGGGCGTTCCATAAGAATGACCTTGTCCTGGTGGACTTGTAGACTCAATGCCTGAGCCACCAAAGAAATACTCTCGGTTGTTGAGCACGACAGAGGTGTGGTAGATGGCATCAAAGTAGGTGCCTGTTAGAGCGACAGACATGCTGCGTGCGAGACCATTTGAGAGGTCGTAGATGTAGAGATGCACGTCCATGTTGTTTCTTATAGTATAAGAGCGAGCAAGAAAGAAGCGACGGTAGGCGGCAGCAGATGAAGCTGGACGACGCAAGCAATGGAGTGTTCTAGAAAGAAGGAACGACAGCCTTGCGTGAGGCCTGGCTGCAACAATGAGTGATGCAGTAGATGAATTGTAAGATAGCAAGCTGGTAACACGTCCCAAGCAGTCTCTTCCCCTTTCCGAGCCTCAGCAGGAGTAGACACAGGATCAAGTAATAACTTACTAACAAGTCTCTTTTCTTCTTCTCGATTACGCGGACTTCACTTCAGATGGGCTCATCTACACGCGCAAGGACTGCACCACACACCATGACACAGGCAAAGCACTCTCTCTGTGTCTTCTGCGGCTCATCCGCGGGCAAGTCAGACAAGTATGCACATGCAGCAAAACAACTCGCCCAGGAAATGGCAGCGCGTTCATGGGATCTCGTCTACGGTAAATCGACTCCCCATCATCTTGTCGCGTCGCTTCTAGTATGCTGATACAGCCTCTTTGTCCTGTAGGTGGCGGCACAACAGGTCTCATGGGCGTCATCGCTTCTGCTTGTAAAGAACAAGGCCGTCACGTCACAGGCATCATTCCGCGCGCCTTGACGCAACGCGAACGCAATGCCAACATCGATAGCGAGCAGTTTGGCGAGACCATTCTCGTGCAGGACATGCATACACGTAAGCGTATGATGGCTGAACGGAGTACGGCATTTGTGAGTATGCCTGGTGGCCTTGGCACGCTCGAGGAGGTAGGCACTCATGACTCGGTATTGGTGTACGCGCTAATCCATAAAGCTATTTGAGATTGCGACTTGGTCGCAGCTCGGCATTCACGAGCGAGCCGTTGTCCTCTTCAACGTCGATGGTAAGCGAACTCTTCACACACGATGGTTCAAGCAAGACTGACATCATGAGGATTCTACGACGGACTCATCGCCTTCTTGGATAAAGCCGTCGCTGAGGGCTTCATTGGTGAGACACAGCGGCACATCATTGTTGAAGCCAAAACGGCTGCAGAGGTGTGCACGGCCGTGGCAGAGTACATTCCACCGAGCGGCCGGCTCAACTTGGACTGGAAGACAGTCAGTGCTGGTTATAAGGCAGAAGCATAAAGAACACTTGTCATCAAGGAAATTGAGAGTCGATACACTTGTGTCGAGATGCGCATAGATTTATAGACGAGAAGAGATTGAATGTCGTAGATGATCGCAGAATCATGCATCAACGCTTTACTGAGAAAGGGGTGAAAGCAACCTAGTAAGACATGTCAGCAATTATGTACTCATGCTTCATGAGAAAGTACCTGAGCAGTTCTGGCCGCGGGTTGGAGCGCGTGTATCCGAGGTAGATGATCCTGTGTGTATTAGTCAAAGTGCCTTCTGCGCCAGGGCTCGTACATAGGGATGTAGGTGTAGTGCAAAGTGACCCTGGAGAACTCGATGAGGGTAGCAAGACGCTCCCTTGTCTCGTCTGAGAGTCTGAACCAGCTGGCCATTGGATGTCGATGTTGCGTCGAGAGGATGAAGGGCGAAAATGTTGAAGAGGACGACGACCAACCAGGTACGACTACTGTACTACTACTCACAGGTAGACACCCATAGTTGGAGCAGGGGATCATGGCGCAGCCCTTCGCCATCGCATCGCTCTCTCCCAACAGACCAGCTCTGACTAGCACCGCATCCACATCGTCGCCCAATGCACGCCCAGACATTTACGCGCGCAACCTACAACGCACGGCAAAGCAAGAAACATCCCTCTCTGCCCTCGCTTTTCTCTTCTCTGCTCTTGTTCAACAGCTCCATAAGACATGCACAGGTGTGCCTGAACTAGAACGGAAACTCGCAGACCACGGGTACCGCGTCGGTGTGCGCGCCCTCGATCTTTCTTGCTGTCGTGACCCAGCGCGTTCAAGGAAGCGCGAACATAGACTACTTGGCATGCTACAGTGGGTCTCAGGGACTCTCTGGAGATCACTCTTCAATAAGCCAGCGGATGCGCTTGAACAGGCCCGCGATGCGAGTGACGAGTACATGATTTATGACAATGCACCACTTGTTTGTTCCTTCATCAGTACACCCAAGGAGTTGGGTGCTCTCTCTTGTGCAGCTTTTATTGCTGGCATCCTGGAGGGCTGTCTCGATGCTGCTGGTTTCCCTTGCAGCGTGACAGCTCATGCAGCAGCAACGCCAGAGTTGCCATTGAAGAGCGTCTTCCTCATCAAACTCGATGCTTCCGTCATGCAGCGGGAGGCCTTCTTGAGCTAAAAATCATGATGAAGCATGCAATGAGGACAACTTGTGGTCTACATCTAGCTACAACAAAATTCAAGCAGCTTTTTCTGCTGGTGCACCTTCAGAAAAGACATCCACATACCGACCCTTGGCGCGCGGCTTGCGTCTGTTTGGCATCGTTGCACTCCCACGCAAAGGCATATCGTCTTCCTCCCCAACAGCTGTTGACGGCGGTGTCCCACCCCCGGGAGGACCAGCACCCGCTCGTCGCGGTCGCGGTTTACTACTCGCTCCAAGAATCGCAGCGAGATCTGCATCAGCGTTGCCAGATACGATGGGTATAGCAGCAGCCGCTGCTGCTGGTGGCCTCATAGGTGGCGTTCCTGCTGCAGAGACAGGCGCTTGACTCGATGGTGCAGACATGCTTTGCGAAGGGGTTGCTTGTGCACGAGGTGGCATGCCCCCAGGTCCAGCAGCTGCCTTGGGTTTCATAGACGGTGGAGGAGGGCCAGCAAGCGTCTTCTCCTCTGGCATGGATCCTTTCGGGTTCGTCCACTTCTTTGTAACAGGATCGTACACCAATGACATGCCTTCACCCAGCTTAGCCTTGTGCACCTTTGGCGCTTCGCCAGGTTTACTCGCTTGCTCAACGGGGGCTTTTTCCTTCTTGCTGAACCAACCACCAAGCCAAGTAGATTTCGGACTGGCAGTTGCAGCTTTATCCGCTTCACTTTGTTTCGTCTTGTCGGACTTTTCAGCTTCCTTGCTGGCGTCTCCACTCGGCGTCGCAGGCTGCTCAGTCTCTGTTTTAGCTTCCGAAATGGGAGGGGCAGGCTGGTATCTGCTCTCAACTGCATCACGAGCTTCACTAGCCTGATCAAGCTGCTGCGGTGCGTATCGCTGTTGTGGTTGTGCAGGCGTATACCGTTGCTGTTGACCAACACCATCCTCACTCTCGCGACGACTTGGCACATAACCACCATAGGAAGACTGTTGACCTGGCCGTTGCTGTCCTTGCTCTTGATTGTAAGGTTCCCTCTCCGAATACGATCCCTGGCGAACAATGCCCAAGCCTTGCGGTTCCGTTGTGGCATAATTACCAACAGCCGGCGAGAATGGTCTGGATTGCTGTTGTTGCTGAGCTGGTGCGTATGCATTGTTACCATACCCACTTGTCTCACGTCTCAGTGATGTTCCGCCTTGCGTTGGAGCATATGGACTTGGCACATGAGCCGCTTGCATACCATACCCAGCAGGCACTTTTTCCACATACGGACCCGATGCGAATGGCTGCGGTTGCATCTCGTGTACAGGTGAGGCAGCGGCACTGCCTCCATATGTCAAATCAGCAGCACTTCCAATACGACTGATTGTTGGTGTCGGCAGTACGTGTGCAAAGGGACCTTTGCCAAGGACACCTCCTCCTGTGGCCACGTCTGAAGAGCCATCTACATTCGGTGATCCATCGCCAGCGATAAATTTATTGAATTTGCCCTCAAGAGACCCCCAGATGGAATCCATCTTGCCTTTCGATACACGACCCGTAAGCCATGCACCCGCCTCGTCGCTCGACAGTGCATCAAGTTGCATGGTGAGCTGCTTCAATTGCTCAATAAATGCCGGCTGGATGTGAACGGTATCCTTTTGGCCTTGTCGTGGTAGCTGCTTCAACGTGGCTGTCAGTGCATCACAGTATCGATGCGCTTGTGCGTATGTGCCACAGTCAGCCAGAAGCTGGACATGCTGAAGCTTGTGCGACATGAGTGGCACGTATCCCGCAAACTTGGGCTGTACAAGCACCGTAAGCAGCTCGATCGTCTGGGCGCACATAAAGGCAGCATTGTACTCCCGCGAACCAGACCTGCCAGAAAGGACGTCCAGATTCTTGAACAGGAACGCCGTCCCTTCGTCAAGCAGACTAGAGGCTACTGCGGGCTTGCAAAGAAGGACCTGACAAATGAGTGACGGGAAGATTTGACCTTGAGCCAGTAATGCATTGGCAAAAGCAGGCAATGTCAACAGAGCTTGCTTATCATTGGCAAGGAGCATGGCAAGCGATTTGCGCCAAGATCGTGAGCCATACTGGAAGTCACTCGCGCCAAGTTGTGCCAAGTCCTGAGTATTGCGAACGGCCAGTGATTTGTACAGGAAGCTCAAGCTTTGTGCAGCTTCAGAGCTTTCGGCAAATTCTGCCTGGGTGAATTCTCGGACCACTGAAATCCACGCGTCACCGTCCAAGCGCGAGGCGATCAACAAAGCATGCGACCACAGACGATGCTCACATGCATGTTGTAAAGCAGCAGCCTGCTTGCCACAAATCAACAAGTCAGATAAAGTCTTGAGCGAAACATCTGTCAATGTTTGAGATGACAGCACACGAGCACCCTCAGGGATAACAGGCTGTAGCATGGCAGCTGGAATGCGGAAATTGGCGCTATCGTCAGCATCAGTCGTTCCCTTCATCTCAGGGCATAGTTCTGCAATGAACATCGTTCTAGCAACCGGCCTGATGTTAGCTGTGCGACGGCCAAAAGGGAGTGTCTCACGTCTGAAGGACTTGTCCGTTGTGCTCTAGCATAAGAGCCAACAGTCGATAGAGCAACCTCAAATTGTCATCTTGTGTTGATGCAGCACTACTCGTGAACCACGCCTGAGCCTCACTCTTCTTTTGCTTAGCATTCTGCTTGCCATGTACTAGAGGACCAACAAAGTCACTCAACATCGAGGAAGCAAGTGTCGAATCGGGTGCCATGACCGTCACTGGCCGAGGGATTGCTGACGCATGCGAAAAGGCATTGGGCTGCTCAGTAGAGCATACAACCAACTTGCCTCCAAAGGCAAATCTTGCCTTGGGATGCGGACTATCAAGCGTCCGACTTGCATCAGAAGAGGTCGTCATGGCGTACATGGTAGCACCACGCGAAGGTGCAGCGCTGCTGGCACGCACAGGTCCACCTGGGTGGTAGAGGCTACTCTTCGCAGGACGCGGACTGAAGGAGGGCTCTGTAGCAGCCGCTCGACCAGAACTAGAAGCACGCGAATTGGGTCGACTCATCTCTAGTGCAGCTTTGGCGGGTCGCACTGCATCGAGCGAACGTCGACCGAACGGGCCTTTCGATTGGTCCGGTGAAGTACGTGCAGAGGGGATGTACTGCTCGCGCGAAGGTGGTCCATTGTGGTCAGAGACTAGCTGTACGGGACCTTGAGCCTCGACTCTCTGTGATGAAGGACCATAGGAGTCCTGCTGCTGAGGAGCATAAGGATGCTGTTGAACTTGCTGCGAAACATCAGCGTGCGATGCAGGAGCATAATTTGAGCGCTGTTGTTGCGGCGGCGGCGGTGGACGGATCTGCTCGGGCTGCTCCTCAGCCGCAGACGAATGCTGAGAAGCTTGCTGTGAAGCGTACTGCTGTTGCGGTGGCGGCGGGGCATACTGTCTCTGCTGCTGTGAACCAAATTGTAGCTGCTGCTGAGGCGGCGTATAACCCGATGGTGGCCTGCCTTGTTGTAGCTGCGACGCTGTAATCTCCTCCTCCACAACCGAGAACTGGTCCAAATACATAGTTCGCTCTGCACCTTGCTGACTTTGCAGATATTGGCCCATAGCATGTTCTCTGTCATCACTTGTACTTGCTGACGCACTCGACAAGCGACGTTGACGATCCTGGTCGAAGGAAGAGCGATGCATCGAATGACGTGCATTACCTGGGTTTCGCATTGCAGGTGGCGAGTAGGCTCGACGGTCTTGCTGATACTGATTCATGGCAGGATTGCTGTCCATTGAGTCTCCACGTTCATGCATGGCAGGCGGACGCGAAAGCGATGGCGGCCGTGCTGCATACGCGTTTGACGGCATTGTCTGCTGCGGTGCTGTCGGAGCATGATAACGAGCAGGAGGTGCCGTAGCTTGACCATGTTGTGTCGGAGGTCCCTGCCGTAAGACTTGAGGTTGCACGGCAAGAGCCTGCGCAGGCTGGTACGGCGACGGTTTATACTGCTGCTGCTGCTGCTGCTGCTGCTGCTGTGGTGGTAGTTGCCCCTGTATTAAATGCTGCTGACCAGCACGATTCAATTGAGATACCTGCGGCATCGAAACGTACCGATTGCCAGCCGGTGGACGAACAATGGGCGGAGCACTGGGCGGTGCCGAAGGCGCAGCTTGCTGCCGTAACGATGACATACCAGGAGCTGCACGCGGCTGTTGTGGAGCATATTGATTGTTGCGCAAGTCGGGCACGCTTTGAGCATTTTTGAGAGCATGCGTAGGAGGTCGCATTCGTTTGGGCGCAACAAAGGACTCTGGTAGTGCATATGGGTCTGTGTAGGTTGACTTGGCATTGACAAAGGATGGTGTAGACGGCTTCGAAGGCCGTACTGGAGAGAAGCGTGCAGGCATGATTGGCTGGTTCTGCTGAGCTGGCGCGTAAGCGTTGGTCCGGCCAGCGGCCGATGCATTGGCTGGTGTAAAGACATGCGGTGATTGTTGCGGAGCTGCCTGGTAAGCTGCTACAGCCTCACCCGTTGGACGGTATGGATTGACGTAGGGCGCTTTGGGTGAGGGTGGCTTTGGACTTGCCACGGCACTTGGAGTCTGAAAACTGGCCTCCAGTTCAGCAAACTCGTCACCAAGCTCTGCGTCGATGTCAAATTCTCCAAGCTCAGCGTCCAGATCGAATTCCTCTTCTTCTGCGGGCATGGTTGACTCTGGTGCTTGAGTAGAGGCTTGATCTTTGTCGCTGGAGGTGACTGCTACTGTCTGAGAGGCAAGAGCAATGCCGGCGAACGGGTCCTCTTCCTTCAAAGTCTCTGGCTCGGATTGTACCTCGACTTCTGCGGTGGTCGCCATTGATCCAAGGCCATTGAAGAAGTCTCCAGCGTCAGACTGAGCCACCTCCTCTCCATCTAGCTCGAGTGCGTTCTGCGATGGAGGCAATACCAGAGACTGCATTGGTTCAGACCCAAGTGGCTTGACTGCATCAAAGAAACTGGTCTGCTCCTGCTCCTGCTCTTGCTCTGCCCCCTGAGAATTTTTCGATGTAGTTGGGCTCAATGGTGCTTTCTGAACGAAGTTTATAGGGACAGTACTCTCAGAGAGTGCTTCCGGAAAAGCACTTGCCTCTGGAGCTAATGCTGGCGAAGCTACCTTGTCAAAGAAGGTTGCTTCGTCCTCGATCTTTGTCACATTCTCGTCATTCTTGTTCACTTCCGTCTCTCCGGTGACCAAAGCGTCAAATAAAGCACTTTCTTCATCCTGTTGGATAATTGCCTGTGTGTCGAATAGGGCGGGCCCGTGTGGATCCGGCTTGTTAATATTGGCCGTTGTCACGTCTGCCGTTACAGGTTCTGACAAGGCCTGAGATGATTGTACGACCGCAGATCTTGTTGATATATGCATGACGCTGTCTTTTCGAGATTTGTCTACTCCTTGGCTCTCCTCTTCCAGCATCAACGGTAGCATAGCAGCATTGAAGCCCGACATATTCGGCCGTGTAGCTCGAGGTGACTATTAATCCGAGGCCTGCCACTCACCACGAAGTCTGCAGACAAGCACTGATTCCAGCAATGCCAGATCACCTTCTCAGAACAGAGGCTGGGTCCACTAGGCCGTTGAGCGTTGGAGCTGTCAATTGTGCTGCCGTCGTCGCGCGTCGCCTGCGTGTCCTGTGGCGCATTTCTCTGCCTGCGCCATTCTCCGCAGAAGTTCGAACTTCGAATCAGTTCAGTTGCAAGTGGAGGTCGATTGGTTCGATTCTGGCTGACCCTGGCACTCTGCACTCTGCTTCAAGCTCGCATTAGCCCGAACACTCTCTTGTCCCTATTGTGAGTATCTTGCTAGATCACAGCTATACTCTAATCGTCTGCTATACTTCGCTTCCTAATATGACAGCCGTGAATCGCGTAGAAGAAGCCCAGATGAATGGCAACCTCATTGATCTCATCTCTGCTGCTGTCGGCGGCGAAACACTAGCTTGCTCAGACGAGTTCTTTGCAGAGGCAAGCAATCTCATCAACCCAAAACCCCCAGTCTTCAAACCAGACCTGTACGTGCCAAGTGGCAAGTGGTTTGATGGCTGGGAGACAAAGCGGCACAATCAGCAGCCCACAGACTGGGTCATCATCAAGCTGGGCGTGACTGGCTACATCGAGGCCTGCGAGATAGACACAGCCTTCTTCAACGGTAATGAAGCACCTGCTATCTCTGTAGATGGCTGTATCCTCAAGGAGGGACAGGATGTGGACAAAGCAAAGTGGTCTGAAGTCATCGCCAAGACCCCTTGTGGGCCTTCCCAGCGCCACTTCTTCCAGCTAGCCAAGCCAGCTTCTGAGCTCTTCACACATGTTCGTCTACATCAACACCCAGATGGTGGTGTAGCACGCTTCAGACTTTATGGTAAAGTCAAGCCTACATTCCCAGATGACAAGTCTGTCGTTCTCGACATGGCGTCGGTCCGCAATGGCGGTATTGCTCTTCACTGCTCCGACCAGCACTTTGGCCGCATTCAAAACTTGATCCTGCCAGGCACAGGTCAAGACATGAGTGACGGATGGGAGACATCTCGATCTCGTGCACCAGGCCATTATGACTGGGCCATCCTCAAGCTCGGCGGTGCTACTGAGCTAGAACGTATCGTGGTGGACACGATCCATTTCAGGGGCAATTATCCACAAAGTGTCGAGGTATCTGCAACAGCCTCAGAGAGTGATGCTGCAGATGCGCTGGAGTCTGCCAAGTGGGCACGCATTGTTGAACGAAGCCCGACCAAAGCTGATATTGAGCACGAATACCAAGTCTCGGGAGCAGGGCCCGCTACGCACATCAAGGTCTGCATGCACCCTGACGGTGGCATCAAGCGAGTCAGGGCTTTCGGAAGACGTATTTAGAATAAATTCGCAAGGTCATAGCAGATATGGATCAACTAGACCATGTCCGTCTACTCTTGTACTCCTGTACATGTCCTTGACCTTGAGCCACCGAGGCGCGTTTCGTCATTTGCGAGTGTCAAACTTTGGCGACGACGCGACACAGCGACCAACAAACACAAAACACGCACTAGTCTCGTGGAGTCTCCAGCAGACATGGCGAGTGTCCAGCTGCTTGCAGATGAGATTGTCAAAGCATCAAAGCTGCCTGCTGAAAAACAGACCTTGGCATTTTGGCAATTACTCGCAAGCCACCATCGGCACCTTGCTGTCCTTGACCCGGCAGTTCTAGGTGCCCAGGCCTCTGTCGTCTTGGACGATCTCATCGCAGCTACATCTCACACAGTCTTTCAGCGGGCACATCGGACTTTGCTGGCACGGTGTTTTATTGCAGTCTTGTCAAAGTATGACAAGAGTCCATTTGAAGTGACCAACAAGCTTCTTACAATTTTGAGCAAAGAACGCGATGACCGGATACGCATTACCTTGCTGTGTATTCTTGAAGCAATCTTCAGCAGCATGGGTCATGATATTGTGTCACTCCAGGCAGAAGGCATTGTCGTCTTGATCAAAATCATCAAGCCGTCTTCTGCACCAATCAATCTACGAGTCGCAGCGCTCAAAACGCTCGAAGCTGTCATCAACATGGGGAAACTGACTGAGAATCTGGAGAGGGACTTGCTCAAGCTGATTCGCCCACTGATTACGGATCGTGCCACAGTCGTTGGCGTCGCTTCGCGTTATGTATGTCCTGATGCTTCTTGTGTAATTTCTAACGAACAGGTCTTGAATGCGATCATCCTGTACTCAACAGTCACCACTGAAGAAGTTTTTCGAACAACGCTATTGAAAAGTATCCTGTCGTTGCTTCCTCAGCAAGCACGTACCGCGACGTCTGTGTGTTTGGCATCCTTGCTAGTCAAAAAGTTTAATGCTCCAATGCCAGACGACAGCGTCAGCTCAATGGTCCAAGCAGGAGTGGCATCGCTATCCAACACGTATGCTCGGTCTCAGGGTCGGACGACATCCAGCGTGATTGTTGGTGTGTACCTCGATTTATTCAAACGCATGGGCCGAACCTGGATCAATGTGCATTACAAGGTCATCATGCATTCTGTTCTCAATGATCTACTGCTTGGTTTAGCCATGGAGGAGAAGCACAAAATCTTGACAGCGAGGAAGCATGTGCGAATATTGCTCAAAGCCTTGCGAAAATCACTCGATCAAGAACATCAGCTTGAAGCCATCAACAGTATAGTCGAGCTTCTCCGGGCTGCACCTTCGAAACATGTCATTGTGCCCGCACTAGCAGAAATGGCGGCTCTCATTGGATCTCTCGGTTCTCTAACACCACCAGACTTGGAACTGGATCCAGTATATTTCCTTGCGACGCATTCTGTTCACTCTGTTCAAGTTGCGACGGCTGCTCTATTGAGGGATGTCGCGCTCAATGTACCAACATTGTTGCCGACTATGCTCACCATGTTCACCACGCGCCTTCAGGACGAGCTCAAACTCGTCGCGGATCCAGCGAATCCGGCCCAGAATAGAGATACGGTGGGCTATGCACTCACAGTCTCGGCAATCTTACGAGCAGGTGTTGAACGACCGCTCTACGTGGAAATCGACAAATTTGCCAGTACCTTGTTCCAGCTTGCGACCGACACACTCAAAAACTCTGCCAGGTCAAACTTGCAGACAAGTGCCATCCAAGTGCAAGTCGCCTGGGCTCTCATTGGCGCACTGCAGACACTTGGTCCAAACTTCGTGCGCAGTCATCTCGCTCAGCTCTTGCTTCTGTGGCGCAATGCTTTACCGCGTCCAGTGGCTAAAGAAGCTCGCAAAGTCTCTGAACATCCTTTCTTGCTGCATGTGCGGGACTGCACCCTCGGCAGCATTTACGCTTTTCTCTGCAATTGCCGAGTCTTGTGTACTGCCGACGTGTTGAAGCGCTTGTCATCGATGGTCAGTGCTTCCCTAGCATACCTGCGCATCGTCGAAGAGCAAGTTTCGGCAGCCGATATGCAGAGCGAGCAGATCTTTAGCATGTCCATTGCTGATCTTCATCATCTGGTCAAGAGACGCGTTTGGATGTGTGCCGGCAAGTTGCTGACAATGGGAGCCCCGCTTGCAGACGAAGACCTCGTTCCAACAGCTTTGCGAACGTTTGCCAATCCAGCTGAGGGCGACGCGGCACATGTATTGGGGTATGTTAGCATTTGGAGCTCCGCTGATAATTATGCCTATGGTCTTGCGCCTGGCGAATTGCAAAGTCACTTTGACGCTATTGATAAGCTCTTCGATACACCCATATGTTCAGGCATTGAGCATGACTATCTTCACCTCTACGTTGAAGGTGAAGCAGACGAATCTATGCCAGCTAGCACTGCGTCTGCCAACCTAGCCATCGGGCTTTTTGGTAAGACATTTCACAAACAGGCACCTGCTGTACAAGAGTCTTTACTAGCTCGCATGGGCAGTTTCATCAATGCTCAACAAAACAGCCGCAATCCAGGTCGTCGTATGGCAGTCTTATTTAATTGTGTCTCTGCACTCAAGGCAGCCCTCGAACCAGAAGAGGCTAGTTTCATTCAGCCTCGTGTGCTCCAGGCAATGAATGATATTCTCATCGAAAGTCTGTCATCTTCCGACAGTACCTTACGGAATACGGCTGCTGCTGCGATGGGTCGCCTTGCAAGCTTTGGAGGCCAGGCCAATGCCACGCTCAAGGTCAATGAAGTCATTGATCGAATTGTCAATGATCGTGAGTCGACAGTCCGAGCTGGTTGTGTAACGGCTCTCGGTCAAATATACCGCAGACTCGGTGGCATTGCGGCGGTGTACCACCTTCGAGCTGTGCTCAATGTTTTACTGAGTCTTGCTGCCGATCCTCATCCGGTGGTGCATTTCTATACCCTCGAGGCGCTTGTTGTTGTTGTTGAGGCGTCTGGCTTGAATTACTCGGCGCACGTCAATGATACGCTGACTTTGCTCCTCCAGCTATACGTAACTGATGTGCTTGACCCCGACACCGGTACGCTAGCATCCAGCAATATGGCAATCGACTTTGACTGCCTTCACTTGGTGGCCCAAAACGCCGACAGTCTCATCAATATCATTGGACCAGACTTGGAAGACGATAATTCTGCGCGTGACCAGCTACTGACTCTGGTCAATGAATTGGTTGTCACAACGTCGAATAGACTTATTGCCGACGGTCTTATTTGCACGCAGCACCTGGCATTGTACGCAGCAAAGAAGCTCGACTTGACCACTTACATCGTCAGTCTGCACTACCACTTGCGAAATGCCGACCCTTTGATTCAGGAGGCAACAGCTGACGGTCTGTATGAACTAATGAAAGTGAATGCAAATGCTGTCGTGCGGCATTCGAGCGTCACCTCGCGCTTCGATACGGCTCTCTGGCTCTTGCTAGACAGCAGACCAGATTGGAACACGATCAAGGACATTATTCGTGCTTGGCTTGATCAAACTCGTCGAGAGCATCAATATTGGATTGAGCTATTTCAGCAAATTCTGGTCAGACAGCGGCTTTCCGAAGTTACAAAGGATGGCGTGCGAAAACCTACATTGGTCGAAGCTTCAGTTGAAGATGAGGGTTCATCCTTCGGAAATGCTGACGGTGGCGATGGCACAAAAGCGGAATCATTATGCTGGCAGACCCGCCTCTTTGCGCTTCAATGCCTTCATTCGTTGGTTCTAGCAGTGCCATCAGCTACGCTCGGAACGCGGGTTGCAGATCTCGTGCGGATGGCATTCAGTGCATCGACCTCAAAAGTGCGCGAGCTGCAGCTGGAAGGATTGCGCTTCTTGCGGAGCATCATCGTCCACTTCAAAGACTTGCGGGACCCTGACTTCCCCGAAGTTGCACTCTTGGAGCAATATCAAGCACAGCTCGGTTCTGCACTGACGCCTGCATTTGCGCCAGAATGTCATCCTGAAGTAGCCGCCCTTGGTGTGCATGTCTGCGCTGAATTCACGGCAAGTGGTATCGTCGAGGAAGTCTCGCGCATGGGCAGAATATTGAAGTTGTTGACGGCGGCACTTGATCAATTTCGATTGCAAGATGATGGGCCGCGTCCTGCACAGGCAGAAAATGCTCGAGCTATGCTCAAAATTGCAGTCTTGTCTGCTTGGGCTGAACTTCAAATCTCAAGCAGACGGCAAGATTATTTGGTTCATGTCGTGGCACCGTATGTTTCGGAGTTGACGCCCATGTGGCTTGAGGCCTTGAAGCAATATGCAAGCATCAAATTTGAGCCAACAACCTCCGGCAATTCGATGGAAGTTCAGTACAATGCGCTCAGTCGCGTTGTCATGGTCGGCTTCTACGACACAGCCTGGCTCAAATTCGTCCATGCGATAGCAACACTAATTGAGCAAGACAAGGACGTCGTCTTCGATGCTCTCGAGGGGCATGGCCATCGCTCGCAAGCGGAAGATATAAATTATCGGGATGAGCCAGCTGCGTTCTTCATGGTTCTCTTTGGCATCTGCTTTGAAGCACTGACTAAAGCCTCCTTGGAAAGCGATACCGCCAACAATGCGGAAGTGCTAGCCGCTATGAAGCACTTTATGAAGCCGTCAATATGTGGCTCAGTTGTCTATACTGAGCCTATCTTCACGGAAATTGGTGACCTGCTTGGGCGGTTGCTATTAACCGAGAAGCCGGCATCACAAATCATTATTGTCGATATCGCTACGAGTCTGGCGCAGCATCACCCGCTCGCAACCAATGATGAAGGAGAAACGAGTCATGAGAAGCTTCAAGAGTTCGTGGATCAGCTGTTCGATTTGGCTCGGTTGACACTCTTGCCGCTCACCATTGCCTTTTCCTGGGATCGATCCGATGCAGTAGCAAAGACTGTGCACGTCGGCCCAGATCTGCCACCTCTGGCGCGCGTCTGTCTCACCAATTTTGTCAGAATGGCGGAACAATTCCCAAGCATGATCCGGCTGGACCTTTACAATTCTCTGCTTCATGTGTTTGCCAATCTGTTTACAAGTGCTGCGACACATCATGCACTTATTTCTGCCACTTTGCCAGCATTCAAGCATTTAGTGGACAATATAGCTGCATTCTTGCACAAGGACGAGAGTGAAGCCGGGATGTTGTTGGGTCCGATTCGGTATCTTATTGAGAGCTTGCAAGCGATTGGGCCTACGGGAGCAGAAGCCATCGAGAACAAGATTTTGGCCATCACAATCCTCTTTACTGCACTTGGAGGCTATCTCAGCAGCAACGATGCTCTTTTCCAAGATGTCAGTGGCTTGCTATTGGATAGCCTTGGATCAAAGCAGTCGGCTTCCGCATCACGAGCTATTCGCTCCCTATTGACGGCAAAGGATCGACTGCCTCAACTTTGCAAATACATTCTGAGTGGACTGGCCAAGCTGTGCCTCAAGAGGGAGAGCCATACGCAATTTATGGCCTTGCAGCTTCTTGCTGACTTTGCTGACATGGCTACGGGTGCTGCGCTCTCGTCAATGCTCAGCTTGATACTACCCCTTGCTATTGTATACCAGCGGTCGAAATCAAAGGATGCCAATGAGAAACAGATTTTGCGAGGCAGGGTATTGAGCCTTGTACAACGTGATGCTGCTTCATCGAGGCAGCTCATCTCAAGCTTGCAACCAAATGACAAGGCTGCACTTGAGACTTTCCTGAAAGATGAAGGAGATGGTGTGGTTCAATCCAACGGCGGAGGTATCAAGGCACCTCAGATAGATTTGAGCAAGGGCCTTGCTGACTACGAGGCATAGAGCTTGGCGTAATGTAGTTCAATGAATTTCATGGCATGGACGACCGTGGCGGCATGATCCATCTGATCAGAGAGGCCGCCTTCCAAGGTTCCGAGGGTCGCGTACCGAACCAACATACCCTTTGCTCAAGCTATAAGCTAGAATCATGAGCGCTGCTAAGAAGAACTGGTATGATTCCTTTCCGACACCAAAATCTATTCCGGCTCAAGTGTCTCCCGAAGTTCTCCGAGAAATGATGCTCGAGTCTGCTCAAGACGAAGATACTGCCTTTGTCGTGGTCGATGTACGTCGGACAGATTTCACCGAGAGTGCTATTCCAGGCGCCGTCAACATTCCTGCTCAATCATTCTTTCTCTCTCTGGCAACATTGGCCAAGATCTTCGGCGACCGTACAGTGATATTCCATTGTCAGTCAAGCTTAGGCCGTGGCACACGATGTGCAGCATGGTACGACGATTACCTCGAGGAGCACAAGCTGGAAGGACAATCTGCCATTTTGACTGGCGGCATCAAAGCGTGGCGCGAAAAGTTCCCAGACTGCCTCATGAAGATTCCCGAGGAAGCATAATAAAGTAGAATATGCCATCGCTGCTTGATATTATGAACATCTACTTCTTGAGCTCCCGATTGTGTACATGGCGCATATGCCGCACGAGCGCGTCATTGCGAGAAAAGACCTTTTCAACAGCAGCAGACTTGCAAATTTCACAGCGAAACTCTTTCCGCTTCTTTCCGTGTATTGTGTCTTGATGCCGGACAAGATCGTATGGACGTGAAAAGACTGTGCCGCACCGTTGTCCAGTGGAGGGAATGATCCAATCACACCGATGCGGGCCATTCTTGCTGAATTGCGCTGAACTTGAACCAGAACGCTCATCGTCTGCATCTGGTGGCGGCACGAAATCGTCGCCGTCATCGACATCACCAGCGACACCAGTCGGGGAGCGTGAAGCCGATGCTGTCGCCTTGTTGTGAACGCGTTTGTGCGCAGTCAGCGACGTTTGCTTCTCAAAATTGCGACCGCATTCATCGCATGCAAACATGGTAGATGCTGGCGTGTGCTGCGGTAATTGCTGTTGTTGAAGAAGCTGCTGATGTTGTTGAAGGGCATATTGCTGAGACGCGCTTGGCTCGCTTTCGCTATCGCCGTAGCCGCTTGACATAGAAGACATGTTGGATATAGAAGAGTCTTCCTTGTTGAGCGTTCGGAATCTGGCATTGGCATCCTTGTTTTGTAGAGCTTGCACGGCAGAAGGCCCATGATAGGCAGCATCATAGTGGTCAGCTTGCTTTGCGGGCTGGTACGAGCGCACATCCATTGGACCACCATACTGAGAGTAAGCTCCGTATTGATTCTGCACGGGCCGGGGCGCCTGATGCCCATTCTGGCGAACTGGTATGATGCTTGATGGTTCAGAATGCCCAGCGGAGGGAGTCGTGCTGCTGGAAGCAGCTCTGGGATCTTGAGTCGAAGCTCGAGGAGGAGCAAAGATTGAATCACTCTTCGCAGAGCTCTCGCGCGATGCTGTTGGTAAAGAGGTTTCGTTCGAGGAACCATGCTTCATAGATGGCGCCGGCATACTTGGCATTTCAAGAAATGCTTCAACAGGAGAGACCGTTGGTACATTATTCGGCACTGCATTGAGCTTCTTCATGCGATCAGCAACCACGGGAGCCCTGCCGCCTTGTCCACCGCGCGGAGTCTTGCCCTCGAAGCGCACTGAGCTCTCCATGCCCATAAAGTAGTTATTACTGCGGAAGTCAACATTTGGCGAAACAACTGGCGAATCTGAGGTGTCTGGCTTTCTTCCGTCATTATCAAAGAGCTGCGGATACTGTGTTTGTATGCGAGCGCTCTTTGTGTGCGCGCTTGTTGACGGTGCGTCCTTCACTGTCGCTTCACTCGAAGAGGGTGGCATCTCCACGCCATTGTAGAGCTCATCCTCAACGACATCGCTATAGGTTCTATCGAGCTTGAAGAACTTGTGCGGTCGCGATCCTCCTGCATCATAAGAGCGTTGAGACACCAGCTCCGGTCCGCGCTTGCCAGCGGTCACCCTGGACTCGCCGGTAGCCACGGACCGGGAGCTCGTGCCCTCTTGATGGTCTCCGCTCGCGAAAGGCACGCTTGGAGAGTATATGGAACAGCTGTCCCTAAGAGCTACGAGGGCCTGGTCGCTCCGCTCTAGTGTGCGCTGCGATGTCGTCGAGGGAGGGCGCACGTGTTCAGTGGAAAGTAGCAAGTCACATCAAGAGGAATCAGTAGGGGAAGGAAGCAGGGCCCTGCAAAAGACATGCTAGACGCTATGAATATAGGGATACGATGCGGTATAGGCACCGAGGAGAAATTGCAGATGAGGTTGGCTGAAGAAGAAGAAAGAGAAGTGAATGCCAAGAGTGAATCTGCCAAAAGTCCCAAGAAGTTGAATAGCTGCGAAGAAGAGGGGAGAAAAGAAGTCGAGTCGTAGCCCGTAAGAAGGTGCCAGTAATTCACAGAGATCGTGCGCATGAAGGCGTTTTCGTTAGATTTCATCGGCAATGTCAAGAGTGAGCCAGCCGCCATTCTCCCAAACTTGGTCCTGGTTGCCGTACAAGTCGCACTGGCGTATCTTGGCATCGTTGAGGCCAGCAAACAATTGTCGAAGGCGACTGATGCTCACTGGCTTGAGAATCCATCCACACAAGCCAGCTTCAAGCGCCTCGGGCACTTGCTTCTCAATCAGACTCGCACTGACAGCCACAATAGGAATGCGCACTTGACGATCTGCGTAGCAAGTCTCCTCGAATTCGCGAATCTTCTTTGTGGCGTCCATGCCGGACAACACTGGCATCTGCATGTCCATGAGAATCACATCAAACTTTTGAGGGTCTTTTGAATACACCTCGTAGCATTCGAGACCGTGTATCGTCAGCTCCACAGTGTGGTTGTCCAGCTCAAGTCGCTTCTTGAGAATAGTCCGATTGATGGCGTCGTCTTCTGCAACAAGCACATGCAAGGCTTTGTGCGATGGTAGACCCGAATGCGTCCCGTTCTGACCGCCGCTATTGGAGCTGTTGAGCTTTTTTGTCGGATCAGTCGTTGACTTGACTGGGCTCTTGGCATACCGCTGCGGCACACGCACATCTGTCGAGTCCATCTTGACTGCTCGCAAGTGCTGCTTCGACATGTCGTAGTTTGAGATGATGTGTGGTTCAATCGGTGCCCTGCCGGTACTGCTGCCAGTGTCCTCTGACAACGTTTCAAGCCCATGATCCCGGTCGTGGAAACTGCGAGTGCTAGATGCCTCTGGAACAGACCCACCACCCCCAGATGTACTGATTGGTGGTCGAGTATTCCGCTGAGAGAGTTCACGACCTGCTTGTCGAGTGCGATACCGTGAAGCGGAATTTTGGGCAGAACCACGAGCGCTCGAGCGACCCGATCCACTGCCAGAAGCCAAAGGGCTACGAACGCCGCCCGAGCCAGAATCTGAGCTGCGCTGTGGTCCAGCACTGCCAGAAAGCTTACCAGCGCTTGAACGTTGGCGCGTAGGGATGGAGTCATTCGACATCTCTGCAGATCCGCTGGGTGATTGCATCATGGCGCCCATGAATTGTTCGATTTCCGACTCATTGTTCGAGATGGACCGTTGCTGCTCATCCAAGGCCTGCTTAACGGCGCCAAGAGAGCCGGATGACGATGTTGCAGGATGCAGCCGCACTCGACGACGATTTTCTTGGTGAATAGCATTGGAAGGCCACGCACGGCCGCCTTGTTCATCCACCTCAATGACACCATCGCTCAAAGCACTCGAACCAGATCCAGTTGAACGACCATGCATGGAAGACCCATACGTGGCAGACTTGGTCGACGGCGGTAGATTATCAGCGCTATCATTTGTGGTTGTTTTCCGTTGCGAGATATCGGCACTTTGTGAGGAATTGTTGGCGCCGTGCTGCTTGCGAGTACTGACTGACTGATCTGGCGATAAGCCCCTGTGCGTAGACAAATGCGGCCGAGCGATTTGGAAGTTGAAGACAAAAGTGAACTTGCTGCCCCTGCCAACTTTACTCTCTGCACGAAGTTGGCCATTCATGTTGCGGACGATGCGCGCCACAATCGCGAGGCCAAGGCCGGTACCCCGTTCACTGTCCTTGGTGGGCAATTGCTGGTCTGCCATACTGTCAATCAGCTCGAAGCTTTGGAAGATTGTGTCCAGCTTCTGTTCAGAGAGACCACAACCCGTGTCCGTGACAATGATGGCCACTTCGGCAGTTTGACTATCCATCTTGAGCACTTTGGTCTCAACAGACACTTCTCCGTGCTCTGTGTGCTTGAGCGCATTCGCAGTGACATTGCCGACAACTTGCCGGATCTTGGCTTGATCGCCCATCACACGACGCGGCAGAGTGGGATCTTCCTTGACGGAGAGTTCGACATTGCCACGGTCTGCAACACTGCGATACATGCTCATTGCTTCACGAATCGCGCTGCCAAGGTCGAACGCTTCATTGCGGAAAAGTTCCTTGCCGGCTTCTGAACGCGTTAAATCCAAAAGATCGTTGATGACATAGACAAGACTCTTGGAGGCCGTGTGAGACTTTGTCAGTGACTCACGCACCTCTGGCTCCAGATTGCCCTCCAACGCAATTTCCAGGTAGTTGATGATGGCATTGAGTGGCGTGCGCACTTCGTGACCTGCATTCGACAAGAGCAGACTCGCCAATCGTGAAGTCTGAAGTGCTTGCTTGCGTTCCCGCCAAATCTCAATGAATTTACCATACACCAAGCACAAGACTGCGGCTGTTTCAATCTGGTCTTCCGTCCAATCGTTGCATCGACCCAAAACACTCTCACTCCATACCTTGAAGGATTGTCGCGGTAATAGAATGGTACCCTGTCCGGAATTCTTTTCAAGCACTTTTTCATAGGGATTACCCGCCCAGTGCACCTTTTTGAGCTGTCCGCGCCGGAAGAATAGGAGAAAGTCATCTCCTGATCGTGACAGGGGTACAAACAAAACACCCGCCACGACTTTGAAACCAGGTTCGTAGCACAAGTCTGGAAAATCACCAGCGAGATCTGAGGACGGCTTGATTGTATTGAAACCTTTTGTTCGGAAATATTCGCGCAGTGCCATGGCCTCCTGGGTATTTTCGATGTGTCCAAGAATCTTGCCTTCATCGCCAATAGACAAGATGCCAACATCTGCATCAAACAAGCCAAGCAAATCTTCAGCACGAGAAACGATATAGCCAGAGGGATTCTTTCCATTTGGTGAGTGAATGATTTTTCGAGCAGTCAAGCGTGCCGCATACGACAGTCGCTCAATATTGTGACTGATTTGCTCACTCATAAGACGACAAAGCTTGCGAATGAGAAAAGAGCACCGCATCGAAGTTTGCCCATAGGTGTGGCATGCAATAAGTCCCCAGAGCTGACCAAAAGCTGTGATGGAAATGGACATGGATGCACGCACACCCATATTCGCAAGATACTTCATGTGAATAGGCGACATGGCACGCAAAAAGCTGTGTGTCATGTCGAGCGGCTTCTCGAGGTCCGCACGCGAGCGACAAAGTAGTCGGGCTGTTGTCAAGTCACGGTCATACAATACACGGACTTTGTTGACTTTGTACAATTGACGCGCTTGTGCTGGGATGTCGGTAGCTGGAAAATGGAGACCTTGGAAGAGATCCTTTGTTTCATTCCAGTCAACAAGCTCTGCAACAACCTGACCATTCCAATGCTCGTCGAATTGGTAAACCATGACGCGATGGAACTTGGTTATTTCCTTGACAAGACCAACGACCACTTTGAGAAAGGATTTGAGATCCTGCGCTTCCGAGAGCTGCTCGTTGATTTGCGAGAGCAGTGAAAAGATCTCCATCGTGCCGGTCTCTTCGCCCTCAATCACAGACCGCCGGATACGACGCAAGGGTTTTGATGCAGACACGGTCGACAGCAGTAGATCTTCCTCTGAAAAGGCATCAAACCCTTCGCCCTCCATACCGGCTTTGTTGTTGAAACCAGGTCGCGTCTCTTGATTGCCGCCGGGGCGTTGTGCAACAAGGGGTAATTTCGTATCTTTAAGCAATTCAAATTCGAGCGTCACCAAGCCGCCATTGACGAGCATCCGGTGTATCGCGCACCAGCACTTGGTTGGCGGTAGTGACATGTCTTCCTGATACATCTGCAAGATGAAGACTTCTGGAGAAACATTCGCTTCGGCATCTTGTGCGGATGTATTGTCGAGTGTGATGTGCGCATCTGATGAGTTGGACTCTTCGAGATAGTCGAGCTGGTCTTCGAGGTTCTCCTTGTCGTCTTGTGGCAAGATGGAGTAAAAATCCTCGAGGCCAAATAGATATTTCGCTGAAAGGCCAAGGACCTCTTTGCAATTCTGTTGGTTAGTGGTGAGCTGGAGAATGAAAGGCATACCTCGCTGACATGATGTACAATCAGCTTTCCATTGTTTTCGCTGAGGGTCATGATGACACCAAATCCCTGTACAGCACCGGGCATGTGTATCGGCTCATCTTCGCATTTTTGAACGCCGCCATTATTGATGTCTTGCTGCAGACCCGTATCCACTAGATGAGTGCCATCTTCGCCAGTTTTGTACTCAAACCGGCGCGTTGTGAAATCAGAAGATTCGGCACCCGTCGTTGATGCTTGGTCGTTCACTGTGACGGTCCCTTGATTATCGCATACTCGATCATGCTCGACATGCGATTTTCTCAATATTGCATCTGCATCTTGCGCATCTTGTGTGTCTTTTTGCTGTTGCTGACGTTCTTGGGTATAGCTCATTGTCCGTTCAGTTGTTTTTGAAGCGCCGCCAGAATCACTCGAGAGCATGTCGCCTTCTTGCTGCGCCGTGTGTGTGCTAGGATCTGGTGAATGCGGCCGCAGTCCAGCCAAGGCAGCAAAAGGATTCTCCCCGGGTGTCGTGCCCGGCGGACTCTCGGACGTCGGACTTTGTATGAGTGTGCGCGCTGGAAAGACACGCTTGGCCGCTGGCAGCGACCTTGTCGATTCGTTGGACATGGTTTGGTCGTGCCGACGATGACAAAAATCCCTTGCTTGTCGCTCTCAAGTGTCACCTACCTTCTTGAGTGACAAGCGGGCATTCACGGATTGATAATGGATACGACACAGGAGAGGGCCTCCTTGTGTTTGCAGCGTAGGACAAGAAAATAGGTGGGTGTTCGCCTGATGTGGCGCGGACTTGTCGAGGGTGTGTCGCTGGTCGAAGTGCGCAATCTTGTTCGCAGGTGAGGATTTCGATAGCAGGCGCTGCTGTATGCTGCTGCCTGGCTTGCCTCTTGACCCTGGGCCTGTCTGTAGGGGGGGAGGGGGTTTGCTTATTACGTGATGGGCGTGCCTGTGCTTGCTTGTCGTTTTCTCTGCTTGTACGCTGAATCTACAGCAGCAGGCAGCAGGCAGCAGGGTGGCACAGACTCAGCTTGACACAAAACTACGCGCCGCCGCCCAACTCCAGAAACCAGAAATCATCTCTTCCTCTTTCTCGCTTCCAACGCTCATCAACAGCAATTGTACGAAGCCTAGATGCACACGGCACACTCACGGCCATCACTGCTACGGACACAAATTGAAGCCTGCTGCCCTCTTCATAGCTACTGTAGTATATCTGCATATCCCCAGTAAGCAGTCACCGGTACACCTCTCTCGTTCGGCATTTGCCAGCCGCGGCAAGACGATCGCGCTTCCCGATCTCAAAGGAAAATTGCTTATGTCAGCCGCTAGATCTACACCCAGCAGGCGCATCCATCCATGTGCCAGCAGATCTACCACACACGCGCAATCTCTTGGAACTTGGAAGTATCTGTGCATAGCATAGTAGAGCAGAGTCAGGTATACGACATGCCTAGAGATGCCACAGCAAGCACGGGCAAGCTACACGATCATCTCGTGGCAGCCAACGACATATTCAATGAACTGCTGCAGCTAGAGGCAGATCACATAGCAGCACTTAAAAGGGTATCCAAGCCGTCTTCTATCCAAGCTCCTGAAGTGCCTATTCTGACCTACTGCTAGATTCACGGACCGCTCCCTGAGCTCTTTGACGTGCTGAGTTCGTATGTGAATTGATTGTGATGCGGTCAACTGACGAGACAGCTACTACGCGGCTGAGGATGCATATGATCATGATGCATCTGGAGAGACCGTGGCTTCTGCCACTGACAAGGTGCAATGATCAATGAAGCTTGACAGCTGCCAGAGTGGCAGATGATTTCCAAATTTGCTGATTCATGGAGCCTATCGAGTATCATCCTAGGTCACACCTTGGAAGTTTGGCACAGCATATACCTGCAATTGAATACTTCATACGCTGCATGAGCCTGCATCACATCCGAAGTACACAAGACGGTCTTAGTCCTTACCTCGCTTATGTAATTTTCGCGATGCATCTCCTTGAATGCACGACAATCAAACCATTTACGACGACCAAATACCAGGAGTGAGCTAGCTATAAGCGTCGGCCCTTGAAGCTTTCTCTGCTTCGTGTATCGCGCTTCAGCTTCATACACATGTCTAGAAAACCTCTTTCTTCCTGAAATCGCCATAATCAGCTAGACATGAGTTGTCCAGCAGTCGCCGAAGAGCTCATCGCCCTCGCCGACTCTTTACCTGCAGATGAAGCGCGTGCACCTGCTTTACTGGCTGTTTCTATCCTCGAGAATCACCTATACACAAGACGCGAACAACCACTGCCTCCCAGTCTTTTATTCTCACTTGAATTGCGCATTGCACAAGTCCTCTTTCGGCATACGGGCGAAGTAGCCACCGTTGAGTCTATGCTAGGGTCACTCTCCAATAAACTCGGCAACTATGAAGAGTTTGTATTGCTGAGAATCGAGGTGAATGCCTTGCTTGCACAATTGATGCAGCAAGCCGGACAAAGTCGAGCAGCCGTTAAAGTTCTCGAGCACTCTGCCAGCTTGGCAGCTGAACGCCATCTCACCCATCTACAATACACCGCACTGCTTCAAATACATCAAATTACGCGCAATGCGGCCATTCTGCGGACACTGGCGAGTATGGCGCTGCAGAACGGACATAGTGACTTTGCCAGGTACGTCAGGGTCTTGACACAGCTGGATCGTGCGCAACATGGACTACCGACCGATACAAGCGCCTTCGTTGCTCCATCACAAGGTCAGGCATTTACACTACTGGATCTGGTAAGCCTCATGACACAAATCACAACAGATATGACGATGGGCGAATGCGCTACTGCTCTACCAAGACTGTCGAGTCTCCATGCGCAACTTGACTCAAAGCCTTGGCCAGCATCACAGACAATCATTGTTGGACCCAATCAATCACTGACCCTTTCCTGGCTCTCAAAACCACAAGGCTTTGCACTCGTCTCGCTACTCAGTGCGCATGTGCATCTTGCAGATATGACATCTCATCGTGCTGCAAGGTTTCTACAAGATGGTCTACAGCAGCTTCCGCATATCCGAGATCCCAGCTGGCGAGATCAGATGCAAGTTGCAATATGGACAACGCAGGTAATCGATGCGATTGTCAGACAACAGTTTGTACAAGCCGACGCATTGCTGATACAGATTGGACAAGGCTCGCGCATAACGCCGCTTCATCAGTACCTTCATGCAAGCTTGTTGCAAGCTCAAGGCAGACTGCAAGAAGCACTTGGAACGTTCTTGTCCTTGGCGCAGGGTGTACAATTGCCTGGACCACGACCGGCAGCAGACACGGCCGTCTCTGTCATGAGTGGTCTCTCTGCCGTCTTGATCCTACGCAGCAATGTAGTACCAGCACTCTACAACCCAAGCGAAGCAACATTACTTCTCAACAGCTTACGACCCCATTGCACGGCTAGTCCCCTGCAAGCCTGTCTAGGACTTGTAACGGCAGCCGATCCATCTCATCAACGCGAACAACCACTCGACGTTCGCAAAATCCTCACAAGCCTCATGAGTCAAGCTGCACGTCTATGCAGTACAGATCTCAAATGTCTCGCATTGACGCTGCTTGCTTCTCCCCAACGAAATCAGACGGATCCGCCAGCGGCAAAACGACAATTCGCACAAGCTGCGTATAGTCTTGCAAGTCGACCGGCTGGAGAATTATCACGGTGGTCGTTATGGCATGGTTTGGGGTGGGCGCGTATCTTGGAAGAAGGTGGAGCATTGGAACATGCTGCACAGCAACACGCTATGAATGAACGGATTCGAGGGGCATTGTTGCAGCAGGGACAGCTTGCGTTGACGCCGTGGCTCTGATCCGTACAGCGTCGAGTGATCTTGCGACTCTATGGCTGCTATGTTGATGGTCTTTTTGAAGCTACTTGACGTTGCAAGTTGCAACATACGGTCTGTCCGTCTGGCCCGACAGTGCCTGACACTGTGTAATCTTGATTTTTGCAATGACATGCTTTCGGGCTTAAACAAAGTTTCATAAAAACTTCTTTGCATGCATTGATACTGCATACATTGATATGTTTGCCACCGGCAGCTGCCAGGATCTCCAGGATGTGCCAGACTGCCAGTGTGCATCACAGCAACAGACTGTAGCCGTCATCAGTGACTCATCTATTCAGCAAGAGCCGCCGTATTCGTATGCCAGACTTGCCAAGAATCCGAGACCGTGGCAAGTTGGCAACTTTGCAAGATGCGACTTGAGCAAGGCTTCACAAAGTCAAACGACGTCATGGGGTTAAACTTTATTCGTAGGAACTTCTCGAAATGGCTGGTCGTCGTACACAGCTGGAGGGTGACGTGCCCTTATTGGCCTTATCTGGTGATTCGCGCAAACACGTTGTTTGAGCAGAGCTACTCAGCTACAGGAAGACAGGTGACGTAGGCTGAGGTATGTGAGATGGAGTAACAAGCTGGAAGGTGTATCTGACACTGCTGGACCAGTGCTGGCATGAAGTGCACTACAAGTTAGTCTACAACCTACAGCCAACAGCACTATCTCGAAGCTGGTCTTAAAAAAAGGACAAAGAAATGGCGAGCCCGTGCGATTAAAAGTGGCGGCCGCGCTCGGCCCATCTCGGGATCGAGGAATGATTGCCTGTTTGGGACATGAGCCAATCACATGCAAGGAGGCGAAGTTGCGGCGGAAGGAGGAATGGAAACACCGGCGCTCGCTCTTCTTTGTCCTTCTGTAGGCTGTAATCTGGTAGTAGTCATGTAGTGTAGACTGTGTAGTAGTCGTGCAGTGTCACAGAAGAGCATGGAAACGGAGGCAAGAGGTTGACAAAGAGGATGGTCAAAGTATTAGTGTATGAGAGTGCACGCCAGACAAGCTCAACTACTTCTATCGCCTAAGTGACAGGAGCAGAGGCAAGAAGAGAACAGAAAGGTAGTGATACAGGACTGTCTCCTCCTGCATTGAGACAGGTCGAATCATCCATAGCCAAAAGGAGGAACAAAAGATGGAGAGGATGATGGGTTGTTGATATAGAAAGAGTAGGAAAGACTTGCTTTGCCGTCGTCTGACTAGCGTCTAAAGGGTGGATGTGTTGGTGTGTCGATGGTGAGGGAAGAGAGGTTGTGCGAATTCATGAAAGGGTTGTTATCCAGCTAGGGAAACACCTTAAAGGAGAGCAGCAACACCGGCACCGGCAATGAGACCAGCAGCGACCATGTTGGCCGATGCGGCACCGCGAGATGCAGGAGGGAGGGTAGCAGCAGGTGCAACACCGCCGGCAGCACCGGAAGCGGCAGCAGAGCCAGATGCACGGGCGGAGCCAGCAGCAGGTGCAACGGAGCCAGCAGCAGGGGCAACAGAGGCAACCGCTAGAAAGGAGGTTAGCAAACAGAGATCTAGAAAAGAAGGGGGAGGGTCGTACAGGACTGAGCGGCAACGGCGGCGAAGAGCATGGTAGCGAGAGTAGTGAACTGCATTTTTGAAAGAGAGTAAAAGAGTCGAAGTAGAGTAAGACTAGTGGGTTGAGGGAGACAGGGAGAGAAGCAGCAGCCGGGGTTTCTTATACCTTTTTTTTCTTGCTGTGGTGGGTGCCCTGCTTGTGTTGTTGCTATTTCCGTATCAGGATTTTGCCTCGCCAGTTTGACTCGCCGCCACCGCCCATTTCGCTCCCGGGAATTTGCGCTGGAAAGAATGGAGCGATGGCTGCTGCTGGCCCCTTACTGGAAGTTACTGCCCAAGCTGCCCAAGCTCGAGCGTCTATCATTCTGATTCATTCATCCATGCACACGACGCCCCCCTCGATACCTGCGTGTTTATCCGTCACCCCAGTCACACACACTCATTCTAAGACCTGCAATTCGGCCGAAGGGTCTCAGATGACGCACAGGTCTGGATCATGCTAGAAGGTCAGATAGAGAGATAGGGTACTAGGCAGCCTAGGCTACGATGGGCATGCTATGATGGGCATCGACTGCGCCGGGCGCTTCCTACCTGTCAATGACACGGTGTTACAGACCACAAATCCATATCGTATTCCCCTGCAAAGATGATCACCTGGGCAGAGCCATGGCCTTGACTCGAGCTGGCATTGCTGAGTAAGTGAATGACTGCGAGTCAGTGCAGCGCATTCCAAGAATCAAGCTTCCCTGCAAGTTGTAATCAAGCTTTGGCCCTTGGGGTCTCCTTCATTTCAGGCCAATTTACAAACTTCCAAAGGGGCCGGCCGAGTGCTTTGCATACGAATATTCCATCCCTGCCTCAAATGCACGCACACGACTTTACGAACAACGCGTCGCGTCCGATACCCAGCTGCCTGACAGTTACTCTAAGGCCAAGCACCATACTGCTGCTCTGCTGAACTGCTACGGTGCTACCCTGACCTGGACTAGCATCGAGACTATTCGGGCCGGCTTCATGCATGCAAAGTAGCATGTCCTCCGGGCATCTCAGCCTCGGTGTCAACCGTGCCAGACTCCAGAGTCCAGAGGCACCACTGCCGCACCAGACGCGAATGACATGAAGGCATGAGCTCTAACAGTTTCCTACCTCATCATAGAGGCAGTCCGTATCCACATCACTCCATCAAGTCTTGTCATGACTCATGTCGACAGTATCATCATCGCGAGATCTACAGCTCCGCTACAGTATCTTCGATCTGTCTCTGTATATGTGATCGATATCTACCGATCTAGCAATGTGACCGTCCCTTCAAGCTTCCGAATCTTTCGTACGTCCCAAACTCCCAATGAGCTTGAAAGAGACTCCGAAGAGTCATGACAATTTGACACATGCAAATTCGCAGACTCCACACCTGTCAGAATCTTAGAGAAGTTGAGAGAACACCATACTGGTGTCAAAGGATTGGGCAGTTGTTGCCGAAGATCCTTCAAGGGCTTGGAGCCTTGGGCAGATTAGACAATGGGTAAGTCATTTCCCGTCTATACTGAATCAGGTCTATCCAAACGGTCATCGCCGCATCGGCTTATTTGAACTTATTTGAAGGTATTGCGGAATGTGGAAAGCAATATGATGAATGTCGTTGGCCGTCATTTGGCAACGGGTCGTCTTCGAGTCGCGGTTGCATCTTTACTCCATCTGAATTGTACGGCCGGCGCAAGAAGCTTGGCCAACCCTCGCACACTCGAGACTACATGTAATCGTGCTCATCGGTGCTTGTGTCACGAAGCAAGTGTCCTGACTCCATTTCTCGACAATGGTGCGAATGTGACGTTCAGCAGTACCATTCTGTTCAGGTGAATACCTAACAGAGGTTTGATGCACAAGGCCAAAGTCCTTGAAATGCGCAGTCAGAGCCTGATCGAGTATGCCGGCAACCCGACGATGAAAGGCACAGCTTTGCACTCACTTTGCAGACGCTATTGCCAAGACTGATACGCTCATCAAATTGCCGACCTCTCTGCGACTTCACACAGAAGGCTGGGGGCTGCACCGGAGTCAATGATCCAAGTCTTGGAGGCATCGTCAATCTCGTTGCAACGCAAAGCGTTTTCACCATGAGACTTGTTGACCTTGACTTAGCGCAGAAGGCTGGGCTGTGATGAATTAGTCTCTTTGCGAGAGATGCACGACAAAGTCCGCATCCTTACTCAGAATCGTCAGGTTACCTCTGCCTCTTCTGCCGACGTCCCTACGCAAGAGCGTGGGATGATCGCCACGGTCAAAGAACAGATCGTTAACAAACCTCCTTCCAGTCCATCTGACTGGAAGCGTAACAACAACCGCCGCCGCAACAACAACAGAAGGTCTGCTCATGGCCTCAAATGTCATCATTGCGGGTCAGCCGACCACATGCTGGAATCCTGCAAGGAGGATGGCGCTATGGATGCGATGGCCCAAGAGTTCAAGAAGTACCGTGAGGAGGTCAACAGGTCTCATGGTGAAAACGCTTTGCGTTGCGACGAGATTGACGATGCCTCCAAGACTTGGATCATGGACTCCGGTGCAGCCCCCAGCCTTCTGCGTGAAGTCGCAGAGAGGTTGGCAATTTGATGAGCGTATCAGTCTTGGCAATAGCGTCTGCAAAGTGAGTGCAAAGCTGTGCCTTTCATTGTCGGGTTGCTGGCATACTCGATCAGGCTCTGACTGCGCATTTCAAGGACTCTGGCATTGTGCATCAAACCTCTGTTAGGTATTCACCTGAACAGAATGGCACCATTGTCGAGAAAGCACGCTCCATGTTTATGGGTGCTCACGTGAAGCAGGGTGAATGGGCATGATGGGCATGATGGGGGCACGTTTCAAGCGACACCGGCAATGACCAAAACAAAAGGATGGTATGCCAGCGCGATACGCCTGCCGATGGACAGCTCACAACTCTGTCATTCATCTATATCTATCTGTATACTTGTAATTCTACTAAACCAAAGAAAAAGCAATCGCAATCGCTCTCTACTCATCACTTGTGCAAAAAAATTCTAAATTTGAAAACAATGGTCGGCCAGCGAATCGTCCTTGGCCAAGTCAAACGCATGTTTCATCGCGGGTTGTCGGGTCGAGTGCTGCCTTGTTGATCCAAGCAGCCTTGTTCATTGCGACGTGGTGGACTTCGGGGCTGCGCGTGCCCAGGTGAGTCAGGGTCGGTAAAGGTGGTTTGCACTTTGTCCATGACTCCATGCCATATAGCTAGCCGCTGCGCTGGTTGTGCGCCGGCCCGAGTGTCGTTGAAGCCTAGACGTCTGATGTCGAAAGATAGGAACCCGACTGGCGAGTCCTCAGGTGGAAAGAAAAACCTTGTCTGGCGCCAAGCAACTGTCATAACCGCAACTGTGAAGCATGTGAAGACAACCTCGCAGCCTGCTGCCTAAATGTGCTTGTAATTCTCTGGGTCGACTGATCGCAGCTTGTGCACGCGCGCCTAAGCTTGTGGAGGCTCCTGAGTACCTTCCTCAGTCTCAGAGAGGACCTTGTAGGCTTCCAGCGCACCCATACTCAAAGCCGTTGCAAGACCCGACAAGACGTGGCCGAGCTGACACCGGGCAATTGTATCTGCAAAGCGAAAGGCCGACGCAGAGAGCACGACGCCGCCCTTTTCCAAGACGTGATACTTGCGTTCGTAGGCAACCGCTGTGATTGTTAGCGTTGGTGAGATGATAGAGAAAACATACCTTGCTCGAGACCGACTTTGATCTTCGGCACGGTGTACTTGATGGCCGTTGCGCCAGTCCTGCAGAGCACAACCAGCACTTCTTGCACTGCCGTCGACGGCTCCATAGTCTGCCCTTGCACTCCTTTGTTGGTAGACTTGCACGTCTGTTGCTGCATCACCTGGAGAGCCAGCTCTGGGTGTTGCTGCTGCAGTGTCTGGAAAACGGCGAGCAAGCGTGCTTGTTCAGTACTTGACAGTCCGTTTGGGAGGCCGCGGGCAAGAGCCTCTAGCGCTTGCATGTATAGCTCCCTCGAGAACCCAAGTTGCTGCTCAGTCACCGCTGACGCATGCAACTCTGTGCTGGATTGTAGACACAACAAAGCTTGGGATGTGCAAATTCGAGTTTCCGGTGAGGCTGCTTTGATGCGCTCTACTGCAAGTCGCTGCGTCACAGCGTCATGGAGCGCTTCTTGACTTTGTTCACCTCCAGCTTCATCATAGGCTGGCGGCGTTGTGCTAGGCGTGGAGGTGAAGCTCGTGGTGCGCTTGAGGGCAAAGGAAATGGCCGAAGAAGGTGTCGGGAGCATAGACCAGACCATCATACTGGAAATTGAAGAAGAGGAAAAGAGAGATGTATCAAAGAAATGTCGAGAAGCCAAGGGTCGGGTGAAGGAAGGAAGGAAGGAGGAGTGTTGGTGTTTGAGGCCGCCGTGGTCGTTGCCCGGGTTTTTATCTCGCTTTGCATGTGACAGCCGACTCGGATGAACTCACCAGGAAAGGGCTGCTTCTACAAGGAATATACCTAGACCAGCTGTGCAATCTTCTCCGAGAGCGTCTGGAACGCAACAGGCTTGCTGAGATATGCCGTGAATCCAGCCGCGTTGCACCGCTCAGCGACATCCGTCATGACATTGGCACTCAGCGCAATAATGGGTATCGGCGGTTTCCCCGGCCGCAGAACATTTGCCGCTCGCTCTAGCTCCCTGATCCGCGTACATGCCTGATAGCCATCTAGGTTGGGCATGTGTAAATCCATGAGTACAAGGGCGTACCGTGCCGGATTCTCTTCATACCGCCGCAGGCACTCGATACCATCATTTGCCAGGTCGACAGCCAGTCCAGACTTTTTGCAAAACTTGCTCATGACTTTTTGATTGACAGGGTTGTCCTCTACCAGCAGGACCGTCAAGCCACGATGCCCAACATCTGCGGAGATCGTGTCAAAGACTGCTTTTTGCTTCATCACCACTTGCTGTGCAGTCTGCCTGCGAGCATCTGCAGACTCACACCTTTCGCTTGTTGGGTCAAAGAACTGGCTGAATTTGCTCGGCTTCACCAGCTTAAACACAAAACTCACCTGCTCGGGATCCACTGGCACTTGCTCTTCAGCCGCAGACTCGAGGATGAGATTTCGTGAGACGGGTGTTGTGACCACAATCAGCTTGCAGGTCGCATAGCCATCGGTTCGCCGGAGTGCCAGGACCATTTGCAGAATCTGGGATATGTCGAGTACATTGATAATGATGTGAGTGAAGGCTCGTTGCGTCGAATCGCGCGTCACAGCAGACAAAGCAGCCTCGAAATGATCCGAGGTGATAATTGTTGATTGTGCATGCCGAGGAACCGTTACCCGAACATGATGATTCAGCGCAACAATACTGTACACCGTATGCGAAACAATGAGAATTTCATAGTCAGGTGCACTCGTCTCAGGCAACAGCCGGGGAAGTGTGAGATCTCCAGTCGGTAATATTGGAGCACCCGTCTCTCGAACCGGCGTCGCAGACCGTGAACTCGCTTCGCGAGCAAGTGTTTGCCTTGCTTCTCGTTCTTGCAATAGACCACCTTGAGGCACGGTGAACTTGGCTGTAAACGTGAATGTACTGCCAGCGCCTTTTGTGCTTGTACACGATAATTTGCCTTCGTGCAGCTCAACAAGCTGACGGGAGATGACGAGGCCAAGACCTGTCCCACCGTGTTTTCTGGTGAGTGAACCGTCGAGTTGTGAAAAGGGCTTGAACATAGTCGCCTCTTCTTCCTTTGAGAAGCCAGGGCCTGAGTCAATCACTTCCCATGCAACCATCACTTCGTCTGGCTGCAGCTCGGCATTGTTCACAACGAAGCATCGTGTAAATACCTCGCCTGAGGATGTGAACTTGATGGCATTCCCGAGGATATTGAGCAATACTTGGCGCAATCGAATACGGTCACCAACGACCACATCGGGAACATCCTCTTCAACCATGTAGTTGAGCTCAAGCTGCTTCGACATGGCAAGTGTAGAGAGCAATTCATTAGCATCCTCCACCATATCACGCACAGGAAATGGCTCCTTGATGAGTTTCATCATGCCAGCCTCCACCTTGCTCAAGTCGAGAATGTCATTGATGACCGCCAGGAGTGCTTCAGCAGATTGCTGAATCGTATGCGCATAATCAAGTTGCTCTGTTGACAAGGTCGTATCAAGCAAGAAATTGACCATACCCGTGATACCAATCAGGGGAGTTCGAATCTCATGGCTCATATTCGATAAAAAGCGTGTCTTGGACTCCATCGATTTGGTTGCAGAGTCACTCGCATCCTTCAAGCGAACCTCGAGGAGTTTGTGATCGTTAATGTCACTACATGTGCCGAGCCACATTTGCGCTTGTGACGACTCTGCCTTGTCCACTTGCACGCAGCGCACCAGGTGCCAACGATACTCACCTAGGTGGTTCCGTAGCCGTAGTTCTCGCGTAATGGGCTCGTCTGACGACGCAGGGATATCTGCTGGAATGGTGGATTTTGCTCGATCCTCAGGATGCACATGACTGAGAAATCCAAGACCCAGTGCATCATTGGCTTCTTGACCAGAGTACTTGAGCCATTGCGTATTGGCATACGTGATGCCTTCCTTGGCTGTTGCGGCAAACACAATCTGTGGACTCGCTTCTGCCAAGGATCGGTATTTACTCTCACTCGCTGCCGTTTCCGCTTGCTGTGAGGCATCAAACTCTGCTAGCTTTTGGTCATGAATATCCATCATGATGCTAAACCAATGCACGCAACTCCCCTGTGAATCGCGTAACGGCACAGCACGCGTCATGAACCATCGATACGCACCATCAAAGCGACGCATCCGCGCTTGTCGTGTAAACCCTTCACCAGTCATGACTGCATCCTGCCAACCTTGCTTGTATGCGACTCTGTCATCTTGATGCAGACACTCCCACTGCGTTGACATGAGCTCTTCAGGTGTTTGTCCAGTATACGCCAAGATGCGCTCATTCACCCAAGTTATCTGTCCATTGAGTGGCGAAGCAGTCAAGACGCAGGTCGGGATGGCATTGATGATGACATTCATCAATCTTGGACTCGGTTGTGGCAATTTCGAAGAGCGCGGCCGTTTTTCGCCCTTTGCAGGGTGTGTGATGCTCGAACTTGGGTGAAAGCTTGAACTCAAATTCGCGCCAAATGAATGGAGCAGTGTTCTGCTATTCGTTCGTTTGCGCCGACGCGGTGAAGGTGAAGAACGTGGTGATCGTTGACGGTTGCCAGACGCCGCTGTTGCTGATGCTGATACGGAGGCAGCCTCGTCGGATGCCTTTTCAGCCAATGTACTGCTTGGAGGTTGTCGTAACGATGTGGCACGGTGCAATAACTGTGGCCGATTAGAACGTTGCGCAACACTCGCAGATTGCTGTGCCGTCAATGCCGCCGCTGCAGCAGCCTCACGTACATTATCCTCACTCTGCCCACGCCTCAAATGTCCCGCACGAGCAAAGTAGTGGTCGGCGCTTGATCCTGACATGGGTGTACCTTGCATCATGGATTCACTAGAGGGTGAGCGTGAATTACTGTACTGCGCATCACTATCAGGACTCCAAGGTCCAGAGACACTGCGTCTCGCAACAGGTCGTGGTGCATAGGCCAGTTGATGGAGGATGTTGGCGTGACTTTGCGCCAGTGACATGTGTGTAGCAACAAGTGGCGCAAATGCAGAAAGACTCTCTATCAAGTTTGCCGGGTAGGGTGTTGCTGAGGACATGAAGGACAAGATGCCAATGGGGATATGACCTTTTGCCTCCTTGTAACCAGCAATCGCAATGGCGCGTGCGGTCGATGGATGAACGAGCGGAATGTGAATGACTGAATTGACACCTTCCATGCCGAGTGCCTCGAAACATTCTTGGCTGTCGTAGTGGTCGGGTCCATCGCTTGAGGGGCTGAATGCATTTTCATCAACAAGAGGCGCCTGGTCTGGCTGGAAGAAAGGATTCGACATGGCGTCCTTCAAAATTGCTGGCGACGGCGCAGGCGATTGCGCCCAGGGTGAACTAACAGGCTGCTCATAATCCTCATAGGCGATATTGCGAAAGGCAACACCACTTGCGATTTCGGGAGCGGTCATCTCGAGTGGGTTGCGTAGTTTTGGTTGCATCTGCTGTTCTCGCCGCAGTAATGTCTCTCGACCAGGAAAGATTGTATCGCCTGGTGTTGTATCCTGTGCTTCCATATGCCCAAACACATCTCTGTATTCACGACTCAGCACGACAATTTTACCCTCCCGCTCAAGAACCTTGGCAACACCACCGTCGTTGAGAAGTGGCTGCTCTTCGAGATTGAGTTTTTGCAAAGTATTGAACATGACGCCGTGTAGATTTGCTTGATCTGCAGCTGCGGGCGTTGCGGCGACACTTTCACTAGTCCTGCGAGAACATGATGAATTGTCTTCGAGGTAATAGTCCTCCATTGATTCCCACTCTTCAGAACCTTTTGTTGAGTGGGTGGAACGCTTTCGTTGTGAAGGGAAATGACTTGTCGTTTCGGCATTCCAAATCGCCTTCAGTCCCCACGGCGTACTACGGATATCCGTCAAGTCATACGGGACAGACAAGGTGATGCGGTCTGCGCGATAGTGATCCTTGAAGATTTCCACGATATTATCCCAAAACTTATCGAGGCCCACGTCAGAGGACAAGATGAGAGTCAGATCATATACGCTCGGACTCGGGTACTCTGATTCCAATGCAGCAAAAGCGCTCGGTTGCCCCATGGGTTGAAAATGCCGCGGCGTGGACGCATTGGAGCCGTCTGCTTTGGGCGCAGGGGATCTGTTGTGTGGGAAGTAACTCGTCAAGGGTCCATTGCCAGCAATGGTACCGGATGAGGAACTAGAAAGACCAGATCTGCCCAGAGATTCTGGTGTACCGCTCGACGAGAGTGGGCTACCAGCGCTGACTGCATGGCTGAGTTTTGAGCGTTGCGCAGTCCGTGGTTTGGTTGCTTGTGCTTGATAAACGGCCTAGTGTGACATATTAGCGCCTTGATCGATTTATCCATCGGAGCCGATATACCTCGCGCAGTGCATCGAGAGACGGCGATGCGTCCTGTTTGGCGCTATTGCTCATGGGAATCTTTGTATGCTCATCTATGTCGCTGCCTGATTGTCGGGCCTGCCGAGTATGCGTCTTTGTTTTGCTGGCGTTGCTAGAGTCGGACAGGCAAGTCACCGCTTGTTGTCGATTGATGGATGAGAGGCTGTCTAGTCGTTCAACAAGTGTGATGCGAACGGAAGCGGGTGTAGACGTTGGATGTCGAGTTGAGGTCTCGTCGCCACTGACCGGAGAATTCAATTTTCACGATGCCCAGCAGCTGATCTTCAAGGGCAACACCTTCGTATCAGAGGCCCATGGAGGCAGACTGCTACAGAGTGCCATCTACGTAGAGGAAAGGCTGCCCTACATCTTCTGCACAATGATCGCCGAAGAGCCGCCACCGCCATTGCACACCGCCGCACACCCATACTCACCTTGCTTCAGCGCATGCAGCAACGACACCACAATCCGGCTACCACTTGAGCCAATGGGGTGTCCCAGCGCAACGGCACCACCATTCACATTGACTTTTGCAGGGTCGAGTTGTAGCAGTTTTGTATTGACAATGCCTACCACGGCAAACGCTTCATTCAGTTCCCAAGCAGCGATATCCTTCACCGCTAGTCCTGTCTTGGCAAGGACTTTTTTGATGGCTTCTGCGGGAGCCACTGTGAAGTCAATGGGTTTGAGTGCAGCATCGGCATATCCAACCATGCGTGCCATGGGTGTCAGGCCTTGTGCTTCAGCAACAGATTTGTGTGCAAGAACCACAGCAGACGCGCCGTCGTTTAAAGGTGATGCATTCGCTGCAGTCACCGTTCCGCCTTCACGCTTAAAGACAGGTCGCAAGGTTGGAATCTTGTCGAGCTTGAGGGAGCGTGGTTCTTCATCCTCCGTCACCACACCGCCCTTTCGACCACCCAACTCAACAGCGACCACTTCATCCTTGAACTTGCCCGCATCCCACGCTGCGACGGCACGTTTGTATGATTCAATCGCAAAGGCATCTTGTTCCTCTCGTGAGATGTTGTACGTCTCTGCACAGTGTTCTCCACACAATCCCATAGCAAAGTTATTGTAGACATCCCAAAGACCATCCTTGACAATCGAATCATTTGCCGTAACATGACCAAACGTCAAGTGTCGAGGCATATAAAATGGTGCATTTGACATACTCTCCATACCTCCCGCAATCATGACTTGCCGATCGCCATGCGAGATGGATTGTGCAGCGAGCATGATACTCTTCATACCGGACGCACACACTTTATTGATGGTGCTGGCTTCCGTGCTCGTTGGCATGCCTGCACCCAATACCACTTGTCGTGCAGGTGACTGTCCAGCATTCGCTTGAATCACTTGTCCCATAAACACCTCTTCCACAGCTTCAGGCTTTAAGCCAGAAGCAGCTAACGCAGCCTTCACCGCAATCGTCCCTAATTCAACGGCAGTCTTGGATTTCAAGGCACCATTCATTTTAGCAACAGGTGTGCGTTTTGCAGCAAGAAACACGACATCGGAGAGTTTCTGATGAGGACGACTGGTGGAGAAGGAGCGGAGGTGTGTTTTGAGCAGGCTGCCTGTGTGTCTCTGCATCTTTCCGAGTGGTGGTGGTCGTACAAGCACTGAGTGTGGGGGTTCAACTTTTTTTGTCATGTGCTCGGCTCGGCGCGCCGTATGCCGATTGAAGGCCTCAGCACGGAAAGAAGAGCTATAGAAGTGCTAGAACAATCGCCAGTACACAATCAACAGCAAGAACAACACCAAGCCAGCATACAAGCCATACTCCCGCAACATGGCCTTCAAATTGACATTCCGCGCTGCTTTTCGGTACTTGACACTTTCATCGCGTAGGGTACTACTCAACGTACTCATCTTATCCAGTGATTCACCACGGTTGAGTAAATCATCAATATTGCGTGTCATGATACGCGTGACATCATTGAGGTCTTCATTGAGTTTATCGAGGTTGTTGCTGTTTCGTGCAGAGAGATACTCGCGTGTGGTCTTTTGTAGGTAATTCTCAAATTGCACAAAGGCATACGGCCTCAAACCTTGCTTCTGTGCTTCTTGTCCATAACTCGTAGCAAACTCTTTTGCTACTTGAGAGAGGTAGTTGAAGGCGAGTTTGCGAGGATAAGATTTATCCGCAATACACAAGTAACAAATCCCATCTTCGATCATATAGTGGAGGAAGTAAGGACCCGACTCGACACTCGCGGCTTGTTCCGTGGTGTTGGCGAGTTTACGAAAGAGCTGTTTTGCTTGCTGCTTTTGTGTGAGAAGGGCTGATTCGGCTTGTTCGTCGTCGACTGTAGCGGCGAGCGGGAGGCCGTCTTGGATACGAGCGATGGAGGTCGATTTGACCATGCTGTGAGCAGAGGAGAGACTTAGCACTAGCTGTATGTAGGTAGAGGGAGCTTTCTAGCTAGTGGCTTATAGCAGATGGTATGTAGTGTGTGTGTCTGTAGTGTGTGCAGTTGACGTGGCAGGTAGATGGGAACTGGGCAGTCACATTCACGGGGGACTATTGGGAGTACTGAATGATAGAGAGAGAAGCAAGAGAGCAGAAGAATGAGCAGAGCAGAGCAGGAGAGAGAGAAAGAGAGAGAGAGAAAGAGAGAGTAGAGTCAATCAGCCATCTGCCCCAACTCTGCCCCAATGAAGCATCAAGCAGCAGCAAGCAGCAGTCAGTCAGTCAGCGAGTCTCATTGGGCAGAAGAGAGCCTGCCACCCCACGACCGCAGACAATACCAGACAGTTGTTGCTGCAGTCGTAGTGGACGAGGAGCAGACTAGAGCAGACTAGAGCAGACTTGTAGCAGCAAGCACTAGTGACACACCCCCGAGGCACAAGACATCACGGCGCCCATCCAAGCACACACAACAACCCCCGCGACATCCATCCGCCCAACCACGACTCACCCTCACCCACGCACCATTCTACCAACATGGCAACAAACGGGCCCCAGATGACCGTCCCGGATCCATTCAAGGTATGGCATCCGCAACATATACATATGTATCTATCCAGCAAAAGGCTAACAACAAAGACCATCAAGGAGAATGTCCACGACGGCCGAACAGGCGAATTGCGCGAAATGTCCTACCACTCCTCCAAGATCGTAGGCAGCGGCTCATTCGGCATTGTCTTTCAAACACGTCTCGTTGAAACAAACGAAGATGCCGCCATCAAGCGCGTCTTGCAGGACAAGCGATTCAAGGTCAGTCTCTCATTTAATACACGGCAAGACGGCTAACGAGGCTAGAATCGAGAACTGCAAATCATGCGGACAGTGCAACATCCCAATATCGTTGACCTCAAGGCGTACTTTTACTCAAACGGCGAAAAGGTACGGATCTTGTGTCCATGCATCCATATTAACATCACAGCCCGACGAGGTCTACCTCAATCTCGTCCTCGAGTACGTCCCCGAGACCATCTACCGTGCCTCGCGACACTACGCACGCGCTCGACAAAACATGCCCTTGCTCGAGGTGAAACTCTACATCTACCAACTCTTCCGATCACTCGTCTACATCCACTCCCTCGGCATCTGTCATCGCGACATTAAACCACAAAACCTACTCCTCAACCCAGCCACGGGTGTCTTGAAGCTCTGCGACTTTGGCAGTGCGAAAATCCTCGTCCCTGGAGAACCCAATGTATCGTACATTTGCTCGCGTTACTATCGCGCACCAGAGTTGATTTTCGGAGCAACCAACTATACCACCAAGATTGATATTTGGTCAACCGGTTGTGTCATGGCAGAACTCATGCTCGGACAACCCTTGTTTCCAGGAGAATCAGGCATTGATCAATTGGTTGAAATCATCAAAGTGTTGGGCACACCGACACGTGAGCAAATCAAGACCATGAACCCAAACTACATGGAATACAGGTTCCCCCAGATTCGACCACACCCCTTTTCCCGGGTGTTTAGACGTGGTACACCCACGGATGCCTTGGATTTGATTGCAAAAGTCCTGGACTACACGCCCACAACGCGGTTGAGTGCATTTGATGCCATGTGTCACGCATTTTTCGATGAACTGCGTGATCCAGCAACAGTGTTGCCAGATTCACGGAATCCAACAGCTGAACCAAGAGCGCTACCGGCATTGTTTGATTTTACCGCCAATGAACTCTCCATCAACCCAAGCCTCAACTCGAAATTGGTACCGCCCCATGCGGTGGAGCAACTCAAGCAAAATGGTATTGACTTGACCTCCTTCCAACCACTCAGTCAAGAACAAATGTCGGCACGCCTCGATTGAGTGTAAGATGCAGTGCATTTTCGTCTTTTTTTTTGTGTTCTTTTTTTGTTCCGTTGTCTCTGTTTCAAACGACGTTTATTGTTCTATCATTGTTGGAAGATGTTGGATCCCTTTCTTCTTCGCGTCAGAACTCTTTGGCGTGAAGCAAATGCTTTTAATGCCGATGTATCCTTCCCCATTGGATTCTAGTCTTAAATGGGTCATCCAACAGGACACGCGCTTCAGAAGTGATGCGGGTCGTTTGTTTTGAGAGTGATGGAAGATGGCACGCAGGACAGCCCCCTTCTGAACGTACATGAAAGCACAATCGTCCACATCCCCTTTCCTGCCTTACTTGCTTCTATTCTTTGCCATCTGAAGTGTTCTGTCGCACGCCGAAGCCCAAAAAAAGTTGAAAGGCGACAGGCGACAACCAGAAAGCACCCCAGATACATACACGCTACTGCGTCTCCTCTCTGTAGCTCAAAAGAACTAGTATGGACCTCGTAGAGATTGCAAAACTCGTCGCCTCAGAGCAAGGATCAGATCAAACCACACCATCGGAAACAACAATCACGGATGGGTCGACACATGCAGTATCTGCACAACCTGTTGCAATGAAGGCGATTCTCGAACAGCGCATTGCTGCGATGCGTGCTGAGATTAAGGAGAAGGAACGTGCGACCATGATTACGCCTGATCGACAGGCGACAACGGCGTCAACGTCCTCCGTCACCGTGTCACCTGCTTCGAGTGTCAATTTCTCAATACTCGACAAGGCACTAGCGACGCATGGATATGAGACGATGCCTGATAGTGATGAAGACGATCATGACAGCTCTGTCACTGCATCGAGTGATGCGTCGAATTCCTCGAGTGATTCAGAGGACGAAGCGGATACGAGCGAACGACTTGCCTTGACTGCTGCTGAACGCGAACGCATCTTGATTGCTGCGGATGGCGATGGAGAGGGGAGTAGTACCATTCCACCACGAACAAAACATGAATTGGCAGAGGAGGAAGAGCCTGTAGTTGTACCCAGCGAGCAGGTCTTGCCAAGTGATGAAATCAGACTTCTTGGACATGTTGCAAGTCAAGTGGGCAAGACGTGTGTCGTTGCAGGGATACGGCCACCGTCGCTGGATGCGGGTCAAGGCTCACATACACCACAAAGTGTCTTGGACATCGGCTCACTCCTCGTTCTAGCGGATCGTCGCAATGTTGGGTATATCGCAGATACCTTCGGTCCCGTCTCTGCACCACTCTTTGCAGTTCGGTTTGCAGAGGCAGAGCAAGCTGCTGCGTTGAATCTGTCACTGGGAGATGAGATTTATATGGTACCGCGGTATGCCAAGTATGTATTTGGCGATACCCTCAAGGTCAAGGGATCCGATGCCTCAAATATTCACGACGAGGAAGTCGGTGGTGATGAAGTGGAGTTTAGCGATGATGAACAAGAAGCAGCATACAAAAAAATGCTCAAGGAAGCGAGAAGGAATCATAAGGGACAAAACAGCGAGCGGCAACAGCGGCCCATGAGTGACTTGGAGGCGATTGCAGAACAGCAAGGTTTCAGCAATGGCGAGCAGCAACGGACCAGTCAACCGGCGTATAGCGGGCGTGGTGGCAATCGTGGTGGTAGGGGTGGACGAGGACGTGGTGGTGCGTCACAGCAGCAAGCGTCGCGCGATGCACCGAGACAACCTTACCAGCGTGCCTTCTACACGCCTGATACACCATCATTGCCGCCACAAGCGCAACAACAACAGGCGTCATCCGCAGAAGGTGGGTTCCAGGTATATGCGCCCCTCAAGCGACCAGATGTACAATAGCGCAGTATCATATATAAGTTGATGTCATGAGCAAAAGACGTGTGTTTATTGATTTCTAGTCACTGCTCATGCCGGCCTTGTACCTGCTGTTCCAACAAACGCACCTCCTCCTCTTCCTTCCGCAGCATCTCATCAGTAATCACTTCCGTTCCATCTCCTGATAGTCTGTCTTGCGCAGCAAACTCGTTCCCCCTCGCTGAACTCAATGACTTGAGCTCTTCACGCTGCCACTCTGCCTCTTCCTCCAATTTCCCAATAGATTGCGCCAATTGTGCATGTTTATGCCGCATGAGGTCTACTTGCGCTTGAACACCCTGCGCAGGATACAACGTCAGTAGCTTCTCAACACACGCGAGTAATGCTGCAAGACCAGCTTCATCGGGTCCCGTGGGTCCATCTGCATGGGAACCTCTACTTCTACTCAATAAAGCAGCTGCTTCGCGTCGTAGCTGTAATCGCATCGGTGTCGGACCACGTCTCATTGTTTCTGTATCACCACCAGTACCACTTCCATGACTTGAGAAGAGTGCTTGTTCATGTGGTTCAGCATCGCGAATGAGGGAAGTGATGTCGCGATCACTCAGAAGCGCATTGACGAATGCTTTTGGTTGCGCAAAGGAGAGATCTTGGAGAGCGCTTGCTGTCCGATCGATGGTGTCCATGTGCATTGACAGCGGCATCTTGAGCTGCTTTGTTCTGCTCTTTGGTTTAGCTTCACCCTCCAGATCGCGTCTTGTCGCGTCAAAGTGTTTTGTTTCTTCAGATGACACCACGACTTCATCACAAAGGCAGCTTCTGTGCAGACCCATTCTACAAGAACAACGCTGTAGAGGCAGCCTACAACAAGACCTGTTGCGAAAGCGTCTCCAGCAATGGCCCAAGGTCACCTTGCTCACACTCCACAATACTCGCGTCAAAGGAATCGAGTCTAAAGCGCGCTTGATGATTCGCACTCAACAACTGAAAGGCATGCCCAAACTTATTGCGCTGCTCACCTTGTGCTTCCGCTGCACCAGCTTCCAATGTCGGTGAAGAAGTGACGGACGTGCCAAGAACCAAGTACCGATCAGTCCGTTCATCAAGACAGGCAATGACAAATGGCAGATGCTTCGTTCGACCACGTTCTCGATTACTCTCATCCAGCGCACCAGCAATCCAGTGTGCCAACTTCGCAAGCGCCAAAGGGTGTGTGAAGATGCGCATATGTGGACCTTCCCTCACAACCGCCATGCGGAAACTTCTCAGACTGCGAATCTCACGTTTATCAATGAGTGCCGTGCCTGTTGCTACAATGGCGCGTTGCAGGTCCATGGATGTATGCAATGCATTGCGAAGGGCATCGACGTGGTCCATGGCATCATATGCTTCGTAGAAATTGGTCACCCACTCTTCACGAATCCCATTCTCCGTTGCATCCTTATCCTGCTCTGTACGCGTGGTTGTCTCTGTTGCTGGCTTGTGGCCATGACCGAGGTTGGCGTGGCCATTCTTAACAAACGTGTCTGTTCCTGATTCCAGCAGCGCAGTCAGTGCATAACACACATCACTCGCAGACAAAGTGCATTTATAGCCCCAATGCCGAACAAATGACTCCATCGTCAACTCATCTAGCCCATACTGTGGAGCAAACTTGGTCAATTTGACGCGCAAGTTATGCTTGAGATCCATATCCATGTGTGTGTACATCTGTCGACATTGTGTCAGACTCATACCCATCTTGGCGAATAATTTGGCCAGATTCTTTTGCCCGGCTTGCGAGTACACCTTCATCTTGGCACCAAGGTATGGCGAGTGCAACATGGCATCGTGCAGTGACCAGTGGCGAAAGAGCATGAAACGATATTCACTCTCTGCACGTATGCTGAAATCACTCGGACTCTTGACGGTCGCCGAAGGAAGCGCATTGGCCGGCGCAACCGTAGGCGGATTGAGACGCGTGACTTCGTCTTTATAGTCGCGGTACAAAGACGCGTACGTGTCCAACGTGATCCGTGACTGGATAGTCAAACTTGTCAATCCAACAATAGCATGCCAGAGCAAGTCATTGTCTTCGCGACCCAGATCAGAGGCAAGACCATACATGAGTCCAGCGATCGATTCGCCATACCAGTCGCCACGGTCGTAGTAGTCGGCAAGCAGGTTTGCATTACGCTGATGCCGTCTCCGTCTCTCGTTTGCAGATTCTTTGACTGGGGCAATTGCATCGGGGGCATTAGCGACAGGCCGTCTCGGTGAAGGCTGGACATGTGAATTTCTGCTCGTCTTTCGCCGTTGCCGTGGACCGTCCTCATCAGAGTCTTCAGATCCAGAGAAATCACCAGCGTCTGAGCCAGAAGCATGAGGAGAACCACTACTGCTACGCCGTTTGCGTCGTGTGGGCGTCCCTGGACGACTTTCCTGGTCGTCTTGTTCTTCCTGTTCCTGTTCCTCTTCCTCTTCCTCTGGCGCTTCCTCATCTGCACCGAGTCCCTCATCTTCCTCTCCAGCATCACTGCCACGCTCTTCCTCGTCTCTGATACGGTCTTCCTCTTCATGCCACTCTGCGAAAGCTTGTGCCACGTCCGTTTGCCGCTCAAGGGTTCCATCATCCCAGACATAGACGTTGGACTCAAAGTAGAGATTCTCCATCATGACGGGCTTGTGTGAGTCAATCACATAGATGGTCATGGATTCATCCACAGATAGATGCTGAAGCGGATCGAAAAACGCGCCAAAGTTCATCAAGACGATGAATTTAAGCTGTTTGTTAGCTGTGCTCTGGCTCAAATGAGATTGCCTTACGTCTTCCTGGTTCTGAACGACGGCATCGTTCGCCTTCTTCAAGTCATTCCAGCCAGCGACTGGATGTATCTTGTGCGGTATATAGTCATTCCGCAGCATTGTGCATAGCATTTTTGTAGCGCACAAGGCATCGACATCGAGCGCGACGAGGATGAGAACCGCGCAGGTGCCAGAGAGCGAAACGGTCTTGAAGCGGCCATAGGCTTCAGCGAATTGATCCCGCCGGATGATCATTCAGCCCAGGTACGTGGTTGGGTGTCGCGCGACGAGGCGCCTTTTGTGGATTTCGTGACCAGTCTGAATGAGATGTAGGGAGGTCGATGTTGTGCACGAGCGGCCAGTCACTGACGAAGACCTGCTGAGTTACGGCTAGAATAGAGTACAATCGCGCTGATGCTGCGAGCTGGTTCGCGTTGTCTCTTTTCGCGTCTCTGGGAATTTTGAATTTCTGGTGCGAAATGCATCTCACTCAACTCACTTTTATTGTGAAGCTTCACCCCTCGCCAGCAACCATGACCTCATCCAGGTACCGACGAGCAAGGGACACGGCCGCATCATAGCCCATCCTCTCTCCATCTTCAACTCCATCTTCCTTCTCCACATCTGCTTCTGCGTCAATAAGCCGCACAGGCAAGTCCATTCCCTGATATTCCCTGTACAAAACAGCTCTTGACGTCGATACCTGGACGCATTGCTTTGCGAGTTGCGCAAACAAGCTCACTTGCTCCTTGTAAGCGCTATATGCATCCACATTATACGCGTCTGCTTCTGCAATGCGGTCGAGGACGGCCGTCTTGAAGCTAGTCTTGATGGCGAATAACGTCTGTGTTATACTATGTTGCGAGTCATAGTCAGCTGCATCCGTGTCTCTAGGCCGATCGGTCTCCACGGATGTAGCGGGCATCCATTGCTCCTGCATAACTCTGAGGATAGCGGCCAAGTTGAGTTGCCCCTCCTTATTGACAAGAGGATGCCAGACGTCGCTCAGGAAGACAACTTGCGGCAGCGTCTCAGGACAACCGTCAAGCTTGAGGATAAATTGAAACACAGCACCTTTGTAGTAGCCCTTGTGTAGGAAGAGGATTCCCTGCCAGCGCGATCGACGCTGTGGCACTATGGCGATGTAAAGTCCACGAGGCACATGCCCTGGGAAGCGCAATGAAGCATATTGGATGAGAAGCTCTTGACTGTATTTAGCTTCCATGTCCATTTAAGCACAGTCAAGGCGAGCGAATGGCAAAGCGTCGTTAGGCTAGCAGCTAAGCTAGCTTCAGCATTGTCAGTGTTTCAGAACTAAGCTTCAAGTGGTGAGTTGTGGTCGAGATGGTCACAGGAGAAGACGGCGGATATCCAAAGTCACGTCAGATTGTCTATATGATACCTACAGCAGATGAACTGCTAAGCAAGACACGGGCCAGGTCAACGTCGCCAAATCCTGATCAAATGAACCAAAGGTCAATGAAAGCGACGCCAACGACAAAGGCCCCTACTCTAAAAATCCTCCCTTGGACTGAAGAAAGACGTGTAGGCAATGATACTGCCATAAATCAAGCCTCCTCCGCAAATAGACATGATCATAGCAGCTTGATTGATTTCGCCTGTATGGTAAAGCATCACGGGCAGTGCCATGCCGGTGACAAGCAAAATACCGGTCAGGAACTTGCCAAAGTCGACTGCGGCACTGCTGCCTTCGTCGCCATAGCCGCCGCCTCCACCAAATGCATCTGATTCTGCTACTTTCGCTGCGATGGCGTTGGGGAGCGGCGCGCAGAGGTATGTCGCGACAACGAATAGTGGGTACCAGTTATCCCAGAGCGCCTGTCCGTTAGCAGTCTGTCAAAAGGAGTTGGCGAATCTGAGACGTACGCATGAGAGGATGACGAGTAGGAAGCCGCAGGCCAAGACAAATGACAGGACAATGATGAGTCGCAGCATCGGTGTTCCCTCCATTGAAGACATAATTCGCTAGCGACGCGCAGATACAAAGAGCCAGAGCAATGACGGATGGCCTTCAGGCGCGGTCAGTCAGCTAGCGTATGATTGGTGCGACAGCTGATATGGTCTTTCGCGCAATGCACAAGATCAAGTTTCGGTTCACTGAAGCTACGGTGTCGTCAGCTCGAATTGCCTGAACTTGGAAATGGTCTGCTCCTCCACAACAAATGGCAGCAACTAGGTCAACACCAAAGGCAACCTGGGGCCCCGGAGGTCTCATCTGAGCTTATTGTACCTTTGCCGCATGCGGTCAAAGCGTACAGCTCCCTCCAGTTTACTTTATGGCATATAACGACCACCTACTGCATCATTGCCGGCCCTTGCGGCATTGATTATCAAATCGGTCGGGGTTCTGCCTGGTCCCCGATTGGAGCCCTCGTTCTTCTTGTGCCGGTCCCGATACGCTGTTTCTCGACCGCGTAGTCTAGCATGCCCACTTTGGGAGTGTCCCCTTCTCGCTCTCACTATGAGTGGATCTCACCATACTAGTCGAAACGGCTTGCTTCGAAGCTTTTTTCGGGGTTTTTTCGAAAAAGCATTGCGCTGGCCAGCCTGTCTGGTCTTGTGGTAGGTTTGCTACGGCAATCCTTACTACAAATACGCTGGGGAACAGCATCACTATTGAGACTAGCACTGGGAGTGACGAGATATGCTGTGTCTCTTATGACCAGCCAATTTGCCTTACGGCACTAAAGCGTTGTTCTGCGTGGAGAGCTGGAGGCACCTTGTGCGGAAGGTTCTCTGTTTTGCTTCCTTCTTATAATGGAGGACAGTAGTTGAGCTGAATACGACGTAGCTTTTTTTTTAGCTAAATCCCACCACACCGTGCACGGCCCGATCAGGGGCAGCGAAATCATCAGAAGAGTTGTTAGAGACTAGCAGAAGCTATACGGTACAGCAGCACATCGCCACGTCGCCGAGCATCATCGTGTCCATGCGTATTGAACCATCGTTGCTCAATCTCAAATGAAACGCCGCGTTGCGTCCAGAACTGCTCGACGACTTGCTGGCTTGCTTCGAACGTGGCAACCCAACCAGACCACTCCTTCTCCTTTGCTAGGAATGCCATCGGGTCGTCATAGAATTGGTCTGCTTCATCTCTATAGCCCGCTGCCGAGATATCGCCAAGGGGAGGTTCGCAAGTCAGGAATCTGAAGTTGCCCTGTCGATGAATATGTGATTGCCACGGCGTCGAGTGACAGGGCATCAACAGGAGCAGCTCATCCACTTCAGGGTGTCTCCTGACATGCTCAATCAAATCCATGACACCTCGTTGGTGCACACGCGTGGCATAGTATCCGAGACTGATATTCACCACGGCGGCGAGAGCCAGCACAACCTTGAACCATGCAGGCGAGCCACGCCGATGTTTCTTTGTGGAAGCCGTTTTGTCATGTTTTAGGGCAGGCGATTTGCTGGTTCGACTGAGCAGACTCAAAGAATACGCCGCAAAGCCATTGAGAATCACAACAAGTGGCGCAATGAAGCGTGCCTCCTTGTGTCTCAGCATCGTATAAGCTGCCAATGTTGTTGCACAAATTGCAAGCAACTGGCCTTGTGACTTGCGTGATTTGATCGCGCCATGAATAGCAAAGGGAAGCCAAGCACACATCAGGAGTGGCAAGCCTTGTGAGAGATAGTAGTGTACTTGATTGACACCGTAAAAGTCTGCATGGCCGCCCAAGTTGAACTTGAGAAAGTTGAGCAAGGGAAAGGCTAGTCTGCCGTAGTAGAAAGAGTCGATGATCACTCCGAACTGGAGAGTTACATAGGCAACGTAGAATGCCTCGAAAGCAAATGTGGTTCCATATAGTCGGAGCTGGCGTAATCCAGGCACAAGCCAGAGTAACGCTGTTGTTGGACGAATCAGCACTGCTGCGCCGATAGCACCCAAACCCTTGAGTACAGTGTCTACATACTTGCTCCAAAGTGCTTCAGTGCCGAGGGTACGTGGGAAGCCTGTGAAGGGCCACTTGTAGAGTGCATAGGCAGTCAGACTCGTCTCAAGCGAACTCGAAAAGGTCCGTGGCAGCACGTAAAAGTTCCAAGGAGACAAAACAGTAACAAGGAGAGCCCACCAGCCAGCAGAGCGACTCCAGGTCTTGTGGACGAAACGGACAGTGTAAAAGTCTGTCACTGCAGCTTGAAGTGCACCAAGCAATTTAGGGACCATCAAGAGATTGGCTGACGAGTCCAAGCCCAGGAGCTGCATTAACTTGAAAGGGATCGCAAAGAGGAGCGGGTGTGCAATGGAGCGAATCTCTTTGCGATACTCCCAGGGCAAGAAGCCGTACTTGTAGACAAGGACATGAGCGGGCTCGATGGACTGGTAGTATTCATCTGGCTGGAAGAATGTGCGTATAAAGAGGGCATTGAACAGCCTGTAGAGCAGCAGATAGCCGAATAGCCAGCTGAAGCCCATCACAGTAGCAGACTACGCGGGCATCAGCTTGGCGTACTCTGTCAACTGCTAGAGCCGGAGCTGTAGGAGTAAACAGGCAGCACGTGTGTTCTGCTCGAGATGGGCACAACGGCAACGGGGCAAATTGGAATATCTGCCATCTGTCCATCCCTCAAATGTCTTCGCTGCACATTGCAAAGCTCTTCATCTACCCTATCAAGTCATGCTACGGCATTGAGCTTCACAGTGCCCAAGTTCGGCCCGAAGGGCTTGACCTGGACCGACGCTGGTGTCTAGTCAACTCGGACAACAAGTTTCTCACCATTCGTGAGATTGCCAAGATGACACTCATTCGACCGCGTTTATCTGAAGACGAGAGTGAGCTACTTGTAGAAATTCCTGATGAAAAAGGTACGCTGGTTCTCGCTGTGCGCGTGCCAACGCGTCCGACTCGAGAACATCTTGATTCATCGACAACACTTCAGACTATGACGATTTGGAAAGACTCACCAGAAGCTTGGATTTATGACGCATCGGTCACAGAAAAGCTAAGCGAATTTCTTGGTCAACCTGTGCGGCTTGCCTGCAAAGCGCCTGGTGCGAGTGATCGAGAATTACCAGGACCTTCCTCATCTACTGCCCTTGGCCGAGAGACGAGTGTTGGTTTTGCTGATTTCTTGCCCGTGCTTGTTGCCTCTCTCAAGTCACTGGAAGACCTCAACCAAAGGCTAGCCGATGCCAAGACGGCTGAAGAGCGCTCTCCGGTGACGATTCGGCGTTTCAGACCGAATATCGTGATTGATGGCGACGCGCTCGAAGCTTGGTCTGAGGATTCTTGGAAGTGTATCAGCTTCTCAACAAAGGAAGGGAGAGCTTTGACGCTGGATCTGACAGAAATTTGCCTGCGTTGTCTGGTGCCAAACGTCGATCCGGAGTCTGGCGTCAAGAACAAGCATGAGCCGTGGGATACGGCCATGAGCTACCGCCGAATTGTGCCGAGCAAGAGATACAAGCCTGCATTCGGTATGCTTGCCGTACCGCGGCCCTCTGCAGTGTCTGCAGAAAAGAATGCTGTCATCGGAACTTTGCAGGTTGGTGCCTGTTTGACGGTGGAGGAATCTGTCGAGTCGGATCAAGGCGAGGTGCCCATGGAGGAAACGCCTGTCCAGAACGAAGGCCTTCTCGGTTCAATCACATCACGCGTGTCATCTTGGCTTTCATAAACTTGTTCATCAACATAAATACATAAAGAGCACATACCAGTCCAAATCAATCACTTGATCCCTTTACTGCTTACCTAAAAGCTTTGCCAGGTTGTCAGAGAGTTCATACTTCTTCATGACTTCCTCAACGGCAGCATCATCCCGCTTCGCGCCCTTCTTAGCTTGCTGCTTCTTGACCTTCTCCATCTCCGTCTTCTGACGCTTCTCAAGCTCACGAGCTTTCGCTTGGAAGGCCAAATACAATTTTTCCGCACGCGCTAAAATCTCATCGGCCTTCATCCGCCCGCTTAGGTCATTGACATACTTGAGAATCTCATCAAATGCGTGTAAATGGGTCATCATGACTTCTGCATGCAAGTCCAAGATGGCCAATGCGCAAAAGATCTGGAAATCGGGTGAATAATAATTGGTCAAGAGACAAGTCCAGATCTTCAGGATGGTATCAAACTCAAACTCGCGCTTGAAGAGGATCAAGAGCATGCGAAAGAAGAAGAAGAAATTGAGGGACTCACACTTCTCCAGGTGTGCATAGAGTCTCGGGAGCATGAAATGCGTGATCTCCGTGAGTTGAGTGAGTTGTAAGCGCATGCCGGATTGGTCTCGCAGAAAGTTGCGTTGCATGCGATCCATCAGGCCGACAAAGGCCCAAAAGGACAGACCATCATCTTCGCTAACGACATAGACTGGTGATAGCAAGTCGGCCATACCTTGTACATATCCAAGATCCTTATTGTACTCGTTGTAAGTCAACAGGATATCTTTGAGTTGCTCCATGTGTGCATTCGTGCCCCATTCTGCGGTTGGATCCGGCGAAGGCATGTCCTCGTTCTCGAATAACGGGTGTTGCCGATCCGTTCGGTGAATATCCTTCTCAATGCGATGGCGTTCTTCCACAAACTCTGGCGTTGGGTTATCGAGCTGATCAAACCACTGCCGCTTGAGCTTGTAGTACTCATCTCGCTTTGAAGCTGCGAGCGCGCGTCGTATTTCTGTGTCCGAATCCCATGGAAACACGCCAAGCAAGAACGACCATACCTCCCCCATGATACTCTCAACGCATGCGCCATGAAACAGGAGTTCCTTGATCTCATGCTCACTGCGAATAAACTCACCGCGCTCGTTGAACAAAGCCCGCCATTCTTCTTCAGTGACCGGCTCCCTGCGACTCACGTCCGATAAGCTCAACACCTCAAACATACCAAGACTCGTCTCCTCCTGAAACAACTCACTCGCAGCAGAAGGTGGGCTGAATTGACTCGCATCACTGATACTCGCTGCCCAACGCGCTAGATAGAGACGCGCACTATCATACTCTCTTGCGAGATTTTGCGCTTGTGGACTGGCTACCATTTGCCTGAATTGGGGTGGTAGCCGCGCGAGTAAGTCTTTGCCTGCTTCGCTCTCTAGTATTTGATCAGCTGTAGAACGGCCGAGTCGGGTGATGCGACTAAAGCGTTCGAGGATCTTCCATTGCAAAGTCGGTCCCTTGTCGCGCCTCGCGGCTGGCATCGGTGGTAAGGAGGGATTCAGGACATAGGTACTTGCACTGGTGTCACTCTTCTTGATACTCGTGAGAGCCTGCAAGATTGTCAAGAGACTGTCAAATCCCCAGAACATATGACCCGACTCGCCGAAAGGGTCGAATGTCGTGGCGCGTTGTTTTTGCTCTTGCAACGTAGAGACGCATTCATTGTCGTGGAAGAAGAGGCCTGTGAGGGGTGTATTGGAGACAAGAGTCACTTGTATAGAGCCATGCGACCAGCCTGTGCGAGGCGGACGAACTTGGATGGTGGCAATCTCTTGTATGGTCACACTGAATGCATACGCATTGCCGTGAATGTTCGGCGTGCGCACTCGAATATTACAGCTTGAATCGAGTTCCATCTTTTGGTATTCATCCAATTCATCGTGTAAATCATCAGCGGGTGTCCAAGAGAGAAGCAGGTCCGAGGCAGACGCATCCCTGGTTGTTGGAGAGGGTCGTCTGCTCAAGGACAAGTAGCCACAAATATTGTCCTTTGCACGGGGTGTAGGGTGCGCCTGTTTATGCGTCAGCACTCTATCTTGCCATAGCCTCGAGTAGACATACATAGACGGCTGATTTGACCCAGACGAGCGTGACACGGTTGGTGCTGTAAGACAAGACGGATGTGTCGTTGTCGCCGTCGCGCTCTTCAATGTCGTCGGGTGTCTGCATAGTCGCGATCGCCTTGTATCAATGCGCCTTCCTGCTTGCCTGCTTTGTGCTGCGCTGCCTTTGTCCTTGCTGGGCCTTGTTCTTGGCACCTCTCTACTTCGTGGGTGGTGACAGAATTGATGAGTTCAGTCGCCCCTTCACGTGTGAGTGTTTTGTTGACAAAGAGACAAGCAGACAAGAGCACCAGCAGTCAAGAAGGAGAGAAGGAGAGAAGGGCTAGCAGCACTGGGGAAGAGATAGAGAGTCCGCTGGAATACTGCCACTGATACAGACACAAACGACGCGTGTACCCTGCGCCAGCGTGTCAGTCAATCAGATCATAGCGCGACCATGTCTGCCACCACTTCACGGACAACGCTCAACGGCAGCGCACAGGAGACAGCGCAGGGCACGAATAACATCAAAGTCGTGTGTCGCTTCAGACCCGTCAATAAGGTCGAAACAGCCAATGGGTTCACCCAACCCATCGTCTCCTTTGAAGATACCGATACGGTCAAACTAGAGGTGCGCGCGCTGCATGCGTAGATGGATGAGGCTGACACATGTTTAGTCTAATGATCTCAAGGATTCATTTACATTCGATAGGGTCTTTGGGATGGAGTCGCGCCAGCACGAGGTGTTTGACTATTCCATCAAATCCACAGTCGAAGATGTCCTCAACGGCTACAACGGGACAGTCTTCGCTTATGGACAGGTGTGTCTTGTCTAGTGACATGGACAATCAGCTAACAAGGCAGACGGGCGCCGGTAAATCCTTCACCATGATGGGCGCAAGCCTAGAGAACCGAGATTTACGTGGTGTCATCCCACGGATCGTGGAGCAAGTCTTCTCCAGTATTGCTATAGCGCCCGGGAATATGGAGTATACGGTGAAAGTCTCCTACATGGAGATCTACATGGAAAAGATTCGCGACTTGCTACAGCCTGCGAATGATAATCTACCGATACACGAGGAAAAGACAAGAGGGGTGTATGTGAAAGGTTTGCTTGAGGTCTACACGAGTTCAACGGAAGAAGTGTATCAAGTCCTTGAACAAGGTGGACAATCTAGAGCCACATCCTCCACCAACATGAATGCCGAGAGTTCACGGTCACACTCCATCTTTGTTGTGACGGTGACCCAGAAGAATGTCGAGACGGGTTCTGCCAAGTCGGGACAACTTTTCCTTGTTGATCTCGCAGGCTCAGAGAAAGTTGGCAAGACAGGCGCATCAGGTCAAACACTCGAAGAGGCAAAGAAGATCAACAAGTCGCTCTCAACGCTCGGTATGGTGATTAATGCACTGACGGATGGAAAAAGCACACATGTGCCCTATCGCGACTCCAAATTGACGCGCATCTTGCAAGAATCCCTCGGTGGCAATTCAAGAACCACGCTCATCATTAATTGTTCGCCCTCTGCCTACAATGACTCTGAGACACTCAGCACCTTGCGTTTTGGTATGCGAGCAAAGAGTATCAAGAACAAAGCGAAAGTCAATGCCGAGTTGTCTCCGGCTGAATTGAAAGCGCATTTGAAGCGCGCACGGCAAGAGTGTCTTACCTTTCAAGAATATGCAAGCGCGCTTGAAGGTGAATTGGGTCAGTGGCGTGGTGGCGTGCAAGTCAAGCAGGAGCATTGGGTCACATTCAGGGAAAATGGCAGCAGTGTCTTGCCCTCGCAATCAGGGTCTCGTGTCGATGTACTCAGAGACACAGGCAGCGAGACGCCACGCGCATCAACACCGTTGCCAGGCTCAGCGCCCCTTGAAAAGGACGAACGTGATGAGTTTCTCAAACGTGAGAATGAGCTACAAGATGCCCTTGCGGCAAAGGAGTCTGCGCTAGCACGAAATGAAGGGTTACTAGCACGGCTGCAGCAGGAATTAGCGAGCTTGCAAGTTCATGATCAAGAGACGGCACGTCAGCATGCTCTCCTCTCTGGGCAATATCGAGATGCGCAAATGGCGATGGAGAAGGCAGCGTTTGAACATCGCGAGGCGGCCATCACGCTTGATTCATTGAAGGAGGCGAATAGCGACTTGACGCATGAGCTGGAGGAAGTCAAAAAGGCACTCATGCAAGCGCGTCTCGAAGCAGCAGTTGGCAGTACAACCACAAGCAACGACTGGCTTTCACAAGAGGAGAAGGAGAAACGCAAAGCGGAAAAGATGCGAACCATGATGGCTGGCTTCTCCATTGAGCGTGACCCGGCTTCGTCATTGCAAGATCTACTGGACACCTGTACGGGTGTCGATCAGCTTGACGGCGAGGGACTTGCGCAGCTCCGCGCGACTTTGCAAGAAACACAGCGAGCGGTACGAGACACGGATCGTGGCTTACAAGATAAATTGGACCTGGTGGATTCTCTCACCCGTCGTAAAGCAGAACTTGAAGCACGCCTTGAACGGACTGAACAGGCGTATGCTGCGTTACTTGAAAAGACGCTTGCTGAACAAGGTGTGGATATGGGTGCCTTGAAACAACAATACCAAGAGGTGGTGGAAGCGAAACGCGAAGCCGATACGAATGAGATTGCTAGACTACACGAGCAAGCCGCGTCACAAGCTGCATTACTCGCTCAAAGTCAAGAAGCACTGGCGCACGCTAAGCAGCAACGGTCAGCAGACGTGCCAGTACCGTATGAAGGCTCGAATGGTGGCAAAACAGTGGCTCAGCAACTTGCTGATTTTGATGCAATGAAGAAGTCACTGATGCGTGATTTGCAAACACGTTGTGAGCGTGTGGTGGAGTTGGAGATTGCCTTGGATGATACACGAGAACAGTATAATGCCGTCTTACGCAGTACGCATGCACGAACGCAGCAAAAGAAGATGGCGTTTCTTGAGCGGAATCTGGAGCAATTAACGGCCGTTCAGCGACAATTGGTGGAGCAAAACGCGTCACTTAAGAAGGAAGTGGCGATTGCTGAGCGGAAACTGATTGCTCGAAATGAGCGCATCGCGTCGCTTGAGGGATTACTACAGGAAGCGCAGGATAAGTTGCAGCAGCAACACGGCAAGTTTGAGCAACAACTCCAGGCTGTTCGTGAGAGACTGGAGTCTGCGCGGACGAAAGCACCGGCAGCTCAAGGAATTGCGAGTCAGGGGATGACGGCTGGTATGCTTGGTTTATTTTCAGGGACCAAAATTGCAAAGCCGTTGAGGGGTGGTGGGTTGCCTGATTCACCGGGTGGGCCGCAGCAGCAGACTATGGAGACAAAGAGAGGAAGTTGGTTTAGATCGGGTGTTTAATCCATCCCAGCGTTGCATACACGTATAGACCAGCGAGTCCTAGCATCAAGCCTTGTGTTCGTTGTTGTCATTGTGTAGACCTCGGACTTTGGTGAGTGCGCGCTTGTGTCGGACTTGATTCTCCGCGCCGCCAAATTTGAGGAAATCGCCGAGACGCAGCTTCAGTTCTGACTTCTAACCTCCACACATCAAGTGCTCCAAGGGACTCTCTAGATTCGCTTGTCTTCTAATCAGATGGCAGACAGTGCGAGAGAAGCGGTTGAGGATGCCGTTATTCAGGCCAAAGAAGCTGTTCCAGATGTCAAATCGAGCTTGTCGGGCATCAAGTCCTTTGTGTCTGGTGGATTTGGTGGTATCTGCTGTGTATTGGTGGGACATCCGTTTGATTTGATTAAAGTCAGGATGCAAACGGCAGAGAAGGGAGTGTACTCGGGAACGATGGATGTTGTGCGAAAGACGCTTGCTAAAGCTGGACCAACGGTATGCACACTTGCTGTTCTTGTGTTTGCATACAATTGACTGACTATTTCAGGGTCTCTACGCAGGTGTCAGTGCGCCATTGATTGGTGTGACACCCATGTTTGCCATTTCTTTCCTTGTATGTCCAATCGACAGTGCTTGGATCAAGCTAATAGACAGGGTTACGATATGGGCAAGGGACTCGTCTCTCGCTTCTCTACAGTGGATGCCAAGACTGGTTTGTCCACAACACAGATTGCACTTGCTGGTCTCTTTTCTGCCATCCCCTGTACCCTTGTCACTGCTCCGTTTGAGCGTGTCAAGGTGCTATTGCAAGTGCAAGGCGACAGTAAGAAGTACAATGGTTCTTTGGATGTCATGAAGCAGCTCTACAAAACGGGTGGCATCAAATCTGTGTACCGTGGTTCTCTGGCTACGTTTGCACGCGATGGTCCTGGTTCTGCTGCGTACTTTGCATCGTATGAGGTGATTAAGCGGAAACTCACACCGAGGAAGGAAGATGGTTCACCTGGTGAGCTGAGTGTGCCAGCGGTAGTGGTGGCTGGTGGTATGGCCGGTGTTGCTATGTGGACGCTTGTCTTCCCCGTCGACACCATTAAATCGACCTTGCAAGCAACGGAAGGCTCGACCGTTGGCCAGGTGATTCGGACGATCCACTCGCGCGGTGGCATCAAGGCCTTCTTCCCTGGTATTGGACCTGCGTTGCTGCGATCCTTCCCTGCGAATGCGGCGACATTCTTGGGGGTGGAAGTGGCAAACCAGTTCATGACGAAGACACTGGGCATCTAGGTGTTTGTTGAGCATAGCATTATAGACATGGTAGCTGTGACTGCTATATTTTTATCTGCGCCACCTGTCTCGGCTGCTGGGTGTGGCGCATGTTGATCGAAAGAAGAAAAAGCGGAAGAGGAGAAGAGAAGCAGAGCGAGTCAGTGCCAGAGAGAGAGTTCAGCCAGAGAGGCAGCTGAAGAGAGCCCTGTCGAATTGAGTAGCAACTCCAACTCCTGCACCACACAAGCCCGCCTGCTCCGTGACTGAGATACACGGCACTTATCCAGTCCACAGCGGCAACAAAAGCGGCCCTCCATCGCTCTTCCTCTTCCCGGCCCGCATCTGACTGAGCACCCAACAGACAACGTGTCAGGCTGTCAGCGCACTCATCAAATAACAACACACACAACCACGGGCCCCCCTGCGTACGACACAGGACAGCAGCGTCATCCTCTTTTTCCGCCAAAGGAGGACAGTGATCCGTATTTGCTCCCCCTTGGTGCGTACGACAAACAAGCAAGAAACAAGGCAGCGCAACCTCCCTGCCAGGTTTTCAAAAGTGAGCAAGCGATTGAACCTCCCTTCTCCCTTCCTTCAAGGACCCAAAAAACACAAGCACAAGCACAGGCACACACAAGGCCAGGCTTCTCTTTGATTGCTACGGAAGACACGCATAGCGACACACGTCCCGAGCAAGATGAATGCGTATCATGCGCGTAATCCCAATATGGGCGGCCGTCTAGCGGAACTCCTAGATGCCGTCAAGGCAGAATTTGAAAATGTCACTCAAGAGGCCAGCGCCTACAAGAACTACAAGGACGACTATGAGCATAAAAGTAAGTGGACCAGGAAACAATAGCTTGTCGCTAATACATCCAGTTGCATCGCAGATTCAGGAAATGCAGAGTATGCGTCAAAACGTCTACGAGCTACAGATGGCGCATGAAAAGATGAAGCAAGTGTACGTCCTCCTCCTCTTTTTTATGCTTCCCACAAATGACTAACCATCCCAACAGGTATGAAGAAGAAATCACGCGTCTTAGGCGAGAACTCGATGCAAAGCCCGGAGCAGCCACGCACCCAACAGCCGGTCAAGGTAGTTTCAGCTTCCCGGCAAATGATTCTGCGCCACGCCCTAAATTGGGTGCTGCATCCAATATCTTTGGCGGTATTATTGCTGGCAAAGGTGGACAAGCCTTACCTGCTCATACGGCTGAACAACAAGGAGGCCGGGCCGGTGCACCACCTGCTCAGCAGCAACAAGCCGGATATGCGAATGGTGGCATGCATGCGAATGGGGGTGGTAGTATGGACCAAAAGCACAAGTTGGGCGGTTACCCGGAGCCTTCGCGACAAGGTGCTCCACCATCGATTCAACAACAGCAGCAGTTTGGTTATGGTGGACCACCACCACCACCCCAGCAACAGCAGCCACAACCTGCTCACCCACAGCAGCAAGCTCCACTCGTTGCTACACCAGCTGGCGAAACGGCCATTGCACAACAGCAAGCGCCTGTTCCTGCAACAACGACGCCTGCGCCTGAACCTGCTCGTCAGTCCTTCACAGAACTCGACATTGATTCTGTTCCTCGTGAGATGAAGAAGGAAGGAAGTGATTGGTTTGCTGTGTTTAATCCAAATGTCGCTCGAACGCTGGATGTCAATTTGGTGCATACCCTCGATCACAATTCAGTTGTGTGTTGTGCGCGTTTCTCTGCAGATGGAAAGTTCCTTGCTACAGGCTGTAATCGAGCAGCCAACATTTTTGATGTCAAGACTGGTCAGAAGGTGACGGTGTTGGAGGATACCGATGCCTCAACGGATGGCGACTTGTATATCCGCTCCGTTGCCTTCTCCCCCGACGGTACGCAACTTGCAACAGGTGCTGAGGATAAAGTGATTCGCGTTTGGGATATCGCCACCAAGAAAGTGCGGCATGTGTTTACCGGTCACGAACAAGACATCTACTCCCTTGACTTTTCAAAGAATGGCAGATTCGTTGCAAGTGGATCCGGTGATCGGACAGCGCGTGTTTGGGACCTCGAAGGTGGTCAGCAAGTCCTGACGTTGTCCATTGAAGATGGTGTCACCACCGTTGCCATCTCGCCAGATGGTAATTATATTGCTGCCGGATCACTCGATAAAGTGGTTCGTGTGTGGGATGCCAAGACGGGCTACCTCGTTGAGCGTCTCGAGGGACACAAGGATTCCGTCTATTCAGTCGCCTTTTCACCAAACGGTAAAGACCTCTACTCCGGATCCCTCGACAAGACTGTCAAACTCTGGGAACTCTCTGCACCACGCGGTATCCCGGCTTCTTCTACGCCAAAGGGCGGTGTGTGTCGTATGGACTTTGCAGGACACAAGGACTTTGTCTTATCTGTTGCACCCTCACCAGATGGCCAATGGCTCATCTCTGGCAGTAAAGATCGAAGTGTTCACTTTTGGGATCCACGCAGTGCTCAAGTGCAATTGCTCCTACAGGGACACAAGAATTCCGTCATCTCAGTGAGTGCGTCGCCACAGGGACACTTGTTTGCTACAGGTTCGGGAGATTGCAAAGCACGGATCTGGTCATATGAGACGTTGCAGTAAAGATTTTTTTTGCAAGATCATTGGGGCCCGCCTCTTCCATTGATTGTCTGTACGGGGCAGTCTGTCTTTTATGTGTTGTTTCATTCTCGCTCTCCTATTTCATCTGTAACAGACAACCCATCCATCCATCCATCCATCTCCACTTACTTGATGAGCGTCTTGAGTGATAACAGTGACTTTGCCAAGACACTCTCTTGTGATAAATTCTTGGCAAGTGATAAATCAGCCAACTGTCGTTTCTGTGATTGCAACTTAATCATGGTCTGCTCAATACTTCCTTCCACCACATAACTCACAACAGCCACCTGTTTGCGTTGTCCAATACGATGACAACGATCAACGGCTTGTGCATAGATACTTGGATTCCAACAAGGTTCCATGAAAAAGACTCGATTCGCAGCAACGAGATTCAAACCAACACCACCAGCGCGTGTTGAAACAAGCATAACGCGAACACCATCTGCTGAAGCATCACGCTCGAGTCGTGCAAGTTGAGCAGTGCGTTCGTCGCGAGACAAACTGCCATCGAGACGTGCAAAGGGGATTCCTAATCCTGACAATGCTTCGCCACATAAATCTAGGAAGGATGTAAATTGTGAAAAGACAATGGCTTTGGAGACGTCTTCTCCTTCAGCATCATCGAGCATAGCACCGAGATCTGTAAGGAGCGCCTTGAGCTTTGTGCTGTACGGGATCGCAAGGTCCTTCTTCCGCTCCAGGGACCGTTTCGTGGACTTTGTGCTGTTGGCGACCTTGTCTGCCGAGTCGATACTCAGCGGCTTTAACTGTAAAGGCTTGCCACATTCTGCTACTGGACAGTCAGCGGCTTCCTCGTCTAGTAGTGCTTGTCCATCTTCGCTGCAGAAATGATGATTACAGCGGCCTGTATTGCAGTATGCGGATTGCCCGTCTTTTTGCGCAGCTGTTACCAACTCTTCGCCACAAAAATCGCAAGTCCGGTCATCCGATGCGCTCTCATTCTTACCTGCAGAAGTCTCAGCTTCCTTTGCATCGAGTGTGGCAAGGATGCCAGTATGCAGGCAAATCTGGCGAAGGCGATTGATGCAATGCAATACATTGATGGTTGTTTGCGCTTTGCCAAGGCCACGCGTTTTTCGCTGATAGTACGCAAGATGGGTATTGTAGATTTCTTGTTCCTCATCATCCAGTTTCAGCAGGCGCGTCTCTTCCGTCTTGGGCGCCATTTGCATGAGTGCCTCACTCGGCTTGCCATCTGAAGAGTAGTCCTTTGTACGCCTCAAGCAGCGCATCTTGAGGAGTGTTTGCAATCGCGTCACGGCAACTTGGTCGCCTTGCTTCATTGGCTGTGAGATGTATTGTGACCAGACTGCGCGCTGATCAAAAGGCTCGAGCTTCAGAAAATTGAAGAGAGCACTTAAATCATTCAAACCATTCTGAACAGGGGTTGCAGTGACGGCCCATCGATTCAGTGCTGATAGAGCCGCAGCTGCTTGACTCTGTTGTGTGCTGATGTCTTTGATGATGTGCGCCTCGTCTAGAATAACGCGGTACCACTCCATTTGTGGTAGAATGGTTTCGCGATTGCCTTCCTCGGCGGCCTTGAACTCTTGCGCCAGGAGAGCGTAGGTGGTCAAGACGATATCTGCTGCTTGCATTTCTTTTGGGTCAAACGTACGTGTCTTTTGATGGTGCACGACAATCTTTGGTGTGCTAGACATGTGCAGCTTTACCTGTTCAGTCCAATTGCTCAGCACCGAGAGCGGGCAGACAATGAGCGTCGCCTGGGTCCGCGTTACTGATTCATTTGCCAATCGCGCACGGGCAAAAACTTTGGCGTCTTCCTTGCTGTGTGCAATGAGAGAGAGCATAGACAGTGTCTTACCAAGTCCCATTTCGTCTGCCAAGAGACCTCCACGACATTCCTTTGGCTGCCGGTAGAGCACCTGTGGTGTAATGGCATTCTTCCAGTAGGTTTTGCCATCCTTTAGTCCGGGCCGCCAGAGAGAGTGTTCAAGACTTGAGTCACGACTTGCCTCCTTCTCATGGTCGATGCAGAATGTTAAAGCTTGCGCTTGATGCTTGAGTAAGGGCGTCTTGACTCCCGCCGGGCAAGCTGTTAAGACGAGGTTTTCAGAGTTTTGAATCCTGTAAAAGAGTCCCTGAATCTCCTCTTTGATTTCTTCTGCAGTTTTGAAGAGTGAAGTGCCGTATTGTAAGGCTCCATTGGCGGGCTTGAATGAACGCTTGGCCGTCTGATGTGGATTGACATAGACAAAACTGTGGTCATAAGCCACAGGCGTGACCAGGAAGCAATTCTTTTGACTGAGAATCACACCAACCCGTTCCGTTTTGCTTCCGTCGCCATAAAGGATGATCTCAAAAGGTAACACAGCCGAGACACCATTCATGTTGTCGCCTTCTTTACCATATCGAGGTCGCGACGGGATGCGTGCTTCACAAGTGACAAGATCGAGTGCCATGAGTCTCGCCAGTGGTGCAGCAGTCTCCGGCCCAATCATACCGAACTTTTCACCCTTGTGAAGACAGTGTATCACGTTGCCGTTTGCCTTTGATATGGTGCAGTCTATGCGGGGCCACTGCTTAGGTAGCAAAGTAGAGGCGGGTGGTATCCTAAATGCATTGCAGGATGACTTCAGCATGCCAAAGCAAACCTTGTTGATCGGTTGTGATGGAACAATCTCGGTGTCTTCTTCTTCCTCGCCATCACTGATTGCAATGACTTTGCTTTGACTCGTGGCCATGTGAGCAGATCGCTCTGCCTCTTGTGCTCGTGCATGTTTGGACGCTTCTTGTAGCTCTTTGCCAACGATACCAGTTTCACCCGATTGAGACTCGACAGCTTGACCAGGCTCTTTCTTCTGCCGTTTAGGTGCAGTCGCTTTACGCTCCTTGACACCAAAAAGCTTTTCTATAGCCGTCGTCTCGGTGATGTCACTTTCCTTAGATGACTCTTGCTTTTTGAGCATGCCGCGCGGATTGAGCAGAAGCCGCGGATCATAGCTTGGAGGAGAAGTCAGGTCAATGACAGCTTGGGCCTTGCGTTTGGGAGGCATCTATATGAACATCAAGCAGCGATGAGGGAGCTTGCGCGAAACGTCGTTCGAGTGGTGGCGAGAGTATTGGAAAATCGAAAGCATACACAACAACGACACATTCGCTTGCATACATTCTTTGTTTTCCCTTGATCTTCTTCCTACAGCTCAGTTACCTCTCTCAGCTCTTTCTCAGCTCGTTGTACTTCAGGAATCATGATGAAGCTCGTCCGAAATGGTCTCTTCCGCACGCGCGAGACCGTGCCACCCTCAAAACCAGATGATCCTCTGTCAGCTTATCTCAATAGCGACCTGGTATACACGCCCGGCAGCCCCATCAGTCCAAGCAGCTGCAGCATCTGCGACAATCCTCTCATCGGACTTAAGAGCGCCTTTTCAGATGGTGGATGTGGACACGTCTTTCACAAGGCATGTGCATGCAAGGTATGCTGCAGATACTTCTGATCGCGTCTCACCAGAAGCTCTCACAATGTCCTGTATGTTTTGAACCATTTTCGCCCGTGAAGCGGACGAGTCGTAAGGAGCAACGCAAGTCCGCTTTGCGCATCAAGACGATAGACACGGATGATACATCGACGCTTGCACCACGAGTGCTTCCCTCATTTCCCAAACTACTTGATCTAGACGTTGATATCAGAAGCAGCTGTCGGACCTTGGGACCAGGTGCCGGCGATACTCATATCATGCTGCAACTACAGCCTTACTTCCCTGAAGCCGAACCGGTACTTGCACGCAATCCGCTCAAGGTTGCTATCCTCTTGGATCTGCAGCCTCTCATGCTTGCCAACAAGAGATACTCGGAGCCGAAGGCAGTGTGCGCTTCCGTCATGTCCTTTTTGATACCCGGTGACACCTGGATGTTGCTCACGACAACAAAGAGCTCGAGCAAACGGCTCATCAAGGGTCCATCAGTGGTGGGTAGCTCAACGCAGAAGGAATTGGAGGAGCTTCTTGGTAGCTTGACATTCGATGAAGCGTTCTACGAGCTTGACTTGGTCAAGACTGTCCAGCACGCCACACGGCTATTTGCTGATACAGACACGGACAAGGTGAGTCGCCCCTTGGCAATGTCAGACTGATCAAAGTCGTGTGTTGTTTTTGTCTCGGACGGAAGCAGTATGCCAGACAAGCTTCAATCGAAACACATGGCGCGCTGCTTTCGTGGCTCCCAAACTGTGTTTCTTTGCCTTGGCGTGGGCTTGTGTCATAACGCTACAGCGATGCGCACTTGGGGTTCTTCCTGCGAAGAGGGCTTATACCTGGACGCGTTGCAGATGGACGATATTCAACGAGTCTTTGGGGACGTTCGTGCCGGCAGTCTTTTGATGCCCCTAACAAACATCAAGGTCGACCTGCAACTACATGAAGGTGCTACCATCATTTCACTTACTGATAAAGATGTTGTTGTACACGAACAGTCATCTGACAGACTGTTGATGACAATCGATAGACTCTCACCGTATGAGCTTCGCCAGATCATGATCGAGGTACGCATTCCACCAGTCGACCGTGCGTTCTCGTCATCTCCGCAGAGACCGACTTTGGCAAGACAAGATAGTGCACTACGACTCGCGGAGTTGGAGCTCATGATACAGATGCTGCCGACGCGCTTGGCTTCATGTCAAGTCTCATACAATCATCCGTGCCTTTCGGATGGCATTCGTTTGACTCACGAGGAGCTAGGACTGACAATCAAACGCGCAGCTCAGACTGAAGTGGATGTCACCATCTTGGCATGTAGTGTCAAGAAGGATGCTCTACAATTACTACGCCAAGCGCTCGTTTTGGAGAGTCAACAACAAAAGGAAGCTGCTCTCGGTCTACTTAGGGATGCAGAACAAACAGTCCATGCGTTGTGCACGGAACATGCACTTTCCACCGCGGATTTTGAAACGCTCTTGGCAGAGTTCTCCATGATTCGATTTCGTTTGTCTCCCAGGTATCATGTTGCTGCGGTTAGGAGACGCTTGTCAACGACGCAGGTGGTTCAAGTTACGCCAGACTTGACACAGATGCAAAGCTGGACGGCCTCGGAAATCGAATCTGGATCCATGCAAACGCCCATCAACAAGCGGCGCAGCCACTTGTGGGAGCAATGTGTTCAAGCCTCGCCCATCGAAATTCGAAGCGCTGTTTCACCGTCAAAATCAATGACGGCTTTGGTCAACCCTTCTTACAGTCAACAGCTACTCGGGAAATCACCAAAGGCCTTACCATCCACAAAGCAAGCAAGCTTGTCAAAGGTGGCGACGCCACTCATCATTAGACCGTCACCGCGGATTCCTCCACCTCAGGTGCAGCAGTCTTTTGATGCTTCTAGTAGAAGAGCTTCTTTCGAGGGTGTCTCCAGACCTGCTCTCTCAATCATGACGGACTCGAAATCATACCGAGCCACTCGCAACTATGATGAACTCGGCATGAGTCCGCTCCAGCGACTTGAAAAGCAAATACAGGCTTCGCGAGGTCATCCTGAAAGTCTCGCAAGACTCCCTTCCAGCACAGACATTCAAAAATTGATCAGACGCTCGAGTCAAGCCTATGAGAAGCCTCAAAGGAACAAAGATTTGCCTGCGCCTCCATTGATGCCATCTCCCATTGCTCGTGTCCGTTCCTATGTACTTGACCAAGCTCAGACGCGTTCCTTGTCGAGATTTAACGACCAACGGCAGCAGCAACATCATTCTGATCCAGCACGTAACATTTGGCGTATGCAACAAGCGGAGCGTGGGGAAGAGTTGTCCCTGAGCGAGGCAGATTTATCGCGTCGTCAGATGGATATGTCTGCACAGTCGCAAGAAACGAGTCGCACTGACTTGCCGTTTTCAAGTGATGCCTTTCGAGATGAGTCAGAGACGCCTGTGAGTGATTACTTTGGACTGCGACGAGGACATGATGGGCGACCACGTGCTGCGAATTTGCCACGACCCGAGGACGACTTGGTTTATGACGGACTGCCTCGCCCTGAGAGGCAGACACCTAGCCCCACAAAAGCTTGGCCTTTGACGAGTTCCAATACATCACCGACCAAATCAAATAAGACTGCACGTATTGAAAGTACACATTATTCGGCAACAGAACCGGTGAGTGCACCAATTGTGGAGGAGACAGAGTGTGCAACATCTCGGCCAGTCTCCAGGGGCAATGATGATGGGGAAGAGATCTTTACGCCGATTGAAGAGGCCCGTGAGAGTGGCGAGTCGATTGAGCTTGTTTTCGGTGGGCAGCTCAAATGGAGCAATTAACCATTGTAGCAACAGTCTTCCTTGTCATGCATGTCTTTGTGCTGTCCTCATCACTGATGCTATGGATACCTCTCAAAGACGTCATATCACCCTTCTTGCCTAAATTCAAGCTCGTCGTCCGTGTTTACTTTGATGTTCAAAGTGTCACCGGGCTATGAGCCTCCTCGTCGCCACACAAGACTTGAAAGACACTCGGTCGCAGTCGTTGATCGAGTCTAGGCTCTCTGATAAAGTCAAACAAGTCAAGCGTGCTTTGAATGCTGCCCGTACTGCTCATTGGACTTCCCTCGCCCTTCAGCAACTCCTCGATACCATTTAACTCTTGCGTTTGGAGTCGACGCAAGCCCAGCCTTGACAATTGTTGAAGTGACGAAGACTGTTGCTCTGAGATAGGCTGCGAAACGCAACCGGAGGGCGAATATGTTGAGGTCACTTCGAACTTGTAACGCTTGCTGAGGTGAAGGGGTCGAATGGCAGTCTGCCTACGCTGGTGCTTTGCGCGCAACAAAGGCTGGGCGTGTGCTGCGCACATGGTACGCTGGCACCAGTTGTAAATTTGCGAAAGAGGGAGGGGAGGGGGAGGTCGATCCAACCTTGAGAAGAAAGGATGAGTCTTCCCCAAGACAGGCGAGGAAGACGCTCTTTTATCTTCTTCGGTCTGGTAGCATGTTACATTGATGACGATCGTTCGGACGCTTGTTTCAGCATGGCGGGCGGCACTTTTCGAATCCGTTTGAAGTGTGATAGCATGGTGATGGCCTAGCATTGACAGCGTCAAGCCTGTTTGTTTGCCCAAATTCAGGGAGACGCACGACCTCGGAATCAAATGACAGCATATCAAGAACCGATGCTTTTCTCTGTCTAGACCCATATCGTCGCGCTCGCCTGCTCATTGCTACCAGGCAGCATCCTCAATTGCGACTCTCCGATTGAGGACCGATCCCCGAAGGAGAAAAGGTACTTGTCAGGGGCTCAATGAGATACGACCCGAGAATGGCGATCGCTAGAATTGGTCGCCGCGGAAGTGATATCACCATTCGCGCAGGACTCGCAGCAGGGATAGGCAGTTCTAATTCAGGAGAGCATGAGGTCTGTTTGAGCACGCCATCGCGCAGTGGGTCTGGCGCGTTGTTTCAAAGCGGCCTGGAGAAGCTAGAAATAGAAGCATGACAAAGACGCAGCAGCCTGAGAAACATGAGCAAGTGAGCAGACCGCTCGGAGTGTGGTGGTTGTGGTATTGGATTGAAGAAGATGCATCTCATTGAAAGCGCGTCAATTCATCAGCGAGCAACCACGCCAGCACACTACTCGCCACCACACCAGGCCCTCGTTCTCCTCTTCGTGCTCTCTTCTCTTGCATCAAAGCTCTAGTCTAGCATCAAATCTGATCAACGCTTCTAACGCGCGCCGGCTCCCAAATACCATAGGCGGCAGCATGGACGGCCAATATCGCGAAAAGAACACACCGTCTCCCAATGCCTCTTCTTCCCTCATTCTCAAGCGGCAATTTCGGGATCTACAGAAGCATCCTGTACAAGGTTTCTCCTGCGGTTTGCCGGATGAGTCCAACTTTTATGAGTGGGAGGTGCTCATCATTGGACCACAGGATACAGTTTACGAGGGCGCCTTTCTAAAAGCGCGCTTGACGTTTCCACGGGAGTACCCGCTTCTGCCTCCCAAGATGCAGGTATGTGCAGCTGCTCTCGTTTCTTGTTCAAGGCCTGTCTGCTGACGACCTTGATAGTTCTTAACAGAGATGTGGCACCCGAATATCTACGCTGATGGTAATGTCTGCATCTCAATCTTGCATGCGCCCGAGGATGACCAATATGGCTATGAAGATGCAGGCGAGCGCTGGCTTCCTGTGCATACAGTCGAGACAGGTAAAGCTTCTTGCTAAGCTACCACAAAGACAATGACTGACTTTTTAGTGCTGATCTCTGTCATATCAATGCTCAGCTCACCGAATGACGAGTCACCTGCGAATCTGCCCTGCGCACAGCAACTACGGGAAGATCCCAAGGGCTTCAAGAAGAAAGTACGCGCATTGGTGAGGAAATCTGGGGAAGACGCGTTTGACTAGAAGCTTGAGTGGACGTCTGGTGTAATGGTTTTGCTTTGTTTCACAGCGCCCCTTTTTTGATATGGTATCCTGCATTCAGCCCGGATGGAGTGTTCGGTCTCTCTCTCTCGCTCTCTTACTCACCCCGATCAGCTCTCTACTGTATGCATTAATGATGTCTTCTGTCCCTCGTACATATCTTGCCCCTTCGTGTCTCGCAACTCAAATTTCAACTTTTGCGACAAAGACACTTGAAAGAAACCATCTAGCAGCTTCATCTCAAGGCCTTCCTCTAGCGCAGTCAGCTCCACCATGGCTCCGCAAGTCAAGGGCAAGAAGCAAACTAACAATGTCGCCACAGCCACCGGCGGCCTCAGTAAACGCAGACGCAAGCCTAAAACTTATACAGAAAAACAACTCGGTCTCAAACCTCTCAATACAGTCGCCAAGCCAGCCGGTGTTGTGAAACGTGGCAAGATTGGGAAGGTGTTTGCAGATGAGTCTGCCATGCAGTTGATTTTGGCGGAGGTGAATAAGAAGCAGGAGGGTCAGGTGCGGTCAAAGTTGCAGCGCGTGCAAGATATGGAGGCTGTGCGGGAGCGGAAACGCATAGAGATGGAGGCGAAGGAACGGTCAAAAGCGGCATTGCTTGAGAAGCGGAAAGAAGCGCTACGGCATGGTGGTGGTGAGCGTGTATCGGCGGCGCAGAAGAAAGAGAAAGAAGGAGAGCGTCGCGTAGGTCCTGCGATTCCGGCATCACGCTTAGCAGGTGGACGACAGAGCGGTGCGCGGCCCATGTCTGCAAAGCAAAAGGGCACGGCCAACAAGAAGGTCGCCTTCGAAAAGGGCGTCAAGTAGAGAAGAGCATCGATTTTGAGCACAGCATTCGTTAGCATTCATGAGCGAGCATTTTATGATTTCTCCTATGCTAGACTCCATGCCTGCGTCTGAGTGGATGGACTTGTATCACTTTGCCATGCAGCTTCAATCTCGAGGAAGCGAGGATTGTCACTGTTCTTCCTGAATGTCAGTTCACCAGAGACTTGCTTCTCGCCACCGCCAATGTGTTTGAAGAGCAAGACTGCTTGCTTCCAGTGAGTCGAGGCACCATGTGGGCCAGTCGTGAAGCCTTGGTGCTCTTTGATGACATCTTTGACATCGACCTGTCGCATTTCAGCGAGCTTCTTGCATTCGTCTCGTGTTTTGCCAAAGTACGTATCAAACCAGACAAGCAGCCCGACCAGACCTGTAGCCTTTTGCAGTTCAAAGCGACCGCTGAAGTTCAGAGACTCTGTAGTGACGGTGTGTAGATCGAGCGATTTGAACGTGTAAGCCTCGGAGGTGACTTGGCTCGTAGTGAGGTAGTCAATGAGGATATCATCAAATTGCTTTTCTTTCATAGCATTCATCTTGAAGCCGTAGACATCGTTGAAGTAATTCGTACGGTCACTCCAGTACTCTTCGTCAGTGATGCCAGCGACACGTAGTTGAATGTGACTCGGCATCATGAGTCCTTCGGGTTTTAGGAAACGGTCTCGTGCGCAAATGACGGAATCGAGCATGGCTTCGTAGAGCAAAGCGTAGCCCATCCATTCGGAGACGATGATGTCGACTTTGATACCACCCGGCAGCTTGATGTCCTCTACCTTGCCCTTGATGAAGGTTATTTGATCTTGCAAATTATTCTCAAAAGCATTGGCTTGAGCCTTTTCAATGATGCTCGAATTATCAATGGCGTAGACGTGCTTCGCCCCAGCCTTTGCAGCAAACATACTCAAGATACCTGTTCCACAGCCAACATCCATGACAGTAGCACCATTGAACAGATCCTTGTTGCCGTACACCGCATCCCGATACGCATCTGTTCGAACGGCATCGCGCAACATGGTTTCGTGAATCTCATTGTAGGCGTATGATTCAAAGTAGTAGCTGTCATTGTCGACAGGCGCTTGTTTTGTTGAGGAAGAAGCACCGATGCCACTGTCACCAGCATGAGCAGTCAAAACGGTGCGCACCTGATCTTGCAAAGCCGAGTATTGCGCCTCGAGTTGAGCACACCGAGCCTTCCAGTCTTGCACCGTCTCTGGTTCAGCGGTAGCAGTTTCGTCTCCGAAATCATCCTCTGCAAGTGTGAATAACACCGCATCGTCCTCGAGCACAGGCTGCAACCATTTATCATCTTGTTGTACCTCCGCCATACACGCTGCAATTTTATCTGCAAGCGTCTTGGTCTGCCTCACAAAATTGACCAACCGGATCATACCATACATGTCCAGCTTATGCGCACGCTGCACGGCGCGTAGCTCAAATCCATGCGTCGTTTGTTCATGTTTGAGCATATCATTCAACGAATCAAAAATCATGTCATCGTGCAGTGCTCTGTATTCATACCGTACATCCTCCTCGGGATCTTCCCAGTCTGACTCGTGCGAGTCTCTATCACTGGCTGCATCCATCAAGCTTGTCTTGCGATGCTCTCACAGCTGCTGCTGTTTGTTCGACGTGAACTCATTTTTTTAATCTTGTCAGATGGCATTCATAAGCTCGACCACACCACGTAAGGCGACACCTACTCTATAGCTCAGAGATGCCACTCAAGCTGCTAAAGCACAAATCATGGCATGTAGGAAAACGTGAAAATATCGAGCGTGTGCGTCGTGATGAAGCGGCTGAACAAGCGCGTATTGAGGCTGATGAGCAACGTATGCAAGAGGAAGATGCACGAAATAGACTTGCTTTGTTGCGTGGAAGGCAGCCTCCCGCTGTCACTCAGACGGATCCTATTCACGAGGAACATGCTGATCCTTCGCTGACTGGCACTTCAAAGAGAACCAGAAAGCCACGTAAGCGCGACGATATGGTTGAATTGGATGCACAGCTTCAAGGCAAGCAGATTGACCCTGAAGTTTCAGATGATGCTGAGAAGTTTACAGCTGGAAAGTGTCCTCCACTTGGGACTGCTCCGCCAGTCAGCGACTTCAAGTTCCAGCAGCCATGGTACGTGACTCGGAGCGAAGAATCGGAAAAGAAGAAAGCTAGACTCGATGCAGCAAGAAAGCAATCGTCTGACCCGCTTGTGGCGATGCAAGCCTTTCTAGCTCAAAAGAAGGCGCTAGAGCAGCAAAGAGTAGCTGAATTAATTACGGACGAGGCATCGCATATACAGGACAGCAGTATAAAAACAAAGAGAGAAGCGCGTCGACGTCGACATCACCATCGAGACTCGTCGCACAAGCCACGGCACGATTGAAGATCAGGACATTCCGTTCCATCACGCAGCGAATCCTCAAAGATGACATGAACAAATTCAAAACTACGACTCTGTCAATTCAATGGCCGGTGGCGTCCAGCTCTTCGCCGTAATAGCATTCGTTGCGCCATAAATCCGCAGTGTCGGGATCCATACACCGACTGGCACAGGTATCCAATTGCTCGTACCACTTGCCGGTGGGTTGACACTCGCTAGCAGATCGAAGGAGCCATTGGCATTCTTCTGCAATGCATCGCGCGAACCGATACTATACCGTCCAATGCCATTCGCAACCAAGAACCCTGTACTATCATACGCAGTGAAGCTCCAAAATCCAAGACGTTGTGTAGGTGGTGCACCATCTCCAAAGCGAATGCGATGAACAGAAGTGTTGGTGCTGCTCAAGTTTGCATAGCTCGGATAGAGGGCTTGTTCTGGCGTGACTGCTGCAAGGAGCTCTGTCGTGACATATGCGCGCGACAGATAATCTCGACCCCAGTTGCCTATATTCGGGTTGGGCAGGGTCCAATTATTGGCAAGCTGCTGGAAGAAGTTTGGAACATTAGACGGGGCTGCACGAATCGTTTGGTTCGCTGCGCGTTGAGCAGCAGTGAGCTGGTCTAGCGTCAGGAGTGGTGTGAAGGGCCGGCTGGTAGACATGCCGACACTGGAGTAATTGGCAGCAAAGACGTCTAATTCCAAGGGATTCGCCTGAACGGCCTGATTGAGCAGGTAGAAACTCTGGTAGATTTGCGCAGTGCTGTTTGTAAAACCTGGCTGGATAAATGTCTGCACTGCGGCCGGTGTCTTTGCAACATACAAATCATCCTGTAGACGATGCACCTTTTCAAGATCGGCATCATTCGTTGCATTCAGTACGAAAGTACGTCCCAACAGCCATACATCATTCGTTGGACTGATGATCGTGTACCTAGATGATGCATTGACACAAGATGCCTGTTGGGGCCCGACTAATGTATAATTGCCGGCAGGGTAGTTGAGCAAGTTGCCAGGGTTTGCAAAATTATTGGTATAGGCATCGTAAAGCGCTGCAACAAAGAAGCGTTCGTCAGATGTGGGAATATGCAGCACAATTGGGCCGTTGCTCAAGTCGAGAAACGCAATACTGTAAAGTGTGTCTGCGTTGGGACGGACAACGGACCGCTGTCCCGCGTTTGCAAGGCCCCTCGCATGAATGACTGTGTTGATGGGAGTTCCAGTGGAAAGGTAGAATGCCCGAGTGCGTTGGAAGGCAAGCGGTGCTAAGCCGTAGATCCAGGCATCAATGGCAGATTGTGTTGCATTGACTTGACTCGGGCTGCAACTTTGAGATGCTGCTAGGCTTGCATAGACAAGCAAGGCCGTTTTGATGATTTGCATCGCCGACCGTGACTCTCGCTCGTTGTTGACTGCGTTGTGCGACCTCCTCTTTGTATTTTCGACAGAGTCCTACAGCTTCCCCACACTCAGGCTTGAAAAGTGGCGTTGTGGCACAGGCAAGCAGACTACTCCTGGCAAGTAGGAATATAGTACGTCAAGACAGCAGCATGAGCATTCTGTTCGGCTTCGTCATCTTCATCTGCAAGATGCACATAGATGACCAGGACTTGATCTTCGCAGAAGCAAGCCACCACGCGTTTGGCAATTGGTCCGATCCTGAGTAGGTTACACCAGTCCTTGGCATCGATGCGAAGATGGCAAAATTGCTGCTTGTCTCTCTTCTGGACGGGTAACTCCTCAACTGGACCATCATACGCTGCTTGATTGAATGTTGGGTGAGCAAGATTCGTAAACATAGTCTCAGTCTTGACGGCAGGCGTGTCGATGCCAACTGAGAATTTGCCATCCATATTAGCAGACAAGATGAGTCGATCAGCCAGGGTCTTGAGACTGTTGGAGATGTACGACAGCTGTACGAGCGAGGGCAACATAATGACCACATCTGGCTCACCGACATCTGGCTCTTGAATTTCATCGATCGACTGACTAGGCAGAACTCGCACATTGAGGTCATTCGTCACTGTGTTGGCTCCACCATGCTTTCCGTAGAATGTAGACATGCACGAGAGCATCGGATAGCCGCTTCTCTTGGTCAATTTGACCGTCACCTCGCTATTGCTGACCATGTTTCGTAGAAGCCTGCCAAACTCATCCACAGACAGCTCTAGATTGATGACATTGTCTGCATTGGACTCTATAGTGTACTGCCTGAACAGCGCTTCAGCAGGGATAGATGCCCAGACTTGAGTAGCTGAAGACAGCTGCCTGACAATGAACTGGATCGTGGTCTTGGACAGACGCAGCCAGCAGACTTTGTTCATAACTGCGAGAGATTGTGCGATTCGCGCTAGTGTTGGAATGTCCACGAGAGTAGACTTGAACTTCATCTTAGCTTAGCATGCCACAGCAGCACAGTTTGGCACTCCTTCTTCTTCTGAGAGTTCTCTAGCTGTCCTTCTCTCGTTGCTCGCGACGCGTGAGTTTCCAAATTTGTCGCGTCTCTGTTGGCAAGTGCCAGGATGACGTGCATGGATCCGCTCAACCACCACACAGTCACGTCGTGCTTGCAATGCGATGGCTCAGCTGTACTTGTCAGCCTACAAAGCTCATTGCTAGAAGAAAAGAGCCACTGAATCATATCAAGACGTTTCGTCGGTTTGCATCAGACATTCGCTCGCTATCGTATGAGGTGACTGAAGCTCAAGCACTGCACTCGCTCAAGAAGCACCACAAAAGTCCAATCACGCTGAGTCCATCCACCTCAGAACCCCTTCGTAAGCGATATGTACCATTCTATCTATATGAAGTGAAGACCAAGGCCTTCGTCGGTGCTTCTATCGGTCGACAGATGGCTGTGCCCTATAGAGATCCACAGACAGGTCGCATCAGCCAGCGCTTCAAAACCATCTGGTCCGTACTACCTCGTTTTGAACTCGAGAATGCGTATAGCAGTGCCGACACGGCTTGCCAGATCTACGCTGGCTTTGAAAACTTTTCCTCCCAGTTGTCGCCTTTTCTACCGATCCGTCCTGCAGAGCTACAAGCGCATCGAAGTGGCTCTGGTGCAGAGGAGGAACCATTTGCGATGCATGAAGCATTTGCACAAAAGAAGCTTCAAGCAAATATCGCTAAAGAGCAAGAGTATCTCGTCAAGGAAATGCTCAATCGGGAATATGGTGCCCTCGTACGCATCACACAGTTGCAGATGGAAGTCTCTGTGAGTCATACGCAACGTGCGTACTTTCCACTCTATGTCCAAAGTTACAGTCTTGGCGGACGGACATTGCGGACTTTAGTGAGTGGACGGGACGGCAAGACGTCGGGTTTGAAGCTGTATGATCCGATGCTCTCGGGCCTGGCTGGTGCAACGCTTGTCAGTTTGGCAACAGGCTTGTTGGTGGGTCCTATCGTTGGCCTTATTTTGGGTGGATTGGGATACTTTGCTGCGCGTACCGTTGCTACCTTGTTACCAATTTGGCGACTTGCACGCATGATGGCCGCACAAGCAGCCGACGTCCAAGCAAACAACACGTTTGGTGGTGGTGGTGGTGGTGGTCAGTCATCAGGTCGATCAGGCTTCACTGGATTTGGTGGCTTCAATCCCTTTGAGCAGTTCATGGGTGGTCAAGGACAGCAGCAACAACAGGGTAATGGCAACCCATTCGATCCGTTCTCTCGCGGTGGATTCAATGGTCAACGGACGAGTCAAGATCCATTTTATGGTTATGGTCAAGAAGGAAGACGTGCTGGAGGTGGTACGTATGGCAACCAAAGTCAGCAACGATCACGACCGAGTCCGCGTGGCGACGATCCAGCTGGACTCTATGCTGCATTGGGTCTCAAGAAGACAGCGACGCAAGATGAGATTTCAACAAGATTCCGGGAATTGGCAATGAAGAAGCATCCAGACAAGGTGCCAGAGGCAGAGAAGGCTAAGGCATCAAAAGAATTTGCAAAGATCAATGAGGCATATCGCGTGTTGCGTAATGCAGGGAAGCGCGATCAGTATGATCGCTTTGGCATTTCATAAGCTGACATGTGCAGGCGAGCATATAAGTAGACGTGAATCAATAGTTCCTGTGGATAATGATGCTGTTACCTATTGATCTTGCTCGAGCTCCCCCATTTTTTGTGCAACGGATACATCATGTAATCGGTTGTGTAAGTGCTTGTAGGAATGCGTCGTGATGCATATGCTGCGACGAGGTCGTTGACTGTTTGAAAGTTGATTAAAGATGCAGATAGATTTTCGAACAGGCTGGAATGGATTATGCGCTCGCCCTTGCGTCTGCCCTTTTGTCACCAGAGATGCTGTGTGCGGGAGACACGCTGGCGCTGTTGTCGAGGGACGCACGTTCGAGGAGGCGCTCAATCGAGCTGAGATGCTTGCCATAGGAGAACTTTTTGAGCGATTCGAGCAATGGACGAATCTTATTTGCCAGCTCATGCCTTTGAGCGCCATCGCTGACTTCGAGCATCTTTTGCAAAACGTAGTTGCCGTACTGATCCTTCATCAGAGCACTCAAGTTGCTTGATCCATCAGGGTTGAGGGCAAGCACTTCTTCAATCAACATGTGTCGCTCATCGGCATCGCCAAACATGATGCACTTCTCCACCACGTTGCTCGCAAACTTGTGCTTCGACAAGGTCAACACCTGCCCCTTGATGACACCAATAACGCGTGACTTGTCTTCGTTGCTGCCGCGTTCGATCAAGTGCTGCGACACATAATTGCCGTACTGATCCACCACCAAGTTTTGCGTGTATCGGTGAAGTTCTTCGAGAATCGAGGCTTGCGCCGTTGGGCAGTGCTCCAAGACGCGCTGGATGACGCGACAACCATAGGGGTGTGTAGCCAGGATGTATGCCTGACCGGCAAACGCATTCAAGATAAAGTCAATCTTATCGGCTGGCACACGTTCGAGTGCTTTTTGAATGACATGATTGCCATTTTGATCCTTGACGCACTTCAAGACATGACCATCGAGTTCCTTGACCATACTCGCTTGTTGCTCAGCAAGCACATGCTCCAGTGCTTTTTGCACAACGCGACAACCGTACATCTGCAATGACAACGACAAGACGTGCGTTTCCATGTGCTTTGCGAGCACAGTCTTTTGCACCTGATTGCCATGCTCAAAGAACTTTTGAATGACATAGTTGCCAAAGACATCCGTCATGAGCTGCAAGCAATTCGGGACAATCTCCTGAAACAATGCCTCTTTATCATCCGAACTCGCCGTCTCCAATTTTTGTTGAATAAAGCGACTTCCATGCTGATCACCAGAAAACTCAACCACATGTCCAAAGATATCCGTCAAATCCACCTTCTTTGCCTTATTGTTGCGAAACTCCTCAAGCACTTGACTCCGCATGCCAGCAGCAGGATCTTCTCTTCTGCCACTCGTATGGCGAGATCCCGGATGACCATGTGCCATAGGCGCAGGCATACCCAACGTTGCGCGTGGATCATAATACGCTTCACCACCGGGATACCCATAATACTCACCACCACGATTGTTGTTGTTTTGTGGATACCGAGATTGTCCTCCTGCACGACCGACAGAGCCACCATAAGCATGACCACGAAACTCATCTGGCCTAAATCCACCGCGTGGCATGGAACGCGTATCGTAGGCGGTATAGCCATAAGGGTCTGCACCGTACATGGCATATCCATTTGGTGGCACCATTCGATAAGGATCTTCGAAACCACGACCGTATGCGTCGTATTCACCGTACAAAGCATTAGAACCACCGAATCCTGCATGCTGCTGTTGTTGACCTTGTGGCATGAAGGGGGTTGCATTGGCGGATTGTGAGATGTAAGGCGATGCAGACCGACTCGTTGACTTCCCAGGTGCTGATTCTTGAATGGTGTGTGAGCGCATGGCACCCATCAATTCTGCTTCCCGCGTTGTTTGAGAGGGTGCATCAAATTGACCACGTTGCATCACTTGCGGCGTGAAGAAGGGCATCCCACTGAAACGCTCGGTACTGGATGGCTGAATAGCATAGGGTGGTGTCGAGGTGGATCGTGCGGGTCCTTGCAAGAAGGCTTCTGTGTTATCGAGACGCGCTTGCATGACACTCTTCATACGACCATGTCCTTGCTGTTGCGTGCTTGTCGATGAGGTCGGTCCCGTTGATTCATCATCATATCCAATCGCAGCACTCCCGCTACTCCCCTCTGTTGCAGCAGCTGTCGCATTACCAAAATGCTCACCTGGCGACGCGCGTGCTGGCCCCAATGCAGCAGCTTGAGCAGCTGTTGCCTGACGCTGTCTCGACTCGCGCATATGGAGAAAGGGCGAAGAGGTGCGTGGTAGTTCAGGCGATGCGCGTCGACCATTTTGTGGGCTTCTGCTCAGTAACTCCCCAAATGTCTCCATAGCACCACTTGTAATGGCAAGGCCTTGCATCCCTGAGCCACTGCTACCTGTACCATTGTTGTTGTTGTTTGTTGCAGAGGGAGGGCCTATGCTGTTGGTGTGTGCTTGAGCAGTACCTGTATTGGGCGTACTCGCTGATGACCGGGCCCAAGCTTCTTGCTGGCCAAGGGGTGAGGCTGTTCCTGCCTGTTGCTTGCCAGATGACCATATGCCCCATGACTTGCTGGACGCGCCTTGAGACGACATGCCGCGTGCGTGGGATGGAGGCCTATAAGAGTATAGGCTCGTTCAAGTGAATGAAGCGACAACGATGGACAAGTAGACGTGGCGAAACCTTGTTCACAGAGCACTGAGACGAAAGCTCCCAGGGGCCGCAGTGAGTATGAGGTGCCGAGCTGGCAAGATTTGCTTTTTTTTGTGTGTGCTGTCAATGGCCTTTTATGCGTGTAGGTTGCGGGGGCCAGGGCCTTTTATACCTAGATACAGCCTGGCAGAATCAGGAGCAGGAGAAGATGATGCCTGAGATGCAGCACAGGGACAGAGACGCAATGCTCCCTTTCTTCACCTGCTGGCTTGTTGCTGATGCAGTTGGCTCTCTCAGGTGCAATTGTGCTTCGTGGCCGCGTCTGGAAAGTCTGAATTTTTGGGCAGAAGCAGCAGACATGAGCACACATCTACTTCCTCTCACTCTCTCTCTCACTTGATCCATCGCATTCTATCCAATACAGAAGGGCATACTCTACACAAGCATCAATCACAGTCAGCAGATGCATGGCAAAAGTGACTGGTTCCTTTTTACACAAGCCGAGGCCTACTGACACGCTGTCGGGCCTGGGACGCAGATACAGGACTCCTGCTCTGTTGCGTGTCAATGTCACGCTCGACATGACCGAAAATAGTTGTCCCTGATATGCAGTTCCCAACAGGTAGAAGATAGTAAGCCCTTGGCAAAGCATGCGTTACCCAATGTAGCAGAAGACAAGGCTCAATCGAGAAAGTTCACCTAAACATCCTCAACAAGTCCTCCACAACACCAATCGCCTTTCGCTCCCATGCCAGCTCTGGCGTCCATGATGTTTGTCGAAGGGCAAAGGAGCCAGCTTGCAAGGTATGTTGAAATAAATCACCAAATTGCGTATGACCCTTGTCGATACCTTGAGCACGCAATGAGGTCAAGATGATACGTTTCAATTTATCCTTTGCACGTCTCTCTTGTGCTTGTGCTGGCGGAAGACTCGATACAGTCTGCTTCTCCTTTGCTGTTGCTTTTCTCGTCGTTGCCGTATCGAGACGCTGCTGAATGGTGCTACTCGGACCAGAGGACGATGTAGTGGGGTCGGCACCACTTGGACCAACAGACGAAGCTGCTTGCGATGCTGCTTCCGACACCACCACCACTTTTTGTGGCGAAATGCGACGTACTTGCTTCTTCTTCTTGCTCTCCTTGACAAACGTATCCACAGCCCTTCGTTTTCTTAACGACAAGAATTGTGCACCTCTATCCGCCCTTGGCTTGACATCTAGCAGTAATCTGCGTTGCTCGATTGTTGCCATAGGAACAAGAACACGAGCAAAGAAGCGCACCTGCATCGCATCCAGCTGTTTTTGTCCATAGAGCAACCAACGCGATTCATTAGCTTCAATCAACAGACATCGATGCGTTTCTCCAGACGCATCAAAGCGACTTGTATACAGGGACTGCTTGATACAGGCAAGAGCAGCTTGATCTGTCGTGGTGATCAGATGAGAGGGCCCAGATAAGCAAGTCAAGGGGATTGCAGCGCGTCTGAGAACAGCGACGCAGCGAACTTGGATGGCAAAGGTGCGCTTGTCTGTGGCGAAATTGAGAGCAAATGTGGACATGGAGTCTTGCTTGTCATTGCAGGTGCATAGACCAGGATCAGGAAGCAGGTCTTAGCTAGCACAGACTGGCGGTAGTAGTAGTAGCAGTAGTAGTCCTGTGTAGCCAAGTTCGTCTTTATCTCCCTCACGTGTCCCTCTCTCATCAACCGTCGCCACGACCAAGCAAGTCAATCAGCTGCGACCAACCTCAACCTGCTCCCTCCTCAAGCCAGCCCTCTCCTCCTCACAGACAGCATCCAATGTCGACTACAGCCAGGCGACGCCTCATGCGCGACTTCAAGGTATGTTTCTTGTCCCGGCGCACACCTGCACACGACATCTTTCATACTGCAGCAGCGCGCCCTCTTATTCATTCAATTGAGCTAATACGCGTTCCGCAGAGGATGCAGCAAGATCCACCAGCTGGCGTGAGTGCTAGTCCCGTCGCAGATAATGTCATGTACTGGAATGCAGTCATTATCGGACCTGGTGAGACGCCCTTTGAAGATGGCACGTTTAAGCTTGTTATGCAGTTTGATGAGCAATACCCGAATAAGCCTCCTACTGTCAAGTTTGTATCGCGCATGGTAAGTGATACGGTTGATAAAGTGCAGTGGTGTTGACTAACGCAATAGTTCCATCCGAATGTGTATACCAGTGGCGATCTATGTCTTGATATTCTACAAAATCGATGGTCACCCACATACGATGTCGCAGCGATACTGACGAGTGTGCAGTCTCTCCTCAATGACCCGAATGTCAATTCACCAGCGAATGCGGAAGCTGCCAATGCGTACAGGGATGATAAGAAGGCGTACGTGCGAAAAGTCAAGGAAACGGTTGAAGCATCCTGGGCTGAATGAAGCGATGCGCGTGCTCATGGAAGGCAAAGTTGACGGCTGCATCTCTCTATCCCCTTTTTGTGTGTTTCAACCCGGCATGACTCTTAGCGCATTTTAGTACTACCCTTTTTTGATTACAACAGCAAGTCATCATCTGGATCTTCCATGTCGAAATCATCACCTGAGTCTGGCTCATAGTAGATATGCCCACCGTGTCGCTCATCAGCTGGTAAATCCTGCATAGTGAAGTGTGGCAAGACAACCCCTTCACGATCCTGCTTTTCCTTCTCTGAAAGACTCAATTTGAAGGGGATATCCGTCTCATCCAGCGTCTGCTGCTGCTGTTGCTGACTCGCCACATCGCCTTGTTGCGAGTGTAATTGTAGTGCAGGGACATCCTCTTCTGTGAGAATTTGTTGAGTTGCTGTATCCAAGACACATCGCTCATGCACACCCCGACCACTCCGTCGACGATGCTCTACCTCCAAATACAACAGGGTATCTTGACAACCTAGCGCAGGTAAAACGATATCCCGCCCTTCCAAGTCCAACTCAATCACACTCGTTTGAGCACGTGATGCAGCTTCTCGTTCGAGTCGCACGTGGTGTGTACTGCGTACTTGGATGCGTGTCGTTGCAAGGAAGGAGAGGAGTGTTTCTGGTGTTGGTAGGTGTGCTGGGTAGCCCAGGAGTGGGATATCAGCATGGAATAGCGCAACAATGCAGATTCGACCTGGATGGATTGCGAGGAGGGTGGAGAGGATGGTGGATAGATGGCCGGCTGAGGTGGTGAGAAAGTCATTGAGCTCGTGGAGTGCAATCAATACTTTACTCGTGCCTTTTTCATGCTGTTAGTCAATGCCTGAGAGTGATGCCGGTTGACTTGCCTGATATGCGACTTTCAATGTCCTTGAGAATCTGCTCTATTGGCTTTGGCTGTGGTAGTTGCCCAGGATCATCCGCATGTACGGTACATACAGCACATGTCGATTCCCAGCCAACAGTAATGACCTGTAGTGATCTGAAGAACATGTCAGCATCATAGAGAGATTGTAGAAGAGACAAACGCTTTTTTGGCAGCTTCTTCCAGAAGCCTGATGACGGGCCTGCCTGATTGCTTCACATCGTCTGTGATGACAAGCAAGGGAGAGAGCTCGCGATAAGAGAGAATTCGATTGAGCAGCAGCGTCGGCCTTGAGACGGCCATATTTAGTGAAATACCAGGAGCGTTGTAGGTATCAGCAAGAGTCTAAGAGCAACTGAGGAGCAAGGCAAGAGATGGCGATGGAAGTATTGTCGTTGTCCTCGTCGAGCTTCATGAAAAAGATGTCGAGAAATCCATCTGAATCGCAGCCAGTGCACCAGGCTGTCATCCATCTTGGCGCCTGTGTATGCTGTAGATAGCAGCTAAGGGAGATGCTCAGCCTAATTGTAGACCCAGTACATTACAGTCATAGCCCAGTCTCAGCTCTACCTCCATAGGCCCTTCCCACTGCCCCTTCTTCCTGATCGAAGCTGATTCTCACTTGACTCGAGTCACGTGTCCAGGCAACCAGCCATCAACAAGACAAAAACACACCAGACGCCTACCAAGCTACACTCTGTCGCGAAATCACACTGCAAAGCAAAGCCCCATCTATCGCGCATCCTGACACATCATGGCGCCAAAGCCAACGGCAAAAAAGACAACAGCGCGTCGTCGCTCCAATATCCCCGCGAAATCACCAAGAAAGGGACCTGCAGGTGAGACTATCCCATGGGAGATGACGGTTTGGCCCTTGCATTGTTTGTAAGCCAGCGGACTTGCTGTGCTTCAGATGAACGTATCTGTCACTGCTTCGCTATGCTATCGGCTTGAGTGGGCCCGGCTGTAGCCCCAGCCTGCCGCAACAAGCAACACCAACCTCAAATCTACGTGCATACACAAGTACTAACGCTTTCTTTTAGCTACAACCACCAAGAAGCCGCATCGCTATAGACCCGGTGTCGTTGCCCTGCGCGAAATCAGACGCTACCAAAAATCAACCGACCTACTCATGGCAAAACTCCCCTTTGGTCGCGTTGTGCGTGAAATTTCATCTGAATTTGTCACTGGTTACTATGCAGCTGATCAAGATGCTGCTGGCTTACGGTGGCAATCACAGGCGTTATTGTGCTTGCAAGAGGCAGCAGAGAGTTATCTGGTGCATTTGTTTGAGGATGTCAATTTATGTGCGATACATGCAAAACGCGTGACGATCATGCAACGGGATATGCAGCTTGCGAGACGTATTCGTGGATTGTTCAATTGAATCTGTCACTCTGACCTCGCCGTTGCAGAACGACTGGTATTGAAGCAAGCTTTGGCCTCTTCTCGACTGCTGGCCTCTGGACTACTGGCCCGTTAAATGTCGCAGACTGCTTGGACATGAATGCCCTTGCACCTTTCACGTAGTCGCTTTTTCAGCTCTTGGTATTCCTCTATGTATTTCTATTCTTTCTAGGTTCCCCCTTTTGGCAACCTACTCGCCACTTTGACACTTGTCGCCAATTGTCGCGGCCAACGACGTTCAACTGTCCCAGCAGGCCAGAAACACTCAAGGTCGGGAAGGACATACCAGCCGCTTGCAAACTGCAGATGTCGTCCGCGTGGAGCTCACTAACAAACAACCGAAGTCAGTTCACGCTGGGCCTCAGATGCCATCTGAAGATCGACACGCCAACACTTGGGCAGCTGGAGCCTGGACAATGGACATCGTCTCCCATCTCTGTCAGCTGGTCCTGAGCGAGGCCTGCGAGGAACTCTGCTTGTTGGCTTCATGAATTGTTTGTAACATTGCAAAACAGCAATGGACTCTGCTGTGATGAATGCACGGGAGCTCAAATGGACATTATCCGCGCTAGAAAGCGCACCACGTCTTTACGTCCATCACGACACTGACAAGCTCGGCAATGCACTCATCTATTCTATAGATGATGATCTACTCTACATCTACGAAGACTCCCGAACGCTATCTGCTCACGATCCTCTGGCGTATATACCTGCACGAGGATATTGGCGAGGGTTTTTGAGACGTGCAAAGAGTCGGCTTGTTGTGACTGAAGTACGGCGTCATGAAGCTCGCGAGTCAGCAGTCAGTTTGAGTTTCTTCCATACTGAGCACGCTTCAGGGTCGGCAGAGGTCAAAACGGGGTTGGTGGTTGAAGAGGTTGGATATAGCTGGACGATTGAGTACTGCGGCAAACAGTACAATGTCATGCAGACCCGAGAAGCACCCAATACAGCTACTGGCTCAGGCAAGAGCTATAAAGTGTGTGAGAGACGCGGGACTCCACTTGCTTGGTATGCTGCAGAGACGATGCATGCGGGCAAGGAGAGCAAAAAGGCTGTTTTGTGGATTGAAGAAGAGGCCCTTGCTGATGGCCTTGTTGACTTTTGTGTTGCATGCCTGCTGACTGCTGCTGATGTTGTGACGCCCATCCGGCAGAGCTGAGATTGGATGAGTAGATGTGACTGTTTATGAGCACACGTGACAGTTGATTATGCTGGCGACAACTCACTGAGATTGTTCTCTTCTCTGTATCCAACCCTTGGTGTATTCAGCTGCTCTTTGTCCCGTCGCGCTATCTGGAGAGGCCAGAGCTACTGCTTTCTTGAGATCAGCTTGTGCGCTTCTTCTACTTTTGTATCACAAAAACCACTCTATACCCGCGCTTTTTGACAGGCGACAGGCGATGCACAGTTCCCTCTGCTACACCAAACAACCATCGACAACCTCTCCATCATGGCTCACAAGTCATCCACAGACACGCCCAACAAGCAACAGCAAAAAGCGCACCAGCAAAACACCGCAAAACGCGACAACAACAATAAATCACTAACACACTCTGGCAATAGCGGGTTACTCGCTAGCAGTATACAGAGTATGGGAACACCTGCAAAGAAGAGCGATTTATACGCTGGCCCGACATTTCATCATTCTCCTGCGCCGGCAAAATTACCGCCACCGCCATTTCTGTCGAGTAGCGCATCCTCACAGCAGACCATCATGCAGCAATTTGCAGGGATGATGGGTGGTGGTCTTCAACAGCAACAGCAACAACAACAACCACTACAGTCTGGTATGACGGCGGATGAAGTCGTGGATGCATCACCCTTAGGGTTTCTATTCCGTGCGAAAGAACGAGAAGAGCGGGTTGCAGGAGAACCATCAAGTCTCTCTCATCACGCGCTGAGTATGCATCTCGGCCAACAACAACTGCATCACCCGACAAACCGGCATTCCCCGCCATTATCGGTGGATTACACAGATGATGATGAGAGTGTCTTTGCAGATCTGACATCACCCGTCCAGCCCGCTACTGCACAATTTCAGGGACCTGCAAGTATTCAGGCGGTCAAGAAACCAGCGTGGCAACCTATTGAACGGCCGCCGACGTTGAGTCTGGCAGAGATCCAGCGGGAGCCTGAGGAAGTGATGATGCCTGTTGCTGAAAGACAAGTGGCGACGAAGCGGCCAAAGAAGGCAGCGAGTGGCGTGTCTACACCACAACAGCAGCAAACTCGAAAGAGCACGAACGTACATGATAAGCAGCAGCAGCGCTCAATGAAGCAAGAAGGAGGGGACAGCGCACCCAAGTCGCAGCGACGTAAACGCAAAGATGTCACTGCTGTGAATGGTAGTCCATCGTTACCCAAGATGATCCTGAAGAGAGAACCTGCTGCGTCTGGTTCTGGTGGTGAATTGTCTTCTTCCTCTCCACCACCCGTACAAGCCAGTACGGCAAGGAAGAGCAAAGCGACCCGACAATCGTCGGCGTCTGAATTTCAGCCCTTGAAGAAACCATCTCCACAGCCAGTTCATGCAACACCGACAATTTTGAAGCGTGCAAAGGATGAAGTCAAGCAAGCGTCTGCATCTGTGGCGATCAAGCCTGCCTCTTTGCAGGGAGAGGATGACGATGCACAGCTGCTTCGAGAGGCGTCCAATTTGGTTAAACTACTGAGTTTGAATCCAGCAACGGAGCAAGACCGTCCCATGACGCCGTTATCGAACCGTGCTGCATTGCAACAGAGCGCGATTGGTACGCCACGCGAAACTGCCGTGTCGTCTGGTATGGCGACACCGCAGCGACAAGAAGAACAAGATGGCGATCGATCACTAGCGGATCAGCAGACAGAGTTGGCATTGCACCGAATGTTGGGCCTTTCGCAGCCTTCTAGCTCAGGAGGCACACCAACGAGTTTCCGGGAGAGCGGTGGTGAGAAGAATGGACATGAGGTAACGCCCAGCACGTTGGAGATGGATCTGCGCAAGTTGCTCCACTTGTCTGCGTGATGATATGTATTCTTGGATAGTCCCAATCCTGTCTGAGTATAAGTTTACTTGATAGTCTAGTCTATGGGGTTTGTGACTGTGGTTTGCCCATGACGTTGTCCGCCGCCTGCCAAGAGAAATTCAAGAGGTGAAGAGTCGAACTGCAGCGCGGTCACTGGGGGAGGCGGAGCGAGTATAAGAACTCGACACTCCCATCCGCAACACACTCTTCATCCAACAAGATGGCCACCGAGTATCTCGACGAAAAGCTTCCGGCGCCCGTCACGGCGCGCCCAGAGCCACCCAAGCGTACTGTTGCTTCCCGCATCCTCGGTGTCGTTCGTTTCTTTGTCATCTTTTACGCCGCCTTTTTCATCTCGGATGCAGTGTTCCCAGAGACAGGCGACCAAGCTACTGCTGCTGTTCGAAAGGGTTGTCATGGCATGCGCCACAAGGCACATGGCATGTACAAGGGTTTCGGCGACGACGACCACCACCACCGTGGCGGTAAGCACCATGGCCCTGATACGAGCAAGTGGATTCCTGTCTCTGCAGAGACGCACTTTGAGTTGTCACCTGAAGATGCCAAGGGTTTGACCATCAAGGGCGCACATGTCTTTGGTGGTATCGTCTTTGAGACTTCCAAATTGTCTGATAAAGTGGTCCTCGACCTCGATGTCAAGACTAACGTTGAGCAAAACGGCGAGGAAGTGACCATCAACTATATCGATGGCAAGATTGAAATCGACACGCCCATGACTGGTGATCTCAAGACTCACGCATCGGCAAAGATTCAAATTCCTTCCAACTTGCTCGGTACGTTTGGTTTGCCTGCCTTTGATGTGGAAGCACCACGTCACATGGTCGACTTGTCAAACCTCCCTGAGTCGCTTGAGATTGGTGAGCTGACAATTCGTCTTGCCATGGGCTTCGTTAAGGCTGGCAAAGTCCACACCAACACCACACAAATCACCGTTGCAAAGGGCGCTATCCGTGGTGACCTCAAGCTCGGTCGTGAATCAACATCGATCGATGTCAGCAGCGGCAACGTCACCGTCAATGTTGATGGTATCTCTGCAGGTGAGACCGGTACCCTGAATATCAAGCTCGCCAAGGGCGATTTGAAGGGTTCCTTCCCAGTTTTCAAGTCCACCACTCTCGACATTGCCAAGGGTGATCTTGACGCCACCTTGTACGTCAAGAAGGCTGTTTTGGGTGAAGATGAGGATGTAGAAATCTCTACCAAGGTTGCATCGGGTGATGCGCGTGTCACAATTAAGTCTATTGATGACGGTGCTGCGTCCATCAATGCTGCACACACCACTATTTCAGGATCTCAGGAACTCACCTACCCTGCTAGCTTTGAAGGCACCATCGAGGCGCGTGGTCTTGTCGGCGACATCAAGCTGGCTGGCGAGGGTCTCGTTGTTGAGCGTGCTTGGTTCGGCAGTGTGGGCAAGAAGGGCGATGCTGAAAAGAACATGGTCAAAGTCAAGACTGCAAAGGGCGACATTGACGTGCTTGTCGGTAAGGAATAAGTCTTTTTGAGATGTCTAGTATGCTATATATATGAGAAATTGTTTCGTTACTGAGCTTGCATGGCGCTAAACAAGGCTTTGTGCATTGCCTTCGTATCGGCCTCTTCTCGTGCTGTGCTTGCTCTGCTTGCGTCAGGTTCAGTCGCTGGTCCTGGCTTTGGTCCATATTGGTAGCCTCCTGCAGGTGTGAAGGACACTTGCGCCTTGAGTGCATCGAGTGCTTCTGCAATAGAACTCGAAATGTTGAGCTAGCGTCAGCAACGTCGTCCTAGCCAGGAGTCTACAATACCAATCTCGATTGCATGATTGCATCCACGTCGGGGGCCTGGTAGATATTCCCATTTGCAATAAAATACATATTGACCACTTGGACCTCCTCCACACTCTCACGGACTTGCTTTGCAATAGTCCACAAGTCAGGCGGGCGTGCGTCGTAGATGGCAAACTCGACACCACGCATCTTTTGCAGTGCTTGTGGGATATCGCCAAAGTTTTGGAATTGCGATTGTTGCTTGAGGACGGCGTTGTTGCTGCTGCGATCAAAGAAGGGAGATTGTGAAAAGTACTCGAGGACTGTTGGTCAGAGAGCGCAGAGAGCACAGATGAGAACACACTGTTGTCGGTACGCAGACCACCGAGGGCGTTGATCCATTCTGGAGCACGCCAGACAATTTGAGAGAGATCTGTAGCTTCCATTTATCTTGAGAGCAGCTTGGCAGATGAGCTTGTACTAATCTATATCATGAGAGCATCCTGAACAGCGGTTGTCTGTGGTGAGAGTGTGCTGAGTGTGGTGCCTGGTTGCCAAATTTGAAGTCTTGAAATTGACAAACACACAAAGCAAACACCCACACGAGAAGAAAGTGACAGGACGTGTCAAGAGCAATATCGAGAGGCCGTATTTTTCCGGCTGTTGGATACAAAAGAAGCGAGTCTGGCTCCTGAGTCTCAGAGGCCGATTTGCCTATCAAGTAGGAGCACCACGCAGAGAATCTCAAAGCGCAAGATCACAAGGCAACCCCAACCATGGCCTTTCTCTTCCGCTCTCGCTCTAAAGCACCCTCACCCGCGGATCTAGTTCTCTCTAGCCGCAGCTATATCCTCAAACTCGATCATCCAGTCCAAGGCAAACTAGCGCGCGAGGAAATCACAAAACTCCTGACACAGATGAAGCAAGTCTACTTTGGCGATGCGGATAGTGAGCCGCGACCAGATGACATGACGCAGCTTGCACAGCAGATCTATCTGACAGATCTGCTACCGTTGTGTATCCAGCATCTGCACAGATTCGAGTTCGAAGCACGCAAAGATGTGGTTGCACTCTTTAATGCGTTGCTCAGGCGACAGATTGCCGATCGATGGCTGACAGTGGAGTACCTGGCTCCAAAGGAAGATGTCATTATTGGTCTGAGTAGAAGCTATCGCAAACCAGAGACAGCGCTGCAGTGTGGCCAGATACTGCGGGAATGCCTCAAGCATGAACGTCTTGCCCATGTCCTGTTATTTCCAACGGCCAACGCACCGGGTCAGTTCGCCAGTGGTGCTGAAGCATGGCACTACTTTAGCTATATCGAGCACGCGACCTTTGACATTGCATCGGATGCTTTTTCCACATTCAAGGATCTCGTGACGCGCCATAAGCAAATTGCAGCGCTGTTCTTGCAGGAGTACTATGCGCCCTTCATGGAGCAGTATCTAGGTCTACTCACCTCAAGCAACTATGTCTGGAAGCGACAATCGCTTAAGCTGCTGGGAGAAATCTTGCTGGATCGCAGCAATTACAACGTCATGTCCCTCTACATCCAATCCACCGACAATCTCAAGCTCATGATGAATCTGCTCAGAGACCGCAGTGCGCACATACAGTTTGAAGCCTTTCACGTCTTCAAAGTCTTTGTTGCGAATCCCAATAAAACGGCAGGTGTACGCGATATTCTCGTCAAGAACAAGGAGAAGCTAGTCGCATACCTGACAGACTTCCACAATGACCGCAAAGAGGACGAACAATTTGCTGATGAAAAGCGTTTCATCATCAGTACCATCAAGGCGCTGTAGAAGTGGCTCTATTCATGATTATTCTTTAAACTGCCTTTAGCGACAGCGCACATACATATGCCTTAGAAGAACAAGATTTGCGTTTGACCGTCTCTCAAGCGCTGCCGAATCTTCTTTGCGCCTTCATCATCGCCACCACCCAAGACTGTTGCGAGATCCTTGCAGACTTCTTTGATCTGTAGCAGGCCGCGTTTCTTGCTGTCAAGGTACGACGCATCCAAGATGATTTGCTCGAGCTGCCGTACTTTGAGTGCACCATCACCTTGCTCTCCCTCTTCAGGTGCTAGCAATGCAGCAACACGTCCAGGAACGCCCACCGCAATGGAGACACGGGTGGCACCGAGCATTGTCTTTTGATCTTTGAGCTTCTCCTTGCCAAAAAGCTTGACAATCTCAATGGCATTTTTTGGCTTCTTTGGCTGTTGACCACGCTTCACCTCTGGCATGGCAGGCTTATATGCTGCTTTGAGTGGTCGAACAACATCTGCCACGCGAATGGCAGAAGCGCAAAGAATCAAGGTGTGCGGCGTTCCTGGTTCCTTGTTGGCACTGTGGATGTCCTTGCGCTGCGTGTAGCGTTCCAAAAATGCACAGAGCTGGTCTGTTGAGCGATCCGTCGCTTGTGTCTCTGAGGTGTCTCTAATGGCCTTGAGGGGCGGTGTCTTATCGAGCAGCTCGACGCTCGTCAAGCCTGGATGGTGATCTAGAAAGAGCTTTGCAAGCAAATCACTCTGTTGCTCAGGACCAAGTGGCACTTTAGAAACTTTTGTCTTGGCCTTTTTCGGCGCACTCTCGCCAGCAGGCTCATCGTCATCGTCCTCATCCAAGCCAAGTTGCTCCCTCTTGCGTTTATTACTCACTGCTCGTTTCGCCTTGCGCTTCTCTCGCTTCTCCTCCGTTGTCAGCCGCTTCTTGGGCTGGCCGACCTTCTTTGGATCTATTTCTGTGGCTCCTGCCTCTTGTTCGTCGTCATCAGAGCCGGAGTCTGAATCAGCACCTGATTCTGCATCGCTCACAGACTCGCCAGCTGCATCGGATCCCACTTCATACTCGAGATCGTCTTCAAGTGCATCGGCCGATACCTCTGCTGGCTTCATGACCATTGCCCTGCCTTCTATATCCCTTCAATTTGAGCCTGGCCTTTGTGTGGTCGCGAATTTGGTGGATTGAAATTGAAATTTTGAATTTGTTCCTGGGACGAGTTTGATGGACGGGAGAGATTCAATCTATGTAGATACAAGAGGCCTACAGACGGAGCTGGTACTGATACTCATCTTCTGTATTGACGGAGATCCAGAGCACAATCGAGCTGAGCATGATGAGGCCATTGCAAATGACATTCGCCACGCCAAAATACAGCGTTGGAAAGGGATAGCCAGGGACAATGTACTTGAGAATCATCACCACCTGTATGTTAGTGCCTTCTCTTGAGTAGTGCTTGAAAGTGCGTACAAGACCTCCCGCAAGGCCGCCAGCAAGGAGCGCAAAGCCGACAAACAAGACAAGTTTCGCTTTCCATGCAAGGGAGCTCTCTCCATAGCTGTCGCCCGTCAATTTTGACTTGTCGATTGAGTTGACACTAGCTGTCAGTAAAGTACAGTGCACAACAGTATGCATACATGATCATGCCCAGCGCTGAGCAGATGGTCGGGATCCAGTCAACAAATGATACGTGTACCAGGCCCGCATTCGCAACTTTGCTGTATATAGCGGCATCAATGAAGAACCAAAGACCAGAAGCGAACTAAGAACGCCGTTAGTGATGGTCATGTCGTCAAGAAGAGACAATACCAGTGCACCAGCAATGTAGATGCCAAAACTACGCGCGTGCGCGCCAAGTGCGATGCGCGGCATTTGGAAGCGGAACAACGACCTGCCGCTATCCATGATGAGAGAGAATGAGCTTTGACGAGCTTCTGTTTTGCTCCGCCCAGATCTAGGACTTGTGTCGGTGTGGTCGTGTGAAGTGACGCCGCATCGTGGTCTGGATCAAGATTAAGCCAACCACACCACAACCAACTTGCCCACTTGCTTCAGCTTGGCCTTCCATGAGAAATAGATAACTGCTCAGATGCTCGCTTACTATATTGCAGGAGCAATTCTGATCTATGTCTTGACACTGCTCTACTTCTTTGCCCCGTCGCCGTTCGTACCTGGCTCCAAGTTTGCCAAGAAGCACCAATCTATCGCTGTGCTTGTGCTAGGCGACATTGGCAGATCACCGCGAATGCAGTATCATGCTCTGTCTCTATCAAGACTTGGTTACAAAGTGGATTTGATTGGCTATGGCAACACAAAACCACATGAAGCCCTTCTAACAGACGAGAACATTCGCTACCAATTCTTGCCAGACGTGCCGGAGTCCTTAAGCAAAGGTCCACGATACTTATTCCCAATTCTTGGGCCCATCAAAGTGCTGCATCAACTACTCTTCTTGGTCCTCATTCTTGGCTATGCCATTGACCCGCCAGCCTACCTTCTCGTACAAAACCCACCGGCCATCCCGGTCCTCGCACTCGCTCAACTCCTATGCTGGCTTCGCAATACAAGACTCGTCATTGACTGGCATAATCTTGGTTATACAATCCTCGGCCTTCGACTCGGAGAGCATCATCCGCTCGTCAAGATCGCACGGCGATATGAACAGTTCTTTGGACGAACGGCGTATGCACACCTAATGGTCACAGATGCTATGCGCTCTTGGCTCAGTGATACGTTTAATCTCAAAGGCAAGCAATGCACGCTGCACGACAGGCCCGCTGGTCAATTCAAAGCATTATCCAAAGCTGAGCAAACGGCGTTCTTGAATGCTTTCGAGCATACTCGAGATGGCCAATTCTCTCGTGAGCGTGGCGATCGACTGTTGGTCAGCAGTACATCTTGGACACCAGATGAAGATTTTGGTATTCTTCTCTCAGCGTTGAAGCGCTATGACGAGGCACCAGTCAAGTCCAACAACAAAGCGCACCTCCTCGTCATCATTACAGGCAAAGGAGCACTCCAAGCCGCCTACACGAAGAAGATTGAAGAAATGGCGCTACATTCAGTAACCATCAAAACGGCATGGCTCCAAGCTGCAGACTATCCCAAACTACTAGCTTGTGCAGATCTTGGCATTTCCCTGCATACTTCTTCTTCCGGACTCGATCTACCAATGAAGATTGTTGATCTCTTTGGCTGTGGTACGCCCGTGCTGGCCATTGACTTCGAAGCACTGCCAGAATTAGTGACGCAAGGTGTTGATGGCAGAATTGTGGCGGACGATGAAGATATGGCAGCGTGTTTACTTGGCTTATTCGCCGATAGCTCTGCACAAGGAGAGAGCGATGAGGAGTATGAAGGGGTGGATGATGTCGGCAGTGCACACCTGCAAACACTCAAAAGGGGCGCCAAGAAGCAATCGGCACTGACCTGGGATATTCATTGGGCTGAGGTGGCCGCACCGCTATTTGAACATCGTTCATAGAAGTATTGATACAAAAAAAGGTATGTGACAGATGCTCATCGCTTGAGGTAGTTGTATAAATATGCTTACTTGACATTGAACAAGTCGTTGGCGTGTAGTTGAATGGGCTGGCTGCGATAATCCTTGGCGAGCTGGACCATGCGTTTGATAGAAGCTTCCATGACAGGCTTCGTCAAAACGTGGTTGGCTCCAGCATCCAGGTATTCTTGTACATCTGTAGACAGAGCATTGCCTGTACAGCCACAGACAAAGGTAGGCAATCCTTCTAATCTCAATTGCATGACCATTTCCACACCAGACATGACAGGCATTTGATTGTCCAAGAGCACAAGATCATACGGCCGAGTCTCTCTCGACCGCTCTCGAATTTTGTTGAGCGCCAACAATCCATTCTCAGACTGTTCTACAGCATGACCCAATCGTGTCAACATGCGCGCAAGCAATCGCCGCGTCAACAAGTCATCATCCACCACCAAGACTGAACAGGGCTCAGACTCGTCAATATCGCGTGGTCGGCCAAAGCTAAAGGAACCCGTGCGCAACTCGTGATCTGCAGGCGCATAGGCTCGAGGCAATGTCGAGTTTGCCGGAATAGGGATTTCTGCGAGCTCAAATTCAGACGAATGCAAGGCAACCAGACTAGGGCGACGCATCGTTTCTTCGGCAACGGAAGCAGCTGTTGCTTGGCCGCCCATGAGTAGGGCACGCTGTGCAACGATATTGCCAGGGCCTTGCTGACTCAGGGTCGTTATGGTTGCTGTAGCAACAGCCGGAGCCGCATTGGCGCTATCAATATCGGTCGGAGCAGTTCCAGTTGGATGCGCAACGATCGAGGCACGCCGCTGAAGCTGCTCAACCTGTGCTTGTGAGACTGCCGCCATCTGCGAAATGGGCGGGAGAGCAAATGACTCTTGCACAGCACCATCCTCGAGCTGCTTCGACTCTAGTCGCTCAGGCAATGTAGGCATCACCTCTGCCTCGCCTGGTTGGTCAATATGCACTTGGACCACTTGCTGGACAGCCTCAGCCTCGTCGAACTTCGTCAAAGCAGCAACACCAGCTTCGAAGATATGCGCATCTGCCACACCAAAGGACATTTCAATCCAAAATGTAGATCCTTCGCCAACGCAAGATCGTAGACCAAGTCGTCCACCGGAGAGCTCGACAATATTGCGCACAAGGGCAAGTCCCAGTCCCGTTCCCTTGCCACCTTGACGTTTGCCAATCTCAGTTTGGACGTACGGGCTGAACAGGCGATCCTTGAGTACATCTCGTGGACTAATGCCGAGTCCTGTATCTTGCACTTCCATGCGAATCGTCACTTTCTGCTCGGGTTTTATTGGAAGCGAGCTCGCTACCTTTGTCGTTGCGCTCATGGTCCCCGTGGTCGTGCCACTTGCACCAGAAATAGATACGTCGTTGCGATCTGGCGTCGGATATGTCAATTTCGTGACAATCGTCACGCTTCCACCACTCTCTGTAAACTTGCAAGCATTTGACATGAGATTCGACAAGATTTGCCGGAGTCGCATCTCGTCACCCACCAAGAGTCCAAAGTTATTGATGCGCGGATCCAGAGCACTACTGAGGCCGACATCTTTCGAATTGGCAGCGAATGCACCACCCAATAAGACAGACTTGATGACCTTGCCGAAGTCAAATGGCGCAAGCGTGTACATGAGCTTGCCAGCCTCCATCCGGTTAAAGTCGAGGACATCATTTAACACCTTCTCCATCATGCCAAGCGAGGCTTGCAGTACATCCACGAGCTCAACATGCTCAACAGCCATACCCTTGAAGACTTCTTCGCCAACCAAATTCTGCAAGGACAAAAGAGCCGTGTTGAGTGGCACACGCACTTCATGAAAGATGTACGAGACGAATCGCTTCTTGCTGTCTGCTGCACGCGACTCTGAAATTTGAGCCTTTTGTGTTGCTTTGAATTGTGCCTTGAGCTGATCGCGAAGGCTGTAGATACGACGGTCAGTCTTTTCCTTCATGTAGGAAATGGTCGTCATGAAAATGATGAAGAAGAAGTAGTTGAACCAATGACGAAGCCATGAAATGCGAATGGGAACAATTGCAATTGCGATAAAGATGAGCGCTGAGATGGTCCCGACAATGGTACAGAAGCGTGATTGTCCAAGAGCTAGCATTGCAAGTATTGGCATGACTGTCAGCACGTAGAAGACACCGACGAAGTCTTTGGTGCCACAAGTCGCTGGTGTACTGCCGTAAAAGTGACAGACGTGCAATTGAAGCATGAGAAGAAGCGGCCACATCCATGTAAGGGCAAAGACGTATAGTTGCCACGCATTTGGAAAGCGCTTGGGAACGTCCAAGACAATCAGAGGCATGAGCGGAATGATGAAGAAACCAGATATACCGATCCACGCGTAATAATCGAAGACTCCCCATGGTCGCGGATAGAAGCCCATCATAAAGGCCCACGCCATGTAGTAGTATATTGAGACAATCAAGGCCATTCGTTTTGATAGGAACCAGCTCTCCTTGAGGTATTGCCGTTCCTTTTCTGGATCTTGGAAGGGCATGCTGAAGAAATGATGCGTAAAAGTATACATTGGCAAAGCCTGTATCCGTTCAAACGTAGTCTTTCGATGGTTCCAAGGCTCGACATCGCTGCCGCGCTCAGTGTATCGCCCGCCAGTGGCAACATCCGTAGCGTTGCCAGGCGTTGTTGCCGCGCCGCCATCAGAGCTCTTGTCATCTGTGCTATTATCCACCACAACAATGTCGACAACATTCTGCTGATCACTGCCGCCAGTGTTGACGCGCCCGACGACGGGCCGGAAGGAAGAGTTGCTAGTCCTTGAACGATGCCCACTCGAAGCAGCGCCGCGCTCGATATCGAGAAAGCCCTCACTTGGCTCGGACAACGGGTATGTAAGGCGGACTGCACGTCGAATGAAAAGCCGCAGCCTGTCGCGATTGCTGGAAGACTGAAACTTTGCCGTTGGACTTGGACGACTCTGTTCTTGAGTCATCCTTCGAGGCCTTCACGCTACGTGGGCGTTGTCAATAAGGTTGAAGAGCAGCGCTTGGCGGAAGAGTGCGAGCCAAGCTGCCTGAAAGACCAAATATTAGATTGCTCAGCGGCCTTTGAGCGACCTGGCTAGCCTGAGTCTCGAATCACGGTACAAGGGATCAACGACGACGCCTCAGGACTCTGTGCTACTGTGTTGGAGAGCGTGTTGTGTGCACTCAAATTTCAGCGACGTTCAAATTCACTCCTTCGGCCCTCATTCCACTTCGCGATTAGCTGCCGAACAAGCTTACCTGAGGCTGAGGCTGAGGAGCGGGCCCTGGAGTCTGGACGCGCGAATAGCTAAGTTACAGGGCATTTGATAAGTGCACGGACTGCCTGCACCTCTGACAAGCAGTGAGTCAGTGACAGCTTGGGCTGCTTGGGCTGCTTCGCAGGCTAGTCCGCTTCAGGATGCTCGCGTAACTAGACCGGTATGGAATATCAACTAGCCTTGCAAAGCCGATAGCAATAGCTATTCACCAGCACTAAAGACGACCTTCAAGGCTCACGCGGGCTATCTGCGTATGCGGAACTACGTCAGATGTTACGGCGGATGTACCAGTATACTGCCCACAAAATGTTGCCCAGCAAGCGACTAGCCTACAGATGGCTGAGATGGGTGCCCTGAAGCTATAAAGCGAGCATATTAATCAAAGTATATATACCATCTACCGTAGGCCCTGACTCATATTGAATATGCAGACAATTGTCCATACAGCTGATGGGGTCACCACCGTACGCGTATGCTACGACTGAAAAGAAGTGTTCACCTGCAGCCCTCACACTGATCATGAGTGAGTTAGAACTTAGTATATGGCCCACTGCTGACTTGCCGAAGGCGGCATGCAAGATCAGATTCCACAAGCGGGAGGTCGCGTGTGCCCCCTTCAGATGGCAATCGAGTTCGCCTTCGACAAAAATGCTGTTTGACGTTGCTCGGTCAACCGTGAACTGGGCAACACTGATGAAGTCGTCCTACCGAGCTCACTGTATCTCTCTCGAGCAATACATTCTGGTCTCCGATTGCTGTCCAAAGTGCTTGCCGTGAGCTGGGCAACGCACATGAAATTTGTCCTACGGAGCTCACTGTGTCTATTTGAAAGACGCATGTAAATCTCCCATCGTTGTTCACTGTATCTGACAATGAAGAACAAACAAGAGGCACCTTACACTTGATACAGAGTCCAGCAAGAGATCTCAACCTGCAAGCTGCTGAACAATATGACATGCGCCATTGCAGCGAGTCTGAGAGTCCGGTGCCGGCCATGTCAATTTCGGAAGAAAGCTGTTTGAAGCGATGCAAAAGACAGCTGATGGCCTAGTGGTGGGCTCGAGCTGTTCATTCACACTGACAAATGCAGCTTCTCGAGAGTATCTCGCCGAGGTCGGACGTTCTTCATGTCTCCCCTGGCTACAGCTGCAGACTTCAAAAAAGACTTAGGTGACCTGACTAGGTGCGTTCATGTGGATGAAACGGTCTACGTACGATGACTGAACAAGGCAGTGCGTACACTCATTTCTAGCCGAGTCGCCTGTGTAACAGACAACATGTACAGCGTATGTATGTCTACTGACTCAGCACATGAATGCTGCGCAGTAGCAATTTGTAGCATAAGCAGCAGAGTCAGCCGTGGCCCGTGGTGCGAGTAAACCCTCCACTGAGCGGCTTAGCGGGCATCCCTGATGAGAAGGTTCCATTGATCGGTACCATGACCAGCGACTGTCGGTCTACTTCGAGCTATAAGGGTAACTGCAACGTCAGTGGTGTGCTGAATCAGTGCTGATGATTCGGATTTCAAAGCACGGTTCTCCGACTTGACAGTGACACGCGCGCTGAAAGTGGGACGGTCGGGCTAGCTCAACTTCTCAAGACCGCGACACCGATACAGTTGCTGTCAGATTCGAGCAGCGTCCTTTATTGGCTCGACATGATCGTTTCTGAATTTCACAGCCGCCATGATCGGGGAGGCCGCGCTTAATAATGCGTCGATTCAGTGTTCAAACTATCGAGGCCATGCTTTTGGTCCAAGACTCCAGAGTCCAGACGAAATGACCGATGCGCTTAAGTGATCTGGCGTACACAAGACCCCTCAGTCAGAGCCAGTCTGCTTATAACCGCGTTTACTCGCCATCTACCGCTCTCTACTGAACAGATACGTCTTGTACTCTTGCTTCCCATTTGCAGTCTTTAGAGCGGCGCCCGTTTGTTTGTTGACATGACAGCTCCCGACGTTGCACCTCCGATCGTCTCGGCCGCCTTCGCGCCTAGCAATCAAACCAGTAGCGATGCTGCTCAGGCTGTTCAAAGACCTGCGGCCCGTACGCAAAAGAGCTATGCCACGCATGACGGTGATTTGGAAGGCCAAGGAGCACTTCAGCGATATCAATCCCGCATGTCGCACATGTCACAGGATGAAGCGGATGATTTGATACGAAGGCTCACCTCGAGACGTTCGGTCGGTGATTCTGGGAGCCCTGACAACACCTTCAATGATTTGCTCGGCGAGATTTTCGATCGTGATGAGATGAAGAAGAAGAGTATGGCCTCTTATTCTTTTTTGGACGACCGCTAACCCACAGATGTCGGCGTGTACTTTAAGGATCTCACTGTGGTCGGCAGCGGCGTTGGTGCTGCCATCCAGCCAACGGTGGGCGACATTCTCAAGGGAATTGCATCCATCCCTATTTTGCCCTACATCATCTACAAAAAGTCCAAGGCCAAGTCCCCCGATGCTGTCGAGCGCAAGCTCATCAGTGGATTTGATGGATGTGTCAGAGACGGCGAGATGCTGCTTGTTCTTGGACAGCCCGGCTCCGGGTGTACCACCTTCCTCAAGGCGCTTGCAAACCAGCGTAACGGCTTCAAGGAAGTTACTGGTACCGTTCATTATGGCGGTATCGGAGACGAAGAGATGGGTCGGAAGTATCGCGGTGAGGTCGTTTACAATAGTGAAGATGATTTGCACTTTGCGACTCTGTCTGTCGAGCAGACGTTGCGTTTTGCACTCAAGACGAGGACGCCTGGTCAAAGACCCCAGGGCGAGACGCGTAAGAACTATCAAGACAAGTTTTTGAACGTTCTTGGCAAGATTTTTGGTATCGAACACACCTTCAAGACGAAGGTTGGAGACGAGATGGTTCGTGGAGTCTCTGGCGGAGAAAAGAAGTGAGTCCCCTTCCTTTGCTTTACCATGCTAACAATCAGGCGTGTCTCTATTGCAGAAGTATTCGTTAATCGTGCAAGTGTCGGCTGCTGGGACAACTCCACTCGTGGTCTTGATGCTTCCACTGCTGTTGAATACTGCCGCTCCTTGCGTGTACTGACCAACATTGCCAAGGTCTCGACAGTAGTGACCATTTACCAGGCAGGTGAGCAGCTCTATGACTTCTTCGACAAGGTCTTGCTTATTGAGGGTGGTCGATGCTTGTACTATGGTCCTGCCGAATCTGCACGTCAGTATCTTATCGACATGGGTTATGAGGCTGAAGAGCGTCAGACAACAGCCGATTTCTTGACAGCCATCACCGACAAGCGTGCCCGCAAAATTCGCGATGGAGCAAGTCCGCCACAGACAGTTGCTGATCTTGAGGCCTACTACCGCGATTCCGACACATACAGGCGCAACCTCGAAGATATGGAGTCGTACAACAAGCGATGCAAGGAAGACCCTCCCGCAGATACTTTCAAAGAGGTCAGCACAGACAAGAAGGGTAAGCGTCATGGTGTCTATGGCTTGCCTTTCCACAAGCAAGTCTGGTACTGTACCTTGCGTCAATACCAAATCAACTTTGGTGACAAGCTCTCACTCTATGGCAAGAATGGTTCATCCATTTTCCTCTCCCTCATCATCGGTTCTTCGTTTTACAACATGCCCCGCGATACGAATGGTGCCTGTAGGTCTTCCTCCAATCAAGAATATTACTAACTTTCAGTCCTTCGCGGAGGTGTGCTCTTTTTGTCGTTGCTCTTCAACGCACTCTTGGCTTTGGCTGAGCTGTCTTCTGCATTCAGCTCCCGTCCTATCTTGATGAAGCACAAGTCGTTTACGTTCTTCAGGCCCAGCGCATTCGCTGTTGCACAGGTTGTTGCTGATATCCCCATCGTGGCAATTCAGGTCTTTACATGGGATATCATTATCTACTTTATCTCTGGTCTGCAATACACTGCCTCTCAATTCTTCATCAATCTGTTGGTGCTGTACGTCACCACGCTCGCGACATACTCCTTCTTCCGAATGCTGGGATCCTTGGTGCCTTCGCTCAATGCAGCCACCGCCCTCTCGGGTGTGTCCATTCAGGCTCTCGTTGTTTATGCAGGTTATATCATTCCAAGACCCAGTATGCATCCTTGGCTGTACTGGCTCTGGTACATCAACCCACTTGCCTACGGGTTTGAAGCACTCATGATCAACGAATTCTACAATCTCGAGTTGGAGTGTGTCGTACCGCGCTTACTCCCTTTCGGTGCTCCCGGCCAATATCCTAGCCAAGGATGCGCTATTGCTGGCTCGACACCCGGATCCACGACTGTGCAAGGCGCTGCCTACATTTCCGAGTCTTTCACCTATGTTCGTGGTCACCTTTGGCGAAATGTTGGCTTTATTCTCATCTTTTGGATCTTCTTCATTGCCATGACGTGCTTGGGAACGGAGCGTCTCAAGCCCAACGCAGGTGCTGGTGGCTCACTCGTCTACAAACGTGGCGGAGAACCCAAAGCGGTCAAGGAGGCCCTTTCTGGTGAAAAGGCAGTCGACGCTGCCCGTGAGGCTGAAGCTGACAATGCCGACCAAGACAAGAGTGACAGCGACTCCACCATGGACGGGTTCGAAAAGTCTGAGACCACCTTTACCTGGAGCGATGTCTGCTACAATGTTCCAGATCCTGCAAACAAAGGACACCAGAAGCAGTTGTTGGACCACGTCTCTGGCTGGGTCAAGCCTGGTCAACTCACTTGTTTGGTTGGATCTTCGGGAGCTGGTAAGACGACATTGCTAAATACACTTGCACAGCGCCAAACAACTGGTGTCGTGACTGGTGACATGCTCGTTGATGGACGCGAGCTGCCAAGCGCCTTCCAACGTGCTACCGGTTACGTCCAGCAAATGGACATGCATGAGCCCACTGCCACTGTCCGTGAAGCTTTGCGATTCTCCGCATTGCTGCGTCAACCCCGCGAAACGTCGGAAGAGGAAAAGTACGCTTACGTTGAGGAGATCATCAAGTTGCTAGAGATGGAGCACATGGCTGAAGCCATCATCGGCCTTCCGGGCAACGGTCTTACCATCGAGCAGCGCAAGCGTGTGACCCTCGGTGTGGAGCTTGCTGCCAAGCCTAGTCTTTTGCTGTTCTTGGATGAACCTACCTCTGGCTTGGACTCTCAGGCGGCCTGGAACATTGTTCGTTTTCTGAAAAAACTTGCTAGCGCTGGTCAAGCCATCCTCGTCACCATTCACCAACCGTCATCCATTCTCTTCCAGCAATTTGAGCGCATCCTGCTGCTCGGTCCTGGTGGCAAGACCATCTACTTTGGTGAACTCGGCAATCAATCCAGGAAGATGCTTGAGTACTTTACAAGCAATGGTGCTGAAAACTGCCCAGAAGACGCAAACCCTGCTGAGTGGGTGCTCGATGTTATTGGTGCTGGAGGTGGTATTGGTGCCAAGAAGGCAAAGCAAGACTGGCCTCAAATTTGGCGCGACTCCAAGAATGCACGCGAGACGAACCAAGAGATTGCCCGCATCAAGCAAGAACGTGGGGGCCAGTCCAACAAGTTTGAACAAGATACACGCAAGTACGCTATGCCAGCTTTCGCACAGGCCAAGGCCGTCTTCATTCGAGTCTTCATCTCGTACTGGCGAACACCGGATTACTTCATTGGCAAGCTCATGCTGCATATCACGACTGGTCTCTTCAACGGCTTTACGTTCTGGAATCTTGGCAACACCGTCGTGGACTTGCAGAATCATATCTTTTCCATCTTTTTGGTTTTGACCATTGCCCCGCCTTTGATGCAACAGCTTCAACCTCGCTATCTCGAGTATCGTGCCCTCTTCCAAGGTCGCGAGCAGCAGAGTCGGATGTACTCCTCGTGGACTTTTGCCCTCGCTTCAATTGTCGTTGAACTGCCATACACTATTGCTTGCTCGACCATTTTTTTCTTTTGCTGGTACTTCCCAACTGGACTCCCTCGCGAAATATCTCGTGCTGGTGCAATTTGGCTCTTCCTTACCCTCTTCGAAGTCTACTACATCACACTCGGCATCATGATTGCTTCGATTGCCAAGACTGCACTCTTCGCAAGTGTCCTTGTTCCAGTATTTTTCACATTCATCATTGGCTTCTGCGGTGTTCTGGTCCCCAGAAATGCGCTCCCACACTTTTGGCTGTTTATGGTTGATTTGACGCCGTTCCGATACTTGCTAGGAGGCATGTTGACTTCTGCGGTGAGTGGCTTGGAGGTCAGATGCAGCTCGAACGAATTCGCAAGGTTTTCGCCTGGTGCAGGACAAACGTGCCAGGACTACGCAGGATCTTTCGCTCAGCAATTTGGAGGTTATCTCAACAACCCAGCTGCGACGTCAGACTGCGAATACTGTCAGTATGCCGTTGGTGATGAGTACGCCAACACTCTCGAGCTCTACTTCAAGAACAGGTGGCGAGACTACGGTGTGTTCTGGGCATATGTCATCTTTGACGTGCTCATTGTCATGCTCTTTACTTATTTGTACTGTGGTGGCTTCCAGAAGATTGGACAGTTGTTCAAAAGATCAGGCAAGCGTCGCTCAAAGAAGTCAATATCGCATGAGGAAGAGAAGCGAGAAGCATCTTCTATGTGAGGGCCGCACAACGAGCTATCATTAGGATTCGATCCATGTTTAAAGGGTGATTTTTCTTAATTCTTTAGAGACCAGATAATGGTATAGTCAGTGTATGACAGAATGAGCGCCTCGTGATTGTATGAGAGGTAGACAAGCCAGTTCCACTAAGCTGGTCATTTGAACAATGGCTCATGCAATTCAGGGGCACAAGAGCGGTCTAGCGCTCGTCTATCGCTTAACACTATTGCTGCAACAGTCATATATGAACCGAAACGTAGCGGTTGCACGACTTTATTCAAGCACAGACACGTAGGTAGAAGAAGAGGCTCGCTGAATTGTATCTATCCGAATGTTTCACTGCTAAATGACAATGTATCTACGATAACTTATACTGATTCTTCGTCCGCCTCACGCAACTGACTGTCCTTTCTTACCCGCTTATGACCACTGCGCTTGAGCTTGGCGCCGATCTTTGCAAAGCCACCACAATACAGCCATGTAAACACAAAGGTAATGAGAATGTTGAAGATGACATACGCCCAAAAGATGCCATAGTTTCTCCAACGATCACCCCAGTAAACAAGAAGAGTCGCAGCGTATTCATCTCCAGTCGCGTATTGACAATAGAGACACTCGTCTGTCGCATTTGGATCTTGCAGATATCCCGCGGCTTGCTGAACGAAGCTTCCGGCGTACTCCTGGCAAGTCTGACCAGCCAAGGGTGCAAATCGTGCAAACTCAGATGCGGCACATCGGACAGGCTTATCGTGAACGACAAAGATGAGCATAGCACTCAGAAGGTAGTTGAATGGAGTGAGATGGTAGACCCACTGCCAAAACGTGATGATGGACGAGGGTGGTGACAATACTCCGCAGAAGGCAATGATGAATGTAAAGAAGGTTGGTACCAAGAGAGACGCAAAGAGCTCCGTCTTGGCAATAGAGGCAATCATGATACCGAGCGTAACATAGTAAATCTCGAACAGTGCAAGGAACATCCAAATAGGGCCAGCGCGGCCAATCGATCTGTCGAAGCCAGGGCCAAAGTACCAACAAAAAAAGAAAATCGTTGCACAAGCGATTGTGTAGGGCAACTCGACAAGGATGGAACCCAGGGCAAATGTCCAAGACGAGTACATGCGACTTTGCTGCTCTCGTCCTTGGAACAAGGCTCGCCATTGCAGGTATCGTGGCTGTAATTGTTGCATGAGCGGCGGAGCGATAGTCAAGACCAAGAAGATAGAGAAAATCCGGTTCTGCAAGTCTACCACGCTGTTGCCCAGCTGGAAGAACGTGAAACAATTGAAAAGGCCCGTGGTGATGTGCAGCATGAGCTTTCCAATGAAGAAGTCAGGTGTTCGCCAGTAGGAAACGAAGATACGCTTGACAACGGCACCGGTTTGAGCGGTAACGGGCATGGCGTATTTACGTGTGTCTTGTTCAAACTTGTTTGCCTTGCCGCCACGTTCCCGTCTGATGCGTTCAATCTCACTCCTGGTGTCCTGTGCGTTCCTGGAATCGCGCCAGATCTGGGGCCAGTCTTGCTTTGCCTTCTTGGCACCAATACCTCCACCAGCTCCGATGACATCGAGGACCCATTCTGCAGGGTTTGCATCTTCTGGACAATCCTCAGCGCCGTTACTTGTGAAATACTTGATCATAGTCTTGGACTGATCACCAAGCTCGCCAAAGTAGATCGTTTGGCCACCAGGACCGAGCAGCAGAATGCGCTCGAATTGCTGAAACAAAATGGAGGATGGCTGATGAATGGTGACAAGAATAGCTTGACCAGCATTGGCAAGCTTCTTGAGGAAACGAACAATGTTCCAGGCAGCTTGCGAGTCGAGACCAGAGGTAGGCTCGTCGAGGAACAGCAAGAGACTTGGCTTGGCAGCAAGTTCAACTCCGAGCGTTACACGCTTGCGCTGTTCGATGGTGAGACCATTACCTGGCACGCCAATGACTGCCTCCGCCATGTGTTCCATTTCCAAGAGCTTGATGATCTCCTCGACATACGCGTACTTTTCCGCCTGTGGTGTTTCGCGAGGTTGACGGAGATGAGCAGAAAATTGAAGTGCCTCGCGTACAGTGGCAGTAGGCTCGTGCATGTCCATCTGCTGGACATAGCCAGTAGCACGTTGGAAGGCACTTGGCAGCTTGCGTCCATCCACAAGCATGTCACCAGTCACGACACCAGTTGTTTGACGTTGTGCAAGCGTGTTGAGCAATGTCGTCTTACCAGCTCCCGACGATCCGACCAAGCAAGTGAGTTGACCAGGCTTGACCCAACCAGTAACATGATCCAACAATTGCTTTTGATGTCCCTTGTTTGCTGGGTCCGGGACATTGTAGCAGACATCGCTCCAAGTGAAGGTCGTCTCGGACTTTTCAAATCCATCCATAGTAGAGTCACTGTCGCTGCCATCGTGTTGCTCGACATGGGCTGCTTGTGCCTCTTGTGCAGCATCTACTTCCTTTTCGCCGCCCAAGGCTTCTTTGACGGCCTTTGGCTCGCCACCACGTTTGTAGACAAGAGACCCACCAGCAGAAGCATTAGGCTTTTGACGTTCCGTTCCAACACAGGTGACAAAGATAAAGAAGAGCCAAAACATGATGATGAATGCGAGGTTGCGCCAGAGGTGACCACGCACATAAGTGAAGGATTCAGAAATGTAGGCGGCGCCAGAGACCACAGTGGATCCCGGGGTCGAACCAGCGATGGCACATCCTTGGTTGGGAAATTGTCCTGGAGCACCGTATGGCAACAGACGCGGAACGACACATTCCAAATCGAGATTGTAAAACTCGTTGATCATCATGGACTCAAAACCGTAGGCCAATGGATTAATGTACCAGAGCCAGTAGAGCCAAGGATGCATACTGGGCCTTGGGATAATGTATCCAGCGTAAACAACTAGGGCCTGAATGGCAATGCCCGACAGAGCAGTGGCAGCATCGAGTGACGGCACCAAAGCCCCAAGCATCCTGAAGAAGGAGTAGACGGCCATCGTAGAAAAGTAGAGGAAGAGGTAATTGATGAAGAACTGTGACGCCGTGTATTGCAAACCAGAGAGGAAGTAGATGACAATATCAAAGGCTGCCACCTGTAATAAAACAACCGGCACATCTGCAACCACTTGAGCTAACGCAAAAGCGCTGGGTCGGAAGAATGTAAAGGATTTGTGCTTCATGAGAACAGGTCGAGAGCTAAATGCTGAGGAGAGCTCAGCGAGCGCGAGAAGGGCGTTGAAGAGCAGACTGAAGAAGATGACACCTCCACGGAGGACTGTTGTTAGCGGGACCGATAAAGGGGTGTCTCTTACATGCTCCATTGGTATCCTTTGGCATGTCGTAGAAGAGAGAGCCGATAATCAGAGCCTGGAACACAGCAGAGGCATTCTTTCCATAAAGCGAGAGCTTGTCGCCAAAGTTGATCTGATATTGTCGGATGGTGCAGTACCAGATCTGTTTGTAGAAGGGAAGGGCATATACGCCATGACGCTTGCCCTTCTTGTCGGATTCGGTCTCCTTGAATGTCTCTGCAGGTGGATCTTCCTTGCAACGATGATTGTATGACTTCATGTCTTCAAAGTTGTCTTTGCATATCTGAGAACTCTTGTAATATTGCTCAAGCTCCTCTGTCGTCTGTGGTGGACTTGCTCCATCTCGCTCCTTGCGTGCACGCTTGTCGGTGATGGCTGTCAGGAAATCGGCTGTTGTTTGACGCTCTTCAGGCTCATAGCCCATGTCAATAAAGTACTGACGTGCAGACTCGGCAGGACCATAGTACAAGCATCGACCACCCTCAATAAGCAAGACCTTGTCGAAGAAGTCATAGAGCTGCTCACCTGCCTGGTAAATGGTCACAACTGTCGAGACCTTGGCAATGTTGGTCAGTACCCGCAAGGAGCGGCAGTATTCAACAGCAGTCGAAGCATCAAGACCACGAGTGGAGTTGTCCCAGCAGCCAACACTTGCACGATTGACGAATACTTCTGCAATAGAGACACGCCTGATTGTTAGTCTGGTAAAGCAAAGGAAGGGGACTCACTTCTTTTCTCCGCCAGAGACTCCGCGAACCATCTCGTCTCCAACCTTCGTCTTGAAGGTGTGTTCAATACCAAAAATCTTGCCAAGAACGTTCAAAAACTTGTCTTGATAGCCCTTGCGAGTTTCACCTTGAGGTCTCTCACCAGGCGTCCTCGTTTTGAGTGCAAATCGTAGTGTCTGTTCGACTGAGAGCGTTGCAAAGTGCAGATCGTCCTCACTATTATAGACAACATCACCGCGGTACTTTTTGGCCATTTCCTCCCAGCCAATACCACCGTAATGGACGTTGCCAGTGACTTCCTTGTAGCCATTCCGCTGATTGGCAAGTGCCTTGAGAAATGTGGTGCATCCAGAGCCCGGCTGTCCAAGAACAAGCAACATCTCTCCGTCTTTGACACAACCGTTGAAGCCGTGAATGAGCTTACGTTCAACAGCTTCAGGTGATTTGGCCTTTGTACTTTTGTAGATGACATAAGGCAAGATTGGGATGGAAGCAATGCCCTTGAGGATATCGCCGACTGTTGGTTGAATCGCAGCACCAACACCACCACCAATAACATTCAGATCTTCGAAGTAAACACCCACATCTGTTTGTTAGCCGGGAACAATGCGGAAAATGTGCTTACTCTTCTTCTTCATCTCATCACGATCAAATATTTCACCTAACAACTCATTGAATGTGTTGTCACCACCTGGATCCTCACCTCCAGCTGATCGCCGCGAGGTGAGTCTGCGCATGAGGTCGTTGCTTTCTTCTTGTGACATGTGCGACATGCGAGAGTGATACCGTTCCAACGCCCCATGACCTTCTGAATCAGTAGTATTTGCAGCATGGCTCACGCGAGACTGTGCAGCAGGCCGTGCCTTGTGCTCCTGGATCAAGCTAGGTGATACAATCGCAGGAGCGACTTCTTCCGTGTGTTGTTGATGATCCATGAGCGTCGATGCTGGAGACGCAGCAGACTGGCTCATCTTTAATGAACAGATTGTTGGTCTTGAAACTAGAAGCTTGAGCGTCACGGAGGAGGCATTGGCTGCGCTTTAAGGCCTTAGCGCGGTGTGCTGAGCACCAAACCCGTGCGCTTCTCGGTATCGGCCACGGACATGCCGACCCGCCAAAGTATGTAGACGTCATACAGGGGCAGCCTTTTTTATTCGCTCCAGTTAGCGACCATCGGCGTCGGCATAAAAGATCTGTCCGTGGGATCAGTTCTTGTGTAGATTTACCCGCAAATAGCTGTTCTTCAAACTTCTTTCGTCTGCGAAGTGTAGTTGCAATTACGTGGCTGGACGCTAGGGATAGAAGTCTGTGCATCACGATATAGAACCCTCCATCTGCAGAGTGTAGTTGCGATCGCGGACGTAGACGCTAAGGGGTAGTGGTCTGTGCGTCACAACATAGATTAGTCAACAATCTCGGAAACTTCTTTTGCCGTACAGGACGATAATGCCAAACAAGCGACAAGTCCGTGCGACGGACAATTGCTGTAGCGGCTGCAACCTGTTGTCTGAGCGGCATGCCACGTCAGAGCGATCTCAAGCTTCAAAGCCATTTCAATGTAGCTTCATGAAGGCTGAAGCCCGTGGAACTGCGGCCTTGTGTCGCGGTCTGAGAACCCGCATTCACGCAGCCATGTCCTCAAGTTCGATTGCAGCCGGATCCACTTGCGGCACGAGACGTCGACTCGGCCTTTCCGCTTCTTCCTCACTCATACCCCTGTGTGCGCCAAAGACTCGCTCGCGTAAAGCTTGTAGCAATTGCACAATCAAGTTACATAGTAAACCGAGAATACCAATGCCTAGGATACTCCCCGCGACGATGGCTTTGTTTGAACTGCCAAAGAAGAAGTAGACCCAATTGTTGGATCTTGCATGTTCAATATAGACAATTGGGAGGTACAACAAGACCACAAGAAATGAGGGTAGCATGAGTGCGAATCGCGTCGTAACGCGACTGAACCAAATCTCAAAGAGAGCGAAGCATGTATTGAGCGCGTGCATTGAAATGTTGACCCATAATGGATATGCACTTTTGTCCATGTCACCTGCAAGAACGGCCCAATACACAATCGTTACGAGCATCGCACCTGCGCAGACGGTATGCTGTAGAACCATGTGTAGTACTTGTAGTAGACGTGGCCAGCACGGAAGTCCTCGCGTCATGCCAAATTGAGCATATCTGGCAGTATGAACGCCAGCAAAGAGGAAATATGCAGACAGGGCTACATAGCTGATGTGTGTATAATAAGAGAACCACATAGCCAGTCCTTGCGTAACTTGAGTATGTATAATGTCGATGAGCACGACTAGCGAGGCATACAAGCCAATAGCCAGTCTGCATTTCGCGAGGGTTGCTGGCTTGCATAGAGCGGACGTAAAGTAGCGAGGCGAGATGGTCACGTCGTACATGCCCAGAAAGCGATATACGCCGTCGAATCGGCTCTGACTATGCATAGTTCTTGTTGCAGGTGAGTCTGAAGGTGAGTGAATGAGCTGCTCAAGATCCTCGTGCTCGACGCCTAGCGCCCGGTACACATCTTGTTTCATGCTAGTCGGCTCTTGTTTGTTCAAGTGATCAGTCATATGCATATTTTCTGCACTGTCTGCGATGTGTATGTGCTGAGTCGTATAAGAGCTGTCACCTGTCTCTTTCCTCCGATCTTGAGCGCGCATGAGACATGTGTACGAGCTCGTTGAAAGCTTGTTTGATGTTGCACCACATCTGTTCGCGCATGGAAAGTGGAGCCGAGCTGCTGCCCCTGAGCGAAATGAGAAGAGCTGCACTATACAATAAATCCTATAGCTTGACCTTGCCATCACGTCGCCTTTGTCCTGCCATCCTCAGCAATGCATACAAACTCTGCAGTCGTGGCATCTCCAGCCCTTTACGCCGTGCAATCCTCACAGGGTTGCCAAGAATCACTTCTAGCTCCATCGGATTTCCACGCTCCCAATCGAGCAGCATACTCGGCTTACCAGAGGTGTTCCGTTCTGTTGACTTGAGAATTGCTTCAGCGGTTGCAAGTTTTGTGGGAAACGGACGGCCGAGGATTTTGGGTGCTGTTTGCAGCACTTCCTCCATGACGCCCTTCAAGTGGATACGCAGTTCCGGGTCCAATGACATTTCAGCATTGCCTGCTCCAGAACTCAGGACGGCAGATGGATTCATACTCGCATTGATGGCGATTTTGTGCCATCGAACAAGTTGTAGGCCGGCTTCATCATACTCCTCGGCGTCCTTGACACCTCCTTCCTTGAGGAGCTGCACAAAACGCTTATTCATTTCCGTGGCATAGGCATCCCGTTTATGAGCTTCTTCCCTTGAAGGTGGCAGCTCAAGCACGTCATCGCCGCTGTAGGGACCAATACTGATACGTGTCCATCGATTTTGGACCACCACACCGGGTGATGTTTGAGCAGCACTAATGACCGTCACTGCAGACAAGACTGGATTCGATGGGAAGGCAATTCGATACGGTTCCTCGACTCCGACACCATTTTGAATCAAGAGGATTGCTGTTTTGCCGGGTGTCACGAGGTCTTTGATGATTTCTGTGTCGTCGGTGATATCGGGGAGTGCTTTCGTTGTGATGACGATGAAATCCCAGCTAATGTGACTGGAAGAAGCCTCGGCCGGTGAGCTGAAGGTATTCGCAGGCGTGAACTTGTAGTCGCCAAAGGTATGAGTCTTCATGGTGAAGCCATTGTCCTTGACGGCCTTGTAGTTGGACCGACAGATGACACTGACAGCGGCATTAGGCAGACGACTCGCATAAAAGGCCCCGACGGCGCCTGCTCCTACAACGAGAACTGTCGGCTTTGACATTGTGCGATATCGATGTGGAGTGTGGAGCAAGATGAGGGTTTTAAATTTCAACAAGTCGCAAGACTCAAGCGAGGAAAGTGCAAAGGACACGCTTCATCTATCGTAAAGTATAATACAGAACACATGTAGTGTGGTTCAATTCAGCTGCTTCTGCTGCTGTTGTCGCTCCATCTCTGCCTCTTTCTTCCACCGATCCAGCGTATTTCTCAGCTCCGTATCGGGAATGAGCGTTCCCGTAGGCGTCGTGCTGCCGTACCGCGACCGCTGCAGCTTCTTGGCCTTGAGCTCAATGATTTCTGCAATGGTCATGGCTTGCTGCTGATAAAAGTACGCACTGTTGGTCTTGCCTAGCTTCTTGGACGCTTCACTCAGGTAGAGTACCGTCAATGCGTCATGCTTTGTAGGCTCTGAATTCACAAGACCCGGAATGTCCAACTGGTCTCTTGCAGCCTCAATGGCTCGAGACAGCGACTCGGCATCCGTTGACAAGGTCGATGCATGATACGCAAGATCCAGGCTCGATGAATTGGCTTCTCGCTCTTCGTAAAAGTCTGCGGCTGTGTCGTCATTCTCCATGTTGTAGTCTTGCATATCTGCATGCTCAATCATTTGGATGTCGTGTGTCTTGTTGTCCAGGGCTCCAGTAGAGAAACGCATGGCTTCCGCGTGCTCTTGTGAAGCGTATGCTGTATCAGAAGACATTCGGGAGGTAATTGAGTGGAGAGAAGTATGCGCTGCGCCAAACAAGGCGCTTTGAGCGATGAAGAAGATTGAGGAGCTTGTCCTTGTTGAGGAGTCCTTTCTTTCGTTGCGTGAGTTGGGAAGAATCAGAGACAGGCAGGCTGCTTGAGCTATATAGCAGCTAGGGAGGATGCGACGTCGGCCGTGGTTGCAATTGGGTCTGTGCCGCGTGAAGTCGCAAGTTGGTGCAGTTGGATGCGCTGGCCGGGGTTTGTCGGGTTGTCGAACTCTTGTCGGGCCTTCTCTCGAATTTAGCCGGCACTCTGAGATCTGACAGCTGCAGCCACAGACTCGCCCACAGTGCAATCAGCTGATCTTGCAGATATGGAGACTGGCATGGATCTATGGCTAGTCATTGGCTCCATTGACCACAAAGGCTTCAGGTGCAGCTAGGACTGGAGATGTTTACCTACGTCCTGACCTACCTAAAATCACGGCATCTGAGGAAGCCACAGTAGCAATACTGCCAGTGCATGCATCAGGATGCAACATAGATATCAGCGTCCGAGTCTGCCAGAGAGCCATGAGTCATGACACATGGACAGACGGGGGAGCGCGCGTACTTGCTGATCTGTTTTGCATGTCGCGTATTTGTTCAACCCAGGAGTGACCTTAGAGAAGCACCGAAGTAGCAGCGCAACCCGAGGAAACGAAGCGAGAAATGCCCATCTGAAGGAAATCTCGCCTTCCGCAGTGTTCGGGCCGATGTTGAACTACTCCTCGAAGAGACTGAATACATCGCTCCGAAGATGACTGCACAGACTCAGAGTCAGAGCTCTGAAATCTACTGCCCTGCCGCATGGCTCGCGTTTGCTTGGAGTGCCTCTGCTTCAACAGTGATTGTTCATGTTCGCAGCTCTATTGCCAGGCATCAAATTCGGCCGAAGAGCTTCACCAATGATGGCACTGGCATCAGCTCAAATTCAGGCGCATGAGCCTAATCATAATCGTGACTCGCGAGTCGTCGACTCATCTTCCAGGTGACCGTACAGGGTCCAATTCCCCAGTACAGACCAGAAATGGCACGGTCGTCTCATACGTGCAAGTATTCACAATTGAAGGTTCAGTCAATGTCAGGTACAAATCGCAGGCGCATGCAAGATCTCATCAGATGAGCAGATTGATTGGAACCCAGTCTGCGATTGGACGCTGCCGGGTGAAGAGAACGGGATGCTGCAGCCTCTTGAGTCTTGACTCTTGACAGCATGTGCACTGTGAGTCCGTGACATCTCAGTGACAATACATATGGCTTCCAGCAATTGATTAGCCTGAAGCTAATTGCCAATGTCATCGCCGAGACTTCAGCTGTGAGCGTGGGCTTCTGGATTCTTCATTGACAATCTGACAGAGAACGACCCTGCAGATTGCGGCCGAATCAGCAAATGGTATGAAGCTTCAGCCCTTGCGTTGGACACCTGGACACAGTGCCCATCAATTCAGTGGCACAGCCAGGCTGGTCCGTCCAGTGTCTAACCCCGAGTCCCGACTCCCCGTGAAGACTGCGACTCTGCCAGAGGCTCATGACTCATGAGTCATGACTACGAGTCATGACTTTGAGGCTATGACTTCAAACTGTGGCTTGTGAAGTTGTGAAGTTCTGAGTCCTTCGCGCAGATGAACTGATCTGACTGATGCTAGCGCGGGGAAAAGCTTTGACCAAATCGTCCCACGTCTGCATTATGGACCGACTGCGGCCGCATGTCGGATCTTTTGCGGGTGAATCCAACAGGCCGGACTGCGGCTGTCATCTGTCCAAGCAACCAATCCAAGTCTCCAAGGTCAAGCTTCTACGAACGACGGCCCTCTCATCTGTACACTCACAAATTGTGATAATCCATCTGTTGTACAAACATCCGCAAAGTACGGCCCGAAGTTTCACGCTTCTCTCCGTGACCGCGCGCAAACCCTGCTTTGATCGCACAACTACACTTCGCTAAGCTTCCCCAGACAAACACTCTGCCCCAGGATGTCAAGACACGCTCATGGTACTTAAAGACCTTGCCATCCCCAGGTATTTGTCCCTCATCAGCCTAGTCAGACGACTCTTCCCTTCTACAGCTGCAGCGACCATGGCCGACAAGACCCAAATCGCCTACGTGGAGGATGTCGCATCACAAAAGAGTGTCATCATCGCTGGCCATGCCATTGATAATGACAAGAACCTCGTCGCTGGTGCCATGCAGGCCACCGACCGCGAGCACACCTTGACGGTGAGGCAGGCTCTCAAGGCCTACAAGTCCGCCGTTCTCTGGTGCTTGCTCATCTCTGCCAGTATTGTCATGGAGGTATGTTTAAGACTTTTGGCTTGACTATGCTAATATACTAGGGATACGACACAATGCTATTGGGTAACTTTTACGCATACCCTTCGTTCCAGCGCAAATACGGTACTTTGCAAAAGGACGGCTCTTATGAAATCCCTGCACCATGGCAGGCGGGCCTGAGTAACGGTGTGGCTGTTGGACAGATCATCGGTCTATTCCTCAGTGGTTTCATCTCTGAAAAGTACGGATACAAGAAGACCATCATTGCCGGACACGCCGCCATCATTGCACTCATCTTCATCCCCTTCTTTGCTCCCAGCCTCGAAATCCTGCTCGTGGGCCAAATCCTGCTGGGTCTCCCATGGGGTGCTTTCCAGACTCTGACCACCACCTACGCTGCCGATGTTTGCCCAACACAACTTCGCCCATACTTGACCACGTACACCAATCTTTGCTGGGTCATTGGTCAGTTCATTGGCTCCGGTGTGCTTCGCGGCCTGCTTGGCATGTCAGAGGATGCCGGCAACTCGATGTCCTACCGCATTCCATTCGCTATTCAGTGGATCTGGCCTGTCCCTATCCTCATTGGTACCATTTTCGCTCCAGAGTCTCCCTACTGGCTTGTTCGCAAGGGCCGTTTCGAAGATGCCAAGGCTGTTCTGCGTCGTCTCCAAGCACAGAATGATCCAAACTTCAATGCCGATGACACCGTCGCCATGATGCGCCACACCAACGAATTGGAACGTGAAATCGCCGCTGGCACCAGTTACCTCGACTGCTTCAAGGGAGTGGACCGCCGACGTACAGAGATCGTCTGCGTCGTCTGGGCCATTCAGAATGCTTGTGGTAGCAGTTTCATGTGAGCCGTCCAAAGTGTATTGAATCAAGCTAACATTTAGGGGTTTCTCGACATACTTCTACAAACAGGCCGGCCTCGCGACGGAAAACGCTTTCTCAATGACTATGGCTCAATACGCCTTGGGCGCTATCGGTACACTCCTTTCTTGGCCCTTGATGAACCGTGTGGGTCGCCGAACAATCTACCTCTATGGTCTCATTGTGCTTTGCGCTCTTCTCATGGTCATTGGTTTCACATCGCTTGCTGGCAAGGGATCTGGTCCTTCATGGGCAATTGGCAGCATGCTGCTCATCTACACTGGTGTCTACGATCTTACTGTCGGCCCAATCTGCTACTCCCTCGTCTCTGAGCTGCAGTCCACTCGTCTTCGCGGCAAGACCATCGTGCTCGCTCGAAACTTGTACAACGTCGTCGGTATCATCAATGGTGTCACTACCCCATACATGCTCAACCCAAGTGCCTGGAACTGGGGTGCCAAGAGTGGCTTCTTCTACGGTGGTATCTGCTTGTTCTGCGCCCTCTACTGCTTCTTCAGGCTGCCAGAGCCCAAGGGAAGGACTCCCGGAGAGCTTGCCATCTTGTTTGAACAGAAAGTCCCTGCACGCAAGTTCTCCAAGGTCAAGGTCTCTCAGTTCGCTGGCGAGGATCTCACCCAAGAGAAGACCAACTTGTCTGCTTAGACTTCGAAGTCACAATGCAAAGCACCTTCCTTTTCTGTGCTTTGTCATGTTCCACCACTTATGTTTCATTAGTTGTATAGCACGATTAGAATTTCAACTCTCAAATTTCTCTAGATGACCTGCCTGCATCTTTATTGATCTTATTGTTCAGTACTTCAGTGATCTGCAGCTGACGTAGAGCAGCCGATACCCGTGCTGGCGACAAAATGTCAGCCCATCTGAAGCGCCATCCCAACAGCAGGCCAACCTCACGCGATGGGAGGAGGTGCACATCTTGCGTGGCAATGCTACGAGTGCAAATCTAGCGCAGAAAGATTGCACAGCCGCGCGCACTTCCAATGCCTCAGAAGCTAGCAGAGACTACTACGCACACCGAGGCTGATGTGGCTCTCCCACCACAGGCGACGACTGCCTCCGTGCTGAAAAAGTTCATCCGTACCATTGCTATCGTCCTGCTCCTCCAGACTATCTTCTCTTATGCTGGCAAGTGGATCAAAAAACCAGTAGAAGTAGACGTTGCCAAGCCAGACGCTGTCAAGCATGCTGCTGTCGCAGGCAAAGCTGACGCAACGACTGTAGACTACTCTGTCACTCCTCGACGCGTAAAGCCAATGTGGCACACGCCAGCCACAATCGATGTTGCATTGTACTTGAATGAGGAGCGCAATTTTCAGCCAGATGGTCAGCCCTTCTTTGTTGTGCAGGACTTTCAAGTTGGAAATTGGTCAGATGTAAGAAGAATGTCGGGCTATTATGATTTGCCCAGCCGCGTACAGTCGTCCAATGGTAGTCTTTGGGCGCATCTTTTTGTAAGCAAGAGTCTCGCATCGCCAACAGAGCCAGGGGTCCCAGAAATGATGGACAGATCTTTGCACATCCGTCACCAATTGACGCGCTTTCTGCCTCATCGCAAGGACATGACCGTGAAAAAGCTCATCGGTCAGACAGATACAGCAAAAGAAGCCAAACAAGAGAAAGGTGAAGTCATCAGCTACTTTCATCCGAATCTTACCTTTTCGGTTGTTGGAGATGCTGGAACATTGGTCTACAGCCAAATACATCCGGTCATTGCTCCGTTTGTTACCCTGGAACCCTCGAATGCGCGAGATGAATCGGGCGAAGATGGATGGTACTTGCCAATCGCCTATGTTAATGATTTCTGGCTTTTGCGAGACCACATGTTCCCCATCAATACCACGACGCCACGTGTGCCAATACACTTTGAGCTTTCTCAGACAAGTCTTGTGAAGATGCAAATGATGACTGCAATGGACCAGTCATTCAAGCAGCAAGCCAAGAGCATGGGAGGAAGTGGTGCCGAATTTGAGGAAATCAAGCGCATACTTTTGGAGACGAATGTCTGGCTTCTAGGCATGACGATCGCTGTCTCGTGTCTGCATTCGCTCTTTGAGTTCTTGTCCTTCAAAAATGACATTCAATTCTTTCGCAACAAGAAGGACAATACCGGCATCTCCACCTGGACGATTCTGATGAATATCATTCAGCAGACAGTCATTCTGCTTTACTTGCTCGACTCATCTGAAGAGACGTCCATGGTGCTTCTCATTGGTCAAGGCTTCGGAATTTTAGTGGAGGCCTGGAAGCTGACTACTGCAGTCAATGTGCGTCTTGTAAGGGTCAATTCATTGTTCCCGTACCGCGTCAAATTTGAAGACAAAAAGGTATTGAACGAGGCCGAGCAAGCTACAAAAGAGTACGATGCTGTCGCTTCAACTTGGCTGCTATATGCATCCATCCCACTTCTCATTGCCTACGCCACCTGGTCGCTGCTTTACCAGGAACACAAGAGTTGGTGGTCATTCGTTGTACAGAGCCTCGTCGGATTCATCTATGCGTATGGCTTTCTGACTATGCTACCATCACTCTACATCGACTACAAGCTGAAAAGCGTCGCCCACCTCAGTAAGCGTGCGTTGACTTACAAATTCCTGAATAGCATTGTCGACGACGGTTTTGCATTCATCATCAAGCAACCTTTGCTGGCCCGTCTAGCCTGTTTTCGAGACGACGTCGTCTTCTTGATATTCATGTATCAAACGTGGATCTACAAAATCGACAAGACGCGGTCCAATGAGTTTGGTCAAGTAGCAGAGAGTGTTGCGGCAGACAATGTCAAGAAGAACAGCTAAAGTCATACATGCCACCTCTTTTACGGTCTATCGCTCCTCATCACCTTGCCACCCTTGTCGCGTGATAGCACATGACGCGAAGCATTGAGCTTGATAAGACAACAAAGCACGGCTCGTCGGAGTCATTCTCTCGTTCATTGCTGCTGCTCAAGCGGACACGACTCAGTTCGTGAAAACCTTGGAGGATCAGTCGTCACACCTTTACACTTACACACTCCACTTCATCAGCCGGCACTAAGCACCGAATATTTTCACGACCTTAGCAATGTGTCTGCAACTGTCTGCCTTCGCATCACTGTTTCGTGAGGTGTCTTAGCCTCATCAGCCCCAGAGCCGTATGGTCTTGTAATAAAGGAGCGAATTTCTGGAAGTCGAGGCTACATACACGGTCACATCACAGCACAGGCGCGAAACTCTTCTGTCGACAATACGACTTGCGGGGGCGGAAAGAAGTTCGAAGCCTACGTGGTCGAGAGCCTAGTTTGTTCCCAACAATATGCAGGTACAGATTGAATCCAGCAGCTTGAGCCAGGACCTTCTGATGGCGTCAATGCTGGTCCAACGTGCGGAAAAAGAGACCGACACCCACGTCTTTTGAGCACCTTCGGCGGAGAACAGAAGCGCAGAAAGCGAGACGCTTGTGCGCAGGTATGGCGTCTTTGCTGTAAGTGCATGCTTGACGGATGCCATTGTATTTTGTGTTCGTGGTCGACTCCTTCCTGTAAGGGACTGAGTATAAGTAAGAGGGTGCTTGTATACGGTGACAGCTGGTCTGACGGGCTGGCTGAAGACGCAGGTAAGGAAAGGGGGGAGGAAATGCTAAGAAGACAAGATGAAATGAGAAAAGATAAGCAGAGATTAGCAATGATGAGCAAAAATGAGTTTCTAATTGCAGAATTATGAATACAGAAGGCTCTGATTTTAAAATGATAGAGAGTGAAGATATTGAGCAAGTCATAGCAGGGCAATTTTTTTGAAAAGCTTGCTAGATTGCGTTGAGTAGGTGTCAGGTAATCGTTGAGCAGCTGTTGAGCAGAGAAAAAGACATGTCGAGCGACTCGTTGGGTAGATGAGTTGCAGCATAGTTTCCACAGCGGGCCGATCTCGGCGGGACTTGTGATGGCTCTCTTTGTACCGCGCTGCAGTGTTGATCATCACAACATCATTGTGGCTTCTCTTCAGGCGGTGACTTACCAGCTCAACACGAGTGGTAAATTAGAGGAGTATTCAACGGGGAATCCTAGTGAGATACGTAGCTGGAACAGAATTGATATTCCAAAGTGTTGTAGTAGTTCTAAGGGATTTTAGTGATGTGTGCGAAAATCGAGGCTGCGTGTTCATCACATTTCCCTATCATTGTGTTCCGTCGTGTTTGCTGCATGTGTCATTCCATTTCGAGAGGGGCCTGGAGGCTTAAACCTGCAGAGAGATGGATAGCAATTATTTCTCGTAAATCACTCATTCTAATCATGGCAATCACAAGCACTATTACTTGTGGGACGACTACAACCTGTCTTCAAGTTTAAACATGTCCTCAAGGCCGTCCCAGAATCTAGGGTCGTCATCTACCTCATCCGCAGCTGGCCGTGTGAGCCCTGTCTCAGGAACGCATTGCTCATGGCGCTCTGCTGCGCATAGGCATCCTCCACCGGGCCCAGGATTATCGAGAGCGCAGCGAGTAGAGCTAAATGTCTCGATGTTACCACAAAGTCCATCACCCTCTTGGCATGTGCAAGTCGCCTCCCCATTCAAGGGTCTTTTACAATCGATGTCGTTGTCCACGATAGACCATTTCCCAATCTGCCATTGAGTGGTGGAATACCTGTTCATCATATAATCTGGATGACATTGCAGCCTGTTTTGCCATCCAGGCTGCATTGCGAGATATTCGTCCACATTTGCAGGTCCGTGCCGTCTGATGCGCCAGAGATTCACTGTAGCACTGCAAGCGCATGTATCTAGATAACATGCTTGCTGCGCTGCAGCGGCCGTCTGCTTGTCTGAACAACTCCGTTCAGTGATATTTACTGCTCTCGACCGAATGCAAAAACCCGACTCAAGACAGCCCTTCTTGCTTGGTTGCTTCAAGCTCTGCGCCTTATTTGCCATAGACTTGATGGAGTCCTTGCATACTTTCGAACAGCTTTTTGGTGTCAAACGGGGGTAGTTCTCCGGATTTAACACGTATTTGATGTCAAATTGCAAATGATAGCATTTGCTACCGTATTGCTCAAAAAAGTTTTTGTTGGCCTTGACAAAATGTGGTCTTGCTTCCTTTTCTGCGCCTCGTGCCACACTTGAGCTCTCAGCTGGTCTTTTTTTGCCGGCTGCAGCCTCCGGGTCTGCTTCAGGTGAGGCGTGCGCAATGAGAAAGCAATTGAGCAACGATGTGTAGATCATCAGAGCCCAAAGATTCATCTTGCAGGCCTATCGGAGGAGCTCTAGTAGCTGGGCAAAGTTCTTTCGGGCTGAAACGTGTCAATTGTAATTGTAAAAAGTTCAAATGAGCCACGTCGTCTTTAAGCATTTTCATCTGATTGAATTTTGAATTCAAATGTTTGACCACGAATATTTGGTCCCACGCCCAAGATGTGTATCCCGGCTCTATTTGACTTCTTTGATCATACAGACGGGTGTTAGCCGGCCGAGTCACGAGTCAATGAAGCAGCATCCTCCTGTGGCGTTACACTTGCGATAATTGGCGTCAGGATTGATCATAACATGTGCCCATGCTGGCGGCAAGTGCAGCAAAATAAAGTTGGAACAGCCTCAGCTTGGGATTGACAGTTCGACAATTTTGCATCAGAATTACTATGCGCGATGGAAGCTTCTATGAGCAGGATGAAGCCATTTACAGTCCCGTTGTTTCTCAGATGTCATCTCACCGCCCGGTAATCCCAGACGGACTGGTATCCCCAGAAATTCGGCCGGTAACCCCAGCCAACGAGCAATTTACGCCTGATATTCAGGACGTTATGCAGCAGTACCGGTTGGAGATGCAGCAGTACCGGTTGGAGATGCAGCAGTACCGGTTGGAGCAGCAGACTCCCTCTTTCGCGACTCCGTCCCGAGTTGTTCGTGCTCCACCACTACCAGTGGAGCCTGAGTCTCATGACCACATCTGGTCTTTGGCTCCCATCATCGGACTTCCCATTCCCGGGAATCCGTCATACGTCGGGTGTGTGCAGCCTGACAACGCAACGCTGCGCGCGTCGATTGACACGCTCGGCAAGTCACCTCTCAAGAAGGATGGCTCTAATTGGTATGACTTCATCAAGCTGGCGATCTTTGCCATCAAGAACTCCGGCACGTCTCCGTTAGTGCTACTGCCGGTATCAACAACGACTGAACTTTTGGCGGCTTATGGCAATGATGCAGTTCTGGTCAGCCTGCACACGAGATGGCACTCGACCATCACACAACTGGCAGCATCTGCCTACGGTGCTGGCATCACCGAGACGGTGTACGCTTGCTTGGAGCAAGTACGAACGCACTACGCTCCGGAGGCTGCAACTCTTCGCGCCAAGCTAGATGCAAAATTATATCAATTGCAATGCGCAAGTTGGTCGGTGGCCGACATCAAGAAGTTGATTGTCTCTATGCAAGAGATTTTCGATGAAGCACAACAAGGCGGTCGCGATATGGACAAAGACACACAAGGAATGCAGCAGCATTTCTTCCAGGCACTCCCAAAGACGGAGATGAGTGTCTCATTCTACCACTCTGCCAAGGCCAAGGACTTCCCTGACATGTGGTCGTTCTTCAGGTATGTTGAATCGAACGCGGTGGCAACGGCGCTCATCATCGGGTCCAGGCCTGTGCACGCCAACGTGGTACAACGCACATACCAGGCGCCTGTCGAGGTTGAAGGCAAAGGGTGGAGGCACATGAATGGCTTGTTCTGCGAGGACAATGGCCACTCCGTACAAGAGTGCCACCATAACGCCAAGGGCACCAATTTTAAGAAGACAGGTAGCAAATTTCTCTCTCGTTACCCTGCCGCAGTGCTCACTCGTGTCTCACCTGTCGAATCTCTTGGCTCATGCTCCAAAGTCATCAATCTCATTCAAAGTGAGGCTATGAAGACATGCAGCTCCACGAATGATGCTTCTTGTGAAGACTTCATCATTGACTCTGGTGCTAGTGAGCACTTCACAAATTCAAAATCGCTCCTGCAGGACCTTGTTAAATGCGTTGCGGAAGTCAAGTTCGCTGACAACTCTGTTGCATACACTGAGAGCTATGGCAACCTTAAAATGACAGTCCTTGATAGTCACGGAAAGGAGCAAGTTCTATGCTTGGATAAGGTCTTCTATGCACCGTGGGCGCGTAAAATTGTTTCCATGGGTGCGCTCAAGAAGCACTTTGTTAGCGTACTCAGCAACAGGGATGAGCCCTTCATGCGCCTCATCAGTCAGGACTGGGAGATTCATGCTCCAATGAACGAGAATCTTTTCGTCTTGCGCTCAGCAAGTAACTCACGTCTGTCCCTTGCACTTGCTGCCACCTCTGCCAGCGTACTCAAGGTGCATGAATCACTTTGCCATGCATCCTATCAGTCAATGCTTCAGCTAGCAAAACAAGACAAGCTCACCATTTCGGCCAATGCTTTAAAGCAATTCAAGCAAGCTGTTCTTGACTGCAAGACTTGTGCTATCGCCAAGTATCGCAAGCCATCTCATCCGTCGAAGCATCCTGGCAGTGACAAGCGCATTGAGCCTCTTGCGCTAGTGCATATGGACCTTATGAATCGCAAGGACCCGGATGGTCATACTCCAAACGTATTGGTGGTCGTTGATGATTTCTCTGGATACACCTGGTGGTATCCACTTGTGAAGAAAAGTGATACACTCGACCAGGTAAAGAAGTGGCATGCACTAGTCACCAACCAGTCGAACCACAGAGTACTCAGCTTTCGCTCGGACCGCGGTGGTGAATTCACTGGTGACGCTTTCAGAGACTGGACAGACTCGCTGGGCATTGTGCACACGTTCTCGGCGCCGTTTACGCCCCAGCAGAATGGAACGGTTGAACGCTTCAATCAGACATTGCAGGACAAGACTGTCGCAGCTCTAATCGGTGGAAACCTTAAAAATGCCTTCTGGCGGGAAGCTCTTGATTTCTCCTGCCGTCTCATCAACATGATTCCAAATTCTCGCGGCGTTATTCCGTTTCAGGAGTTGATGGGGAAGCCTGTTCAGCATCGAAGGATCCAGCCATTTGGCTGTGCGGTGGTCATTACCAACAACAACCCAGAAAAGTGGGGTGCTCGCGGCACTCCGGGTGTTTTCCTTGGATATGACGCTGATGGACCAAACTTACGCATTTGGGATACTGGAAAGTCCAAGATTCGTGTCGTGCCTGGCGCAAAGTTTTTCATTGACGAGTTCCCTGGCATTGTTGGCTCACCTGACCCATTATCCTCTGCAGTTCCTGAGTTTCTGCAGGACGTCACCAATGATGAGGGCCATGATGTCTTTCTTGCGCCACTCGTTGGATCACCTTTGCCAGTGGTCTCTTCTCCAAGTCCTGGTTACGTCGCTGGCAGTCCTCCGGAGGAAGTCTTCGTTGCCGATGACGCGAGCATCTCACATGCAGCACGCCAAGTCACTTGGTATCCTGAGACTGCTCGTGCATCACCGCCTTTAATCGAAGCGCCTTCTCCGGTGACTCATTCAAGACCTCAGTCCACATCCTCCTCGCCGGTGCCAGAAAACATGCAACCGGTGGTTCAGCCGTGGAGCATATTTGACACGGTGGATTGTGACTCGTTGATCGAGCCACTACTGCCAGAGGTCGTTGATCCCGAGGTGCTTGAGGTGATTGATGCTGCAGAGCCCATCGATCTTCTAGCTGATACAAGTGTTGATGCTTCTTTCCAGTCTGCTGCGGTCTGGGACTCTGATGGTGACGAAATTTCAGTTTCTTCCGACGTCAACAACCAGGATGCGGGCAACGTACTTTCTCCGCACAATGATGAGGTGACGGACGATGATTTGAGTGTCGAGGATGTGGTTCTGGATGTGAGAGAAACGGTAGTGGGTTCACCTGCTTCTACTGCTGCTCCACGCGTTACTCGCTCAAGTAACTCAACACTTGGCGGGCAAATTGCATCTGACCGAGGCGGAGTCCGTGTGGAACCTCAGTCGTATCAGCGCATGGAGTCTATGCTCTCGAGTATGCCGCCTGAGCCAATGCGTCTGTTCTTAGCAGAGGTGGTTTCCAGACACGGCGTTGACGGGGATGACGATGCTGTTAACCACTTCAACGACAACATCTCATTAGTCCTCTATCTGGCGCGTCACTCTCAATATGAAGATTGGCCATTGAAGGTCTCAGATGAGGATGTGCCGAAGCACTTTGGGGCTGTGAGGTTTTCTCCTCATGCGAAGTGGTTCATCCTTGCCATGGCAGAACAGATCAAATCTTTTGAGGACAACAATGTCTTTGAGGTCTGTATGTTGCCTCCTGGAGTCATACCCATTCGTGGCCACTGGATTTATGTAGTCAAGCACGAGAAGACTGATGACTCGATTGCAGCCTTCAAATCGCGCTTTGTCGCCAAAGGTTTCGAGCAGAAGGCTGGCATTGATTACAAGGAAACCTTCTCACCAGTTGTTACGAGCTCTGCTATTGAAATGCTGTACAGCTTGGTCGTTTACTTTGGATGGTGTATGCGCCAAGGAGATGTCAAGGACGCCTTTCTCAATGCTCCACTCGAAGAGGATGTGTACATGGAGCCTCCACAGGGATTTGACAAGTACAATGGCAAGGTTTGGCGACTGAAGAAGGCTCTTTGGGGTCTCAAGCAAGCACCGAGGGCATTCTACCTGTACATGCGCAATCACCTGTACGATCTGCAATTCAAGGTGGTTGAGGGTGAAGAGTGTATCTTCTGGAAGTACATTGATGACAGGCTGGTGCTCCTTCTGCTCTATGTGGACGACTTCATTGTAGCTGGCACTCGAAAAGACGTTGACAGCACATTCTCCCAACTGCAAGCATGTATGACAATTGACGATCGTGGCTACTTTGACAAACCTGGTGGAAATAGCATGCTGGGAGTCGCTGTCACTCATGTCAATCGCTGCATTACACTATCACAGCGTGTCTACTCAGAACAGCTGATTGCTGAGTACAACATCACTGACAGGATGTGCTTCACAACACCCATGGCACGAGATACGGTCGGCATACTATCATCGAGCACCGCTCCTCTTGTCGTGGAGCATGACTACATCACGTTACTTGGAAAAATGATGTTCCTTGCTTACGGAACGAGGCCTGATATCAAACATGCGGTTGGTCAGCTTGCACGCTACTCTAAACGGGCTACTGAAGATCACTGGAAGGCTGCAATGCGTGTCCTCGGATATCTCCGACACACTGGTGACGCAGGACTGGAATTCAAACACTATCCTGAAGCGGCGCCAATTGTCGCGTACTCAGATGCTGACTTTGCCACTGATGTCAGTACACGGCGTTCTACATCAGGCATGCTCATCGAAGTCTTTGGCAATCCTGTGTTATGGCAATCAAAACAGCAGCCAGCAGTAACAAGCTCGACAAAGCATGCAGAATACGTGGCCTATGGACGCATGGTGATGAAGGTGGAATGGCTTCACAAGGTGTTCAGGCAAATCATGCCAGACATACCCGATCGTGTGGAGACGTTCACGGACAATCACGCGACCTTCACGGAGCTCACTGATGACCCAGTACGCTCTCAAAGTCTCAAACATGCGGACATCTCAATGAAGTATGTGCGAGACCGCATCAAGAGTGGCCACATTGGTGTCACTGAGATTCGCTCTGGTGTCAACCGATCGGATATGTTCACCAAGGCGCTTGGAGCTAGTGCTTTCAAAGATGGATGTATACAAGTTGTCAAGTACATATACATTTACAGAAAGATTGGATTTATGCCAGTCAGCTCAAGACCTTATTTCCGAGTTAAAGCGATACTTGGCGGATGTTCCCGATGCGCCTTCTGGCACCGCGTTCGGCATCGTGAACCGCAGGCTCCAAGCTTACCACACCTTATCGAGCGGTAGAGCGATGGCAGACGATAGCAGATAAAATGCAGATTCCGTAGATACCTTCAAAGCTTATCGATCCCTTCACACCTCAAGAACCCTGTTTCATAGAGACCCGTGCCAATCAAGACACCACGAGCAAGATCGACGCTGCCGCCCGTACTCGTCCCAAAGTACCGTCCGTCATCTTGAAACAAGGTCTGCAGGTCCCAATCCTTGTGATGTTTGGGCTCGTAACGCTTATTCTTTTCTCCAGAACGCTTGGCCACTTCTTTTGGATGCTCAATTTGATGAAGCGACCTCCTCCGTGCAAGCGTGATCCACGATGGAGAGTACAGCTCAGACCGTGCCGCGTGAGGATTGCCTGCCAATTGACGGAGCATTGCGAAATTTGGATGTCCACCCACCACGAGGACATCAGAAGGCTTGCCGTCCTTGGTTTCTGTCGTGACTGCAATATTGTCTAGTGCATAGCCTAGTGGAATAAATTCTCTTTGAATAAGCAACGGAGTTGAACTATTGGCAGGCTGGAAGACATGCACAGCACCAGCGCTGGAGGACATGAAGAGAGTGTTGTTTGAACCCTTGGCCAGACCATTGGGGAAGGGAAGACCAGTGTACGCACGCATATATTCCAGTTGACCTTGATCCTGCCACTGAACATGAGCAATCCAGCCTCGACCAAGGATCGCGCTTCCAAAGGTTTCCGTCATTGCTTTCAAGGGTCCATCCATAAGTCTGGTCCAAGAATGGTCGTTTGTGACGTAGAAAGCATTGTGGCCGAGAGCTGTAATGCCATTTGCACTTTTGATGTCCTTGTGAGCCGGGATGGTCATTCGATGCTTGGCCAGCAGAGGATGTGCAGGATCAAAGGTAAACACTTCAATCGAGGGCCCCGTTCTTTGGTGATTGACCACAAACAAGCTAGTCTTTTCGGCATCTGCAAAGTAATCGATGCCGAGAGAGTGAAAGTCCGAATTGGCTGGAAAATCAACAAGCTCAATGGGTTCAGGGGCAGCTTGCTTTGCGTAATTGTACGCAAAAAGTCGTCCTCGGCCGCTCGGATCATTGAGTGGGCCCATGACAGTATTCCACTCACCCCTGTTTGGGTCACAACTCAGGATCACGAGTCCAGCATCCTTGAGCATGACTTCATGCTCGCAAAACTTGGGCCCATCGGCAGCCGTCATACTGGAATTGCCCTGCACAGTACAAACGACGGGATTTGGGGTGTAATTGACTGGATACGCTGGTCGTCCTAGAGCTCCGGCCGTATGAGCAAGCTGCCACATTGGCGAGAGAAAGACTCGGAAGCATAGCGAGGCAGCCATGAAGTAAGCTGGCAGCCTTGTAGCTCTTGGAGGGGCAGCAGGCACGTTGAGCGGTTTCGCTCGTGGTAGCGAATGAGAGGCTTCCTCAGCAGACTTGCTAGCTTTGGGAGTGGAAGGAGCAGATCGACGAGCTCTTTGCTTGCGAGTGTCCGGCATAGCTGCTACAGTAGAGGTTTTGAGCAAGTAAGTGAGGAGATATGGACACCGACTTGTCACGTCGTCGCTAGAATAAGCGAATTCCACGCGTAATGCGCATCGCGTCGGCAACCACTGTTACACAAGCACAACAAACCCCTTGCACACCAACAAGTAAGCCGATATTCTCGTAGCACGGCTTCCTGGCTATTATGATTGTGCGAGTCGCAGCTCTGCATCGCCAATGATATATGGGCCCTCTGCCTGCTGCTTAGCTATAGCAGCCTTATGAGCAGTGCAAGTGACTGCAACATGCCTTCTGCACCACAATAAGGGACGGGCCGTGAAGACCTTACTCTTTGCGAAGCTACGGTCACTCGCATTCTCATTCAGACCATCGGTATAGACCAGAAGGCAGAGATGCTATGCGGCAAGATTTACGTTGAATATCTGACGGAGGATCCGGTGGCGATGCGCAAAACGGCATCTAGGCAAGTGCAGCCAGACACACCTCTGTCGACCTGCGTTGAAGCGCAAACTGTCGGGCGTCATCCGCCAAGTCAGGCCGCAGTCACGAAGCTTGCTGCATATCACCACATCCGAAAAGTGCGCTGGTCCTCTGCATTTTTTGAACCATCCGAGGAGCCGGATGACGAAGAATCCGTATTGTGCTCGACATCCTTTGTTGAGGTCTTGGGGACTTGGCCTGGGCGAGTGTGATAGCGCGTCGGGATGTTCGCGTCTCGGGTCAAAGGCGCGGTCCTCAAGATGGGCGCACGTGTCCAGGATTTGTATGACTGCGTACTGACCCTCGGATTTACCATAGAATCGCAGCAACCTAAATTGAATACTTGGTGTCCCGGTGGCATTGTTCTAAGCTATTAGTTTGCAGATCTTTCGGCCGACTTTTACGGCTCATTGCAGCGAGACTATTCTCAGACTGATTCTCAGCTTGGTACTGGAAGCTCTGCATACTTGTGAAAGCTCACCTGCTGAGACAATCGCGCTAGAAACGCCAAGTGTCCTCCAAGCCGCATCTGCAAATCTACGACGCAGCCTTCACAATGCGAAGTGGAAGAAGACGGGGGCTCACGGTCCTACTTGGATTAGCGTTCCTGATATACATGTTCTCTGGCTCCTCGAGAGTATCTATCTTTTCTGCTGCTCCCAAATTTCCTCGAGACATCATCTTGAGCCACTCGCCGCTCAGTGACAAGATTACTGATCGCTTCGTCCTCTTTACCGCTCCGACAAAGTTTGATCCTCGAGGCAAAACGGTCGACGGTGGCAAGCATCAAGCCTCCGAAGAGACAGTTCGTGGGAAGCGCACAGTCATCTATACTGGTATTCCAGCGTACAATGCTGTGGCTGGGAAAGACGCAGCAGACGATGCCGAAGTCATCTTTGCCATTGCAACAACCTCCACACGCGTGATGCACGACGATTTCATGCCTAAGCGTTACCTGGCAAACACAAAGACGATGCTACTTCTGGTCATGCCCAATTCAGATCAAGGAGATTCAGCCAAAGTCCAGCGACATCTTTCGGCCGAGTACAATATTCGTAGCTTGGTCTTGAGAGTTCCAGCAGAAGACGAGCAAGACCGCAAATTCAACGTCATGGGCAGCTTGATGGAATTTGCTGCATACAAGGAAGGGCAGGGCGATTACTACACCATCATCGACGACGACGTCTTCATCCCTTCTTATCCTGCCTTCTTGTCGGCCATCAGCGCAGTCAACCCATCGGAAAGTCATGTGATGGCTGATGAGTCCATCACATCATCCAAACGCTCGTCGACCCCGATCGTCATCACAAAGGGTCTTTTGAAACGGGCATCAGCCGGCACCAAATGGGACAAATGCGTGGAAGCTGCTGCAAAGATACGGTATGCAGATAAGAAGCTGGCCAAGTGCATACAGCTTGTGCAGAATCCAGAAGCACAATCGCCAAAGATTGACTTCATCGATGAGCTTTTACTCGAGGAGACCATCAGCGAGCCGACGAGCCTACTAGAGTCAGGGGTGGCACCAGTCTCGATGCGAGCCTTATTCAAATTTGGCGGTCTGCCCATTGACGAGGAAAGCTTTGCAGATGTTCTGTTCGGACGTCTCAAGGGATTTTCGGCTGAATCGGCATTGACAAAGGTGTCATTGCAGAAGGGAGAATACGATTATACGCATGGCTTCTCGATCGTGCACAACTCAAAAGAGCGCTACTTCATCAGCAAGGCCGTACCTTTCAATGAGCCCCTTGGCAAGGGCGAGACTGTGAGCTGGCTCAGCATGCTCTATACAACATCCAAAGGCAAGCAAGTTCAGGTGGACTGGGTACTGAACGGCAACAACCTCGATACTGCAAGGGGAAAGTGAGTGGCAGAAGGATACGTTGCATTCATATAGCTACGGCCGGACAAGCTCAATGAGCTAAGAACTTACGCTGGACTTGCCCTTGTGACTCTCGACGAGCTGCAACTCTGCAACTGCAAACTCGGACACCTTGGCTGTGGAAAACTTGCGCGCCGAGATGTTCTGGTCAAAGAGTACAGCCAACTCACCGGGTGTACGGCCCTTGGGCTCTGGTAGCCTGAAATAGCAGTATACGGCACACAAGAAGCAGATACCACCATAGAAGAAACCGCTCTTGGCACCCCAATTCCAAGCACTTGGGTTGAGCATGAACGGCGTTGTCACATTATTGACGATGCCGACGACGTTGAAAAGATTGCGCGCGAGGACAATGGTTTTGCTGCGAAGACGTGTTGACTGAATCTCAGAGACGAGTGAGTAGCAAATTGGGCCAACAGTGAGGTCGTAGATTCCAGTGTAGAGGAGAAGCAAGCTGCCAATAGCCCAAGAAGGACCAGCGGACTTACCAGCAAGCGAAATGAAGCCAATGGTCAAGAGCAAGAAGCAAAGCACTGCAAGGCCATTGGTGTAGATGGTACGACGACCTAGCCTATTCATGAGAGGCCAAGAGAGAAGTGTTCCGATAGCACCAATACCATACTGTCCCATCGAGAGCGAGAACGCACTTTCCGTTGCGAGACCAGCCTGACGGTAAAAGTATGTCGAGAAGCCCCTATTGTTAGCTTGGTCCAACACAATCATGAGCACTCACATGAAGCTACTTCCGCAAGCTGCTTGTATGGCCCAAACGATGCAGACAATCTCTGTACGTCGACGATCCACTCCCTTGAAGCAGTCGAGGTAACTGGTGCCAGCAGAGATCTCACGCTCGAGGTCGTTGGTGTGCTGCATCATCGCCACTGTATCGTCTGCGTCAAAGTTTGGGTTGCCCTGAGCTTGAAGACGACGGAGGACAGCTTTTGCGTCATCAATACGACCCTTGCGTACAAGCCAGTAAGGAGACTCCGGAGCAAAAATAGTGCCAATGAGAATTGGAACCGGCCAAACCCATTGAATGGCGAAGGGAATCCTAAAGGGCAACTCGCTGGAAGAGGTTTGCGACATGTGTAGTAGAGAGCGAAGGATGACGGAGCCAATAAGCTGGCCAATGACCCAGCACAAGTTGGTGTAGGTGGTGAGGTATGGTCGTAGCTGTGTCGGACAAACATCTGCAGCGTACGTCGTAGTAATGGTCTGGAAGGCTCCCCATCTGAAGTCAGCAGTTGGTCAATGGTCGACGAGGACTTACGGCAAGCCAAGCAGGATCTCGCCGGTCAGCAGAGTCGGGAGGTTGGGTGCAAAAACGGGCACAAAGACGAAACAGATGACGGCAAGGTGACTGGCAATGATAGTACGCTTGTAACCGAAACGTTCAGAGATGACACCAGCGGCAAATAGCCCGAGAATCTGACCAATGGCGACACCGTTGCTGAGTCCCGCTTGCCAGGGAGCTGGGATTTCGTAACTACCGTTGGCTTGTCTTGTACCGTACTTGCGCTGAAACGAGGGGTATGCGTAAAAGTTTGCAAGCAAAAGAGTGTCATAGCCCTGTAAGTTAGCCAGGTCACGAAAGACGGAGCTCGGACCTCCATGATGATACTGGATGAGAGCAATAGACACCATAAGACGGCAGACTTGTAGGCCTTGAACGTCTCGTATAGGGGCATCTCATGTTCCCTCTGTGCGGCTTGCATGGCATCCTGCACAAGATGCTTATCACTCGCAACCTTGCGTTGATTGAGAAGCACACTTCCTCCACCTTGGATCTGAACAAACTCGACATGATCGATTGCACTGCCGTTGCTTTTTGGTATCTCGATGGAGTCCGTCATGATGCTGGCAAAAGTTTGCGTGCAAAGGACGAAGAAGACCCTTTATAAGCGTCCCCATTTTTGCGGAGGTGTTGAGTGCCTGCTTTTCAGGAGTACATAAAACTGGGGAGTCACGCCCGTCAGGGTGCTTCGTATCGAAAACGAGTCGGTCCGATTGAGTAAGGCCTTAAGAAACCCCGGAGCCTGACCTTTGAAAAGTGCCTGACCAAACCAATAGTACTAACAGCGATAGGCTCACCCGACTTTGGTACACGTAGTGTCACAATTCACCCGATTTGGGGCGCAATTCAGCTCCCAATCCAGGCAATGGGCTCAAAACGTAGTGCGACACGTCACTGGAACGTAGCAAGCAGTGAGGCACCTATTATCGGTGCTGTTTGAGTACTGGGAGCGGTTTGCAGGCTTGCGAGGCCCAGCACTCTATCGGGCAGACCTCACTTGTACCAGGCACACCAAGTATCGGAAGCAACGGCTCCGATGCGTCAAGATCAGATGCATCTCGCCCTCAGGAGGCAGCAATTGCGTGATGGCAGCGTCTCTGTGCATGTGGCCAGCAGAGTGTCTTGTCGCGTGTGGTGTCGTCCCAGCACTTTTTTGGAATCCCGCGACTGCCGCCAACAGCAACTGCGCAACGTCCGACCCCAGGCACTCTGCACAGAAACGCGGCCTCGTGTGGCTCCTCAGCTACCACTGGCGGCCTTGTTTGTCGGGAGATGAGCGGCAATGCCTTGTTCCCTAGAAGTCCATCAGTCCGCATCAACGTCGAGGGTGCCCGGATCGTTGAAGACGACGACACGCCGCAGACCGGTCGCGACATACAGTTCCCCTTTCACGATGAGGCTATCAGTCATATAGCGGTCGACATTGGTGGATCGCTGGCCAAGGTCGTCTACTTCAAAAGTGACCATGATTCAGGCGTACGTCTCAACTTTACGCGCTTTGAGACAGCCGATATCCAGGATCTCATACATTTCCTTGGCATCTTGATTGAGAAGCGGCGCGCAGCGAGCCTCAAGCACAGCAACATCTGCATCATGGCTACTGGCGGTGGTGCTTACAAGTTCTATGAGATGATCAAGCAAGAGCTTGGCGTCAACATCTATCAAGAGGATGAAATGCAATGCCTCATTGTGGGCCTCGACTTCTTCATCAATGAGATTCCAGGAGAAGTCTTTACCTTTGGCAGCGAAGCGGAGCCTATGAAACTCAATAGTGATCCAGTACAGTACCCGTACCTGCTCTGCAACATCGGTTCCGGCGTATCCATGATCAAGGTCTCAGGGCCAGACAGCTTTGAGCGTATCGGAGGTTCTTCTCTTGGTGGAGGTACTTTGTGGGGTCTGCTCTCTCTCATTACTGGTGCCAAGTCTTTTGATGAGATGCTGGACTTGTCTGCCCAAGGCGATAATACAAAAGTCGATATGCTCGTCGGCGATATCTATGGACAAGGCTATGGCAAGATCGGACTCAAAGCAAGCACCATCGCGTCAACTTTTGGCAAAGTTTTTGGCATGCAGAAGCAACACGAGGTGGGCTTGCGGAATACAAACACATCGACAGATGGTCCGGGCTCCCGAGCCGCTTCTGATGACTTTGCCAATCTGGATTCCCATAGCGAGTCTCAATCGGCGAGCGGTCCACGCCATCTCGACCCCTCTTCCTCACTCGCACTTATGGGCCACGAGCCAGACTCCCTTTTTGGACCTGAAGATGTTTCGCGTTCCTTGCTCTATGCCATCTCGAACAACATTGGTCAAATTGCCTATCTCCAAGCACAAAAACACAGCATCCAACACATCTATTTTGGTGGCTCCTATATTCGTGGTCATGCACAAACAATGATGACACTGTCTTATGCCATTAATTTCTGGAGTGGTGGTCAAGCACAAGCCTACTTTTTACGGCACGAGGGGTACCTCGGGTCCGTTGGCGCCTTCTTGCTCAATCCACACGCGCAAGAACTCTCAAGTTGGTCGAGGCGCGGCAGTATGGTAAAGGACGAGAAGCCCAAGCTTAGCAAAACGAGCAATGCTAGACAACGAGACGGCGCAGACTCGGCAGTAACGTAGACTCGTGAATTATGCGGAGAATGATATGACAGCATAGAAGGCCTCACTTACAGCGCCGCACGCAATTCCAAATGAATTTTATGTCTGCATACTTTCGCCTTGCTTCTCTGCCTGGTATGCCACAATTCATGTAAAGTTGAGCTGCTGCAAATCACCTCTAGACTGGTCGCAATCGAGATCAGTTTATCGATGTCAAGCATCATGACACGACTGACACGCCCGAACAGACGAAGAATTGTTTGATATGATTTACGAATACTGGTGAAGCATGGTGAACGATCGTAATGATAATGTGAAATGTAGAGCTTACATCGCTTTGCAATTCTCCAAGCGGAACTTGACATTCCCATCCTTGTCCAGTAAACCATTGGTATTGGCACCGTCAATCGCGGAGTCCCAGAAGACAGCCTTGATGGTGTTTGCGCTCGCCACATCTCCTTTTGCGCACCAAAACTGCTGCCAGTAGAGCTGTTGGTCGGTCGACGATGCTGATCGAACGCTAGTCCAGGGCGAAGCCCAGCTGACACCCGCCACCACCACTGGAACATCCGGGAAGGCGGCCACCAGATCGTCAACCGTATTCACAAGCGAGGCAGTGATGACATGAATATCGGGGTCGTCGATTGGCACACCGATATCAAAGGGAAATTCGATTTGCCCCATGCCTGTCAGCTTCCTATACTCGTAGAGCCAAGCAAACGCAGACGTCTTGAATGTAGACATGACCCTGCTACATGCGCTTGGACTGATGAATCTACTGATAGCCACGGTGGCCATTGCAGCCTGGATATCTTCAGCATTGAGACCACCGTAATGCTCAAGGGAGATACCGGCTAGGTAGTCACAAGCCTGGCCGAATTTGATTGAGTTCCTGACCTGGTCGACAATGTAGCCAAGTAAAACACTATTCAACGTTTCTTTGCTAAAGTCTCCGTTTCCTTTCAGTGTGTCGTTTCCTTTAATTGTGGGGATTTGGAAGTCAAACCAAAGACGCATGTCAGAGATGTCACTTGCTGCCAGAGCATCGATCGCGATATCGAACACCTTGCACTTGTCGGACGAGGACAAGCGCACGATGATTTGACTTCCATCTGTAGGCTTTGGGATGTTCCTTTCGATGAGCTTGAAGTCTGCCTGGTACTGGGCGACATTCTTGCAATCACCAGTGGAGTCATGAGTGTCGAGCACATACCCAATAGACAGCGCTTGACAAGCACTGAACGTAGCAATGAGGTTCACAAAGCTTCCGACAAAGATATGTGAATGCATGATGGTCACAAAGACAAAGCAAATGATTCCTGGATGTTCTGCAGCTGGTCTTTGCGCTCAGTCGTCCCTTCTGAACTTCAATGCCTTCGCGCGGGGGTCCAGATTCCAGAATCATGTCGATGACAAGCACATGGCAGCGTCATAGCCCCGTACATCAAGTTGTTCCCATCTCGGAAAAATGCTGACTTGTCGCTGTGTTTGTAAGTCCAATGTATCGCAACCTCGCGATGAAATACTGCGGCATCTCCAGGGGTTTCGCGGTCTAGATCAGGCTCTGAGAAGTGAGCACTCAGCGAAAGCGTCCGACGCATACGCAGTCGAGCGTATTTGTCGGCATGTGCGGCATTTGCTTCTTTCGCGCCAGTGCTCGTTTCGCAGCCTCCATTTGAGATACACTTCAGTTCTTAGCCATTGCGTCCTTCGTACACTTGTTGAAACGAGGTTCAGCTAATTCTTGAACATTGGAATTGAAATGAAATCTGAGCCATATCGCATGTCATGCCAGAAAACTTGGATGCGATAAGGAGTCGGCGGACTCTACAGCCAAATCAAGCAGAAGGGGCAGACTGAGGGTAAGGAGCAGTGACTTGGCAGTCACAGTCAATTTGCCTGCGACGATAATGTACAATTCAGTACCCAGTAAGCTGAAGGCATTTCAACTTCAGACTGCCTCTGGCCTGTCAAGTCGCAGGACATACGGTCGGTCTTTCGACAAGGAAGCGATCGGCGTTTAGAGAAGCTTTATACGCGCATGAGCTGCAAGTATTCCCTGATCAGCTAGGCTAGATGTGCATTTGGGTATGCCCATGACCGGCAGAAATCTGTAATCTCACATACACCAGGCTTCTGGAAAGACCTGACTTTCAGCTCAACCCATGAACACGGTCTCCAGGAGTGGAGAGCGGCCCAGCAAGCAGTACCCTTCTCAGCTTTCTCATCATCCAAATCGAAGAATTTGATTAAAGCTACGCATGTCTGCGATACCAGCGTCGGTAGACTACGGGACCCGTCGACCTCGAGAGTCCAAATTGGATGTCGTTCTTGCCTGCAGCATATTCAGATGCCATTTTGAAAGCTCAGCAAGGCAACAAGGCCGCGAGGCCTAACCAGAGTGACCTTGGACAACTACTCACCATGCCCTTTGAGCCTACCATATTAGACCAGAAGTAGTTGAAGAGACAGGCTGAAAGGGTCATTGATAGGTATGATAGAGATACGGACGAAGAAGGGGCAAACTTCAAAATGCTAACACTCTTGTAAGAGGAACTTGGGTTTCCCTTTTGGATTCAGCAAGCCGTTCGACTTGGTGTCATCGATGATCGAGTCCCAGTAAACGGTATCAACGCTGTTTCCTTTTGCAAACTCCCCTGTTGGACAATTGAACTGCTGCCAGTAAAGCTGTTCATTGGCCGTCGATGCTGCTGAATTGACCGAGCTCCAGCCAGTGCCTGCTACCACGATTGGCAACGAAGGAAATGCGTTCTTCAGCCTGTCGACCGTGTTCAATAGCGAGGAAGTAGCATCACGGACGCCGGTCTCCTCAGATGACACATCGTGGGGAAATGCAACGTGCTCGACATTGCGTGCAAGCTCCGTGTACTGCGAGAGCCAAGCGTCTGCAGAGGTCTTGAATCCTGTTTTGGTTGCACGACATGCCTCTGGTTTGTTTGGATTGAAACCAATGGGGGCGCTGATGCTGATTTGGTTCAATGCTTGGGCGATGTCCTGAGAGTTGAGGTTGCCGTAGTGCTCAAGAGAAACGCCAGCCAGGTGGTTGCATGCTTTGCCATATTTTGTCTCCACCCTGATATCATCGACGACAAAGCGCAATATCTCATTGTTGACGGTCACGTTGCGAGAATCTCCTGACTCTTGAATAGTTGGAATGTCAAAATCCAGCCAAAGACGAAGGTTGGAGAAGCGTTGAGACTCGAGAGCAGAGATTGCCGTATGTAGAACTCTACAGCCAGACGATGGCACCCGCACGACAAGGTCCTTTCCATCTGCAGACCTAGGGATGTTTTTTGCGATGGCTTCAAAGTTTTCTCGAAATTGGGCAACGTCCTTGCAGGCGCCAGTGACGTTCCGGGCTTCGAGCACATACCCGACAGACATTGCTTGGCATGCGCGGAAGATAGACCCGATGGTCAAGAGACTACCAAGCAAAATTGGCGAGTGCATGTTGGAGAGGAGAGAGGACTGAAGAGAATTGAATTCTCTTGAGTTCTGTAAAGGATGAGCCTCTGCATATCCATTTATGGTGTCTAGAGGCCACGTGAGCGAGTCCCCTGAATATTTTTTTGCAATTGACGACAAACAGTAGACATGTTGACGAGGTCTGGTGCTGTCAAGTTGTCAACGAGACAATCGACCACTCAGTGCGTTGGTCAAATCGAAAGACTTGTCGTCTTGTCAGTGCCAATATCTGAGTGCAAGTTCGGGAACTGGCCGGTCCGATGACAAACAAGAGCCGCAGTAAGATCAGAGGACAGAAATTGGTGCAGGAAATGACTCGTCGCTGTCTTGGCGATGTATGTAGCGATGCGTCGCAAATTGGCAATCTCATGCTTGGTCTCCTGATTTGTCTAGACTCTAGACTCTAGGGCCTGCACTTCAGAGTCCGGACCTCAAGTCTAGACTGAACGAGACAGAGGCAGTCATCTAGCAGCATTACAAGACAGCGCATCGATTGTACGCTCGATTGTCGTCGCTCAATTGACTGTAGATCTCTTCTGCCTGAAATAGTCCCGGATGTTACATTTCATGTCTGCTGGCATATCATTATATGATCATGAGACATGAGCTGGCGTGTAAGGGGATCGGCGTGGGATACACTTGCATTGACTGCGATAGTCACGCGCGAAGCACCTGACAGGGGTTTTGAATTCAGAGTCTCTCTCGCATGTCAGCTTAAAGACACGATGCATATTCATTTTGGCCGGAATCCACGAGCAGGCTAGATTCTTCGAACAGCTCAGCAGCTTCCAGCAGCTTTGCTCTTCAGCTGCAGCTATTGTGCATGAGCGAAGATCATTTCTTCAGCTTGGACATCCTAAAGATACATCTTCTTGACGAGCACAGTTCTCACTGAAGTGATGCAGGGAAGTGGTGCTTTGTAGCAATAGCATATCTGCAAAATGTCCAGAGAACTCAATCAGCCCAACAGACGCACGAAGCCCATGTTCGTCCAAAGCGACCCCTGAAGTCTGCTCATTGCGGCTTAGACCGAGTCGTGAACACTAGCGGTGCTCGTCATACCCGCATTTATCAACTTGGTCTTTCATAATCTTATACTATTCAACATTTCCTTTCGTGGTGTGATGCTGAGGAACAAGCTAGAAGCATATGCGGCATGGCAGCTGATCTTTGCAGTAGTGAATCTAATGATAAGCCTACTAGATGAGCACTCGCAGTTAGTTGTCGCTGGTGATTGCGCATAGGAGTTGCCTGCTGGAGACTGACGAGCACGAGGAAGGAAAACGACGCAGGAGCACCACAGAGTGACCACTACTGGCCTCGGACACAAGACGGGCTCTCTGTACAGTCACTGCACCTAGTCAGACAGTCGCTGCATCTAGTTATTGAGTGCACAAGGTTATTTGTCAAGGTTCAGCAAAGCCCACGGGGACTGGTTAAAATAGCCCTAGAGCAGACTTAGCAAAGGCACTCTAATACAACAAACAAGACGCGACGAGCACTCCCTACCTCACTCTAGCTCACTGCGTCACCCTTTCCCTTGTCGCATTCGACAAATTCACAGGCCATGAAGAGTATCAGCAGCTTTTGGAACTCGCTGACAACAAACGATCGCCATGCAGAGAAGCGACGGTCAAGCTACAACCCTTCCTTCACCAGCATCCGAACAGGTCTCGTTCACACGGATTCAAGCATGAGTGTAAACAAAGCATCGCCTTATAGCAGCGTCTACGGCACTCAGTCACCCAACGCTAGTCAGGTTAATTTGACTACGGGCTATACAGGCTCCAGTACGGGTCCACGCACATCAGGCGGTCACTCAAGTGGTGGCATGCAACTGCAAGACTTTGAGAATGGTGTTGCGCCTCCACCTCCCGTCTCGGATTCCTGGCGACGCATCGATCATTGGGCAGAGGAGAATTATCCGGAACTCTACGATCAATTGTCATATGGCGCGACTCAGGCGGATGTTGATGAATTGGAGCATGAACTGGAAATGACTTTACCGGGAGATGTGCGTGAATCGCTCTTCATTCATGATGGACAAGAGCGTGGTGGTCGTCCTACAGGACTCTTCTTTGGCGTTGCGCTGTTGGACTGTGAAGAACTCGTGGATGAATACAACCTTTGGCGAAAAGTCGCTGCTTCGTTGCCGCGACCGGATGAATACCCAATGCTCTCGAAGAAGCCGACTCCGTCCATGTCTTCTAGCCAGCTACCGCCTGCATCGGGAACTGCCGCTGCATCTGCTCAAGCGAATGGCAAACCAGAGACTGCACAGCAAGCAAGACGACCACGTCAACAAAGACAAGGAAGTCGACCGGAAGGTGCTTGTCAGCCAGTCTACTCGCACCCGGGTTGGATACCGCTCGCCAAGGACTACATGGGCAACAACATTGCTATTGACCTTGCTCCAGGCCCACAAGGTAAATGGGGACAAGTAATTTTATTCGGTCGTGAATGCGACATCAAGTACGTGGTGGCACCTAGCTGGGCTAGCTTTTTGAGCATGTTTGTCAATGACCTCGAATCTCCCAATGTCGTCATGGATGAAGATGTCGGCGTGGGCGGTGAGATGGGACAACTGCGACTGGTGCTGGATCAGCAGGAAGAACACTCTTACATGGAAATTCTCAAAGCGCGTGTGCGTAGACGCGAGCGTGCCATTCGTGGTCTACAAGGCGGACATGACGCCAATAACAACAATAAGCGCAACAATGGTAAAAGTCGTGCCGTGTCTCCCGGTAAGCCACGCAGCGATGTGAATGGTCGTTTACCACGTTCGAGTTTGGGTGTGGAACGCAATTCAACGGACGTCTTGTTGGCGAGTCCTGTGGTTTCTGAAGGGCAAGGTGTCAAGTTTCATGAAAAGCAGAGTGGTTCATTATTATCGCCTGCTTTGCCAGTGCCTGCTTCGCCTGTTGTGCAGTCGGAAGAAGCAGCCTCAGAGCACAAGCAAGCTTTGGCGACTGAGGATGTGCTTGCTGCACCTATCGTGTCGGGCGACGCAGCAGAGATAGTCAAGGAGGAGACGAACATCGCCAGCAACGACAAGGATACTTCCCTGAACGTGAATCATGTGGGCACCGAGCTCATGGACGTTTCGCTTGACGATCAGGCATAGAAGTGACGCTAATGAAGAACAAGGCCTGATGCACAGCATCCTTCAAGGCAATTCCTTTGCAAATAACATAATTGCCGTACTGCTTTTAGCCAATTTCAATGAATGCATCATGTTTAGGGGTTACATGTATCGGGCACTGTACAATCTTTAACAGCTCGCCATCGGTCGCAAAGGTCCTGGCGCAGGGAAATGCATCAATTGATCTTGAATCGATGCGGCAAATGTATCCGCCTCTCCCGTCAGCGCCAACAGCTCCTGGTCCAACACATCAAGCTGTGCAAGCCGAGCCTCCATATCCCGGACGGGTCCAGTGGCCTCAGACTGATCGAGCGTCTCAAAGTCATCATCCGACACACACCCGAAATCATCTGGCAATGGATGACGGATCGTCTCAACAGCCAACCTCAAATGACAACGCAATGCCTCATTCTCCCGCTCCAATCGTGCAATCTTATCTTCAGCAGCTTGTGACATGCGAGCAATCATACGCTCGAGTGCTTTCGCTTGTGCTTCGAATCGTTGTAATTCCTGCTTCTCGCGCTGCGAAAGAGCAAGTTGACTTTGCATCTCCTTCAACTCTTGTGACATTTTCGCTTGTGTTGCTGCAGCAGCTGCTGCATCGCCTGCACGTTCATGCTTTTCGTTGACTTTAGCATGGAGACTAATCTTCTTGACGGCATCCGCATAGCGAAGTGTTGTGAGCGTTTCTTCATAGTCTGCAGGGGATATACAAGCAATCATGGCAGTTTTGCTGTTGCCGCCAAGTGAATCACTCAGTAACCACGTCAAGATTGAGTCTCGATAGGGAACAACTGGAGGCGCAGAGACATGTCCTACAGGCGCTGTGGTGGGTCGCGCAGAAGGCAATTCGGCGAGTCGTGAAATGACTCTGCCGAGGGTCGTTAGGGACTTGTTGATATTAGCACCTTCACGCAGTCGTTCACCTGTCGCACCAGTCGCTGTGGCACGTTCAGATCCCGCCAGATCAACAAGCCTAAAGCGAGATGTTTTGCCGACCACATCTGCATTGGGTCCATCCGTGACCGTTTGCTGAATTGTCAATGTGAAGACGGCGTGTGAGCGAGAACTGGTGTCATTCATCTTTGTACTCGCCGTCCGTCGTACACTGTTGCCGAGTTGCATAAAGGCATCCACATCGCTGTAATTGGACACGTGAAACTCAGAGAGACCTTCGAGGTATGGACCTGTTTCTGGGGATTCGCGAACACGGAGCGCTTTCCGTGGTTGACTGCCACTTCGCAAATCTCGCGCCAACAACAAATCTGTTGCAGTTTCGTTGTATATCTCATAGTAGTTCACAGAGACTTGAAAGGTGGCGTGGGAACCCTCTGCTGATTGTCGTTGGCTGATTTTATCAAAGATTTCATTACAAATACGCGGGACGAGTCCAGGATCGCTTTGCGTGCCAGCCATCGAATGTGTCTTGCCAGAACCCGTCTGACCATATGCCAAAATGCAGCAATTGTATCCCTCCAATGCATGCTGTACAAATTCTCGACCAAGGCGATCATGTAGTGCCGCTTGTGGAGCAAAATGTGGATCTGCCTCATCCACCGACCAGAGCGAGTGATCAAACGTAAATGTCTTTTGCTCCTCGAGCTTACGTCGTAATGCGCGCGCGTTGGCTGGATCTTGATCGTCTGTGGGTGGATAGATGGTTGTCGCTTGTGTAGAGGGATGCATCTTGATGAGACACCGCGCGTTCCTGGCGCGTTCGCGGGCATTCAGCGGACGCACTCGGACTACAACACGGATGGACGTGTTACAGCTAGTGAGCTGAACGGGAGCCATATTGGAATGAAAAAGAGAGCGATGTAGCAAAGCTAGAAGGACAAATGCAATGAAGCAGAGAAAGTGAAGATGAAGCTGATGAGAATTGTCACTTCTCGGTCGTCGCGCTGTTTTGTCAACAAATTTTCGAATGGAGCAACGAGTCTTGAACGAGATTCAGTAAGCTACGGTCTATGTGCCACGGTCTACCTGGACAACCAGGCTCGAGAGGCCCTTTATTCCTTCCTGTAGCTTTCTGCGCACTTTAATCCGCACCGCATCCAAGTCCCCGTCGATCCCTGCAGAAATCGTCACCATGCCATGAAGATGCCGTTCACCATCATTCCAAAATCTGATGAAGGGAATAGCACCCACGCCCGTAATCATAGACGCTTCACCGAGAGCTTCACGAATTGCGTATTCCTGATCGGATTCAATCATCACCATCAGTTCAGCAAAGGATGACTTGAGCAGTGGCACCACGCTCAAGAAAATGAGCACGGCGATGAAGATTGACGCAAGCGGGTCAAACCCAGTCCACCCAAAATAACGGATCAAGATAGTTGAGACAATGACACCTGCTGAACCAAGTGTATCAGCCAAGACGTGCAAGAAGATGCCTTCTAGATTGTGTGAGTGGTTGTGTCCGTGTCCGTGCCCGTGGTCATGCCCGTGATCATGTCCGTGAGTGTGTCCATGGTCGTGTCCTCCGCCACGGGTATCGTGGTGGTCTCCGTGTTGACGGTGTACATCACGAGGGGAGGAGCGTAGTCCACCGTGGCTGTGAGCCGATGAATGGTCTTGGTAGTGGGCGTGATGGTGGTGGTGATCCTGCTTTTCCATGCCGATATCATGGGATGTGTCTCGCTGCGGAGATAACGTACGGGAGACTCCGCGACCAGGGTGGTCGTGTGCGTGTCCATGTGAATGGTCGTGGTGTTCGTGCGCATGATCATGGACATGAGGCCTTTTATCCTCATGGATGAGTCCATGTGAGTGTTGTGAGTCATGGATGTGTGCATCAGGCAATGTTCCGGAAGAAGCATCCTCAAAACTGCTACTCTGCTTGAGCGGTGATCCTGGCCTTCGAACAGGACTCACACTACGGCCCTTCTGTAGACCTGGTTGCGGCAACAAGATAGAAGGCGGCACATTTTCATGCAATTCTTGTAACGCTCCTGAATGCGTCCTGCCATGACGACCTGGTCGCAAATCGTGCTTGGACTTGATGGGTGAGGATTGACCCATTGCAAAGTCATACGCGCCTTCACGGTCTGTCTTGGGTGTGTGGCTGGGAAGCTCCTTCTCGTGTGAATGTGCGTGTGCGTGGCCATGATCATGATTGTGTCCATGACTATGTCCATGTCCGTGATGTGCATGTCCAAAGGAGAACAAGCCTACCAAGTTGACAATCAAACCCATTGTGCTCACCAGCAAGAGTTGATCTGTCTTCATCTCCGGTGGTTCCATGAGTCGTTCGAGTGCTTCCATAATGATGCTGAAAGAGATGAGCACCAAGAAGATACTATTGGCAAACCCACTAATCACCTCAACTTTCGCAAATCCAAATGGATATTCCTTGCTGCCTGGCCACTTGGACATGACTGCAGCAACAAGTCCAACAGCCAATGCAAGACAATCGAATAGCATGTGAATAGAGTCTGAGATGAGTCCCAGCGAATTGGTCCAGATGCCGTACATCATTTGCACAAACATGAAGGAAAGGTTCAGTAGGAGGAAGTAGAAGATGTCGCGTGACTCTTTTTCCTTGACAATCTCGCCGATGTAGTAACCTCCCCAAGCAGAGGCTCTTGCTTGTGCTGATGGGATCGTATTTGCGATCGTGGTGGTCGCTGATGAAAGCGTAGCAGAGGTTGGCATCTGCATGTAAAGGGCCAGGTAGATCAGCGCCAATGCAGCAAGAGTCATGACAGCCGGCACTTTCTGAGTAAGCAGCAGTGACAGCATCGCAGCGGGCCAGCCGATGCGAAGGGTCGTAACAATCTCTTTGGGTGACAGAGGCTGCCATGCTCGAGCAGCAACACCTAGGGCAGCACAAGCCAGCAGCAGAGGGTTGCTCGATGTTTGGAGGCCACCTGTTGCGACGCCAATCAGTGCAGTCGTCATGAGAGAACCACCAGCGAGCAAAGGCGCGCTATCTGGCAAACTGCGCTGTGCTGTCCAGTATGCCGCAAGCACTGCAAGAGCGAGCGCAAAAAATCCGGCAATTGCAAGAGTGAGCTCTGTAGAAGTATAGAGGCAGCTGCCGACCAAACACGCATAGGCAGCAACCAAACCCAGAACTGCGCTTGTAAGGCGCGAAAAGTAGCCAAGCTGGTAGACACGACCCAAAGCTGGAACTGGCAGCAATGCTGCACTTGCAACGAATGGGCCCAGGAGTTGCACTGCAATGAGTGCACATACTCCACCGATTGCCAGTGCGGCTGCACCTCCTAGGCTAGACATGCCACCTATTGCCGCTGTTTGTTTTTCCACGCTTTCCTTGGCCTTGACCTGCTGCAACGGCAACAGGGTCCGCTGCAGATGACTCAAGAAGATGACAAGTCCAGTTAAAAACATGGCATCGGCTAGGCACCCCTTCTCTGCTACTGGCCAAATATAATGCCAGGTCGCATATGCTGCTGCTAGCGCGACAGACGATGTCAATGCAGCTGGTACGACATGCCCTGGTTCGTGACTACACTTGTTAGTAGAATGAAAAGATGGACAAGGTCGATGATACCTTTCTACGCGCAAGTTCGTTGGGCGCCGACGCGCATTAGGTCTACTCATGTCGCGCGTCTAGACACTGCTCGTGCGTGGCTTCTTGGTCCTTTTCAGGCTTCGGATGTGTCGTCTGATGGATGAAGGTCTTACGGTGATGGTTGTCCCTTTGCCCCTGAGTAAAGCGTGTAGATAGGGAGCATCTGTCCCGGGCCGACAAGGTGCTCTTGCAAGAGACGAGTCGCCTTGTTCCTGGAATTTTAACTGCGACGTGAGCCAGGCGCGGGATCTGATTCGCCGGGGGCACGTGTGGAAGTACACCAAATAGAAGCACTCAGCTATATTCCTCTCTACTTTGATTGAGTCTAGTCTACTTGGCACTGTCCAGCTGCTTCCGCTCTATGCTCATGCCCATGCTCATGCGGCAAAGTTCCATATAAATGCACGCGCGAAGAAAATCCACCGCGCCAAGCATCCCTCTTACCTCGCTCTCAAGTCCCACTGCTACGAGACGTGCTAGCCAGACTCGGCACTCATTTGCCTCGAGGCGACCTGTTCTGCCTGCAGCTGCTGATTCTGATAATGAGTCTCAAGACGCATTGGATCTTTTGGAACAGGATGATCCGGAGAGTGACTCTGCACCGTTGCTTCGAGTGCATACGCTTGAATCTGGTTGGAAGAAGCTAGCGCATGGTCCTGACCCAGCGCAGGCTTCACGCACATTCGCAATCGGCACGTCTCAGTCTGGCAGCTTCCCGTCAAATGCCATCTCAAATGCGAAGTACAACGTCGTGACATTCATTCCGTTGACGTTGTTTGAACAATTCAAGTTCTTCTTCAACCTCTACTTCCTGCTCGTCGCACTGAGTCAATTCATTCCTGCGCTCCGTATAGGGTTCTTGTCGACCTATATTGCACCACTTGCCTTTGTGCTCTTCGTCACAATGCTACAAGAGGCATTAGATGATATCACTCGGCGGCGGAGGGATGAAGAAGCCAATTCCGAACTTTATGATGTACTTGGGAGAGACGCACTGGTCAAAGCGAGGGATCTCGCGGTGGGAGATATTCTGAAATTGCACAAGGATAGGCGTATTCCAGCAGACGCAATCCTGCTCAAAACAGACGATGAGTCTGGTGAGGTTTTCGTTCGCACAGATCAATTGGATGGCGAGACTGATTGGAAACTCAAAGTCGCATGTGCCGCAACACAAAAGCTTGATGGTGAGCAAAACCTTCTGTCGATGCAAGCGACGTGTGTAGCAGAAGCACCGACAAAAGCCATCGATACGTTCACCGGCACACTGCAAATGCAGTCCCCCACCACACAAACTGTGCCACTATCAGTCGATAATGCACTTTGGGCCAATACAGTCTTGGCATCTGGCACGACAATTCTAGCGGTGGTCACGTATACGGGCATTGAAACACGACAGGCCCTCAATACCTCTCGCACACGCGTGAAAGCTGGGCTCTTGGAGCAAGAAATTAACACACTCAGCAAAATCTTGTGCGTCTTGACATTTCTCCTCAGTCTAGCGTTGGTGGCATTTCATGGGTTCGGCGAGAAATGGTACGTCGATATTATGCGCTTCTTGATTCTCTTCAGTACCATTATCCCAATTTCGTTGCGGGTAAACCTTGATCTTGGCAAGAATGTCTATGCACATCAGATAGAGCACGACGCAAGCATTCCCGACACTGTTGTGCGATCATCCACGATCCCAGAAGACTTGGGACGGATAGAGTACCTCCTCACAGACAAGACTGGGACCCTCACCAAAAATGATATGGAAATGAAGCGTTTACATGTCGGCACCGTCAGTTATGCTGGCGAGGCCATGACTGAAGTGGCAGAGATTGTCAAGAACGGGAAACCCACGGGAAAAGCAGAAGCTGGGAATCGCTCAAGAAAGGATATTCGATCGAGGGTATGTCATGTCGTGCAAGCGCTTGCTTTGTGTCATAACGTCACGCCTACGAGCGATTACGATGGGGAATCCTCATATCAGGCCGCATCACCCGATGAGCTGGCTATCGTCAAGTGGACGACCACTGTTGGCCTGACACTACTAGGTCGGGACCGTCGAGAAATCAAGCTGCAACGCGGAGATGATACGGTGCTTCGATTTGAAGTACTGCATTTATTCCCCTTTCGAAGCGAAACCAAGCGGATGGGTATCGTCGTGCGTGATGTTGCGACGGGCGAGTACTGCTTCTATGAGAAAGGTGCGGATGTGGTCATGGCCAAGATTGTCGCTGCCAATGACTGGCTTGAAGAAGAATGTGGCAATATGGCTAGAGAGGGTTTACGTACACTCGTGGTGGGTCGCAAGACGTTGAGTCCTGCTGCCTACGAAAGCTTCCTGCAAGCTTACAACAAGGCTTCTCTTGTTGCCAGCGATCGAAATGCCGCAATGGACGCTGTCGTGGAAAGGCATCTCGAGCAAAACCTTGAATTGCTTGGGGTCACTGGCGTGGAGGACAAGCTGCAAGATTCCGTCAAGCCGGCCCTCGAATTTCTACGCAATGCAGGCATCAAAATTTGGATGCTGACAGGAGACAAGGTTGAAACTGCTCGTTGCATTGCAGTCTCTGCAAAGCTCGTTGCTCGTGGTCAGTACATCCACCAGATTGTCAAGCTCAGCCAACCTGAGCAAGCCATGCGAGAGCTCGAGTTCCTGGAAAATAAGCGAGATGCAGCGTTGCTGATTGATGGTGATTCACTGCAATACTATCTCGACCATGCACGAGATGCATTCATCGCCCTTGCTACGCAGCTCCCCGGTGTTATCTGTTGTCGTTGCTCACCCACTCAGAAAGCAGATGTTGCGAGACTCATTCGAGCTGCCACGCGTAAACGAGTGTGCTGCATTGGCGACGGCGGCAATGATGTCAGCATGATTCAGGCAGCGGACGTGGGAATCGGCATTGTTGGCAAAGAAGGGCGTCAAGCGTCCCTGGCTGCTGACTTTTCGGTGCTCGAGTTCCGGTCACTTATGAAGTTACTTGTATGGCATGGTCGCAACTCCTACAAGCGGTCTGCGAAACTTGCGCAATTTGTCATTCATCGAGGGTTGCTCATCTCCATCTGTCAGATTGTCTTTAGTGTTGTCTCCAAGTTCGCGCCTATTGCACTCTACGAGGGCTATTTGATGGTGGGCTATGCTACTCTGTTCACTATGGCGCCCGTATTTACACTCGCGCTTGACACGGATCTTGACGAATCACTGGCGTTGCTATACCCTGAATTGTATCGAGAGTTGACACTCGGCAAGTCACTCTCCATGACGACCTTCTTTGTCTGGGTTGGCGTCAGCATCTATCAAGGTGTCGCCATCATGCTAACGACATTACTGCTGCAACGAGGACATGATGCGCGCATGGTTAGCATCAGCTACACAGCCCTCATCATCAACGAACTCGTCATGGTTGCCCTTGAAGTTCAGACCTGGGTGCCGATGATGGTGTATGCTGAAATCGCCACCATTGTGGTGTACATCTGCAGCGTCCCATTTCTCGGCGACTACTTTGACCTTGAATTTGTCAAGACACCGGCATTCTTCTGGAAGACTGCATTGGTTGCTTGCGTATCGCTGGGACCGCCGTGGGCTCTTAAGTACCTGCGACGTTGGCTCAGACCGCCAGATTACGCGAAAGTGTCTGGCGCTGCATAGGATGGATGAACGTCTTAGTTGAATATAATCATGATCCTCTGCCTCGACCGCGTGTTCTGCTCATCCCGCCACCACGACCGCCACGACCACGCTGACCAGCGCGAGACGCAGCGCGTTGCCGTTCCTTTTGTGCTTCTTGCTCCTTGATGAGTTTGAAGCGGTCACGACGTGCTTTCGATGGTCGCCAACGTTTCTTGCCCTTGTCTGATAAATCTAGCTTGATGTGCATCACGCGATCAGTCGCAGCGCACCCAGGCCATGGTTGTTGAGACAGCTTGAGGACCGTGTCTCCGTCGATGACTGTCGTACATGACTGTAATGCCTCCAAGCGAGATGGCTGATAGTAGTAGTCAAATGACCGCTTCTGTTCAACGTGAATGTAGCGAATATCGCCATGCTCATCCACGTCGTCCCGCTGCTCTTCCTGTGCAGTGTTCAACTTGGTTGTTGAAACATTCGAGAAGAGTCGATACGTAAATTCTTCGCCCTCTTCAGCTTTAAACTCTGGCTCTACATCCTCTGCCACACTAGCAGCGTCTGCGCTCGCAACGCTTGAAGCACTGTCGCCTGTAGCATGTTCCACAACTTCAAAATCTGGCATGAAGCTCGCCAGTGCCGCCAGCTGAGCCTGATCAGGCTCTACATATCCATCCTCATCCATCTCCCCAGCCATAGTATGCGAGCTGTACAGAGGCGAGAGGGCCAGCAACAGGGAGGAGGAGCTAGTGTGATACTCTCCTGCAGCTTGACTTTGATCGCGTGATTTCTTCAGATTGTCACACGCAACATCAATTTCACAAGAGATCTCATCAGTGCAACAACAGCAACAATCCTAACCATACTCGGCCTTGTTGCTTCAGCTGACCGTGGCTACCTCTGCCAAGTTGCATGCATATGTTTTAATTAACGTAACTCGTCTCTCCTGTTCTTCTCTATTCTCCTTCAAATCAGAGCAAACACACGCTCGCATGCCCGGCTATAAGAAGGGTATAAATCATTGCTCTGCCTCAACGTGATTCACTCTCTCCGCTCATCCGCCATGGCAGTAGCAGCAGCAGCAGTAGCACCCTCTCGAAAACCACTCGTTGTCCAGGTGATTGGTACGACGGGTGTGGGCAAATCACAGCTGGCTGTTGACCTTGCACGAAAGCTGAATGGCGAATGCATCAACTCTGATGCCATCCAGGTGTACAAGGGCTTAGACATCATCACGAACAAAGCCACGCTGGCTGAACAGCGTGGTGTGAAGCATCATTTGCTAGGGTTCCTGGATGCTGGCAAGGAATATCGTATTGCTGCCTATGATCGAGATGCCTCTTTGATTGTATGTTCTTCCCTACGTGCTTGCAACAAACTAACAAACAGATTGATCAGCTCCAAGCAGATGGCAAATTACCCATCGTTGTCGGTGGAACAGCCTACTACGCCTCCAGCCTCCTCTTCAAAGAACTCCTCCCTTCCTCCCAGGAATTACAAACCGATGCTTCCTCTTCGGAAGAACGCGAAGGTGGTCATGAAGACCCACGACTATACAAGACCACTGCAGAACTTCACGCTGATTTGTCGCGTATCGATCCCATCATGGCAGAACGCTGGCATCCCAATGATCGTCGCAAGATCCGTCGTGCTCTTGAGCTTTTCTACAGCACAGGCACACGTCAGTCTGAGTTGTATGCAAAACAGCGAGAAAGGGGTCGTATTGGTCCTGAGCATGTAGCACACAGGACTCTTATTTTTTGGTTATGGAGTGATCAGAAAGTTCTGGACAAACGACTCGATGCACGCATCGATGCCATGATTCAGAATGGTCTATTTGATGAAATTCGAGAGATGCATGCGCTCTGCACAGCAGGTCTCACTGCTCCGGCAAATGCACAAGATGGTATGGACTTCACGCGAGGCATCTTCCAAGCTATTGGGTACAAGGAATTCCTAGCATTCTTGCAGAGTGGCACTGAGGCTGATAAGGAACAAGGTATTCAGCTGATGAAAACTGCAACGCGTCGCTATGCGCGCAAGCAAGTCAAGTGGATCAAGAACAAGCTCTTGTTACAATGCGCTCAGGCTGGACCAGAAGTCGAGATTGTGTTGCTCAATGCAACAAACTTGGAAGCGTGGGAGGAGAATGTCGCTCAAGTTGCTTTACAAGCAGTCGATGCTTTTGAGGCCGGTGATGGGTTTGATGCAAAGTCGTTTGTGCCCGTTGAGCTGCGATCGATGCTTCGACCTGCAAAAGAGAAGGAAATGTCGAGTGACCCCACGCAGTGGCAGTCGCGACGTTGCGAGACCTGTCCTGGGTTTGTGGCTGTTGGGACGGAGCAGTGGCAGACTCACTTGACGAGTGCCATGCATCGAGGCCGCGTACACCGACAGGCGAAGCACAAGGCGTTTGAAGCTTGGAAGCGCAAGCAAGAGACGGAAGGTGCAGAAATTTGAAGGAAGCCATAGCACGTATCAACCAATTTTGCGCTTGTGTCGACGATTGAGACGTAAACAGCACCAGGGCACATCGAAACGTATGTCATCCTCAAACTTGACCATCTCTCGCCGAGCAATGATACCATGCAAGGTTTGTCTGCAGCAGAAAAGAATCTGCTCACTGATATCGTCAAAGTCGAGCAGATTATCCGCAAGCGATAGACAGATATACGCAGAAACCAGATCAGAACCCAGGTCTTCGCGAAGATGATGTGGTGGTCCCATGAGTAGGAAGGCCTGTAGTTCAAAAAAGGCCTGATCCAGGACCGCAACATGTGCTTTTGTGCTCTGTCCCGTCAAGGTCTCCAGGACCGACAAATCATGTGCCAATCTGCGCAACATATTCTTGAGGCCAATCAGCGATGGCTGTGGTCTTTGTGGCCAGAGCTGTGCGTCTGCAGGTTGCATGCGGATGCGCAAGTATAGGAAGAGTTCACGAAGTCCAGTCTTGGGCTCTTGTCTGAATAGATACCGGCGCAGTGCATCGCTTGTTGTGCTTGATGCATCGCGAGCCCCTGTCCGTGGCGGATAGAGCTTGCCAAAGGAATCTGAGCGCGGAACATCGAGACCCATGGCCTCCTAATGTAGTCGTGCAGAGAAAATGACGCTTGCTGAGCTGTAGTGATGAGTGGAAGCAACGCTAGAGTGTGGTGGTGAATGGTGTGTCGGTATCGTTGTCTGCTCTTCTACGTCAAGGCCTACCTTGCCCTACTAGCCATGCAGAGTGTGTCTCTGCCGTTGAGGATCTGAGCCCATCGAGTATAGAGCAGATGCGGTTTAAGGGTTTGCGGTCTCGAGGAAGTGAGATCATTTTTAACTTTCTGGGCAAGCACAACACCAGCACCAGCACTGACACGGGGTCTACCTAGCTAGGTTCGTGGTTGAAGGCTGTAAACCTAGAAGAGAATCAGCTGATACACTACAAGCTACTGCAGAGAGAAAAGGCTCCCATCAAGCTAGCTTGTCACCGCCATGTTCAAGCACCGCACACAAGGCTTCAATGGCACAGCTCTCGCCTTCTCTCCCTTCTTTGATTCCCATGTAGCCGTCTCCTCTTCTGCCAATTTTGGCCTTGTTGGCAATGGTCGCTTGCATATCCTTGCATTACAGCCAGGACAGATGCGACCAGTCAAGCATTTCGATACGCAAGATGGCTTATTCGATGTTTGCTGGAGTGAAAATCACGAGAATCAGCTCGTCACTGCATCAGGTGATGGTACGGTCCAGCTCTTTGATATCACTTGCGACCAATTCCCTGTACGGAAATGGCGAGAGCACAATAAGGAAGTGTTTAGCGTCAGTTGGAATCTTGTTCAGAAGGAGACGTTTTGCTCGAGTTCCTGGGATGGTAGTATCAAGCTGTGGCATCCGGCACAGCAAGTCTCCTTGGCAACGCTGATGGGTCACAAGGCCTGTGTCTATCAGGCTCTGCACTCTCCACAACATCCCAACATGATTGCGTCTGTGTCTGCCGACACAACGCTCTGCCTGTGGGACCCAACACAGGGCCATACGCCAGTTCAATCCAATCCAGTCTCTACACAGGAAGTTCTGACACTTGCCTGGAACAAGTATAATCCGTATGAGCTCTTTACAGCCGGTATCGACTTGCTCATCAACAAATGGGACTATCGCATGATGGCACGCCCTATACGCACCATGCGCGGACACAAATACGCCATTAAGAAGCTGAGCAGCTCACCCTTCGATGGAGAAATGGTAGCGAGTAGTTCTTACGATATGACAACAAGGATATGGCGAGGGGATACGTGTGTCAAGGTCTTTGATGCACATACGGAGTTTGTGGCAGGTTTGGATTGGTCTTGTTTTGGGATGAGTCCTGGCTTCATTGGCACTGCTGGATGGGATGAGAATGTATTTGTTTGGCGTGTTTGATCAATTGGCAGGCGATGTATTGCTTGCTCGACAATGCTCGATATATTGGCATAATATTGCTTGCTCGCTACGGAATACGGAGAGGCCGTTTCATCGCTTGGAAGCTGGAACTCGGAAGTTGGTCAAGGGCCTCAAGGCGCTGCCCGGAGATGGTAAGTCGGTCGACGGCATCAGCAAAATCTCCGAGCCCGATCAGTCAGACGACTGCCAGCACTGCCGTCAGTGGCCCGTCAGTGCCGTCACAGACTCACAGTGCGGACTCACAGTGCGGCATTGTCAGTATCGGGCCACTTTTGCGGAAGTACACAGACATTTGAGTCAGAGTTGACACCTTCAATGAGACCGTCTTCGCTTGTCATGCTGTATACCAGCCTATTACCAGGTATCCGATGACAAATCGATATGGAAGATGGCACATCCGTGGCTCAGGGTCAGCGTTCCAGAAGTCCAAGTCTGAGGTCCTGACACTGGCTGACAAGTGGAAACCTCAAGTCTCCAACCCGTTGGTCTCGGAGAATCGGAGGACGACTCTCGCGATGACATATTTGACAGCTTGCCCGCATAAGTTTATATAGGCCAGGGCTCATGTCAGCAGACTTGGCATAGACCTTCGAGAGTCAGAGAGAGTACGACCCCTGCTCTCGAAGTTCTAGTGGCTCTGGCGGCTGTACTGTGGTCCAGTCTGTGGAATCAAGTATTTGGACAATCTAGGCCGTGTAGTGATGGCCATTTCTCATAAGCTGTGAGGAATTGCTGAGGATGTCCATAGCGTGCTAAGGGAAGGGACACGGAGTCCGCCTGGAAAGAGCCGCAGCTGCCTTCATGTGCACCGGGCTGGCCGTTCTAGACTCAGGCAGGAACGTCATCGCCTCCCAAATTGTGGAAATCGAAAAGACGGAGACTACACACAGACAAAGGGCTAAAGGGCTAAGGGCTAAGGGTATTGGGCAGAAGCACTATAGACACACAGACACGCCCCAGGTCTGCTTTTCTACCACCCAGCAACCCTATCAACATGCCCTCAACACCCATCGAGAGCAGATCCAGCTCTGAGCAGTCATCGCGCACATCGCAAGACACCATCACAGCAGCCGCTCCTCATACACGCAGCAGTTCCCGGCCACGAACACAGAATAACCCTGTCGCAGCGCGTCAGCTGCTCTCTCAAGAGCTAAGGGACAGTATCAGTGCTTGGCTGCATGGTGTCGTCTACGAGCAAGATGACTTTATCAGGCAGCGTCAGCGTCAGCGCTTGACTGGATACAGAGGTCCGGAACATTGATGGTCATGCTCAATTGAACAGATCAGATAATGCTTGATTTGTGCGCATTAAACAGGGATTGGGGCAGACGAGCATCGGATACATGATGCATGAGACGATACATTGTACAGAAGAGCAGCACCGCACACATTCATTTTCGGTTACGGGAGGACACATTTTGGAGAGCAATATGGAAGGACGGACGGACCGGCAAAGAAGCTCATCAGACGGCTCATTCCCGCATGGAGGGCGATGCAACTTCAATGCAAGGCAGATACACAGGATGTCGAGATTGCTGCTGTCGTGCTCCTGGGTCAGCAGCCTTCATTTTTGCATGCTTCTCGAGTCCCGATACAGAGCCTAGCACCGGGCCACCGATTCCACCATCATCATTGCTTATTGTACATACATATAGAGGAAGAGCATTAGCGCAGAGCATCAATCATTGGATACAGCATGATGTACAGCAGCATAATACCCTTTTGATATCTGGCCGGAGCATGTCGCCGTCAATTTTGGAATTTTGACGACTCCGCTTATCTCTTGACGACACAAACCAAAAGCTCGCGGGTCCGAGTGCGCTCTATAGTCCAACAAGATGCCAGCTGGTGGCAAGCTCTATGAGACGGAGAGCGGACAACTCTTCCATGCCGGTAAAATCGCCATTTGCCTCGTTGGCTTGCCTGCACGCGGCAAAACACACCTCTCCGTCTCGTTATGTCGGTATCTCTCTTGGCTAGGTCTGTCATGCAAAGCCTTTCATCTAGGTGATTATCGGCGGAAATGGCTACAAGGCGAAGAAGCCCCTGATGATTACTTCTTCTTCGAAGATCATGCAGACATCAAAGACTCGACGCGCTCTCTACGTTCAAAAGTCGCTGCAGATTGTATGAAGGATATGTTGACGTTCCTTGACAAGACGAAATCAAATGGACAGATTGTTATCTATGATGCCATCAACGCCTCGCTTGCCATTCGAAGGCAAGTCATGCAAGACTTTAAGGAAAACAACATCCAGTGTCTCTTCATTGAGAGCGTCTGCTGGGATGAAAAGATCATTCAGGATAACGTACGCGACGTCAAACTCTCCTCACCCGATTATGCCGGTTGGGACCGACAAAAAGCAGTTGAACATTACCTCCGTCGCATCCAAATGAAAATCCCAGTCTACCAAGAAATGACGCGAGAAAAGGAGGAAGACTTGTCGTATGTCAAACTCATCAACATCAATGAACGAATGATTGTCAATAAAGGAACCTCTGTCGGTGGTAAAGGCGGCGCTGGTGGCAATTTCGGATATGTCGGTTCACGCATCGTCTTCTTCCTTATGAATTTGCATGTCAAACCACGAACGTTGTATTTTGCTCGTGCAGGCAAGTCTGCCGATCGCTCTTACAAGTCTGACGCACCACTTGCTCCAGAAGGTCATGTATATGCCAAGAAGCTAGCAGACACATTGATGCAGCGTCGACGCGAACTACGCCGGCAAGCAAAAGAAGAAGGTGGGAGTAATGCGAGTAGCGTCAATGGTGACGTAACGCCAACACAGAGCGGTACTGCTACGCCTATTGAACAACAGCATCGGAGTCTATCTGTGTGGGTGTCGCCGAGGCAGAGGACTGTGGATACAGCAGAGTACTTGGCTGCTGCTGGTTGTGTGGTTCGCAGGCGACCACAATTGCAAGCCATCAACCCTGGTGTCTATGATACGCTGACATTGGATCAAATACGAGAGAGATATCCGGGTGAAGCTGAAAAACACGAAGCTGATCCTTTTGCACATCGTTTCCCACGCGCAGAAAGCTATCATGATGTGGCCATCCGACTGGAGCCTGTCATTGTTGAGATTGAACGTGAAGAGAATGATTTGATTGTTATTGCTCACGAGTCGGTGCTCAGGGTGCTGTATGGTTACTTCATGGGCCTTGAATCGAGTCAGATACCTGAACTGTCGATGCCGCGCAATACATTGTTTGAGGTCCGGCCGAGCAGCTACAATTGCTTGCAGCAGCTTATCCCCATTCCCGGCGTCGAGCCTGAGGACTAGAAGGGTCTTCGAGTTGTTACACTAGCGTTGCCTCTTCCCATCTGTATCAATACTACTGCGGCATTTTACCTAAGGCAGGCATTCCTTGTTGTCTCGTGACCATTCAAGACAGATCTGTGGAGATCTCCCCTTCCTCGCTGAACAGCTCGCATTCTGCCCTTCGCCACAACTTCTTGGCAACTTGACATCCTCTGATCTCAAAACATTGTGCTGCCACATGGCAACAATGATACGACCCCTGAAAAATATTTTCTGGTCTGAAAAGCTCTCACCTCAAGGGTCGCAAATGTGACTTTCGGGCCAGAGCAAGCTTGCACATGCCTTTGCTCAGCAAGGAGATGTCATTATACGGATATGGAGTCAGTGGAGGGATCGTAAGTCATTGCGATACTCAGTGATTTGCTGGCTTGCGTCTTGAAGCCGAGATGCTCGAGCAAATACAACATTACCGATCACACGGGATGCCACGCTACCGAGCTCCAAATAGTTATAGCAAATATGTCTTGACAAAGAAGGTGCTGCTAGACAAGAGCCTCGTGGTGTAGCTCGGGCAGCAACCCTATTGCCGAGGTTCACCAAGGGGAAGGGCAACTTCGCACTGACTTCTGAACGATTATGTTACAAGCCGCGTGAGTTGCACATGGCCTCGCAACACACAGCGTGTCTAAACACGTAGTGAGGAACATCGATGCTCTTTGCGATCCTCCATCACTCCAAGTCTTTTGAGACTCGGAACAAGTGCGCCGATACCATGAAGACTCAAAACATCCAATGTTGTTCCAAATAGAAAAGACACGAGGACGAGAGGGAACCCCCTGTTAAAGGCGCAGCCGAATCTACATAACGCAGTGGATCTCTGTCGATGCGCCTTTCTCTCTCGACGATTTCCAACAGCTGACCACTCACACTCTTTTTGACCCTCATTTTACCCTACACCAACTCGTCCGCTGCTGAATTAGACTTGATGGACAGCGAGCCAACAGGATCGAAGCCGTTTTTGCCAACAAGCACATCTGATCAGATCCAGTCAATCGATTTGGCTGTACCACACGCAAAAATGCTGCCGCCACCAGTATCGCCTTTTCGCTTGCCAGCTGTGAGCGAATTGACGGGTGGGCAGACATATCCTCCCATTCGTCCAGGCTTTCTACGACAGCCTTTCAGCTTGCCGCCCCTGATCATCACCAGGTATGGTGCCGAAAGTGACGGAGATCGAAGTTCGCCAAGACTTCCCATCATGCAATCGCCTATGCCGCATTCGCCTCTGGATAGGCGAACACCCCCACAAGGGGCTTGGACGGTCGGTCGTGCTCGCACATCCAAGACACCTCTCAACGAACACACAAGCAACGCTCGTAAGCGCGCAAACAGCGATACTGAGCTCGAGCAACGACCTGGCCAGTCAGGTGAGACCTCGACGCTGCGACCTTTCAAGCAGCGTCTTCTCCCCAAAATGCCAGAACCTCGACACTTTATTGCGTCAGCTTCCCATCAAGACGCACTCAATCGACAAAAGAGCCAGCAAGAGCGTGACAAGCCAGTAGCTCGCAAAGGTCAGACCCCCACGGCTGCAACCGCACCCATGCGGCAAGACACCAGCTCTGCGTCGCCAAGACGACAAGATTTTGTACCGCCATCGCCTACTGCAGTTTACAGCCCAACAGGCGTAGCTTGGTTTGTTTCAATGCAACGACCTGGCCGCCGACCAGGACGCAAGTCGCGTGTTCAGATTGAACGCTTGCGTGTCGAGCAGATGGAACAGGAGCAGCACTTGAGTGAGCGACAATCTCGTGCTCAAGAAAGCCCCGGACGTGCCGACAGGCACGATTTGGATGTTCGTCAACCTGTCACCCAACGACGGCCCTCCATACGCCCTATTCAACCAAAAGATCGGCCGCAAGACTTGCGTGCAGAGGCATTGCAGACTCGACCCATCAACAATGGTCCTTTTTCAGCAGATCGCATCCATTTCTCTTCAAAGGCAGTCATTCCCTTGACTCGATTTGGTGAATTGACCGCTCCACCGCCAGTCTTGTCGCCCGAGAGCCGATACTTGCCAAGCATGAGTCCAATCGTCCCTAGCTTCCCAAAACGACCCGAATTACGCCCGACGGCGAGCTTTCCTCGACCATGGCCTGGTTCGCCAATCCTTGAAAGACGAGACTGGCCTCCAATGCCAGTGGTAACACCTCCAACGCCGGTGTCAGCAACGTTCCGGTACAAAGTGAAACCAGCAGGTCAAGTGAGACAAGCCTCGACGCACCTCGACATTGCAAATGGAGCAGACCAATGCTTGACAGCTCTTGCATTCGATCCCGTGGTGTTGCAATTGTGTCACCAAGAGCGTCTAGAAAAAAACAGGAAACAAGAGCAAAGAAAGGCCAGTCTAAGCGTAAATGGACGAGCTTTGCTGTCTCCGACAGGCAACTCGATTTCGCACCCTGGAAGAATTCGTCAACAGACAGCCGGACCGGACACTTTGAGGTCTCAAGAAAACGCTCAGCCGACATACAAAGTGCAAAGTCTCGCAGTCGGGCTAGATGAGCGCTCAATGTTTTTCAGGGTGCCCCATCAGGCAAGCCTAACTGATAAGTTGGTCCACTCTGGAGCTGCGACCATTGATTCAGAATTGCTAGAACGCATCGTCGCGCCACACGGAGACTTACTCTGGCACACGTACTTCAGAATCGTGCATCCTAGCCTGTAAGAAGCTGTTGATCGTAATCTGTTGAGACTAACCCACAGGCCCATTTTGAGCAAACGCCAGCTGAGGTCACGTAACGATGAGAGATTCCCGACCACTTTGCTGGCTGCAATGTACCTGTCTGCGAGCTCCTACCTGCCAGCGAGCTTCAAGGACAAATTCATGCTGGATGGTCGATGCAACAATCTTCATACCTTGTTGAAAGGAGGCTTGCTAGCAGAAGCGGAGAACCCCAGTCTCGCCACTGTGTGTGCATTCTTGCTTTACCTTCATTTACCGTTGTGGCAGGAAACTGCCAAGCTTGACGACCTCGGTGAAGCAGGATTCAACATTGAGGCTACTAACAGACGATGGATGATGACAACACTTCTCCTGAATTGTGCGCACCAGCTTGGACTCAACCTAGATCCTGGACAGTGGGCAATTAGTGAATCTGATAAGCATATGCGTAGGAGACTTTGGTGGATGACGGTAAGGCCTCTAGCGACGTTTAATACTGCTGACAAGTAGTTGACTCTTGAAAAGTGGAACAGCCTCATTTGCGGCCGGCGTTCGACCATTCGTCCAGGCCAATATAATGTCGAGATGCTGGCACTGACGGATTTCAATGACGATGATAATGGTCCGACGAGCCTGCCTGGGCATATGCGTACGTCCCAGTATTCACCCGACTTTGCTGACAATAGACTGCATCGCAAATGCAGATTTGGTCCTGCTGCTGGCAGACATTCTCGAAATCTTACACAATAATACGCGCGCTCCACTAGGCACGGAGCGGCTGATGCTGTCGTCGCTGCTCAATTTCCGTGCAGGCCTTCTAAAGCTAATCATTCCAAATGAACACCCGCTGGCTTCGGGTGAACATCATCAGGCCATTTGCCATTTGCAATTGCACCTGAGTTTCATGGCATGCTGGATTTTAACGCTCAAGTCTCTCATGACCAGGCCGCAGGACGCGACTGACCCAGAGACACCAAAAGTAGGCTCGCTGGACTTGTCGCTTGGTGTTGAATGCATTGCAGAATATTGCAAGCTGCTCTCTATTTGTGGCAGCATCGAGCAGTGGACGAGCTGTGTTTGGCCAGGTTGGATGGAGCACGCGATGCTTCTCGTGGTTCAATTCACCATTCGACTTGTCGCAGGGTCAGTTGGCTTGGCGCAACAGCAAGCCCTGAGCGCTGCGCGGGAGGTGAGTTTTCATGGCTTCAGCCGCAAAGAGCATACTGACTGACCAACAGCTTTTCAGGATTCTGCATGAGAATCAGAAAATTTGGCACATTGCAGATTACCCCCTGAGGGTTCTGGTTGCATCAGGCATTGCTGGGCAATGAAGCATATGAAGCATATGGTCAACACATGCCGCAATGTGACTATCGCACAAATCCCATAACAGGACAGTCCGATTAAATGATCTCTTTTCCTCTTCTTGACCACGTCCCTAGAGCGAGTTGACTGTAACATTGACCACGTCGGCGTCATCTTCCAAACGCTCAATGAGTTCAAGCACCTCTTCGTTGCCTTCGATGTCCACTGCCGTATCCTCCTTGGGCCTGAAGCAAAGTTCAGCAGCGAGTATCTCGACAGGTCTGTCGTTAAGCTTCTTTGCTATGCTGCCAAGGTCTGAAGGAGCGGTGATGAGCTCGAATGAGCCGTCTTCGAGGTCAATGACATCTTCGGCATCGACTTCAATGCTCAAATCAAGGGCGTCATCATACGACATACTCGGTTCCCCTTCTGCCGGACGTACAACAACCCGCCCGCGCTTGTCAAAGAGAAATTGACAACTGCCTAGAGTCGCAGCATGCTTCCTCAAAATGGCCTTGATATTGGCACCCGTTCGCGTCTTCTTATCGGTCAAAGCTTCAATCATCATTGCCACTTGCCCGTGCATAGCTTCGTACGTGACATGCTGAAGTGCTTCCTCCCCTGCTTTACTTGGTGCAGCACGTTTCAGTGCAGCCTCAATATTGGATTTTGGCATATCTGCCTTCTTGGCAGCAAGCAAGGATGCAGCAAGCCTGACGTTGAAAGATGGATCCGTGCTACCACCGAGCTTAGCAGCTAGGGTAATGTCATTGCCGAGCTTTGAGAACATCTGCCCTCTCTGCTGATCTGCAGCTCCTTTCTTGTGCCGAATCTTGGACCATTTATTGTGCCCAGATAGCAAGCATTTCGACGTGTGCAAGGATCTGAGACTTCTGCTCAAGTTGTAAGTACAGCTATAAGCCTGCCTAGTAGACAATTGCAGCATTTTTCCTTGTGTAGCTGAGCTGCTGTGGTGTAGCTCTTCATGCGTCAATGTTCGGCCCCCAAACACTTTGTGCGCGTTCGCTACATCATAAAGACAAGACGACTCTGTAATCGCATAGACCCTTGAGCGCCTCGTCGTCAGTGCTCGAGTAGTGGCTGGATACCACAGCATGTCGCGACCAAGAAAGAGGATAGACATACAAAGTCTGCTGTCGCCAGCCTCAGAGGGAAGACGGCATGGCCCAATCAAGTACACCAAGCTTGCAAACAACGCTATAGTGGCCACTAGGGAACCACTTGAAGAAGATCAGTTCTGCACAGCACCAGAGAGTCATGAGTTACCGTACCTACCGCCTGAAGTATTGATCCTCATCATTTCTCATGTTCCATACGCGGATCGGGTTGCCTTGACTAGGGTGGACCGTTTCTGGCGCTTGTTGACGCTTCAGTTGAGCTCAAAGCTGAAGATCATGCGCGATCTTACCTGTAGGTGCGTGTTGCTATCCTGCTATGCTGACAATACAGTCTGTGCACCAGCGCCCTCAAGCATCACTGCACCAGAGTGGCTCAACTACAGAACCATGACACCGTCATCGAGAGTGCTCAAGCTACAGCGTATCCTTGCAGCGATGAGCTCCAAGTTGACATACTTGAATCTGCTCGGGACAAACTTGCTCAGTCAGGATCTGGTCAGTTGGATCTATCACATCGACCTGCCAGAACTACAAATGATCAAGATGCCTAACGGGACCGACCTATGTAAGTCTATAATATACGCTACTACAGGATCTCGCTAATAACAGATCTTGCCTTACTTCGCGATCTTGCATTGAGACCGAAGAAGTGGCCCAAGCTGACGTTCTTCTCTGTTGGCTTTGGGTCAAAGCTGGAGATCCCCGAGGAGGCACCCGAGCTCATCACCATTATGCGTGAGTCACGACCTGATTTGCGATCCAATATCTCACGTTGTACGCATTGCGCGCGTTTGTACTACGTCGACTCGAGAGTCAAGTGCGTTTGCTGTGATCGACACATCTGCTCACAGCATTTTACACGGTCTTCTGGCAATCATTGCTTCCTATCCAGGCGCGTCAAGTGTCGTAAGTTACGTTCTAGGTCCTACAAGTCGCTGACTTCCTTTAGCTTTCAGCAAGCTCAAGTATCACACTGTGTGTCACACACTGCACACTGAACGCGGCTGTGCGACACTTAACGAACGCGGGAAACACTACCCCTGCTACAAACCGCGCCTTGAAGAAGACTACCTTGCAGTTGTAACCACGACTGAGGATGAGGCAGAAGACGCGATGCATGCATGAATGATTGCTTTTTTATCGATGGCGAAACCAATGGCTCTATACGCCTTTTCTGCGACTGGCGAAATGTATGTTTGTTCTCTCGTACTTGATTCATGCTTTATAGCTGGCAGCGAACCGATCCCTCTTGCCCTTTGTACATCAAGCTTGCACAGCCCTGGCTGCCTACTTCTGAGAATCCGGCTCCACAGCTCTCGAGCCGAAAAATTATCTGAAGGCGACGAGCAAAGACAACACTGAAACTGCATTGCGCTTGCTCAATAGCATCCTTCAACTTGCTGCTCTTCTCAAGATGGCGAAAGTATCGAAGTCTGTGAAGCAGAAGCGCAAAGACTTCGCTAAAACAAAGCTCAAAGTGGGAAAGCAAAAGGCTCAGGCTGACAACTACACCGATACCTCATTCAAAGCTGCCAAAATCGTGCTACCTAAACAATCTGTCAATAATGCAGTTCATATGGGCGCTCAAGAGGATGGGATAGAGTACAGTGCTGATGGCGGCAAATTTCTTGAAGATTCAATCAAAGACCGTGCCGTCCTTGACAAGCTACTGGGTCTGCTTCATCACAAGGCACACGAAACGCGTAAAGATGCTCTTGTCTCCCTTGCCAGCTTTCTAGCAGCCAAGCATAAGCATCAGCCAATCAGTTCCATACTACTCACGCCAGTTATGGCAAAGCTAGTCCCAATGATCTTGGATGATGACCGGATAGTGCGTCGGCAACTGCTGGCCACTTTCGAAAAGATCCAAGCACTCGCCAGGCAAGCGCGTCAACAATGTGGTCGCCAAGGTGATTCTGAAATGCAAGAAGGTGATGCGAAGGAGGAGAACGTACTGGCTCGCTACTCGGACGATTTTCTGCTATACATCACTAGTGCCATGACGCACATTGTTGTGTCAATTCGTGCGGATTCAACCAAGTTTCTCGCCTTGCTATTGGATTGTGATCTTGGCGATACCGATGTATTTGCAGAAGATGCTCAACGACCTACTTCACAAGTCTTGCAGAGGCTCGTGAGCGGTGCAGATGCCAGTTCAGGAGCACGTAGTCAGGGTGGTGCGAGCTTGTCCAAGTTGATTGACTGTTTCGCCCTACTTCTCGGAATCAGTGGAAGTGATGCAAAGGGAGTTGGTATGGCCGTGACTGCGCGTGTAGCAACGACAACGGGAATCAAGACAACAGTTCAGCATCTACAAGTTCTGGCAGTCGTGCTCGATGCTGCCTTGAAACCACAGGACACAGCACTGCGGATAGCCCCTACGTTCAGGTGTATGGCAGAGGGTCCCCTGCTTCAGGTGATTGAAGGTAAGCCAGATTTGGCATTGTCTGCTGGCCCATTCATTGTTGCTACTAGAGTGCTCAACATTTATGAGCCAAACTCTTTGAACTTGTTTGCACCTGGATCTGCACTCGGCCAGACAGCCACGGATGAGACTCAGAGTGAAGAAGAAGAAGGCGAGCAGAGCGCTGCACGTCTCATCATCCTCCGTCATGCAGCAGGACTCATCAAGCATTTGACGGATTTATTCGCGGATGGCGTAAACATGCATCTTGAATTGTGTGTTCCCTGTCTGCATGTGTTGACAGCTCTTTCACCGCTCCTTTGCGTATCAGGGACTTCAAGAACTGATCAGGTGTCAAAGAAGCAGCGCGATTTAGCGAAGCTTGTTGCCAAGATGGAGACTAAGCTAAAGAATGGCTTGGATCAATTGGCAGACCGTGGAGGCCCGGGTGTCGTCAAAGTTGCGAGAGCGTATGAAGAGGTGCTTATAGCCCTACAGCAGCCTGAAACTATGGAGAATTACATGTAGCGTATCATCATACCTGAGCGGTCGACATTGCAGCGAACCGCTTATTCAACTCGCGCTCAAAAAAGTCCTCCTCGTCGCTTTCCTCTTCATAGGCAGTAGCTGCATTGCCCAATAAGCTTGGCTCATCCGCCTTTGTATTGTGCGCCCTGCCACGGTTATAGAACCAAATGAGTCGCTGCAAACGGTCTTCTGCAAGCTTTGCTTCAGACAAGTCCAGATCTTGACCATTTGCTAAAGCACCCATAGCGTTGGCTGCAGCAAACCCAGACATGACACCCCCATGCTCGCCTCCACTGATCCAATCATCACGCAACTCTGGCTTACATGCCATATAGATCTGGGTAATGACTTTCATGTTTGTTGAGCGCCATTTGCGCGAACATAGCGGCACTTGAGTCTTGTACAACTTGAGCACGATTTCTTGCAATTGTGAGTGTGGTACACGTAGAGGACGACGTAGGTGAAGCCATATGCGATGTTGTAGAAGCAAATGTGCGCGGCCAGTCTTCTTCTTTGTGCATTTGTGTAGAATCTTGCACAGTGAAATGGCACCAAACAAAATCCTGGACGAGACTGCGTCTGCCGCCTTTTTTGTTTTCCTATTGCTAGGACCGTTGCTGTGGCTGGATTTTGGGTCTTGTTGCAGCTTCGGCGTTGAATTTGTTGAAAGCGTCTTGAAGGGCGACGCTCGTTGTGCTTGTGTCAGTGCCTCCACTTCCTTGGCACGACGGAGCTTCGCCACATTCAAAGCGCGCTTGTCGGACTGCCATATAGGAAGGCCACTTGCATCGTGTCCAGGAAGAGATTGCTCTGCTGGTGAATCTGGTAAGTCCTCTGCTGGCAGCCGCCTCAGTGCTGTGTAGAACGAACTCTCTGAAGCAGAAGCTGATGTACTGTTCAGAGCTAGGAGCGGATCGAGGGATAGCATCGCTTGTTGAAACACCGCCACCCAGTCGCTGTCCATTAGACAAGCGCTGACAAACTCAAATTTGAGTACATGCGATACTTTGAACCATTTAAGTAGCAAAAGTAGGAAACCAGAAATGCCCTTGAGAAGGATCTGAAATTGATGGAGGGCTAGGAATGCTGCATGTTCTTCTGGTTGGTGTCGCGTGTGAGCATCATCTTGCCATGTCGCATTTTGGTCTCCAAAAAGCCAGTTTTGAATGGAAGCGACATCTTCAGGTCCAGGATCGACGTCCGAACCCCCTTGATGTCCAAGTCCGTTGGCTCTGTAAGGCTCACCGGCGCCATTTGTATGCCTCACTTCATTGGTATTGAGGGCTTCTAGATTCGAATGGGTACCAAGCTGAGTGGCGGCATTGAACAGCGTATCCACTAGCTTTGAGATGGCGGACGACAGGTCGGGCAGACACTCATCATAGAGCCGATCTACTCGAGCAAGAAGCTTGTCTTCTTCAACTTCTGGACTGATTGACGCTTCAGACGCTTGTGGCGCATCCCAGCCTCGATCATGGCGCATAAGCAGTTCAAGACTTTGATTTGTCTGAATGTGTGCGACATCTCGGCGCTGCCGGCTGTGAAACATCAAGGTTGCCTCTTCTACACTTTTTGGCACTTTATTCGACAAGTCTTCGCTCCAAGGTAGAGGAAATGGCAATGCCTGATCGGTCTGGAAAATACCCTTGCGACTGCGGGGACTTGGCGGCGGACTAGGTGCTGGTGTTGAGGACCATTGACCGTCGGAATACGTGGGAAGTTCATGCGTCTTATCCTGACGTAGTTCAAAGGGAGCTGTTTGTTGCGGAATCAGTTGCGACGGCTTGAAGCCTGGGTATTTGGATGCAATTTCAGCGCGAAATTGCGCGTACTCGTCGGTGGTCGCCGTCACCACGCCAGCGTTATCGGCCTCCTCTGGTAGCTCATAGCGACGGCGCTGGCGGCGTTTGCACTTGAGCAATTCCAGCTGCTCGCCTAACGTGACGAGCATCGCTTTACGAAGTAAAAGAGCGATTTGACGAACGGGCAGTTGTACTTCCCAGTTTTCTGGGGTGCCCCGAGGTCGTGCTAGAATGCTGAGTAGAAGGGTGACCAAACAGGGACGACAGCTTGAAACCTGCTCTTGTGAACCATCGCCATGTTGCGTCGCTTCCAGCATGATGTAGAGACTGGTCATGATTTGGCGTATATCTGTGATTACCTGACAAAAGAGTGTTTCCATGTCGGGCGTATGAGGCTCATCGCACAAGCTAAACCAGACATCGAATTGCTTTCCTAGTAGCTCAACGAGCACTGGATATGCACCTGCGCTAAATAGATGTTGGGCATTGCGGCGAATCCAGACGTTTTGGACATCTTTCGAAACCCATCGGATGGTCAGTCCTTGGGCAATGCAAAAGATTGTGCAGATGGCATGACGCTTCTCTGTCGTACCGACATGATCAAGCGATGCCAGTGTCAGCTGAGCAGCGATGAATTGCTGAATCAAATTCGTGTCGGCTTCATGCCAGGGCAATAGAGCTTGGAATGCAGTATCAGCTCGTACAACTGAGCGACACGATCGCAGCAGCACAAAGTCTTCTGCATGCGAGTACCATTCATCCAGCTCAACATCCATATCCTCGCTATCTATAAAGTCGTAGTCGATGCGAATATCGTCGTGCGCCTTCTTTGCCTGTCCGTGGGCCGGGCGAGCAGCTGGCTGAGCGTGCAACTGACCAGCATTTATGGATTCTACTGGGCCAGCTGCAGCATCGATCTCGTCTGTAAAGACTGCAGGCTGCGTGGGGTCCAGTTCAGGATGTTTTGGAGCTAGGGCATCTTCAGGAGCTGCTTGCGGGCTTGTGGCAACAGAGTCTAGCTGAGCCTCCTCTGTGGGCATTTCTGGCTCTGTCATTCAGCTAGACTATACTTGCAGTGCAAAGCTTGACCACGAGTCTGCAGTCTTCATCCAGGCGAATAGCTACAGCCAGAGCCCCCAATGCTCCTTGCGATTGTCCTGTGGTCTACGACTCTACGCGTGCACCAGAACGCGACCGTGGGCAGACCGTGCGACATCAAGATTGTGCGACTTTATCGACGCTCCAGATCAAGTCAACGGAAGCGAAGTCAAGTCAAGTGCTCCAATACTAGAACATGGTAGATGCATAGTACACATCGGATACACTGAGAGAAGGAACAAAGCATGAGGCAGACACTACGATCTCTCAAAAGGCCCGACAAGCAACATGCTGTGCGAACAGATGGCTTGGCTACGATGGAGTCTTCTACACCAGGCTCGCTCGACAAGGTAGCAGCTCATACTGGTGATCCTGTCGAAGCACTAGCCTTGGCGATACTCGATCACCCAGCACATCCTATGCACTGGTCAACATTCAAGAAATGGATCATCATCGTCATCTATTGTCTCTTGCAGCTTTTTATTGCCATGACTTCGACATCGTACGTCAGCGTCGTTTACTTGATCCAGGAACGCTTCGGCACATCTCTCCAGGTGACGACACTGGGCCAGTCGCTATTCATTGTAGGCAATGCGGTGGGCCCATTGTTCTTGGGCCCTCTGTCGGACATTGCTGGCAGAAAGTGGGTGTATGTTGGGTCGATCCTCCTCTTCAGCATCCTCAATATTGGCCTCGCACTCGCGCTCAACTTTCCCATGATGGCTATTTTCATGTTTCTTATCGGTGCTGCCGGCTCAACAGCCCTCTGCAATGTCGCAGGGTCCATTGCGGATCTGTATGGCGATGCCAACAACTCTGGTCAAGCTATGGCGCTCTTCGTCTTCACTTCAGGTGCTGGCCCAAGTTTGGGTAGTCCAGTAGGAGAGTGGGTTGCTTTGAACCCAAGGATGGGCCTCAACTGGCTGTTCTGGCTCAATGTAATCATCGGAGGCGCTTTTGCCCTGGGCATGATCTTTGTGCCTGAGACCCTTCCCCGGGTCGTCATTGAGCGTGCAGATCGCAAACAGAACCATGCGTTGTCGAAAAGCACATCCGCCGTCTTGCAGATTAGAAACGTTTCTGTCGTATCTGAGATTCGCTTCGTCGCAACAACGGCACTCCGCATCTTCTTCACGGAACCTATTGTCGCGAGTTTTGGTATCTACAATGGCTTTGCTTACGGACTACTCTTTCTTTACTTGACGGGCGTCTTCCCAGTCTTTACGGAAAACAACGGTCTTTCCTATATTGACGCAAGTCTGACTTACCTCAACTTTGCAGTGGGAGCAGCCGTTATGTTCTGTATTGTTCCCATCCAGACGTGGCTGTACAAGCGCGACAAGCAACGCAATGGTGGTACTGGCAGACCCGAAGCTAGACTGCTCCTCAATCTTGTGACGATTTGGCTATTCCCAGGTGCACTGTTTTGGTTTGCGTTTACCTCTAGTGGCAACGTCAACTACTGGTCGCCTATCGTCGCTGGTGCTGTGGCAGGCACATCCAACACCATGCTCTATCTTTCCATTCTGACGTACCTCTCTGATGCTTACCCAAGTGTAATTGCTTCAGCCATCGCAGCTCTCTTACTGCCGAGTTTCCTCATTGCTGCAGGGCTCGCGCATGTTGGACTTGTCATGTTTGAGAATCTCGGCACACGCACTGCTTTCATCATCCTGGCGGGTGTAAGCTGCGGTCTGGTCATTTTGACTTATACAATCTACTTCTTTGGTCCATGGCTTAGACGGAGATCGAAGCTAGCACGAGTCTTTTGATATCTTCTTTTGTAATATGTACACTTCTTTATATTCTAGGGCAAATCTCAAATTTCATCATAATACAACCGAGTAACTTCTTTGGCGTGCCGGATGCGCAGCTGTAGATGCCGAAACAGGTGGCAAGGGCTGCCGTACATCAGGCGCCGTCGCACTCGTCGGTAAGCGCCGTTGCCATAATCCAGGACCAGCTGCTGCTGTACTGCTCCAAGTCCGGTGATGTTGCACATGCACTGGCCGTGATCCAGCAATGCTGAAGGACCTGCCGAGAGGACTTTTGCCGGCTGGCAGCAAGTCCAGCTGTTCCTGGTTCAGATGGGCACTGTCAGCCGTCATGAGTAGAATGTAGCGCTGACTAAGTCTGGCAGATCGCTTCGAGAGAGTCTCAGACAAACTCGCTGCTGCTGCCGAGAGGACGTGTGTATGAGGGCAATCACGAGCCACTGCATGCGACAGTGAACAGAGCTCAACGTCTTTCAGGACCGGCCTGCCGGTGACAGCACCGAGCATAGCATTACACCCTGCTGCATGCGAAACAAGAATGACAACAGTACGCGGTTGATTTGAACTTGTCGGCTGGTCAAAATTGTCAATGAGCCGATGTAGACCGCGCCGGACGCGATCGTGCATTTCAGGCCAATCCTCGCCCAACTCGCCGCCTGGTCCAAACTGCTGGGAATCCCAGGCAATGTCGAGCTGAACATTGGATGGATCGTAGGGAAAGTCACTATCCTGTAATACACTACTGCTGAAGTTTTGTGGCTCCGCGTTCGCCTCGACAGCTAGTTTGCGTTTCCTTACCAGCGATTGTATCGTTTGTCTCGCGCTCTGCACCAGCTCGCTCATAGCAGGCGGTGGTTGTATATCCTTGTAATAGTCTGGTGTCATCCACTCCCCTAGGAACGCATCAATGCGCAAGACTGGGCGTGTCGGCAACGCTGCGGCCAGTGCAAGACTTGTCTGTATGCACCGCAAAAAAGGTGATGTATGAATCACAAATCGCGTTCCTTGCGAATGCTGTGCAATCGCTTGACCAGTGAGTAGTGCTTGTATTGCACCATGATAAGTGAGCGGCGAGTCGTAGGGTGTGGGTGAAGTCAGGCGCCAGTTGGAGTCGCGCTGGTCGCGGCGTTCGCCGTGCCGCAAGAAGAAGAACTCGTGAAGACCGGCCGCTTCGGTATCAGATTGAGTCATATACAGCGACTGCTGCGACCTGCTTTGCGCTACTGCAGGAGAAGAAGGCCCCTCTTCCGAGGATTTGTAATGTGCTTCCGTCTGGTTTGGTGAAGAAATGCAAATGGCGCCATCTCGAGAAGGCGACGATGGTAAGTACCGACGACATCTACAGATCTAGGTTGAAGCTTAAGCAGCTTATAGTACAGAGGCAAGAGGCAAGGAGAGATGCATGGAGTGCAGGACGGTAGACTTCACCAGCAGCTATCTGTAGCACTCAAGCAGCGTGAACGCAAGGGCAGTCTTCGTGCACTGAAACCATCCTCACTCGACCACACCCTCCTGGACTTTTCCTCCAATGACTATCTCGATCTTGCAAGCGCTGCTATTCTCAGAACCGTCTTTACGCGTTATTTAGAACAACAAGGAACGCTTGCTTCGACTGGATCGCGTTTGCTATCTGGTAACTCTCACCTTGCCAATACCATCGAAGAGGAAGCGCGAGCATACTGGCAATCTCCGGAAGCATTGCTATGTGGGAGCGGATATGAAGCGAACGTCAGTCTTTTCAGCACAATACCTCAGCCCGGAGACGTCGTGCTCTATGATGCATTTATTCATGCGAGTGTGCATGTTGGGCTCAAGACTTCGCGGGCCGCGCGGAAGGTGGCATTTAGACACAACGATATGGCTCACCTACGATCTCTACTACGACATGAAGCATCTGATTTGGTTGACTGCCCAAAGACCGTTTTCATTGCATGCGAGACGGTGTACAGCATGGACGGCGATCTGTGTCCTCTGGTAGACATGCTTGCTGTCATTCGCTCGACGTACCCAAGTGCACGCGTCATTCTTGACGAAGCACATGCAACAGGTGTCTTTGGTCCACTAGGACGTGGTCTCGCCAGTCACTTGGAGCTTGCGAATGCGCCTGAAATTCTCGTGCGGCTGCATACATTTGGCAAAGGTGCAGCAGGGACGGGTGCCATCATTTTATGCGATGCACTCGTCAAGTCGTACTTACTCAACTATGCAAAAGGTTTGATTTATTCTACATTTTTGTCTGCACCAGCACTCTGCCTGATGCGTGCCAGTCTGACAGCATTGAGTACAGGACAGACACTAGCGAGGCAGAATCAACTCTGGCAGCGCACTCGCACATTTCATGCGCTCTTATCCGACAGGCTTTGTGCTGACTCTTCATCGACACTGGTTGTGCCCAGTACAGGTCCTCAGAGTCCCATTATCCCAATATTGACGAGCAGACCATTGCAATTGTCACAGTTCTTGCATGCTCGAGGGTTCAGGGTCATGCCTGTACGGTATCCGACCGTCCCTCGAGATGCTGAGCGCATACGAATTTGTCTGCGTGCAGAGGTGTCGGTCGCGTCACTTGAAGCACTGGTGGATGCTCTAGCGGACTGGCAGAAACTTGGACATGTGGACTCGGGCGCGGTAGCAAAGCTTTAGACTAAGCATGCTGCTAGGACGTTGTCAGTATGCAGAATCTGTATAGAACACCAAGCCAAGTAGGCATTCACTAATCTCGGCTCCACTTTGACACCCACGGCCGATTACGACGTCGACATCCACCACCGCTCGAAGCTAAACACAAGCTCATCTTCCATCATGATTGGGATCACAGGAGCGACTGGAGCGCTCTCTTCTGCCGTGCTTACTCATCTTTCCAAGGGCGAACGCCCGCTTCGTCTGCTTGCTCGAAATACCGAAAAAGCTGCCGCCAACTTTCATGCATTGAAACCTCGTGGTCCGTTCGATGTCAAATACTGTGACTACCAGGATAAAGAAGCTTGTGTTGAAGCACTGAAAGGCATTGAAACGGTGCTCTTTGTGTCTGCTGGGGAGAGTCCAGACCGCGTTCAGCATCATAAATCTTTCATTGACGCGATGTGTGATGCAGGTGTCAAGAGTGTCATTTACACATCATTCCGTGGTGCCGCGCCTGATGCTGTGTTTCATCTTGCCAGAGACCATTATTGGACTGAGGAGTACATGAAGAGCCAGAAGTCACTCAATTATATCCTGCTCAGGAACGCCTTTTACCAAGACGTGCTGCCTGACTTCACTATTCAAGGCGCTATCCGTGGACCGGGTGGATCTGGACGACTGTCGCCAGTTGCAAGACAAGACGTTGCTTCAGTGATTGTCAAACTTCTGGACGACGTACACCCACACATCGGCAAGACGTACAACTTGACTGGACCAGAGGAACTGACCTTTTCTCAAATCGCCACAATGCTAGGTGCTGATTATGTGGAGGAGACGATGGAGGAGGCGAGGGACTCTAGGAAGGCTCCAGGGGTGGAAGATTGGCTCATTGAAGCTTGGATCAGTACCTACACTGCTGTTCGGGATGGAGAGGAAAGTGGTTTAACTGATGATGTGGAAAGAATTACTGGTCAGCCTGCGACGACCATGCAGGCTTTCTTGGCGTTGAGGGGAGAGAAGTAGCTAAGTAGCTTTCATATAGGGCATTGTTACAAAGACCATCGGCCAGCAGGATACTACAGTACGTTGGCGACTTGGCACACTATCACCAGAACCACCAGCTCTTCTTCGCTTGGTGTTCAGGATCACGCGCAACACGACCTGCTGCAGCAGCATCAGCAATCACCTGCGCCTGCGTAGGATCATGCACAGACTCGAAGCCAACACGTCGACCGGCATACTGCTCGAGTAAGAGCGCTTTTTCCTTGGCCAAGTCGTCCTTTGCATCCAACATTGCACGCCAACGGTCAACAGCATCGACTTTTGCCAGGGCAGCATCTTGCTTGACGTTTTCCAGTATTTGTGCAGAAGTTGGCTTGACATCGTGACCAGCTCCTTGCATTGAGTGTTTGGCATCTTGTGCTGCACCCGACAGCTTTTGCTTGACCTGTTCCAACTTTTCCGACACAAACTCCTTCGTCTCCTCCAAGAAGTGTGCTGCTTTTGCATTCGCCTGTGCTGTGGTTTCGCGTGCTCGTGCACTTGCATCGTGGGTATGTTCCTTTGCTTCAGCCCAACCTTGCCGCATGCGTTCACTAGCTTCCTCTGATTTTTGCAAAGCAGCACGCTCCCATGCTGCCAGCTGGTTACTCGTCTCTTGCGTCACATCCTGGACTTGTGATGCCGTTCGGCGCAGTCCACGCTCTGTGGCGGCTCGTGCTTCTGATTGCTTTTCAAGGGCAGCACGTTCCCATGCAGCAAGCATCTCACTCGTCTCTTGCGTCGCCTCTTGCACTTGTCCAGCCGTCTGGCGAAGTCCCCGTTCCGTCGACTCCTTGGCTGCCTCTGCCGCCTTCTCCGTCTTCGCTGCTGCCTCTGATGCTGCTTGTTTGGCTTGTTCAGCCAACGACTTGGCTTGTTCACCAGCCTTTTCTAGCTCAGGCTTCGTCTTTTCCCAAGCATTCTGTGATAGATTCGAGGCAGCTGTAGCAGTCTTCTCCGCAGCCTCGCCGTAATCCACTTTCTGCAACTTGTGTACCGTCTCCTCCACAGTATTATTCCAACCATCCTTGACGCGGCTTAGAAAGTCATCTTGTGTCTTGCGTCCACTGATAGTTGGTTGTGCAGGTGGGAGACGGTCTAGGGAGCGTAGACGCTTCTCCTGCTCATCGAGGGAGCTGACGACTTGCGTAGCAGTGCCGTCGAGGTGTAACGTGGAGATGTAGTAGAGACCCGCTGGTACCGTCAGGCCCGCGATGAAGCCGAGCGTACGAGACATCGCTCTGAGTCTTGAGTAGTGAGTCTTGAATGTGTGGTCTTTGGCTCGCGGAGAATGACGTGGGAAATCATTCAGGTGCGGGAGTTGGAACAGGTTGCGACGACAAAATGTCATGGTCTAAGCTTGGACTCTACTCTACCTCTGCTCTTCCTGTTTACATAGGCCTGAAATACTCGCGTCTTTCCGAGAAATACTGTGGTCGAGACATCGTCGGCAAAGTCTTCATCACTTGGCTTCTCGTCACGCTGATGATGTGCAATAACGATAGATGCGGCCACCATGAAGTCTGACACGGATGATCTATTCAAGAGTCCACTACGGAAGACCAATCTGACTGGCACGAGCTTACGCAGCGCGTGATTGACTTATCGGCAGGGCAACCTCTGGCGCTGATGCCAGTCAACAAGAAGGCAGATTTGGCTGCGGTAAGTTTTATGTTGTACTGACTGACCCAACATTCATGAGCACACAAGCTGGCAGCATTCGACGGTTAGCCGCTTGGTTCCGTTGTACCAGCTTACACCCATGTGTGAGACGATCCATGCCTGTCTGAAGCAGGTACTTGCTTCCAACAATCGACATGCTGATCCCGTGTGGACCAGTTTGGACCACCAGCTATTCGACCTTCAGCACCGTTTGAATGTCATCAGACGACGTTTGTACCTGACAAAGGACGGATGCACAGGTCGGGCAGTTACTGCGTCGAAAGTGGCCATAGCATGCTCCAACAACCCTTGAACAATTCTGACCGTACCGAAGAGTACTCACAGCATTGTGAATCATCTGCTAGTTGCCCCAGGCCTTCTCACATCACCAACTTCATAGAAAGTCAAATGCGAAGACCGTGCCTATCATACCTGCTTCCGACGCCGACCTCATCCTTGATCCGTGATCAAGTGGGCATTGCAACAAAAGAGTCACTAAAGAGAAGAGAGCGGATAGCCTGCTATATAGTGCCGGGCCCGCTGTGTGCCGACGAGTGCTTGCTATTCTCATTCTACAGTACTGTAGGTGCCACATCGTGCGATCATTTCTTCGCCGGCATGGGAAAAAACGCGACTGACAATCACGCAGCCTAGTCAGTAACCATGGGAAACGGCGCGAAAGCCGCAACGAAGCGGGAGCGCAACGCGAAGAACGAGACCAAGGGACCTACGTCCCAGCTCAAAGCGGTATGTCAATCTAATGAACGCTGCATTCGTTCACCAATGTTTCGAGCCCGAATCCTCAGACCAGCATTCACAGGCGCGCGAGTCCTTAGCGTTGAATGCTAAGTCTTTTGACGAGCGCTGATCACTCGAGTCCCCCAGACAGAGTTCAATCAGCAGAAGCTTCCTAGCTAATGTTGAAAGCATCAGTCGCCTGCCGGCGCCGAAATGTCTAGGTCTTCTCGACCAGCATATATATAAGTTCAACGATTACTAACCTTTACAGAATGCTTCAGCTATGAGTATCAAATGCAAGACCTGCCTGCAGACATTCATGGTCACGGCCAAGAGGCCTGATCTCGAGTTGCACGCCACCAACAAGCACAACAAAACTTACGAGGAATGCTTCGCTTGAACGCTTCGCACTTGGACAAACGTGGTCGTTTCTGCTTAGCTTTTCAAACTGTAGAATACCAGTTTCTCTATGCCAGTTGACTTCACTTGCTTGTCTGCCATTGAGATCCTGGAAGCCGGCAAGTTGGGCACCTCTCCAAGTCCTGGTATCCACTATGAGATTGCCATTCAGATGGGAACCACGGAGAAGAAGAGGCTGCCTCCAAGTGCCTTACCACCGCAATTCGTCGGATTCTACATTCAGCATGGGCGTCGAATGCAATCTCCTGTTCGGAGTGACATCAAGCCAGTCTGAATAAATTGCTATGCTATGCATTGACAGAGCGATCGCTAGCGACCGAGACTTCGATGGAGTACAATCCTGCTTGCTTGGATTGGTTGACGCCTGATAGTCCAAGAGAGAATCTCGGAGCTGTGAGTAAAGACTACGAGCTCCGCGCTCTCGTCTGCTTCGTTCGGCACAACATCCAATCCAAAGAGGACTTGATCGTTCGTCTCTCGTGCTTCACTGATGCCTCCCTGTAAGACCCAAGCTTGTGCATCCTTTTTCACTTGGCCAGGAATGATTTTGCTGGTATCGGTCACAGCCTCTCCTCTGTGTCCCTGGCCTTTTCTTACACTCAAGACAGCGACGAGACGGAAACCGTAGATACTGTCCTTGTCTGCTTCATTGTCACGCTTTTCCCTGTGACAGAGTTCAATGATGCGTATTGCACCAAATTGATTTGCGACGACCAAAACACCGAGGTGTTTGATGTGCTTGACCAAGTTGAGCCGAGCGTAGATATTCCTGTTGGCATCACTCCAATCCACAGAAGCAAATGTTTCGGTCCACCACTCGCCACCGGAAAAATTATGCCATTCAAGGTCGAATCGACCGAAATAGATGTCTTTTTCAGCTGCCCAGAAGCAGAATTCATAATTGGGAGCATCCTCAAATTCAGGAACATGTAGCAGTGCGTGACAATCTGGCTGCCACTCGTTCTTCATGAAATCGTCGCCGTACAAGAATAGGCAAGCCCAGTTGTTGCCATAAGCATCTTGAGGACACGATGTGTTGATGAGCGTCTCGCCAAGCTCAGTCTGGGCTAGACCAGGGGTTCCTCTCTGGCTTGGAAGGATCGCGGCCATCAATCGCTTAGAATCCCTTGAAAAGGCGACGCACGGAATATTACCACAGCAACTGAGCTTACGAGCCTCTATCTCAGCTACACCTGGTGGGAGGCTGATGTCTAGCACAGTCACTTGAGCTCCATTGTGTCCGATTGCAAGATAGGGACCCTCCTTGGCCATGGCTACACTCCATGCACTGTGCCTGACATTGAAGATGAGTGGTGAGCCTGTGACATTACCCGTAGGACGCAGAATGACTCTGCCAGTACCAGTCAGGCTGATGAGGTATTCTATACTTCCACAAGTTGCAATAGTCAGATAATTGGCTCCAGGGCCGTCGAATATAGGGTGGGACATCGTCATGTCAAAATTTGGATCGGTGTTGTCGATTTCCAGCGATTGCTGAACAAGGTCGCCATTGCACCTTTCAAAGATCAAGATTTTACTGCACAGAGCAACATAGAAGAGTTTCGTCTTTTCGGAGTAGCATACGAGGTTGTTTCGCCAACTCCAATTTGGATTATTGCGAGGACCCCAACGCGAGCAAAATCCAAGCTCATAGCCGTCAAGCTCTTCGACTATCATCTTGCTAGCTTCAAGGCTCTTGCGATGACGGCAAGCTTTACTGCATTAGTCTTCCAATCCGAAGCAGGTATAGTAGCTAGCGCCCACCGATCTGCACTTTTGCATCGTGTGGTGTAGAGTTGCAATTGAGCGACTAGCCGAAGTGAATGCAACTCGGCCAACTTTCGACTTCCACCAGGCCAACGCCAACATGTGCCGGCAAGCTCCCGAGGACGAACTTGCAAGGACCTGGCTCTTTTTTGCTGCTATTTCTGATGTTTGTGGTCTGTGGTATCTGCATGACTTGCGAAGCTACTAGATCTATCCGATGTGTCAAGCTGGCGACTTGGCGATGCTACCTTCCATCCACCATCCACCTTTTGCAGCATTCAATCTTACGATTATCTGTACTCCAGCCACGCTAGACCGCTTTTCTGCTATATTTGGATCCATTATACGTCGCATGAAGTGGTCGATCACGTCAAGAAGCTGAGCTATTTTGAGCTTCCTTACTGACTACAATGGTCAGGGGTCATTTGCGTTGGCAGTCCTCTGCCCGAAATATACCCGATGACTACTCCTGGTGAGTATATGCATGTGCTCCTCGGTCCCTTCTGATCGACTATGCACGATGAACTATGAGCCTTGTCGTGCTTTCGCAAGGCTGAACACGCGATCTTTGGCTACCTTGCATCAACTGACTAGCACGTCTTATTCCTGGCTTTCCGTTGACGCTATTTTTGTAACCCTCTGGATGGACTTAAAGCAGTCCATCGCGACCTGTCTGGACCTTCAGCTTACAACAAAGTCACTCGAATGGCTAAATTACTCGTCGCCCTGGCTACCATCGCCGCAACATCCTATGTGTCGGCAGCACCTAACGTGGCTACCTTGAATGCTAGGAAGAGCATGACATACGCTGGCTATAACATGGCCTCTAATCTGGCCGGCGGTGGTTGCAAGACCCAGCAGCATTGGGGAAGCGATTTCGATATAATCTCCAACTGGCCCATCAACGCATTGGGCAAGGCAAAAGCTATTCGTATTTCGTCCACCAGTCACTGCAACGCTCTTTCACGGATGGCCGAACCTGCTATGCAGCATGGCTACAAAATCTTTGCCAGTCTCTCGCTCGATGACGATTTGTTTGAGTCAGACAAGTCGGCATTGCGAGCCTTCTTGATCAACGACCCAGAGCACTGCGATGCGCTTTCTGCTGTTGGGGTTGGTTCTGAGGTTGGTTCGAGTGAGGCATCCGTATATATTGTGGTGGGGAAGATGCGAGAGGTGAAGGAGTTGCTGGCCGATGTCAAGTGCCAAGTGCCACTGACGCACTCAGCTGCCTTCTCAGCGTACCTCAATACAGCAGCTGGATTCGACAAGGTTGTCGCGCTCTCAGATGTTCTTGCTGTGGATTACATTCCATACTACGACAACAAGACTGACACGATAGAAGCCAGTGTGGAACTGTTCAGGGAAGCTATTCAAGCTGTGCAAAGCCTTCACAAAGACAAACCTTTGTGGATTACAGCAACAGGATATTCCACAAGCGCCTCACCGGAAGATCACTATCGAACAGCGGCGTCTCTGAGCAACCTGCAGAAATACTGGTGGAGCATGACGTGTGGAAACGGCCCGCTTACCCAGATTCCCTCCTTTTTCTGGTTCTCTGCTTTTGACGACCACTCGAAACATGGAGAGACTGAGAGGAACTTTGGCCTGGCCACCCCGGACAAAAAGCCTAAGATTGTGCTAGCTTGCCCTAAAGTTTGACTTGCCCTTGAGGCAGCTCGGGCGACCATAGCCATAAATAGATGAGAACAGCATTCTTAGCCATCAATTAAACCTTGAGCCTATCGCATGCTGGGCAAAGCCGAGCTGTCTGCATCTACCTCTCACATATGTGGTGGTCGTTGTTGCCAGTGTCATTCGCCAGGGGCACATCACGACGGAAACATTCGCTGGGTGTGAATAGCCGAAGTAACTGGTCCACCTTCAACCGCGAGTCTGCAACAAGTCAACTAATGCAGACTTCTCAAGGGCACACTTGCGCATCTGAACGCATGTATTTTTGTCTCCAGACGTGACTTTTTGTGACTTCATCTGTCATGAGGCCACTTGCAATCGGCAATTCTCCCTCACCGCCCTACAATTCTCTGCCGGGTTTGCCCGTTCTGATCTTCTGAAGCCTGGCTGTACTTTGCCTGTTGTGTTTCCGTACCCGGAGTACCCACGCACCACATGAAATGGTCGACCACGTGGGACTGCTGAGCTGTTCCTGAGTTCACTTGCTGATTCCACTTGTCAGGAGTCGTCGTATTCGGAAATAGACACTCCGCGCAGAAGCTAGACTTGTGAGTCGAGGCTTAGCGTGAGCAGAATTCGACCACGTTCATCTGCTGTGATGCGCATCTTTCATAGCTTCATGGCATGGACTGGTACTCTCAAAAATGAGGTCAGTTGGTCTATTTCTGATCTGCCCTGGCAGTCGTTATACTACGTTGCAGTCTTTCAGACTCACGCGCTCTGAACCTTTGGGGTCTAGACTGGCTTGGACCCTTGTCCGGGTGTCTCTACACCACACGTAGCGGCTGACTACGCGGAACAGATGAGCTATTCTGAACTTCATGACTGAAAATAGCTATCAGGGGTCGTCACAGCGTTGAGAACGTGCTCAACTGTCCATGGTCTAGACCTCTATTGCGCATGAGCATATGATTATTGGTTCCCTTGAGCATGCGATGCATGCCGGTCGCTACGCGCTGTCGTTCTTTCGCAAATCTGCTCACAAGGCTCTTGGTTACCTTGCATCAGCCTCAAGGCTAGACTGGCAAATCTTGCTTCCGGTCTTCGTCAAAGCTAGCGCTATTTTTGACGACATGGAAAGACATAAAAGGAGCCCTTACGGCCCTTCTCATCCTTCATCTGACAATCCTCCAGTCCGATGACTGCCAAATTCCTCGCCCTGACTGTCTTCGCAGCAACCTTCTTTGGCCCAGCTGCAGTCTATCCTGCTGAAGGAACTCAGCCCGCCGACATGAAGTACGTTGGCTACAACATGCCTTCTGAAAAGGTAGGCGGCTGCAAGACTGAGGACGACTGGAACAATGAGTTCCAGATACTTACCGGATGGCCCATCCATCCACCAGAAAGGACGCTGTCTGTACGCATTTATTCCACCAGTGGATGTAGCGCTCTTGAACGCATACAGAACCCTGCAAAAAATCATGGTATCAAGATCTTCGCCACTCTTTGGATCGACAAAGACGATAACGGACCATTCGATCGAGACTTGGCCGCACTGCGCACTTTCTTGCAGAAGGACCCAGCAAACTGTGCATTGCTCTCTGCTGTCAGTGCCGGCTCGGAAGATGGCCTTCGAAATGTCTCGATGTCCACTGTGGCAGACAGGATGAAGACGACGAAGAGTTTGCTGGATGAATTCCAGTGCGGCGCGCCTCTCACTCACGTGGACGTCTTCCCTGTCTACCTCGACGATGCTGCCTACGTCGGCGACACTTTCTACCAAGTGGTTGCTGATCTCTCAGATGTCCTTGCTGTGGATGGCTATCCTTACTTTGACGACGTGACTGACACGGTCGAAGCCGCCGTGGCCCGTGCCAAGGAGAAGTTTGATGAGGTCCAAAACAAGTACTCGACCAAGACCCTTTGGGTGACGGAGACAGGTTGGCCTACCAACGACGACAAGCATCACCGGACAGAAGCTTCTGTGGGCAATCTTCGCGAGTATTGGCAGCGTATGGTTTGTGGTGATGGCCCACTCACGAAGTATGCCTCTTACTTCTGGTTCTCTGCCTTCGACAACCCTGTGAGGACGGAAGTTGTTGAGAAAAACTTTGGCCTGGCCACTGCTGACATGCAGCTGAAATTCCCCCTCGATTGCCCCAGCAACTGAGCGGCGCTTAGATGACCCTGCTATTCAAGCGGTCACTAGAATTGTCCAGCGAGCAAATGTCCAGCGGCAGGACAATTCCGCGCGCAAATGTCCAGCGGCTGGACAATTTCGTCAGGAAATGTCCAGCGAGCAAATCAGCACATTTTATTTCCCACCTGCACCCGGCGCCACGGAAAACATTCTTGCACGACAGCAGTCAAAGCTCTGAGCGCTGCACCACCTTGAAACTATCGACTGCTGTGGTTCAGATGGCTTGCTTCTTGTACATACATACTAGAGAAGGCTTCATCATTGACATGCTGGCAGACTGGATGCCAACTGCCAACAGACCAAGGCCCAGGCCCATCTGAAAGTTTACCTGAAGCTTTCCTTAGGCACGACTTTGCTGTTGACATCTCTGCATACCAGCCCGCCTGATGGCCTTGGATTGATATTTGAAGGCAGGTCGTGAGGTTTGCATTAAAAAATTGGATCGATAAGAGCTACTTGACTGTCTAATAATACTTTGTGGCTGTCTCAGTAATCGCCGAGAATAAGAAGAGACGGCACTCGGCTTGGGCTGCTCACGAGTCTACAATGCTTCAATGCCATAGCTCGAGTCATCGACCACTTTTGTGTTCCCGAGGCCGAGCCCATAAGAAATTGCAGCTTTTGCACGATATATGCACTCTTAAGAACATCTGAGCTTCCTTGCATAAGATACAGATGATCTTGCGACATTCGTTTCGAAGCGAGGACGGGAGAACATACCAGCCAGCGGATAGCGCAAATTGAGCGGGCTCGACCATCATCTCGAGCGACTGCGACTTGACTCTGTCCAACTGTTTACCTGTACCGTATAAGTCATCGTACTTGAAGGCAGCCGTGCGATCGCCAGCTTTGGCCAGGCCAATGGAGTGCCTGGCTGCAGGCGAAAAGTTGGAAATTGCCACAAGTTGGTAGTGGTCGACCGGATGTCGAGCACTCGATTTGCTCGATGGCGGTTCCAGAGGATGAGGAAACTTGAAGCATTGTTGCCCTGCGTCAAGCTTATCCGGGTCTCAGATTTCCTCCATGGTCAAAAGCGTTGGCAAATGAACGAGGACTTTTGCCTGGCGTGCTTCTGCAGAGCATCGTGCGCTGGGCAGCAAAGAGCAATCAGTCTCTTTTGAAGAGGGGTTCAGGCGAAGGAGTTCACCGATGACGTTTGCCACCGAAATGCACATATTCAAGAATGATCCTTCGACAGCCGAATGCCTAAGAAAGAAAACGTCTTGCTCGAAGTCACAGACGTCAATGTGCCCTTTCTTGCAGACCTTAATCTTGGGAATTCGTGCCTTGAAGTGCGGAGCAGCCAAGAGGGGAATATCTGAAAGAATAGCATGCCAAAGACTCGCAAGGCAGGTTTGGCGTCCATCTCGCATGGTGCCATTCTCGACAAATCGCTTCCTGATGCCATCGCGCAAATGATTCGTAGCTTAGCAGCTTAAGTCGACAGTTGGTCCTTGTTGCCAGAAGGTCGCTTCTGTAATAGAAGGTCCCTTTGAAGATATCTGGCACGACCATTATCGATTTTTTGTGTCGGATGATCTATCTCTGGCGAGACCGGGTGCGACTGGCTGTTTGAACTAGCAAGCTTGCGTGATGAACATGCCACTTCAGCAGGGCGCTGCACTAACGCCACCTCCAGTTCTAGATCTCCGTGTCCAAGGAATTGTGTTGCTGTATCTGACATATCGCTGTTTTGCTGTGGCAAATCTTCATCGACCAAGTCGTCGTTGGCGAATAGGTCCACGTCTTCAAGATGAGACAACTTCCTTCCGCGCTGTCGCGCTGTGCAAAGAATCCGCGAGCGGACTTGAGATCCATCCGGCAGCTGCTAGCTTGGTGTCCTCAAGCACGGGCCTCGAAGTACCGCACACAGCCATCAAATCCTCACAAAGATCAGACAACTTCCTTCCGCGCTGTCGCGCTGTGCAAAGAATCCGCGAGCGGACTTGAGATCCATCCGGCAGCTGCGAGCTTGGTGTCCTCAAGCACGGGCCTCGAAGTACCGCACACAGCCATCAAATCCTCACCAAATCCCAAATCTGCTTTCCTAAGCAAGGTTTGTCGCTTTGGAACGTGTGGTGTGCAAAGATTCGATGGGATTGCTGATGTCTGGAAGGATTGAGTGCAATGCCCGTACGTCGTTTGACTTGGCACACTCGAAGATCATGGCTATCCTGAGACCATTGCACCACCAAGACGACCATGATCTTGTATCTGGTCTTGTAAACTCCGCGACATGTCCTCCAACCACTTCGTCAAATTCTTGAGGCGTTTCGCAATCAAGAAGGGCCCTGGCGAGATCCACTAACTCCTCTGCGCGATCGTGAGTGATCACGCTAAGGTTCTCGGACTGTAACTCCATGCTCTTGAGGTAATGATATCGGCAACCTTTGAGAAGGCTTCCAGGCAAGTTCCTAATGATAGAGAATGCACCAATTTCTATCAACGACCATGGAAAAGCTCATTGATGGGAACGTAGATTGCTTCAGACACTGAAGAATCTGTATCTTCTTCGCCGAGGGCATCAACAAATTGCGTAGCTTCCTGAATAACTTCGTGTGAGCGTCAGAAATACATAGTAGTGAGAACGTTCGTCCTGATTTCGTTGACACTTCAGATTCGCCAGAGTGATCCATACTCAGAGGATGACGCCGCTTGCGGCCAACAAGACTTCGTGCTATGCTTCAGGTCAGATGTGTTCGAGAGAGCCGTCAACACAGCAGTCCAGTTTGCCAAGCTCAATAGCACAATTTGGAAATACCAAAGCTATGGCGACTCTGATGATGTGTCGGCAAACGCATTGGCCTTCTAGCCACTGTCAAAACGAAAGAATTAGAACCATGTGATCTGTGACAATGCCGAATTGCCGCGGTCAAAGTCGAGACCATTAGTCAGACTGATCGAGACAAGATAGACATAGGCATATAGGTTGTTGCGATGTCTAATCAAGTGCCGAACCTGATTTAATATAGTTCTGGTCATACGACACGTTTGAGGAGAGCAACGCCCGTAATGGAGCCTTTAGTTAGACTAAACTTCTCTTGTAGCGCACTTCTGGATGTCGTTGCACCGCAGGTTGTACAAGATCAGGACGCTTCTGCTGAAGTCCTCTGACTTGAACAGTGAAGTATTGAGGCTCTTCCTGAGAGGTGTAGAAGCCATTACTTGCCTGCTCAGACGCTCAGGAGTGTTTTGGGCTCGCAACGACCTTGAGACAGTTCAGCTCCTCTTGCTGCGCGTAAGAAATTTGCTGCGGTCTGTCCTGGTGGGGAAAAAAATGTGCTGATTTGCTCGCTGGACATTTCCTGCCTGAATTGTCCAGCCGCTGGACATTTGCGCGCGGAATTGTCCTGCCGCTGGACATTTGCTCGCTGGACAATTCTGGTACCCGCTATTCAAGTAGCTTTATAGACAGATGAGAGCAGTATCTATATCCATCGATATCAGCTTTGGCCCTATGACTCGCTAGCTAGCTTTACTACTTCTCGTACCCGAACTCGCCAGGGGCAGCTGCTGTCTGGGTGCACGTGTCTTGTTCGAAAAAGTTTGAACGACGAGCAAGAGCAGCACTCGATATCTGCACGCAAGCATCCTCGACACGAGCCGGCCCGAGCCAAGCAAACTAGCATACACCAGCAGGGCCCTCGGATCTCCACTTGACCGGACGTGCCTATTGTTACTCGTGCTAGGAGGCCCCTTCAAAAATGGATAAACTCAATGAAATACGCATGCCCGAGTTTATCGAGCGCCTAATGGACTCTCGCAAGGCCTTGAATCTGCCCTTCCCGGGAACAGTTGAGCACATCTCTAGAGAAGGTATCGCGTCTACTACATAATACACGCAGCTTTCGCTAACCAGCTAGTCCAAATGGATGTCCAACTCACCCGGCAAATGTTCACAGGCATCAAGGCGGACATCACCAAGATCGGTGGTATCTCCCCTGCAGTCTTCCACATGACGCATTCCTTCTCAAGCGGGTCTCAGATGCTCCCGCCATACTCCCTAGGCGCGGCGTTCGCCACCAACCGCATCTTCATGAATGGTAATGTGGACAATGACGGATCCGTCTCTGGACGCTTTCACTACGGTTGGTCACCGGAGAATGCACGGCACACGACCAAGATTCAGACTCAGACAACAGCAGAACCCGGCCAGAGCATGCTGCAGGTGGAGCATGACTGGAAAGGTGATGACTTTAGCATCAACCTCAAAACCGTCAACCCTAGCTTCCTCGATGGCGAATTTTCAGCCGTTAGCATTGCTCACTACTTGCAAAGTGTTACACCTTCGCTGGCCTTGGGAGTCGAGGCCATCTGGCAAAAGCCACCTTCGACTGCCGGACCGGAAGAGACATCGCTGTCGTATGTCGGTCGTTACGTGCAACCCACCTGGATTGCTTCCGCACAAGTGTCGCCACAAGGTGTACTTGGCATGTGTTTCTGGAAGAAACTCTCTCAAAAAGTTGAAGCAGGTGTGGAGTGCCAGCTTATCAGTGCTACAGGACCCATGGGACAGACCAAGACGGAAGGTACGACGACGCTTGCAGCTAAATACGACTACTTGCACTCTACGCTGCGAGGACAGCTCGATACAAAGGGAAAGCTCAGTTGTTTGTTTGAGAAGCGTCTATCGGGTGCAGTCAGCTTGACATTTGCAGGAACATTGGATCACTTCAAGAATGATGCCAAGGTCGGTCTTGGCGTCAATCTCGAGATGCCAGCATTCGACGATCCTAGCATGATGCAGCAGTAGATGTACAGTATTTAGCGGCATTTCATCTCCATTCCAAATTCTAGTCTATGGCTCTCTAACTATCCCAAAGTGGTCCAAAGCACGGCATCCCTCTTGCTCGGCAGCCTTGTGTGATGATCTCCGTACCTTTTGGATTGCTTGTCACAAAGACGACCTGTGCGTCAATCTTGCGGTAGACATCATCAATAAGCTTAACTGTGTCCGGTCGTCCTTGCTTGCGTGTATCGACCAGAGTCATGCGATCACCCTTGACTGCCTTCTTCAACAGTCCCATCACCTCTGGACCATACGTCTGTTCAAGGTCAGCGCCAATCCAAATCAAATGAAAGTATCCCGTATTTTGCAGGTAAACGGAAAGGGTCACACCCAGTCCTGCACCCGTTGCAACGATTACACCACGTTGGTACATTTGTGCGAGATATGGCAAGCCTGCGAATTTGAGACCACGCGTCCAGACGTATTCCGGTGGATTGGCAATCAAATCACGCGTCCAATCGCCTTGAGCCACCACGAGCATGTGATGGGTGAAACTCAGGGGTCCCTCAGAGATGATACCAAATGCGTGCCATTCAAGCCAAGGACTGCGCGAAATACGGCCGAGTAGACCAGTGAAGCAGCCGCCTGGAAAGGAGAGAAAGGCAGTCTTGGGTGATGGTGAAGAGACAATGACGGGAATTTTTTGAAGTGTGAGCCAAGGCGCAATAATCATGAGCGTCAAGAGGAAGGAATACCAAAAGTCTTGACGTCTCCAGAGGTTTGCCGAGGAGGGGTGAAATTCGCGTGTCGTTGGGTTGTAAGACTCGAGCAAGATCACGAGGACCCAGAGGTAGACGAGTCCAAGCCAGCCGGCGAATCGATGGACCTTCTCAAAGATATTGTGGTGGTAGTGACGGACCCAGGGAACGGCAACACTAATGGAGGCACCAAGTGTGATGGGTGTCAAGACTGCAAAGACAAGGATGCTGGCAGGCATCTGTGAACGCTGCTGGAAGGCTCGGTAGGCCGAGTAGCACGCCCACATGAGACCAGCAGTCGAACAGCCAGAGTGAATACCGCCGAGATGCACAAAGAAGCTCGTCACCCAGTTCTTGATGCGGACAGGTGTCCATGAAAAGATCTTGACAGCAAGCCAGTATGCAATGCGAAGGAAGAGCTCGTTTCTTGCAAGTACTGAAGCGAGTAGGTTGCCAAGGGCAAAGGAAAAGACATTCTTTTCCGCATAGCCAAACTTCTTCTGTGCGACAAAGATGAGGGCGACGATGTTGAGGGTCAGGGTCACAAAGAAGAGCTTGCGGTAGAAATTGAACCAGATAAAGAAGCGTTCCATGCCATCAATCGTCGACGTGGGCACAGCTGCAGGCTTGGGTGGTAGTGTAGACAACGTCGCTTCTTTGGCCATCTCAAGCGGTATGAGTGTTGCTGATATCTTGACGTTTGGGCCGACCTTCTTCTCATCCGGCCTGACATAGTCGGGCAAGAACATTGTGAGGGATACCTCAGAATCTGTCCGTGATCGCATTGCGTTCGTCATACTCTCGTCATCCTTCTCAAGCTCTGGCATGCGCATTTGGTGATTGACATGATGATGATCGGACAACCGGATGACGGGTGATTCGCGTCGCGCGTCGCTGCGTCCATGTGCATAGTAAACTGGCAGTAGGTGCTTGTCATCCTTTCTACCAGAAAATGAACTGGTGTCGATGCTGTACGACATGGTTGTGATGATATTGCCAGCTAGTTGAGGGACCGCCCGCTTTATTAGACACGGAGTCGCAACGCCGGTCTAGATCATTCCGACTTGCGCAAGAAGTACGACATGAGCGACAAAGAGAAGAGCGTAGCATCTCAGACATGTTGACAGGGTGACAGGGATTTCCTTTGAGTAAAAATCATCCTCTTTGTCGCGCGTCATGTCTAGGTAAAATGCAAGCTTCGAGACACGTCTTGAGACACGCGGCCCTTTGCGGTCATGACCAAAGTGGCCACCAAGTCAACGGCCAACGGCTGCAAGATCTGCTCATATCTTTGTCTGCATAGATGAGACAACTTAGACAAGCGCCCGGGGCAGCTAACCCAATGGAGCTGCTTTACACTGGCAAAGACCTGACTTGGGTGTGGCTATTCTTGGCCGCCAAAAGGGGTAACTTGCTTTCAGATGGGACACACTACACCGACGAGATAAAGTACCAGGCACGCGCAGCTCTTGCAAGCATCATACAGTCCTTCCTCTGCATATACAAGATGCCATTCAAGTCAGATACACCAGACGTGGTCATTCCCAACACAGACCTGGTGTCCTTCGTTCTCGACCAAGCAGCTACAGGCGATATCGACAAGCGCATTTTTGTTGATGCACTCGACACAACACGCGCATACACTCTCAGGACACTCCGGGAATGCGCCATGTCCTTTGCAGCTGGTCTGCAAACTCTCCTCAAATTCCAAAAGGGAGATGTTCTTGCCATCTTTAGCGCCAACTCGATCGAGTATCCTGTCGTTGTCTTTGGCACCTTTTTGGCTGGTGGCACCGTCTCACTCGTCAACCCAGCATACAAGGCCGGCGAGGTGGTGCACCAGCTGCGCGACTCGAAAACAAAAGTCTTCTTCACCACACCAGACTTGCTAGCAACAGCAACTGAGGCTTGTGCGTCTGTTGGCCTGTCAAATGACCGCATCCTGGTGTCGTCGGATGATGCAGATGCTCCACACTCCTGGCAACGCGCTTTTGCCCAAGCAACCAGCTTGACACGCGTACCCTTGGCTTCAACAGACTTGGCATTCATCCAATACAGCTCTGGCACCACAGGCTTGAGCAAAGGCGTTCGGCTCTCGCAAGGCAATCTTATTGCCAACTTGTGTCAGTGGGATGCTGCCGAGACTTACCTCTCCAGCAAGGACTCCCTCATCTTAGTCCTGCCCTTCAGCCATATTTATGCACTGCATACGCTCGTCATGGGCCCTATTCGTCGGCAGATGACATCCTTTGTGCTGCCGCGCTACGATCCCAAACGATTCTTGGAGCTGGTTGATACACATGGCATCACCGCTTCATTCATTGTCCCGCCTATTGTAAAGGCCTTGCTGCAGGCCGACACGACCAAGTACAACCTTTCGAGCCTCAAGTTTTTATGCAGTGGTGCGGCACCCCTTTCGCCATCCCTTGCGAACCAGGTGTGTGCAACGCTGAATATCACTATTTCGCAAGGATTTGGGCTGACGGAGACATCACCAGTCTTGGCGTATGCGCGGTTCACTGGTGAACCAGGCAAGCAGTACACTGGCTCCGTTGGCAGGTTGTTACCCAACATTGAGCTCAAGATTGTGAATGCCGCTGGAGATGAGGTGGCTGCGGGAGAAGAAGGCGAGCTGCTCGTCAAGGGACCCAATGTCATGCAAGGCTACCTCAACAATCCAACCGCCGATGCAAATGCTTTCACAGACGACGGCTTCTTCAAGACGGGTGACTTGGGATATCTCAGCGATGATGGGCAAATCTTCCTGGTTGATCGTATCAAGGAGCTCATCAAGTACAAGGGCTTCCAAGTCGCGCCTGTGGAGCTGGAAAATATCCTCATTCAGCATCCGCGAGTCCTGGACGTTGCTGTTATTGGTCGAGATTGCCAAGAGGAAGTCACTGAATTGCCTACGGCCTTTGTTGTCCTAAGACCCCAAGCAGCACTGCCAAGCGGCTGGTCTGACCCAGGTGCAGAGGCACAAGACAAGGAGACAGAAACGACATTGGCTAGGGAGCTGATTAGCTTTGTTGGCGACCAAGTTGCGGGATACAAGAGACTGCGGGGCGGTGTTGTGTACTGCGATAGTATCCCAAGGCTACCTGCTGGCAAGATTCTGCGGCGGTTGCTCAAGGCTTCTAGCTTTCAAGCAGTCATGTAGCGAAATGTAGCGTTTTTGTTGTAGATGCAATGTTTTCTTTTGTATGTGGGAAGAGCCAAAGTCGGCCGTGAATGTAATGTACAATGGCATGCTGTGCGAGAGACGCTGAGATGAGAGGAGAGGAGAGGAGAGAGCGCTTGCGCCGGCCATGAAGCACACGCGCTTGACTTATGACGGCGGAGGCGTCGAGTCTGGGCCCTTTGGAGTCGTGCCTTCTGCTGTACTGGCTGTACCTTCTGCCTCTGCTTTGGCTGTGCTCAGCTCCATCTCGAGCCGCTCCTTGGCTCTCAGCACTTTACTTTGGATGTAGAAACTGCCGCCCTTGGCAGGGTCATTCGCCTCAAACATGGCTTTATGCCGCGCCAATACATCTTCCAGCTTGAGCTCTGGTTTCTTGATATTCAAAATTTGACATGACTCTTCAATCGTGATGCCCGTCTGCTTTGTAATGGCATCCTTGACGGCAGACCCTGAGGACTCTTGCGAGACACGCGCCGAATTGGCTGCTGCTTGCTTCCACGCCTGGACAAACGCCCGGCCAAAGACTTGTGTGCCGACAATGACGACCTGTGCGATGATTCTGTGCGCCATCTCTTGCTGCTAGCTGTACTCAATGCGTCGACAACCCTGATGATTGCGTGGTGTCTTGTCTCTTTCGCCGAAATCTTTTTCCCGCAACAGACATCAAAGTGCACCCCTACAGCTCACCGTCTTACAGCCCAGTAGCGTGCTGCAATGAGCTCAGAATACCACGGCCATGGCGGCAGACAGCAGCGGAAACGCCCAAGAGACGACCAGCACGACGATTTCCGCAGACCTCGACGAGCCGATTTGCTCTTTTCCCTACAACGCGATCTCACCAACCTCGCTGATCCCGGCGGCAGTGTCTCCCCGCTAGAGGATATCAAGTATGTAGGCAGGAAGCTGGCTGGTGAATTTGAACACCCAGAAAACAAGACACCCATTCTTGAGCTGATTCGGGAAGCGGTTGTACAGCTATCGGTCAAGACGTGTCAGTACAGTGCTGCCGTCACGCTTGCTGGTTTGTCTAATAAGCAATTCGCACAAACAATTGCAGAGTCTGCTGGTGAATGGGTACAGGATGCGCTCAAGAGACAAGACTGGCTGCAATTGAAGTTTCTACTGCGCTTTGTTGCTGGCCTCGACCAGATCTTGCAAGACTATGGTGTATTTGAGTATTTGAGGCTGTTTGCTACACAGATTGCTGGCTTAGCGACTCGTTCAGACTATGCAGATGCGCTCTGCAAGGTCGTACTCTTGACGTTGCCCTTTGTGGCATCAAGTACAAGCCGTGCCAATACGCACAGACTCAACGATCTCACAACGTTGCTGGGTACACTCGAGCCTTACATGCAGGTGCGCGGAGCAGCCTCCTTTGGCAAACTGACAATGCATTACCAGAATGACGCAGGACAAGCTCCCTATGAGCAAAGAGAAGAGCTTTCCATGCTCTTTGAACAACTCAAGCTCACTGCCGGTCGAGGTTGGAATATTCGCGTCCTTGCCCACTTTCAAGAGCACTATATTGAAGCCGAGCGTTTCAAACTGCCTAGTCTTGTCCTCGGGGATGCACCACCTACAGCGTGCAACGAACCTGTTCGCTACGTGCTGAAGCTCTTTGTCAATCAAGCAACGGAGACAACACCCAATGAAACGGACTTGAGTGGTAGCTTGCTACGCGATTTATCTTGCGATATCCTCGAGACTTGTGTTGCGAATCGCAAAGATGCTGCACGCTTCTTGATTGACATTGAGTCTTATTTGCCCGGTGGTCTCTTTGTGCTACGGGGTACGCCACTGGACAAGATTGTCGTGGGACCTCATGGCGTACCTGCCTGGAAGTCTGAAGATGTGGTTATTGAAGCACTCTTTGGCGAATTGCTAGCATTGCCTATGCCACGACAAAAGCCAATCTACTACCATGCCGTCCTCACTGAACTCTGTAAATTGGTACCACAGGCCGTTGCACCGACATTTGGTCGAGCGATTCGACAACTCTACAGGACGAGTCCTGCCATGGAACCAGAATTGGTCTTTCGAACTTGGGATTGGTTGTCGCATCATTTGTCCAACTTCAACTTCAACTGGAAATGGCAAGAATGGGAGGGTGATTTGACACTACCTGCCTTGTCGCCACAGCTTGTGATGATTCGAGAGACGATTCTCAAGGAGGTGGAGTTGTCGTATCATCAACGCATCAGGACGACGTTGCCAGAAGCGTATCATGCATTGATTCAAGAGGAAGCACCAGCGCCGCGATTCACTTATACAGAGGGTCATCCCTTGGCAGAGCAAGCAACGGCTCTCTCGACGTTCTTGCAACAACCGCAAACCCCAGAAACGTTGCAACAGGCTGAACCGATCTTCAAGGCCATCTCAGAGGCCTCGGCAGATGGTCAAGAAGAAGCAACACTCATTCGAGTCTTGGTGGAGTGTGCCTTGCAACTCGGCCACCAGTCATTCAGTCATGCACTCAACACCATTGAACAAACACTGCTCTTACTCAAACAACGCTGCAGCGTTTCTCGTGAAAAGCAACGCCAAACAGTCACATGCGTCATGCGATTTTGGCGAGAACGACCAGCTGTTGGCCTTGCGCTTCTTTCGAAAATGGTCAACTATGGTATCATTGAAGGGTCTGCCTTGGTGGATTGGCTGCTTGCCATGGCGAACCAAGAAGCATCGCTTGCAACGGATACAATAGCTTGGGAAACGAGTGTTTTGGGGAATCGCAGTATTTTGGCACAAAGCGCGGCTTGGGAGTTGTTGCAGCTGGTGTTTGCGAAGCAAGCAACACAGACTGGACAATTGCAGCAGCGTCAGGCTGTGCTCACGAAGAATATCGCTCGGCAGGAGAAGTTACTATCTGATGCAGCTGCACGCGCTGAAGCTGCAAGAGCGGAAGCTGACAAGGTCGCCGCTGCAAAAGTGGAAGCTGACAAGGTTGCCGCTGCAAAGGCTGATGCTGGTGAAGCTGCAACGAACGGTGATGGTCAAGCACCGAGTGCAGAAACTGCTGCTGATACGACTATGACTGAGGCGACGCCAGTGGTGAAGGCAGAGGAAGATTTACAAACGGCAGCACTTGCCAGAGCTAAAGATACCTTGGCCGAGAATGTCGCAGAGCTTGCAAAAGTCGAGCAACGCATTGCAACGGTTGCACAAGAAAAAGTGGAAGTGGTTGCACGGCTGTGCAGTGGCTTGGCAGGACTCATTCGAGAGAGTGAAGGGTTGCAGGCTTGGTGGGCACGGGGTCTGTTGCGGACTGTTGCACGCAGGCAGAGGGATATTCTATGGCAGACTGGCGATGCAGCCGAGGATGCTGCAACAGTAGAGGATGCCTTGCGGGAGATCCATAGGGACACATAGCTCGGCATCAGAGGAGTCTGTAGCAATTGTCGCCTTGAATAGACAACAGCTTCTATCGACAACCCTGAGCTTGTTGCGTTCAAATACGTACAGTCAATCACGATCACGGTGCAGCGCTATTTCCAGTCAATCAAGACATGGAATGAAACTGGCTTGAAGGAAATGCTTAGTATGAAGATGCCATGAATTGAAGAAATAACGCTTCATACGTAGCCAATGGTGTTGGCAATGTCGAGAGCGTCAACATCCGGTGAGAGACGGATATATGCCTTCTTCGTACCATCGGGACGGATGAGGGTGTTGACGTTGACGGCGTCGACGTTGTAGAGCTTCTTGACGGCCTCCTTGATGGTACGCTTGTTGGCCTTGATGTCGCAGATAAAGACGAGGGTGTTGTTCTCCTCGATCTTCTTCATGGCAGACTCTGTGTTGAGAGGTGCCTTGATGATGCTGTATGCATCGAGCCTGGGGAGGTGGGGGACAGATGTGCGTGGGTATGCAGGCTTGCGAGCAAGAGCAAGGGTCTTTGGCCTGCGGAAGGTGGTGTTGGTGCGGACCTTCTTTGTGACGTTTGAGTGCTCGCCCTTGAGTGTCTTCTTGGCGGCTGTGTTTGCCTTTGAGGCTGCTGCAGATGCCTTGGGTGCCATGTCTGTGATGTTGTGTGGGTGCTGCTGGTTGCTTGAGTGTCTTTCTGTGTCTTGTCCTCCTGCTGCTTTCTTCTTTTCTGTTTGGCCAACTTAGCAGTCCCACGCGGTTCCTTTGATTCTGGCAAGCCTCGCAGTTCTCTCGATCCACTGCATTTATTTCCCTGCGAGTGGATGAAAGTTGCCAATATCAAAGGAACTCTCAAATTCTTTGATATTTGCAACTAGAATCCACCAAATTCATCGCTTCCCACTTGTTTTAACATCGTCCTGAGCAAAGTTGCAGCCATCAAAAGATTACGCGCCACAAGACTGCGCCTCCCCGCAATGCGAACATGACAGCACACGCACACGCGTAAGAACCAGAAGCCATCTATCCAGTTCATGGACAGGCTGCCACTCGAGACATGGTTCTACGAGGTGCCCATTGTCACGCGATGCTTCGTTGTAGGCGCCATCCTCACCTCCCTCGCAGTGGTCTGTTCAATGCAGCAGACACACCTGTCAGCTAACCTGTCTAGCAAATTGATCTCGTCAGTCCCTTCCAGCTCTTCTTCTCCTGGTCTACGGCCGTCACAAAGCAGCAATACTGGCGCTTCCTCACAACCTTCCTCTTCTTTGGCGAACTCTCTGTCGATTTCCTCTTCCATCTCTTCTTCATGTCGCGCTACTGCCGCATGCTAGAAGAATCCTATGCGCGCCGTACCCTTGATTTCGCCTGGCTCATGGGTATCGCAGCTGCTGGACTCATCCTCCTCTCACCCTTTGCGCGAGACCCGTATCTGGGCAGCGCACTCAGTTTCACCTTGACCTATCTCTGGTCACGTCGCAACCCAACCGTTCAACTCTCCATGCTGGGTCTCTTTACATTCTCAGCTGCGTGGCTACCTTGGGTCCTCATTGGCTTCTCCCTTGTTATTTATGGTCACTTACCCGTCGCTGACTTATTGGGCCTAGCGGTGGGTCATGTCATTTACTTTTTGGAGGATGTATGGCCCCTGAATGCAACGAGCGGTGGTGCACGCTACCTAGCGCCGCCCAGAAGTTTAAGACGCTGGGCAGGGTATGAGCAAGAGGAACGACAGGTATCTGCAGGTGTTGCTCCAGCGCCTGTTGCAGGCGTTCAAGAAGGACATGTGCATCATGATTAACGAGACCTTTTATTCATATATCCCTACCGCTTGTCTACGTTTTCATGACCCTATCTATTGGTATACCGTAACAACTCGGGAACGACATCCTTCTGATCAAGCGTTTGGTGTAAAACGTGCTTGATGTTATCCACATGGACGCGACCATACCAGACACTATGCCAGGTGTGCGCACACGGGGTACCATTCTGCTGATAGACCACCAAATTTCCTGCAAACTTGTGGCCGCCCATATGATCGAGGTAGTAATACGCGATATCCCGATTTGCTAGATGATGCCGTGCATGCGCTTGCAAGACCGGTGCAGCGAGGCCACAACGCGCATCACGCTGTTTATGCGCACACAGCATGACGAGTGCTTCGTGTGGGATTTGTGTGACTGCGGACGCTGGAAGCTTCGATTTCAGCAATGAGAGCAAGTCTTTTGATGCTGAAGTGGTTGCAAGGACGGCGTCCAGGAGGGATGAGGCTTCGTTTGGTTGGATGGAGAGTTGGATTCCATCTGGCATGACCAAGACTTTTGTCCTCTCTGCCACTGTTGGTTGTGGAACATGCAATGTCTGTGTGATTTGATTACAAAGGATCTTTCTCCCCGTTGTCTTGTGCAGGAAGCGTTCCTCCTTCGCCAGCAACGAGGTGATGGCTGCTGCAACAGACGTGGTGGTGTCGATGGGTAGGTACGGTGGCCAATCATGCGCACCGGCATGATGACTTGTATCCACGAGCAAGTGTCGTTCATGTTTTGCAATCTTGGTTAAATGACTCGTTGTATCGATTGGTTCAGGGAAGTGTGTTGCAGGCCAGGCTGGGAGAGTGCTCGGAGCGCTGCATGAACAGGTCGTTCTCGAGGCAGGTCTAGCGTATTGTAGGAGGAGCTTCAGGGTCCATCGTCTTGGATGATGGCGAGTGAGTGAGCTGGGTCTTAGCAGTCTTGGCAGGCGAGCACGAGACATGAGCAAGGAGCAGATTAACAGATATAGCGTATGTATTGGTATTGGGTATTCGTCGTCGTCGTCATCTATGAAATCATCCATCGCAGTCGCTCAAAGCAAAGAAGAGAAGTCATCAGAAGCGACTGCCAGACCCAGGCGCAGCAGAAGGACCTGTTCCAGCGCGTCTCAAACGACCAGCATCTCTGGATGGGTCTGCCTGTACGCCATTGCCATGCCCACTCGTCGCAGCAGTTGCGCGATTCTGCTTCATACGCTCCCTGAACCGTTCGCCTGCAGACACACCTGGCTGGACACTGCCAGCGCCATCACTGCGCTGGGTACTACTCAGTTGTCTCGTCATACTCGTCATCGGCGCACCACTGTCTCCAGGACGTTGCGGACTACGCTGTTGAGAGGCGGTGCGTTCTTGTGCTTGTTCATAGATGCCCCGTAGAGAGACCTTGTTGCGCGACTGTCCGGTTGTGCTACGCGTGAGTGTCGATGTCCCTCCGTGCTGCTGCTGCTGCTGTGGATATCCCGAGCGTGCATCTGTGCTCGTCGCTTGAGATAGCGTCCCCATCCCACCGAGCCACGTCGGTATGCCATCACCGGCATTGGTATAGTAATCCCTCAAGCACTTGATGACATGGGTATCCACGCCCTCTTCGTCATCTGCAGAATCATAGCCTGTGTCTTTGATACGGGAGGCGATGGTCTTGCTCACACTACCCGTTGCCATGAGCAGTTTGTCCCACATGCGTGACCCGGCGGTCGCTTGTTCTGCTGTGTCGCGGTCATTGTGTTCTGGTCGCTTGTTAGCCATATGCTGTTGCTGTATGCCTGCTAGACAGGACTGTGTCTCCCTGGTCTGTGTGTCTGTCTATGCCAACATGGAGCGTTGTGGGCAGGACCAAGACACAGGAGAGGACAGGAGGCAAGATGGAGCATACCCACTGGGAGGAGATCTCTGTAGCTGCCATTCCTGAGCATGTTCCAGCGGCTCGAGGCCATTGCGCAGTAGCCTACTAGCTTAAGTACTCGCAGCCTAGTTGTAGCCTAGTTGTAGCCTCGTAGTAGGTAGCTGGTCCAGTGGTCGCCGTTTGCTCTCCAAAACAGATTCACACCCCGACTACGACTCGCTACCAGTACTCAGCTACCAGTACTTAGTACTTAGCTACCAGCAGAATACAGCAAAGATGGCAGCAGACGGCAAGGGCGACTACAAGCTCGCAATGCCCCAAGAAGACAGCGACGACTACAAACCCCCAGTCCGACCGCAGCAGAAACAATCCAGCACTTCGGGCATCGATGCAGCCCTCACACAATCAGCCCTCTGGCCCGTCCTCGCCTACTGCAGCGCCAGTATCCTCATGACAGCCAGCAACAAGTATGTCCTCTCGGGCTACCACTTCAACCTCAATTTCTTCCTCTTGATGGTACAGAGTGTCGTGTGTATCAGTGCCATTGCCCTCTGCAAGCAATTCAAAGTCATCACCTACCGTGACTTCAATGCAGACGAGGCAAAGAAGTGGTTCCCCGTTTCTTGCTTGCTCGTGCTCATGATTTACACGGGCAGCAAGGCATTGCAGTTTCTATCCATTCCAGTGTATACCATCTTCAAGAACCTCACCATCATTGTTATTGCGTATGGTGAGGTAATTTGGTTCGGTGGGTCGGTGACACCCTTGACCCTCGCTTCCTTTGGCCTCATGGTCATTTCTTCCATTGTCGCTGCATGGAGTGACATCTCCGCTGCCGTTTATGGCTATGGTGCTGCATCTTCCTCAACAACCTTATCCACCCTCAACGCAGGCTACCTCTGGATGGCTGTCAACTGTTTCGCAACAGCAGCCTACGTCCTTGGTATGCGTAAACGCATCAAACTCACCAACTTCAAGGATTTCGATACCATGTTCTACAACAACCTCCTCTCCATTCCCGTCTTGTTCATTTGTTCGCTCGTCCTGGAAGATTGGTCGGCCGCTAATGTCAACCTCAATTTCCCGCTTGAATCAAGAAACTCCCTCATTGCAGCCATCATCTTTTCAGGCCTCAATACCGTTGGTATTTCTTATACAAGCGCCTGGTGTGTAAGAACGACTTCCTCGACAACCTACTCGATGGTCGGTGCACTCAACAAATTACCCATTGCACTCAGTGGTCTCGTCTTTTTCGGTGATCCAGTCACCTTCTTCTCAGTCACAGCAATCATGCTTGGTTTCGTTGCTGGTATCGTCTATGCCGTTGCTAAAATGCAGCAGAGTAAGAATAAGAGTAGTGGACTTCCCATGACGGCCATTCCAATGAGTTCATCGAGTTCGAGTGCGAGTGCAGCGATGAAGAATTGAAACAGGGATTTGACATGTAGGAGTGTGCACATAGACTTTTTCAAGATCTCTTTTCTTTTCGTGACTCCTCATCCGCTTCACTATGTCTAAGAGCAATGCTACTTTGCAGCTTTCCCTGTCTCTTCGCCATCTAGTTGCGCTTGTAAGTTCTTGAGCGCTGCTTGATAACGACTAGGAATCCATGTATACGTCTCTTTCGCTTGATTGAGATATGGCCAAGGCGGGACAATCGCAGCCAGACATAACGCAGAAAGTGCAAGGAAGACGTAAACAGCTAACCAGACATCATGCCTGATGAAGCCAATGAAAAACGAAAGGAGCTAGAGGGTTAGCTTTTACTTGTGGGATGGAGATTCGCGTACAGTGGATGCGAGGAGACTATAGTTCATGAGATCAAGAGCGCGTTCTTGTCCTTCATAGTCGATACAACCGAATTGATCCATCGTGTCTGATGCGCGATAGACAGAGCTGTAGAGCCTGATGCGAGTGTGTCGGTTGTATATGATCTGGTCGCGTGTCCAATTCGTGCGGCTCCACTTCAGAGTTCAAGACAACCACCCTCTTCTCCTACACTTCGGCCAACGACTTTTATCTACAAAGCACTAGAATCCATGTCAGGTACTTGACGATCTCCAGTGGTAACAAGCAGCTTTGCCTCAAATTCTTTGAGCGAACGTGTCTGAAATTCTTGGTATCGTGCTTCCAAGCTAGCTTCCGGTGGTGGTACCAGCAGGTTTCGCCATCTCCATCTTCTGCTCTACTTGAAGGATTCATCCTGGCTCGCAGATGCCATAGAAAGCTTTGATAGGGCAGTAGCGCGCCGTTCAAGCGACTGGGATGTTTGTGAATCATTTGAAACTGGTGTACTCTTCCAAAAAGGCAGCGTTGAAAGTGATATCCCTGATCATCTTCGCTGATATACGCCTACCCCCGGCTTGTTGAACACACACCTGCAGTCTTCAGTCATGCATGGTTGAACCTGCGAGGCTTCGACAAATAGCATTACGTCTCTGCAGGAGTCGAGTAGAAGAACAAAGGCGAGCTAAGTAGCCGGTATTTGCATGCGTGAAGACCAAGAGAGGAGAGACAGTCTGAGCTTAGATCAGGGCTTTGCAAGACATCATGGCGGTCAGCAAAAGTTGACGCTTGATGCAGTGCTTCAATCCTGACTCCCGGGACTCTCGCACGTCAAGCTGCTCAAATCTATCGACGCCAAGTCACGTTCGCAGCCAGTAGAAAGTATGACCTTGTATGCTCCCGAATCATGGAGCACAGAAGAGTCAAAATGCCTCTGGTCAGCCCTGCTTGACTGGTATTTGACCACTCAGATGTGACTGTCTAATCGTGTGTCCGTGTCATGTCTCTCGTTTCTGATTGGCTGGCGTGCCCGTATCGGCTCTTCTTGCCTGTGCATCGATGGATGCAAGAAAAGCGATAGGAAGCAGTCCGTGTTGTGAAGGGAGAATAGATCGGATAGCGATCATGCTCGATAGGCCTGGCTGTGTAGAATGCATCTGCTTGCTCCTGTCTTCTCAGGATGGCTGGGCCCTGTGCACGACCCTTGCGCACGGTCTTGCTGCCCTCGTGAAAAAGCAAAAATTGGAAATTCAGAGTGAAAGAACCCTTCCAAGGCCTCAACACCCATCACTCCATTAGACACTCCTCCGTCCACGCAAAGCCTCGCTCTTAGACTTGCAGCAACAGCAGCAGACATTCGACTCGACATCTTCTCATCGCGTACTGCAAATCTCAGTGCGCTCCTATAAAATTGGCGGGGACTAAATCGCTTCTCTTTGTGCGCTCCTCAGATAACTTCAAGCCCCCTTAAGAGCGCTTGAAGCATCTGTTCCCTCTGCATTCATTGCTGCTAGACAACTCGTCAAAGTTGCTTCAACTCTCCCCTCGGCCGATTCGAGTCGCTCACAAGGCGTCTGCTACCACGCTGGGTTAAATTACAGTGCCCGCTTCTTCTGCCCGCAAGGCAGGCTTCTCATCTCCTTGCACGGACATCTAGAGCGCATAAACGGCCTCTCTCTACACTCGCCAAGAAAGGCCCCAGCTACCAAAAGAAACAAATAAACCATGTCAAAGGACAACAAGGGCGACGCATCGCCGCGGATGCTGGAGAAGCGCGAGACAACCGCCAGTAGCGCTGAATCGCACGAATTGCTCGATCATCGACGGCCCTCTCGCGCTGCTGCGCTCATCTCCTCCACAACGCCGCGTTCAGCCGGTAGCATGAGTGCACGAATCACAGAACGTCCCGATTTCCGAGCAACGCTCGCATCCTCAGACCTCGACTCGCCCGAACAAACCAAAACAACGACACGGGAATTGTATGATCGTTTCCATCAAGATGTCTTTGCCGTGGATGATTTTAGTCTTGAAGATTCACAAGAACTTGGTCAGGCATCGGATCCTGCCGTTGCTGGTGGGACCCCTCAGCAGCGCATGCGACCGCGTGCTGGATCTCATCTCGATGCAGTCTTACAAGCACCTGTTCGCATTTCACCACGCGTAACGTATGATGACCGTGGCAGACCACCATCATTGGACCTTGATCGTGAACGGGTCGTAGCTTCGCGCTCATCTTCTGTGAGTAGCTCACCCAGTCATCCACGTGCGCAGAGAACACGCAGGTTGAGTTCTCGACCCATGTCTGCTCGACCTTCGATCGGCGTTGAGGCTGTCATTCCCAATAAACCAGAGCGCGACTCGATTGAGGTGCCTTCTCGTCCTGATTCGGAGGACAATCACTCAGAAGAAGCGGAACAGGACGTTTGTTTCCCTTCGGAGGAAGTTTGCAGTGCCGAGGGTATCGACTTCGATGAACTGGATGAATTTGTTGAGGAGGAACTGAATGGTTTGACTCGCGTTGAGACGCGTGCTCGGCGTAACTCTGTCAGGTCGATTCAGAAGCAAGAACTCGACTTTGATGAGAAGAGTCTGCCCGTCACAAGCGAGAGCTCATCCTCCAACAAAGCACCAGTCTACCTGCCCAATGTCAGTCACGACCGTGATTACTCCCTCAGATTTGCATCGCCCAATATGCGACCACAGGCCACGTCGCACATGCAGATGCAGATGCCATCGCTTGCAGAGAAACTTGCAAAGCCCCTGTTGGGACCGAGTCCGCGATTGACAACGTCGCCATCCATTCCAAGACCCCTGACTTCTGGTCACCTGCGACAAATGGAGCGCAATCAAAACGCGCCCGATCGATTCTCATTCTTCACCTCTGAGCGTGACGAAACGGTGCATGCTCCAAGCATTAGCGGATTGCTGGGCGAATCGAAGGCACGCTCCTTCAAGGACCTCTTCCGTGCTGATCAAGGTATTTGGTGGCTCGACGTTTTATGCCCCTCTGACCTCGAGATGCGCATCTTGGCAAAAGCATTTGGCATCCATCCGCTCACGGCAGAAGACATTCGTGTCCAAGAAACGCGAGAAAAGGTGGAACTCTTCAAGTCCTACTACTTTGTCTGTTTCCGATCCTTTGATCACGACAAGGACTCTGAAGATTTCTTGGAGCCCGTCAACATCTATCTCGTGGTGTTCAAGGAAGGTATTTTGTCCTTCCACTTTGAGCCGACCATGCATCCCGCCAATGTGCGTCGACGTATCCGTCAGCTGCGTGATTACCTGCACGTCTCATCAGACTGGATCTCCTATGCCATCATTGATGACATTACAGATGTGTTTATGCCGTCCATCCACGAAATGGAACAAGAGACGGACGCTATTGAGGATGCTGTGCTGATCGCGCGCTCCGATGACTCTGGTGCTATGCTTCGGCGTATCGGCGAATGCCGCAAGCGTGTCATGGCGCTCTTCCGCCTACTTTTCGGCAAAGCAGATGTCATTAAGCAATTCGCGAAACGCTCTCACGAAGGCCTCTCGAATGGCGAGCGTAGCTCTGATGTTGGCTTGTATCTCGGTGATATTCAAGACCACGTCATCACCATGACTCAAACGCTTGTTCAAATTGAAAAGATTCTGTCTCGTTCGCATGCCAACTACCTGGCTCAGCTCTCGGTGGATTCCATCTCGATGAATAATCGCCTCAACAAGGCACTTGGCAAGATCACCTTTATTGCAACGATGCTCGTGCCGTGCACACTGCTGACATCGGCGTTTGGTATGAATGTCGCTGTTCCGGGACGCGATGTCAATTCGCTCTGGCCATTCTTCACGTTGTGTGGAAGTATGGTTTTGTTTGTGTTTATCTGTTTCCTCTATGCTCGTCGACGCGGTGCCTTCCAGTAGATTGTGCTGCTGTTGCTGCTGCGAGGGCTGCGCTTGTTGTGTGAGGACTGGGTTCTCGTGTCTTTTTGTATTGTTGAGTCTGTTTGAGTATAGTATACGTAGAGAGCCACACACCTGTGTGCTTGCTATTTCTGTAGACTTTATCAATGCTGGACTCTTCATCCACTAGCTATAGCCCTACTACAAACGCTTCATCCAGCGACATCCACTCGCTGCAGTCCATCTGATCTGAGTCCTCGCGCCAACTCACAAACACGAACACTCTCAAGTGCCAGCATTGTCGCCTACATCGCCTTGTCTCCCCAATCGCCCTTCCAGAATGCTGGCCGCGACCCTCTTGCTGACTGCTGCCGTCGCGGGCCTGCAGATCCCCGGTCTCGCGCCAACCGAGTACCGCGTTGGCGACCCTGTTCCCATCTTTGTTAATGCACTCACACCGACACAATCACGGGAAGATCAATCCATCGCTAATGTTGTCTCCTATGACTACTACCTCCCTCGCTTCCATCACTGTATTCCCGAAGGCGGTGTGGCTGCACAGTCGGAATCTCTGGGCAGCACATTGCTAGGTGATCGCATTTACAACTCGCCCATTAATATCCGTTTCTTGGAGGAAGAGCAGTGTAAGCACATTTGCACAACCAACGTGCCACCTGAAGATGCAGGCTTTATTAATGAACGTATCCGCGAAGGTTATGTTGTGCAATGGTTGATTGATGGTCTTCCAGCGGCTAGCGTCATGTATGATGCTGCATCGGGACAGATCTTTGATGCGCCTGGTTTCGCACTGGGCAAAGGCTGGCGACAGACTTCTGAAGGTGGCTTTGAACCTATTGCCTACTACAACAATGCAGTCGAAATTCTGATTGAATACCACAAATTAGATGATGAGGATCACCGCATCGTAGGCGTTTCCGTGCGTGGCAGCTCACACAAGAAGAAGTGTGGCGACGAGGATCCCTTGGAGCTGAGTGAAACGCCCGGTGCAACCAACCATATCCCTTTCTTCTATACCGTTTCTTGGCAAGAATCGGAACAAACTTGGGCTACGCGATGGGACCGTTACGTCTACTCCTTTGGCGCAAAGCTACACTGGTTCTCGCTCATTGAGAGCTTTGCCGTTGTAGTCTTCCTCTCTGCCATGGTGGCAATGGTGCTCATTCGAACACTCAAGAAGGATATTCAGCGATACAACGCGTTGGATCTTGAGCAGGAAGACGTCAATGAAGATTCTGGCTGGAAGCTCATCCACGGAGACGTCTTCAGACCACCCTCAAAACCCATGCTGCTGTCTGTCATGCTTGGAAATGGTCTTCAGCTCTTCCTCATGGTCGGCACGACCATTCTATTTGCCCTGCTTGGCTTCTTGCGTGTGCAAAACCGTGGGTCACTTGCAACAGCAGCCATCGTGTTCTTTGCACTTTATGGCTTTGTCGGTGGATTCGCCTCTGCTTTGCTTTACAAGTCGCTCGGTCAAGCAGAAAGATTCAAGACGCTCCTCTTCTTGACGCCGACTTTCGTCCCTGGCATTGTCTTTGGTGTCCTCGTATTCCTCAACTTCTTCTTGGTTCATCAAGGTTCCTCTGGTGCTGTTCCCCTTGGTACGCTCTTTGCGCTGGTAGCACTCTGGTTCCTCGTCACACTACCGCTCTCCATCTTTGGCGGTTGGCTCGGCTTCAAAAGATCCCTGCCCGCGGACCCAGTTCGCACAAACCAGATCCCTCGTCAAATTCCAGATCAGTCCTTCTACCTTAAGGCACTGCCGTCTATTCTGCTGTCCGGCGCTTTACCCTTCGGCGCCATTTTCGTCGAGCTCTACTTCATCATGTCGAGTGTTTGGCTCAGCTACATCTATCAACTCGGTGCGTTCCTCTTCCTCGCATACGGCATCCTGATTGTTACTTCGGGTCTCGTGACTATCCTCATGACTTACTTCCAGCTCTGCAGCGAGAACTATCATTGGTGGTGGCGAAGTTTCTTCACTGGCGCAGCCATTGCACCGTATGTCTTCCTCAACGCCGTCTTCTACTATGTGACAAAGTTCAGAGGTACGAGTTTGACCACCAAAGTGCTGTACTTTGGATACTCGGGTTTACTGGCGTTCTTGGTGGGTATCCTGGGTGGCACTATTGGATTCTTTGCGAGCTACTGGTTTATTCGTAAAGCGTACGGCAGTATCAAGGTAGACTAGTACCTTGACGGTTCTGTAGTAGCCATTCGGCTGGTCAATTTTCTCACTCGCTTTTGCTTTTAAATGATTCAGAAGGTCAGTGGACTCAGCCTAGAGGTTTCATTCATAATATCAGGCTAACAACATGCCACACCTGCCACCCAGGTGACGCTCCGATGGAAGCGTCAACCACGAGCATGCTGGCCATCTACATGGCAGTCCTAGGCTCGCCACTTAAAAAAACAATCAAGGAGCAAGCAAGTTAAATGCCTCAAAATAAACTATGCTTTTTAACTTTTCTTGACCAGAGTAGATTTCTAAATGTTGAGGCCATAAGACTGCAAGACAGGCACGGTTTCTGCAGCTTGCTGCTTGACAAGTGCAAGCCAAGTATCACGGCCCTCAAGCTGCTCATTCAAGCAAGTGGCCAAGAATCGCCTCGGGTCCACATTCGTTGAGCCTTGCAATTGCGCAAGTGCTAAATATGCTTGATTGGCCGTGCCAAGAGGAGCACTACAAACGAGCTTTGCAAAACTCGCTTGGAAGCCCTCATCAAGCGCCATGAGCGCAGCATCGGCCATTGTCTCTTCCTCTTGTTGCTGCTGCAGTAAACTCCCTGCATCTGACAAGACTGCTCCAGCTGGCAGTTCAAGCAGTTTCAAGCAAGTCGTCAGCGTTTGTAGCCAAAGCGCTTGATCCTGCTTCAACATCGAGCACGATGCTAGCATTCTGCCAAAGCCGCAACTTGCACGTTTCGTTGTTGCTGATGGAGATGCCAACTGTGAGGTGTGTGGCAAAACGATGCTGCGCATGAGCTGAGCGAAAAGACCAGGTTGGATACGTTCGAGAATGCTAGGTGCAAAGTCTGGGCCAAGTTGCTGGGTTGATGCGCAGGTAGCAAGGAACAAGGCGAATCGAGAGGCAAGCTTCTCCGTCTTGGAGGCACCGGACAGACGTGTCAATGGGAGCACAAAGATTTGCTGTGCATACGGCTCTAGGGCCTGCAACGGGACGCAAGCAAACAGGCTCTCGACCAGATCAAAGCCGAATCCGTCATTTGCACGAGATGCAATCAGCTTCTGGTAGATACCCAAGACTGGCTCGAGAAGCTTTTCAGAGACAAGATGTGATGGACCTTGGACGACGAATGCCTGCAGCAGGCGAACAAGCGCTGGGATATTGCCCCGAGAATCCCAAAGTGTTGGAGTCAAAATAGGCTGCAAGAGCTGCTTGTAGGCTAGTGGCAAGTCTTCTTTGGTGTCATGCATCTCGAGCATTTCTGCCAGCAGTTGAAAGGCGTATGGGATGAACTCTGTCGTGTCGTTTTGTAGAATCATGAGTAAAGGACTGGTCAGCATTGCTTCCAATTGGGCGAGTGCCTCCTTGGAAATTGCTCCGACATATTTGATGACAGCACCATAGCACTCGAAGAAGTAGTGATTAAATTTCGGATTCGAGGGATTCTTGCTGATCTCAGCTAGGATCTTGTTGAGGTGGTGGACTGTCACTTCCGTTGCAGTTGCAATGCCCTCTTGTGCAGAAATGACAACGCGCATTGCGCAGCGCATCAGGAAGTCGTTTTCTGCCAGCTTCTCTGGTGAAGAACCGCGCTCAATTAGCGAGAGCAGGTTCTGTAGCAGCTCAGCACTGAAGGGCGCTACGTCCAGTGTGCTGAACAAGGTTTGGCCATCACGCTTCATGGTCAAAAGAGCCTCAACTGTGACAGCCGCGTAAGTGTAAACAACGTAGTTCGGTGAAGTCAAATGTTGAGCGAGCATCGGAAAGACACTGGTGATTTGCTGCTTCGTGAGTTGATTGCGAAAGGTGTGGATAAATTTAATTGCATCGACCTTAGTGATTGGGTGTCGTTCAGAGAAGCCAGCGTGCAGGTCACCCAACACATTAACATTGAAGAATTCGACAACATCGACCATGATGTTTGTGGACGATACACCGAATTTCGTTGTGGAGCCCTTGACAGCAATGGAAGAGATTAAATACATGGCAGTGTCCTTCGATTTCCAATTAGAGACTGGATCTGCTGCATACTGGGTCAGGTATACCTTGACATATTCAAGGACAATGCTGGTGATCTTTTGTTCAAACTTTTCAACCAAGCTGCGCACAAACTCCGTAGCCGCCCGTCTGCGCGTGTCGCTATCTGAGCCTTCCAAGTCGCGGCGGATGTATTCGATTGGATCGTCCTCAAAGAGTTCCTCATCAGATGTACGCAACGACATATTGGGTAAGACAATCAGCTCAACAAACTTTTTGAGCACTTCTTCTGATTCAAAAAGCTGCGCATGTCTCGGAACTCTGACAACTGAAGTGAGCGATGAGAGCGCTTTGCTCACTAGAATATCGTCCTTGGGCTCGAGAGACACTTGCGTCAAGAGCACCCATGTCGTGTTGACAAATTCTGGCAGCATCGTGAAAATCTCCTCGTAGCGCTGTGTGTAGAGTTCAACAATCTCACAGATGGAAGCCTTCACCTTCTGTAGTGGCCCAGCAACATCGTCATCCTCCCCAGCAGTGATAACAGGTAGATCAATCGTCAGGTATTTGTGCAGCACACTCATAAACTCTGCCATGTGATCCTCAAAGAATTCTGGAATGTCTTGGCAATTCAGATCATAGAATACCTTGGTCAACAAAAGCAGCGTCTGTAAAAGAATGTCCAATGCCTGCTTATTGTTGCGATTCTGATCAATCATTAGATCTGTCTGCTTGAAAATGGCCAAGAAAGGCTCACAGAAGCGTGAAAGAACGAAGTTGATTTCTGTAAAGAGCGCGTCTGACCTGAACTGTGATCTCCATCGCTTGAAGATCGAATGTGCAGTTTGCAGGACACCATTCGTCACACTCATGTCTGTCAAGCTGATTTGTGAAATGAGGCTGTCAATCAGATAATCCCACTTCGCAGGGAAGTCTGTATCGGCAATGAGTGTCACAGCTTCGCCGACTTGCACCTGCAGCGTTGGAGGCATCCGTGTCATGAAGCTGACAATGTTATCCTTCACCAGCTGCCGATCTGACAAGGCGATCTTCTGGCCTTCCTCATCGTCCTCCCAGTTCCGCTTGACATAGTTTTTGAAAAAAAGCGATGCCGCTTGACGCGTCGGCAGATCAATTGATGTAGAAGCTACAATCTCGAGCAAGACTGAGGCGAAGCCGGACTGTGTCTCGGCCTGTCGCAGGCGTTCTTCCGCTAAATATCAGTCAGTCTTGTCTAGAACCTGGAATTTCGCGTACCTTGCTTTGATGTTGAAGGATCGAAAGACTGCCTGAGCAGGGCTGCCACTTCTGCCGACATTTTGGTACTCTTGCAACTTCCAAGGACTCGAGTAGTCCCCCTCAGCAGCTTTGTTCGTGGTCGTCGCTGTTTTGCTTTTTGGATGATTCAATTCGCAACGAACGCACACAAAGACGCGCAAAGTCATCGACAAGCTGGAAGGCGATTGCAAGCGGAGGCGCTGCAGAGAAGGCGACTGCTGAGACGGTCAAGACAGATCGGATTCAGGCCTGATTCTGATCCAGTTACTTCATCGACGTCACTCACAAGGCCGCTTGGCCACTCGATGAGCCATCACACTCTCTTACAACCCAATTTGTCGGCTTATCTCTGTCGATGAGAAGCTTAATACGCGGCATATCGCAGCTTGAAGCAAAGTCCAAGAATGGAGAAACGCAGGAAGTGTCAAAATACGACAAGTACCTGAGCCGACTCAAATTGCCGCTGTCGACTGCCGAGTCGGCCTTGACGGCGCGCAAACTCGCTGCATGGCTGGATCAATTCTACTGCAAAAATCCTGCTGAACCATGGCTTGCAGGCAAAAAGCTCATTGCCAAAGGAATGCCGCACTCAGTGCGGTCTGCTGGGTTCGAGCTGCTTCGTGCTTGTATTGAGTCGCGATCAGACTTGTCGGTTGTGTTACGCTACATGTTCTTCAGCGATATCGAGAAGTTATTTTCACCGGATGGGGACCTTGATTTGCAACTAAAGGCACTCAGACTGCTAAGCAAAGATGGCCGAGATCTGTCTGGCTTTGCTGACCAAATTTGTCCCCTCATGTGCGTTTGGGTAGATCGAGCCATTGCCAATCTCGACATGCACAAAGCTTGCATCCGTCGAGGCCATCTCATGTCTCATGCGCAGCGTCATGCCGATCTACAAGAAGCGATGCTCTTCATGATGAATATTGCAAAGTTCCATTTTTCACTGTTGCAGGAGCAAGACATCGTCCTCATGACTGGCCGAGTTATTCAAGTGTGCAAGAGAACAAGCGATGAGAAGGATATCGCTCTAGCGATAGACTTCGTTGATGCCAATATCCGCTACGGCTACATTCCCTCAGAATCCCTGAATGAGGTCGTCAGCGTCATTTGCTCAGTCTTTCGCAGCTTACCAAGTCAGCGGTCAGGCGCCAGAGGCGTCCTGCAGAAACTCATCCGAAGTCACATGTCTCATGCAACTCGAATGTCCATCAGGAACTTGATTAATGGCAAGCGCAATGTCCACGATGATGTTGTTCTGGGAGCGCTGGAACTCTTAAGAGCGTTGTGGCTCGACGCTGATGATGAAGACAGAGTTGTTTTGCACTCAAGCGCAGCCGTGTTTGAAGCGATAAAGCAAGGCATTGAGTATCAAGTCCGGAGGCACGATCGAAATTGGGTCAAGCTCGACAATGGATATGTTTCGACCCTATTCTACATGCTCAAGCACGAATACATAGCCAAAGAACTCTCGTACGACGATTGGGCGATTCCGTTCGACATTATCACGCAAGGAACACGCGCGTTGGACAAGTCATCAGAAAATGTATTGCAACACCGAGAGGAGGATTCGCAAGACCCGCAACATCTCTTGCATCAAACTTATACGGCACTCAACCAGTATCTTGAACAGCTTTACACCTCTGAGGAGTTTAACGGCCCTGTCGACCGCCTCATGGCGTTTTGGTCAAGCATATACGAGGTTTTGCCAGCAACGACTGCTGCTTTACTGCTCAACTGGCACCACAAAGAGCTGAACTGCTATCCAAACAATGCACAATGGCTTGTGCACATCGAGACACTTGGAAAACAGTTCTGGGCACATCCTGCAAGATCGACCGAGGTCAGACTGCAGGCTTTGCGGCAATTCAGCGAGGTGATGGACCTTCTTGCAGGTCAGGATGCATCATCAGCTTTACATGACTGTATGCTGGGGCTTTTGCAGCAAGTTGACGCAACTTCCGAAACACCAGTCAAAGTCGAAGGCATCGCGCTAATCGCCCGGATAGCAATCGAAGGCAACCAGACACACGCCGACAGAGCTCGTTCCATGCTCCATCAGATGCTGCTGATACCTGGCTTCAAGGAGACGGCAGAGCCATCGCCAGCGACTAATCCGCTTCAATTCCAACGAAAAGGCTCATTGGAATCGCTGACAAGTCTAGTCTCTAGTCGTGGACAGAGGAAGGTCGCTCCTTCAATCATCTCGAGCGATCCAAGAGAACCGTTGACGCCGAAAGTAGAGACTGCGTTGTCCACTGCCGCGAGCGCAGCAACGCAAGGACTCGTCAGTGCTTTTCTCAAAGCCTTCACGTCGACGCCCTCAGCTCGTGGCCAGCAGATCTTCGAGGAGATTTTGATGGTTATTGGTAGCCCGCAATACTTTGAAGAGGCCCGCTGCCAACTGATCAATGTGCTCTCTCGCATCAGATCTGATATGCAGCATGTTCTCTACATGGATCGAGACGCATCAGAAGTTGTGGCTTCAGCGATTGACACATTCACCTACATCAGCCCTGATCAGAATATTGACATTCGTTCTCGCTACTGCTGTAAAGGAGAGTTCAGCTTGCCTGTATCCGAGTGGCTGAACATGGTCTGCAATCTGATGCAAGAAGAGACGAGCTGGCGGGTGTATGAGACTTTGTGTGGTGCTACGCAACGGCAGCTCAGTAACAAGCATCTTTTTGAGTCTTGCGGCGCGCAAATACAAAGGTTGCGATCATTGATTTGCGAGCAACTTATGAGTGCGCGACCACCTGTCGTGCGTCTGCCGAGTGACGTCAAGCGCGAAGACATCATGACTATCCTTGCACAATTGCTGAGTCTGGTCGTTGGTTATCACAGCTTGTTCAACAAGTCGCAAAGCGATGAAGTCGTGGCAGCGTTGCAGAATGTTTTGACGCGCTACCAGAAGGCCTCGACAGCCTGTATTCACACATTGACACTCTGTGCATACGAGCTTCCTCTTTCCTGCAGCAAAATTCTTTCTCAGATTCTCATGCGCCTCTCGCAGCTCATCACGTCCACGAATGCAAGTGTGCATATTCTCGAATTCTTGAATGCTCTGGCCAAGCTACCTGATCTCTACGTCAATTTCAGGGAAGAGGACTATCGCCGCATCTTTGGCATCGCTCTACAGCATATCCAGTACGCTAATGCATCGAGCCGAGACGCTTTGGCAGCAAGTCAGACTGATCCGTTGACGCAGCCGATGCCAGTCTATGTCCTGGCTCAAGCCATGGACGTAGTCTATTCATGGTTCCTTGCGCTCAAACTCCCTCAACGGCCACGTTACCTGAAATGGATTGTGGATGGACTGCTGGCAGCGAATCCGCAGTCAAAGTCACTCGATGAACGGGGCCAAGTATGTTACGATTTCCTGATGCGTTTCTGCTACTCCAATGCTGAAATCCGAAGTATCGGTACTGTCTTTGCTGATTTTGAGGCTGATCAATCGACAAGCAAATCATGGCTTTACGGCAATGCCATCTTGACACTACGGACAATGCATCTCAGTGGCCTCACTGAGCTGACTGTGCGCAGACCTGTATGTTAAATGAAGACATCGATTGAAAGCTAACAATAGACTGGTAGTGTCACTTTTCTGTGCAAGCCCAATTCCGATCTCGAAGCTCTGTCCTTCTTGTCTGCTAGCGAAGCCAAGGACATCATATCTGATGACACCCTCGTCGGCCCAACAGAAGCCAAGATACGCACAGTGCTTTCGGGTCAGGATGCCACGATCTTCACGCCAAGCCACATCCTTCTGCAAGTGATCTGTCCACCAGAAATTGAAGGCAATGACAAGCCATTGCTTCTCCCAGATGATGACACCACACGTCGTGCTATCGGCACATTTGATCGCATACCGGTCGTGGACTTTCATAAGATTGGCATCATCTATGTCGGTCGTGGCCAGCGTGAGCAGGCTGAAATTTTGGCCAACACGCACGGTTCATTGGACTACGTCGAGTTCCTGGATGGTCTCGGCGATCTTGTCAGATTGAAGGAGAACAAGAGTATCTACACAGGTGGTCTTGATACGTCCAACGACGAAGATGGCGAATTTGCCTATGCCTATAAGGAGAAGGTTACTCAAATCATCTTCCACACATGTTCACTCATGCCGAGCAATCTCGAGCGTGACCCTGCCTGCACGCGGAAGAAGTCACACATCGGCAATGACTTCGTCAATATCATTTGGAACAATGCGAATCGCCCATACGAGCGCAGCACCATTCCGTCAGAGTTCAACTTTGTCAATATTGTCATTTCACCAGACGCATATCAGAGCCGGTTGAGACCTAGTCTGGCTGACGAACAGGAGCAAGAAGGCCAAGTGGAGCGATTCTACAAGATCAAAGTACTGCCTCATGACTCCCTGCCGCCCATCAGTCCGGCATCGGAGTGGCGACTCGTGTCTGCATCGCGGCTGCCTGTGTTTGTTCGGACAGTAGCCATGCACTGCAATTTGTACGCACAGGTCCATCACGCTGGCGGTGACTTTACCGGGATGTGGAAGCAGCGCTTACTTCGAATACAGATGCTGAGGCAGCGTGTTGGTGCGAAGCGGGAAGAGCAAAATCACGCATTGCCATTATCTGCGAGTACGAATTCAGGGACAGGCAGTGTCTTGGGAAGCGGGGACAAAGGGCAGCATCAGCACCAAGGGGCGCCTGACGGGTATGACTTTGTATCTTTCAACTAGCTGGAGCATGTACATCATCTGTCAATCCAATAGCCATCTGTCTTGTGCGTTGAGTTTCCCTCCTCCAGGCTCCATCTGATTGAAGCTGCAACATTTTTCTGGAGCAAGCACAGACACCACGCATCTGTTTGGAAGACAGACGAGCAAGCGATGAGCGGCTTCAATGTGGTCAAGGAAGAAGAGAAGATTGTCGCCTTCTGGACAGAGATTGATGCCTTCCAGACGTCACTAAAGTTGTCTGAGGGCCGCCCAAGATTCACCTTCTACGATGGACCACCCTTTGCGACTGGTTTGCCGCATCATGGCCATCTCCTCGCCTCCACCATCAAGGATACCGTCACTCGGTATGCTCATACGACAGGGCACTATGTTGAACGTCGTTTTGGATGGGATACGCATGGTCTCCCTGTCGAGCATGAGATTGACAAAAAGCTCGGCATCACAGGCAAGGACGACGTGATGAAAATGGGTATCGACAAGTACAATGCAGAATGCCGAGCTATCGTCATGCGATATGCCGCAGAATGGCGTCAGACGATCGAGCGGATGGGTCGATGGATTGACTTTGACCGGGATTACAAGACTTTGAATCCTACATTCATGGAGAGTGTCTGGTGGGTCTTTAAGCAGTTGTACAGCAAGGGCGAAGTATACCGTGGTTTCAAGGTGATGCCTTATTCAACAGGCTGCACGACACCCTTGTCCAACTTTGAGGCGCAACAAAATTACAAGGATGTCCCGGACCCTGCCGTTACGATTGCATTCCCACTCGACTCTGATCCTTCAGTGTCATTTTTGGCATGGACAACAACTCCCTGGACACTTCCATCTCACCTGGCATTGGCGGTCAACCCAAAATTCGAGTACATCAAGCTTGAAGACAAGGAGACTGGTGCAAAGTACATCATGCTCGAGGCGCTCCTCAAGACGCTGTACAAAGACCCAAAGAAGGCCAAGTTTACGATTTTGGAGAAGATTCCTGGTGAGCAGCTCGTCGGCTTGACTTACCAACCGCCATTCGACTACTATTTTGAAGAGTACAAGTCGACTGGATTCCGTATCATTGCAGCCGATTATGTTACTGCAGATAGTGGTACCGGTATTGTACACCAGGCTCCGGCTTTTGGTGAGGAGGATTTTGATGCTGCCATCAAGTCTGGAGTCATCACCAAGAATCAACCACCCCCCTGCCCACTAGACGACCGTGGTTGCTTCTTGGAGAACATCACACACTTTGCTGGTATGTACGTCAAAGATGCCGACAAGGAGATTCAAAAATACTTGAAAGGCACTGGTCGCCTCATTGTGCAAAGCCAAGTGATGCACAGTTATGCGTTCTGCTGGCGATCCGACACACCCCTCCTGAAACGTACCATTCCAGCATGGTTTGTCAAAGTCCAGGAACACACCGATGAAATGCTTGCAGCGGTCGACAAGACCACTTGGGTGCCAAACTTTGTGAAGGAGAAGCGTTTCGCAAATTGGATAGCGAATGCGCGAGACTGGAACATCTCCCGTAATCGATACTGGGGCACGCCTATGCCCCTATGGGTCTCGGAGGACTACAGTGAGATTGTTTGCATCAGTAGCATTGAGGAACTTGAAACGCTGTCAGGCATCACGGGCATCACGGACCTGCACCGCGATAGCATTGATCACATCACTATTCCCTCAAAGAAGGGCAATGCGCCCTTGAAGCGAGTCGAGGAGGTCTTTGATTGTTGGTTTGAATCTGGCAGTATGCCATACGCCTCCAACCACTATCCCTTTGAGCAGGCTGAGGTGTTTGAGCAGTCTTTCCCTGCCGACTTTATCGCTGAAGGTCTTGACCAGACGCGTGGTTGGTTTTATACTCTATTGGTTCTTGGTACATTGCTCTTCAACAAGGCGCCGTTCAAGAATGTCATTGTCAATGGTCTCGTGCTTGCTGAGGACGGAAAAAAGATGTCAAAGAAGCTCAAAAACTACCCAGAACCCGGAATTATCGTCAACCGTTACGGTGCCGATGCTCTCCGTCTGTATCTGATCAATTCGCCGGTTGTTCGTGCCGAATCGCTGCGATTCAAGGAAGAGGGCGTCAAGGAGGTCATTGCCAAGGTCATCTTGCCTATTTGGAACTCTTACAAGTTTTTCGAGCAACAAGTGGCGTTGCTCAAGAAGAAGCACGATATCGATTTCAAGTACGACCCGGCTAAGGGACGCTCCGAGAATGTGCTCGACCGCTGGATTTTGGCTTCCTGTCAGTCTCTCATTTCCTTCATCAAGGAGGAAATGAAGCACTATCGACTCTATACTGTGGTACCTCGCTTGCTCCACCTCGTTGATGACATGACCAACTGGTACATTCGTCTCAATAGGCGTCGTTTGAAGGGAGAGGGCGGCAAGGAAGACACACTCGCTGCTCTGAATACACTCTGTGAGGTCTTGTGCACTGTAGCGCGGACACTTTCATCCTTTGCGCCCTTCATTACCGAGACAGTCTACCAGCAGCTCAGACAATTCTTGCCACCAGCGGCAGATTCGGATGATGAGCGTTCTGTTCACTTCCTGAGTTTCCCTAGCGTGCGCTCGGAATTGTCGGATGAGGTTGTCGAGCGTCGTGTAAGGCGCATGAAGGCCGTCATGGATCTTGGTCGTATGTGTCGCGAGAAGCGATTGATTGGTATCAAGACGCCATTGGCGCAGTTAGTCGTCATTCACAAGGATCAGGAATATCTTGACGATGTAACGTTGCTTTTGCAATTTGTCAAGGAAGAGCTCAACGTGCGCGATGTGGTGCTATCCTCTGATGAAGACAAGTATGGCGTTGTATACAAGTTGAACGCAGACTGGCAGGTACTTGGCAAGAAACTCCGCAAGGACATGATCAAGGTCAAGAAGGGTCTCGAATCAGTAACCAACGACGAAGTCAAGGCATTCTTCAAGTCTGGCGAGATTGTGATTGCTGGTATCCCACTAACGTCTGGAGACTTGGTGGTTGCTCGCGATTGCGATACTTCAAAGCTCGAAGGCTTCCAGTCATGCACAGACACTGATGCTATTGTGCTACTCGACATTACGATCCATCCGCACCTGCAACAAGAAGGCCTGGCTCGCGAAGTGGTTAACCGTGTTCAACGGCTCAGGAAGCAGGCTGGTTTGCTTGCTACAGACGATGTTGCTATGCACTACAAGCTGATTGACGACAAGGCTGGTTTGGAGGAGGCCATCAAGCAGAACGAGGAGCTCTTTGTTCGCAGTCTTCGCGCGAATGTCGTTGCAGCAGGCACAGCGAATTCATCTGGCGAGGTCATTGCAGAGGAAGAGCAAGATGTTGCAGGCAGTACTTTCCTGCTCACCTTGCTAAGACTGTAGAGCAGCATGCATCTGCTTGTCCTTTGGTAGTTAGAGGAGATCAATCTATCACTTCATTCTGGATCTTTCTTGAGTAGTTTCTCCGTCGGCCCGAAATTGAAATGAGATTGCATCGGTTTGAGTTTGCGCTACGGTCTGTGACCTAGGTGTAGCTACAATGCTCTTGTATGTAGCAGAGCCATATATCTGAGCACGGTCTATAGTCAAGTTTCACCACGAAACTTGAGGACGTTGGAATTTGTATTGCTTTGTCTACAGTTGGACATTCAGTTGAAAGGCGTTTCAAACAGGCAAAGTGAGTGACAGCGCTAGGCCGTCGTCTTCCCACCTGATCAGCTGCTTGGGTAGCATCTCGTATCGACACCCTGCAGTCCCCTGAACGTTGCTACCGGCCGTTCTGTCTTCCGTGTTGACCTGTGCAGCTACGAGAGGTCTCACCTGCCGTCTTGGTTTTGTGCCCCTTCCCAACCCGCGCACTTTCTGCTGCAGCGACGACATTCACACCAAAAGGCACAAAGAAGCACCGTTAGTCCCATCCCAGGCGCTAGCATCCGGGCACTTAGGCGCGTTAGAGCACTATCTTAGCGTCTCACACACTGTGCGCACACGAAAGGCCTCCCTCTTCGTGCAACTTTCGCCCAATACAGGTCAGCTTCTGCAACAGCGCGCGCCAGGTTCAGGATGCCGTCGAGCAAGATCCCCAGCGAGCCGAAGCTAGCGACGTCCAAGGAGCGCCCTTTTGTCTGTCGGCACTGCCCAAACCGCTTCCTCAGAGCAGAACACCTCAAACGCCATGAAAGGTAAGCCTTTTCCTATTCGTCTTGAAGAGCACATCGGAGCATCCGAAGCGCACTTCTAGGCAGACATCTGCATCGATACTAACCATGCTCGCATCAAGGCTACATACAGGTCTTCAACCATACAAATGCGAGTTTTGCCCATCTTGCTTCACACGCGGTGACATGCTGCTGCGGCATGAGCGCAAGCACCACGCAAAGGACAAACCACCGCAAGTTGCCAAGCCGCGCTCAAAGTCCAGCGGCAGTGCGACACGTCCTGCTTCTGCTTCCGTCGCGCTTGCTGAGATTCGCGCTGAGCAACAGGCGCTCAACGGCCAGCATGGACGGCCTGGCGGGCTCGCGGGTCGTTCAAACTCTATGAGTGTATATGAAGGATCGCACTTACCGTCGTCGCTCATGGCTGCTTCGCCCGTAGAAGGCGGCCTTATGACGCAGCAAGACTATGAATCTGCATTACGATTGACGACGTCGCCTTCATCAGCTGAGTCACCGGCCTCCGTGGCTGCCTCTGTGCCGGCCAATATGGGAACAAACTACACTAATTTTGCCATGAACATCGGTACAAGCAGCGCATTTGGCTATGACGAGGAGGGGCACTTCAATAATCCACTCATGACGGCAAGTCCCGGCGCTATTGCGGGAGAGTCGCTCCTGTCGCAAAATCAGCAACAGCATGCCATGTTCAATATGATGCAGCAGCCTTTTACAACGGATGACTATACCCCTTACCAACTCCAACATCAAATGATGCAACAGCAAGACCCCTTGCAAGCACAAACACTGCATCACCATGCAAGCAACAGCAGTTTGCACACTGTCGAATCCACCACAACGGCACCCAGCAATTTGTATTTGGCCAATCCTGCCATGCAGCTTCAACAGGATAATAGAGCTAGTGCGTCATCGCCTGCAGGCATGCAATATGACATGCTCAGCTCAAGCTTTCCCACACCGACATATTCGCACCTGTCATCGGGATTCATGATGCCCAGTCATCCGCTGCGCCATGTTCATCACGAACGAGCCAATTCGATGATTGTTGATGGCGTTGATATGCATCCGAGTCACCTGCTCATGAATCAATATAAGCAGACTGGCCTCGATTTTGACGAAGATGGAGTCATTGTTGAAGATGATGACGAGGAAGGCGATGACCTGAACACATTTGCAGGAGTGGGCCTCTCGAGTGGCAGTGCCTTGTTTGCAGGTGTGCCAAATATTTTGGACTCTGCATTCGCCTTCAACAGTGACCTGGCTTACACCGAGTCCAGTAACCCAGATGTTGACGAAGACGCCAAATCAAGCGCTAGTGCACCGAATGGCAACCATGGCCGACCCGCATCACAACGCGCCTCAGTCAGTGATCGTGGTGAATCACCTTCGAGTTGACTCGTAAGCTCCGTCAATGATCTCTCATCCAGTGCCTCGACGTCAACCGCAGCAGCAGTGGCTAGTCCTGGCAAACGACCGCATGAAGCCATACAGCATGCTGCAAGACCAGCGCTTCACGTGAGATCATTTTCGGAGCAACAAACAAACCCAGCGACGCATTACGCGAAACGTCTTGTACAGCAGCAATTCAAGCAGCAGCAGCGGATTGCTCAGTTGGGTAGGGCTGCTGGGCATCGCAAGAGTTTCAGTGCTGGTGGTGCATTGTCGCCATTATTGCAGCAGCATGGAAGGAGTCGATTGAGTTCCCTCAATCCTGATGGAGAAGGTGATAGACGTGCGGAAGTCGTTGTGAATCCTGCTACGCTGAGCCATGTTAGCTCTGGTGCGGCATCTACCTCTGCGTCCTCGAGTGCTGCACCGTATATGGACTCGAGTCTAGGATTAGATGCAGTTCTGGGCCAAGTCGCTTCAGATGTGCCACTCTGGGCGCGAACGACGACAGGCAATGGTTCACTCTCCTTCCAGCAAGGTCTTGACGCACGTAGTCACTCACGAGATCAAACGGGCACCTCGTCGCCTTTTGAGGGGTATATTGCATCTGGGCAAGAAACGCTGACGGAGATGGTTGGCGAGCCTGCTGAGATGCTGTTCTTTGCTGATCTGGGACAGTACACAGAGCCGAGTAGGCTTTGAGAGGTACAAAGAGGGTAGCATTTTGGGATGTAATGTACAGACAGCACACGTCGATGGCACAGACTTGGGGTGGACTATTGTACGTAGATTGGTGCTCAAAAGGGCTTTCCGTGTTTCTAGGAGCTTCATACAAATCTTCACAAACTTCATTGAATGCATGAGCCAAAGTAATACAATAGTTGCTCAGCGACGACAAAGTCCAAGCACAATGGCTCGTGTCTCATTCACAATGGCAGACCGTGATACTTCCATGCGCCGCGCAACAACAAGCAAGATCTTTGGTAGTAAGTGTTCCAGTTCTCTGACATCCCGTCGTTCAGCCAATTGCCTGAACGTATCACACAATGCCGATACCTGTAAATTGGCATGTCGATTGGGACTTTCTGGTAGAGTGGTGCGTTGACCCATTTGATAACCTGCAGAACCAGGTCTTGGCATAGCAAGGGGACCTTGTCCATGACTCTGACGACGACCATGATGCATTTGTTGTGGCAACGACGGTAATGGCGTAGCAATCGTCGTATGTGATCGTGGACTACTACCGGCACCGGCATGACCACCTGTAGAACTCGAATAGCTTCCACTGCGTCGAATTTGAGCTTGTAGCAATCCCTCGCTGCGTGGTGATAACCGGCCTCCATTAGCTTGTTGTTGCAACGCATTCGACGCTGCAGGTCCGAGACCATGAATCGGTGCAATGGAAGGACTTGGCATAGATCGATCAGGCCCTTGCGTTGATCGCTCCGAGTGGTACGCACCACCTGGTTCATGACGCTCTGTATGATTGGTGGTTGATTTGAGAATCGAAACGGGACCTGAAGCGCTGGCTGAGTGATGTCCAGCATGTCCACTCTGACTCGCTGGCAAAGGTGCTGAAAAGCGTGTCGCTGGCATGGGGCCATTAATGAGTGATCGACCCTGTGCACTCACAGTCGATGCAGCTCGATCTTGCCTGCTGAGAACCGCTTGTTGATGTCGCGCAATAAGCGGATTCAACTCCTCGGGACCTCTCACAGTCGCGCTACTCGGATCAAGTGGATCAATCTCGCGTTTTAAACACAAGACAAATGTCCAAAGGACAAGACCTGCGTTGTAGACTAATGTTGGAACCACCATATCAGCGGCGTCCAAGACACCACCAGAAGCTTTATCCTCCCACCCACGCGTCTCACATGCTTGTTGAATATTGAGGAGTGCATGTTCAGCTGATTTCAGATCCAACTTTTTGGCCAAGAGTCGCTGTGCTGCAGCTGCTGCACGCTCATGATTGACTGCACGGCCAGATGAGTAAATGGCACCTGCTTGAATTTCCATATCAGGACCATAATGGTACAAGCCAACGCTTGCAAGACGAAACAGCATACGCGTATTATCCTCAAGTGAAGCAACTTGATGACTGCGCATGAGCATGAGTGGATGCTGATGCAACCTCAACCTATCCAACAATGCCTCGAACGTACGCAACGCATTAGAGAGAATGAGACGTTCTGTTTGAACGTTATAGGCTGCATTGGAGGTGATGGAATCGTTGTGTGAGAAAATGACGCGCGCACTGCGTCGATCTGCATGCAGGGAGATCAAATTCATGAGACCATGAATCGTGAGGTAACGCGCGAGTGCTGTCCATCGAACACTTTCAATGAGACGGTGATTTTCCGTAATGAAAGCATTGATGAGATCACGCACCAGGACCGTAGAGTCGTGTGCATTAGATGGTGTATTGGCTTGACAGGCCGCCCATGCTCGAGACGACTCGGCACGCCATAATTCATCGGAACAGGGCATGGCAATCTTCATATCCTCCACTGTCATGAGCTGAACGTGATTGAACAAGAAGGTTTGCTGAACGTCATTGATGTAGATGTAGGCAGCTAAGCGTTTTGTCGACTCACGTTTGATCCATTCCTGCCATTTTTCCTCAAGCTTGAGTCTGCGGCCTTGATAGTTCATTGTATCTGTAACGAGGAAACTGGAGCGACGCGCCATGGCAATCAATTGACCATGCAAGACATCCGACTTTTCATGCTCCGGTCGCGTGGAGAGGAAGGATCCCGCAACTTCATGGAGGAGCATGGCTTGTAAAAACATGAGATCGACTGTTGACACGCGAATGTCTGGATCATATAGCTTCCGTCGAGCAATGTGATGTAGCTGCAAGCCAATGTGATAGATGTCTGGTTTGGAGATTTGAATCAAGAAGCCATACGACAACAGACACATGAGCAGGACAGGACTGAGTGTCTCTGCTTGTAGACTCGGTCGATGCAGAATCGGCACTGTTGTATCAAGTGAATCAAGTGCCACTTGCAGCGTATCTCGAATCTCACGAACAGACAAGGCTGGCTGTGCATGCAACTCCTGCGGCAACTCTTGCAGTAGACGCGCATGCGTGAAATTGGAAATCTCAAGGGAGTCTCTTGCATGCATGGATTCCGGCGTTTGGCCAGGCGCTGAGGAATCAGTATATCCACTTGCACTGCGTTTGTCGCCATCTTGATCAAAGAATTGAGAAAAGGGTTCTTCAAAGACGCCATTGGTGCCATTGAAGATCCAATCCCAGGAGACTTCTTCGCCAAGCATAGGATCCACCTGACTCGGCATCGGCATGAGTGTACTGGAAGGCGCTGGCAGGGGTGGAGGCATGCCATACTCTACGGGCGCAGGGGCTGGTGTGAGTCCCATTGCCTGCCATGCCGTTGACGCTGCAGTCATGGGCTGAGATACTTGTTGCATGACAGGCGATGCTTGAGGTTGCAGGCCAGGGCTGGGTGATCCGGTGTATGGATTGACGCTAGTGCCGTCCAATGGCAAGTAAACATTTGGGAAATAAGGACCGCGCGAACCTGATTGTGCTTGTTGCGCTGCGCTGTGTACTGATTCTGCAGCTGCAGGCAATTGGACGGGTTGGAGCGGCGGCGACTGACTGCGCTTCGAGGAGCCTGTATCGTCCTTTGAGGACGTCTTGCGCTTTCGTTTCCTCCGTCCAATGTCGTCTGCGCTCACTGTATCCGGGGTCCCTGAGAGTAGCGAGTCAGCAGCGGCTGCCGGTGCTGGTACTGGAGCTTCTTGACTCTGGTCGTTGCGCTGCTGATGCCTGAGCTTGTGTCTGTTCAAGAGATCATTGCGGGTGAATGTCTTGCCGCAGATATCACAAGCAACCGAGACGCCCTTATGATTGAGCTGATGCCGGGTTCTATAGACAAGCAGTTAGTCATTGGACAGGGAAGGTCAAGTGAATGCAAGGGTCTTTACCTGTGTTCGGCGCGACGGTAGCGCTTCCCACAGCCGGGGTACTCGCAAACATATTTGGCAGAGACGTCGCCGCCTTCGTCTTGCGCATCGGGCATCTAGATGCCTGAGCCCTGTGATGAGATGAGAGGACGATGATGCCTCGGAGAGTCCGGGGCCCCGGTGAAGGTGACTTTGGCAGTTGAAATCGAGTGTGTGCGCTCTGTGGGATGGGAAGATTCGAGATTGATCCTGCCCCAGACAGCGAGCGGGTCAGCCAGGCAGGCGGCAGACAGACAGACAGACTCAGATTGACGGCCATTTACAGCAGATGCTCAGATGGCAGACAGTCTACTCTATAAGCCCTCTATCAACTCACGCGGTAAGAATGTCCACACAGTACCCAGGCACCCCAGCAACAGTGCAAAGACCCAAATCACATACAGACTCATCCGCTCACCCGTCCCAATCTTGTGCCCACACAGCTTCAGGTAAAATGCAACAGGCAATAGCACGCAAATTGTATAGCACAGTCCACTCCCCAACAACGACATGACTCGATCGAAACTGGGGCAAAAGATTCCCAAAATCACAGGAATCCCATTGACCAAGACACGTACCCCGAAACGAATACTCGACCGCGTCAAGATACTGCTGCCGGCCGTATGTGCCTTCACCACTCGATCATCCACGCCAAGCAAGACATCCACAGTCGTTGCAATGGGTCGTGTATTGAGCGGCATTTTCGTGAGAGGCACAATACTAATCATCACCACAATCAATACACTGATGAGCTGCGGATACCCTTCCGTGCCTAGAATGGATTGTGTGATTTCATCCATCACGGCATTTCCAAACATGAGATATCCACTCACGGCCATGGCAATATCCAAGATTGAAGTGATACCATAGCTTGTCTTGATGGCTTTCCCGAATTTGTGTGGATGTCGCATATCCTTGTACACATTGCAAAAGACGCTGTGCGCAGACCAAGGCGACATCATGAGTCCAATGGCTAGAGGTGTCAAGCCCAGCTTTTGTGGCAGCCAGTCTGTGTGGGCTGGTTGAAGCAACGAGCCGGGCGATGTATGCTTAATGAATCCATCAGCAATCACAACAAAAACAACGCTCGACGTGGCTAGAATACCAACAATGCTCGAAATGCTGAGAATTGACAGGGGTACGAATGATGACCCAAAGAACAGAAAGAATCCCATGAGTTTGAATTGCGTTGCTGTGATACTCGGCATGAGTGAATGGAGACCATCTCCGAATAGAACCACGAGTGCGGTACAGCTTGCGAGCAGTTCCATGGAGAAGGCTAGCGAAACGTAGTACCGGGCTTTTGTACCAAATGCAGCGTACGCTACATCTGCATACGTCTGGAGTTCTGGTCGATCCGCCATGCACCGCGATAGAAGCAGTGCGGTATACAGGGTTACAGCGCCACTTGCAAAGAAGAGAAGGCCACCGAGAAGCCAGCCAGCATACGCGAAACCAAGTGGCAGACTCAGGATTCCAATACCCATCAGGATATTGACACTGTTGAAGACTGTTTGATAGATGGTGGAGCCTCCGACGATAAAGTCCTTGTCGTCCAATCTACTCCCGCGACTGCCCTTTCTCTGCAACAAGGGTTTATTCTCATCTATTCTCTCAAGACTGGTGGAGACCGCACGAAGTCCTCTGTCGGGCATTCGTGCATCCTCCACGGCAGCGGTCGGGTAGTGATAAATGAATGCCTCCTCTTCATCATCGACTTCATCCTCCTCAAACGGTCTCATAATCGAACTCCGTGAATCTTCAGCATCCTGCTCAAAACTCATTTCCCCTTGCCAATCAGAGTCAATCCGATCCAATCGCGGCCGATCAGAGGCGGCATCGCCATACTGTTGCTGCACAGCCGCAAGCGTCCCAGGGGAGGTCGATTCAAGCGCATCGGCAATGAAAAAGTTACTCCGTTGAAAACTAGCAACAAAGTTGAGTAGACTATTCGGCGGTTGATCAGTCGCTCCCGTAGGAGGTCGTTCATGCGCTGTAGCAACGGAGAAACGGCGCCGAGAACTATAGCTGGCGTTGGCAGGGTTGAGTGAGTGTGTGTCATCGCGTAAGGTTCCGTAGGTTTGCGGCGCGCGTCGCGTGGTTGATTCGTTGAGGTCGTTGCGCGCATGCGGCGACGTGCTGCTTGGGATATTCATTCTCTTGCTTGATAAAGCTGATGACCCGTCTGCGACTCCAAGCGCGCTCTTTAGAGCAGGGACGCTAGGAAGAAGAGCTGAGGTTCACGGTTTCTAAGGAGTTCTTTAGGTTCTGCTTGAGCACTCTTGGGAATGAAAACAAAAACACGGATGACGTTTTGATTCTTGCTTTTTCTGCGCTCAAGTGCAGGAAGGCATGGTGTTTAGTAGAGAGCAAGCTTGTCTCAACGTTGTCAGCAGCTGCTAGAGAAGTAGGAGGGAGCAAAGGAAGCGCGCGGTCTATGTCCAGAATCAGAAGCAGGGCAGCGGGATTACGAGGGTGACAGAGGGTCGTAGCAGAGATAAGGCAAGTGGGGCACAGCACAAATCAGGTACGTATATGGTCAATTTCAACTATTGTATAGCTCTCTCTGGAGATCATCAATCTACGAGGCAGGAGAGAGCCTCGCACAGATCTGTCAACGGCGCTCTACCGGCCCGTACTTTCCTGCCTCTCATATTGACAATGAGCGTCTTCTCGACTATTCCGCGATAACGGCAATTTTTACCCCTGTACGAATTTCCATCACACGACCAAATTCGACCCAGAGATGGCCACCCCGGTCAACAGTGCTGATGGTCGGTCATCGAGGCAGACTCTGGCAGTGTAAGAAGTCAGGACTCAGTAGCCTTGAGTCTATCTATCTTGGGCGATCGACTTCAGTGCTTCAAAGACAGCGTATGCCTACTCTTTGCCCCTTCATAACTCCAGCAAGGACGTGACCGAGTCCTCTAAATTCAATGGCTTCAACGGAGGCCGCCGTAGCCCGCTCGCAGGCCGATAAGCACCTTGACTCGCTGAACTGCCTCTTCGTTTCACTTCAAACGTCTTGCCGGTATTTCCTAGTGCTTGCGATTTTGCTGGACTCATGTCCCTGCCGAGCTCACTGGCATGTGATGTCTGATTGATGTTGCCTTCACTTGAGCTGTATTGCGGTTTGGTTGATGCGTTGGGACTGTCAAGCATGCTGAAATGGCGAACAGGGCGAATATTGTTCTTATCTCTCTGAGGTTGAGGCAGGAGCTAGCCTTTATAGAATGTGTAGTCTGTGGATTGCATGGCGTGATGATGAGAATTCGAATTTGTTTCAGGCACAATCGCGAAAGGAGCGCAGACGCCGCGGCCACAGAGTGCTGCAATCCATGGCCGCCAAGGTGGACTGGTTGAATGCAGTGATACTTTCTGATCAAGCAACGATCGCGACGAATACTGGAAACAAGACGACAATTTGGACGGACTACAAGTCTTCGTCTTCTACATGCATCTCGAAATCCATGAATGTCAATCATCATCTACTTCAAAGTAACGCTGAGCTGGTGGCGACCGGGCTCCTGATGACACATCAAAGGCTCTCAGGCAAGCTCTAGCATGGCCCATAGAACCTTGGTGGTGTTGTGGAGCTTCAACTTGTCGGGGTTGACGTCCCACGTACACAGTGACTTGCCTTGGTGGCGAGACGCTCGAAAGACGGAGGTTACGGCCGTGTGTCTCGCCAGAAATAACGTAGATTGCGTGCATCACGTTTGAGGTCGTGATAGCAGCACGAATAGGCGATACAGCATGCGACAGAGCGTCTCCTTTCGATTGTCGTGGATATCGTTTAGAAATGTCACCACCAGATCATGTAAGTATACCAGACAAGTACCACAACAGCCACACTGGCAAACTGTCGTACCGCCATGTTGATCTTCCCAAGTAGTGTAATCCGACCAGCATTCGCCTTTGCTCCTTCCCGAACATTGTTGATTACAGGCTGTTCTATTTCCGTTTCAAATGTAGTCAGAGGCAAGTAGGACCAGCCTTTCATCTCTTTTGGACCTTGATAGAACTGACTTGCCACCAGCAAGACAAGTGTCAACGCCAGCAAAACTGCATAATTGACCAGCAACGGCAGCTGCCCCGGCAAAAGGCACAGACGTGTTTCGTAGCTTTCTTTATTGAGGGCCACAAGTTGAAACCCCGGATGCTGAATACCCATGGCCCACGAGAAACTCTTGACATTGATTTCATGTACTGGGCCAGAGGGCCGAGGATGTGCAAAGTCACAATAATCGTGATCATCCCCAGCGAAAATCAGCGATGGCTGTACTGCTTTCCAAATGGCATCCGAGGTGTCAGGTAGTAACACATTTTGATACTGATGACCGCCTTGAATCAGAATACTCTGCTGAGACTCGCGCATGGGTCCACAATCGGAGTCTGGCGGTCGATACAGCGGGACATGAGTGACGAGCAAACGAGGTTTGCTTGGCTTACCAAGACCGTCCATGAACGCCTGTGCTTTATCCGCCATGGTTGCTTCACTCGAAGTCAGCGAGATGGAATCCAGCATGACAACTTGCCAAGCACCTACATCGAAAGTGATGGACGTGTTGCCAAAATGCTTCCTGAAACGGTCATAGACTGCTGGGCGCATGCCATCCGTAATGCCAATGTCGTGATTGCCCGGTAAATTGAAGAATGCCCGATTGTGCGGTTGTTCGGGGAAGATGCCACGAAAGCGATCGTACTCTGCCATCCAGACAGCATCGTCCGCCCACTCACGTCCACCATCAAACAAATCACCCGTAAAAAGCGTGCTTTGCGGCTTCAGCTTTGCATGCAGCAATCGATAGTTACGCTTCATGTAGAGGTCCGTGAAGAATTGAGTCGCTGCCAATGCTAATCCTCGCCGTGCATATGTGTTCTCATCAACCAACTGCGGATCGCCAATCAGGACGAGCCGATGATCAGCCTCCTTGTGCGTTGTCCAGCGCGACCACGCACAATCAGCTATATGCGACTTCCAGATGTATGACTCTTGGTAGCATATAGCAAGGATCCACAGCAAACGCAGAGCATTGACAAGGGACGGACGTAGTGTCTTGCTTAGCTTGATTTGGCTCGGCGCTGGACCAGTAGCGTGTCTGATGTCCGTTATTCTATGAGGTGGATCAAGCTGTTCGCTGTGCATGAGCTCGTTCTAGACGTTCCCTGAGCCAGCCAGCAGCTCTGCAGTAGCTTCGTCACGGTGTTTACAGTCTAGCGCGTGTGTGATGAATCTGACGTCGACCTCCAGAAAAAAAGTTGAATGCCGACACCCAGCAAGATCCTTATAGAGCCCATTGGCGCATGGCAGCTACGCTCGAGCCGAGTCTGGTTGCAATTGGATGCAATGCCTGTACTCATGCAGTGAGCTGGTCGGAGTCTGGCGAGATTGCGTACGCGGCAGGCCAGACGGTAGCGCTCTATAACCCTTCACGACCGTTTGGCGTACAAAGAACGCTGCTGGGCCATACTGGACAGGTCACGGCTGTGCGGTGGATCGACCAGGACACGGTCATCAGTGGAAGTACAGATAACGCGTTGCGAATATGGCGTCGACAAACCTCGCAGGTGGATGCAGACTGGGCTTGCCAGGAAGTCTGCACACATGACAAGTCCATCTCTTGCATTGTCTCATGCGGAAGCCTGGTCATTTCGAGCGCTATGGATGGAAACATCTGTGTCTTTCAATTTGATGCCGAAAAGGGCCTTTGTGAAGTACAAAAGCTCAGCTACAGTCCACTCATACCGCTCACAATGGCCCTCGCCAAATTGCCAAACTCTAATGACTACGTGCTAGCGGTTGGAGGCACGACGACAAAAATATCTCTATATACAACGTCCAACGGCTCGGCTGGTGGCCTTCAATTTACGTTCAAGACCAAGCTTGCCGGCCATGAGGACTGGATTCGCTCATTAGACTTTCTCGAGGATGACAGGGACCTTCTTCTTGCTTCTGGGTCACAAGATCGTTACGTACGGATATGGCGAATTGGCGCGGCTCCCTCAAATTCGACAGACAAGGAGACCGATGAACTTGACGCACTTGCCAACCTGGACTTACTGCAAAACAAGGTCTTTCCTTTCGCAAGCTCGTCCAAGCATTCTTGGGAAGCCCGATTTGAAGCTCTCCTTGTAAGCCACGAGGACTGGGTCTTTAGTGTTCAGCTCTCGCGGACGTCAGACGGCACACCCTGTCTTCTCTCCGCTTCTGCAGACTCTTCCGTGATTGTATGGCAACCTGATGCAGACGCAGATATCTGGACAGTCAGTGCACAACTCGGCATCATTGCAACAAAAGGTGCAAGTACGGCGACTGGGTCGACAGGCGGATTTTGGGGTGCCGTCTTTGGTGGCGCTTCTGCAAGTCATCCAACCTTGCCGGACGCCACTCAGATTTGCGCATGGAATAGAACAGGTGCACTTCGTCTTTGGAAAAAGCATTCTTTTGATGATGGTGGCAGCGCGCGGTGGCAGGGTGTCAATGCTATTGGAGGCCATACAAAGCAAGTACGCTCCTTGTCTTGGTCGCCAGGCGGCGAATACCTTTTGACGACCTCGCTCGATCAAACCACTAGGCTATGGGCGTGTAATGCTGAGACCAAAGCATGGCAAGAGTTTGCGAGACCTCAAATACATGGCTTTGATCTTCAAATGATCCATGCACTCTCTGCGGACAAATTCCTTTCAGGGGCAGAAGAGAAGCTGGTGCGTGTCTTCGAAGCTTCTGGCAGTGTCTTGAACCTGCTCAATCGGGTCGCAAAGACGGATATTGTTGTTGGACAAGAGGCGGCCGAGTCGGCCAATTTACCAGCCCTGGGATTGTCTAATAAAGCACTCGGCGCTCAAGATCGCGGGACACATCTCGATCGCAGTGCTTTGGATGCGTCGTCTACAACAGACCTCGACGCAGAGCAGCAGGCCTCTCTGCCTGTCAGCAAGCAAGCTCTTGATGATCTCACAAATGCACCCCTCGAAGATCACCTGCAACGACACACTCTCTTTCCAGAATCAGAAAAGCTCTATGGCCACGGATACGAGATTCAGGCATTATCTGCGACGCACAATGGCAGAATTATTGTTTCTGGGTGCCGAGCTACGACTCCTGAACATGCATGTCTGCGTTTCTATGATGCAGAGACATACCGACAGCTTGGGCAACTTTATGGCCATACGTTGACTGTGACGCAGGCACGCTTTTCCGCAAATGACACATTCCTCCTGAGTGTTTCGAGAGACCGTTCTCTGATTTTGTACAAACACGCTGCGTCCAGCGAGACTGGCTTTGATGTTGTCAAGACTGTCAAGAAGGCGCACAAACGCATCATTTGGGACTGTGCTTGGCATCCAAATAGCACACTTTTCGCCACTGCGAGTCGAGATTCTAGTGTCGCATTGTGGACTGTGAGCGAAAGTGAGGAGGGAGTGTCTGTCAGTCAGATTCAGTCTCTGACGCTGGCGTCAGCTGCGACTGCAATTGCCTTTTCAGCGGACGGTACACTTGCTGTGGGCTGCGAAGATGGCTCTTTTCATGTGTATATGGTGCTTGACCAGCACGCAACGCTGTCCCTCAGTACGAGACCTTGCGGAGCAGCCATTACAGCTGTCGCTTTCAACCCAGTCAAAGCAGCGGAAGTAGCTATGTGCAGCGAAGACTGCTCTGTTCGCATCAGTCAGCTGCAAAAAGGACGCTGAGCACATCATTGAATGAAACGCATAAATGCCAAAACAAGCGAGCCCACACCAGCAATGAAGGCAGCAAACCACTGTAGCATCTGGAACTTGACCGTTTCGAGCTGTGTTCGGATATTGGCAATCTCCGTATCAATCTTGGTATCTGTCTCCCGAATCTTGAGCTCGTGAATGCTGGACTCTTCGCGGATACGGCCCTTTTCGAGATTGAGATCGAGTCGTACATTGGCTTGCGTCTTGGCAATCTCCTCCTTGAGCCGCTGCTTGAGCTTCTCAAGGTCAGAGATGATTCGATCCTGATCACTCTTCACAAGAGAATGATCGTTCTTCTCCAGTGTCTGCAACTCGCTCCGTAGCTTGGCAAAATCAACCTTTTGTGTGTATGTTGTCTTCTCCTGCTCTTCCTTTGACACAAGCGTCATACGTAGCCCATCTATACTCTCTGAAATCACATCTGATAATGCGCGCATAGCAGCTTGTGATTGAGATGCAGAGAAGCCTTCTGCCTCTAGCTTCTTGACGAACTTGAGCGTGTCGAAATGGTACCGCTGTTCACGCAAGAGTGCGCTATGAGCGAAAGCGCGGTGTTGTGAGGTCGCGCGAATGAGATGCCGCGTCGCCAGTGCTCGTGCCGCCATGGGTATTGATGGCCCTCTGCAGAAGATGCTGCTAACGGTCTGTCTTGCACTTGCTTGTTGATTTGGTCTTTTGCCGTTGCGAGATTTTGAATTCGTCGCGAGAAGACCAAGAGACATCTTCCCTAAGTCATCCTAGGCCCTTGCTCTAATCCTCAGCTCGCCGATAGAGGCTTCTGCTGCTATGGCTGAGAATGATCAGCTCTTCAAGACCATCATCGACATAACGACAAAAGGTATAGCAGCATCACACGGCGTACCGTACAGACTAACACACATTTCCTAGGCGCCGGCAACTTTGTCGAAGTCTACTATAAGACATACGATACCAATCGCCCGAGTCTCTCAAAGTTCTACAGGCCGTCGTCACGCATCATCTGGAATGGCAATCCCATGGTCGGCTCTGCAAAGATGGCTGAGTTTGTCAATAAACTTCCATCCACCGAACACGACGTGCAAGGCTTTGACTGCCATCCCCTCGTCTCCAGCAATGCAAACGCAGGTGAAGCACCGGATATCATGCTGATTGTCAGCGGTAGCGTCAAATTTGGCGGCGAGCCACAGGTACGTGGTTTTAGCCAGAGCTTCAACCTGAAGCAGGATCCAGAGAAGCCAGGGACCTACTACGTGGACTCTGATTGCTTTCGGCAAGTCACATTGACTTGAATGAGGATTGGACCGACATGCAAAGGGGAGGTTGACGATGAGTGGAAACAGCATAGCAAGCGAAGTCCCTGGGTGTTTCTGGCAAGCCCAAAGGCAGATAGATAATGTATTTACAAGAATAACAATGCACAAAGCTGGCGTGAAGGCTAGCTCCTGTTGACCAGTCTTGGACTTAGTGTCAAGTTGGCCAGATGAAGGATGTATTTCCAGGCTTCTTACGGCCTTATATTTAGAGAAACAGCTTGAGGAACTCGTAGATGAAGCCACCAAAGATGAGCGTTCCCACAATACCTATCGTGTTAACGTATTTCGTATGCAAGGTATGAGAACATACCAATTGTGACCTTTTGTGCGGTAGAGCGCTTGACGACTTCCTTCTTTGTGGCCTGTTTCAGGACCTGCTCTGGCGCCTTGCCGCGCTTGCTCGCCTCTTTCTTGGCGAATGCCTCATTGGCCTGTCTCTGTCTCGCTGACTGCACTTTACCCGACATACTCAGCAGATGCGTGTTGTTGGGTCAGATCTCCCGTCGCGTTGCCCGGGTTTGTGTTTCGCTGGCAAAAGTCAATGAGATGGGCAGCAAGAAAGAGCATCAAGCAGGATTCAAGGTTTCATTTCCATCATTGACAAGTTTACAACATCAGCAGGTGCATCTATTTGGCCTTATCTGCCTTGGACTGCAGTGCAAACCATCGACTTCGACACTGCCGCTGCGTCTTCCCCGGGATCTGCTCACTGATCCGTGCCCACTTCTTTTCAAAATACGCAGTCAAGTGCAACAACTGCTTATCCAGCGTAGGCGTCCATCGACCACGCACAACCTTTGGATCCAGAGCTTCTGACCAATGTGCTTGACACTGCTGCCCTGAACGGGGCGCGCCCAAGCCACGCCCTATTATCGCCCATGGAATGGGTTCTTCATCGTCTTTCGCCAAATGTGCATGAATGAGCGCCAACAGCTCGGCATCATCCTGTTTTGTCCAAACACCAATCGTCATGCCAATCTTATTGACAGGTCGGCCACCAGGTTGCGGCAAGGGCATGGGTCTCGGTGGAGACTTGACGATACGCTGTAAGTGAGGTTGTGATTGTGCTCCATTCGTCACATTGAACGCCATGGTATTGGTCACTTTGGGCGCAAAAGATTGTTGTTGAGCCTGCGGACTCGCCTCGACACTCGAGTCTGGCGTGATGGTGGTAGCTTGACCGCAACCCGTCACATCTGTTGCTGATGAAGAACAAGAACCACTGCCTGTTTGCTGGTGTGAATACGGTGCAGTCCGCATCAGCGGCGGAGGCGTGGAAACATCTCGTGTGTCGATGTTGGAGCATACGTGAGTACTGCGTGGTCTCTTCTGGCGCGGTGAATAGATCAGTCCATTGGACGGTATCCGCTCATGATGTTGCAACGAGGAATGCAGCGGAAGTACCGATTGCTCGGTCCCTGGACGAGTCATATCATGTAAACATTGCGGCTGCTCATAGGGCGGTGTGACGAGCTGATGCCGGTCCGGTGGTATGCCCGCATTTCGAGGATAGTACGCCTGGAAGGGCATTGGCGTCGTCGCAGCCTCGTTGGGTAATGACCATGGCCCTGAAAGACCATACCCAACAGGCGGCCCAAAGACCATCCCTAGCCCCTGAAGTCCGTAGCTTCCTGCATCGCTGTGATGCTGTCGAGATTGCTCAGGAAAATACCATTCCGTATCAAGCTCAAGGTTCGGCGGTGAGACGAGTTGTCCGTTGTATGGATGTGTGTCGCTGAATGATGGGCCTCGTACGTAAGGATTCGATGAAAAGCCCATGGCCGGTGATGCAAAAGTCGGACACTCGCCAGTCGGCGTCCAAGGCTGTTGCATCAATGGACGCGTTGCATCGTCCGTCAAATCGAGCGTCGCGACAGGCTGAAAATGTGCATGTGGTAGATGCGCGCTATACATGATGCTCTTTGTCCAGCAGCCCTGGTAAGGGCAGTCGCGAAGTAGTGAGCGTCCAGTCCTTCAGCAAAGGATACTAACAAAAAAATGTTGAAAACCTGGAGAGGGAATGATCAGGCAGCACGAAGTAGTGTTTATTGCCTGAGCCGCGAAAGTCAAGGTTGGGTGCAAAGGCCGATACTCCCCAGGAGAGCCATGAACTGGAAAGCTTTGACAGGAGTGGGACGGCCGTGGCTCACAAGCAGAGCTGGACAACGCTTCGTCATTAGGCTGGCAACCATGGAAGTTGCATTTAAGTGCCAGGGGCAGTAAGCGATGGAGCTACTACGGGCTAGCAGACACAAAGACTGTCTCCTTCGAGTCTCCCGCTTCACGGGGTGCGGAAAGGCGCACAGAGAGCAAAGCGACCGATACTTGTCAAGTAACAATTAAGTCGCTGGCACCAGGTCGCGCTGCAGTCTCATGTTGGGCCCATACTTTCACGCCAAAGATAAAGTTTCTCTCACGCAACAAAGCTCGGTCAGATGGGAGGGCAACGGAGGACACGACGACGGCGGCAATGCAGTTGACAGCAGAGACGCTATGACAGTGCTTGCTGGAAAGCTTGAAGAGCTCGAGCTCAGCTTTGTACAGCCGTGCTCACGGACATCTATGATCTGTTGCTTTAATGACCCGTAACTGGTGGTTTGCCGCTCAGTCAAGCCCATGCGAGCTTTGTACCGGTTGTACTGGGGCACTTGAGACTCTGCTCTGCTTGTTCAGAGCAGAGTCTCAAGCTATGCTTGACGAATGCACCCGGATGCGCCGCCTTGAGGCTGCTCGGTACGATGTGGCAGACTTTGCTGACGAGATCCAACTATGGATATGCAAGTCATACAATCGTGCCGCAAGACATGTACATGTCGGATGCATGTGTCATACGGCTCAACAATCTGACTTGGATAGGGTAGCTGTCTTGCAGTGGCCTGCAGAAGGCCATGTGTGTATCGCGTATGATCGCAGCACATGCCAGCCGATCTGAAGCGTGAGCGCGGCACAGAAAGTGAGACCACGGGAATTATCGAACCAGATTTGGACACTTCATGTCTTTGGTCCTCCATGTCTTCTATCTTCATATTCGAGTGATGAATGGCCTGTCAGGGTTTTAGCAGGCTTCACTTCGGGTTCTCCTTTATTGAGTCAACACGACAGACTCTCGGACAGAGACATCTGATCGTTTCAGCTATGCAGTGAGCATGTCTGGCCGTCCGGTCCGGCCTGTCTGAGATGCCGACTCTTTGCCGACGATACCACTCCATAGTCCAGCAGACACTGCCACACTGTGCGACTCTGCTGACCTCACACTACATGCTTGCAAACGCGCGGACCCGACACTACGCCATTCACATGTACACAAGATTTCAAGCATTGAAAACAATCTTGGTTGACTTTGAAGTCAAATAGATGCAAGTTGGTATATCCGGGGTGGGATCGGACATGGCCCCAGAAGCGAGAGTCATGATTTATTGCCGCACATCTTGCGGCCGTTCCTGGGATCACTGCTATGTACTAGATTGAGTGTGCGTAGCCTCCGTCTGCAAGTGCCAGATTGGATTAAGCCTTATGTCGTTCAGATCATGGAAAGGCCTCGAATTTAAGGGGAATAATTGACAGCAACAAATCAAAAATCTGATCGACCAATGGCGGGGTCTGGGACAGGCAACCACAGTGGCCACTCTCCAGCAGACTGCAGGTTCAAGCTCAACTACTGACAACTAGGCATAAACGATGATTACGATGGCGTTGCACCCTCGCCTAACAAGCCCTTCACAGGCCCAACGGCTCGAACGTTGCAAACGCAGATATCAATTCCAGATAGCGACGCTGCCGACGCAGCGGCCAGCGCCACGTTGCAGCCCGTGATGAAAATCCTTGGACCTTTCAACATGGACAACCATCACGTATCACTTGTAAAACTTCCCGTGACGATTCCCGTCACTGTCTATGAGCTTCGCGGCTTGCCTGGACCACGGAGAGGTTCTTTCTTGAGACAGGCACATGATTGAATAGGTGAGTTAGCGCTTGCGAAGACACCGAGATGAATCCGGTACTTGCATATTGCAAGTGCCCGCAGCCAGTGGAGAAAGCAGTTTGTATGTTAGTGAGGAAGCACTGCCGTTTCTAGCCATGCTTGCCGTTAGTCAAAGGTGTCCTGTGCATTTGCTGCTGTCCAAATATACAGCTTCATGTGGCAGCGATCAGAACTGTCAATCGTCCGTGCAGAGATCGAGATTGAGGATAGTGATGACGGGCTATAGCGTGCGTTGCCGAGGCCGCCCGTTAGGTGTGTGGGTAGGTGAGAATAGCGTTGGTATTGGAGCCTCGGCGACTCTTGGTATCACTGCTGTCCAGTGAGTACCAGGTCGGTGCGGCAAGAAAGGCAATTTGTTTCACGGAGTGAGCGCCCGATTGTGACAGGTCTGTCAAATCATGCAGCAATGACTGTCGAGCTCTTGACGTGTAGCACAGAGCTGCACATGCACTATCTGGTGTGAATTTGGCACCACGGCAGCAGTGGGACATCCAAAAACTGTCTTGAACCACACGGGCTGTCGCTTGTCTCAAGTCTTCAGACTTTTAAATCGTGACAGGGTGGAACCACTTAATTTTCACGGCACGGGCAGCCCTTCACAACTGCACTTGTGCCTTAACGCTTCCATCAATTGGAGACATGCCCGTCTATCAAGCCACCGTCAGCCATCGATCAAGCTTTGCTGCAATGCTGCCGAGCTCTGTATCACAATCGAGCAACTGAACGCTAAGCGGGCTGTTTGACATGTCTCACAAGTTACCCGTCGCAAGGTGAGGTGCGGGAAAGCTTGAGGCGAAATCCTCAGAGCGCCGACGACTCGGTTCAGCACAATCAGTATAAAGACATGATGGCCTGCTCTCTCTTTGCGGACCATCAAAAGCTATTTCCCATCACCAAGGACAGCAATGCAGACTCCTGAACAGCCTCAGAGACCATTCTATTCGGGCATGCCAAAGTACCACTCATGGTCAAGTTATTCGACACCATACCGCCCTGAGCAGTTGTATATGCCAGAGGGATACTTCCCCTTGCAAACATTCCAGGATCCCATCCACCAAGCATACTCACCGATGGCCTTTGGTCAATACCCAGATGCTCTACACCAGCAAGTCATGTCACAATGGCAAGGCCCGAGCTACATTGCGGCAGCACCATACAGCAGCTACGCACCGAGGACATCAGTATGTCAGTGCTCGACTGGACACACCACACCTGCTGTCCTTGGCTCACCACTTCAACCATCTACGCCACTGTCAATGGAGTCTCAAACGCCCACCTTAGATGCCCCACAAGACGTCAGCTTTGAGTACTTTGACGCAGCAGTTCAATACCAGAATGAGCTCTGCCTGAGCCCCAACAATCTCCCTGCTACACCCACGGAAGAGATGGTCTTTGGTCTTGGCATCAGCTTCCCCCAGCAAACAGCGAAGCATGGAGAAGACCTGATGACTCCACCTACCACACCTACGAAGCTTCCTAGGACTTCAGTGTCTGAGTCACCCATCGCTCGGCGTAAGTGGACAGCTGACGAGGACGAAGCTCTTACCGAAGCCGTTGCCAAGTATGCAACATGTGCTCAGAAGTGGAAGAAGGTTGCTGCAGCTGTTGGCAACAGGCACGCAAAGCTCTGTGCCAAGCGTTGGGATTATCTCGACCGTACCACCATGAAGGGAGTCAAGCGTGGACGATGGACATACGATGAAGATGTTGTGCTCTCGCAGCTTGTTCGCGATTGGACTTCATCGCGCACTGACAAGATCAACTGGAATGTCATCGCCACTCAGTTGCCTCGTCTTCGCAGTGGCACTCAAGCCCAGGCGCGCTACACAGAAACACTTGACCCCTCAATCAAGAAGGGCTGGTGGACGCCAGAGGAGATTATGGCCCTTCAAGCAGCTATTCAGCTCTATGGCACATGTTGGCGTCAAGTCGCTCAAGAGGTACCTGGACGTACTCAACGCCAGTGTCGCATGCGCTACTTGGCTTTGGCTGGTACCAGTGACGAACAAGATGAGGCACGGTGCGATAGTGCCTAAATGATTCGATATAAGATACTTTGCTAGCGTCGGCGTTGTCCTTAGATTGTTGAAAATTCACTACATATACAACCATCTGAATACGTGCGAGTGAAAGCCAGGTGAACAGAATTCTGAGGCTGGGACATGAATCTCACCAAGTGCAAGTGCCAAGTTAGTACTCGATCTCGATCACAAGCAGATGACAGCTCATCTTGCATGATACACATCAATGGCGACGGTATGTCTCTGCGAAGAGCCGCCTACCTATGGCGTGTCAGGTTCTTGAGATTTTATGACGAGAGATGCCGAGCATCAAGTTGCCATCAACGCCTTGTTTTGACCATTTCCGATCTCGCATTTCTTATCTAATTCAAGGTGATTGCACGGCAGATCTACACACATGTTATATTTTTGTCATCCGTTGGAAAGTGATGCGTCTGAACATAAGATTAGTCGTTGTCATCGACGTCATCTGAGCTTCCCGTTTCATGCATGAGCTGCAGCGGACGTTAAAGTCTACGACTTGTCCAATTACAAAAGACAAGAACTCGCTAAAGACATTGCACTATAAAATAAGTCTACAATGCAATACCGCTGTGAAGGAATCCCTTGGATATAGCTATTCTAGTAACGGGCTGATCGAGAGGCCGCCATGGTCCATTGGTTAGCGCTCATTGGAAAGAAAGTTCGACGTTGTACTTGTACAATGCTACGCTAAATCGAAAACATCACTAGCTAACTCACTCTACCTCTTTTTCGTCTTGCTGCAGTCTTGCCAAACTTTGATGTAGTCGATGACCATTTCGCTTCTGCCATTCTCCCAGCTTGGGAGCCACAAATCGCGATGCTCATACATCTCACGCATGCCACCCAACCTCAATGAGCCATCTTGCCAAGGCTTGTCTGGCGACCCCTGCTCTTCACTGAAGTAGCGATTCGCAGAGCCAACGGCGTTGTTGAGAATCAGGTAGAACTCCTGGTCGAAAGGTGCAGACAAATTGGAGCTTTGACCTTGCTGGAATAGAGCGCCTTGCTCAAAGTCCACTCTGATGACAGTGCGCAGCTCATTGTCGATGTATGTCTTGATGTACTTCTCTGTCCAAATCATGCCATAGATGTGCCACTCAGAGCCAAGCGCTTTTTGGGTCTGATGAATGTGCGCATCATAACTCACACCCGCGTGAATTGCTGAATTCATGACATTGTTGCCTGCTGGAAAGCCACCGGCAAAGACATAGGTGTAGTTGTTGCCTCGCATCTCAATGATATCGATCTCGCCAGAGAACGGCCAACCGCCATAAGTGTTTGTGGTTGGAAGCATCCAGAAAGCAGCCCAAAGCCAATCGCCCTGGGGCATTTTGGCTCGCATCTCAATTTTACCATACATGAAAGAGAATTTGTCCTTCGTCGTCAGTCGAGAAGATTTGAAGGGGTTGATGGAACGGCCCTGGGTCGAGTTGACATAAGCCACACAAGGATCGTCGATGGCGTCGTAAGGAGCTGTGCATTCTCCGGTAGCCGTCAAGTTGACCATGTCCCCCTCTTTGTACTGGTTTGGATCATTCAGCGTTGGCTTCATGTGAAGTGCACCGTTCTCGACCCAGGAGTTCTCTGGATCTGCCGTAGTCCACTCAAAAGAGGAAACACCCCAACCTCCCAATCCGATATCATGATTCCAGGTGTCCATGTTGAACGTATCAAAGTTGTCCTCGAAGACGAGACACCACTGGTGCTTGTCGTACTTTGCAGTTTCGAGATACGCAAACGCTGCTGCGACGAGGAGCCCAACAACCCAGCCAGCCCAGATGATATAGTTGCTCCATTTTTCACTGCGAGGCACCTTGCGATCCTTCCAGGGCTTCTCTACGGGACCTTTGATCTTGCGCGACACGAATTGCGCATGACGACGTCCGCCGAGTTCCATCGGCGGTACGTCTTGTACTGATGAGCTTTCTGACGGAAACTTGTCGCTATACTCCAATGTGACACTCATGATGAATATAGTGTATGCAATCGATGGTAGAAGACCGTAGAGAAGTGGTGATTACCGCAGCTTTCAAGAGCGTGATAGTCTACAGAGCCCATAATCGGCCATCTGTGGCCTGTGACTCGATTGCGCGCTCCTGACACAGTGTGCGCGCTTGCGCATAGATCAGCCGAAGGCCCCAAGGCAGCTTGCTGACTCGGGCATGTGTGCTGGCGAGTTGCCGCTCACTGAGCCCGGTTTGGTGCCGTGGGTCTGCCAGCTAAAGTATGGGCCAGACAGCAAAAATTAAGTGACCCACTCAGCAGCAGCAAGCTCGGGCTGGCAGTAACACTCACTTGAGTGGAGCTTCAGGACAGCAATAATGGAGAAAGTCATCATCAAGTGCGACTAGCTTGTGAATGAGCTACACTTGCGTACATGAGGAGACGTTGCACTGGAGCATCTGGGTAGTCGGACACCATATGAGCGCGACAAGAATTATTCATCAGATGGGTAAGTAGCACAATTAGGCAAATAGAAAGACAAAGGCATGCTGGCGAGTGCTTTATCTATACGCAACGCTACAAATACATATACCCTCGTCATAATCAATCGCATTGCTGCCACATTTTCACGGACTCAACAGACATGCCACGCTTCTCCTCATCAACTGGCCATGTTGGCTGCCAGGAGTCTCTGTGCTCCCAGAAGGACTTGATGGAAGATGTGCGGTTCTGTGTGTCTTGCCATGGCTTGTTTGCAGCAACAGGGAAGTATCCACCCTGCTTGCCAGCACCCTGACTACCAACAGCGACATTGATAGACAAGTAGAAGGACTGGTCGAAGGGAGCATTGACACCGGCACCAAGCCAAGGGTTTATAACATTCTGGCCCTCAAAGCCGCCAACATCCCAAAATGTTTCGGTCGTCGGTCGGTAAACGACCTGTGCAAGTCGAGAATCGACGTAAGTGTAGATGTACTTCTCGCTCCACTCGACACCGAAAGTGTGGTATTCGTCCGACCAAGCTCCTTTGTTGGCCAGCGCAAATCCGTTGCTCTTGTCGACACGATCGTTGTCACTGGCAGGACCCCAGTGGAAAGCACTTGTCAGTCTGCGCGAACCGACTTTGCTCGCGGGCATCTTCTTGGTGCCTGTCAACTGCTTGTTGCCCATGGACTCCATGATCTTAATTTCGCCTGACTTCGGGAACTCGCCGTAAACGTTATTGACCGGCTCCAGCGTGATTGCTGGCCATAGCCAGTCTCCCGTAGGCATACGCGCTCGTACTTCGACGCGACCGTACTTGATGGACATGGATTTCTTGGTTGAAATGCGAGCAGACTTGATGGGGTTGATGATGGAGTCTAGTGTCGAATTGGACTGCGCGACACAATCTTCTGTAAACTTTGAGGTACAGCCTTGCTCTGTAATGTTGAGCGTAGCGCCCTCTGTCTGGTCAACCAAGTTGAGTGTAGGCACGATCAGTAGGCGGCCATTCTCCACTCTGACATTCTCGTTTGTGTCATCGTAGAACTGAAAGTCGCCATTCCTGTAGCCGTTGAGCTGCTTATCCGCAGACCACACGTCAGTGTTGAATGTGCTGAAGTCGTCATGCAGGACGAGGCAGTACTTGTGTGTGGGCACTGCAACGTAGCCAGCATAGACGTAGTACGCCGTGATCAGAATTCCAATGCCGAGCCCAACAAAAGGTAATGCTTGCGCCAAGCGCTCCGCCTTGCCCTTCTTCTCCTCAAGCCAAGGCTTTGGCACTTCACCGCGATTACGCGTCGACCGCCGTCTAACAGTCGCTTGTACAAACTTCTCATCATATTGAAAGCTTCCCTCGCTCGAAAAGGGTGCTGCTAGTTGGCCAGCAACAGTGACAGCTGTGGGTGTAATGTCCTCCATGAGAGTGTGATGTTGTGATGGACTTCGTTGGCAAGAGGGATCAGCTCAGCGCGGAAGGAGGTTCTTTTAGCAGTGCCTGACTGTGGGACGCATCCCAGGCATATCTGCAGAACAAGTCGCCCATACTTGTCATGAGCGCAAGTCAGGCGTTTGACCTGTGGCGAAGTTATGGGAGGGATCCCGTCACCTGAGAGGCCGAGCTAATCTGGACACTCCCAGTTGAGGGCTCTGAGCACCGGAGTCCGGATAGCCTTCGGGCGACATAGAAGGTGAAGCAATTAAAACGCACAAGTGATGTTTCATACTGCCGCCTGCCAGGTCACATCACAGCGGATATTACTGGATGGGCTGCACCAGTCGGCAGATTGTGTTTCTCGCTTGGGCGGGCCTGCCAGGATCTTGGTTTCTTGGACCGCGGGCTGACTTTCTTGAGACCTGCACCAAAAAAGGCCCAAGGATGCTGACAACAGCAGAACTGACACCTTAAGACTTTACCCACATGTACACACGTAGCGCTACTGCAGTGCCGTGTCGGCCTGAGCCTGTTCGTGGGCTGCCGGGCTGCGGTCTCTGTTCATTCTCCAATCTGCAGCTATGTCGGCAGAGTATGGGTGATTGCAGGCCAAACTGCGGCGATCAAGCTATCTAAAACCAGCTGCTAGCCACTCTCTTTCGTATGCATTTTAGTCTCATCACCTTATTGTCTCTGCACATCGGCCATCTGTCTCTCTTCTTGACAGTTCGCAATGGGCTTCGGTTCCTACTTCAGACGCTCAAAGCGCGATGCTGAGATTGATGCTGAGAAGCAACAGCAGCAAGCGGTTGTCGCTCATGGCACGCCATCCATCATATCGAGCACCGCTGCACAGACACCGCGGACGCCTGGCTCGCCGCGTACACCGAAGCAAACGTCGACGGCCGCATCTAGCATCACAGATTCTTCTGGCGCGCGTACACCTTGGCTCAAGGCTGTTGATAGGCCAGACTTGGTGGTACGGCATATCCACAAGCAGTGCAGATCGCGCGGCTGGGTGAGTGATGCGTCGTGCACAGGTGTGACAGTTCGTACTGCGGGCGAGTCATTCTTGTCCTTCCCACAGGTCAACGAGGAGGAGACTGAGCGTATCGACCTCGCCAAGATGGCACAACAACTCAAATGCGAGGTGCTCATTGTCGCCAAGACGCGCTTGTTCTCGCGCATCATCTCACAGCTTGTGCCAACGGCCGAAATGATGCGTGTCGACGACGACATCAACTTGCAGATCGTCGACACCATCGAGGACATTGACAAGATCCGTCACGGTCACTTTGCCGCGCTTGTACGGGAGCCTGGACTTTTGCTCGTCTGGAGCAATGTCGTGGCTGCTGTCGTACCTCACGCAGAGCGTATTGAGGAAAGACTTGTACACACTCTCTGGGACAACAACACAAAGAAGGCCCTTTTGCCTACTGTGGTGGAGACTTCGAATGAAGTGGAGGACATTGACCTTGAGGCCGCCAAGGATATTGACGAGCGCCCCAATCTTGTCATCGTCTCAGCACTGATTGCTGGTGCCATCATCCTGCTTGCATGGTTCGTTGCTGTCAACATCAAGAAGCTTGTCATTGAAATTCGCGTCGATGGCAACATGACCCGACTCGCACTTTTGGCATATGTCCCTTTCACCTACCTGTGGACTTCCTTCTTCGCCATCGTACTTACTGGCTTCCTCTTCCAAGTGTTTGGACCCATCTCTCAGATGAGCAGTAATTCCCGCTTCTACTCGGCTTTGCCTCCCAAGCGCCTGACAGAGAACTTGCCAGATATCACCATTCAGTGCCCAGTGTACAAGGAATCGCTCGACCAGGTCATTATGCCTACTGTTGCATCGCTCAAGATGGCAGTTGCCACTTACGAATCCCAGGGTGGCCGCGCCTTCTTGTTCTTCAACGACGATGGAATGCAATTGTTGGACGAAGAAGAGAGAGAGGCTCGTCAGAAGTTCTACCTTGCCAATGACATCGCTTGGGTTGCTCGCCCTGCTCACGGCAAGGACGGTTTCGTTCGTGCTGGACGTTTCAAGAAGGCCTCGAATATGAACTACTGTCTGAACCTGTCTATGTTGGTCGAGGATGAGATGGATGCGCAAGAGGATTCTGGGCGTGTGCTCGACGCCGAGGCTGCTCTTGCCGTCGCTCTAGAGAAGTCTGAGTCATTCGGTCCGCGTGCCGAAGGTGCCGGTGATATCCGTATTGGCGAGCTCATCCTCCTCATCGACTCTGACACTCGTGTGCCTACAGACTGCCTCATCGACGCTGCTTCCGAATTTGCCCTGTCTCCTTCCCTTGGTATCCTTCAACATGCTTCTGGTGTCATGCAAGTCACGCACGACTTTTGGGAGAACGGCATCACACACTTCACCAACGGTATTTACTTCGCTATTCGCTATGCTTGCGCCTCCGGCGATGCATCGCCCTTTGTTGGCCACAACGCTTTTTTGAGATGGGCTGCTATCCAGGAGATTGCTCACGAGACCAAGCAAGGCTTGCAGCAATGGTGGTCTGAGGAGCATGTGTCTGAAGATTTCGAAATGTCGCTTAAGATTCAGATGAAGGGTTACATTGTCAGACTGGCGGCTTACTCCAACGGCGAGTTCAAGGAAGGTGTCTCTCTCACTGTGTACGACGAGCTTGCCCGTTGGCAGAAGTATGCCTATGGCTGTTCCGAGTTGGTGTTCAACCCTTTCAAGGACTGGTTCCGCAAGGGACCCATTACACCCATCTTCCGTCTCTTCCTGCGCTCCAATATGAAGTCATTTGCAAAGTTCACCATGATGGCATACATTGCCACCTACTATGCTATTGCTGTCGGAGCTGGATTGACGATCATCAACTACTTCGTCATGGGTTGGTTCTCTTCGACTGTTGACCAGTTCTATGTGCAGAGTTTCGACCTTTTCGTGCCCATCATCATTGTCTTCAATGTTGTCTGGCCGTTCGTCAATGCATTCCTGCGTTTCCGTGTCAAGGAGGCCAGCTTCTTCAAGGCATTGCTCGAGAACTACAAATGGGGAATGATGATGTCTGTCTTCATGGGCGGTTTGTCGATACATCTTACCACGGCTCTTCTTTCTCATCTCTTCTCCATCAACGTCAATTGGGGCGCCACCAGCAAGACGCTGGAGAACTCTTCCTTCTCTCGCGAGATTCCAAAGATTTGGAAGCAGTTCCGATGGATGTATTTGTTCCTATTCATTCTGGTGGCGATGATGATTGCCATTGCCTTTGGTGTGCCAGAGGACTGGAAGATTACTGGTCTTGTGCCAACCATCTGTCTAGCTTGGCTCATCGTCACACACGCCCTTTTGCCTGTTGCTTTGAACCCTCAAAGTTATTTGTCTGAACTTCAGCACTAGATTGAAGCAGACGTTTGTCGATTTAGCGATACACAGATTACACAATACTATCATGACCAAGTCTGTTGCCATGTATCTTCTATCTGACCTTTGAAACACAATGATGATCTGACAGTGCTCTCGCACATCTCGTGAATCAGGGGCTCATTTCGCACGGCGGCAGGGCACTCTCAGTGAAGGCTCCTCTACATGGCAATCTTCCCTGCGAGTGATGCAGCGCAGCAAATAATCAACTCTGATGGGGCCTTGACCATAATCGCCTCGTAGTCCCCACCCATGCCTTTCTGCCCAAGTTGAGCTCTTGTGAGAGGTGACAATTATTTCCTCGCCGCCAAATTTTAAGGGACCAAAACTCGTAACAATCTGCCGCACACAACGCTTGCTTCCACTGGTTCTGAATATCGCTCAGTATGGTCCCTCTCACCTTGCAGCACTCAATGATTGCCCTTTTCCCTGCTATGTGTCTCTGCTGTGACTCACGGGACAGTGTGAAGGCCGCCGAATGACCCGCAACTTCTGTCGCTGATTGTATGGGCAACCGCAATCCCCGGCCAGCTCTACGCGGCGGCGCGCTTTGTATACTGCAGAGGCCCGCTTGTGCTTTCCTTCATACTCTCGGATTCTTCCATCACAACACATCTTGTCCATCGACATGGGTCTCCTCAGCTGGAAGACGAGAAAGGCTGCATCAGCTGATGGAGCAGACGCGACAGGCTTAGAGAAGGTAAAGCCTACATTGCGAAGCAGACCTGCGCTGTCTCGGAATGCAACGTCTTTGCTGCCAACAGCGGCTGGCGACGAAGAGACTGCTGAGTTTATGCTTCAACACATCTACGACAGTTGCGTGCGCAAAGGCCTTGTCAAAAGCGCAAAGGAGAATAACGACGTCGTGGCGATGCGCACATCTACAGTCATCTGCAGGCCAGCAAACTCAGAGAAGAAGCACGAGACCAGTATGTTGATGCTCAGCAAACTGTCAACTGCCGAAATTGTCGCAGTCTTGTCTTTTGATTTGCCTGAGCTCATGCTAGGCCGTCTGTCCCCTATCGCCAAATTTGTTTTGCTCGGCGACCATCAGGTCCCTGTCATTGATGACTGCTCGCAAGTTGATACTGTTCCGAAATCAAGGGACGCGAGTCGCATTGCCTTTGTCCGATCAACGAGAAGTCTTTTGGTCTGGTGTACCGATGTACGGCAGTTCCTTCCTTTCGTCAGTGAGATGGAGCAAGAAATTACCAAGTATCTATGGAACCCAGCAAACTCAAAGTTTTCATTCGCGACAGATGAGCTCAAGGGCAAGGTTGTGGTGCAAACTGCGGAAGTCGAGCTGCGTTCTCCGAGCGCTAGTGCGGAAGACTTGGAAGCTGCTGAGATTATTCCGCGGCGTCACATCTGGCTGTGGCCCATCATTGTCTCTGCTACCTTCTTGGTGTTGGCTGCTTGCGTTGGCACTTTTGCGCGGCATTTGGTCTTTGAGGTCATCACTGATGGCAAGTACCTTCGGCTGGCATATGCTCTTTGGATTCCACTTTTGCTTGTCTTCACCTCGAGCATGGCCAACATCATTGTCGTCGGTGTCTGTATGGTTCTTGGTCCTATCTCTCCACTGCGAACAAATTCACAACACTACTCTGGTGCAAAGCCAGACCGCAACACAGTGCTGCCTTACCTTCCTGAGATTACCATTCAATGCCCGGTATACAAGGAGTCGCTGGAAGCGGTCTTGATTCCAACCTTCGACAGTCTGTTTGAGGCCATCAAGACGTACAAAAGCCAAGGTGGTAATGCAAAGCTCTTTGTCAACGACGACGGTCTGCAGCTCATGTCGCCAGGTGAAGCACAGGAGCGCAAGGACTATTACGCAAAACACAACATTGGCTGGGTTGCCCGTCCAGGCCACCAAGTTAATGGCTTCAATCGCAAGGGAAAGTTCAAGAAGGGTAGTAACATGAATTTTGCGCTCCAATTGTCGACTGCTGTCGAGGAAAAGCTGGATGGCGTTCGGCGTCACGCACATTGGAACGACGACTGCGAGACTGAGGCCTACGAAGATTGTCTCGAACAAGCTTTGGCAGAGTCAAATGGACTTGCGTGGGCTGAAGGAGACATTCGAGTTGGTGACTTGATTCTCATCATTGACTCTGACACGCGTGTGCCGACAGACTGTTTCCTCGATGCTGCGATCGAATTTCACGAATCGCAAGAGCTGGCCATCCTGCAGTACACCTCCAGCGTATTACAAGTCTCCAAGAACTACTGGGAGAACGCATGGGCTTTCTTCACTCGCATGATTTACTTCCATGTCACTTACCTCGTTGCATCCGGTGATCAGCCACCTTTCTTTGGCCACAACGCTTTCCTTCGCTGGTCCGCTCTGCAAGAGATCTCCTTCATGGATGGTGCAGACATCAAGTGGTGGTCTGATGAGCACGTATCGGAGGACTTTGAAATGGCCTTGAAGTTGCAGACTGTGGGTTTTACTACCCGCCTTGCTTCTTACCACGACAGGAGCGATGATTTCAAAGAAGGTGTGTGCCTGACAGTGTCGTCCGAAGTGCTTCGTTGGCAAAAGTACTCCTTTGGCATTTCCGAGATTGTTTTCCACCCTATCAAGGACTGGTTCCGCAGAGGCCCATTCACGCCACTCTTCAAGAAGCTTCTCTGGACAGATTCGATGTCTCTTTATGTTAAGTTTTCCATTTTGGCATACATGTCTTCTTACTATGCTATCGCTGCCTCTTGGATTCTGTCTCTCGTCAACTACTTCGTCATGGGCTGGTTCCCTTTCTACATCGACAAAGCTTATCTCAGCTTCTTCAGTATCCTGGTTGCTTGTCTCGTCATCTTCCCACTCAAAGACGGTGTTGTCAATGCCATCGGCCGTTTCAGACGCCAGGAAGCTGGCATCTTTTCTTGCCTTGTTGAGCATTTGACTTGGACACCGCTGATTCTTGTCTTCTTCAGTGGTCTGAGCATGCACGTCTCCTGGGCTCTGATCTGTCATATGTTCAGTCTGCCAATGTCTTGGACATCCACAGACAAGACCCTTCAGGCGAGTTCATTCTACCAGGAGCTACCCAAGATCTGGAAGCAGTTCAAGTATACCTACTTCTACGGTGTCTTCTGGATGGTAGCAATGATCATTGGTGCGACTCTTGTACCGTCAGACTGGCGCATCACAGACTTGCAAGCAGTGTTTCCGTTGGCGTGGTCTATTGGCTTCCACATGCTTGTGCCCTTTGCGCTCAACCCGCAATCGTACTTGTCGGAGTCAAGCTAGACGTCAAGAATCACGATGTATCCGTTTTAATCGCATATACTTAGCCTATCTAACATTCATGAATCAAAGATCACTTTACGTCTTCGCGTTGTCCTTGTGCACATGAGCTTGCCAAAATTCCAAGCACACTTGGCGCGCGGCTCGGCTTGAATCTGACACATGCACAAAAGCCAACCGCGCAAAGGCCTGAGCTAGGCCTATACATCATCACTCCTATGCTCAAAAGCACAGATCAGATAGCATCAAACGTGCTGACCATTGTGTCTCAATCGAAGACGGGCTGGCCTGAGTGCAGTCACAAGACACAGCCTTGACTGAGCGGGTAGCTGGCTCCCTGCTTGCGATCAACCAGCAAAGATCACATTGGTAGAAGACCCGCTTGGCCGACTGCAGCAGTGTAGCCTAGACTACCAAGTCCTCCGGCCTGCTGCCTGCAGTCTTGAGATGCACATGGGTGATTGGGCCCGCCTCGCGAGTAAAATTCGCGCAAGAACATAATTTAGCGGCCCAAGGATGTTGGGTGTTGGATTAAGAGTTTAACTCTTTGCACCAAGCACAGCCGTTGAGCAGATTGCAGCTGACTTTGCCGTTGCATGCCCGCCACAGTCCCAATGACTTCGAAAATGATAGCTCTCTCGCGGCAAGATGTCTTAGCCTTGGCGCTTGACTGGCCACTGAGATGGCTTCCCAAGGTTCAGAGCGGACGATACTTGGCGGCCGCAGCCTCCCCAGACCAGGCTGCCTCGATCGCGAACTGCGACGCGCTGCAGTGTGCCCAAGCTGCGCTTCCTACCCATAAAGTGGCAGTCCACTGTCACGGGACTACCGTGCTCTCACCTTGACCGGTCGTTTCTGGTTGTACAAAAGTAAAGCAGCTGCACATTGCTCACCTTCGTTTGCATCTTTGCTTCTTCTACGGCACATGCTGTTCTTTTGTGCGCGCCTTGCGCTTCTATGCGCATGCGTCGCTCGCGCAGCTCATATTACAGATATGCTACGCGACATAGACGAGCTTCAGTCTGGCTACGTTGGTGGCGATCACGGATTGGACCCCTCGGTGGTCGCTGGTACGTGAAGACATTGCTCGCGATAGAGAACTAATCATGGATAGGCCCGACTTTTGGTATTCTCTGGCAAACGCGTGTCACGGCGGGTGATCAATTCTATTCAAAAATGTTGGTTTGGACTCCATCCCCGTCAACAGACACAAGTCAGCAGCGCTTGTATGCATTCGGCGAAATCAACAACGTCTACATGCTCAATGCGACCAATGGAGCTCTTATCATGCAACGCAATTATGGCATTCCGTTTCTTGCGTCCGACAGTGGTTGCTCGGATCTTTCTCCCAATGTCGGCATCACCGGTATGGCTCATTCCGTCTTTGATTTCTCTCTAATAGTCAGGTACACCTGTACTAGATGATGCTACGGGTATCATTTATTTCTGGGCCAAGTCCTACTTGAACAATGTCAGGCCAGGCACTCGCGCCAATGGTTTCAATGAGGCCGGTCGCTACCTGTTCTATGCTATTGACGCTCTGACGCTCGCGCCGCTTCCTGGTTATCCCAAGGATCCCCAAGGTGCTGCTGCTGACAACAACCCCAAGCTCTTCTTCAACGCTGGAACTGCCCTTCAGCGCACAGCTCTCATCATGAAGAACAATGTTGTCTATGCTGGGTTCGGTGGTAATTGTGATTCACCAACCTACTACGGTTGGATTTTTGGTTATAACGTTGTGACTGGCAAGCTTGTCTCGACCTGGAATGCCCAGTCTGGACCTCAAGCATACTATGGTGGAGGTATCTGGATGAGCGGTGGTGGCATTTCTTCAGATGGCCGCAATTTGTTCATCGCTACCGGAAATGGCTATGGTCATGAGTTGACAACTTATGCGGTCAGAGCGGCTACCAATGTACCCGGTACACTTGGTGAGTCGGTCGTCAAGCTTCACATCAATGACGATGGGTCTTTGACCCCAAGCAATTTCTTCACACCATTTGACTACACCAACTTAGATGCAGGAGACAAGGACTTTGGCAGTTCACCACTCTCTCTTCTCGAGCCCAGCGTCTTTAAGTACAACGGAATCACCAGCATGGCTTTCTGTGCCGGAAAGGGTGCTGAGGCATACTTCTTCGACTCCAACAACTTGGGTGGCTACCGCACAGGGCCCGGTGGTTCGAACGGTGTGCTACAAGAGTTCCCTATCAACAATGCTGTGTTCGGAGCTCTTGGATCGTACCCATTAGATGGAGGTTACGCGTACATCATTCCAGTGGGGCAGCCCATCACAGCTTATGCTTTCAACCCGGCCTCTGGCAAGTTCTCCGTCGCAGGAAAGACGCTTGACAACATTTCTGGTCGTTCAGGTGCAAGTGGACCCACTACGACTTCCTTCAAAGGTCAAGTCAATTCGGGTATTCTTTGGATGACAGATGTTGAGACTGGAATGCTCAAAATTTACGAAGCCGTACCTCGTGAGGGCGTGCTCAAGTTGATCAAGATCTTCCCGGGTGCCATGAACAAGTACCAACGGCCAGTGTTTGGTGACAAGAAAGCATTCACCATTGGTTTGACTTCTTTGATCACCGCTTATGGTGCTCCGGTCAATCTTCCCCTCTCTTGCTCGTCTCTCGATTTCGGCTCCGTTGCGGTTGGGCAAAATGTCACCCAACAAATGAACTGTACAGCTTTGACAGCTACCACCATCAGCAACGTGACAAGCTCAAATCAACTTTTCTCAGTGGACCCAGTGGTCGCTAGCGGTTTGGCCGGCAAGTCTCTGACAGCTGGTCAGAACTTCACTCTGCCCGTTGTTTTTGTGCCCGTCTACAAGTCCAGTGACCCAAAACTCAACCTCTCTTACGGTGTCACGGCTCCTGGGCCCGTTGCAGGTACCGTCGACTTCCGCACAGTCAATGCGGCCAGTACAAACACATTCTCCACGCTGGCGCCATTCAACCTCAAAGGTACGGTAAAGTCGCAGAGTCCCTTCCTGTCAATCGTTCCCGTCTATCTCAGTTTGGGAGGTGTTGTGCTGAGGGAAAACTCCACCCAAGCTGACAACCGTCTGACGAGTACGGCCACTTTGGCAAATGTCGGCCTTGACGATATGATCATCAAAGGTCTAGCTTACCGTGTGGTTGATGCAGATGATGGCGAAGGAGACGATGACAATGGACCTGTTGTCTTGACCAACTACACCAGCTCTCCTTTCGCGGAAAATTGGAGTGTTGCAGGTCTCCCAGCTGTTGGCGATGTTGTCACCGGTGGTCAACGCGTGTCTGTTGACTTTACACTCGATCCTGATCAGGTCGGCAAGTATTACATCCAGTTTTACATCTACACAAACGCTGGTGTTGGACAACTCGGTGTGTCTGGTTCGGCCGACGATCCTCCACGGGCACTTCTCGGTATACAACAGTGGAACAGCTCCGGAGTCTTTGTCAATAATACCAATGTCATGGATTTCGGCAATGTCAAAGGCAACGGCTCTTCTCCAGTGACTTTGAAGATGGCCATCACAAACACGGGTGCTTCCCTTTTGACTGTCACTCGATCGAAACCCCCGGGCGTCGGAGCAATTCAGGTCATTGGCTATCCTCTGCCAGAAGGTGATCCAATCGAGCCGGGCACTTCTCACTCTGCCAGCATCGTGTTCTCGCCTCCCATCATCCCACTCAACAGCCCTCCTCGCCCATTCCAAGCTACTTGGGGACTGAACACTGATGATCTTGATTTTGGTGTTCATGACGTTCAATTGATTGGTTCCGCCGTGCAGGATCAGAGAGGTCCACTCCTGGCAAATGGCACCGCGCAGTATCGCTACTTGGGTTGCTTCAACCAAAACAGCAGACTCCTTGTGGCTCGCAATGTGCAGCTCATCGATGGAAATCTGGAGAATGGGCAGTGCCAAAACTTTTGCTACAGGAAGGGATTCTCCTACGCCACGACGAACTATATGCGAGAATGTAAGACATTCATTTTTGATTGACGTCACTAACCCCAGGCTTTTGCACCAATGCTATTGACCCTCAGGCAATGAACTTCTTGCAGGACGACACTTTCTGCGATTTGCCTTGTGCAGGAGACTCTACACAATTCTGTGGTGGCCAAAACGGACGCGTCTCTATTTATGTCGATGTCACTCGTTTTGACTATGACAAGACAAACTCAACTGTGCCAGATTCACTCGCTGCTGCAGGACGTGGAGGTGCGCCTAAGACCATTGGCAATTACACTTACGTTGGATGTTGGCAAGAAAACTCAGACAAGCTTCCTTACATCTTCACATCGGACCAGATGACTCTGGAGATTTGCGTCAATGCTTGTGCTGCCAAGAACCTGAAGTACGCTGGTGTCGAGTATGGTGGCGAATGTCGATGCGCCAATACACTGCCACAGAATCTTGTGCAAGTCACAGAGCCTGAGTGTACAAACTTCTGTCGTGGAAACCAAATGCAACCTTGTGGTGGTGGGGCGAAGTTGTCACTGTACAGCAACGGAGCTGTTGTGTTGCCTCCTCCACCGACTTCAAAGCCAAAGAATGCTGCACTGCAGTACGTCGGCTGCTTCGTGGACGCCATCAACACCCGCACATATCCTTTCCGCGCCACTCTTCCTTCAGGCAACTCTCTCGACCTTTGTGCGAGTGCATGTACGGCTGCTGGATATGCTTATAGTGGTGCTGAGTACAGCAATGAGTGCTTCTGTGGCAAGGCCATTCCCACGAGTGGCAACAGTACTGCTTGCACGATGATCTGCAGCAGTGACTCGTCTCAGTTCTGTGGTGGCCCAAATGCGCTATCCGTCGTTTTCAACACTGCCTTCAATTCTACTGCATCCAACTCCACGACCACCTCAAGTGCCTCTGCCTCTACCACCACTTCGTCTGTAACGGCATTGTCTACGACCCCTACCATTTCATCAGTCTCAGTAAGTGCAGGCACATCCCTATCTACCACAAGTGCGAATGTGCCCACTTCAACCGGTGTCGTCTCCACAAATAAGGCATTGTCGTACTTGGGTTGTTTCTCTGACAGCGTCAATGCACGCACGTATCCAGTCAGCGTCAATCCTGGTGCCAACAGTATTGAGAATTGTGCGGCAGCGTGTGCTGCTGCCAACTTTGCATACAGTGGACTTGAGTACAGTTCGGAGTGTTGGTGTTCATCCGCTCCGCCTACCTCTCCTGGAAGCACAGCTTGCACCATGCCATGCACTGGAGCTAGCAACCAGGTATGTGGCGGCAGCGATGCATTGTCTGTGTTCTTCAACCAAGCGTTCGTGATGCGATACAACTACAATGGAACTGTCCCGGCTGGCTCTGAGATTATCAATGGCTTTGCCAACATGGGCTGCTACCAGGAATCCCCGTCCAGAGCGGTCAAGATCGCCCAAACGCCCCCTCAGTTTGGCTGGACGAGCAGACTATGTATCGCCAGGTGTCAAAGCCTCGGCTATAGTCTTGCCGCGACCGAGTATGCAAATGAGTGCTACTGCGACAACAATTTCGACTACAGTGGCGGTGGCGGTACTTTGTCACGCGCATGTACGATGGGATGTGCCGGCAACAACACTGAGACCTGTGGTGGCAGTTTCGCCATCAATCTTTACCAGAAGGTGCCTGTCAGCGCCTCATCACTGGTTGCTTCCTCTACGGCAATCTCAGTCTCGTCAACCTCATCGATTCTGGCGTCAGCGTCAATGTCAATGTCTGCATCAATCTCGGGCTCAGCGTCGTTCGCCTCTTCATCAGCCCAGTCCGTCTCGCTGACTGCATCATCTTTCAAGGTTTCATCGTCATCAGCCACGCCTCTATCATCGACCACTACGGTGCCGTCAATGACTCAACGCGTCGATGCTGGTCCACTGCAAACTCTCGGCTGCTTTACCGACAGTGTCAATGCCCGCACCTATCCTTTCCAAGCATCAATTCAGGGCAATACACCTGCGTCTTGTGCTGCAGCATGTGCTGCCAACAACTTCGGTTACAGTGGCACTGAATACAGCAAAGAGTGCTGGTGCTCTTCGTCTCCTCCGACATCTACTGTCAGTACTGCCTGCAACATGCCTTGTACCGGCGATGGCAGTCAGACTTGTGGCGGTAGCGATGCCCTTTCTGTTGTCTTCAACCGTGCTTTCGTCCAACGCTACAACTACAACGGTACAATTCCCAGCGGCTCAGAGATCATCGATGGCTTCGCCAGTGTTGGCTGCTACCAAGAGTCTTCCTCGCGGGCATTGAAAAATGCTCAGAGACCCCCCCAATTTGGTTGGACGAGCAGACTATGTATTGCCAAGTGCCAAAGCCTCGGCTACAGTCTTGCCGCAACCGAGTATGCAAACGAGTGTTACTGCGACAATACGTTCGACTACAGTGGCGGCGGCGGTACCTTGTCTCGCGCGTGTACCATGGGCTGTGCTGGCAACAACACCGAGAGCTGTGGTGGCAGCTTTGCCATCAACCTCTACCAGCTTGCTCCCGTCAGCTCAGTCTCTGTTTCGTCGACGATCGTGTCACCCTCAACGAGTTCTTCTAGCTCGACTCTACTGTCGTCTCCTCTCTTGTCTTCAACTTCAGCTGGAACTACAATTTCAACCACCACAACCAGCTCTGCTCCGCTGACATCCACCACGACGACTTCATCCTCAGTTAGCACAGCATCAAGCACAACGCTACAGTCCAGTTCCAGTTTCACTTCCAGCAGCAGCAGTATCACAAGTACCACCTCGACTATGCTAGCTATGTCGAGCCTGAGCTCAAGCTCACAGGATTCTTCGTCATTGAGCTCAAGTGCCGCCAACAGCTCTTCAAGTAGCGCTGTGAGTAGCTTATCGACTGTCACGTCGAGCAGCTCTTCAAGCAGTGCTGCGAGTAGCAGTCCAAGCACCTTAGTCACTGCCACGTCAAGCAGTGCTTCAAGCACAAGCTCTGTCGAGTCGTCGACTTCTGCTCAGATGTCGAGCAGTTCCTCGGCAAGCTCATCCGCAATGTCTTCTGGTCGCTCGTCATCCGCGAGCCGATCGAGTTCTAGTGGTTCCGCCGAACCTACAGAAACGCCGTTCTAGCAATATTGTATTTAACTATAGACTAATGTAGTACGATTGTTCTTCGAGTAAATCTGTAGCGATCCACTTGTCGCACTTGTCATCCGTGACCACGGGAAACCTCAAAGCGCAAGCACTGTCGCTTCTTGCAAGACTGACCACGTTGTCCGGCTCTGAAAACTTGCAGGACAGCCTGGACAGGGCTTTCCTAAACGCGTCAGATGTACACAGTGCCAGTGAGGACGGACTTGCTAGGGATCCATGGTTTCAAAGGGAGACCAGACCATCTGATGAAGAGCGCCACCAAGTCTACGAGTTACGATGGCGCAGACCGTCTCCTCACCTTCCAGTGGGCAGCACTTCCGCTACTCATCATCATGCACAGCAGCACAGAACGTAAGGAGCACTAAGCTATGGCTCAAACTACAGTGGCTGGCGACATTCTTCAGGTGGCGTTGATGTCGATGGCTTGTGTATGCAGGAGTAGCTGACCAAGTTCTCGTACAAGTCATTAATACGTCAAGCAATGTCGTGATATTAGAAGTCTACTGTCTATATGCTTTTATACGCAGTCTACGCTACGCTAAGAGCTTACAACTTCATGAGCCAGCCCCATTGGCAGACGGCAATGATACCTATTTGGTTTCAACATAGGATAAGGCAAACTACAGAGACATGTGCATGGTGTCAAGAACACGACGTATAGTGCACAGGAGTCTCAAAAAGTCTCCCTTAAAAACTACAGTGTGGTCCGTGGTCCTTGGCCACATGTGCTCTTGTGTACAGCTTAGAGGACGGATGGATCTGCTCATGCTCATGAGGGAGGGTTGGGAATGTCTGACCCCATCAACTGTAAAACGGTTTTGCCGGAAGCTTTGAGGTTTGCACAGATGGTAGACCCTTGCGGAAGGGGCCCTCGCGGCCGTTTAGCCCCTCATAGCAATAGTCTGCGGTCGAGTCCATGCTCGAATTTCGATGCCTTAGCGGTGCCAGCTTGCCAATGCGTAGTCTGTGAGCTATCAGCCATGATCTTGTTCATGAGTGCCTGTATGAATGCTAGTAGAAGTAGACTCATGCAAGAGAGGGTGTTCTTAGGTAGTACGAGCACACGAGTCGTAGCGCCTGGAACTGTGAGCTACGAACGGAGTCTTCGCATCATCACATGTGCCCCTGACACAAACTCTACATCTAAAGCTGCGTGCGCGGCTAAAGGCTGCGCTACTGAATTTTAATCTTTCGGACCTCAACTATCAAACTAGCTCCTCGACCTCGAGTCGGGACCATCGTCCAGCGCTTATGATTCTTTAGTCTCTTAACAGTCTAACGGGGTTCCAGCCTGCCACTGACCCTACACTGCGCCTAGGTCCTCGTACGAGGGCCGATGCTTGCATCGCTTTGTCTCATGAAACGCTCACAATTAACCGCGGGTCAGATGCTCTAGCCAATGACAAAGGCTTGAACAGAGCTAGCGCTACAGCCTACAAGCTTCTGCTGCCGTCCAAGCGGACTTTGCACATGGCTTGGCACTGTGATACAGTCTATCGTAGCGTAAGGAGCCATTACGGCCCTATAATACGTTGGAATCTAGTAGTATCTACGATGCACTTCATGTGCAGTGCGCAAGGCTACAAGCTCGGATATTTGGAATACACCAGAAACGGTGGCTCTGGATCTGACTCCGATCTGAGTTGTCCTCGCCTGATCGATGTGCCCTCGGTCAGATCCCGCAGCTCGCTTGCAGCACGTATATAAAGAGGAGCCATGCCGCCACTTCCCAGGCCCCATTGACCATCTTTCACTATGCAGTCCTCCATTTTGGCAGTCCTTTTCGCTGCTGGTGCAGTCTCCGCTGTTGCTACACCTCAGCCTCAGTGTAAGGGGTATCTTTTTCCAACAATTCACATGACTGACCAGTAGCCAACCTAGCTGAGCTCTTTGAGGCCGCTCCCCCTCTTGTGGTTGACAATGATATCTTCGGTGCTGGTGTGCCTGAGGCTATCTGGGCGCTCTCAGAGGATGAGATTGTGTCTATCATTGCGGACAACTCTACGACCAGTGGATCCGGAGATGTCCTGTCCAAGCGCTCATCTCCCCCTGAAGAGTGTGTCAACCAAAAGAAGTTGGGCCCATACCCCGTCACCAACCTGGCTGTGCCAAACCCCGACACCCCTGAATCGTTCAAGTCTACTTTTGCCAATGTCCCTCAGTCGAGTGGTGTCCCGGTGATCAACTTTTACCAAGTTCCTGGTTGGTCTAACCTCGGTGGTTCTGGTCCTGGTTCCGGTGCGTACGGTCTCAAGTATCTCTCGTCTTACGACATCAACACATGCGCCCAGATCTGCAAGAACGACAAGGGTGGATGCGTCGCCTTCAACCTCTACATTGAGCGTGACCCAACAGTTTCTGCGAATTACAAGCCTGCTCCTTGCAGCGACCCTCCTTCGATTGCAGCCATCAAGTGTGTTCTTTACAAGATCCCCTTCCCTCTGGACGTGCCAGCCACCACCCTTGCTGGCAACCAAGGTGGCTACCGTGCCAGCTTCCAGGTCCGAATTGCTGCTTCTGTGGGATACAATTCTGGTGTTCGCCCTGGCCCCGTCCCTGGCTACTGCAACCCAGTCAAGTTGCCTGCTGCAGTCAACGTTCCCGACGACAGCTACATCGGTGTGAACTACTACGACGCTGCTGTCGTCGGCAGTGATGCTTCTTACTGCCGTATTGCCTGTGATGCTGATCGTGGCTACCACACCAGCGCCGAGGGACCTAACAGTCGCATGTGCCGCGCATTCGTCGGTTACACCTTGGCCAAGAATGGAGGTGGCGGTGGTGTGCAGCTCCAGTGTGTCATGTACGCCAGAAGTATCGACCCCGTGTATGCTACCAACTATGGTGAGTACCGTGGAGCAGACTACTATTCTGTCGCCAACTCTTATCTCTACAACGACATTGCTGGATGCCCGTCGAGTGTCACTGCTTAGAGCAGGAGCATACGTCCGGCCCACTGTTTCCTTTCATTCCTATTCTCCACCGGCTCTTGTTTGAACACAAGCTCTCGATGTCGTCTCTTTGGCCAAATTACACATCCGTTCTAGTCGCCAATTCTATACCATTCTACTCTATTTTCATAAATATTCCGTCAGCATTGATCGTAGCTGCTGAATTGGCTCTCGTCTGCCCATTGAGTCAATTGATGTATCGATGCCATACCAACCGGACTGAGTGGTTCTTTGTCCAGGTCTGCACGGACAATCTTGGCAAATAAGGTATCAAAGGGGTGAATATCCATACCACCTGAATACTCCTCTGGCAGAAACACGTCTCCATGTGTGCATTTATCCCAAAAGGCTTGTGGCGATGAGGGAGACTGCCCGGCAAAGTATCCAGAGTACAGTGGCATGGCATCAAAACCAGCGTCGCGAAGACGCCTAGTCAAGGCCATCTCTCCATTGACGATTGCGTCATCTCGATCACCGAAGCACTGCAACGAAGGCATCATAGCGTCAAGGCCTTGCCTATCGGTAGCAAGCATCATTGATTGCAAGTGCTGCTCATCTCTGTTGCCTTCCATGCAGTTTGCAGTCAGTCCGACAAGCTTCACATTGTTCTTGAGTGCTGAGAACATCACCTCCGTCCAGCAGGCCTTTTTGATGTGTCGGGCCCACGCGGGAAAGAAGGGTCCACGGATAGAGGAGTTTGTTAGGATGAAGCGCTTGTACTTCTTCATGAGCGCTCCATTATCCTGCTGCAAGACAACACCGTGTGTCCCGAGGTCGTAGCATGAATTATCGCGCCTGATGATGTGAATGTTCGGAGCATCTGGAAAGACCTGCTGTGTTTCATGACCATTGATGATGAAGTAGAAATCAATGTTCCTGTGTAAAGCGTGGTCGACGAAAAACTTGAGATTCCGCCGCCCGACTTCAGTGCCGTCATAATGCACATATAATACCGCGTCCTCATTGCTGCCGTGCGCCCAAGAGACTTGAGGCAAAGCAGAAAAGTGCACAAGACCTGTAAATAGGAATAATGATGCAACAATCAAGGCGATGAAGGCCGTCAGATGTCGTCGAGCCATTTTTATGGATGCCACCCGCTGACACTCGTGCAATCCTGTCGACAGTCCGTCTCTCGGTCAATGACAGTCTCTTTATATTTAATGTATGCTCTGAACAGATACTCGTATCCCGGATGAGTCTATCAACGGTAAGAATGTTTTGTGTTGGTGTCCTTGGCGCTGCTATGTTAAATTCTGGATTTTTGTGTCACCCAGCTGCTGGCCCTGGCTTGGCGGGTCCTCCCCTTCAGATGGCAGGTGCTTAGACCCGATCTGCATCTATAGCGGGGTGCGTCATACAGAGGCGCGCCCTGTGCGTCTTCTGTTCATATGCCTTGAAAGAGAGCTGTATAGCGAGTCGACGACATTCATAGGCCTGGAAGGCAATGCCTGGGGTGGTACAGATGGTCATGACGGGAAGCAGAAGACAGGGCAAAATCTCATCACTATACAGCATTGATGACAAGCAAATGGCACGGTCCTTCAGAGCTTATGCACTGGCTGACTGCTGCCGAGCCGGTATCCCAACCAAGGCAGCCTACCCAGGTAGCCGACACAAAAAGACTGTGGTCATCTGAATGCCTTCCTCAGTGCTCGGCATCTTCCGTGCCCATAATCTCCAGTCCACCGCAACACTACGACCTACTCTACGACTTTCTTGACTGAGGCGCAGACCTCGACAAGGATTGCAAAGAGTCTGCACTAACGATGCATATCCCCCACTTCCATATGTCTGGCTAGATGACAGTGGCACACTCGGACCGAGTCAGGCATCTAGCATGATCGGGCAATTTAAGGATCACACTGCACAGTGCGCAAAGTCTTGCATAGCTACCGTCAAACTACGATGTACACTGGCCCATGCGTCTTAGCCCGCCTGTCGGACTGACCGTCGGCTCTATATGGTACTCGAAACGTCTTTCAGTGGCAGAAGCGAGGCCAAGTCTACGAGTACCGCGGCAACTAGTACCAGAACTAGTATTGAGCCACATAAGCTGCTAATCATTGCTTGTAAGTTGTCGCCTCAGACTCGTTGTGGCCGCTGCACGGGCTGCTCATAGGCTCCTGTGTCACCACCATACTACATCCGCTGCTGTACACTGCCAGGGCCTCCTCAAAGGCAGAGCCCGTACGCATGGGCATGGCTCACTGGCCTCCAGTATTCTAGTGAATCTGGTCCTCCGGCTGCACTTACTGAGATCGTTCACACCTCCATTGTTGCCCGCTTTCAAAGGCACCCCTATAAGCCCATACTTCGCCCATCACGGACACTGTCGCCTACGTCCTACACCTGCGGGCTGTATCACTACGAATCTACGATACGCGTATTTACACTTACCGCGTGCCCCAGGGCTTCCTACATAGACGCTGGCACTCGCACTCGTTCGTGCCACTTGCTCAAACTTCTGCAACAAACGCGATTTGCTCTCCCTCCTGCTCCCAGCACGGCTCAACTGTAGTTCAGTGGGTTTGATGGATGCGATAGAGTCTCACTTGCCCATCGATGAATCAGGGTGCCGAGTCGCAGCACACACAAGAAACGACTCGCGATCAAGTTCCCGCACGGCGCTCCCCCGACAGGCAGGCCATTCAACAACTTGAGGTTCGACAACCTAGAGCTCTAAGCCAGGAGTCCATGATTCAGTCACGGTCGATACGCTCGCCTGTTGTGGACAGGTTCCGAATGCATTCGCCCTCGCGGTCAGGGCAATACACTGACCGTACTTCGGCATCATACGACTTGCCCTGGCAACTACCACCGCTGTCGACTAGACATCAACGAACACATTCACTTGCCGACTCATCAGGTAGGCCGCGACATCGCTCACCAGAGCACACCACGCATCCCTATCAATCACCACATACGCAACACGCCGCTCATTCACCACTACCGCTGCAACACAATGCTCCACTGCCATCACCACATCGGACTCATCGACCAACACACTCTCGATCACACTCTCAAGCGCCTATACACACTGGTGGGCCCTACGCCGCCGCGATACAGTCACCTCAATATAATCACGGCCCTCAACACTCTTACTTCCAGCCACCGTATCAGCATATGCATGGACACCAACAACACGTAAGACCACTAGCGTTCGGTCATCAGCGAGACCCATCACTCGGTCAATACCCTCCATCTGGTGGAGCGCCCAATCCCGGGTCTGGCATCCTCTTGCCGCCTCTGACTAGTCCAGTCTTTGCAGAGGAGACGAGCTATAGTCCTCAGTCTGAATCATCTAGCAGAGGTTCAGCGCCGCAAAGACCCTTCGTCCCGGACGCAGCATACAGGCGTACTTCGACTGGAGCCTATTCGGCAGAGGGTGCCACGGGAGCTGGTTCGATTAGCGGTGGTGCGGACCTGAATGCTGCATCGCGCTTCAATTTCAAGCGAGAGATACTGACACGCAATGGTATGACCATTGGTTCTTGGACTCGTGAGGAGAGCAATGAGCTGATGGTGCTCGTGGATGGCTTCAAGCAGGTAGAACCCAACAATGCCATCCCTTGGACTCGCATTGGTCGTCAGCTACGACATCCGCGGACTGGTGCCCAATGTCATGCTCATTACACCGAAGCGTTGGACCCAAAGATCCTCAAAGGTCGATGGAACGCCGAGCTGGATGCTGAGTTGCTGAGACTCGCCGTGGTGCACGACAACAGTTGGGTCAAGATTAGTGCAGAGTTGCCCAACAAGACGCAGCGGCAGTGTCGAAGTCGCTGGGTTGCTTTACTTCGCAAACGGGAACGCGATCAGCTCAAGACCACCGCCCTCGGACCACCGCCTGATGTGTCTCAGGAACAGGGCTTGCCAAGCGGAAGCGGCCTGCAGTCTACTGCCCAGAGTCAGGCCAAGTCGCCCTCGGGAAGCAAGCCTTCTACAGCTGTTGCTGATACGGATATACCGCCAGACTCTAAGCGCAGCCTTGAGTCGCACGAAAGAGTCGACATAGCTCCTTCTACCGAATCCGTCGACTCGCGCGAACCTGCCCAAGTTGCAGACGATAAGAATCGTAGTAAAGATGTATAGCTCTCAAGCCTGTAGACTAGGTTTCTTGTACATATTATCGAGATATACAATTGCTCTTCAGATACGTGCATCAAACGGCTTTGCACGAGCTGCTGTAGACTATCTTCGCCTTGCGTCTTTCAGAACGATAATCGTACATAAAGTGAGCCTAAACTTGAGAACGCGAGCAGCAGACTCAAATAGCCAGGTTTGAGTGTATCGCAGCGCGCAGACTTCAAAGCGTCACTAGCACACTGCTAGCTTATCGCCCAGTGCCGTCAGGGGAAAGGTCTAGGGTTTCGCTTGCCGGATGCAGAGAATTTCTGAGTTAAGAGTTTGCCTGTTTGCCTACCCCTGAATGCGAAATTCGATCCCCTGACCTTGACATTGTGGACACTGAAGTGACTGAACAGCTTGGCAAAAATGATATGCCACGCACTCACGTCTTCAGAATTCATGATGATAGTGAAGTGCTCCTGCTATCTGCAGTGTGCATACAAAGTTACCTGTGTTGGTTGTCGACCAATTCTCGCTGGCAGACACAGCTGACCATCGGTCGATACTGCATTCTTTGGCTAGCCTTGATCAGATCTCAAGAAGTCGACATCGAAGGGTAGGTACTAAAGCGTACAGTCGTCGATCGCCCTCAAGGTCAAGGGCCAGGACTCAGGGGCCAAGGCTCAAGCTCAAGCTCAGGCGTCAGCGGAAGCTCAGCCAAGACTCGAGAATCAGCCGCAGAATTTGCTGTTCCTTACGACTTTACTGAATGCGTCTAGCAACATCGAGCACATGCGCATTGATTCTCAGCCTTTGAACAAGTCTTGAATCTTGATGATGCGAGGTATGCCGCTGCATTGCCGCATGGATCACAGTTTTCACAAACAGAGCAATGCATCTAAGTCAGAGCTTCAAGGTCCAAGACTCCAAGCCTCCAAGGCCTCTGTCAGACTTTGCGTCCAAGAACCGAGAGTTGCCGATATGGAGGTAGCTAGAGATTCTGGGACTCAATGCATGAGACTGTCTCATCTTCAAGTCATCTGGAAGAAGCTGCCAGTCGAACAGGCGGTCATTCAGCAGCTAGAGTCATGATCAGGTCCATCAGGCTGTCAGTCTATGAGCTTTGCGGCTCTTGGTCGAGGACAGGCAAGGGTTTGGCCAATCAGTGGCTGGTCAAGGAGTTTTCAACGCCCACGCTTTCAGACTTGTCCAAGCACGGAGGATTTGCAGCCAGCGCCGGATTTGGCGTGCAAAGCGACGCGCTCCTCCCGCGAAAGAACATCCTCTCTTGTTCCTGAGACCTTCGCCCTGGAATGTGCCGCGTATTGAACGGCATGCCGTCAACATGCTCTGGTCAAAAGCCAGACACACCCCTGCCAGACCAATTGACTATTAGCTTCGACCGTTACACGAGCCTTCTTCCAAGCTCCCACACATTCGACGTGGCATTGAGAGTATTCGATGAAGACGACCATCTCTGCGGCTGTCTTGCTGGCATGCATTGACTCATGCGCGGCCTTTTGGCGAATGGGATGCAGTAACCCGAGCATCATCGAGCGCGTCGATCCAATTGTCAACCCAGGCGGTGTTGCTGGCCATGTACACAACTTTGCTGGTGCTTCAGGCATTGGGCCCAATGCAGACTTTCAGTCGCTTCGTGCCTCTGATTGCACGAGCTGTCCGATTGTCGAAGATCTCTCTGCATACTGGACACCGATGCTGTACTATCGCGACCAAAACAACACAGTGCAACCGGTGGCCAATGGAGGCACCACCGTCTACTATCTGCAACGAGGTGGCGGTCCTCTCAAGGCGTTCCCTGCAGGGTTCAAGATGCTTGCTGGCAACCCAAACCTGCGCTCTTACGACGGCAGCAAGCGCGAACAGCAGGCAATCAATTATGTCTGCCTAGACTACGGCAAGGGTTCCTCCTCATCCGACGGCTTGCCAACCAAGAACTGCCCTGACGGTCTTCGTGCTCAGATCATCTTTCCGTCATGCTGGGATGGTGTCAATCTCGACAGTCCTGACCACAAGTCACATGTTGCCTATCCAACAGGTATTGCCAATGGTCAATGCGATGACCCCAAATACCCTGTTCGCTTGGTCACCATCTTCTACGAGGTTTTCTACAATGTTGGCGACTTTGCTGGCCAATGGTGGAGCGATAAGTCACCTTTTGTCCTTGCTCAAGGTGACCCTACTGGCTATGGCCTGCACGGCGACTTTATGAACGGCTGGGATGTCAAGGTTTTGCAGACTGCTATCGACACTTGCAACGATAACTCTGGATCCATGGAGAAGTGCCAGGCTTTCAGCCTGAAGTACCCTGCCGACGGGTCAAGCCAGTGTCACAAGTCCCCTTCGGTCAATGAACAAGTGATGGGCAAGCTGAAGAAGCTACCTGGATGCAACCCGATCTGGGATGGCACAGGCGTCAAGCCAGCGTGTGATGCCGAGCCAACACCGCAGCTCTGGACCAACACCACCGGCTACTACGGCTGGGTCACACCAACAGGCTACAACTCTACTGATGGTCGTGAGATTGTGCAAAAATACAAGAACTGGAACTACCTCGGTTGTTATCAGGAGCGCGATGCCCGTGTCTTTCCCAAGCGTTTCACCCCTGGTGATCTGACTGTCGGCAAGTGTCTTGATATCTGTCAAGGTGCTGGATACCCTTTCGGTGGCATGGAATACTCTGGGGAATGTTGGTGTGGTCCATCGCTCAATAACGCTCAAAAGATTGACATGCAACGCTGTTACATGCTGTGCTCAGGCAACTCGAGTCAATACTGTGGTGGATCCATGGCATTGTCAACATACCAGCTGGCTCCCTTGGACACAACATCGGCTAGACCCGCTTCGCCCAGCTCGTCTGCTGCAGGCTTTGTCAAGAATCCGGCACTTTCGCCTCAAGTTGCAGGTCAGTACAGCTATGTCGGATGCTACCAAGACGGGGTTCCGCGAACTCTTCCCAGCCGTCTCTGGGCTGGCGATGGTTCCGTCTCTGCATGTGCCAAAGCTGCTCTCGACCAGCTATTCCCGTACATGGGTCAGGAATACGGTGGCGAATGCTGGGCATCAGATGTGGCCCCAACTGCAGCACTCAGGCCCGACAGTGAATGTAGCTTCGGCTGTAAAGGCAACAGTTCCGAGCAGTGCGGTGGCAGTGTTCGACTTCAAACGTACAAGGCTGCTTTGCCGTCATCCTCCGGCGACATGACTTATGCAGGCTGTTTCACTGATTCCGCCAACCGCACTTTGTCGAAGCGCGTCCGAGATGTCAACACGCCGCAGCAATGTATCAGTCAGTGCTCGACCTGGGGTTACAATTACGCTGGATTGGAAAACGGTTACGAATGTTGGTGCGACATGAGCTTACAGAATGGTGGCAAGGTCACTGCAGAGAAGGAGTGCGGTATGGGATGCAGAGACAATAAGTCCAAGTGTGGCGGTGGATGGCGTTTGAGTCTCTATGCCGCAAAAGGTGCTTCTGTCCAGTCAGTTTCTTCTGTCGTGGCGTCCTCTTCGGCAATTACACCTGCAGCTGGTGTCCTTGCACAACAGCGTACTTCCACGACATCTTCCTCGTCCAAGGCCACGACTTCCTCTACCAAGCTTGCGACTACGACTACGACCTTAAAGCCTTCTTCAACTTCTGTTATATCTACGACGTCTGCCGCTGCAAATCTGGCTGCTCAGAACTTTGCCGTTGCACGAGTAGCAACAATGGCTTCGTCAGCCACCCTGGTGACACTCAAGACAAGCTCTTCGTCTTCTTCCACGACTTCTCGTTCCTCTTCTCCATCTTCAACGATTTCGAGTAGCAAGAGCAGCAGCAGCAGCAGCAGCAGTGCAAGTTCACGCACTGGCACTCCACTTGTCGCGCTTGGCGGAGCTCGAATGCTTGCGATTATGACGAAAGCCCCTGCCGTTCGCCCAGTAGCGTAGGCAACTTGAGTGCCCCAAGCGCGTGTCCATGCTCGTCGGAGCTGGTTTGGTTGGTGATGATGGCCTACGCGGACGGCCCACAGTGCATTTATGATGAGCTCGCGCAGCATGTGTAGATAATTTGCATTTAATATTGTGTATATACAATCTGAACAATACAAGGCTAATGAAACGCTCGCTCTGATAACAATACCTCAAAGGAAGGTCGTGGCGCATGCAGCCAGAACAAGCAATAGCTTGAATGAATTGGCAACTTGGCTGGCACTCGATGTGCTCGAGGTGGAAGAAGCAGAAACGGCCTGTGACGAGAGCCCCAGATAGGTGCTTCCGAGTTGTGTCAACTTGCCATTTGCATCAAGGAAAGCTGCATTGGGACCAACATTTGACTGTGATGATCTGAAGCTGCCAAACCAAGTATAACGATCGACAAATGTGGCGTTGTCCAGGTAAGTCAAAGTATCTTGCATCATCTTGAGTGTCGTAGAAGCGTCATTGTCTGGTAGAGCCAGCTCGGTGATCCAAATATTGAGGTTAGGAAAGTTGGTGCGGTAGTTGTTGAGGTGGGAAACGAGGCCGTCGTAGTTGCCATACCAATGCAAGGCCAAAAAGTCGATGCTACAGCCGGTGCAGTTGCCCATAAACTCCTTCATCCACACCATGCCGGAAGGTGCACCAGTCACACCAGGAGAGCCAAGCTTGAACCCTTGAGCTTTCAGTGGCTGTATCGCAGTCTTCCAGGCCTGTGCAGCAGCTTGTGGTTGCATATTTGCTTGGCCATGGCCTACACCATCTGGCTCATTGAAAGAGAGTACGTACTTCTCCTTCAGATTTTGAGCTGAAACTGCACTGGTGAATGAACTGACACCATATCCACCCCACTGCTGCGGTACAAAAGGCAATGAGCCTAGCTGCGCGCCTGATGGGGGTGATACGCCGTATGTGTAGACCCAGCTGAGCTGATTTGACTTGATGAAGACTGCATTGTCTATTGCAGAGGTCGCGGTCGTCACACCGACAAGACCTCTTTTGCCAGCAGCCTCGACAGCGTACGCGAGCGCTGTGATACAGGCTAGGACATGCATGTTATTGTTGTATGGAAAGAAGATTGGAGCGGCGCGTCGCTATATCTAGCTTTCAGCAACGCGTTTGACGATGAAGGCAAAAGCTAAGCTCTTGCCCAAGCAGGCCCAAGGAAGAAGCGCAAGTTTGCACATCATGTCATTATGGTCCTCACTCGGCTGCTTTTACTGCTTCAGCACATGCACTGCCGGCATGCAAGAGATGCCCGGGCGGGCCAGAAGCGAGCGCAAGCAAGAGAGCAAAGGGCGAAAGTATGGGCCAGGGGCGATCAGATGGGAAGTACGCCACTGAGCTTAGATGCAGTCACAAACAGAGATGTCATTACAGTGCCGACTATGGCCACCTATAGAGCTTAACTACACTGCTTCCACATCTTGACAGAGTCAATTACCATTGCAGACTCATTCCAGCTCGGCAGCCAAGTGTGTTTGCCAGCCAGGAATGTAGTCATCGCAGCAGTGTGGTTCATATTGTTGGTCCATGGCTTGGCACCACCATCGGGAAACCAACCATTCAGACCTCCGACGCGTAGACTGAGACTCAAAAAGAAGTCCTGGTCATATGGTGCAATGGGCGAACCACCAATGTACGGGTTGACATTGCACCTGAAATTGGCGCAGGTGCCTCCCCAAAGCCAGTTGGACAGGCCACCGTCAATCCAGAATTGATTCGGTTTGTTAACTTTGTAGGTCAGAACGTTCATCAAGAAGTTGTCGATGTAGGTGTAGATGGCATCTTGCGACCACACAAGGCCAAATGTGTGAAATTCGTCGGAAAAGTCGCCTCGTGGAAGTTTGAACTCCTTCGAAACAGAGCGCGATTGGACCCAACTACCATCTGTACCAGACCAAATTTGACTGACCATCTTCTTATTGCTGGGTCTGCGCTTGCTAGGATCATTGCCCCAAGATTCAAAGATACTGAGCTCGCCAGAAGCTGGCCATTGACCATAGTGCAGATCCTTCGGCAACAGAGCAATCTGTGGCCAGAGCCAGAGTCCCTTTGGCATTTTCGCGCGCACTTCCACTTTACCATATCGGATGGTCGTCTGATTGCGTGTGGTGATGCGAGCACTTTGTACTGGGTTGATAATGTCGGAGGTGGTCGAGTTGACACGGGCAGCGCAGGCATAGTCGCCAAAGCCCTGGCACTTGCCCGTCTCGGTAAGATTGAGAACGTTTCCGTCGACTTGTTCGTACTGCGTTTGCAGGGTAGGTTGAATGTGGAGCCTGTTGTCCTTGATGAAGGAGTTCTCAGGCGAATCGGTGGTCCAGTCGAAGCTCCCTACGCCAAAGCCGTCGAGTTGCTGCTCAAGCTGCCACACATTGGGATTGAAGCCATTGCTGAAGTCGTCATCAACGACGAGACAATACTTATGCCGATCTACTTGAGAGTAGCCGCTGTAGCAATATCCTGCGACCACGAGTAACGCAAGGCTGATAGAAATGTAAGGCAGTCTGTGCGAGAACTTTTGCGATCGCGTCATCTTGATGTTCAGCCAAGGCTTCTCTGCCGGCGCTTGACCAAGAACACTGGGTCTCGTTCGTGCTGTACGTCGGCGATACCGATGCGATGCAGCAAGCGTGCCATCGAACGACACGCTCGAGTCGGAGAAACTCTCAGCTAAGCTGGCTGTCGTAATGCCAAGGTGCAAGACATCATTCTCGATGCTTCTGAACTCGTTCGACATTCTGTAAGATGTGATAGCGGCACTGAAGAGAGCGGTGGGTGTTTGGGTTCTTTAGATGCGACGAGCAATGATGCCACTAATCAACACAAACAAGACCCAAGCATGGAGCTGGGTATAAAGCCAGATTTGGGACAGATCCAGTCCCATACTGGGCCAGCGAGACTGCCAGCAGCCTGAGCATTGCAGTGGCAGGCTTTACGGTGTGTGAGTCGCGGCAGGTGAGCAGATGGCCCATAATTTAATCCTGCGCCGACGACCCGCGATCCACTCATCTTTTAAGGGCTTCCTACTTGGGAGCCAGGTCTCTCACGCCAGCGTGCGGCTGGTTCGCGCTTCGCAGGTGCATCTTGCTGCCATGGGCCTCTGTGTGCTTTGTATGGGTAGCCTTGGGCAAGTTGTTTCCTAGGCTCTGTTATGGATAGTGCCCTTGCCAAAACGGCGCTGTGCGCCTAGTCAGCTCCCTATCATTCGCGACTCTCTCTGCACACATCTTGTGACTAAGAATCAGGCCCATCATGGGACTCTTCAAGAAGACAGTGAAGGCTCCAGCTGCGGCTGCTCTCAGAACAGATGCTGTCGAGCCGTCAAATCCTCAGCCTGTTTCTACCTCAATCGTCGACATGGAGCGTGCATTGGCGCCGCGATGGGTGGAGAGCTACGACAAGGTTGCAGAGCAGGTGTATACTACATGCCAAGATAATGACTGGTTCGAGCTTGTGGCCGACACGCCTCACTTTGCCATCAGATCTGGTATTTCAATGTCAGAATATGAGGTCTTGCCGGCACATTCACATGATCCGCGACTTTTGAGACTGGCTCTCAGGTTGCAGTTCGAAGCTGCTCTCCTCATGTCTACACCCTTGACTGAGGCCGTCGTCGAAGATCTCCCTCTCGACGCGTACGATGTCATCTTGCAAGGCAACAAGCACATACAAGTCATCGACAACCTTGACGACTACCACTCCATCAAGCGTGACCAGATGAGTGCATTTGTTCGCGACAGCAAGTCTTTGCTAGTTTGGTCGCCCAAAGTCGAAACTCTCGTGGCGCGCGCCAAGGACGCTGAGAATCGTCTGCTTGGATTTATTTCTCAACCCAGACTGGCTGCTGATGATGATGAGAAGGCGAAAGCGTCTTACTTCGTCACAGAGACTGCCTTGTCATCTCAGACTGACATCGAGCTCGGCAACGCTTTCGAGGATTCACGGGACGGTCTGTCCATCATTGGCTCTACTTCGGTGGCGGCTGTCATCATCATTCTGATGTACTTCATGGGCCGCATGATCGGCGGTATTCTCTTCAGCGTCTCTTCTGGCGGCTCGGTCATTCAATTGGCAGCCTTGGCTTTCCTCCCGACCATCTTCTTACTTTCTGCGTTCTTCGCCAATGTCTGCGTTGGTTGCCTGCTCCAGACATTCGGCCCAACATCACAAATGAAGCGCAACTCAAAGTACTACTCTTCAATACGCCCTCAGACTCACCCAGAACGTCTGCCGCACATCACTGTGCAATGTCCGGTCTACAAGGAAGATTTGGCTGAAGTCATTCGCCCCACCATCTTGTCAGTTCGCGAGGCCATCGGTACGTACGAGAGGCAAGGTGGAACTGCCAACATCTTTGTTAATGACGATGGAATGCAAGTCATCTCCAAGCACGAGGCTGCTTTTCGAAAGGAATTTTACCGCAACAACGGTATCGGCTGGGTTGCACGTCCAGGTCAATCTGAGAACTTCAATCGTGCAGGCAAGTTCAAGAAGGGCAGTAACATGAACTTTTGCATGGACGTGTCACTGCGTGTCGAGGCGGAGCTCGAATCTTATGAACGTGGTCCCGGCTGGTCGAGCATTGATGAGACTCGCGTGCAAGAGGGTGCGCTCAAGAAAGTGCTGGCTGAAGACGGCAACATTGGTTGGGGAGACGGTGACGTCCGCATTGGCGACATCATTCTCATCATCGATTCTGACACCCGCATTCCCTCAGACTGTTTCCTCGACGCTGCTTCTGAGTTTGCCGAATCACCGGAACTCGGTATTTTGCAGAATTCGTCAGGTGTTATGCAAGTGACGCACGACTTTTGGGAGAACTCGCTCGCCTACTTTACTCGCAACATTTACTTCTCCATTCGCTATGCTTGCGCGGCTGGTGATGTTGCGGCATTCGTTGGTCACAATGCCTATTTGCGTTGGACAGCGCTACAGGAGGTCCTTTATGTGGAAGATGGCAAGATGAAGTGGTGGTCCGAGGAGCATGTTTCCGAGGATTTCATCATGAGTCTCAAGTTGCAAATGCTTGGCTACATCTCGCGGTTGGCAGTGTACCACGGGGACGAGTACAAGGAAGGTGTCGCTCTCACAGTATACGACGAGTTATCGCGTTGGTCAAAGTACGGCTATGGATGTTCAGAACTCGTGTTTCAGCCTTTCAAGTCTTGGTTCACGAAAGGTCCAATCACTCCACTCTTCTGGACATTCTTGCGCTCCAACATGCGGCCGACATCTAAGTTCAACATCATCAGTTACATTGGAAGTTACTACTCCATTGCATCTGCCATTTGGATGTCGCTCATCAACTTTTTCTTGATTGGCTGGTATGGTATGGCCATGTACCACGACTTTGCTTGGTATAGTGATTCGTTCACAATCTTCATTTCTGTCACCGTGGTCTTCTTGGGCATTGCACCCATCACAAATGCAATTCTCAAATACCGCATCGGTGAGATGGGTCTCTTCGCAGCGCTCTATGAAAACTTCAAGTACTGTCTTGTCTTTTGCTTTTTCCTCAGTGGTGTGAGCTACCATCTTTCAATCAGTCTCTTCAAGCACATGTTTTCCATCGACATGCAGTGGGGTGCAACAGCAAAGTCTCTAGGCAACTCCGACTTCTTCATGGAACTGCCCATCATTCGAAAACGCTTCTGGCAGATGTACATCTTCCTGTTGGTGCTCGGAGGTGGTATGGTCTACTTGCGCTACTTTGCACCTATTGGCTGGCAGATCACAGAGCTGTCTGTTTACGTTGCTCTTGGTTGGTCGATTGGTTCTCATGCAGTCATGCCGATAATCTTCAACCCCAAGTCGTACCTGGCTGAGTTCCATGGCGACATCGCCTCGACGACCGCGAAGATATGGAAAAAGTCCAAGCAGCTCGTCTTTGCGGCAAAGAAGCGGTCTGGTTTGTACTAGTTCTTAAACACCCTCATGATGATCAAGAGTCTTTTATAGCAATAGCAATGCATCTGGCGAGTCAAACTTAGCTCAATGAAGTCGACGCTGCCTCTCACATGATCACCTCGCTGCCATTTTGGCTTCCTGGGCCATCTGAAGCCTGTTGCCCGGTCTCGCGGCTTTCTCAACCTACCCGTCAAATGCGATCTGGCACTTCGTACTTTGCATATTCCAAGAGCGTTTCTGTCTGAACCAACTTGTCGGATCTGTGCCGTGGTCTACGAAGCACAATAGACATCTCCGATATTGAGTGCTTGATTTCGATATATCTAGCAAGCGCAACTTTTTGAGACATGAAGCTCCGCATTCGGCGGTCCAAAAACTACAGCCTGTACAGCATCTGAACGACGATGAAAGTACATCAAATAACGAGAGCACGGCTAAGAGCACGGCACGCTACGCTCGAGCCGTCTTGCATGAGATGTTCATCTAGCTATGTCGAGATCTATCGCCACCGCGCGATCTTCGTTCGCGACCAAGCTCATCGATAGATTGTCATTGCACCTTGCGGCTCTGGGTGTCGACTTTGGTCTACGCTCGTATTGTGTATCTCCAGTGTCCACTGTCCAGAAGCTGGAGTCGACACTGTCAAATCGACGCTGTCAAATTTCATACGCCGGGGGTGGCGTCACCGGTGTGAGACAGACTCAGACAGTAAGCTATTGAGGAATTTGAGGTTGTCGACTACAGACGTGCTGCAATATTGCGGTCGTAACTCGTAAGACAGTGGGTAAGAACTTGCTCAGAACGCATCAAGGATCTGGACCGTTGCAACAGATATTAATAGCTTTGGGAAGACGAGCTAGACGAGTATCCTGCTTCAGGTCTACTTGAGACGAGTGTGGAAGCTGCGGCGGATGTTACGCAACTTGCGCTATTGCCGGAAGCGAAGGTCAGACACGGTTTGGACTTTGGAGAGTTCAGTAGGCGATCTCAGAGCATTTGTGATGGAGACCCTGAGTGCCAGCCGGCCGTCCAACCCGCGACGTCCAGACCTCCTGCCAGTCTACAGACGTTGCCTGACTACGGCCCACCAGAGACTCAATGTTCAAGGTTCTATCTGGAGATGTGCAAGGTATATAGAGTTTGCGCTAGTGATGACAGTGGTCAACGATACTCAATATCATGCTCTTGGATAGTGGGACGCGAGTCATGTCAGAGTCATGTGGAGTAGTGGACAGTCTCTGGGTGACTGAGTCCCATAAGGTGCCTCCCAAGATTGACGAATGCAAAATCGAGGTCAAATGTCTCGTACGAGAGACTTTCTGCGTGTCTGGACTCTGTGACTCTGTAGTTGTGAAGCCGTCAGTGGCTCGTCACTCGCGTTACTGGCAACTTCTTGTACCTGTGCCGTTTGACAGACAGCCTGAGACAGATAGACGAATTCAGTATCAATAAGACTGACGGCGCTAGTCGGCGCAGTGCACACTACATAGGCAGTGAGCCAACAGCTTGGCCACAAGCAAAAAAGTCCCTGGATCGGAGCAGACGGATCATAGAGATCTGTGTAGTGCGACTCTCCGAGGCACTGATGATGCTAGTATCCAGCGACGAGCAAGAGCTACTTGGAGACCGCTTAGCCGCGTTGATGTCAATCGAGATCAAGAGTCAGCCTAGCACATTTCTGGGACAGCAATCAGCGCTAAGCCCGTAGTAGAGTCTCAGAGACTCAGGAACTCAGACGCTTATGGCTTGCACCGGTCAACTACATTGCCTGTTGCCAGGCTGTTGGGCTGTCGTAGCCGTGCCAAAATCTCGTCGAGCTCGGACCTCGCAATCGATCAATCAAACGATATAGTGTCAGAGTGTCAGTGAACAAATCTGACCGATGCCTCGACTCATCGTATCTTGGAACGCAGGGGCAGCTGGCTTGCGGTCAGAGCGGTCAGCGCGTAAAGTTGTGATTTTGTGAAGTTGAGACTTTTGAGCAGCTGAGTCATAGCCTGAGTGTAGCACGAGTTCGGAAGTTCCCCTGTCGCAAATGGCTCTCCTGGATGCCGAATTTGGACAGGGGAAAAACGGTCCGGGTCCGCGCATGGTTTTGAAGCCAGGTGGCGGGCGCGGCAACAACAAGCCAACAACACTCCCGCAATCCACATTCCTGGGCTTCCCGACTCCTTCGCACGTCATGGATGAATGGTTCACGAGCAGATGGCTGTGACTCTGTGACGGTGAGGGCACTGAGGGCCGGCCGTCATAGGCTCGTTGCTATGAATAGACTGAATATGAGAAGGCATCGTACACCGTATACATGGTAAATCGTGAATACACGACCGTCGAGTGATGCGTCAATCAGCTCCTACGGCTGCCAATTTTCTGTCTGAAACTCGCTGCTAGTCGCTCGTTGCGATGGGAGTGAATCAGGTAGTGGCGATTGAGTTGGGTGCGTCAGAATCGGTCAGATAATCAGATTTCGGGCCTACATGCGCCCCCCGAGCTGTCTATCCCGAGTTGTGCAATTTTCAGAACTCCTCGGTCTCAGTCGAGTGCCATTGCAGTTCATTGTCTGATTCAGCTTCGTCCCAGAGCGGTCAGGCTGATTGATTTCTGACCTCTCTGGTAAACTTATCGCAGCCCGCGCTCCACATCAGTGCGCGTCAGCCTTCAAACAACGCAGACCACCGCCTTGGAACAGCTTGGCAGGTGAGTCGATGTGACAATGCTTCTGCTACCGATGCCTGCCATGGCGCGGACAGAGCAGCTGCCGCGTTTGTGTAAAAGGGAGACAGTGTCCACTTCATCGGCCATCTCTATCACAAGCTCAGCGCATACTCCCACCCTATGCATCTCCGGCCTTTCCAACTGGTCATCGCCCTCGCGCTCACGGCATTCACTGCAGCGGAACGTAGATGCACTGTCCAGGAGCAGGACACATGTGCACAAGGCACGCCAGACTTTAGCTGTTGCTTCACCAACCAAGCCGGAAACGCGCAGCTGTTCGAGTGTGTCAGTGGCTCAAGTACCAATACCACTGCTACCTGTACATTTGATGCAACCACGACTCTCTTGACCAGTGAGTAATTCTCATCTCTTGAAATACAGCTAACCTTCCGCAGCGACCTTGACGACCACGAGTGATGAAACCTCGACGACCAGCAGCACTGATGTTAGCACGACAACCAGTGAGCAATCTACATCGTCGACTGTGTCAACGACCCAGGTGATCACTACCTCGACTGAAGAGGCCATCACCTCGTCTACCGACGTGGTCACTACCTCAGCTCAAGTATCTACCACTTCTTCCACCGAAGCTGTCACTACCTCAACTGAGGAGGCCATTACTTCTTCCACTGCGGTCGTCACTACCTCAACTGAGGGAGCCATTACTTCTTCTACCGAGGCTGTCACCACTTCAACTGAGGAGCCCGTCACTTCTTCCACCGAAGTCGCCACTACTTCAACTGAGGAGGCCATTACTTCTTCCACTGCGGTCGTCACTACCTCAACTGAGGGAGCCATTACTTCTTCTACCGAGGCCGTCACCACTTCAACTGAGGAGCCCGTCACTTCTTCCACCGAAGTCGCCACTACTTCAACAGAGGAAGCTTCTTCCACCGAGGCCGTCACTACCTCAACTGAGGAAGCCGTTACTTCTTCTACCGAGGCCGTCACTACTTCAACTGAGGAGCCCGTCACTTCCTCCACCGAAGTCGCCACCACCTCAACTGAGGAAGCCATTACTTCTTCTACCGATGCCGTCACTACTTCAACTGAGGAGGCCATTACCTCTTCCACCGAAGTCGCCACTACTTCAACTGAGGAGACCATTACCTCTTCTACCGAGGCCGTTACTACTTCGACGGAGGAGCCCATCACCTCTTCCACCGAAGTTGCCACTACTTCAACAGAGGAAGCTTCTTCCACCGAGGCCGTCACTACCTCAACTGAGGAAGCCACCGCTTCTTCCACCGAGGCCGTCACCACTTCAACTGAGGAAGCTGTGACTTCTTCTACCGAGGCCGTCACTACTTCGACTGAGGAGCCCGTCACTTCCTCCACCGAAGTCGCCACTACCTCAACTGAGGAAGCCATTTCTTCTTCCACCGAGGCTGTCACTACCTCAACTGAGGAAGCCATTACTTTTTCCACCGAGGCCGTCACTACCTCAACTGAGGAAGCCATTTCTTCTTCCACCGAGGCTGTCACTACCTCAACTGAGGAAGCCATTACTTCTTCCACCGAGGCCGTCACTACCTCAACTGAGGATGCCGTTACTTCTTCTACCGAAGTCGCCACTACTTCAACTGAGGAAGCCATTACTTCTTCCACTGCGGTCGTCACTACCTCAACTGAGGGAGCCATTACTTCTTCTACCGAGGCCGTCACCACTTCAACTGAGGAGCCCGTCACTTCTTCCACCGAAGTCGCCACTACTTCAACAGAGGAAGCTTCTTCCACCGAGGCCGTCACTACCTCAACTGAGGAAGCCACCGCTTCTTCTACCGAGGCCGTCACCACTTCAACTGAGGAAGCTCTGACTTCTTCTACCGAGGCCGTCACTTCCTCCACCGAAGTCGCCACTACCTCAACTGAGGAAGCCATTTCTTCTTCCACCGAGGCTGTCACTACCTCAACTGAGGAAGCCATTACTTCTTCCACCGAGGCCGTCACTACCTCAACTGAGGATGCCGTTACTTCTTCTACCGAAGTCGCCACTACTTCAACAGAGGAAGCCATTACTGTTACCGAGGCCGTCACTACCTCGACCGAGGAGCCCATCGCCTCTTCCACCGAAGTCGCCACTACTTCAACCGAGGAAGCCATTACTGCTACCGAGGCCGTCACTACCTCGACTGAGGAGCCCATCACCTCTTCCACCGAAGTCGCCACTACTTCGACTGACGATGTTACTACCACTGCTCCAGTTTTCGAAGAGCCTACGTCTGTGGCTTCAACTGAGGTTCCTCCAATGGTATCGTCTACCGCTACGCTGACGCAGGAGGCTTCAACCACATCCTCCTCGATAGACGCGCCGACATCTGAACCAACTCAATTCTTCGCATTGACGTCGGAGGTTGGCGGCAAAGCCTTTGCATTTGTCTGTGACACAGGCAGTCTGCTGTTCAGAGAGCTCAGTCAAGGCGAGACTCCGTCAGTGATTGCAATCAGCGAGAACGGCACTTTGAGTTGCGGTGGCAATGTAGCTGTCCTTGCTCCAACAGGCGGCATCTTCAAAGTCGAGCTGGTCACCCCACCTCCTGGTCAAGGCATGATTTCAGCATACTTCTCCATCAGCAATGGCGCTCTGGTTCCTAGCCTGTCTCCCTTGATGAGCCTGCGCAAGCGTGCGGATCCAGTTTACGTTACGGGCACGGATGGCGCTGGCAATGTGTTCGTCTTTGAGCAGAATACAACGCCCATGGGCATCGAACCCATTCCCCCTATTGAAGCAGCTGCAGTCCAATCCAATGGTGAGCCATTACCTGCTTCGACGTCTTCTACATCTGTTGAGGCTCCTGCAACGACGTCTTCTACATCTGTTGAGGCTCCTGCAACGACGTCTTCTACATCTGTTGAGGCTCCTGCTACGACGTCTTCTACATCTGTTGAGGCTCCTGCAACGACGTCTTCTACATCTGTTGAGGCTCCTGCTACGACGTCTTCTACATCTGTTGAGGCTCCTGCAACGACGTCTTCTACATCTGTTGAGGCTCCTGCTACGACGTCTTCTACATCTGTTGAGGCTCCTGCAACGACGTCTTCTACATCTGTTGAGGCTCCTGCTACGACGTCTTCTGCATCTGTGGATGTTCCTGTTTCCACAGCGGCAACCACTCAGCCAGCACCTGTTGCGTCGACATCTTCTGCCTTCGTGGGTGGCCTTGGTTCTTCCTCTGAACTCTCTTCGCCTACAGGTAACGTTCCGGCACCTAGTGTCTCTGCTGTCGCAAGCTCTTCGGTGCAGGTACCTAGCCAGAGCCTCGATGCCGATCCTTCCAGCAGCCTTGCATTGACATCACCTGGCCTTCAGACATCCATCGACTTGCCTGCAACCATCACCACGGCTCCCACAGCCACATCGGTGGCTCCTGTGGCGACTGCAACTACCACAGTCTCGCTTACCTTCAACAATATTCCACTTGTGTGCTCAGGTGATCAGATTCGGGTTGACAACACCCCTGGCGCCGTTGCTTCGCCCATCACGATCGACAACTTGGGTCAGCTGAAGTGCGTTGGTCAGGTCGGTTATCTCAGGCTTTCACCTGCCTCTGGCGTTTATGATGTCTTGCTTGCGGGTATCCCTCCTCCAGATGTGTCCTACCAGACCGGATACTTCTACTTCACGGATGGCACTCTGGTAGCCTCGCTGGTCCAATTACGCCGAAAGCGTCAAGGTCCCTTCAGTGTTGGCGTCGTCAATAATGTCCTGGTTGCTGGGCCTACTGTCTCTCCTAACGGTCTTGTGGCTGTCAACATCAATGCTGCGCCCTCGATCTCTGGCTCTGGCTCGATTGGTGCGCCTTCTGTTCCGGCTCCTTCGAGCTTCAGCACCGTGGCGAGCGCCGCATCTAGTCAAGGTTCTGGCAACGGCATCGCACCCATTGCAAGTGTACCGGTCTCGACCACGACTCAGACTGTCACTTTGACTGTCACTCAAGCTGGTACTGTGCAGACCGTCGTTGCGATTCAAGTCATTATCAATGGTGTACCATCGTCTAGCACTGGTGTTACTATCGGTGCTGGCGGTGGCTCTGGTGTCGCACCAATTGCAGGCGGTGTCCCTGCTGGTTCTGCAGTCACCGTCACCGTCTACGTCAACATCAACGACGTCTTCGTTACTGTGTCGATTGGTGGCGTGCCTGTCTACAATCCTACCTTGGTCACCATTGGCAACGGCCTCACATTCCCTGTTGCGCCTGTCATCGTCAACATCGTCATCATTGTTGCTCCTGTCGTCTATATCAGCGCTGGCGTCACCATCTCTGGCTCTACTACGGTGCAGGCCTTTGTCACCGCCACTGCTGTGGTTCCTGGACTCGCAATCGGTGCAGCAGGTGAAGCAGTCACCATCGTCAATTCAGTTGGTCCATTCCAGACTATCACTGTTGCTCAGCCAATTGCTGTGCCTTCCGTTGTCACGACCACAATCCAACAAGGTGGCGCTGTCATCGCAGTGCCTGTGGCAACGCAAGTGCCTGTTGTTGCGGGTACTGCTGGTGTCGTCGTCGCTGTACAAGTTCCAGCCGGTGCGGCTGCGGTTGTGGCTGCTGCCGCTGCGTCTGCAGGACTTGCTGGTGTTGGTAACGTTGCGCCTGTCCCAGCTTCTGGAGTTGCTGCTGTCTCTGCCATTGCTGCTGCAGCTGGAGTTCCTGTGTCTGCAACCAACGGTGTCGCTGGTGTTGCTGTCAACCCTGTTGCAGCTGGCGTTCCTGGAGCTAATGCCGGTTCCTCTGGTGCTGGCGCTTCTGGCGCTTCTAGCGCTGGTTCTGCCGTTGTCGCGGGCGCTGCAGGTGCACCCGGCTCGGCCGCTGCTGCTGGCAGCGGTAACGCAGCTGGCTCATCAGGTGCAGCATTGCCAGCATCTCGCTCGGCAGCACCTAAAATGGCAGTCTCTGGCTTCACTGCCGGCGCTGTTGCCCTCATCATGTCTCTTCTTTTGATCTAGGCTAATTCTTCGGCTTCTGATCGTCTTCTTGTTTCCTACTTTAAATCGGTCTTGTCGACCGCTTCTCTATATCTAGACAGATTTCCTAATTTTGAGCATTTTCATCTGTTTCATCTTTCAAGCGACACTGTGAGCCTGAGCGAGGTCGCGACACAATACATGATCTCAACTTTGCTACGTCTTAGTGCATAGATGTGAACAGAACGTCTAATATGCGGTGGAACATACATGACTCCACACTCGACGAAGCTAGGTTCGACATTGCACGTGTATCAGTATTGGCTGGTATTGCTGCATGATCACCAAATAAATGACCACTAATACTCACAGGCTGCTCTCTCAATCCGACCTCGAGCTCGTGAGGCGACGATGCCGTGGCATCTGAAGAATAAGCACAATTGCCCTCGCAACCTCGAGTGTTCGGCAATCATGAGTCGTGACCATCCGACCAGCGCGCACTATAAGGCAGTGAGTCCTGTCAGCCATGTCTTCCAGCCCGTTTGCCTCGCTACAATTTACAAGTCCATTCCGTGCCTCGGACAGATTCAGACTTTTCCAGGGCTTCTGCTACTCAATGATGGTATGAAAGGTATGGGCATTTTAGGGTTAGTGCGTACTTCCCCTGCTGATTGGTAGGTTGGCGTTGACGAGGACTACTACTTAGCAGCTTCGAGCGATATTGATGTCCAACTCATAGTATTCAGTTTCGGGCTTCAGGCAGCGTTACCGCTGCAGAAACCCACAAAAGATACATGTCAACTTCAATTGTGGAAGTCCGGGACATCCCCTTAAGCTTGAAGGATGCCATCCCGAGGTCGATGTCAAAGACGGATCGCTTGTGCACTGAGACACCCCATAGTACAAGCAGACTGTCCCAAGCAAGTCTACGATCAAGCATCGCAAGATGATACAAAAGCGTCATTTGCCGCCCCGATTGATGGCCATCGTCCAAACTTGCCCACATGCAGATCAACGCTGTTTTCACAACTGGCGCCTTCCTGGCAGTTGTCTCTGCATACACACTCGAGCGATCATGCTCGCAAGACTTCTACCCTGAACGTAGAGCCTTTACACTTGCTACAACATCATCGGAGTCTATGACATTCGAGCTGTGTCGTGACTTTTGCAAAGGCAAAGGTGCCGACGCATTTGGCCTCGAGTTCAGCAAGGAGTGTTACTGCGCTGCTCCTGGCGAGTATGCTGCGCTCCGGGCGGCATCGAACACTTGCTCTAAGCCATGTTCTGGAAATCCGACTACACTCTGTGGAGGAGATAACGCATTGCAAGTGTATACCTTCGAGACTGCACCAGCTGCCACGTATCTCGGGTGCGCAAGAGATTACTTCCCTGACTCACGTGTCCTCACAGGTGTATACTACCAAGATGACGGAGACAACAGCAACGCTAAGTGCCAAGACTTTTGCTTCTCGAACGGCTATCCTTTGGCAGGTACTGAATTCGGGGACGAGTGCTTTTGTGGGTCTGCATCGGACCGCAGCAACTTGGTTTGGGCGGACAACTGCGACGAAACATGCACATCTGGCAATGGTATTTGCGGTGGTGACAATGCCATATCTATCTGGACCATGGATGCGCAGGTGCCTCCGATGATCTCTTCGTCTGTGCCGCCCTATGTGAGATCCTCCTCCACATCAGCTGCGTCTTCTTCTGCAGCAGTCGTACCAACGATTGCTCCTGCTAGCACGACAGTCGATGTTCGTTCCACGACAGCGAGCTCTTCGGCTGCTATTTTACTTGCATCATCCTCGGCAGGTCAGTCTTCTTCTTCAGTTGCCGTCAGCTCAAAAGAGGCCACAACTTCGATCGTATCGACGTCCTTGGCTGCTCAGATTACCACTTCTACTTCTGCCGCGATCAGCACGAAGACCTCGACTACGTCTGCACTTGCAACGACGGCCCAAGCTAGTACACTCACTACGTCCACAAAAGCTGCGGCAACCAGTGCTGCCCCTGGCACCACCAAACTCTGCTTCGTGAGCTTCGAAATCAATGAGATCTTCAAGGTCATCTCCCTGGGCGGTGCCTTGCTCGACCTCTTATCGGATGCATTCGATGGAACCAGAGCACTGGTCTTGGCCAAGGTCAACATGTCCAGCACTGCGCCCATTTCCCATGTGACCACTATACCTGGCTGTCCCACCTCCAAGACGCTCAACGTCCAGTTCTATTACAAGTCTTCACTCCTCTTTGTTGGCCGGACTTGCAGTCTGGTTGCAACTGCAGGTGACTCTTCCACCACCGTGCCCATTATACGCGCGAATCCGTGGACCAAGGTCAATTTCCAGAGTACTTCGACAATCTCGAACCTTGACTTGAAGTTTGAGCTGAAGTGTACGGGCGCGTTGGGTATTCCACTGCAAGCGCCTGTTCATGTAGACAGTGTAACAATCTCGTACTAGTTTTAGTGTTTAGCAAGCTATCTATGCCGTTCAGAACAATTTCACTCAAATATCTTCAATGTAGCTTGCACTGATTGGACAGATTTCCTGAAGTTGTCTTGTTTGCTGCGCAACGGCCTGGCTGTTTGCTCCTAGCGTGTGTTGTGAGTTAGCGCTTGCACTTTGAGATGCATCTGAAAAACACCAGCCCGGCTCCACGATGTCAAGGAGACGTGTTCAAGCGCGACCTCATCCACTAACGCCGCGATCACTTCACTGCCTAGACAGATGTTCCGCGCTACGCCTGGAAAGCGGACCTCTTTCCAATCACTACGCTTTCCAGACACCTGTCCGGCACTCATAGAGTTCTTGACGAACCGAATTTGCAAGACAATTGATGGTCCTTACACATTCGAACAGCTACGCACGCTAGAGTCTCTCAAGCTCCTCATTAGCCAGCTCAAACGATGTGATGAGCGCTTTCTTATCTTTGCATTGCTTTGGTGTCGCCTGCAGTTCTTCACGAAGACCGATGACCAGCACTCGCTGGATGGGTCGCGTGGATTTGCTTGTGAAATCGCTGCCATGCGCATCCTCCGTCGCTACAACAGTAAAGAGCTCCTACAAGTTCTCACGAGTGATTATCACGCATTGGAAGTACCGGAGACGTCCCAAACTGGTATCATTGTGACGGAGGTCAGCACATCGCAAGCTGGGCCTTCGAAGAATCAGCAGACCTTGCAGGTGCCAAATGAGCGGTCTCCTTTACGTGTTGATACCAGAACGTCAAGTCCTACTCGCCGTAGGAAGCAAGCTGATCTCGAAGCAGAGCCACTCGCCCAGGAAAAAGTCGGGGCACGGACATTCACGGCCATGGAAGTAGCCATTGTTGCAGAGGCCAAGCACTTCATCGCATCCCAGATCGTTCAAGACATGCTGACTGAAATTTGGAACGGTGAAATCGTCTTCTGGTCAGACATCTCATCTGATGAGTACAAGAAGGCTCAGTACTACGACTCGGAAGACCGCGAGTTTTGGGATTTTGCACGTCTTCGAGTGCCGAAATATCACTTTCTGATTGAATGGATCAATTTCACGATCCTCACAGCATTCTACATAGCAGTGGTTGTCAAAAGAGAGTATCAAACTCTTGGTTGGCTCGAAGTGCTCCTCGCCGTTTACTTCCTTGGCTTCGCATATAATGAGTGAGGAGACGCCCTTTGAGACAGAGATTGCTGACATTTCAGATACGATCAATACAGAGAAAGCGGCGACTCTTCATTCTACTTGGCCAACCCGTTCAACTATTTGGACCTTGGCATGATCGCAATCAGCTTTTGCTGGATGTATCTTCGCGCCGTTGGCGTTGCCAAGGGCGATGTTGATCTTGTTGCAAGATCGTATGATGTCTTGTCCTTGCAAGGCGTCCTGCTTGTACCGCGCCTCTTTTCGTTCCTGTCTCTCAACCAACATTTTGCTACCCTGTTCCAGTGCTTGCGACGGCTAGTAGTCGACTTCACGCGCTTCTTAGTGCTAATTGTTGCTCTATTCACAGGCTTCCTCGTCACATTCGCGGTTCTTGGACGTCAGTCGTATAACGTCGAAGAGATCAGCTGGATGCTCGTTCGCATCTTCTTCGGCAACTCTTTCTTGGCGTTTGACTCGATGCGCATCATCGACCCTGTGTTCGGTCCACCTCTCATGGTCATTTTTGTCATCTTTTCTCAAATATTGCTCACGACGGCCCTCATCTCAATCTTGTCGAACAGCTTCGCTCAAGTGATGAGCAATAGCAGGGAAGAGTACTTGTTCCTTTTTGCGACAACGTGTCTCGAGTAAGGGTTCCTTCTCCGACGCTCTGCTGACATTTTAGGTCCGCCAAGTCTGATCACATGGTTATCTTGTCGCCTCCTTTCAATCTGATTCCCCTTTTTGTGGTGCGACCTTTGCGTCTATGCTTTCCGTCAGGTCATCCGACATTGACTCGAGCCAAGATTCTGATCCTCAATGTAACGCATGCACCATTTGTGTTGCTCGTCTCCCTCTACGAAAGGTCATGGTTCAAGCCGCAACCAACGGATGCTTGGCGACGACGTATTGCAAAAGGAGCGTCAAGATCCTCGAGCTTCCATGATCAGTTGACTCGACAGGCATCGAATCATACAGTCGCAAGAATCAAGGCTGGCTTGGGCCTCAACATTGGTCTCCTTGCTGGTGTTGGTGCCGCAAAGGCAAGGTCAGAGGATGGAAGCACAGATGATGAAGAAGGGCTTGATACGGGCGTGATGCTTGATCCTTCGCCCGCAACTAATGAGCTTTTTAACGATGCAACGCGAGCGCGACTCGAGCGCATGGAACATGAAATTGGGCAGCTAAAGTCAATGCTCAAGGAAGCACTCTCAAAGCATAGCTGAAAGTGCTGGCCTAGTTAGACATAGGACATTGATGACAATGATAGATTTGTGCTCTTTGCGACTATTCACTCAGCCATCTGAAAATATCTTTGCCGTTAATGCGACCAACCTTGGGCTCGGTGCTCTTGGCAAAACCACTGCCACGCGCCAAGACTTCAGCATATAGAAAGGCTTCTATGCCTCTGAGCTAGCTTCAATCTTATCGTCTGAATTCATGATGCAGTCTAGTCCTCTGCGTATCCAGCCTTTCGCGCCGACGCCGTATCTACCAACTCAAACACCAATTGCGCGCATCTCGCTTGATGAGGATGTGAAGCTTGTGACTGGCGGTACTGGTGAGCGAGATGCGTACGACACACTTGCTGTCATCTATGGCATTCTCGTATCTCTGGAGTTCCTAGAACGGGCTTATGTGCGTGATGCAGTCACGCTGGAGCAATATGATGCGGCTTGCTTGCGCCTGTTGAGCCAGTACCGTACGGGTCTTACTAGTTTTGAGCAGCAGGTACAGATCAACACAAGCTCGAGTCTCAGCAGTATACAACAAGCTACTCCAAGAGTGGCCGATGCCTTTGAGAATGGTCTCGATGGCTTCATGGCAAAATATAGAGTCAGCTTCCCACTCGCGGCTGCCCGCATTCGTCAAGGTCAACCTGCCGGCTTGTTAACCGAGTCTATTCAATCTGCACAGCAGGAAGAAGCACGCGCCGCAGAATTGGCCGCTGCAGAAGCTGAACAAAAAGCAGCGCAGCTTGCGGAAGAAAAGCAGCGCAAGGAGAAGCAAGTGAAGAAGGCTGCTATGAGGAGTAAGAAAGGCAGTGCTGCTGCACGAGTGGCAGAGACAGTGCAGTGTTTCATCACACTCATGGATGCCTTGAAACTATCCTTTCGTGCCAAGGATCAACTACATCCACTGCTTGCCGATCTCATGACTTCCTTGTCGCATTGGGTCGATGACGAAGACGAGAATGAATCTGCCAGTGATGAGGAACAAGAGGAGACCATTCCCGACTTCCCAGGGAAGCCGAAGCTCGTCAAGTGGCTCATTCGGACTAATCAGATGAAGGCAAGCGAAGAGCTCTCTGAGGAAGAGGTCCGTGATTTGTTCTTTGAAATTGAGAGCATGTATGCAGAGTATCTCAAAACACTCTAAGCATTCTTGTTTGCCTGACGGCCGCTTTCATCATTTGCATCGAAAAGCAAATCTAATGATGGTGCATCTGGATTGGAGTCAACCTGACTAGCTGTCTCGTCTGCAGCTTGTTCCTTCTTGACAAGTACCTGCAGGTGCTGTTCCTGTTTCTTGGTTGCCTCCTCATTGATACCCTCCCAGCCACATTCGTCGCGCAATACGCGGCCAACAAGGTACTTGTAGCGCAAATGCCCCTCGACGTCTGCAGAGACGTCGATGTTATCGACACCTGCCGCATCAACAGCTTGCAAACCAGCAACACCAAGCTGTATGCTGGCTGTACGGTATAAGAAACCGAGAATGTAATCTTTACTCGAGTAGACGTTGATGCACCTGCCTGCCACCACAGAGCGAATCATGCCCCAATCTGCCGAATCAGCTGGACATGCAGCACCCATGAAGACGACATTTTCCACCAAACCGAATTGCTTACGTCGCGCCAATTCCTTGAGGCAGTCATACAAGACTCTGCTGCCAAGGGAATAGCCCACTAGCGAGATTGGACGATTTCCTTGGACACGCTCGCACAACGCATCTGCTAGCACGATGCCAGCCTTTTGAGAGCGTGTAAAGGCGATACGCCAAGGGTTGTCCAAAAGTTTACCAACCTTGAGCAGACCCAGCGGCCACAATGCGACCATGAGACTAGCAAACACGGTGCGTCGGATGATTTCCTTTTTGGCATATGAGAAGGCAGTGGACAGCATCAAGTCTGTCAAGGCTGTGCCCAGAGCAAGTAGAGCTTTTGTCTCGTATCGTAGGGCATAAGCATCCGTCACATCGTCCAATACATCAAATGGTAAGGTTATGTCTTCTGGCGTTGCAAGCCAGCCAGCAACACCCAGAGTCACACTCAAACGTGAGCTGCCTGGCTTCTCAGCCTCTGCTTGGTCTTTGAGTGGCAAGAATGCAAAGTCAGACACTTCCGCTGCATAGCGTTCCATTGATTGTCCGGCCATCTTGGCGCCATACCCACCAAAGAGGGCACCTACCAGGATGGAACTACCTGCCATCGCGCCAAGATAACCAGCTGCAACAGTCGAGCCAAGACCAATGCCACCCAGGACAGTCCCTAATCCTGCTGCAACAAGAGGTGCTGCGAGTCCACCAGTAATGCCAACAATGGCAGCACCTGCGACACTTGCAAGACCCACTTTCCAGCGCGACGAGGCTTGCTTTGCGCGCTTCTCTTCCTCACTTTGTTGGTGTTGCATGAGAGCCGCTTTCTGAAGTTGTGAAGAGACTTGCGTCTCGACTTCAAGAAATAGAGATGCTGGCAATTTAAGCGAGGCTGCAATGGTTTTGAGCAGGACCCGAGAATAGGCAGAATAGGTTTCCAATGAGAGCAAGAGGAGCAGTAGAGCATTGAGCAATAAAGTCTTGTACTCAAGAGATATGTCTGCTAGATCCGTATCGATAGCATCCGGTAAACGCACTTTCTTGTCTGTCTCTGTGAAGGGGAATGAAGAGGGCGATGTTGCTTCCTCCGCCTCGAATGAACGCTGTTGCTCGCCAGCATGTTGTGTATTGATGGCCTGGCCAATACGTTGAAGCACTTGTCCACGCCATTCGTCAAAGAAGGCAAGAGCAGGCTCTTGCAAATCGCGTGCCCATTCAGGCGATGCCTTGCTGTCGACATTGATGGTAGGCACTTGAGCAGCAGCGACATCGCCTTCTTTTATCGCCTCGCTTGCCGCGGTGCTTGTCTGCTCTCCGTCTTCAATGTCATTCTTGGCGAGAGAAAGCTTTTCTGCTTCTTGAATGAGTGCCGACTCATCCTTTGAAGCCGGCTCGTGTGTAAATGTAGCAGCAAGTTGTTGACGCATGCGCTCGAGTGCATCGCCAATCAGGACCGTCAAGTCTGCACGCTGCGCAGGTGATAGGATGTCATTGAGATCTTTATCCTTCTCAATCTTCATTGAATGTGCCATGGCAGGCTACTGGATCCTTGTAGCGGTAATGAGAGATGTGTCGCATCCCCAGTCGGCTGTAGCTGTAGATGTGATGTCATGCGGGCGACTTAAAACTCAAAGTTCAATATTCAAGGGGGAACACAACTTCAAGCTTGAAGAGCTTCCTACAGAGTTCAAGGAAGCAAGACGCTGTCCGGAGTACTTATATAGTGCCTATCTCGATCTGAACATACCCGACTGGAGAAGCGCGTTCTGGTCGTACCCTTGCAGAGCCATCAGGCTTCAGCCAGTGTTCAGCCAACGTGCTGCCTCAACTGCAAGCTGACGAGGAGTTCGACCATCATCGAAGAACCTCAAAACGAGACCATACTGCACCGTCAAGTGAGCTAGCCCCATGGATCGAGCCATGAGACAACTTGACGACCCTGGCGAAGAAGCCAGTGCCGAGAATCAGGAGCTTGTTTGAATAAGCTTTAAAATCATTTGAAGTGAATGCGAAAAAATGTCAAGTTTTGGTCTTGGCATGGGCAGCAGCCATCTCTGCTGGAGTTGGCCCGCTCAGATCCACGAGTTTGTTACTGGAATTGACGCTGGTCTGCTTCTTGGGGGCACGCTGCTTGCGCACAGCCTTGCCTGATTTCGGGCCACCGTTCGTTAGATGTTCACTCCCATTCGGCTTGCCCTTTGGCGCCTTGGAATCCTTTGTAGAAGGACAGGTGTCATTCGACTTTCGAGCATTTCCTGTCTTTGTAACATCAGCAATAGCAGCCTTCTTTTCGTGTCCCTGGCAGACAGAAAGCGATGAAGCACTGCCCTTTTTGCCATTCTTGACGACAGGTTTATTCTGATTACTCTGGCTCGGTGTAGATTCAGCATCCTTTGCATCGCGTCGCTTGCCCTTGCGTGACTTGGATCCATCAGCGTTGTTCTGCGCGGCCATCTGTGCCTTGACCTTTTCTGTTGCAGCATCTGCCAGATCCTGAGCTGCTTGACGTTTTTCCTCCTGCAACTTGGCCTTTTCTGCCTTCTTGATCTTTTGCTTGGCGTCATTCTTGACCTTTTGTGCGCGAAGAAACTCAATGAGCGGCGTCACTCTCGGGTCTGCTGGCTCTGAGGACTCCTCAACAGCCGGCTGCTCTGGTGGATTGAGAAACGCAAGATAATCAGGGTCATCTGCCAGTGTACCCATCAGTGCATCTTGCGAACCCGATGCACCCGTATTGTGCGCTTTAGGTAACGGCGCAAGCTCCACCTGTGCCATAAACTCGTGGCCCTCGCCATTCACAAAAACATGACCCTTAAAAGCCTTCATGAAAGCAGCCAGATCTTCCTGCCGACGAAACTTGATGTATGCACGACTTGCGCGCGGTTGTTTTGTCTTTTGCTTCGGCATCTTGCCCTGCAGATATGTGATAGATTCCACCTTCTTGAGCTCTGAATAACGTTCGAATGTAGAAGTAAAGACATCCTCCGGTAGCGTCGGCGGGAGATGTCGAACCACGATCCTCAAACGCTGCTGCGGTCTCGTATCGCGCCTTCGTGCAGAAGCATGTTGCGCGCGCGATGCACAGGAATGCGCACCCCGTCCAGACTGTGCAGAGCCACGCTGTGATACAGTTCGTGGAACATTGGCAGTACCAGTAGATGACGGCGCTGCGAGCACTCTTGCATCGGGACCTTTGCGCTCTCCGCCGCGTTTGTTTCGTGGTTTCGAGGGTTTCCGTTCAGACATGCAAGACAGGGACGGCCCTCTTTATGTGTGTCTCTGTCTCTGTATGACCCTGCGAGACTCTGGGCCCCGTGGCCCCCTCGCGGTCAGATACGGCGCTTTGTTTGAGAGCTTGGCCGGTTGCTCGCCTTTTTGTTTCTTTGGCTTCGAAGCGCAAGAGAGCAAGAGACCTCACCACAAAAGGACAATCCGGCACACAGGAAGCAGAGGGCCCACGGGCAAAGGGTACAGGAAGGTCGCATTGAGCAGAGGTGCAAGCGGGCGAGGACACGGCGCAACGGGCTACGACGAGATACAAGGAGAACAGACCGCCTAGACGATTTACGCGACCGACAGATCATGCCTGGCTCACTCGACGAATGGCTCGTGATGGCCAAGAAGTGCCAACACCTGCCTGAGCCTGATTTACGGCGACTATGCGAGATGGTCAAGGAAATCCTGATGGAAGAGTCCAATATTCAGCCTGTGCGAACGCCAGTGACGATCTGTGGCGATATCCATGGTCAATTTTACGATTTGATGGAGCTCTTCCGCGTTGGCGGGCAGTTGCCCGACACAAACTACATCTTCATGGGCGATTTTGTGGATCGGGGCTACTTCTCGCTCGAGACATTCACACTCCTCATGTGCTTCAAGGCCAAGTTTCCAGACAAAATTACACTACTGCGCGGTAACCATGAGTCTCGGCAGATCACACAAGTATACGGCTTCTACGACGAATGTCAAACAAAGTACGGCAATGCGAATGTGTGGAAGTACTGCTGTCAAGTATTTGACTTTTTGACACTCGCTGCCATTGTCGATGGCAAAGTGTTGTGTGTACATGGTGGCCTGTCACCTGAAATAAGAACCCTCGACCAGATTCGGGTGATTGCGAGAGCGCAAGAAGTCCCGCATGAAGGTGCATTTTGTGATCTTATGTGGTCTGACCCGGAGGAAGTGGATACGTGGGCCATCAGTCCGCGCGGCGCCGGCTGGCTCTTTGGGCTCAAGGTCACTGAAGAATTCAATCACGTCAATGGTCTAGGGCTGATTGCCCGAGCACATCAACTGGTACAAGAAGGCTTCAAATACCACTACCAGAAGGAAAATCTCGCGACCGTTTGGTCAGCGCCAAATTACTGTTATCGCTGTGGCAACGTCGCGAGTATCATGCAACTGAAGGAAGACCTGGTACCTGAATTCAAGATCTTTACAGCCGTACCGGATGATCAGCGTGTGATACCGGCAAAGGGACAGCAGCGGAGTGATTACTTTGTATAAGTATCTTTTGCATGTGCTTGTAATCAAGATGGTGCTTGGCGCGTGCAAAGTCTTTCCTATAGCCGCCAATCACGAATGCATAGAGTGACAGAAGACTCGAATATGAAATTGGCATTGACTCTGAAGCATGACTGAGCTCGTCTCCCTCCTTTGTACTCGTCTCATGGATTAGAAAAGATGCTTCCATCTGAAAGCTTCTCCCGTTGACCAGCAGTCTACTTCAACTTCAGCCCTCATTGACCGTGTCGCACAGGCAAGGTTTCCGCTTGTGAGGCGGCAGTCTCTACTAGATGCTCTCAGCTTATGTGCTCTTCAGCTTTCTGCTATTTGGCATCACCATAATCTTGCTCTATGCTCGGAAATCAAATGATGCACCAAGAACGCTTCTCGTTACCCTTGGGTCAGGTGGACATACAGGAGAGATGATCAGTATGCTCTCTACGCTCGATACGAGACCTTTTGGGCGACTTGTCTTCTATGTTTCGACAGGGGATCGCTTATCTTTGACTAAAGCCAATGAACTATCCCAGCAGCTCGGCGTCCAGCAAATTGACATCCGAGTGATTCCGCGAGCTCGTCGTGTCAAGCAGTCATTCTGGACATCTCCATTCACTTCCATCATAAGTCTCCTATCAGCGTTCCTGTATGTGGCGCAAGACAAGCCAGACCTGATATTATCAAACGGACCAGGCACCTGCGTCATCATCATTGCTGTTGCGCGGCTGTTTCGGTTGTTGGGCGTCCAGCATGCGCGAGTCGTGTTTGTTGAAAGCTTTGCCAGAGTCCATAATCTGAGTCTCTCTGGGAAACTACTGCTCCAGCTGAGACTGGTCGACCGGTTCTTGATGCAGTGGCCAACGGATGTGCAAGTTCACCCTAAAGTAGAGAATGTGGGCAGCTTGATTTAATGCTAGTTGACCTGATGATGCCAATGTATGCTATTGAAGTGATTACAGACGCTTCATGGACTGTGCAAGTGTATCAATGGCAGCCGGTGACAATCCCTTGAGAGGATCGCGATTCTTTGGCACATACCGTTTCGGCGCTGCGACATCCTCTTCGATACCCTCCACCTCTGCAACTGGTACTTCTGACAATGCAGCCCGCTCTCGCTTCTCTCTTGTGAATCTTGAGTACTTGTTGCGCAGCTCATCTTCCAGGCCGGTAGGTACAGGGCTCGCGTATAATGTCTCGAGATAGGTATTCGCTGATACCTCAGCTTCTGTCGTATCCATCGGTCCACTCACTTCATCCTGCTCTCTCTTTGGCCATGGCAGAAACAAGTTCTCACCGGGAATCCACCGCCGCCAGGTCAGCATTTTTTTGTCCTTGTTGAAGAACGTCTTGCCACGTAATACCCGCTTGACCACGACACTCCGAGTCTCCTTCGCACCCAAGGTGACTGGAATATCACCCACCAGTTGGACATTAGAGTAATGTATCGGCGCAGCATACTCAAACTTTTGTGTTTCCAAACCGCTCTCACTCGACAGAAAGAGCGGTAGTGTCTTCTTGATAATATTGACACCACCCACGGTAATTTTATTGCGTTCTTTGTGTAGTTCAATCACGCGCCCTGTCGTACCGCGTTGAGGACCTGTAATGACACGCACTGTATCGCCAACGGCAATATTCCAGAACTTGATCCGATCTCGCGGCTTGACTGCTTTTTTCGCTGCTTTCATCATCTTGGCGGATCTGAAGGTAGACCCCCTACGCCTTGTATCCGGTGAGCTGATGGGCCGTGTTGCAATGGCTTTGATGGTCGCTCTCTCGTTGACTTTCATCGCCGCACGTGAGAGGAGAACTTCAGATGGGCAAAGTGCAAGGATAGGCAAGATCTTGCAGCCTCTGTGGGTATTTGTTGCGTATAAGATAGACCTCTACAGCATCTCCGGCCCATCATCGTCCTTGGCAATTGGTATCCTTGCCCTTCTCTGAAAACGAGACTGCTTTCCCCGCTGTGGTTCCTGAGTGTGCTGTGGCGCATGCGATTGTCGGCGACAGAAATTGATTTGACAGAGCATCAAAGCTTCACCAGGCTACAACCGCGCATCTGTCCTCACTGAGGAGGGTCTCAGGTGCTTGGGCTCGTGTCTTATGGACGAAAGTCTGCGCCTTATATGGGGTATGTCCTAAATGCCAAAGATCGCGATGCTGACAGGACTAGACGCTATAGATGAGGGTCAGTTTGACCAAGCACTGGATCGCATACAAAAGGCGCTCCGTCGTTCACCAAACTCCAAGACACTATGGGTAGAGCTTGGTACATACTCAGACAGTTCAACTAACAAAAGGGCCTCAAAGGGTTGTGTCAGGCCAGCTTGAGCGACTTTACCGGCGCAATCGACACTTGTGAACGTATCCGAAAGGCGAGTCCATCGACACAAGACACCTATCAAACGATCCAAGACATACTGAAGAATGCTTCGTCAGAGCCTATCATTCAGCTATATCTGAATCAAACAATGGAGGCAGGATTCAAAGCGTGCAAGACGGAAGCACTCGGACGACTTTGGTGCATGACGGCTGTGCGTACTGGCGATTTCGTCATGCAGCGTCGTGCCGCTGTTGAACTGCAAAAGGGCTTCTTGGCAAGACAGTACTTCTTTCTTGCCGTTATGAGCATGTTTTCCTTGGCTTCTAGGAGTCAACAACCTAATGAAGTCAGGCTGCTTGACATGCTCATGTACAGAATGATGTCGAAAGCTGCTCAAAACACGATTCAAGATATTGAGGAGAATCCGCGCATATTTAATGTCGAGGAATTCTACCTGCTGCTTGATGTCCTCGAGCGTCAAGAAAAGCACTCTGAGATGCTTGACATGCTTGATGGACGCCTCGGTGAGTTATTTGGCCAAAGTCAAGACTTCAAGCAGCTCAAAGTAGATTTGCTCGGGAAGCTCAAGAGGACTGATGAGCAGCTCACCTATGCAACGTCCTGTATTTCAGGGGGAATCGACGACTGGCACTTTCATCGAGTCTTGATTGCAAGCGCCGAGCGACCCGTGCTAGTAGGTCAGTCTCGAAATGACTTGCTCGCTCTGGTGGCTTGGTCCGCATCTCAATGCACAGATCTAGTCAAAGCTTTAAAAACGTACATGCAGGCATTTGGTGGTACTCTGACCGCATATGAGGATGTATTGCCTTTTGTACAGCGGCTCGAGGAAGACGCCGCACCGTCATTTCTCGATTCCTTGAGGGCGCAGAAAAAGGACCTCAACAATCCAATCAAAGCTGTTTTGCTGCACGTCAACATCTGCAAATTGCACTTTACGCTCTACCTGCATGCATCCACAGACAAAGTCGAACTGTTAGAGTTTGCACAGCTATGCCTCCGAGACTACGCGGCCTCTTTGTCACTGGGAGAGAAGTTGGAAGATACCGACAACCAGTACGGAGATGACTTGCTTCTATTGGCGTGTCAGATACTACTTGACCCATTCTCACGACTTGATAGGAGCTCGGTACCACTCTTGCAATGTGCTGCATTATTGGAGTACGGTCATGCGCGTTCAAAGCATAATTACCAATTCAAGCTTTATCTAGTCCGCATTTATCGTCTTCTCGGCGCTTGGCGGCTAGCAGAAGATGTCTACAAAACCATGAATGTCAAGCAAATCCAACGCGATACGTTGGCATTCATCTTGTATGAAGATGCGACATTTGAACACCTCGCTACAACACAGCTTACAGGACTCAAGCTATCACAATCGCCGTACTCTGCGAACCGGGCAGAAACACCAGAGATGATTTGTCAAGCGATTGAACATGGTACCTACAGCAAAGTCGAAGAATTTCTCAAATTTCAAGACCGCGTCGAGCATTCTTACTGGCGGTATCGGTCCACCACTGAGATTGCACGACTGGAGATGCTGTTGGACAAGAAGTCAACTGTTGTGATTGAAAAAGCTGATCAGGTCTTTGACAATCGCAGCATGGATGTTGTACTCAATTGCTTGCCGGCTCATGTCGAGTCGGTTCGACCGTTGCCATTCTCTGGCCCAAGCAATACGGAAGGCGTGATCAGTGATGAGGATCTAGCAGGTCTGAGAGACTATCAAAACAGGGTGCAGGTCATGCAGACTCTGACCAAACCTTCGAAGGAATCTCGGTTAGAGGATAATGCTGGTCTCCTTGCATCGCTCAGTCAACTTTCTGTCGATGGGAAACCCAAGCAGCCTGATCTGTTGGCGAGTCAATTGGAAGCAATCTCCATGCCTCCTGAGGATGCCATGATTTCTCGGGAGACATTGCATGCTCTGGGTACTATCCTCGAACAGTTCAAGCTGGCATCCATGGTACTGGCCGGGTTGAAGAAGTCTCAAAGAACTGCATTGGCTTCCACTGCATCTCTGCTACGCGACAAGCACGCTCAGTTGACTGTCTCCTTGGACAGCCTGCGGAAGCAGGTCTCGGCCACAAAAAGTCTCGTTGCAGAGGTCCGCCAATCTGGTTTGTTCGGTGTGCTCAAGAATGCAGATGAGACCTATGTTGAACAGATACTAGAGCGTGTGGCTGTTGCGCAAGCGGAAAGTATTTATGCCTTGGCCAATGTAGCCAAGGCTATTCGCATATAGATATCACTTATTGGAACTTCTTTCCCTCCTTCATCTCTGCACCGTTTTTGACACTCTCCGACTCCTTTCCATCCGTTGTCAATGGCGTGGCTTCGGCTTCTTGTGCTTCTTTATGAGCTCGCTGGTTCATGGCTTTCAAGTCAATTCCACCTTTTGCACCTTCCCCAACACCTTGGATCTTACCATCAGGTCCAGGCTTGAGTTGCGAACTAGATTCTCCTGCCTGCTCGCCCTCGCTCTTGGATGACCAATCCAACCAAGATCCCTTGTAATTGCCAACTTGCTTATAGCCAAGTTTCTCGGCAATCTCTGCAGCAGCCGTCGAGCGAACACCCGAGCGACAGTAGAAGATGACCTCATCTTGCTCTTTAGACGGTTTCGCAATGCCAAATTTGCTCTTGAAGTCTGGTGCGTCCAGAGAGAGTGCTTCTTGCAGAGACTTGACGGAAATGTTGGTAGAGGATGGAATAGCACCTGCTGCATATTCGTTTGGTTCACGCACATCTGTTTGGTCAGCGACTGCATCTCAAGCTGTGTTGCTTTGCGTACCGATAATCTTCTTGGTCGCAGGCGATGCCTTGCTCACTGATTTGATGTCATTGTAGCTGTACAAGATTTGTCGAAACCACGAAGCTGAGATATGAAATGCCCTTGCATGCCGTGCTACGGTAGCTGCTGAGGTCCTCTGTCGAAGCATATGCACAGTCTATACTCTACTGTACTGTTGGTCTCTGCAGCTGTGAACGTTGAGTCTGCGGGGTCTCCTGTCTCACGCCGCGCCAGGGGCAAACAAAACAGACGCTGAAGCAAGCACACAACAAGCATCCATAGACACACACATCTGCTTATTACTGTCACTAGACTAGAAATCAGAGCTCAGCTTCTGCTTGCTGTCACTAGACGAGCTATTCGAGCTCAGTCGCGCATGTGAAATAGGTCGCCAAGCTTGATCAAGCAAGCGCATCTCGGGATCTCGAGGTAATGACAAGCCAGCGCGCTGTGAAGTCAGTTAGCTTCTCACACCCTGCCAGTCCCGCTGGAGGCGCGCAAACGGAGCGCACAGCGCTGCTCAGCAGCAATGGAAACAGCGCATTCTATACATGGAGTTCGCGCTCCGCGCCAGTCAGTCCTGGCACGACGTCTCCCATGAAACGGACCAAACAAGACCGTCAATTACGCATCAGCAAGTCATTTGCTAGTATCGCGCAAGCAGCCCAGCAGCAAGGGTATTGCTTGCAACATGACAGTATTCTCGAAAAGAATCGTACATTCTATGACAACTACATGGCTGTGGACTGGCTCGGCAATGGCATAGCTGATGCTCGACGGCTTGATGCATTGCGTGCCGACCGTTCTGTGCGCGGAAGAGCTCGCTATGCTTGGGATGCACTACAAGGATGGCTATTGATGCTTGCGATCGGTATTCTCACAGCATTGATTGCCTATGCAGTGATGATGAGCGAAGTTGCTCTCTACTCGCTCAAGAGCGGTTACTGCACAACGCCTGATGGCTTTTTCCTCCGACAGAGTGCTTGTCCTGAAGGACTTTTCCACTACTGGAGCGATCATGCTGCAAAACAATTCTTCATCTACCTCAGTATCTGCCTCGGCTTGGTCTTCATCAGCAGTAGCTTAACCATGACCACCCTGACCGTCTTTCCAAACGGCAAAACTATATACATGGCAGCGGGCAGTGGCATCCCTGAAGTCAAGACGATTCTCAGTGGTTTTGTCATCCATGGATATCTCGGTTTTCGCGTACTCGCAGTCAAATGTATTGGTCTGACACTCGCTGTAGCGTCTGGCTTACCACTCGGCAAGGAAGGTCCATTCGTTCATCTTGCATGCTGTGTCGCTAATGTCTTGACGCGATTTGTCCCAAAATTTCACGAATCAGATGCCAAGCGACGTGAAGCACTCTCTGCTGCATGCGCAGCGGGCGTAGCAGCTGCGTTTGGTGCACCCATCGGCGGTGTTTTGTTTGCACTGGAGGAAGTGTCGTACTACTTCACACCCAAAGTCATCTGGCGATCCTTCTTCTGCAGTGCTATCACAGCCATTGTCTTGAAATCGCTCAATCCACATGGTACAGGCAAGTTGACACTGCTAGAGACGACCTTCTCCAAGGACTGGCACTATAGAGAGCTCCCCATCTTCGTGCTCCTTGGCTGTTTCGGCGGACTCTTTGGTGCGCTCTTTTGCAATGCGAATCTGGCATGGTCTCGCCATTTTCGTCGACATGCCTTGGTCGCTAGGCATCCGATCATCGAGGTGTTGACTGTGACGCTCCTGGCCACGGCTGTCAGCTACTGGAATCGGTTTACACAGATGGGTGGAGTCGAGCTCGTGGATGATTTGCTGACTGAATGCGTTGAGATGGTTCCATCGCCCCTTTGCCCGTCGACCACAAGCGACTTTGGTCCTATCGTTCGTGCACTTTCTTATGCCCTGTTCATCAAATGCGTGCTCACCGTCATCACATTTGGGTGTCGGATCCCGGCAGGTATCTTTGTGCCTACCATGGCAGTCGGCGCGCTCTTCGGTCGTATCTTGGGGATTTCTTTACAGCAACTCGCTTTGAGCAGCCCAAATTTAGCACGCCTAGGTGGTCTTTGTCCGATTGGTGGTGCAGGGGATTGCATTGTGCCGGGTATCTACGCTATGATTGGCTGTGCAGCAACACTTGCAGGTGTCACACGTATGACTGTATCCCTTGCTGTGATCATGTCTGAGCTGACGGGGTCGCTTGACTTTGTCGTACCGTTTATGCTCGCCATTCTGGTCGCCAAATGGGTTGCCGAAAGCATTCAGCCACAAGGGATCTATGATTTGCTCATTGAACTCAATGACCATCCTTACCTCGATGCCAAAAGTCACCACTACCAGTTGCAAAACGCAGAGTTGGTTGACTTGTTGCCGAGTCAGGATATCATGCTTCGCACTGCAATCGACGTCACACAGTCATCTACTGTTCGAGCAAGTCAGTTGCGACAACAAATCCTGTGGAGTCGCGAGGCAGGACTAGATGACTCTGGGTTCAGTATTGTCAAGGCCGGGGAGCTGGTCGGGTATATCGCGCTGGCAGACTTGTCGCTTGCATTGGATCTCCTACCAGCTCAACAGATGCAATTCAAGCCAGCTGGCCATACGATTGATCAAGGCTTGACTGATGAAGACGAATTTTCAGGGGACATGCCTATTCTTATCGACCCAACAGTTACACGCCGCCCACACTCGCGACCTCCAGCAGATCCGGCGGCTCCGTTTTCAGATGTGCTGAATGAAGCCTCAACGACTCGCCATGCGGATTTGACGACCTTGGTGGATCGCTCGCCATTGACGCTACAATGTGAAGCACCGCTAGAGCTAGCACTCGAGATGTTTAGCAAGCTTGGACTGCGCTATTTGTGTGTGTTGGATGGTAGCGAGTACCGTGGCACCATTCATAAGCGACGATTTTTGCGCTTCTTGAATGACCTCGGGCATCGGGCATGAGGCAATGAACACTTTAATGGTATAGAGAAAGAAGAAGATTGCTAGGGCATGTTGCACATCGCAGGGAAGACTGGTAGATAGTGCAATCGTTTAAACCTTGGATTGGAATGGAATGTAGCTTTGGGCGCTGGGCGGTTCGGAAGATTTCCCCTCAGATGGCACCTCGCGTGGACCGCCCCGGCGGAAAATTAGCGTTTTGACAGGTGCTTCAAAGCTTAAACCCTGGCACCATGGCGGCTGGCTAGTAGCAGACGGGCTGTCCCTTGCGCTTGCACATGGAACATGATATCAGAAGTCAGGACTCAGCAGATCAGACTATCAACGTCTATGCCATTTGTAGATCGGAGCATCTTCAGAAATCGATTCAGCAAACGCTGGTGCTAGCTCTGAGCTTCGTCTCTTGACTCTCCATGTCATGGGTCCGAGTCCTTGATGAGCATGCCGCATAGGCCTCCTTGGAGTTGGCTGTCGGTTCAGTGTAGACTCGCATCATCAGAATCATCACATGCCGCATGCAAGTGCTCCGCTTTTTGGCTCGTGGCCACTGGCGGGAAAATTCATTTCAGCGGTTGTCAGTTGCACAACGGCGCCCGTGGACAGTAGACGGGCGCACTGTCGCCTGACTACGAGGTTTGGGCCAAGTCTTCCATATAGTCTGCTCAGCCAGCTACTTCAGAATGATTCTCTATCAACCATACTACAACCTGTGCAGCGTCTGTCATGGACATCCTCGATGAGAAGACCCAAGTTGAACGTGGTTCCCCCTGGTATGAGTATCGCAAGTCGAGTGCCAGGTTCCTTGCAAAAACATTCTGCTATCCACTCTACACGCAAAGCCATAGCAATTGTGGCCAAGTGACGACTACTTCTGCAGCTGTCCGCGAACGTGAGGCAACAGCGTGGCTCGATGGGCTGAGAGGTATCGCCGCCTTGCAAGTCATGATTTTCCACTATGCCGACTTTTGGACTGTCGTTGATGTCGCTTATGGAGGCGGACAATTCGGCAGCAGTCAGTGGTTTCGAATGCCATTGATTCGCAGTACCTATGCGGCCGGTCGAGCCATGGTCTGTACTTTCTTTGTCATCTCTGGGTATGTGTTGACGAAGCGAACGCTGTCGGACTTGCGTCAGGGGCGCGTGACCTCCGCAGCAAACAGATTGTCCAGTGCACTCTTCAGACGCGGCATGCGTTTGTTTGCTCCAGCCTTGGTCATCATTGTGCTCGCCTTCATCCTTGTGCGCCTGGGATTCCGGTGCTCACTTGGCGATGTCGGTTGTCCCTACTATCCCTCATTCTCGGAGCAGCTGAAGGACTGGGCAAAGGCCACAGCTAGCTACTTGTCTCCATTCGAGTACCAGAACTTTGGCGGCTCTCTCGCTCATAAGTACGAAAACATCATCTGGACGTTGCCAATGGAGATGTTTGGGTCACTGTGGTGTTATGGCGTGCTCCTCGCCACCCTCCGGTTGCAGCCTCGCATGCGTAACTTGATCGTCTTTGGCGTTGGTGTGTATGCCATCATCAATACGGCATGGGGTGTCTTTTGCTTCATGGCAGGTATGCTCATTGCAGACTGGACCTTGGTGCAGGAGAAGAAGGCCAATCAGTTGATTGACCTCAGCGCCGAAAACTCGCGAGATTGCTACCCGAGGCTCAAGCAGCTGAGCAAGAATGTAATCTGGACTGTTCTCCTGGTACTAGGGATCATGTTTGCAGGTGCACCTATGCGGGGTGCACTCGAGCACAACGACATTGCTCCTGGCTTCAACACTTGGTGGCGACTCGCTCCTGAACAGTGGACTCGTTCCGACTGCAACTATTGGGGCTATGCTTGGTCTGGCGTCATTATTGTGGCAAGCATCTCTCAGCTTGGCTACGCGAAAAGATTCTGCGAAACAACCATGGCGCAATACTTGGGCAAAGTTTCATTCAGCGTTTACCTCTTGCATATTGCAGTCCGCGACGTTCTCGGCCGCCGCTTGCAGTACGTTTTGCTAAGCTTCATGGTACAAACAGCTTCACCATTTCGACTTTCAACAGAGTCTCCTGCCGAGAAGGTGTCACTTGAAAAGATGTTTGACCTAGCCGGTGCCGGTCTTACCTTCTTTGCCGGCGTCATTTGGTTTGCCACATTGACTGTGGTAGTTTTTGCACTGTCCGCTCAATTCGAGAGGCATGTTGACGCGCCGATAGTGCGCATGACACGATGTGTGGAACAGTGGGCAATCCATTTTGACAGCAGTGACGTAGAGACTAGGGAGAGGAATGCTGCTTAATGTCATGTAGTATCACTCATATTTACGAACGCTTTTGAAACCCAAGCTGAAAGACGTCCCTGTATATGTCACAAGCAGCGTGGTGTCGTTGTCCAGTGTCACAGGGTGCGGAGCCGCGCCAAAAAAAAGCCAAGGCTCTAGAGACTTTCGACTACAAACTAAACATCATAACAAACCTTCTTCAGCTGCTTGCTGTACAAGCTTGAGGGAACCGTGCTGGAACTATGCTTGAGATCGGTGTGTGCTCTCAAGATAGCTTGGAATCGCTTCATTCCCGCGGCTACGCATTCAATGTACTCGACATCTGCCCCGATGAGGTGGTCGACCAAGCTGGCGTTGCACTCGTTGCATGTGGAGATTTGCACTCCATCGACTCGCTTATTCGTCAAGATTCAATAGACAAGTTTGTGAACGATATAGGCTTCACACAGTTCCATGGTATGCATCAAGTATGCATACAAGGACCGCAATCGCAGCAAGATGCACTTGTTTTCGCTCAGAGTATCGCTCCTGTTCTGGAGCAGCACACCATGCTTGAACTCAGCATTCTTCTACCTCTGTGTCCAGCACCGCTCCTAGATCAGAGCAATGAAATTGACGACAACACGTTGTCCACTTGGCACATCTGGGACACCATTCGCTCAGCATGTTGCTATGACCACAGGCTACACGTTGCTTTGCAGCTCCCGACAAGACTCCCTTCAGAGACAACGCGCAATCGTTGGCTTTGCGAAGACGTGCGAATGATTTTTATCTCTGCCAATATCTTTCTTGTCAATTCAAAAGGCTATCCTGTACTTCCAAAAGCTCATCAATCATTTATCGGCGCTGCGGCACGCTACTCACCAGCACTTGTACTTCAAGATATTGACAGACATCAAAGACTTGGAGGAGATGATGCCTACCTGCAGTACCTTCGCTATGTTCTCAAAAATGTCCCTGAGCCGACACCGGCCGAGGCTAGCATGGCAGGCTACCGAGACTTTCTGCAAACACCGCTGCAACCATTACAGGACAATCTACCTTCAGCGACTTACGAAGTTTTTGAACGCGATCTCATCAAGTACAATCAGTACGAACTGGCCATTACTCGAGCTCTACTGGATCGGCCTCATGACGAGCGAACCATTGTAGCTGTCGTTGGCGCTGGGAGAGGGCCCTTGGTCGATTGTGCGCTGAGAGCAGCAGAATCTAGCGAGCATGTCATCAGCCTTATGGTCATCGAGAAGAATCCTCACGCAGTACTCGGCTTAAAACGACGCCTCAAGCACGACTGGGCTGGACTGGACATCACGTTGTTTGAAACGGACATGCGCGACTGGAATACCGAGGAATATGTCCACATCCTTGTGTCAGAATTGCTTGGCTCTTTTGCAGACAACGAGCTGTCCCCAGAATGTCTCGACGGCATCCAAGATGTACTTTGCCCTGAGACTGGAGTCAGCATACCTTGCCGCTATACACCGTTTGTCAGTCCACTGATGGCGCCCAAGCTGCACACGACATTACTTCGAAGCTCGGAGACTACAGCGTTGGAGACTCCGTATGTGGTGCTGCTGGATCAATGCTGTCAGCTGTCCACCGGGTTTGAGCCACTCTGGCATTTTCACCATCCACACAATAACATTTCGCTTACCATGAATATTGGTGCAAACAAATGTAATAAGCGATTTGGCAGGGTCACCTTTGAAATCGAGGCTGCTGGCGTATGTCATGGAATCGCGGGATATTTTGAAAGTATACTCTACGATGATGTGGAGTTGTCCACTGTACCGGATACGATTGCGCTCAAGTCCCCAGAGATGCAATCTTGGTTTCCCATCTTCTTCCCACTCAAGACTGCAATTCAAGTGCCTGCAGAATCGACCATGGAAGTGTGTTTTTGGCGTGAAACGGATGGTAAAAAAGTGTGGTACGAATACTGCGTCGAGATTTTGTATGCCGGTGCCAAGATTTATTCGAGTGCCATCCACAATCGATTTGGCAGAGCAAATGCTGCTTTACTGTGAGCGGGCTACACATCTTGCAAGCGCTTCCTCTTTAAATTGCTTGGCAGCTCGGATCAAGCGAAGTTCTTTTCCGAGTTTCAACATTGACAGTTCGACCGCCTCTGCAACGCAAATTGGCTGTGCCAGTGCTTTTTCGAACGAGCACTTCTTTGCTCCTCGGAGTTCATCTGTTGATATGACCGGATCGTGTGCTCGTTTCATTCTTCTTCTCAACCTCGGCAATGTCGGAACAATGCTCTGAGCCGTCTCAAGTACAGCTGACCTTCCTTGGGATGTTGGTCGTTAAGGCTTTCAGGGGTAATTTCCTCTCACGCGCATGTCGCATCAATGCCCAGGTGCACGAGCCCCTGGCACATAAGAAGAGCTCGGTGATCCTATAGCCGCCTCTGTCGAACCCTATCGAAGATGACGAAGCAGCCCTTGACAGCGTCGAGTTTGCAATGCCAGCGACCATGACGGGAGTTCATCCCGCTATTCAAGCTGCAGCCGCCGAGGATGAGGATGATGCGAGTATGGCAAATTCAGACGACTCAGCACTAGAAGGCGTTGCGCACAACACAAGTTCTGCAGACATATCGCCAGACGGGAATGATAGGCCTCCAGGCCCTGCCAACGATCTCTCCGGTGTCCAAAGTGACATCTATCCAGACCAAGTACCCAGCGATGGTATCAACAACGATGATCCCAATACAGAGCCAATCCCTACGGAGGAGAGCGATGGGAATTCAGCTGAAGTGGAACTCATCAATGAAATTAGGGCCAAAATCCAAAACAAGAGGATCAAGCTTTACGAAGGAGGCTTGTCGCCTTGGATTCATCCGCCAGATCCACAAAGTCACTTGGTGGATAACCCAAATGATGTGAACGTCCTCTTCCATCCTTCAGTCTTCGTTTGGCATCCAGCTCTTTGGAGCAGGACTGGGAACAGCACCGGGAAAATCGATGAAGAAGGCCGTCTTCCGTGTCCACGATGTCAGGTCGGATTACGATTCAAAGGATGGTGCAATTCGCCGACTGCTCGGCGCATACATGACGACGGGAGACATTTTTTGTTGATGGCCTATCGCTACTGCTGCAAAAACTCATTTTGCAGCTTAGAAACCATCAGTGCGTCGGATACTGAATTGCTAGAGTCCCTGCCTTACGGACTACAAGTTACCTTTCCTGCTATTCTCACTCATCGTTCTGGCATTTCCAAAACATTATTTGAGCGCTTTCAGGACACTGTTGCTAATGGCTCTGGTCCGGACCCGTTCAGGCAAATGCTAAACAACAGTGCCATGCGAAAATTCCAAGCCTTGAACGCGATTTACCTATCGAACATCAAGGAGTTCTTGTCAAGAAAGCAAACGGACATTCGGACCTCCTTCAATGCCGATATGCCAAAATCTGCGGATAAGTTCAGATCTTTCGGTGAATTTAATGATCCCTTGCGGTACAACGGACTTGTACCTAGTGTTCACTGGTTGACTGATTTGTTTACAAAAGAGATGACCAGGCAAAAGCCAAAATTGGATAAGCGGACCTCGATGCTTTCTGGAACGAATTTTGGACATGATGCAACATACAAGGGAGCCATGCGATTATGTGCCCCAGATGGCACAATGATCATGGTCGGAGTTTGGACGATTGTCAACGAATACAACGAAGTGCTTGGGCATCTACTGACTCCCACAAATGGTGTTGACAATCTGGTTGCTGTCTTGAAAGCCATCGAGTCAGACCTCAATTACTATCATGGCCAAGGTTTCGTTGTTTGCTACACGGACAATCCCAAGCATGATCGAAAGATGATGCAAGCTTCTATAAAGAGCTTGGTGGCCGGCGTCGAGCCTGTCGCACAGTACGAAGCTCCGTTGGAAACTGCAAAACTGACATATGGCGTGAAGGTGCTTGCAAAAGAAGCCGAAATTGACGAAGCGATTCTCAAGAACATTCTTGAAGATGCAAATGACGCTGCAAAGTCGGGCAAGGAGATCGTTGTTGGACTGGACGCAGAGTGGGACAGTGGCCCTAGTGCCGGCCGCGGTATCGATATCATTCAGATCGCCTACAATGAGTCTGTTCACGTCCTGCGGGTAACAACTTTCAAAATCTGTTTCAGCATTCGCTAACATTGTACAGGTGTCTAAATTTACGAAAGATAACGGTGGACAACTGCCGCGAAGTCTCATAATGCTTCTAGAGCATCCATCAGTACGTAAGACAGGTTGTTGCGTCCAAGGTGACTTGACGCGAATCAACAAAGCCTTTGGATTATCTTGCGTTGGAGCACTAGAACTTGGATCCGTAATTGTGCAAAGAGGATTTGCAGACAAGGCACAAGGCTCTCTCACGAAGTTCACTGAGGTCGTTTTGGGCAAGCACCTACCGAAGCCAGAAGTCCGAACAGGGAAGTGGTCAGCAGAGAATTTGACAAACGAACAAGCCGAATACGCTGCGCTCGATGCTCAAATCTCGCTTCAGATATACCACGAAGCGACTAGGCACCCGTCAGATGGCATGCTCACTTCTCAGGCCAAGCCAAATGATCTCGTCACGCTTTTCACGAACGATGGCACACGAGAGGTCGCTCAAGGCAGACTCGCAGCAGAAGACCAGAAGATGAAGAAGAGGAAGAATGCGAGCAACTCAGTCGTGGTTATTGTTGACAAGATCCTTGTCGAAAGTCTGATCCCTGGCTCTTGGTTAGACCAAATCGTCCCTGCAACAACGATCGAAGGCCAGCAACTGATACTCAGACGCTACTGTGTGCGCCCGCGACGCTTGCCAGGGAGCCATCGAAAAGATTCAGTCCAAACAGAGCCTGTGGCTGAGCACTACAAACCGTTCCAGCCTAGCTTCTTTCCCTTGCAGACGACAATTGATGAACTGGACGATGAGCATATGGTTGAAACGACTGTTGACGACGAATTGGAAGAGGACTCACTTGGCGAGATCGACGTTCTCCTTGGTGCTTTGCAAGCAGGCGATCTTTCGGTGGACCACAACGCTCGTGCGGCATTTGCTGACGTTGCTGCTCAGATCGAAACACAGCCAGACACTTTAGTTTCGTCAAGTGATGCGCTTCTCAGCGCGTCACATGCAGGCATTGTTGAAGCTAGTGCAGAGCGTCAAGGCACTGTGCCAAGACTCTATTCACGCGTCCTGGACGACTCATTTCATTTTATGAATCGAGTGAAATGGCCTAAGAAGCACATGCTCCACGCAGCGTTCCGTCGAGAGTTCTCCAACGCAATCTTCGCCATCAATAGCGAAGACAAGGCCTTGGTAGAAGCTTTCCTATCGAGGGAAGGCAACACTTGGGAAGACGCTTGCCGTTACAAGCCCAAATGGATCAGAAGACATGTGAGGCGGTTCATTCCTGAGCCGAACGTGCTCTATATACGAGTAAAGGCCCTATTTGACTATGTCGCTGGTATCGAATGCGCTGCCACCAAGAAGCCTTTCATCACCCCCGACATGCTCAAAGACGTGGCAAACCTCCTGGAATCTATCAAAGCAGGACACCTCTCGGATCCTCCTGGCGTCTGCTTGCATCACCAATCTGGATCAAGTCAAGGTCTTCCCATATGGCGATCGGTAAGGGGAACGTCGAGAAATGAAGTGTTCCATCGGAGCACTAACCAGAGGAATTCCATCATTCACGGGAGCTACCAATATGGGGTCTCTTGGATGACGCTGCAACGTTCTCGCTATAATTTGCGAGTTGGTATGCGCTGGCGTCACGGCATATGTTGGAAAGGTGGATACAATTTTGAGCTTTTAGATCAGCTCAAAATGCTCCACATTGAACTTGGCATACCTGTCCCAGAAGTACTGCGTCACTGGGTTGTGGTGGATGAATACGCTGATCGCGATTCTCGTTATCTCGACCAACGATTTGGAGTAGCACGCCTCTCCCCGGAGCTTTGCACATCTCACGGTTTTGAACCGTATGCAAAAGACGAACAGGTCCACGGCTATCTCGCCAGCCAGTTCGGAACAAAGTTCGCGGTTGCTCCCGTGACAACTAAAGCAGAAAGGGATTTGTGCAGACTCGCTCTGGACGAATGGCAAAGGTCAAGTGGGCGTTTAAACATATTGCCTTCGGCTGAGGGCTATATGCATATCACCAGAGCTGTCAACAAAAAGGCTGATGGGCAGATCATGCAATACAAGCTTGTCGACCATGTCAGGAAATTCTTCGAGAGTGACGAGAAGAAGAGGATGAACGACACGATGACGAATTTCCTGCACTCATCCGCGATGCGACGAATAGCTGCTGGTTACCAGGCAAGGTTATCGACAGAAACGCGTTATATCACTTCAAGCGACCCTATTGTGCGCAACCTTGGACCCACCAGACCGCCTGAGCAGCCTGTCAGGCTTATGAACTTCGCCGCTCCTGCACCAGCACCACGGCCCGTTGATCCCTCGGCGCCCGAAATTTTCATCCAAAAGGGAAAGCACTCAAGTGATGTGCGCAGAGTCTGCAAGAGTTGCAGTCTCAAAACATGCGGTGCCTTGAAAGCAGTACATTGTGTGCTTCATCCCTCAAGTTTGAGTCGTGCTGAACGCTCCGTAAGGTCAGGAAAGCTGAAGCCAGATATCTTGAGGTTATGGAATTGCTGGCATGTATTGCAGTATGAACGCAAGAGGAATGCAGGATTGACATTACCTTCAGCTTGCACCACGAATCGTATAAAACTGTTAGACAAGCTCCATTCCGGTATGGGGAGCAGGTCAAGCAAGCTGCTTGGCTTCCTTCAATCTGACGCAAACTTGATTCAGGATGTGCTGAAAGCATACATTGAGGAACGGATAGTCTACAACCCGTTTGTTTAGGGAATTGATAGATAGACGAAGATACAGTCGGTTTGAGCCCAGCCATCTGATGATTTGCGCTCATTGGAGGTTCGATGCAGGCGACCAGGCCATCAGGCAAAAGCAGTCACCAACAGATTCGATACCATAGAGAGCTCCAATACTTACCCAGAGTACTCGTCTTTGCATTAACAATGAACGATGGCTACTACTGTCAATTAAACCCATGAACCGTCTATATAAACCGCCTGGGGCGCTTTGCGCCCCAGGCATGGGAATAGAGCCAAAATAATTCAATAGTGCTAAACCAACGCTATGTGTACAAGTCTAGTGTGCAATATCGTGAAGCCATTCGCGCTTGCGTTTCCAAGCTATCAAGTGCTTTCGAGGCCGCCAGTAATCTTCATCTGGCCAAGCATCTCAGCCACGGATGCCTGCCTCATTCGGCGCGTACCTAGATCCAGGTCTGTCGGAAGATTTGTGTCTTGCTGGCTGTCCTCCTTAGCGCCAGCACTGGCTGCTTTGTATCTTGTCTCCATTAGATCAATCACAGCCCGCAGCTTTGGCAACATGACAGGCTTTGAGATGTAGTGATCCATGCCAGCTTCGATGCATCGTTGCTCATCGCCAGCCATGGCATTGGCCGTCATGGCACAAATGAATGGCGCTTTGTCGTCCGTCTGTGCAGCACGTATCTCTTGAGTTGCAGCAAGACCAGACAAGACTGGCATCTGCAAGTCCATGAAAATCAAGTCAAAGTCTTCTACGGCGCAGGCCTGCACGGCTTGCAAACCGTCATACGCAACTTTTGGTACATATCCAAGTTTCTTCAACAGCTGTGTCGCGACCTTGACATTGACCAAATTATCTTCAACAAGGAGAAGCTTCATGCTGCTCGCATGATTCGGGCTTTTCACAATGTTGGGTTGAGTAGACTTTGCAGACTTGGCCAAACCATTGCCCTGTTCTGGATACAAGCTCTGGATTGACTTCAACAGTCGACCCCTTCTGACAGGTGTCGAGACAACGGCATCGATGACGTCTTCGTCCTGTTTGTTGAGCTGCTTCGGCAGTGTCGCGCCAAAGGGCATCATTACCACAAGGGGGAGTCTCTCAACGTTGACCCATCGTTTGCGTAATGCTTTGATGGTCTCAGGCTGGTTGAATGAGTCGCCGATGACGCAAAAATCAGCTTGCTCTGTAGCTGCAGCGACCTCCTCCAGTGTGCGCTGGGAGAACCATTTGACACCAAACTTGGTCAGATGTTGGCGAATGGCTTCTTGGGTGAGGTCGGAGGGCTCCAGGATGAGGCAGGTCTTCTTGGCAAACGCCTCGCATCGTGGAGATTCGGTTGGGTGGGTGCGATGATTGATTGTAGCGCAAAAAGATGCAGAAAAGGTCGATCCTTTGCCAACTTCAGAGACAACAGTCAAATCTCCATCGAAGAGGCGGCACATTCTGCGGGAGATGGCGAGACCCAGGCCGCTTCCGCCGTACTGTCTGGTCGTACTGTCATCCACCTGGGAGAAGAACCCGAAGAGCTTGGACATATCCGCTTCCGCAATGCCAATGCCCCTGTCTTCAACGTCAACAATTATTTTGACCTTTTGATCGCCTTCCTCGTCAGGTTTGCCAATGAACTCGATCCTTGACGTGGCTTTGACGAGCCCGCCGTTATTCTCGGGGCAGAATTTGACCGCGTTTGAGAGCAAGTTGAGTACACACTGTCGCATGCGAGTATTGTCAGCAAAGACCTGGCCAATCTCGAAGTCATCGTCGCTTTCTAGATAGGCAATGTCGATTCCTTTTAGAGCAGCGTTGCGAGCAATCATCTCCAATGCGGACTCCATCATCGTTCTGAAGTCGAACCAAACAGGTGAAAGCTTCATTTTGCCTTCTTCGACCTTGGCCAAGTCCAGCACATCATTGATGATGACCAACAAATCTGAACTGGCATCTATGATGGACTGTGCCATGTCTTTTTGCTCGGAATCAAGTTTCGTCTCGAGCAGCAAAGTGCTGAATCCTACCACAGAGTTGAATGGAGTTCGTATCTCATGTGACATGTTACTCAAGAAACGGGTTTTCATCAAAGTCGCCTGCTCTGCCATATCTTTTGCCATGACCAACTGAGCATTCTGAATTTCAAGCTGCTTGGTGCGCTCCTCGACGACGGACTCTAGGTGGGTCGCATGGTCAACGACTGCAGCCTTGGATTTTGAGAGCTCCCTGTTGGCCTCTTCGAGGGCATTCAGCAATTGAGTCTTCTCAATCGTGATGGCCGCTTGCGTTGCCATGATTGTGAGGAGTTCTACCTTCCGCGACGAGAACAGATTTGTGATCTGAGAATTGGACAGGTACAAAACGGCAGTGACTTTGTCCTGTAGGATGACCGGCAGCGCCATGAAGGATTTTGGGAGCGAGCGTTTTAAACGATCCAGCTCCAGAATCTTAGCATCGTCAATGACCGCCTTCCGTGAATTGGCTGCAAGACGGATCAGTCGCGCAGGGGCATAGTTCTGGTCGTCATCGATGGAGACGTTTTCGTGCACTTTGAAGTTATTCAACGCCCCGCTGACAGACACTGAAAATTGGCCGTCCTCTTTGCCTGCAACAATCAGCGCTGCATTTTGAGCGCCGGAAGTCTGGAGGAGGTGATTGAGCATGTGGGGAATTGCCTCCTCGAGGTTCTCTGATGTTGATAGAACCAGAGCATTTCGGAGAACACTTTCCAAATCTAGCTCCGCTGACGCTTCATCTACCGGATCAAGTTCTTTGCGACGAGGGGATGAACGTGATTTCGACAACCTCCGGGTTGCGGGATGCTTGAAAGGAAATGTCTGCAATGGCGCTTTACCGGGCAATGCAGCAATAAGTCCATCAGCTGAGAGTGTGTCGGTACTCGAGCTCATCGAATACACGTCTTCCTTCGACGGATCCTTGAATTTCGTGGGCAACACTGCTGGCGCAAGGCGAGCCAAGCTGAAGTCTTTCATGACTCGACTCCCTTTGAACTCACACCCCCATTGCTTATACGCATCAGCTGCATCGAGAGCATATCCCCTTGCGGCACGATCGAAGCTGGTGTTGAGGCTTCTCAAATATAAGGCACACCTTTCGTTGTACAATGCAATAAGCAGGCCATTGGACATCTCTTGTGCCTTGTCAATTGCGGCGTTGAAAAGCTGCAAAGTCGTTTCAACTGTTGCTGTAGACTTGCCAGTCTCTGCCTTAAAGAAAGGCTTCCAAAAGCCAAAGATGGCAGCACACTCCTCAGACCAGACATTGGCGTATTCTGTCAGCGTTGCTTTAAGATTTTGCTGTTCCTCAGTAAGATCCATTGCAGCGTCTGCGTCAATCAAGACAATCAAGCTGTAAATACACAAGTTCAATTTTGTCACAAGGCCCTGCGCTCCCGGCGCAACAAGAGCCGCTTCTCCGACGAGTCGAAGGCCTCGTTCGCTGTCTGCTGAGGCAAAAAGAACATGCACAAGCAGGGCGCATCCGTAATACGTCGCCAAGTGCAATGGCAAGGAAAGTTCTCGCATAGCCTTGATATCTGCTGGTGTTGAAATGGTGCCACTGAGTTCGAGGATATCATCCAGATTCGTGCTCGTGCGTAGATTTTCAACAGTTTGCAGGACAGGCCTCACGTAGAGGTAACCAACAGCACGTCTGTAGCTCTCTATTGCCTCGAGCTGACTTAAAGACGCCTGCGAAATGCCATTCAACTGAGCACCTGCAAACAAAATATAACTGGTCTTGTTACCGCAAGCATAAGCCTGATATTCATGGTTGTAAGTGCGCAAAGACTCTGCTTCAGCTTGCTCGAAAATTTTGGCAGATTCAGTACGTGCATCTTCTACCCAAGCAGCAGCGGCACCAATGATGACCATGGCCGAAGGTACGCTTGCTGGCGTGCCGGTTGCTTGCCTCAGGAGATCTTGAAGTACAGCATTTGCGAGTGTACTGTAGTGGCGGCTCTTCTCGTAGTCTCGGATTGGCGAGCTGACCTCGGCGAGCAAGAGAGACGCAAAGCCATAGAAATAAGCGCTTCCAAAACTGTTTTGACCGGCTTCTTGAGAAATCTTGATGGCAGTCAACGTGACAATGCCGACGCAACTTGGACGGACAAAGAAAACCTGTGATGTCAGTTTGTATGCTCTTTCGGCGTGATTTACTTACGCTGGGTAACAATTCGAGGATCAAATCAAGCGCGGCATACGTGAGCGCGTTGGTCATGGCCGGCATCTGGCGTAAAGCAGCAATAGATTCAGGTGACGATGGAAGGGCAGCCCAGAGATCAGCTGTCGCAGAAAGAACAAGTTCGTCCGCTCCATCAGCGAAATAGCCACGCAAGTCGAGACCTGCATACCGGAGGCCCTCAATACCAAACCAGAGCGACTCGCGCGTTCGACCGGCACTCAATTCAGCCTTCATCAGGCGACCGTGAATTTTGACTTTGATGATATTGTCAGAAGCGTGTTGCAAAACCGTCTCGGCGGCATTCTTCGCGGCGTCATAAAGAGCTAAGCTTGAAGACACTTCCTCAAGAAGCAAATAATAATCTAATGCAAAACTGCCAGCAGTTGACCAAACATCCGTGGGAAAGAACTTCGCGGCGGCAGTAAGAAGCGCGTGGGCACTTCCATTAGCAGTATTCGAGAATGCGATGCGAGCGGCGCGAATATTAAGTCGGGCAATATCCATTCTGAGGTATTCAGGAACAAACTCAGAGGCCAAATTGATTTGTGAACAGATGTCGAAAATCATGCTGTCATCCTGGCTAAACGTTTCGAGCAAGGCAAGACCAATGCGCGCGTGCAGCGCTGGTCGGTCAGCCTCGTCGACTAATGCAAAGCAAGCTTGCTGCACTCTATCGTGTAGAAAACGATAAGACACTGCGCCAAATGCGCCCTCGACGAGATCATCAGCAAACTCACGCGGCCATTCTTCCGCGCCGGCAATGGCTGCCTTGTACTTTTCATCGTTCGCGATGACGAGACCTGCACTCATAGCTTGAAAGAGAGAAGAAGCGACGAGACTGTGGGAGTGCTTCACGATGGTTGTCAGGATATCGAGGCGAAAGGAAGAATTGCCAAGACAGCTTGCAACAGAGAGGATCTCACGACATTGCGGCGAGAGCTCATTGACTTGCTTAAGGACAAGAGCCACGACGTCATCTGATGTATCGATCATGCGTACTGCCTGGATGTCCCAGGTCCACGCTGCTGAATGAAAGTCGTATCTCAAAAGCCCGCTAGCATGGAGACTTTGCAGAACTTGACCGATGTGAAAGGCGTTACCACTGGTTTTGGCGTGAATCACTTGTACGAGCTGATTGACCTCAGGCTGAGAATGATCATCATTGCTAGCTTGCAAAGGGCGATGTAAGGTGTTGCAAACAAGTTGTCGAGTCCCAGACAGCGGAAGTGCCCCAAGGGTTAGCTTGAGGTCAGGTTGAGCTTGAGCCATAAAGACTGTATTGACAATGTGACCGGAGTCCACCTCATTGTCCCGGTATGCTGTGAGAAGAACGAGATGATTCTGCAAACGCAATTCGCAAAGTAATTGCAAATCGATTAGAGGTGCCCATTGGATATCATCAATAAATAAGACAAGGGGTTTCAGCTTGGTCGCGAAGGCTTGCATCAACTTCTTGATCCCTCGACGGAATCTTTCCTCTGCTGCCAGGCCAGTTAAAGGAATGACAGGTGGCAAACCCTTGACGTAAGATTCTGTGAGCAAAATAATTAAATCTGGACAGAGCTCACAAAGAGCGCGTGCCTCATCTCCGAGGACACGGAGAACTTTTGTACGCCAGGATTTCAGATTACTTGCAGTCTCAACAAAAATCTGTGCCAACAGATCAGAGAAGACAGCGGAAAATGTGGAAAATGGCGCAAAGGCTTTGAACTGATCGTACTTTGACTCTGCGTAGAAAGGGGCGTTTTGCGTGTTTTGCGACAGTACTAGCATAACCTCCTTGACGAGCCGAGATTTGCCGATACCAGAGTAGCCTGCCACAGTAGCAACGCGTGTTGTTGACGTCTGTTGTACTTGGTTGAAAAGTTCGGTAAGCTGACCGAGCTCGCGCTCCCTCGCGACGAAGTCTGGGGCAATAACAAACCTGGAGACAAGATCTTCACGACCGATTGATATCGTTGCGCTGTTATTGCCATTCTCGAGAGCCTCGATGATGTGCTCAACGTCCACCAAGACACCAGCAGCAGTTTGATACCTGTCATCTGGATTCTTTTGGAGTAGTTTCATGATAAGCGCGTCAATCATAGGCGGTACGTCGAGTTCTCCAAACTTGCTCAATGGTATGACAGTGTTGGCCAGGTGTGAATGCATCAATCCGAGTGAAGAGGTCTCATTGAACGGAACTTGCCCTGTAATAATTTCATAGAAAGTGACACCCAGGGAATACAGATCCGCTCTGGAGTCGACTGTGCGACTGTTCATGCGCCCAGTGCACTCTGGTGCGACGTAGGGCAACGATGTGTTGAGAACATCTGCTTGGCTGAAGGGCATTTCAACCGCAAGTCGCGAGGAAAAGAGCCAAGAAGTAACAGTGACATCGCCCGGCCGGTCGACAAAGCCGCACAGAACATCTGTTCTCAGGTTATTGTGGCGACAATTGAGCGCGTGAGCACTTTGTAAAGTCGATGTGATTGAACGAAGATGGAGCATCACCTTCAAGTAATCCACGGGGCCGCGTTCCTGCACTGGCCGAGAGAGATAAAGCTCCCTAAATGTCTGTCCTCCATAGGCCATGACAATGACACTGCCATTTGAATAGTCATTCCAGCATAACGGCTCAGATACACCATATACTTGCTGCGACCGAAGAAAATTGAGCGTCCGGAACTCATGTCGCAATTGTAAAATGACCCCTTCGTCGCGGCCGGAGGCGAACTTGATGATGAACTGTTGGCCGCTGAGACGAGAGATGCCGCGGTACGTTACGATACTAGGAACGGCCGCCCAGACGACCTCGAGTCCTGTGTAATGCTCGAGATCCGGAACTTCAGTATCTTCCCTGGGTTGGCTGACAGGCGGCGACAATGCAACCATAGCAAGCAAAGACTGAGATCAGGCTCGAATTATTATCGGCACGTCGTGCGATCAAGGCGTCACTCAGACCAAGGGTGCATCTGTTGACAGACCATTTGCCCTCGACCAATTTGTTCGCGGTCTCGACTCTTGAGCGTCGCCACTGTGGCGCAGATCCAGGTCTCGGCCAGCAAAAGTGCAGATGGGTGTCAACTTGCCACTGCTACGAACCTTTGGAAGGCCCAGCATGGTCATGGGAGGGACGTGGTCAATTTCTTAGTCAGGCTATGCGGGTTGTATATTAGATGCGGTGTCAAATTCGGAGGCATAGGTCAGGAGTCAGGGGGCGACATTATGAAATAAGTATAGGAGAAAGGATGAAATAAGAAAATAGATGCCGAGTACGTCTAGAAGAGAAGCACAGCACAGAGGAGCGCAAGTGTGCTCATACCGTAACCGACTACCGAGGCGGCCGCGTTTGCAGATGCTTTCGGTACACCAGCTGCAGCTGCAGCGACAGCAGAGGCAACAGCCGATGCAACGGATGCTGGAGCAGCGTTGCTTGCAACAGGCACAGCGGTGACTGCAGTAGCCACGCCAGAGACTCCTTGGACGACAGGCTGAGCTGCAATGCCGGGAACGCCTTGAGCGATAGGCTGTCCAGCGATGACAGGGGCTCCTTGCACCGTAGGCTGTCCGGCGGCACCAGACGAGCCCTGTACCACAGAGTGGCCTGCAACGCCTGTAGCAACAGAGATAGGCACTGAAAGTGTTGCGGTGATGGCAGCGGCAGCTGTATTGACAATGGTGATTCCGCCCGCTCCTGCAGGAAGGCCACTTGCGCTGACGGTAGCAAAGCCCGTGACAGTAGTCAGCGATGTCACTGGAGAGGCTCCATTGGCAGCAATAACAACAGGAGCGACAATGACGATGACATTGACAATCACTGGTGCGGCTGTTAATGCGCCAGCGACGACAACACCGGCCTGAATGGAAGGAAGACCAGCACCCGAGATCTGTACGAGCACGCCACCAATAGTAACGTAGACGGTACTTTGTCCTGCACCAGCGGTATTGACAATGACTTGAACAGCGACTGCAGTTTGTGCGACGCCTGCGATAGTCGTGGTGACCACCACCGTCTGTGTGGTCGTTGAGCCAGGCAAGACTGAAGCCACCAAAGTCGACGAGGACCCAGAGTTGGAAGCAGGAGTTCCAGGCAACGGCAAGACGGAATTAGCCAATGTCGACGATGAAGCAGGTGCGGAGCCAGATGACGGAGCTGCAGAAGATGCCGCTGGAGCAACTGCCAAAACGGTGACTGTCAAGCCGCCGGCAGGCACGTTGGGCCCGGCAATGACCTGGCCATTGGCACCGACACCAATTGTGAGCAAAACGGCCGGCGCACGCTTGCGCCTCTGGAATCGCTGCAGAGATGCCACGAGGACGTTGTCGACGAAGCCAAAGAAGCCAGGAACCACAGCAGGATCAGTCGGTGGAGGTGTAAGCAGCAAAACATCATAGTCGATGGAGGGAGAAGCCTGAGGGCGAAGGAAGCCCGTGCGACCATTGCAGGTGAAGGTGCCGTCGGTATCAATGGTGATTGGGGAAGGATCGACATTGGCATCATTCACGGCGACAATGACAGGTCCGACACAGACCAATGGTTGCCCGTTTGCGCGAAGGACGTAGGTACCGGCTGAGGGGATAGCAACGGTGCTTGTGGTTGGTGACGCCGTGCTAGTTTCGACAATGGTTGTTTGACCCACAGCTGCACTTTCTGTGGTTGGGACAGTTGGAACGACCTCGGTGCTAGACAAAGGCGCCTCAAGCGACGTAGTCTCAACGGCACTTGATGATTCGACGAATGTTGGCCTACCGCTTGTCACTGGTGCACTGAGTGTCTCCGTGGGCTGCGAAGCAGAAGCCGGATCAGAAGAGATTTCGACAGTCACCGTGGGAAGGACAGCCACGGTAGTAGGGACGGTAGCAGTGGATGAAGTGGACTCGGTGGGAGCATTCAGAGTGGCTGATACAATCTCTGCAGATGAGGACAGCGCTTCTGAAACGCTGGCAGTCGTCAAAGACACAGGTCCGCTGGTGCTTGTAGTCAAATCGAGTGTCACTTCAGTGCTGACAGTTGAAGAAGGAACAGGCTCGGTGATGACGGGGACAGAAGGAGACGTGACCTCACCAACAGTCGAAGATGTTACATCACTCGTGGTCACCACCTCAGGGGTGGATGTCATCACAACTGACTCGCTCGTGACCGTCACAGGGACAGATGTCGTCTCGCTAGTGGTGATAGGCGTAGAAGACTCGCTGGTGGTAGCAGTAGCCTCAGACGAAACAGGTGCCTCAGTGCTGCTAGTGGCAGGGGCTGCGACTGTAGAAGTCTCGCTAGTGCTGGTTGTTGTCATGCCTGGCACAGGAGCGACCAAAGCTTGCAGCTTGGTGAAAGGGACATAGGAATCGCTTGCAGTACTAGACTTCCTGACAACCTTCAAGATTGCAGCATTGTCAAGATAAAGCATGTACTCAGCAGAGGCAATGACGCCGGAGATTGGATCATATGCAAATGCCTGTGTTTGTAGCGAGCCAACCTGAGCAGGAGAAACCAAGATGAAGCGAGTACCAGCAATGTCAGCCTCTGCAGCATCAAAGGCTAGAATTGCACCGGTCGAGTCAGTGATGACATTGTCGGTAATCACAAAGACCTTGTTGCTAGCTGAACTTGCCATGAATACCTCCTCATTGCTCCATGTCAAGCCATTATACGAGACTTGAGCATCATCAGTGCCAGTGAAGCCTGTTACCGCGATCATTGGGTAATCGAACCCTTGATCGCTCACAAAGTTGAAGTTGACAGTCGCCACTGGCAAGGACGCAGAAGCAGTGCTGGACAGCACCGGGTCTGTTGAGGTGGACAGGACGGCCGAGACAACATCGGTGGCTGATGAAGAAGAGGTTGAGCCAATGACCACGGTCGACGAGATGCTCTCAGATGATGAAGAAGGCGTCGCAGTCAAAACTGTGGACGACGAGACTTCTGCAGATGATGTCAACGGGATGATTGTCTGATGTTAGTATGATGAGAGGAAGCAAATTGACGTACCGATGAAGACGTGATGAGAGGCGTAATACTTGTGATCGCAGATGTGGTTGGGTCCACTGTTGAGGTAGTGGCCAAACTTGAAGTTTCTGGCACGAGAGATGTTGTCGTCGTTGTTGTCAACGCATCAGTTGAGGTCGAAGAGCTCTCAACAACTGAAGTCGTACTGACCAACGTGGTTGACGGAATGACGGCAGTCGTGCTTTGAACAGGGGCTGCAGCCGGCACGACGGCGAAGTTGTCACTCAGGGCAGGCAATTCATCGCCACTGGCCGCAAAGTTCATGGTTGTTGGATCCATGACAATGTACTTGCCGCCATTGAGTTGCGAGTAAAGGCCGAAGAAGCCAGAGTCCAGAGGAAGCACGTCAAAGTCGGTACTGACAGACTGTGTTGAAGCTGCCTCAAGACCTGATGATGGCGAGACAGCGACAAACTGACCGCTGGACTGATCAACGATAGACCACATACCTGGCGTCCGTGTCGAGGACACGAAAGAAAATTGACTTGGGGTGGACGTTCCAAAGACATAGCTCTGGCCAGAGAGTGCCAAGTTTTGACCCTGGTAGCCAATATTGAATTTGCCTTGTTGAGCAGGAGATGCAGCAAGGCTGAGATTCTCCGTTGGGTCGGCTGGGTAGTCGGCTGTGCTGGGAGACAAGGTGATGCCGAAGAGGGCAGCCTCGTTCGGGCCACCAGCTACAGGTGAGATGATGCGCTTGGAGGCGTCAATCTGCCAGTAGCCTGTGTCTGGACCGTTGGAGAGCTGTTCGTTGTTGCGCTGAATAGACTGAATCTTGTATCGTCCATCAGGTTGCAAGTAGAAGAGGAAGCCTTGGTCAGTAGTCAAGTAACGTTGATTTTCTCCAGCAGTGTAGTCAGTCAAGTAGACAGGCAGGGTACCATTCGGGTCCGATCCACCGCCAAACTCATAGAACGTCGATAGATACGTTCCGGTAGATGGTACTGGGTTGACTGTTGAGAGATAGTAGACAATACCGAAAGCATTGGCAGCCTTCACAGCGGCAGTCTGTGCTGCATCACCGACGTGATTGAAGTTGTTGTCGAGAAAGAAGGCCGCGCTGAAAATGGCAGAGTCGCCGGCAGCACAAACAGGTGCGTTTCTGCCATTGTCGGCGGTGACACCGAGTGGCGAGCCATCTGGACAAGTGAAAGAGATGCGCGGTCCTTTGATTGGAATAGTTGCAGATCCAGGGGCCTGTGCGGAGACCAACTGAGTCGCTAGTGTTGTAACGATTGCGAGGCCCTTTATGAGGGAAGTGACCCAAACCATGTCGGTGGTGAGGAAGCTGAGCGTTGCCTGTACTGAGATGGCATGCTCGAGTGCTTATGTAGCGGCAGGCTAAGTTGGCTTGTTCGCATCATAAGTCTCAATACAAACATCCGAGACTGTTGCGCTGAAACAGTCGACATTCCTGCTTCCAGCAATAGATGATGATATGGCCGGATCTGACTGTCAAGAAGTCGCGGACGAGGCGGGCAACACTAGCGCGTTTGACGCGAAAATCCGACGCAAGCTGGTGCAAGTGTGATTTTCTGATCGAGATGGGTAAGCCTGAAAATACCGTTCTTGGCCTTCAACAAGATTTCCGCTGCAGAACAAAGAAAGGTACAAACGAAGTCGGCAAGACAGTAAAGGGGCTAGTGCATTAGTCAAAAGCGCTAACTCTGTTCGAGGGCTTGATCTGTAAGACCTGGATGGTACTGGTGCAAGGTGTCAGTGCATATATTGCGCATGAGTACATTGGCTCAGCAGCTGCGTCAGTTTGTTTAGGCAGTGATGTTTAGACTCGATGGGACCATAGAGTATGAGTGAGTCAGAGAGAAGAGAGAGGCAATGCGATCTGTGCGGGACGAGGCGCAGATCTTGCGAATATCAGCCTGATTTAGGCATCACTAGCATCCTTGATTCCCCTTCACGCTCAACAGGGGAACGAGGTGATGGTTCGCTCGTCTGAATTGGGATATTCAACTCTTCAATAGCCCAACATGGCAGAAATAGGAGAGCTCTTTGAAAGTACACGGTGCCGCCGGCGCACCGCCTCAGGTCCGCCTGTGCTACTTGGCCTAGTTGTCAGGACAATGGCCAGAACGTCTCAAAAGCATTGTGCCTAGAGGCCATCGTCATGTCTACATTGTCTAGGCCTCGGAGCCTAGTAGATGCACCGCACCGCACCCGCCGAGACTGAGCACTGAGCACTGAGCAGTGATCGCCAAAAATATTGTCCAAGTGCGGCCTACCATCGCTTACTGAGCCCCTGACAATGTTTCATTGGCAGACTGTCGCTTGAGAGAAGGCTTCATGGACAAAGAAACCGACAAGTCTTACAACTTGACATGCTGTCTCGCGCCATCGCTTGGCTGTCGTTCTCTTGCTGCCGGTCGACTTGAGCCAGCATCACCCGTACCAGCTTGACTTTGCTGTTGCTGCTGCTGCTGCTGCTGCTGTTGTGCGTGGTTGAAAAACAGGGGTCCACGGGTCTGTTGCAGAAAGTGATGGAATTGCAGACGCATCGCTTGCAGACCACCGCGCAGCATAGCCAATTCATCCTTATTGCGAAGCGATTCATTCATCATGACATGTGCTTGTCGTGTTTCTAGACTCGCAATAGCATTGGAGAGGTTTTCGATGTGTGTACCGGTCTGTTCGAGTTGTTGAAACAAGTACGCTCGATCACGCTCATACTCGCTTGAAATCTCAAGGACGGGTTCGATGCCTTGGTTGATGGGAAGTTGTTCGAATGCCGTGACGCGTTCTCGTAGACTAGCATTTTCGAGTTGTAATGCAGCCAGTTTCGCGTCTTGTGCAGCGAGGTACGGGCGAAGACTGTTGAAGATGCACGAGGCCTCATGCGCTGGCTGCGCGATTCGCTTCTCGTGCCATGTACAGCCAAGTGAGTGAGCACTACAGTTGACTGGTTCCTCAAGACATATCAAGCGATGTCCTGCCATGTCAACAGCTGAGAATTCGCTTGTGCAGTAGGTGCAGGTGTGCGACAATGCTGAACACTCATCCAAATGACTCTCTTTGGCGCTTTCAAGCACCTCGTCCCCACAATGCTCGCAGACAGTTGTTGTATGCGCGCACGTCAATTTATCATCCAATTCGTCGAGCGCGGAATCTGCAGTGTCCGTTATGGCAGCAATATCCTTCCTGAATGAAAACTTGTCGCATTGCGGGTTTGCACAAGGAACAAGGACATAGTCACACGCATCTCTGATGTGGTACTTGAGCAAGCCTCTCGACACAGTGACGGGACATCCATGGACCTTGAATGGACAATAAACGAGTAATTCATCGACAAGGGATTCAAGCAGTCTCGGTGCAGGACTACAATCTTCCATACCACGACGCATAGGCGTCCGATCAATAGGACACTCCAATTTATCTGAAAGCGCACGACTAATACAGCGCGCACAAAAGACATGATTGCACATCTTCGTTTGTAGCGGTGTTGTGAGGAGTGCTCGACAGACTGGACAGAAGAGCGAGTCTGGCGGTGTTTGAACATAGCTTAGACTATCATAGTCAATCCCTGGCTGACGTTGTAGTAGAGGGGCCGAACTGTCGGCGAGCTTCTCGTTTGCCATGGTTGGCGATGTCATGGTCGTCGTCGCAGTAAAAGTGCGTGGGATTGGGCATTGTCCGGTTCAGATGGGAGCACCCATTTGACAGCCTGGCTATGGTAAATTGTCTAGTAAATCTTGCCATCTAAGATACTAGCAGCAATGCGTACCCTCAATTCCCTCATATCCTCCTGATCGAAATCCACGGGCGCCCCTCTCGCCAAGCATTCAGCCGTGCTGCAAGCAAACACTCCACAATCATGACCATTCTTCTGCAACGGCGCTTCATCAGAAGGTGGAATATAGTTTGACCACGTTTCTTCCTCCTTTGCAAACTGCGCATCTTCATTCCGCATATACTCACGTAACCGCGTATGCACTTGACCCGGTCCACCACGCAAGGAATCCCAATACTCAATTCGTTTCTCTCGCCGATTAACGGCAGACATGCACCAATGGACACCGAGATGGATCGGTACCAAGACCATCTCGCATTTTGCAATATCGACTTTTGCACGTTTAGCGAATCGTTTCACACCGGCGTAGCCTTTTGGTAGGAGTGAATTGCTGTAGAAGAATGTATTGAAGCAGTGTAGTGTTGATTGACCGTCTTGCTTTGAACGCTCGTTGATGAGGTTCATGTAGAAATTAATGACTTCATCGTTCAGCCAAGCGCCAGGCCGCAAGGTCATTAAATCATCCACGCGAATAGGTTGATTGAATCGCTCTATCAACACTTCATCCTGTGGCAAATTCCCCGCCATGATTTGTTGTACGCGACTAGCTGTTTGCTTCGGTAATGGCACACGCGCTGGTTTTTTAAGTCTTTCAATCTCTGCATCCCGTTGACGTCTCGCTGCCTCGACACGCTTCCATTCATAATGGCCTGGAAATTCTTGCTCCAATTTTTTGATGAGTTGTGCAAGGGATTCTTGTTCCTCTCGAACAAGTCGAGTTCTCGCTGCTTGTTTCTTTGTTTTGAATAGGTGAGGCTGCGTGAGTGGACTTGCTAGTTGTGTGCCAGGACTTCGATAGATTGTTTGTGGTGATTGTTGTGCCGGCGATTGCAATACAGGCGTTCCTGGTACTTGTCGCTGTTTTATAGCTGGTGGTGCGATGTTTGTGAGTGTGAGGTGACGACGACTGATACGTCCTGTATGGGGTGCCATTTGATTGAGTACACGAGCAGCATCTTGACTTGTTCGGGGAGTCAATGTACCACGTCGTTTCCCACCATCAGCAAACAAGGCACGTTGCACAGGCGACGCAGTAGTTGTGAGGACGCGCACATCAGGTCGTAGAGAGCGCTCTTTTTGTTGTTGTGCCTTGAGTCTTGCGAATTGCTCGTGCAGGGATGGATGGGGTTTTGTGAATTCCGTTAGGGATGCTTTCCGTGCTGCAGACTCGAATGGATTCTCTGGTTGTCTGGCCTGTTCAATCTTGTGAGAGGAGGTCCGACTGGCTTTTCTTCTTGCTTGAGATGTGTCTATGGGCTGCGGTCGCTCAGCCTCTTGTTCTTGCGCACGATCATCATCCCTACCGTCGTTTTCATCCTCACTTGCTTGATATTCGAGTCCAGTGAGATACTTTAAGCCTTCATACGCATAGGTGCAGAAAGAAGCAAACAAGCCCTCCGCCAACGCAGCCACAGAAGTTCGCGCATGGTCAGGTTCCTGCTGCATGGCTGCCGCATCATTCAGTGTGTTTTTTTTAAAGGCCGTTGCGTGGGATCGTTTGACAGGGGTGGGTCGAGTCAGTGCTGACTCTGCAAGCATGCGCTCAAGCTGTTGATAGAGCGTCTCTGCTCCCACAGAAATGCTTGCGTCTTGTCGCTTTGTTTTGTTGAGTGTCTACACGTCGCGTCTCAATGGAAATTCGGGTTAGGGTCAGTCAATCTAGTCACCAGTGGAAGCCTTGAAGGTCATCTGTATATCTATATTCATCCATGTACTGTAGATGGTGAAATGTATATCGAAGAAGAAGAGAAGAAAGAAAAAAGTCATGACGCCAGGTCAATGGCTTCCTCCTCCTCGCGTGCAAGTGCATGCTCCAACCGTGCAGACTCCTGCTTCAATGCCTCAGCAAACCGTGCCACCGCCTCCGTCACTGCTTGTCCATGTTTCTTGATGGTGAGAGAGATCAAGACTTGCGTAATAACGCTCATCTCTGCGGTTGCTTCACCCGCATAAGCTGTCAGTTCTCCAAGGAGTTCCGAAATCTCTGCATAGACATCCGTGAGTTCTGTCTGTGGTGAGAGTTGAGGAATGGCATTCTTTCTGAAGAGACGTTCGTATGTCAAGAGTGTATTGAGGACTTGCTGGATGGTATTGCTGAATTGTGGATCGATATGATCATCGAGGTGTCCGCCAACTGCAATTGGTGAGACACTGCCTGAGCTCTCCCGTGACAAGCTTGATGAAGTACTGGATGCGGTTGAGCGTCGTCTCAGCGTGCGTGTGCATTCGTGTTTACAGATGTGCAGGGCATTGGCACTCTGTTGGAATTGCTTGCAGATACTGGCATGGAGATTGTTGTCTGCTTCACTTGCATGCGTTGCAGGGAAGGAGAGAGAGGGGATGGTGGGTGGTTGGGGATGCAGTCGACGCGTGTGTCGTGCTGCTCGAGTATCACGCGCATAGGCTGGTCGTTGCTGCTGCTGCTGGGTGGTGCTGTCACTTGATGTGTGCATAGTAGCTGGGATGGATGGTCGAGTAGGTTAGAAGTAGACCATGCTGCTGCTGATGCTGATGCTGATGCTGATGCTGTATCCAGTTCTGTCTTTCTACTCTCTATCCTCTTTCTCTCTTTCTACGCTCTTCTCTCTCTTTCCTCTGCTTCCTCGCGTGCCTCTGTCTCTCTGCCCTGAAGTCTTCCAGGAAGTTCAAGCTGAGCTGCGGCAGTGAATTGAGTGAGTGAAAGAGAGTCGGGCCCACTTCGCTGGCTTCCTGCTCGCTGATTGGCTGCTGCTTCCTGTCACACGCACACTCTCTCTTGCCACTGCTGCAGTCCATTAGTCTGTAGCTCCATTGTCATAGCTACACTAGCTGATGCTCGCTGATACTCGCTGATTATAGCTGATACTAGCAGTAGATTGACTTATATGACAAGCACAACAGCAAACAGCGGGCAACCTCGCGCGGCTGCCCAGAAGATCTCTCGTCTACTCCAGCAGATCACCTCGCGTCTCTGCCGATGTACAGATCAGCACCCGCTCTCCAAGACTCCATTGACTGAGCTACCATCTTGACTGATCTGTCTCAGGCACACAAGCTCAGGCGCTCTGTCGGCAAACACCTGCAGGCACATCCCTGGACTGCCCTATTTGATGATACTCATCTATCTCAGCTTGCCGTTCGTAGCTCTTAAGCAGCGTAGTTCCGGCCATATCCACCATACATGAGCTGGCAGACACTGTCGCACATTGAGTCTGTCATCAATCTCGACGTAGACTCTATACTCGTTGCTCTACATGCTGAATCTGTTCCTGGCTACGTCATGGCCGACGACGATTATCGACAAACACATCTTCGACCAGCATCATACAAACGCGTCGACATATAGATGAACGTAGCTTCATCAGCCATCAATTCAGCGGTACATTCGCCTACCACAGCAACACAAGCTAACAACACAACAGCTATGGGTATTACGGGGCATTCACGACGACACGCGCATCACACATAGCCGCGCAGGCCACGTCTGTATCCGCCATGCCTCCCCGTTTGTCTTTTACAATCGCTTCAATACCACCCTGACCCTCTCACTATTAAGCACGACACCCTTCCCAAAAGACCGTCGCATCTTCTTACAAAAACGAGGCTTTCGCACAGGTTTGTTGGGTTGGACGGTGGGTGCGCTGTTGGGCGGTACGATAGGCAAGGATATTGAAATCACACCCGCTCAAACAGTCGCGAGTCTTGCAGAAATCCCTCAGACATCTTTATCGTCAAGTGCGCGCACGACGATTGAGGCTGAAGTCAAGACCTATACCTCCTCACAGGATAAACGGGCCCTATCCTTACAAGAGACAAATGTCTGTCACATCCCCTGCAGTTCCGGAGATGGTTACTTTCGAATCCGCATCACGGCTGCGAATGGTGTCCAACAACTCGCTGCAACGTCAACATTCAGAATCCTCTCTAGTTCCCTCAACACTGCTTCACCACGCGGTGCAAACTTGTACCAACTACCTGTTGAATTCGCTGCCTATACAACCGTCAAATCAGCACAAGTTAGTGCATGGGGGTTCTTCTATGCGTGTTTTCCCTTTTTGAAACTAGGCAGTTTGATACCGGGTGGTGGTGCCGTATCACAGCAAATGTTGAATACCCTCTGGCGATGGGCTGGTGGACAAGCGTATTTGGAGGAGAAGAGAGAGGTCTTTAAGGTGGATGAGACATTGGCGAAGGCTGGGGAAGTGAGGGATCGTGTGGATAGAGCGATTCCTTGGTCTGCTGTGGGTGTTCGACGGGCCTTTGATGTGGAGGAGGATCGGAAGCTGGGACGGCAGGGCTATGCAGTGAGATATGCAGCCGTATAGACAGTAATCTAGTTATCCCCTACTAAAATATAGTACTGTACATTGTTTAGTCTGGTGCTGACACGTCGCGTTCAAAACTCCAAAGCGCGACGGAAGCAGCAAACGCTCCATCACCCCATCCATTCAATACACATACGACACAAGATGGCAGACCAGGACGATTTCGCAGGAACAGTCAGCTCACAGTACAAACCCCAAGGTCCCTCCAAGACCATTGAAGAGTATGCGCAACTCGACGCAAACGATGAATCACTCAACAAGTGGAAGGCAAGTCTAGGCATCACCTCCACCACCACTCCCATCATCCTCGACCCTTCAACACCTGCAAAAGTCCTCATTGACTCCATCTCTCTGCATGTCGCTGGCAGACCAGACATTACCGTTCCCTTGAAAGATGCAGCAGCCATCAAGAAACTCAAGGAAACACCCTTTATTGTGAAAGAAGGTGTCGTGTACAGCCTCACCATTCGTTTCAGAGTGCAGCGTGATGTTGTGAGTGGTCTCAAATACCTACAAGTCGTGAAGCGGTCAGGCATTAAGCTTGATTCAGTGGAGGAGATGCTGGGTAGTTATGGCCCTGCTGAACAAATCTATGCGAAACGGCTCGCTGAAGAGGAAGCGCCATCGGGGATGTTGGGTAGGGGCAGGTATGATTGTCGCTCGCGGTTTGTGGATGATGACGGGCATGTCCACCTTGACTTTGACTGGAGCGTCAAGATTGAGAAGGAGTGGAAGGACAAGTGACATGGTCTGCTATAGCCCTCTTATACCCATAACGACAACATAGATCATGAATGCACGGTACGCGCGGTAGTTTTCGACGTCTTATGAAACGAAGCCAGCCAGGCGCAACCTCCTACAAGCACGTCTATAGCTCCTGCTTCAACGTTATGGCACCCAGTCTCACACTCGCAGCAGATGAAGCAAAACTCACACACCTCCTTCAAGAAGCCCATGCACAATGCGCCTTTAGCGATCCAACCGTTGAGATCCGGTATGCAGGCGGATGGGTGCGTGATAAGCTCGTTGAGAAGCCAAGCCACGATATTGACATTGCAGTCAGTTCCCTCTCTGGTCATGCCTTTGCTCAACAATTTGCTGCGTTTCTAGCAAAAGCGCATCCTGACCTCACAACGGGGACGATTGCCAAGATTCAAGCGAATCCAGAGAAGAGTAAGCATTTGGATACAGCAACAGCAAGGTTCCTTGGATTGGAGTTGGATTTTGTGCAGCTACGGACAGAATCGTATGCAGAGTCTGGCGATACACGAACGCCAAGTATCACGGGCGTGGGCACATTACTTGAAGATGCAGAACGACGTGATTGCACCATGAATGCGCTCTACTACAATGTGCATTCAGAGAAAGTGGAAGATCCAACGGGTAGGGGATTGACGGACTTGAAGCGTGGTCTCATCCAGACACCCCTCCCACCGAGACAGACATTCCTCGATGACCCTCTACGTGTCCTGCGATGCGTACGATTTGCAAGTCAATTCGGGTTTGAGATTGAAGAGGGGACCCTCGCGTGTCTGGCAGCAGGAGAAGTGCGCGATGCGCTTGATCGCAAAGTCGTGAGGGAGCGTATCGGTCTTGAAGTGTACAAGATGCTACGGGGTATTGATCCAGCACGCGCACTCAAAACACTTCAATCAAGTGGATTGTATGAAGTTGTCTTTGCGCCGTTGCCAAGTGATGTCTCTACAGCCAATTTCGAAGCACTTGAACGGGCCATGCGCATCTGTCGGGAGGAACCTGCATTGATGCAACACTACGACGCCTATCTCGACGGCAGACTTTGGCTCGCCATTGCCTTGTTACCATACAGAGACGTGCGCATGCCCAAGGATAAACGAGGGTATCAAGATCCCCTTGCATGCGGCATCATTCGAGATCGCCTCAAGCTGACCAATGCGCTCGAATTGCTTTGCAGACAACTATTCCCTGTGTCAGACACAGCAAGCGTCACTGCTGATGCAAGTCGACTGGAGCTTGGCCAGTTAGTGCGCAAGCTCGGCCGCGACTGGCGACTTGTATTGCTGGTTGAGACCTTGGCAACTCAGGAAGCGCGATCCATTGCAGACTTGGAGAAATTGCTGGAACGCATCAAGCAGGAGGGTCTGGAAGATGCGCATACTTTCAAAACGCCCGTCGATGGTAAAAAGATTCGAGCCTTGCTGCTGGCTGCCAAGCAGGATATCAAGCTCATGAGCGTCCTGACAGAGCTTGCAGTGCTTTACCGCATTGAAGACGCGACCATTTGCGAGGAGGACATTCTGACGCGTCTCGAGGCGCATCTTGCCTCATTGCCAAGCAAATCATGATTAAGTCTTGCATTCCCTTATACCAGCATTAAGCATAACATAGAAATAGCATCGAATATCATTTACACGGCCAATGCACCAACAAGTAAAGTCGACTCTGTTGGTTCAACATAAGTGACATTTCGTGCAAGCAGCTGATCTGGCCCTGTATGCGCACAGATGACGACTTGTCCCACCCAGTCCTTGATGGCAGCAGCATGCTGCGCGTCGCTGGAAGGCAGTAGGATCAGTAGATCTGGTGAGATGTGTCTACTGATGTGAATCACACCAGTGCTCGTCTCGTACCGCAAGACATGCGATACTTGACTTTGAAGCTTGCGCATGATTTGACTCGGCACTTCATGTTGTTTGCTATGACTTGGGCAGTAGAGCAAGACGGTGAGGTCATCATTGATGTCTGCTGCGTTCGCCAGCACGCGTAAGACTTCCTCGGGGTCTGAGGCAGCAATGGCAATCTTGCGCCGTTTGCGAGTATTTGGAGAAGAGGAAGCATTGCCTGCATCTGAGGAGAGATGTGTGAGGAGGTAATAGGAGAGACCCAGGAGCAGGGATCCAACGGATGCCCATGCAAGTGTGGTTGCGAGGGGCGAGCGTCGCTTGATGGATGCCGCTGCTTGACCTGGCATGATGATCTAATCTTGTACTGTCTCTTGAGCCCGTCCCCCGGTGCTTGTCCCTTGTCGCTTGTCTCTTGTGTGGTTGCTGCTTCAAGTCGCGAGATTCAGAGCGACAGGAGACAAGAGACAAGAAGCCTCTAGGCTCCAGCTACCTGGACAGCAGACAGAAGGAGAAGGCCATGGCAGACAGTGACGACCAGCAGCAGTCGGAGTATGTCACCCTCGTCTCCTCAGACAGCTTCCACTTCATCATCCACAGGAAAGCAGCCCTCGTCTCCGGCACACTCGCCTCCATGCTCTCGCCCACCTCTCAGTTTGCAGAGTCGCGCACGAATTCCATCACGCTCGAGTCTATCGAAGGGCACATGCTAGAAAAGGTCATTGACTATCTCTATTTCCATGAACGCTACAAGGACGCGAAGGAGGTACCGGAATTTGTGGTGCAGCCAGAGTACGCGCTCAATCTGCTGGTCGCTGCAGACTTCCTAGATGGTATGCCTCTTTCCTGGTCAATGAACAAGCATACTTACTGCATCTAGTGTGAGGGCTCTTCGGTAGATGCCTTGTGGATTGGTGCACCGCTCGATGGGCTGCGTGACGTACCATTGCGTTGCACTAGAGCACGTCCATCTTGATTGCTCTGCGCCGGGAGGCCATCGTTTGCGCAGCATGAAGTCCTGGACAGTTCGTTCGGTCCAGCAGCAGCATTGCGCTTGCTAGTGTCATTGCAGCAAGACTCCCTTCAATCAGACGCATCACTGTCATACCGCCGTCTGCGATTCAAATTACCACCTTCCTCTTCTTCCTCGTCCTCCGCCTCGCCAGCAGGAGCCTGTCCTTGCCTTGCCGTAAATTGCGCAGGCCAATATGGCAACTTGCGCCATGCCTTTTCATCGTGAATCACTGCGACAATCTCGCCTGCCAGCTTATTCTCTCTGGCCTCGAATGCCGCCGTGTCCATGAGTACATACCCACCACGACGGATCCACATCGTATTGCGGAATCGCGGTGGCAGTTCAACCAAGATGCCCTCTGCAGTCGTCGTTCTGACAGTGTAGATGTTATTGCCATTGATCGTCGTTACTTGTGCAATTTGCTGCGATGGTTCCAATGAATCGGGGACTTCTGTCGCCTGCTGCTGGCCCTTCCTGCCCATCGTCCGTCAAGCTCTTCCGCCTCTCACTCAGCTTCACAGGCTTCGTTCCAACTGCTATCGCTACTCGTTGTCTCTTTGCTCGATTTTGACTTTTTTGACTTTCGCGACGACGAGCAAACAAGACCACGCTGCAACCACGCTCTCAACGTGTTCCTCCATGCTATGGCACTCGCAGACAGACTCGCCGAGACTTATTGTCTGACGCAAGTCTATGTCGACCCTCTTCGGCAATCCAGGCCTCTCGTCGTAGCCAGGGCGACAGGAAACATTGACAACACCCATGCAGCTGTGTGCAGCAATGTCTTATTCAGACAAGGCAGGCCGACCTTGTTCTACACCACACAGGGAAGCCGATTGACGCTACAAGCAATTGATGCGAATTGGCCGGCCTCGGTGTTTGACTTTGGCGATGGTATTAGAAATGCAGGTCTACACGACGACAATGGCAATGTCATTGTGCATCTCTTCACGACGAGTCACTTGCTATATACCATGATTTTGACGCCAGAGCAGATTGAGGACCCATCGATCAAGAAGGCAGATGGTTGGATTGCTGAATATGCCGCACCGAGCTTTTCCATTCGGAGTCCACTCTTCATGAAATCCATCAGTCCCACCAGTGTCCTATTCTCCCTTGAAGATGGCGGACTCTTGCGACTCTCCAACAATGGACGTTCCTACAACGAGCATCTCTTTAGTGATTCAAGTTTCTTCAAGTCCTTCAAGAGTATCCTGCCCTGGTCAGGTCGGCCAGCAAATCTCATCATTGCCATGCAAGCATCGCCTAGCAAATCACTTCTCTTCACTCTGAGTGTCGACGCGAAATTGCGGATTTGGCAGCTACAGACCGGGCAACTCATTACCATGCATGATGTATCCGGTGCAGAAGCTTCAGCCTCAGCATACCTGCTCGACCCGGTTCCCATCAATCTGTTGGCTTTACACGAGGATGAAGCCTCATTCATGGTCGTCACCTATTGTCCTCATCAGCCAGGCCTATTCAAAGTCTTTAAGGGCGAGACGGGCTTACAAGAGGTCTTTCAATTTCGTGAAGAAATGCCACGCAATGGTCTATGGCGTGTCTTTGATCTAGCACTGACACACATCTCGGCAGATCAAATGCTGCTGCATGTCCTTTGGAAGTCAGATACCCTTACCCTCGTTCAAGTCGGTGTGGTGAGTTTATCAACAAAGACAGTGGGTTGGTCTTTTGCTGCTGCACCGCCCTTTCAGCGTCCTGCGGAAGCCACTGACAAATTGCTTGAACGTTGGATTTTTCAGCCTTCTCGACTCCCAATCTCAACACTCAAAAGGGCCCTGGCTGCGTCCACCTCGCAAGATGTGTCTCTGGAGCACATCACAAACTTAGCACAAGCGCAACAAGCAGCACGCGAACTGCTATGCAATTCAACCCCCCTTGAAATCGACGAAGACACCGGTGCAGAACTAATAGAGAAGCAAGAAGAAGCCATTCGGCTACAATACCTCAGTCTTGCACAGATTTGTTTGGAGCTAGATCGTCTCGGTAGCGAGCCGCATGCTCTCTGTCGTGCTGAGTCTGGCGAGATTCTTGTCGCTCAATCAGATCGTGTTTCGATTGTGCGACAGGCGAATCCACTTGAACGGCTCGTCGAGGTAGCGCGGATACACAGCGACTTACCGGACATCCGCACAACTTGTCTAGGTCTCTGCAGACTTCTTGGCGAAGTTCAAACGCCGGATGTGGTTGAATCTCTGCACACGGCACTGCGTCGTTATGCGTTCGCAGACCGTACATTGAGTGCCGATGATTTCATGTTTGTTTGCTTTGAGGAAAGCGTCGAGCAGAGTCTCCCGAGACCTGTTGTTTTGGCTATGCAAGAAGCGCCACTTAAGACACACGATTTATTGTCTTTGCTCAACGACATGTTGCCCTTGTTCGTTCTCAAGCTGCGCAGTAGTGTTGTCCCGCAGGGTGTTACAGGCTTCGCGGGCTATGTTGCAGGTCAGCGAGACATGGCAATCAATACACAGCAGACACTTGTTCAGCTCGTGGCGATCTTGCAGTACTATGCCTGTCATGCCACCGAAGCAGACGTCTTTCGTGGCGCTCACCTGTTTGTTAAATACCTGGAAGCGTATAAACGGACAACACTGGTTGTGGAAGCTTGTACGTCCATGTTACAAACAACCGGTACCGATCAGACAGTCTTTGCGGGACTCGCGGAAGCACACAAGGGTGTGGTGCCCTATCGTGATTTGCTTGAACGCATCTTGGTGTTTCTCGTCAGTAGCAATGAGGGTCAATGGGCGGTCACATTCTCAGATTATGCGGGAGCTTCTGCATTCTGCGGTTACCTGGGTGCGCGCGGCAAGCTCCTCCTCGATCAAGCAGAAGACGCTGCCAAAATCTTTGCAAGACTGGGATATCCTCTCGTCGCAGGATCTCCTGCAGCAGCTGAAACCAAGCTCTCTGAGAGACTGGATCGTCGCACACTTGTGGATTATCACTTGCATATTGCACGACTGTTCAGTGCGCGCCATTGCTACGCCCAAGCGCTACGATTCTGTTCGGAAGCTGAATTGGCGTTACGCTTGGCTCCAAATGATGCACAGCACAAGGCCGTTGCGAAGGCCAAGTTCCAGGCAGGCCTGTCTGCTAGCCAATTCGATGAAGCATATCTATGCCTGCCCACGCTCATGACTGCACAACAAGTGGATCCGTTGCGACAATTCCTCACAAGGCTATGTGAGTCTGAACAAGCCAACAAATTGCTACAATACCCCTTCATTGGCCTTCTCGAGGAAGTCGATGATTTGCTTCAAGAAAAAGCCGATGCCATGCTTGCGACACAAACGACACCCGCGTATCATCGTATTCTGTACAGCTGGCGTGTTCAGCATTGCAATTTCCGTGGAGCTGCATGTGCGCTTTATAGGCGGCTGCAGGTGCTTCAGGCGCATGGTCGACATGCTGCATTTGATGTCTCTATGCATTTGGACTTGACAGAGGGCTATCTTACGATTCTCAATGCACTCAGGTGTATGGAGCCTGATGAACAATGGCTGATTGTTGGTTCTCTGGAGTCTGGCACGCATGGCGATGCGCCGTCGCCGCCAAAACGTAAAAAGCAAGATGGGGATGCAGGTATCTCGGGACAGGTGAAGCGCAAGTTACTCAGTTTGCAGGATGTCAGGGAGGAGTACAAGGCAGAGTTGCACAACATGAAAGTACAACTCAATCAGCTCTCGGGTCTGGCCTAGCATATGGCATCCATATACATTAGGTAGCAGACAGTTTGTCCGTCTACATGCACACAATACTCTGAAGAAGGAAGTTTGGAAATCAATTGCAATGAGGTCGTTAAAAAGGAAATATTGGGATCCCTTCACAAGCCCTTCTTTCGGAACTTCAAAGGGATATTGGCGAGTGGATCCTCATTGGCGTGTCCATGAAAGATCTCATCGTGCTTTTTGAAATGCTCGATATCCTCAGGGTGCGACCACGTCGCTTCACTGCCCTCTGGATCATCGGCATGATACTTTTCCACATGGTGCAGGTCGTAAGCAAGCTCAAAATCTTCGTGATGTCCAGCAAAGCCATACGACTTGAGCTGACCACCGCGTTTCTTGAATGCCAACCACTCGTCCAACTGAATCTTGCCATTACGGTCTGTATCGAGTTGCTGCATGACATCGTCCGTCACCTCTGCAACTTTACCCTCGCCGCCTGCAATGGGTTCCATCTGCTCAAACCCACCCGTGATGCCATACAAAGCTGCAATGTCTTGGGGCGTCCAATAGCCAGTAGAATCAAGATCGTGCGTTCTAAAGAAGAACTCGTCATCATAGGAGTCCAAGTGATGCTCATCCCGCATATGCTTGACCTCCCAATGCTCACTGGGTGGGAGAACATCTGGCATCACTGGTGCATTGGCGTGTGCTGCACGTTCAGCTTCCTGAGCGGTGGGCAAGCGACGCTGTTCAGTAGCTGGCTTCGTTATCGCTGCAGGACGTGCACGCTGCATGGAAGGCACATCAATGGCAGAGACGATGCTGAGGGGTGCAAGCAGGATACCCGTCCAGCTGCAAAAGAGGGATGCTTTCATGTCGAATGGTGAAGAGAAAGCTCCAGGCGAGTAGTAAGGGTATAACGAGTGTCTAGAAGGTATGCTCGCGGTTGTGGACCCTGTCTACCTCTGTGAGTATCTGTTGCTCTCTCCGATATCGCGCTTTCGTTGCAACTGACCACGCGACGGATGATCCAGCAGTCACATTCGCAAGGGACAGTAGCTTCAGACATCACTCATCGTCTCATCGTCTTCAGCACGAACACTCCACGTCTCGGCGTCAATGCAGACAGTTGGCTGCACGCTGTTCTCTAGCAGATACATGCCATTTGGAATATCATTGTCATCCGCTCGCTCCAGTCCTTCTTGTAAGGTCGAACAAATACCAGCTTCGACGTGCCGACTTGCTAGTCTCTGCCTTGCAGTATCAACATCGAACTGCACAAGCCAGGTTTCGTCCATGAGTGTAGAAATGCGTTGCCAGGGTTCATCTTTGAGTAGCAGGTAGAGACCTTCCAAGATCACAATATTAGCGTGCCTGGCAATCATGATACCATCAGGTACTGGATCCTTGACTGCATGATCGAACGACGGACACTTGATGTCTGGCAGATTCCTGTAGGTAGAGACTTTGAGTTGCTCAGCAAGCTCCACGACTCCAGCTGCATCAAAGGTGAATGTTGCACCGCGTCGACGCGTACCTTCTCCATCAAGCTGTGACCTGTACAAATGAAATCCGTCTGCTTTATGAGCCTTGTATTCAGAGGAGAATTAAAAGTGTTCATACCCATCCCGACAACGACAGTCTTGTAATGGCTGCGAATACCCTTATCTGGCTCAAGTCCATTCATAAAGTCTGCAAGCTTGTGTGCAAGTGTCGTCTTGCCAGCACCTGGGATACCAGCCAAAGCAATGCAGATGCGCGGTCGAAGCATGCCATTCTCGCGCTGTGCAATGAGGCGTTGGCAGCGTTCAGCAAGGGTGTATACAGCAGTCTCCATCTGTGCGATGAGAGCGTCTTCGAAGAGCAAGTCCTATGCTTATTTGGAGCTAGAGATGAGAAGAGCTGGACACTGAGACAGACCTTTGTTATTCAGAGCATGTACATACAGTAGTGTATAGTAGTGTCTATTAGCACTAGACTGCACTCTCGGATTGACTGGCAGCAGCGCAAGATTTCAGATGGGAACTTTCAAAAGCAGCAAAGGCAGCAGCAGGCTTCAACACGAACAGATTCATCAGCTGTTTGATGGGCAGCAAGGGCAGCATAGGTCTCCACTTCTAGCCAGGGCAGCACTGTTACTTGGGTCCCAGGATAAATTTCATGAGGCAAAGCACATTCCGGCCTATACAATCGACCATAAGGACTACAGCAATGAAGCAAGCATATATCAAAATGTTTCATGACTCTGACTGGCATGCACTGTCTTGCTTCTATCCAGACGAAGCAATCCAAACCTTGCAGCGCTCACTTCTCGGCTGTCATCAACCGCGTCTCTCTTGCAGCTGTGAAAGCTTCTCCTCCAGCTCCTTGATTTGATCCCTCAACTCCAGCAAGATCTCCATATCCGACTCTGCAGCAGGAAGACCCTTTTCCACAACTTTTTGCCAATCTGCCGTTTGCTCATCAATCTCATCTCCCCAATCGTCATCATTGAAGTCGCCTTGATCTGCGACAATGTTACTGTATGCCAGGACACGACTCTCATACAGAGCAATGAGCACCAAGAACGGCCAGTAGAGCAAGAACATGACACGCTTGCTGAGACTGTTGTAGAATCGTTGGCTAAAGACAAGCTCGAAAGGTAGTAGGAAGAGCTCAATCAAGTTCAATGGAGCGCAAAACACATTCTCATCGGGAGCACGAATGAACTCGAGAAGTCTCTGCGTGCGAAGTGCCAAGTATTCATCCACACTGTTTTCATAAACATTCGAGTAGGCTTGTGCGAACAAAGCAACCAGAATACTGCCAAGCATGATGGTACCGATGAGGAAGCTGAAAATGTAGTAGAGAATGATGGCAAAGGAGCCCTTGTAAAAGTCAAAGTCTGGACTGCCAAGTGTTCCTTGGACAATTGTGTGGAGAATACTCTTAAGAGCATCGACCGTTCCATCAGCCTCGTCGAAACCCAGAAAGGCTTGCAGGAAGCCGATAATGACAACAAGAGCAAACCAAGAAAAGGCAATCGTTTCAACAAGCATTGCTTGCAGACAAATGAGCAACAGACCACAAGTCTGGTTCCAGCTTGAAAAGAAGACAAAGAAGCGCATCCACATGATTGGTGACACTGCAGACAGTGTTCGGTAGCTGACGATGATGAGGTGGGACCTTTGATCATGGTCATGCAGGTTGACGGCAACGATACGCAGGATCAAAGCAGCTGTAAAGACACTGTACAGGAACAAGTTCGTTGCCGTCCAGAAACTGAGATAGGCCTTACCTACTTTGTAAGCGCGAGACAGTTCTTCAAGTAGGTAAGAAAGGACAAAGAGCCACATGGCGATCTCCGCTGCATCAATTTCACCAGAATCGTTTGCGGTGTTGATGGTTGCCGTGTACAGAGCAAGAAAGCAGACATTGAAGAACATGGTGATGAGATGCTGGTAGCGCGGCACAGTCACTCGGGAGATTTGGAAGTGTCGCCAAAAGTTGGTAGAGGTGCCTGCCGAGTACGGTGCTACTCTGCTCGAGTCGTCCTCGTCATACTTGACCAGGTAAGCGCCGTTCCAAAGATAGTCCACTACCATTTGGGCATTGTTGCAAGCGACAACGCGGGTGAAGTGAAAGTCCACGGCAGTTTCAAGTGCACTCTTGGGAACAGTATCTTCACCACCTTTGCAGATGGAGTAACGTCGAAGGAGAGCTTCAGAAAGTAAGAAATCAGTATCCGTGATGCGTTCAATTAAACGCTTGGCAATGACTTCTGCAGCAACTTGCCTGAGCGAATTGACGTCTGCATCCGGGAGGTTCGTCACACAAAGCCTCTTGAAGTGCTGAGCACAAAACAGAGTCGCAAATACGACACAGCCAGGCAGCTCTTCTCCAGCCTTTTCACACAAGTCGAGCACGCCTTCAGTAACGATGCGCGACTTTGGATTTGTGATGTGCGACTCTTTGACTTGAATTGGAAGCAGCTCTTGAATCAGGTAGCGAATCTTGCGCGCAATTTGGGTCACTGTGTGAGCATCTGGGCACGAGCGTGTCTCTGCATTGAGCAAAGACTCTCTCTCGCCAGCGTTCATGGCTGCATCCATGACAGAAGAGATGGTTCGTGGGCCAGCTTGTGTCGCGTAGGAGAAATAAATCTCAAACGGTCGCGCCTTTTTCTAAACGAGTCCAAGGCTTCTGTCAAGTCACACAACAGAGCGTCCATGGCGTCAGCGCAACAGGAGGAGATCCTCATCAAGCAAGGCGCAGAGGCTCTCGCCTACAGGACCCTCTACAACGACAAAGTTGCACTCAGGAAGCACAGGCCGAAAAAGACATGGCGGCATCCCACGCTTGACAAAAGGCTCACGCGGCATCGCATCAGGTCGGAAGCGCGCATCTTGGCGCTGTGTAAGGAGCGTGGTATGGCTGTGCCTGAACTCTACCATACAAACGAGCGAACGAGTGATCTATGGATGGAATTCGTTGAGGGTCTGAGTGTGCGCGATCTTGTGATCCAAGCGACGATGGCGAAGGATGAGCATGAGGAAGCGCTCAAGGCGATGATGGCCCGCATTGGCGTCGCCATTGCTAGCTTACACAACGAAAATCTGGTTCATGGCGATTTGACGACAAGTAACCTCATGTGTCGTCAGCCCGCTGGGGCAGAGATTGACCAGGTCGCTGCTATGTTACAAGGTGAGGTGGTCATGATTGACTTTGGACTCGGTGCGACATCGCTTAACATCGAGGACAAGGCCGTGGATCTATATGTCCTCGAGCGGGCCTTCAACAGCACGCACCCAAACTCTGAGTCTCTCTTTGCAGCCGTGCTCGAAGCATACAGCACCCATCAAGTCAAGAGTGTTGATGTCCTCAAACGACTTGCAGAAGTCAGGTTGCGTGGCAGGAAGAGGAGCATGCTTGGCTAAGGAGGCTACGCTTTAGTAATTGTAGAAACCCTTGCCGCTCTTTTTGCCCATCCATCCGGCATCGACCATTTTACCAAGCAAAATGGCCGGTCTGTACTTGCTGTCACCAGTCTCTCCGTAGAGAACTCGCATAATGCTCAAGCAAGTATCGAGACCGATAAAGTCTGCGAGTGCTAGAGGGCCCATGGGCATCGAGCACCCATTCTTCATAATGTTGTCGATATCCTCTGCCTTGCCAACACCAGTCTCGAGGGCAACGATTGCCTCATTCAGGTAAGGCATCAGCAGTCTGTTGGCGAGGAAACCAGGAGAGTCGACACTGCGAGAGGCAAGCTTGCCCATCTTGGCACCAAATGCCAAAGCAGTCTCGAGCGTCTCATTTGAGGTTTGCAGACCAGTAATCACCTCAATGCCTTTCATGACCGGGACTGGGTTCATGAGATGGAAGCCAATGACACGGTCTTCTGCACCTTTGGCTGCATGTGCGATCTTTGTGATGCTGATGGAACTCGTGTTGGTGGCAAGGACCGCATGCTTTGGCAAGGACTCTGCCAGCCGCCGGAAGACCTCAAACTTGAGCGAAGGAATCTCAGGAATCGCTTCGACCAGGAAATCAACATCCTTGAAGCCATGCTCAACGTCTGTGGAAAACTTGACTCGTTCGCGCGTCTTGGCCGCATCAGCCTCGGTGATTTTGCCCTTCCCAATGTCCTTTTGCAGTAGCTTCTCCATGAAACTCTGCCCCTTTGACAAAGCTGCTTCTGACGCATCCACCAAGGTCACAGGAGTTTTGGCAACACCGGCAATGACGAGGGCGATGCCGAGACCCATCTGGCCTCCACCGAGTACACCTGCATGGGCGACATCGCGCGAGAGACGAGCAGAAGTCGCGAATAAGCGAACACAACGCATTGAGCTTGAGCTAGATCGCAACATGTTTCAAGATGTAGCTGTAGATTTAGTCGCTCGAGGCTTTGCCATTGACTTTCCGGCGTGTGGACCGTCGGCGATTCCGGGGAAGCAATTCAGATGGGCAGCAAGCATGTGAGAAGAAGCAGAGGAGCGATCAAGGTGTCATTATTGCTAGCACGGCTATCTGTGCTTGTCTGACAAGAGATTCTCATCCTCGCTGTCTTCCTCCGACGACTCTGAAGCCTCCTGTGATCTATCCGTGGCATACTCACCTGACTCAGACCCTTCCTCCTCCTCACTGGCCGTCACTTCTTCGCTCGACTCACTTGACGTTGCATAAAAGTCATCAAGCGACGAGATACCAGTCAACTTCGACTTTGGCTTCGTTGCTGTAGTGCCATTGCCCTTGTCAAACGCTGGACTCGCTGACCGGGACGAAGTCACGCTGATGGTCGCACCACCCAGTGGACGCTGTGAGAGGTTGCGCGCAGCAGGAGGTTGTATCACGACGTTGCGCTCTTCAGCACCTTGTACGCACGTCGCCCAATCAGGCAAGGGACTGTAATTGTTGAGTGATCTTGCAACCATCATGCTAGTCGAGCCGAGCAAAAACTCTGAACGGCTGGCAGAGACTGTTGTTGCTTGAGGCACAGGCTTTTTAGAAAAGAGCAGCTTCTGCGTCAAAACCCAGTTGGGCGAGCTAGCGAGCACTTTGTATGTCCTCAGGCGGTCACGCAAATCGTAGGATGTGTCGTATCGACATAGGTGCATGAGGTGTGCGTACAGTTGAGGAACGCGGGAGTCAGCCATAGGCATGATGGGGGCTGGCGCTGGCCCGTCCACAATGGCAGCACTGCCTTCAGCAGTCTCAGCTGAATCAGTCAAGACCGCTCCGTTACCCTGAATCACGACTTCAGCCTCCAAAACTTGCTTGTCGGCTTCGTCGGCACCGGCCAGTACTTCATTCATTTCTTGAACATCCTCTTCATGTGAGTATTGACAATGAAGTGTGTACAATTTCACAGCCAGGATCACGATCTGTAGCCGGACAGACTCGTGTTCTTTTGCAAAGTGCTTGACACCAATTCGCAAGACATCAGGAACTACTCGCGGAAGGAGTGTCGCCTGTTCAGCTGCTAGCCAAAATATGCACGCCCGTGCCGCAGGCGCAACAATGTCATCAAGCGAGCGCAACAGCTTCTTGGTACTCTCTAGATGCTCAGTAGGATTCAATTGAATGAGCAAGCGCAATGACAAGACTGCTTCAGCGATGCGCGCACTGTTGGCAGATTGAAGATGAGAGAAGAGCAAGTCGACGCATGATGCCACAAACATCGGTTGACGCTGCGCACACTGACCAATGGCCCGTATCGCCGCACAGCTGAGTAGTACATTAGTCTCGTCTTTGGAGTACTGCTCGAGCTCGCCAAGCACCAATGCTGCATTACTCTCTGTAATCAGGAGGGTCAAAATCTCGAGCTTCAGAGTCCATACATCCTGCGCATCTCCAGGATACACAAGGAAGTGTTTCGCAAAAGGACTGAAGATGGTGGCGTGATCGAGGCACAATACCGCGATATTGGCCAGCACAATTTGCCGAATCTCAGCTGGTTGTCTGAGTTGCGCAACTAGCGGGCTTGCTAGCTTGTTGAGATCTGCGGGCACACCGAGATGTTGAATCGCTTGAGATGCAGCTAGGATGACAGCAGAGCTGCTGCTGTATAGTAAATTTTCGACTGACCTTAGCAAGAGTGCCAAATCTGCTTCTACTCTGGCTGAGCGTGTCGTTTCTTCGCTGTAAAAGTCTGCTTCATCCTTGTGAGGCTCCTCGACTGATGGCGATGTAAAGCAGGTTCTGGCGTAGCGGACAAGCACTCTCAGCACATTGACCTGTCCAAACTCGTCCATCTGTGAAAGCATGCCACAAGCTCGCCGGTAATGTGGATGGAGCAACTCTACCCTGTCACTTGCAAGCGCTTCATACGCTTCCACAGCTGAGCAAAAGACGGCCGCATCATCGTCGGCGAGGAGAATCTTGAGGATATCAAGCAATTGTTTCTGGAGGGTAGGATCCAATGCATAAGTTTTGACCAGAGCCATGGCAGCAGTCTTTCGCACATAGAAGGAAGAGTCCGCTTGACAACGCTTAATGGCCAGCAGGGCGATCCCGCTTATGGAGGGAACACGTATACTGGTCATTACGCGCAGGGCCAAGGCACGAACAAGCTGATTCTGATCAGAGAGCGCCTTTTGTATCGTGTTGATGGACAGTAGAGCTAGATCAGGCTGTGACTCTGCATAGCGAGTGATGTACAGGTAGACCAGCTTCCGAAGCTCCAAGCTTGAGCTTGCGACATTCTTAACGACACTTGCAAACCACACCGACATGTCCTCGCCGCGGGCTGACAGTACCAAGAGTCGTTGCATCCCATCAATCTTTTCGCGATCACTGCGCGCATCCAGCGCTTTGGCAAAGTCAAAGGAGCGACTGTCGTCTGCAGAGCCGGTAGTGGTGTACCGTGAGCCAACCGATTGAGCGGCTTCAAGCGTCAGGCCTCGTGCCTGTTCTGCTATAGCGGATACCTTAGATGCCCATTGCATGGCACGAGAGCTGAGCACATCAGCACTCATGCCTAGGGCAGTCTAATGCACTTCTGGTTTTGTGATGAAAGTCGAAGCCCTTGACGTCGTATTTTGTGGTTCTACTGAGCGCGCGACTCGCGAATTGACAGCAGCCAAGGACCTCGCCGCCAGACAACCACTAAGTTGCTGCTCTCCTGGTACCTATGAAGGTCGCTTTTATTCATCCTGATCTCGGCATTGGCGGTGCTGAGCGCCTTGTTGTCGATGCGGCACTTGGCTTGCAGAACAAAGGGCATAAGGTTGCCGTTTACACCTCCTACAGGGACTACAACCACTGTTTTGAGGAGGCTCGTGACGGTACGCTTGATGTACGTGTCAGGGGCGATACAGTGGTTCCTGCTAATCTGGGTGGACGCTTCTCCATACTCTGTGCTATGCTGCGTCAAATCCACTTGGCGCTTACGCTCATCATGGATGAGGATGAGTTCGATGTCATCTTCATTGATCAGCTCTCTGCTGCTATACCACTTTTGCAGTACAATCTCAAGGCGAAGGTGGTGTTTTACTGTCATTTCCCTGACAAACTGCTGTCAAGTCGGCAGAGTCTTCTCAAGAGAGTATACAGAATGCCATTTGATTTGATCGAAGGGGCAACGACAGGAGCAGCAGACACAATTTTGGTCAACTCCAAGTACACTGCTTCCATTTTTGCGCAATCGTTTCCGAGAATCGACAAGAAGCCACAGGTACTGTATCCGTGCGTTTCCAGTGATCATGAAGCGGAAACGAAAGCGTTGGACACGACTGGACTCAAATTCATTTTGTCACTCAATCGTTTCGAGAGAAAGAAGGACGTCGGACTAGCAATCAAAGCCTTCGCCAAACTGAAGGGTCGCAAGAGTAGCCCTTCTGCAGTATTGGTCATTGCAGGAGGCCACGATGCGCGTGTTGCAGAAAACGTCGCCACACTGAGCGAGCTGCAGAAGCTGTGTGGTACTCACTCTCTATTGCACAAGACGCTTCATCCGCCCTATTCGCTTCCACTCGCACTTTCGCAGCCCAAAGAAGGCGTCGATGTCATATTCATGCTTTCCATTCCTAAGCCCCTGAAATCAGCATTGCTGGCAGAGGCTTCCCTGCTTGCTTATACGCCTGCCAACGAACACTTTGGTATTGTGCCACTCGAAGCAATGCTTGCGTCCACCCTTGTACTAGCTCAGAACAGCGGTGGACCCCTCGAGACCGTGCAAGACGGAGTCACCGGTTACTTGAGGCCAGCAGATGCAGATGCTTGGAGTGAAGTCATGTTCAAGGCGCTTCAAGCCGATACTACAGAAGTACAGATGGGCAAACGAGCTCGAGAAGTTGTGCTGGAGCGCTTCAGCCAGGATCAATTCATCACTGACCTCGAAGATGTACTTCGAACCACGATTGCTCTGCCTGCACCACCACCAAAACCGCTGCTTTCTTGGAAAGTTGTTGGATCGCTTGTATTGGCATTCGTCTTGGGAATGGCGTGGTTCATTTACTTTGTGCTCATACCTTTGGAGATGAAGGAGCGTGCCGCCATGGACCTCGAAGCCCTTGCGGCGAAAGGGCAATGAGTCAATGGCTTTCGCCCTGAACACCGTCGGTCAGCATTCAGGGACCACAGACGTGAAACAGCACAGATATTAGTGTGCAGTCAATTACCCCTCTACATAACGTGACAATCGCAATTCACCAGAGGGTCGGCGTATGAGACGGTCGAAACTCTGATACTAGCTAGTTACAGAGAAGCTCTGCTAATCTGCAAGCAAATACTGATGAGTCAATTCGTCAAATTGTTCCAACTATACCACTGCATAAATATCATAGATCAACGCGTTCGCAAACCCTAGTCATTGGCAGGCTGTATCTCAAAGTAAATCCTTGAGATCTTCCACAGTCGGCATATCCTCATCCTCATCATCATTGAACAAGTCTTCAAACTCCTCAACAGACATGTCGCTGACTTGCATATTCATGCCACGCTTATAAGGCAAGATGACATTATCAATTTTGGACAAGACACCATTCTTGGCAGGAATATCTGAAACGCCAATGATGCGCCCATTGAAGACAATGCGTTTGAAGCGTCCCCACTCACCGACGTCCACCAGTACTTTCTCATTCTCAACAAGGGTGGAGAATTCATAGTGCTGCACGAGACCACGGCTGCGTGCTTCGTCACGCTTGATGGAGTCTGCCTCTTCCTTGTCATTTTGGACAACGTGGTCAGAGTAGAAGAGCGTGTTGGGCACCACGTGGTACTTGAGCAACTTTGTGAGTGTCGCCTTGCCACGGTCGGAGAAGAGGTAGGCATTGATACCAGGACCAAGCTTTGCGAAACCACGGTTGGAAGGAGCGAATACTGTGGCACCAACAGTCTCGTTCAGAGTGTCTACTACACCTGTCTTGTACGCAGCGTTGACGAAAGTGCTGAATCCTGCTGGTACGAGTTCTGCAATTTGGAGGATTGATGGAGGTGGGAAGAGCAAGTTGTCAACAGCATGGAGGACACCGTTGTTGGCAAAGACGTCAACGTAGATGATGCGTGCGTAGTAGTTCAAAGTAATGCCACGCAAGTTGATGTCGACGGCAAGACGCTGGTGTTGACCGATGGTGTCTTCCTTGTAGAGCGTTTCAAGTGTCTTGGCCCGTAGCACGCCACCTGCCGGAACGACAGTCGGCAAAGTGTGGTAGAGCAAGATCTTCTTCAGGTACTCTGCAGGAAGCTTGTGCTTCTCAAACTTCTCGAGGGCGCGATCGGTGGGCGCGAAGAGGGTCAAATTTGCAGCAGTCTTGTTCAGCTCTGCGACAATATGCTTGTCAGACTTTACAATATCGTGCAGAATGGTGAAGTACTTGGACTCCTCCAAAATTTGGTAGAGTGTCTTGTCACGCTGGTCATGGGGGTTATGGTGGCCTGGTGGTGGTGGATGAGGGTGCTCTCCTGGAGGGCCGTGAGGCGGACCATGATGAGGAGGTGGTGGATGAGGGCCCTCGCCAGGTCCATCCGGTCCGTGTGGGCCGTGATGAGGAGGAGGTGGATGAGGGTGCTCTTCAGGCCCACCTGGACCATGAAGAGGAGGCGGCGGACGAGGATGCTCTTGGTCCAATGCCTTGCGCATCCTACCACACGGCCCTGATCGGATCTCATCCCCACGCGTTCGCTTGTCAAACCAAGCGCGACCCGCCTTACTCCCCTTCAGAGACTTGAACCAATCTCCAGCAGAATGCCCCCCAGACATCTGGAGAGCTTCGTCCACGGCATCCTTGGCATTCTGGGTGTGCTTAAAAACAATTGACTCGGCATCTTCGACAAATGCCTGCGCGGTCTCTGTCAATTTGCTGGCCTTTTCATCCAACTTTGTGCGGACGAGGAAGGCGGAAGCTGTTCCAAGGAGGAATGCAGTAGTGAGCTTCATGTTCGCCTAGTCCGACCTACTGTGTAGTCTTGGGTCCTTGTGTACGTAAAGGCCTGACTGGGGGCTTGAGTCTTGGCGTCCTCGTTGCTTGTTTCACGTGCACTGACATCAGACGACCAAGAGCACAAAAGACCAGCAGTGGTCCAGCACTCTGTCCAGGACAGCCAAGGGCCTAGAGGGGAGAAAAGAGACAGAGCGTGGCATGAGCATCACAGTATAGACCAGTGCCCTCCATGCACCAAAAAGAAAGACAATGCCAGACAAGATAGCCCACACACGCTCCTCGTCGCGTTACCGCTTCTTTGGCGCATCGTCGCGTCCAGCATCCAGCGATCAGGCAGAGGCGCAACGACGTGCACATGCCAAGCGTAAACCGAGTCCTGCCTCCGCCCACAGCGCGCCATTCATCAGTGATCAAGTGCGACATGTTCCTCTCCAACCGCCTTCTACCGGTGTCGGCGCGTCATCGCATCATTCAAGGGAGACACGCGCGTCGCTTTTTGGCGATGATGAGTATCGCCATGTTCCAGGCAACGTTCATCTCCAGACGGATGATTCACTGGAACGCCTGATTTGTGCAACGGGTGCCATTCCACTCCTCCGACAAATGGCGACAGACTTGGCGTTTCGCGATGCGCAAATCACAGAAGTGCGTCGCGTTGCTGAGGAAAGGGAGAAGAGGCTCAAGCAGATGTTGTTCGATGCTGGTGTCTCGCGGTCTGATGTGGAACGTCGGCTTGCAGCGCCTTTGCAGCGACGTTCATCACGCGAGAGTCTCATGTCTCGCAAGAGTATTTTCAGCACAATAGATACCTTGGATGATCGGATACAAGACGCCATCACAAGTCGCGGCACATCAACACCGGAAGAGATACAGCCTGCAACGCCCGCTTTGCCTGCAGCAGAATTGTCTGAGCATCCGGTAGAGACACCTACGGGAGCAGCGGATAGCCCTGTCAGCAACGCAGTGCTCAAAAAACCATTAGACTCGCACCCTCATGAGCGCAGAAAACAATCTGTCACTGGCATCAAAACACAGGATTGGCTTCCTTCCGGCCTCCGAGAAACGGCGCATTCTGTCATGCCCAATACCGTGGCTGCAATTCCGCTCGCTGGTGTCGTGAAGCAGCACCTAGAACTCAAGACGTTCATCCCTGAGGCTGATCAACCACCGACCATGTTCCCGGCATGGAATGATGGACATATCCCTGGCAGCATCTTGACGGATAGGTTTGGCTTCAAGCTCTTCGATGAACGGTCAAAGCGACGGCAAGTCAGTGAGGCGTTTCTAAATATCAGCGATGATCAAACACCTGCGCGACCGATTGATTTGCAGCTACCAGAGTTTTCCTTGGTAGATGTAGACAATGTGGACGTGCCTATCAGCCCTGTTTCAATGGTTGCAAAGCCAGGCAGTCGGTCCAGCGAGTCGATGCCACTTGATGCACCAGCGACGAAAGACTCAATCGACGCGAAAGCGGACGAAGCTGCTTCCATGACAACCTCGAGCAGCCACAAGAATCTGCTCAACTTGACCAATATCGTGCAGTCACCGAAACCGCTCACACCGGAAACGACTCTCAACAAGCCCGATGCTGTCTTTCACCAGAACGACAATTCTCAAGCGCGTCTTTACATGCTCTCTCGACTCGATCTCTATGGTGCCGACAAATCCAAGGAAGAGGCTTGGGAACATTTCTTTGCTAAGACTCGTGAAGATAGAAGTAAGGCCGGTAAAGGTCTCTATGAGGAAGGTGACTTTCTGGAAGACGAGCTCATCGGTCTCGCTGGCTTGTCCAATAGTAAGATGGCCAAAGAGCGGCGCCGGGAGCTGTTGACCCTCATTTACAATGGTGTGCCGATGAGCTTGCGTCCCAAAATATGGGGCGAGTGCACCGGTGCTTACATGCTCAAAGAGCCCATGTACTACCAGGACTTGCTTTCGAATGGTCGCGATACAGATCTCATTTGTGTTCAGCAAATTGATATGGATGTGCATCGGACCATGCCAAGTAACGTCTTCTTCAATGGCAAAGGCCCGGGCGTTGAGAAACTGCGTCGCGTGCTCTTGGCCTTTTCTCGGCATAACCCTGAGGTTGGTTATTGCCAAGGCATGAATGCCATCGCTGCAACACTTCTGCTCACACATCCGACAGAGGAAGATGCCTTCTTTGTTCTCTGCTGCATCGTGGAGAAGATATTGCCACCTCGGTATTTCACGCCAGACCTGTTGACGAGTCGTGCGGATCAGATGGTGCTCAAGCATTTCGTCAAGGAGCTGTGCCATAAATTGCACAAGCACTTGGCGACCCTCTCCATTGACTTGGAGGCTATCACATTTGGCTGGTTTCTGAGCATCTTCACAGACTGCCTGCCTGCTGAGCTATTATTTCGCTGTTTCGATATTCTTTTCCTCGAAGGCCACGCATTTCTATTCGCCGTGGCCATCACCATCTTGCGCATCAATGAGAAGGCGTTGCTTGCGTGTTCATCGCAGGATCAGGTGTTTACGCTATTGAAGGATTTAGGGAAAGTGAGGGAAGCGAATATAGATGAGTTTATACGGATGACGGAGGTGTGCATGGCAGCAATGCGGAGTCATGCGCGTTTGGCTGTGGGAGCGTTGCAAGAGACGGCTGTGGAGCGTTTATTAGAGCAGGCTGCTGCTAACAAGCGTGCTCGTGAAGCAGAGAGTCCGTAGCTATCAGTAGAATGAGGCTCAATGGGTTTCGTCGTCCCTGAGTTTTGTTTCTTGAATTTGTCAGGCTGCGGCCGGAACTTGACTGGCAGCTCACGCATCACTGACGAGACACACAACGGCCATCACCTGCCTTCCTTGCAAGCTACAACAACAGACACTGCTAATCTAGACCACTCAACTCGACCCCTTCTTGCTCGACGCTATCCAGTCACAATCCTCATCAGCGCCGTGTCCTAGCCAACACGGACGCCCAGCCAACTTCAAATGACTGACGCGCAACCATCCCACACAACAGGCTCCTCCCTCTTCCGATCAAACCGCGTGCGCTCCGCCAGCACCAACGCGAGTCTCGATGATGCAAAGAAACCACAACAGCATTTCCCACAACGTCTCAGGAATTTGTTCAAACTCAATATACGTGATCGTAATCGAGACCGGAGCGTCTCAAGCCCGAAGCCAAGCTCACATGGTGGACATGCCGGTTTGAGCAAGACGGCTGGCTCACATGATGAAATGGGCGCTTTGGAGACACAGTCGGGAAGGGCGACGCCAGCGCTGGGTTTGCCGCTTGACGAGGGGTTACGAGGTCAGGATGGCAAGTTACGTCGCATTGCCTCTGCGCCGGATACCAAGAGCTTACTGACTGCGGCGCTTCAAGGAGATGGTAAAAGTACGTCGGGTTTATTGACAGCGGATGATGCCTTGCGGCCAACGACGAATGGGTCTGCCGTGACATTCGGATCTGTTCCCTTAACAGCATCGATTGATGGCGACGTCGGACAGCTGACACCTCCCACCGGAGAGACAAGCGATGCAGCGCTTGATGATGGTTCATCGCGATTGAATGCGAAAAAGACATTCAGACGCACGCACAGCAGTCATTCTATGCGCAGCCGCGCTGTTGAAGTCGGCCCTGACTCATTCGACAAGCTCAAGTTGCTCGGCAAGGGCGATGTTGGAAAAGTCTATCTTGTTCGTGAAAAGAAGACATCTCGTTTGTTTGCAATGAAGGTCCTGAGCAAATCAGAAATGATCAAGCGCAATAAGATCAAGCGTGCCTTGGCCGAGCAGGAAATTCTGGCAACCTCCAATCACCCATTCATTGTCACGCTGCATCATTCCTTTCAGAGTGACGAGAACCTGTATCTGTGTATGGAGTACTGCATGGGCGGCGAGTTTTTCCGGGCTCTGCAAAGCAGGCCTGGCAAGTGCTTGAAAGAAGAGGATGCCAAATTCTATGCTGCAGAGGTGACGGCCGCCCTGGAATACCTGCATCTGATGGGCTTCATCTATCGCGACTTGAAGCCAGAGAACATCCTCCTGCATCATACTGGGCACATCATGTTGTCAGACTTTGATCTCTCCAAACAATCGACAGCGCAAGGTGCGCCTGGCATGATTGTTTCTGCAAAGGGTACTACCATTCATTCATTGCCAGCTGTCGATACCAGATCTTGTGTTGGAGGATTCAGGACAAATTCGTTTGTCGGGACTGAAGAGTACATTGCACCTGAAGTCATCAACGGAAACGGCCACACTAGTGCAGTGGATTGGTGGACACTTGGCATCTTGCTCTATGAAATGCTGTTCAGCACAACGCCATTCAAAGGTAAGAACCGCAATATGACATTTGCCAAAATTCTCAAGAACGACGTTCCTTTCCCAGAGTCACCCCTGGGCCACCAAGTCTCTTCGAACTGCAAAAACGCAGTCAAGCGGCTCCTCATCAAAGACGAGCATAAGCGACTGGGCTCCAAAGCCGGTGCATCTGAAATCAAGACACAGCCCTTCTTCCGCAATATCCAATGGGCATTGCTTCGCCATACTAAACCACCCATTATACCACAACCTGGCAAGGGTATCGAGGCAACCAATTTCCGCGCTATGAAGGAAAGCATGAGCATTGATATTTGCAATGCAACCGCTATTACAACGACTGCTGCAGGTGTGCCGATGGGTGCACAAACGCCAAAAGGCTTGATTGACTTTGATCCCTTTGGTAATTTCAACAGCATCACGTTGCATCATGATGATACCGGCATCGTGCATCATATCGATGAAGACCACCGGCGTCGACAGAGTGGTGGACAAGATCTCGAGCAACCTATTCTTGGAGTCAAATAAACCACTTTGGCCCCACCGTGTCATTCATTCTTGTTTTTGCATAGTGTGTTTCATTGATCGAAAGTGTGTAGCAGTTGGCGCTTGCTCTTGCGGGATTCTAAATTGCTGTTCGCCTATATTCATGCTGTGCTCATACCTAGTGAACGTTGCGCCGCACAGTGCAAATCCATGCCTACATCTCTCAAGACTGCCATCTGGCGAGATACTGCTTCAAGGCACGCACGATACGTCTCCGAGTCTGGTTCAAGACCCCACGTCTGTGCATTGAAAAGCTTGGCAAATAATTCAACCTGGTTTGCCGACCAAGCAACGAACGCTGAAGTGGCACTAGCACTCTCTATAGAGTTGAAGAGGTCCTTGTTGGTCCCCAATAAGCCCATGGAGCTATTTTGGCCAGTCGGTAGGACAATGCTGGTAAAAGCATGCAGGTACGCATACGCTGACTGCTTGATCAGATGAAACGTGACAGTTGCCACGTCTGACAGATAAATAGGCAGATCGGCGTCAAAACTGACTTGCCTGCTGCGTTGCCGGATAGTGGCTGCGCGCGCATCCAAGTATGCCTTTCTCGCCGTCGAACTCGCGCCCATCGCAACTAGGAATCGGGCAAGTCGAACGACTGAATGTGGCTTGTGTGCTTCTGCAGCCAACTCTGCAGCAAGCAAGCGAGACAGGCGCTCGGCGCGTTCATCCAACTGGAGAGCCGTTAGTTGAGCGGCGAGATCTTGGGGTCCAGATTCTTGTACAAGCTGGCGACCTCGGCCGATTGAACGCACGGCTTGTTTGAATTGACGGTGCGCAATGCACTGATCGAGTTCATCAATACGTTCCCGTACAACTTCCAGATCAACTTCAGCATCCACCTGTGGGCTGTCCACACCAAGCCCTTGTTTGGATAGGCGTCGTGATAGCCGCTTGATTTGCGTCGCGCGTGTCACGTCGATTGCTTGTGCGTCGCCTTGCTGTGCCATTTGTTCTCCTCGTTCTCGCATTGACGCTTGTAGTTCTCCTAGCTCATGCTTGGCGGCCTTTAGCATCACGGCCTTTTCCTCCACTGTATTGGCACGGAATGCAAACTTTTCGCGACTGCCAGACATGCGTACTGAGATGGCATCCTCCATGCCTTCTTCATCGAAGCCGCTCAGCCGTATCTCCTGAAGGGGGAAGCATTGTTCAGCAATAAGACGATGGCCTGATCCACTTGGCTTGGGCCTTTTTGCAGCGACAAGCAAGTGATCATTCAACAAGACCAGGTGGACCTTCCCTTTTGGCCTCCACGTGGCAGCATTCAGTTCTGCCCAAGCGCCTGACTCGCGCACAACTCGACGACCCTCGTCCGCTGGTAGAAACTTTTGAGAGCCTTCTATCTGCTGCCAAAGTGCTTGGAGGTGATACTTGTTGAGCTGGTGAAAGTCAACAATGGAATTGCGCTGACCTCGTCGAGAAGTGCCTTGCACGGCCGGCGAAGCGCCATTACTTGGGCCTTGTTGTTGATCGGCAGAGGTTATGGCTGCTTCAGCGTCTTCTGTTAGTGTCGTTGTGACGGTTTGTAATTCGCCGAGCAAGTCTCGTAGGCTAGCCATGTCTGCTTGAATTGTGCCAATCTCCTTGCTAATAATGATAAAGTCCTTGTAGTTATTGAAGACGTTCTTCTGCATCTCGTCATTGACTGCTTCCCCATTGTCACGCAAATTGCGATAGAAGCCATCCAACTCTTCCGGCGAAGCGCTTGCCAGCATCTGCTTGACATATGCATCAGCATTAAAATTGGGATCGCGAAACACCTTTGGGTCAAAGGCCGGGCGCGAGCGAGACTGCCCAGCTGCTCGAGCTTCTAGCTTCTCCTGCTGCCGTTGTTGATGCTGTTGCCGCGCCTCTTGCGGGATGATGGGCGTTCTGTGGTTGGTGATATTCTGCATAGCGTTCGATGGGAGCGGCTGACTAGGCATCAGGTTGATTGGATGAGAGATCTTTGTAGAGAGTCTACGCTTGATTCTGTCTTGCACTCTGTTCTTCTCTTTGGAGCCAACTTCTGGAGGCCCTCCATCAAACAGAGACTTGCGACGCGGCGCATCTTTTGAGCTCTTCTTCTTGCGTAGCGACGGCAGTCCGTTAGAGGACATGACTTGAGCTTGTAGCGTTCCTACAGTAGCAAATTGCTTGTGAATAGCAGAACCAGAGAACGAGATAGAGACTCAGAGGGTCGCTTGTGATGATTCGGTTGAGTCTGGGTGTAGCCGACACTGAATGACTGCAACGACCACCCGAGTTTGAAGATTTTAAAGCACAAGCCAAGACACCGCTCTATCCTATCTGCCATCTACGAGCCATGGAAGTCAATAGGACCACCATCCTTGCAGGTGTGACGACAGTCGCCGTGGGTGTTGTAGCATACGCCGCCTACTTCGACTACAGGCGCCGCAACGACCCGACATTCCGTAAAGCCATTCGGCGAGAGCAGAAGCGTGTGTCATCCCTCGAGAAGGAGAAAGCGCGCGAGGCCCAGGTGGGAGAGGAAGAGACCCTCAAGAGGGCTCATAGGCAGGCAATGGATGAGCCTCTGCCATCTTCGCCAGAGGAGAAGGAGCAGGCCTTCATGCAGGAAGTGGCTCGCGGAGAGCAGCTCTATGCGTTGGGCGAGTCAAGCAAATATGACGCTGCTATATGCTTCTACAGGGCACTCAAAATGTATCCCCAGCCTGAGGAGCTCACCAGGATTTACGCTCAAACGATCCCACCGGTATGCTTCCCTTTTGGTTTGATCATTTGCTAATTAGTCGCAGCACGTCTTTGAAGTGGTGCTCAAGCTCGTCAAGCTTGACGATGAAGAGCGTGAGGAGTCTCTCAATGAAAAGGTCGAATAAGATAGGCGCCATCGTGACCACAGACCCGCTATTGGATATAAACGCAGTTCAGCTCATTGTGCATCCCCTTTCACTGACCGATGGATTCGCTGTGGTTGATGAGCAGTGAGCAAATCTGACATGCAGCTTCCCAGTCCGCCGGGACTCAAAGGATGAATGTCCATGTAGAGATGAACAGCATTGAGTCTGAAAATTGTCATGTGTCACTTGCTCGTGGAAGGTCTCTCAGTGTGGCCGACCTGATAGTCGCCGGCGACTTCTTGAGCTGAGACTGGATATCCAGAGGCAGCTGAGGATGCTGTACGTGAATGCCTCCTTGAGTGTGAAAACGTCCTCGTGCCTGAATCAACTCAATCAAGACTCTGATCGTCGCGAACCACAAATTCTGCAGCGCGTCGCGCTTTTGACTTCTCACCACCACTATAGCGCGCTTTCAGTACGGAGTGTACCGCTATGTATCTTCCCTCTCCAGTCATTATAGACAATTGGACGCACGGGAAGTAGTACAGGTATGCTCCAAGCTTAACCCTAAGTACTGCAGTTGTCTTGAAGAGATGTGCTGGCGCGAGGCTTCATCTCGGCTCAAAAGCAAAGCTTTCGAGGATGCTACTCTTGTATGTCGATGGCTCAGACTTCCCAGGAGTTGCGGACCTTTGTTGGTACTACATACGAAGCTTCTTGTACTGCGCCCTAGCAATCTCGTCGGAAATCTAGCCGCGCTTGGCAACAATGGGTGTTGTCGGGTCTGCTACTAGACAGCGAGCTATCCGCAACGTGCAAGATGCTTTCCCCAGTCGACCCGCTGAACTCTCGGAAAGGAAGTCTGAATTGCAAGCGCGGCGTCCAGTCATCTCAAGTCTTCCTTGGATACCCCTCACGTCTGCACTGGGCTTCAATGACGTTCCAGGCAGAAGTCACTGCAAAGTCAGTGGCTTTTCCCTTGGCACTATGTATTGTGTGCTTTCAGTCGCGGATCTCTTCCTTGAGACGACAGACGATAGGCCCACCCTCCAGGCCTGCTTTTGTTCTCGCATCAGCAGGGGTTCTTTCATCGTTTGATGATGCTGGGGGAGGCCACCTCAAACAAACCCAAGGCTTAGGCTTCTCCGCTCCATGTCCCTTCTTCGAGATGGTGTCTCTTCGTTGGATTGCTTCCCAGCGTGGGCGTCATGCTTGTTGGAAGGGCAGGTATGCGAGTGAACAGGAAGGCGGTCTTTTTTTGGACATGCGTCGTCTGCTTCCGGCCCATCTATGTGTTGGGAATTCTTGCTTGGTTACTCATATCTGCCGGGCCAAACGAAAATGACCACGCGGTCTGCTATACCTCATCACATACGATCGCACCAGGACCAGCGATTTGGATGGTCCCTCAGTATTGCTTGTTTGACATTCAACAAAGTGGCAAGAGGTCTGGGTACTTGTGATGGACCCTCCCCTTCTGGAGGAGTCAGATGCCTTGGCTCGTCTGATCAAGTCATTCAGATTCCCTTGTTGCTTTGTTGAACCAAACGCAGCTGCAATGCCCTCAAATTCTTGGATCTTTTTTCGAGTCATCTTGGCTCTTGGTTCATTGCTGCTGCGAAAGTAGCGCAGTGACGATGCATCCCTCTGGGGGTGCTCCTTTTATTCTTTTTGCCTAGATTTGTGTGCTGTATGCAGCGTCAAGTCGAGGAAAATAGGATCAAAAGCTTGCTATAGTCTAGTCTAGCTCGAGCCTTCGCAGGAGATACTCAATCTCTACTTCTTTTGTGAGTGGAATGACAAAGTTCTCGTACATCCGCACGACCGTCTCGACATCGACCTTGCCAGGGGCTTCCGCGCTATCCAAATCTGCGGGATCCCGGCCATAATTACGGGCCTTCTTTTCGAGTCGTGCAAGGACCTGCTGTTCAACTGCAGCATTGGTGATACCCTTGGTCAAGCCCTCAATATCCTTCTCCTGAATCATCTTTGTGTACTTTTCCCGCTCCGCCAGGAATTTGACTTCAGCAACAAATTTACCAAAGTGGATACGACGTGACAAGGCCTGAAGACACTCGACGTCGCACACGGCTGCTGAGCCATAGTTTTCCAATCGCTCGCCCTGGTCACCGCCTACATTGCTTTCACACAGCTTTGGCACGATTTTTTCTAGGTAGAATTCCTTGATTTTGTGGTTGACGCTCACTCCATCTGCCTTGATGAGTGAAGGGTACTGGAGTGGTGGGATGATGGGTTCCGGTAGATTGGAGGAGAAGGCATACTCATCAGGCGATTGGTAGCGGCGGACGAGGGCATGAGCTTGCTCAGACTTTTCCAGCACAAAGTCCAAGAAGGAGCCATCAAAGTCCTTAATAGGAATAGCACCTGGTTTATAGATAGTACCGTTTTGAGGAAACTGAGCACGTTCAATGAGCTTGAAGATGATTGTATCTTCTTGCCGGATGAGGGCATAGCGAATATTGGCCAAGTTGAGCGGTTTCTCCGCGAGCAAATCCATACTGATCAGTCCCATGGATTGGTTCCTGCTTCACACTCCTTTATAGATGGGCTGGGGATGGAGAGCTACTGTTGGATGTTGGGCAGTCGTGTTGGGTTGCGAAGTGTCAGGAGCGTGCGCGTGTCAATTGCAAAAGTCTAAACTGTAGAACTAATGACCACAAACGTCGCATACCGTGCAATGTCTGGCATACAGGCGTACAGGAATCTCATCAGATCAGCTCAGATAGCCTTCAAGGGTGCGCAGACTACTCATCATCCAAAGCATCGGCTCTAACCAAGTCCAGGTGATGCGCCTATCTTGACTGCAGCGCGACAAGAGATCCGCAAAAACTTCGACTCCGCGCGATCCATGTCGCCTGATGAACAGGCCATCAAGCTAGAGCATGCTAAGGAGGTTGCGAAGATCCTGCGGACGAACGTTGTGCAGGGAAAGCGGAAAGCAGATGCAGCAGCGGCTGAGGAAGGTTCAGAGACGTACAAGCTGAGAATCCACAAGGACATCGAGCTGGGCGACAATGAAAGCATCAAGAAGGCCAAGTCAAAGGAAGCAGCGGCTGGAAGGAGCGGAGGTTGTCAGGGGCAGTAGTGTTCATCCTTGTCAAATTGTCGATAGATCAGTTCAGAGCGTGCATAGCGAGTCGTTCTTTAAACCTTAGCCCACCACACCTTTCATGCTACAGCATCGATAGTTCTTATCTGATGCCCCGAGCTCTCAATATCGCTGTACTCGGCTGCTGTCATGGCGAGCTGCATCAAATTTACCGCTCCATTGCCGAGCGATCAGCTCAAGCAGCTCCTATCGACCTTCTCATCATCGGTGGTGACTTTCAAGCCGTCAGGAATCACGCAGACCTCTCATGTATGTCTGTTCCAGACAAGTACAAACGCCTCGGTAACTTCCACCAGTACTATAGTGGCAAGGCGAAAGCGCCTGTTCTGACACTGTTTGTTGGTGGCAATCACGAATCGAGTGCATACATGCAGGAACTCTACCATGGCGGCTGGGTAGCGCCTAACATTTACTACCTAGGTAGTGCTGGTATCGTTCGCTACAAGGGACTTCGTATTGCTGGTATCTCTGGAATATGGCAGAAAGAGCATTACATACGCGGCTACAACGAGTGTCCGCCGTATACGTCTTCGTCACTTCGCAGTGTTTACCATGTTCGTCAATTCGAGGTACAACGATTGCTAGCAGCACATCAAGCACAACCTGGGATTGACATCTTTCTCAGCCATGACTGGCCAAGGGGAATCGAGCAGCATGGCGATACGGCAGCCTTGCTCAAGAAGAAACCGTTCTTCAAAGCAGAAGTTGCGCGTAATGATCTGGGCAGTCCAGCGAACGAAACACTCCTGGCGGGTATCAAGCCGAGATATTGGTTCTCGGCACATTTGCATGTACGATTCCAAGCAGAGGTCGTGCATGGAGAGAGTAAGAAGCGTTCGCGAGAAGCGACCCCGCCTGTGTCGAGCACAGGCAGGGAGTTGGTAGCGAATCCGGACGAGATAACAGTGGATTTTGACGACGACGACGAAGAGGATGTCTCAGAGGCCAAGGATCCAAATGAGATACAATTGGAACTGAGTGATGACGAGGTGGCTGCTGAAAGCAAGCCATCACGGGCAATCCAATCCTTGGAAGAGTACAAGAAGCAAGTTCTACAGCGCTACAAGCTGAACGAGACGCCAAGCAGCAAGCCAGACTCGACGCAATTTCTTGCATTGGACAAGTGCTTGCCTCGTCGCCAGTACCTCGAGTATATCAGTATCGAAACGACAGAGGAGAGCAGCGATGACCTTTGCTATGACCCAACATGGCTTGCGACCACACGAGCGATGGCGCCATACTTCTCCACGGGTGCGTATCAATGTGAATTACCGGACCCTGTCCAGCTGCAGGCAGAGATTGCCGAAGCGAGACGATGGCTGGATGCCAAGCACCTTGATCTGACTATCCCACACAACTTTGAACGGACTGCTCCGGCGGAAGATCTGTCGAGCGCAAAACGAACAAAAGGTATGCGCGTGCAGGGTCGCGAACCGCAACTAACAGTAGTGCATGTGTACAACAATCCACAGACTAGCAAGTTTGTTGAGATGCTCGAAATTCCGAATCCTTTTGTGAAAGTAGGTTCAGGGTGGGAACCTCGGCCAGCTCGCAAAGTAGCTCAGTGAGCAGCTTTGGACTTACCGTCTTGTTCGCCGAGTGTTCGCAAGTAGATACAACCTTCCTGCTGAACAGGAAGTGACTTTCCTGTTCCTTCTGCATTGGTTCCCATGGCCAGGGTCTTTGCATCAGCACTGAAAGCCAAGCAGCTGACGCTCTTTCCGATACTGCCAAATAGCTTGACGCGTCGTTTCGCTTTAATATCCCACATGGCCACAACACCATCACCGCCACCTGTTGCGAATGACCCATGCTTTGGGTGAAAGGCAACAGCATTGACTGGATAGACGACATCCTCCTTTTCATCAAGCTCAGCGCCTTGAATGACTTCCTTCTGTCGATGACATTTGAATGCGTATTTACGCGCTTGTATCTCCTCTGCCGCATCGAAGAACTCAACTGCGACACGGCCTTCAATCGAGGTACTGACGAAGCCTGTATTATCCGGTGTGCACTGGACCGTGCGCGTCATGAACTTGAGGGAGCTTTCACGCCGCTGCATGGGTGGCACTTGGCTACTTGGCATTTGCTGTTCCATTGCTGCTCGCAACTCTGCAAGCTGATATAAATGAACCGCACGGTTTGCCATTGCCACGACGAGGACATCATTGGAGCATGACAACTTGAAGCACTTTTCAGGCAATGTGAGGATGAGTGCTGGTTTTGAATCGTCCGTCAATGCGTGAATATCGCGAATATGAAGGGTCTTATCCCAACTCCCCGTCAATAAAAGCATGTGCTGCTTACTGAAACAGCACGAGGAGACGGCTTGCGTGTGACGGGTGTAGAGATGGAGGAGGGGTTGCTTGTTGCCGCGTCCAAGGTTGAGTAATTTGACGGATCCATCGAGGGATGCAGCGATTGCGTGGTTGCCATCGATAAAGCACGCGTCTAGGATGGGTGCACGGAGGTGAATATCGACGTAGGGCTCGAGTGGCTGGTCTGATGCGCTGGAGGCAGCTGTATCGTAGACGCGTAGATGGCCATCCCAGCTGCTAGAGAGGAGGACGGTGGATGAGTCTGGTGAGAACTCGAGGGAGCTAATACTATCTGATGGGCCCTGAAGTGAGCGTAGGGCAGTCATAAGTCGTCTCTGGGTCTATAGCTTCAGGTTGTCGGTGTCCTTTGCCTTGTTGATGTCTTGTCGCCTTGTTTACTTTCTCTTCTTCGTTGTCTCAAAGGCGAAAAAGAAATTCGAGAAGCAGAAATGACGAAGCCTTCACTTAGTTCACTGTAATACTCACTCTGCATTCTCTGCTAGTACATGATGGCAGAGCCTCAGGAACAAGTCGTCACTGCACCTCAAGTATTTGCAACTATCGGCGACCAGGCAGAATCAGGCGACTATGACGAAAATAAGGTCGTGGACGAAATTGAGTCCATGTGCATGAATTGCCACGAGAATGGCATGACAAAGCTGCTGCTCACTGTCATTCCCTTCTTCAAAGAAGTCATCTTGATGTCCTTTGAGTGCCCGCATTGTCACTTCAAAAACAGCGAGATCCAAGCGGCAGGACAGATCCAGGAGCGTGGATCGCGATATTCACTTCGGGTGATGAACAAGGAGGACATGGACCGCCAAGTCGTCAAGTCAGAGTCATGCGTTTGTCGCTTTGTTGAACTTGATGTTGAGATTCCAGCACAACGCGGTCAACTGACAACAGTCGAAGGCCTGCTTGGCAATGTCCTCGAAGATCTTGCCGTTGGCCAGGACGTACGCAAAACAGAGCAGCCGGAAGCATATGAAAAGATCTCTGCGTTCTTGGAGAAAGGACGAGCCATGCTCGAAGGTAAAGCGCTGCCTTTTACAGTCATTGTGGATGATATTGCGGGCAACTCATGGATTGAGCCAAAGCAGTCAGATGCGCAACATACATGGAACAGGGTCGACTATCTGCGCTCACCTGCACAAAATGCAAAGCTAGGTTTGGGAAATCCTGAAGCGCCTGATGTGGATGACATTCATCCAGATGAAGTCCATACCTTCCCTGCGTCATGCCCTTCGTGTGCGCGTCCATGCGATACTCACATGAAGCTTGTGGATATCCCACACTTCAAAGAGGTGGTCATCATGTCTACAGCCTGTGATGGCTGTGGCTACAAATCGAATGAAGTCAAGACAGGTGGTGCCATTCCGAATGAAGGTCGTAAAATCACCTTTCAAGTGGAAGATGCGGATGACTTGGCCCTTGATATCCTCAAGAGTGAGAGTTGCGCCATGTCATGTCCAGAGCTGTCGCTTGATTTGCATCCAGGAACACTCGGTGGTCGTTTCACAACGATTGAGGGATTATTGGCACAAGTCTATGATGAACTCTATGGCCGCGTCTACTCTGCTGGTAGTGACTCGCGGACGTCGGATGAACGAACACGGTGGGAAGGGTTCTTGAAGAAGCTGACTATGGCGCGAGAGGGTAAACTGCCCTTTACGCTGATTTTGGATGATCCACTGGCGGCTTCTTACCTGCAGAACCCATATGCGCCTGAACCGAACCCACAGATGACGGTCGAGACGTATGAGCGGACAGAAGAGCAGAATGAGGACTATGGTCTGAATGATATTCGGACGAGTGGATATGAAGCAGATCACCAGGAGGAATTGCTGGCACAACAGCGAGACCGTGTTGTGGAAGGAGGCGAGGAACCTGCGTATCCCGAAGGTGCTCCTGCTGCTTGACAGTATCTATAGTGGATGATGAAGCATACATATGGGAGTGAAGGTAGTCAAAGTAGTCTTGATGCTGCTCGTTTGGATATTTGCGGCAACTGTGGCTGGAAAGGCGGGACAACGAGGGGAAACACTCTCGACACCAGACACCATAGGCACTGCGCTCTCCCGGGGCCCTTGCGAGTGCTGATTAAGGCAGGCAGCGAGTAGTCGCTTCCAACGCTTGCGCTAGATTGGCTTGCACTGCTCTCCTAGCAGCTACGTGGGAGCAAACAGCGACTAGCATCCACTCTTTCATCGTCTTGCGACATTGCGGCACGCTGCAGAAGGAACCAGCGCGCGCAGCTCTCCACCGGACATCAATCTTGTGACCTGATACCTGTTTGGAACAAAGCATCGCATCTTACGGCATTTCCGCTCATTGTTTGTCAAGGTCAAACGACTTCTGCTGCTCCTTAGTTCCAGTCTTTTCAGCGCTTCTCTTCCCAGTCTATGCAGCCTCCCACAATGAGTACATCATCAGCGAACGGTACAAGCGATACGATCCTAGTGACGGGCGGCGCGGGTTACATTGGCTCTCACACGGTGGTGGAACTACTGAATGCCGGCAAGAAGGTGGTCGTTATTGACAACTTCGCCAACAGCTCACTCGAGTCCATCAATCGCATTGAAGCCATTTCAGGCAAACGCCCTGCGTTTCACCAAGTAGACATCACAGACTACACGGCGCTGCATTATGTCTTTCAGCAGCACAAAATTGACAGTGTCATTCATTTTGCAGCACTCAAGGCCGTTGGCGAGTCTGCAGTCATCCCGTTAGAATACTACCGCGTCAATATCGGAGGCACCATCACATTGTTGCGTGCAATGAGCGATAATGGCGTCAAGAGTATTGTCTTTTCAAGTTCCGCGACAGTCTACGGGGACGCTACACGTTTCCCAGATATGATTCCCATCCCAGAAGATTGTCCTGCTGGTCCAACCAACCCATATGGACGATCCAAAATGGCGACAGAAATGGTCATTCAAGATCACTGTGCCGCGAATCCAGAGTGGAGTGCGGCGTTGTTGCGATACTTCAATCCAGGTGGTGCGCATCCGTCGGGGCTGTTGGGAGAAGATCCATTGGGAGTACCCAATAATCTCCTGCCATATGCTGCGCAAGTCGCCGTGGGAAGGCGCCCGTTTCTGAGTGTGTTTGGTGATGACTATGATACAAAGGATGGAACGCCAATTCGCGACTATATACATGTGGGTGATCTCGCTGTCGCACATCTCAAGGCTTGTGAAAAAATACAGCAAGGACAACGAGGGTGGCGCGCTTGGAATATTGGCACAGGCCATGGCTCGACTGTGCTTGAGGTGGTTGATTCCTTCAGCAGGGCTGTTGGACACAAAATTAATGTCCAGATTGCTCCACGACGTGCAGGTGATGTCCTCAACTTGACAGCGAAAGTGGATCTTGCAGAAAGAGAGCTTGGCTTCAAGACAAAATTCACGTTGCAGGATATCTGCGATGATACATGGCGTTTCATTGCAAAGAATCCCAAGGGTATGAATCCAGACAAGCATGCAGGATCACCCGGTATGATGCCCACCGAGTATATTCGCCAAAAGGACGACACCAAGCTTCCAGGGGAAGAGCACAGCAAGTGTTTTATCTGTGGCAAATGATGAGAATTCTCTCGCGACGGCTTAATGACATCCAAGCATTATACTTCTTCATCTCCATAGGGGCATCTCATAGCTCTAATTCTTTCTTCCCACAAGTATCTCGTCGCTGCCTCCTGTCGTCGCGCTTTATTTTTTGTTTGGCGCCAACAGAATGGTTCATTTGCTCCACCACGCCTAGCAGAAGCAGACAAGCCCCGCAAAGGGTGTCCTCCAGGCCAGGGCCCGTGAGCTCTCTTGCTCTAGAGACGTGTCGCCAAGTATGGCCCATGCTTTTGCAGAGCGCGCTGAAAGCGATGTCGAGGGAGCAGCCGAGTACGCGCCACTGCTAGGCGATCTCAAATCAGACAACTTGGACGATGTCCCCGTCTTTCGCTTGACGCACGCGCTTCGTGAAGATATCAACGAGGCAGTCGATACGTCGCTTACCTGGGATCAGCTGAAATCACCACAACTCAACAGTTTTCTCGTCCGTCCACTTTTGCTTAAATGTCGCGACAAGCGTACACGCGCCATCATCTTTTCGCTCTTGACAAATTGCGTCCAGTATCGGCGTGAAGCAGAGGAAGATGCTGCAAGGCAGGGTGTGAATATGACGCGAGCTTTGGCGTGTGAGTTGCTGGCCGTCAAGACGCTCAAGGAGTTTTCACCGCGCGAGCTCATTGATGTCTTGACCTTCGATTTCTTTCCGTTACAAGGTGACCCTCGATGGCAGGGAAAGCAAGCACCGCGCAGTCAGCGCATCTCAGCTCTTGAACTGGCCATCAAGGCGCAGGCCAAGAAGTTTCTCTCGAGTCCGCTCGTTGTGCAAGTTCTTGAGAATATCTGGAAGGGTAATATCGTCTTTCACGGCGCCAGCGACAAGGATGCTCAATTTCTTCCGCATCGGATGCGGAAAGCGGCTCAGACCTATGATGCGCGTGAAGCGTCCATCTTCAAACTCTCTAGGCTGCGTGTACCTCGTTATCGCCACTGGATGCAAACATTCTCTTTTGCCATCCTTCTAGGGCTTGTTATCGCTGTACTCATGGAAAGAAGCCTAGAGATACGGCCTCTTGAGATTGTCATGGTGGTCTATGCTGTCGGCTTCATGATTGATGAAATCGTAGGTCTCAATGATACTGGATCCTCTCTGTTCCTCTCAAATCTCTGGAACACCTTCGACGTTCTCAGTCTCATCTTCTTCATTGCATTCTTTGCCCTACGCATATGGGGCCTCGTTTTCTGGCGCGACACAGACGCAAAGTACTTTGCGTATGATTTGCTCGCCATCAACACAGTTTTCCTCACACCAAGGCTCTTCTCTGCGCTTGACCACACTCGACAGTTCAGTCAGATGCTTATTGCTTTTCAGCGCATGGCCATTGATTTGCTTACTTCCGTTCTGTTCATCCTCATCTTTTTCGCTGGCTTCTTTCTGGCACTTTCTCTCGCGTTCGCTCGCAACATCTACTCTGCAAAAGACATTGCATTCAAGCTCTTGCAGCTCATCTTTGGCTTCTCTCCTGCTGCGTGGGAGTTACTTCCGCAGATCAATTGGATCGGCAAGCTTTTACTCATCACCTTCATGATCAACACAAACTACCTCGTGGTCACGATTCTTGTTTCAGTCTTGTCAACCACATTTGCAGCCGTCATCAGTAACGCTCATGAGGAACATCAGTACCTGTTTGCTCTCAATACGATCTTGGCAGTCAAATCGGATGCTCTCTTCTTTTACCAGGCGCCCCTAAACCTCATTGAGTGGCTGCTTGCCCCTCTCGTCCTGGTTTTGCCACGAAGCAAGTATATTCGCATCAACCGCTACTTCATCAAATTCACCCATTTCTTCTTCTTGGCCGCCATATTTTTATTTGAGCGCTTCTATCTACGCCCAAGGGCATTTGTGCCACAAGATTTACTTCTTGCACGAACGCACTCTATTGACACGATGCGTGCACCGCTGCTTGGAGTCCACAATCCGCAAGCACAAGCACTCTTGCTTGGCGACGGCGCTGCCTCTCGACAAGATTATCAACAACCTGAAGCAGCACCACAACGACTGGTCAGCGGTACATTCTTTGGTCATCGCCTGAGGCGCGAAAGTGATGCACAGCGCAATTCTGAGTTGATTCTTAATCAAGTCTTTAGTCAGACAGATCATGCTCGTCGACAGCAAGGGTATGGTGCTATGCATCAAGATCGTGTTCGCGCCGGCGGTAGACCTGGCATGGGTGGGAGAGCGTATGGACAACGGACTAATGATTGGGTGAAACGCTTACCGCCTGCAGATGTCTTTTCTCCGGGTGGTGGCGGACAAGCGACACCCAGTGATGGGACGCCTGATCAGCGACGTATGGGCAACTCGGATTATTTTGAGCGTGGACATCGCACAACGGGTCATACTCGACAAAAGAGTGCACCTGTACGACCAGGCATGAAGCGGGCAGCTACAGCAGCTGCACAGGCACAAGGACTTTCTGGGAATGGCCCACGACTACCACCGCTTGCTCCAATTGTGCCAGTTGGACGATTACCATCTTTCAGGGGGAGTGGATATGCCATTAGCACACATTCAGATCCCGAGGATTTGCGCAGCACGGCAAGCCATGCCGTGGGGACAAGTGTGGCGGCGAAGTCTCCAGAAGTGCAATTCTTGATGCCACTGATGGGTGCGCGCGGCGAGTTGCCATCTATTGACAATCGTCTTGGTCGTCCGCCTCCAAGTCGTAAGATGACGCTTGACTCCATCATGGATCCAGCAGATCGCGCAGAGGATTTTGATTCAGGTGATGATGAGATGGATGCGGAAGAAGATGGTCAGATTGCAGAAGGCTCAGAAACAGAGCAAGATGCTGATATCTCCGGTACGACAGCAGAGATGGAGGAACCTTCACAGCGACATAAGCGGCAGCATAGCTCCGCAACCATTCGGCCGGGTTTCCTGTCGCGCACCTCGTCGCCATCGCGCAACTCGCCACGGACGCTTGCTGCGCTGGTGGACTCTGATGAGTCTGCAAGCAATGCGCTGTCTACTGCTCGAGCATCTCCCAACAAACTGACAAGTGGCACCCACTCTACAAGTCGCCTTGGACGCCATCTTGCAAGATCTGCAACGGCCCATTCAAGTAGTACGGGTACATCGTCAGCAGCAACAGCTATGCCTGTGTCGCAGTCCAAGTCACGAATTGCACAAACACAGCGTCGGATTAGTGGAGAGCGATTACCGCCCCTCTCCAGCTCACTTGCGACACAACTTGCTATGCATGAAACATCATTGGGGCGCCGTAATGCAGCAACGCGGTCATCTATAGATCTGGGACAAGGTTCAGGCACTGGCTCGGGTAGAACGCGTCGGCCGGCTACAGCCAACGACATCTTGCGAATGGATCGAGAACGGCCCGGGGCGACCGACGACGAGGGGACAGAGTTGGGGACGGGCGAAGATGGATTAGTGTCCCGCGTGTTGCTGGCTCGGGTGGATCAGTATGCGAGTCGTATTGAACGGATGGAAGGGTGCTTGGAGCAGTTACTACAAGAACTGCGTCGCTCGCGCAATGATGAGAATCCAAAAAGTGCATGACGTCGAGTCTATTAATGTAATGGGTCATGTGAGGGGGTAATGGTACAATAAAAGCTTTGTTGACACGATCAACGTGACTGCTGCTGTCGAGTGGACGGTCGTGCAAGATTCAGCAGGTTGTTTGGTAGCGTCTCCTTGCGAATGCGCGCCATTTCTTCGCCTTGCATGCGCTTCAAGAGCGCTCTAGCACTCCAGTCGCCAGTAAGTGGACTTGGTATCGCATCAGTCGGTGGGATGGGTGCTGTTCCAAATGCAATTGCTTTGTCGACATGATGGTGCGTGATGAGCATTTGATTGCATGAAATCACGTCTGGCGTGCGTATTCCATTGGATGGTTCAGACATGAATTTGATGATTTCCCTCATGGCCGCGTCTTGTTCTGCGGCGCCAAAGTCGGGAGCAACTTTGCTGTCCTTGATCCTCCCAAGGTCCGTACAGACAGCCATGCAAAGTGCCGCGAAGGCCAAGACGACGGGCGAGAAGAGTAACGGTATGTCGCAGCCGTACGCTTCGTTGCACCACATCCTCGCATGCTCGTGCAATGCACCCGGCAACTTGATTCTTTGTGCAACGGTATCCACGACGCGATACGGATGATGCACAATCAATCTGGTTTCCATCTCATCAATGAGGTAAAACTCCATCTCTGCAATCCGTTCAGCATCCCCTGCAGCTTTGCCGTCTTGCCATTTCGATACATTGGATTGGCTGTTTGCCCAGCATTTTTGACATTCTTGTGCAATGGTACGGATGTGCTGGGGACATTCTTCGACTTTGCAAGCGAGGTAGAGACACGCTGCAATGACGATATAGGGATCTGTTTCCACGAGGGAGGCGCTGCGAGGTCAGATTGAGTAGCGTTGGGGGTTGCATACCGTGTGTAGAACCGAAGCATGTACACCATCGCTGTAGCAATTGGCTGTTGTCGTAGCTGGAGACGGATAGCAAGCTCTCGTAGCGCTGTCGTCAGCAGTGCACACAGTCAAGCAAGATGTACGTACCACCAAATAGGTGTATCTGTACAACTTTGTACTCCCATGGCTCCAGTAATGCCAAGTCTCGTCCTCTGAGCCGTCGCAAGTCTGTGTAGCTGAGTTGCCAGTGGAGACTAGCGTTGTCAGTAGGCGCAACATGGATTCAGCTTTGTAGCACGCACTATTGAGAAGAGCGCAACCAACTGGCAGCCATGGACTAGCCCAGTGGCTATTTCAGCAGTACAGCAGAGTGTGAGCTTATGGAGAGCAGAGCAGCGCAATGGATACAGTCCTTGTCCTATAGCAGGTAGGCAGCTTGTGGTTGTCCCTGGTTCGGCTAAAGTTGAGGGATGACCAGAAAGGAAGAAGCAAAAGAAAGCACGAAAACTCAAAGCAGGCGCATCCAGAAAAAGAACCCAGCATCGCTCTTATCCCTGCACAGGCTACAGGCAGTGCTCTGACATGTATAGCAGACAAGGTCATTGATCACGCTGCTGACTCGTCCTATATTGCCTCTCAAATTCGGGCTCTCCGTCTCAACTTGCACGCAAGAGAGCGCGCAAGGAAGCCTTTAGCTTGGCCTGCATGCCACCGTCAAAAGAGACGCCCGAGGAGGCTGCGAAACGGCGGAAGGATGAACAAATCAGACGTCTCTTCACCACACTGGATGTACGGCGCTGCGGTGAATTGCGCGACATTGACGATTTGCGCGCTGGACTACGTGAGTTGCAGCATCCGTTGGAGGGAGCAGACAATTTGCTGCAGGAAGTCTTTGATCATATCGACAGTGGCAATGACGGGATTATCACATTCAGCGAGTTTCGCGTGTTTGTGCTTGAGACGGAGGACAAGTTGCGACGGTTATTTGAGCAGCTGGATGTCTTGCATCAAGGACGACTCAAGCGGTTTGAGATCCAGCGAGCCTTGCACAAAGCTGGCGTGCATACGACAGATGGGCGTATGAATGAGTTATTTGAAGCCATGGACAAGAACAACGATGGCTACATCACCTTTGATGAATGGCGCGACTATCTGTTGTTCCTACCAGAGCAGTTGCCGGACATCAAGAATGTCATCCTCTATTTCCAATCCATCCATCAAGTCTCGAGCGAAGGGGATATCCTCATCAGCGACGAAGCGTTGCAATCCATCGGCTACTTTCTCGCAGGAGGTCTGGCTGGTGCCGTTTCGCGTACAGCAACAGCTCCCTTTGATCGACTCAAGGTAGCATTGATTGCATCTACAGAGAACACGAGTAAACGGATAGCGGGTGCGGCATTGAGCCGCAGTCTTTTCCGTGTTGACACAGCACCCCTTGTACGTGCACTCAGCGACATTTATGCAAATGGTGGACTTCGATCCTTCTTCATTGGTAACGGTCTCAATGTCCTTAAAATCTTTCCCGAATCAGCCATCAAATTTGGCAGCTATGAAGCAGCAAAGAAATTCATTGCTGGGCCAGCTGGAACAGATGAGTTATCGTCAGCCTCTCGCTTCCTCGCTGGTGGCATTGCCGGCGCCGTGTCTCAAGCCAGTGTGTATCCCATTGACACACTCAAGTTTCGCGTACAGTGCGAGTCGGGTGGTAACGCAGAACTTGGATCCGTCATTCGCAAAACAGCCAGTAAGATGTGGGCGCAGGGCGGCTTACGCAGTTTCTACCGGGGTTTGCCACTAGGCATTGTGGGCATCATTCCTTACTCTTCCATTGATTTGGGGACGTTTGAGCTCTTGAAGCGCAGTTACATCAAGCGTAAAGCGAAACGGCTCAAGGTGAGTGAGAGGGATGTGGATGTACCCAACCATCTCGTACTGGGATTTGGTGCATCGAGTGGTGCTTTTGGTGCAAGTCTCGTGTACCCGCTCAATCTACTCCGCACACGCCTTCAAGCACAAGGGACGCGTGCGCATCCAGCAACCTACACGGGATTACAGGATGTGATTCAGTCAACACTCAGGAAGCAAGGCTGGCGAGGACTGTTTCGTGGGTTGTTGCCAAACTTGATGAAGGTAATTCCATCCGTCTCCATTTCCTACCTGGTGTACGAGAAGTCGAAGCAACAGATGGGTTTGCGGTAGGAGTTGGAGGGTAATGAGAAGTTTATAATATACAATTACTGCATGCTGGATGGGGTGTGACTGCGCTGTTTCCTGTTGTAGCGTGGGAAAAGAGGAAATGATGTCACTGGCAGCAGCAGTGGACTCTCGTTGGACCGAGTCTTGGACCTGGGCAAGCACAAGATCATCTACAGAAACTACAAGAACAAATACTCGATAGCAATGTCTGATCTCGGTAAGCAGCCTATTCTCCTCGTAGTAATCACTAACCTTTCAGCAAACACCAACCGTCAGGACGAAGGCAAGGAGAATGCTCACTCTGAAGTCGACCCCCTCGACCAGCGTTCCCTCGCCAACCGCGTTGAAGCGGAGAAGAAGCGTGAAGCAGATGAGGAGAAGGCTGCTGCTGCCAAGGCTGCAGAGCTTCCTACAGATGCTGCTCGAAAGCACGGCAACGAGCCCAGCAAAGGTGCCATCATTGATGAGCAGCTTGAGATGGAGGAGGAAGCCGAGCTCGCCAAGAAGGATGCTGCCAAGAAGCAATCCGAGGAAGCAAAGAAGCACTAAACGCTCTTGTTGGAATGGAGGACAGATCTAAAAGATGTATCTAATTTCAAAAAAGGCTAATTGCATGCTATTGAAGCTTTGATTGACGACTCGCTGGGGCTAGATGTTACAAAGATGATGTGTCGTGTGTGACCCTTTCGTCACAGTAAGGCATGTGTGTCGTGAAAGACTGAGACGGAGCGTTCCCCGTCATTCGCTCGATCGCGTTTGACTGCTTCGTCAAGGGATGCTTCGAGGTCTGCTAATTTGAGAGTTTCTAGCTTGCCTGCCCGTGAGTGACTGCCACCTTCAAAGGAAATCATCTGAGCCAGCCTGATGCGAGAGAGAAGGCATTGGCCATAGAGGTAGAGGATCTGGTTCTTGACGCGACCGCGTTCGAGGTCTTCCTTGCTAGGTCGGTCAGCACATAGATAAACATGAAAGCAACGTACAGAGAGCCTTGCGTCCCAACAATGGCAGGCAGAAAGGTATGTGCCTCCACTTCCTTGGCAACCTGTACCATCCTCTCCAACAGGGCCAATTCACAAGAACCGATATCGAGCAAGTCACCCAAATCCCAGTCTTGTTGAATGGCACGTTGTGCTTCTTCAAGTGCATGACCAGACCACCCACTAGAGATTTGTAGGTCCTTCCAGTCTTTGTAGCGAAGTGCACGACGCGCAGGTGCTTGAATCCGTGGTGCATTCAGCACTGCATCGTCTTGCAATCCAGAGGAGTCCTGTAGAAGCAGTCGCTTGAAGAATTCCACAACAGGCGATGTCCACTCAACTGTATCAGCAATAGGCATAGACACCTCTTCGACATTATCGCTATGCGAGCGTCGCCTGAGTCCTTGGAGCTGCTGGGTCGTGCTGGTCATTGTGACGGTTCGCTTGAAGCCTTCTTTACTGAGGCGCTCGCTGTCGTACTGTGCAGCGAGAGATTGTTTGCGATCATAGCGATGATAGGCTGCTGCGTGTTTTGCAGCGTGTCGTGAAAAGATGGGTAGGCTGGACGATGGTGGGCATTGCAGGAGGAGTACGAAGGTGGCCATGGACACCATTAGTGTAGCTGGGTGCATGCTCTTTGTTTGCCGTTCTACCTTATGATGAAGCTGTCTGAGATGCGGACAAGAAGAACAGGAGGAGCTTTAGCGAGCGTAGAAACGAGTGATGGCGTCTAGCTGGACGAACGTAGCTTGCAGTTGCTGGTGTTCTTCGCAGCAAGTGGAGTCTATAAAGGAATGAAGGTGTCCATGGACATGAGGGCTCTTAAAATAGAGCAAGGCATCTTGTGAGAGTAGCCCGAGGTCAGATCATACAAGAAGCACTTGATTCAGGAGAGGAGCCAGGCTGATTGATGCCCATACGGCGATTTAGGTTGTGCCTGCTGTCGTCTCGATTGCTGGCTGCAACTACTCAACCGCACACTCTGTCTGCATCGACTCACGAGGCCTGTGTGGCTTAGGTGCTAGCTACTAGCTACTAAATCTCTACTACTATCTACCTTGCTCTTTGATCACATACAAGCTCATGTTTGGTGCCATTTGCGCCGGCAGACCCGTCCAAACCAACCTCGTCCAAGTCGACCAAAACAAGTTTGTCTTTTCCCTACCCGACGCTGCATCCATCAACCACATCACCGTCTTCCTCTTACCTGAACAGCCCTTCCCTGAGGGTTACGCTGCTACAGTCTTCTTCTCCTGGCCAGGAAAGGACTTCCAATTACTAGGTGGATTGAGTAATGCAAAGCCTTCTGCCATTTTCAAAGTGAAGCAACAGCCCAATACCTCAGGACTCCAACAAGGTCCCGTAGAAGCGGCACTGGGTATCTCCATTGAACCCATCCAAGCCGTCGAGTCACAAGTCACGGCCATGAAACAGGCTGCTGTTGCCGGACAGACTTCTACGGCCGTGGCGGTAGCGCCTCCGAACGCTGCTGTTCTGACAGGTCGTGTTGTGCGCAACTTGTAAGACAAAGATGAAGGTGATAGAGAGTGGAATGGCTGACGGGTATAGGTACAACTTTCTCTCTGGCTATACGGTGGATGCGAACCAGTTGAATGCTAATGAACAATTCGTGCCGTTGAGGGTAAGGCTTATCAACACAAGCATCTCGAGCTGACTTTAGGCATTTCAGGAATGGCATAGCAAGTTTATGAGCCGGATACAGAAGGATGCGTCTTTCTTGGAGCAGGATCAAGAGTAGTGCTGGTTTGGTTGCGCTCCAGTAACAGTACCGTCTATACTCATACAACATGTTACGAGCCAAAACTTTCCATGTATGACTAGATTGCAAGAATAAAGAGGACGAGGAGCTACAGAGAGGTCAACCTTATTAAGCGTGTGTTCTTTGTGTGCCATCTCGAGAGCGCATGGAGTGTTCGAATACGCATGGGTGTCCTTCTACTAAACTCAAATCGTAGATGGTTAATCGGAGGGAACAAGTATGGCTCTGAATCTTGCTGAGGATGTAGAGTAGCCTATACCCTACCAGACCAAAAGAAGCAAAAAAATGTGTAAGTCTTCTTTTTCGCAATGTGTCATCCTTGTGCAGGGGCAATGCTAATCTTCTCTGTTTTGTTTCAAATTTGACTAGTGTCTCCCCGAGGGGGACAAGCAGGACGAAATTCTGGTGGATTATAACCGCAATCCCAAAATTCCAATTTTAGCCGAGCGAACCTCAACTCTTTCTTACCAGACTACAAGCACTACAGCACTACAATAGCTAGTAGAGCTCAAACATACATAGACACACAAGCGCACTCCATACTCCATCAAAATGGGAAGCGGCGACCTCAACATGAAGAAATCCTGGTTTCCAGGCCTCATCAAGAACCGTGCACGCGTCTGGGAGGATCAAGAAGCAGCACGACAAGAGCGCAAACGTGCAGAACAGCTCAGAAAGGAAATCGAACAAGAGAGACAAGCGAATGAACTGCAAAGGCTCAGTGAGTTGGCTGGTGCGCCGAAGAAGAAGCAGCGTGTGGAGTTTTTGTATGCCGGTGGCGGTGCAGGGTCGTCTGCTGCGATGGAACAGGAGCGCGAAGCGTATCTACTGGGGAAAAAGCGCATCGATGATGTGCTTGGTAAGGATATACCTGTACAAGGTGGTGCTGCGCTGGGAGGGTCACAAGATCCAGCACGCACCATGCCAGGCGCTGCACCAAGTGTTGGTGACATCAATCTACGAGACTTGAACAATAAAGTCGCACTGGATCCGTTGCTTGCTATTAAGCGACAAGAAGCAGCGCAGGTGGATGCCATGGTTGCAAAGGCAAAGGCACAAAAAGAAGCAGCGTTGCGCAAGGGAGAGTCACGACGATACCGCGACAGCAGTCGGGATCGTTCCACTAGACATGGACGCACGAGACGAGATGGGAGTTCTGAAAGACATGGCCGGCGACGAAGTGACGAGGACGACAGACGAGACAGACGAAGGAGTCGAAGTCGCGATGGACATCGCAGAAGGGATCATCGTGAAGGTAGCAGGGATCGCCATCGCGGGGAAGATCGATATCGACGTCGTGAACGATCCAAGTCGCGCTCTCAATCTCCTTCGTCGCGTCGTCATGAGCGTCGAGGATCGCCTGCGCCCGTTCGACAGGATGCCAAGCATGAAGCAAATGCAGATGCGATGCGTGCACAGCGACTGGCTGCAATGAGCTCTGCAGCGAGCGAGCTGAACGATGTACGGCTAGCCAGGCTCACACAAACCTCACTACAAGAGGATCAGGCAAGACTCAAGGAACAAGTCGCGAGGGAGCGTGATGCCAATGTGCGTGGTGGCTCAACCTTTGTACGAGACTTGCAACTCGGTGCCGGTCTTGCGCGCACATGAGAAGCTTGAAAAACAATGTTCTGACCTCCATCATGCTTCTGAGCTCGGGACGCGTCTTGAGGCTGCAGAGAAGCTAAGGCAGATGCATGCTGAACTAAAGAAGACGGGCAACGTTGAGCCCAAAGCTAGTGCTACATCGGAGAAGCTCGAGGGCCAGGTGGCCAAGCTTGATGAGCGTATTGCCGTGGCGAAAACAAGGTCAGCAGCAGCAGTTCCAGGCGCTTCCATCTGAAGTCTCCAGACTCGCCAGCACCCATCCAGCAGCCTCCATGTTACAGTTGGCTTTATAGACGAAAAGACGCTATGTGGCAGCTGTATGAGAAGAACAGGAGACAGTTTGATGTCTTGTGGAGTAGATGAGGCAATGAGATGGTCTTCTGAGCGAGCTTTCGCTACAAGGCCAATGTCCAAAGACACGAGGCAAAGTCTCGATGGACGGTCTGCGTCATCTATAGCGCAATGTGAAGCATGCTAGACAAGTCATTGTAGGTAGCCAAGCGCCTAGGAGTCTAACTCTGTACCCGTGTCACGGACTGACTGATCAAAGTCCTATTCTTGGTTTCAGATGCCTCATCAGCTCAGACCCCTGGTGACATCTCGCGGCTGTTCTTCTGTGCACAACCACAGCGACCGATCTTGACCTCGTCATCTAGCTCATGGAACGACTCGTTCAGCATCTTCAACACTTGCTTGCTTTCTTCTGGCTCAAGTCTATTGTTCTCGCCTGACCAATCTAAGTCATCTCTTTGTCTCTTGGCGCGTCTAATTAGACGTCGCCCACAGTCTTTGGGATTCTGGCCCTGTTTCTTGTCTTTTATGGGATCAACCTCTATTCGACGAGGATAAAAGGACAGCCTTCCGCTGCCTTGTTCTCCATTCACCAACTTTGTACTTCGGTAGGATCATATTCTGTTATCTAGTGCCTTCGACGTGAACTCGCCTTGCTCTGCCTAGTCACCCGTCAGCCCAGTTGTTACACTTCGGTGAATTCATATCAGAGTCTACAACAGTGAGACAACAACTATCAGTACTGTTCCCATGCCCAACCCCATCATCCCCGCAGACATGCCACCCGAGCAGGCGCGCGAGGCTGTGGCCAGCTATCAAGCTCAGGTCAACCAGCAAGTGGAAACTGTGACCGCCAATCAAGCCCAGGTCAATCAGCAAGTGGATGCTCTGCAAACTGACATGTCAAACATGCGTCTCGCTCACTAGCACGAAGTGCAGGCTCTCCGTCAGGAGCTTGCCAACGCACAAGCTGCAACCCCTTAGAAAGAGACAGCCTCGTAGTAACACGACCGAGGAAATGCTCATCGAGCTTGAAAGTGCATTCCAGGTGGGAAACGAGCAGTCTGAAGCCATCCAGAAACTCGAGCGACTTCGTCAGGGCACAACTGCTGCAGCTCAGCACATCGCCCGGTTCGACATCATCATCCAATCTTTGAACATGACCGCCCAGTCAAGGGCATGATGGGGTTGCACATGGGAAAAGCACTGATAGTTGTTGTCTCAGTGTTGTAGACTCTGTTATGGATTCACCAAAGTGTAACAACTGGGCTGACGGGTGACTAAACAGGGCAGGGCTTGCCTGTGAACGTATCTGGGTCCTTGGCCTTGAAACGGGTGCACGAGGCTGTCTCTTTCGGAGGGGTTGCAGCTTGTGCGTTGGCAAGCTCCTGACGGAGAGCCTGCACTTCTTGCTAGTGAGCGAGACGCATGTTTGACATGTCAGTTTGCAGAGCATCCACTTGCTGATTGACCTGGGCTTGATTGGCGGTCACAGTTTCCACTTGCTGGTTGACCTGAGCTTGATAGCTGGCCACAGCCTCGAGCGCCTGCTCGGGTGGCATGTCTGCGGGGATGATGGGGTTGGACATGGGAACAGTACTGTACTGATAGTTGTTGTCTCAGTGTTGTATATGTAGACTCTGATATGGATTCACCAAAGTGTAACAACTGGGCTGAGGGGTGACCAGGCAGAGCAGGGCGAGTCCACGTCGAAGACACTAGACAACAGAATAGGTAGATATAGATGATCCTACCAATTCATGGGATGCATACGCTGACAGGAAAGACTGTCTGCCATGAGTGCCATGAAAGCCTTGTATCATGTGGTAGATAGATTGTGGCCAGATTGCAGCGCATTACTGAAGAATGGCAGACGCGGAATAAAGACGTGGTTCGCTGATATAGCTTTGACAGCTCTGCTTGAAGGCACAGAACATGCAAGGACAGGACACTGAAGTCAAGAACTGCGTAGCATTTGGTCGCCAGGCAGTCAGTCTGGAGCGCAGCTGGTATCAACAGACTAGTGCTCAAGTTTGGGCAGGCTGGTGGTGTCCAGTCCAGAGTTTAGCTGGTTCAGCAAGGCCACAACTCAGTCCCCGAAAACCACTTTAATCCAGCCACCATGGACTGACTCATGAGTTAATGCTGACTATGCCAATGTCTACCGCTTGAACAGAGGAGATGCCTCTCGCAACTGATCGAGCTGCAGCAAGAAATCATCCTCTGGATCCTCCATCGTCAAGTCACGCGCTGCAAGCCCCTTCCACGCCTCGCCTGTCCGTCGCTCTGCTTCATAGCTATGAACTCTTGCAGGTGCATGCTTTGATACATTCACTTCAAGACTGCCATCTTCTCTGAATTCTGCACGCGTAGGATACACCGTCAGCGTCGTATCCCTACCAGACGGCCGATTCGCACCCACTCGGTTGGCATTGGCCACAATACCACCAAACCCAACAACGCGACTGGGTCCTTTATACTTGAGATGCCGCGCAACGAGTTGTCGTTCTTGTGGGCCGGCTGGGGTGTTGTAGACGTGTAGCATGCCTGGTGGGTGATAGGCCAAACCACCATTTGACTGGACACGACCTGGTTTGCTTGTGACGAGATTAAACTCTTCCTTCATTGCTAAACGGAGCGATTCGAGCGTTTTGGGAGTATAGACAACGGCGTTTGCATTATCCTGACTCGGGGCACTGTGTTTTGATAGAAAGGCACGACGTTGTTTCCGCGCTCGAGACAGGAGCCGAGCGGCCTCTTGCTTTGAGAGTGATTCAGGATGAATTGCACCAAAAGCAGGCGGTGCCGCACGATTTTGTCCAAGGAGATGCCAACCATCTGCAAATGTCTCTGCACTCGAAGGTTTAAAACCCATTTCTTGCCAGCGTTTGACGAATTTGGTGTGTTCGTTGGCAGACTTGAAGGGTGTTTGATGTTCTTGTGTATCCAGGTTCGAGATTGCGATATGCTTTGTCTTGAGACGGGGGAGAGGTCGTTTAAGTCCCCAGTCGCCGGCTGCTTGGTTGGCGGTTGTGGTTGCGATTGCTGGTGCGAGTGGGAATTGGTTGTTGGGGCCGGATGGCTTGATGGAGGGTGGTAGGCTTGCTAGTCTCGATGACCTGAGCAGGCTGGCGAAGGACATTGCTCTGCTACAAGTCTAGCTGTAGAGTAGTCAATGGTCAGTAGTCATTCTCGTCCTTCTCTCTCGTGTGAAACTTGCGACAGCAGCAGCAGCATCGACTCAAGCTACAACACCCACGACTACAAGCAGCTATGAAGAAGTTCTTCAAGAGGGACAAGGAAGACGCAGACCGCAATGCCCTCTTCGGCAATGCAGCAAGTTCCAGCAGCAAAACAGCAACAGCAGCAGCAAGCGCAAAACACAATGAAGCAAGCGCAGACCCTCGCGCATCCATGACCTCCACACGCACTCAACTTCCGCCCTACAACGCTGACCCATACGCGCAAGATCCCTATGCTGCGTCCGTACGTGGTGGTAGCACTGGTCGGGCGTCTGCGCCCATGGACCCGTATGCGACAGGCGCAAGTCGGCCTGATCCCTATGCGTCATCGGGTCGTGGCGGGGCAGATCCCTATGCCAGTCGCCCTGAAGCATCTAGTCGACAGTCTCAAAGTACACTAGCACAGCGTGACGAACTCTTTCGTGGTGCGCAGCAAGATCGACGAACACAAGCGCCCACCAACAACTACAACTCTTCAGAAACACCCGACAACTATGGCACTGCGGTTGAGGGTGATATGGAGCAAAACTCTGATGATGACGTTGAAGCAGTGAAGCAAGAACTTCGCTTCGTAAAGCAAGAATCTCTCTCCTCCACGCGAAATGCCCTGAGAATGGCGCATCAAGCTGAAGAATCCGGTCGTAGTACACTCACGATGCTTGGCCAACAATCAGAGAGTTTGGCGAGTGCAGAGCAAGATTTGGATTTGACAAAACTCGCGAATCGTGATGCACAAGTCAAAGCGCGCGAGTTGAAGCATCTCAATCGGTCCATGTTTGCCGTCAAGGTGGACAAACCCTGGGGCAAGCATAAACGGATCGAAGCAGATGAACAACGTGTGCGGCAGCAGTTTGAGGATGACAAATTTGAGCGAGATACGAGGGAGGCTGTCAGGCGCGAAGGTGAGCGTCGTATGGATACGAACCTCAAAAATCATGAAGCAGCCATGGCAAAGGGCAATGCGCGACGTCGAGCAGGTCTTGCGGAACGCTCTAAATATCAATTTGAGGCAGATGAAGAAGATGATGAGATTGAGGGGGAAATTGATGACAATTTGGATGATTTGGCAGGTGTCACTGGACGTCTCAGGTCACTGGCCATGGCTACAAATGAGGAACTCACGCGACAGAATACGCAGCTCTCGCGACTCGATGACAAAGGGTCGCGTTTGCAAACCGATATCCACCTCAATACACACCGACTCAAGCGTATTGGCGAAATGTAGCGTGCTGTACAGTAGTCTTTCTATTCATCATTGACTGGCTGCCCTTCTTCAATCATCTTGACGAATGTCACCCGTAATTCAGTGAGTGCATCGCCACGCAAGACATCGCTGATGAAGGCTGTCTCGACCTGGATTTGTATCATCTCAAGCGCACCACGCAGGACGCCACATAGGATGTTGGAGAACCAGAGTTCTTGAGAGGCTTTACCATCTTCCGGCAGCTCCACAAATTCTATCATCAGCGCCATCAACTCACTTGGAAGTAGCATACCAGCAAGTGGGTTTTCATCCAAAATCAGAGAGAAGCTCGTGCCCTCTGCATTCCAATTCGTCACTGCAGGCGTCACGTTGAGGAACATCTTGAAACCAACTTTTGCAAGGACATCTGCAGTATCTCTCAGGTCCTTGCATCGGCCTTGTGATGTTCTCGCTAGGAAATCTTCAATCAGCCGAATACCGATATTATAGCCCCTGCTATTAGCCAGGCTCATTGAATAGATGCAAGTACATCTTGTCAAGCTCTTGATTGACTTGCGCATAGGTGTCTAGGTCATTGCATAGTTGAGCGACAATACTGCCATAGGTCAATACGAAGAGCTCAGCGTTCTACACGAGCGTTAGTCTTGAACTGCAGTAAAAAGCAGCTGTACAATCTTGTCGACACGTTTCCATGTATCATCAGCTAGCTTTGCACGCGACATCTAGGCGCTGCGGAACAGAGAAGGCTCGATCGCCAAGGCAACAATCTTTTGAGTATGTCGTTTCGTGGTTGTCTGCAGGAGGTCGCGCACAAGCTTATGCCGATGCTCAGTCTTCAGACATTCAGACTAGAAACACGGCGAGATACAGTGAATGAGATATGCTGAATGCTATGCGAAGAGCCCGTCGCTGCTATGCTATGCTCTCTAGCTAATTGAGCTGTGCCTGCTGCCCAGAAGCCTCCAACTCCCTCACCTTGCGATCCCGCCAGCTCTGTATATACGCCCTCATCCGGCCCTCTGTACCATGCCCGGGAACAAGCCTCTTAGTGCCACTACGGATCCACACAACAACGCCAATCTTGCCATTCCTGTTTTTAAACTGACATTTGGCGGCATCCACGCGTGAGGTGTAGGAGGCAAAGCCTAGTTTACCCTTTTGTCGAGTGATGCGTGATTTACGACCTGCTCCCTTACGACGAGACAGACGACCTGATACTTGGAGTTTCATGCCTGCCACGACATCAGAGAGGGGTGTTTGCTTGAGAAAGCGATTTGTGAGGGACGTAAAAGGACGTTTCTTGGAGGACAAGACAATGTATTGAGCGGCAATCTCTGCATTGAGATATGGCGCACTGAGTGGCATGACTTGTAGATCAATCTTCTTGTTGCCGCCATAGACTTTTGCGAGGAAAGTCTTGAATTTGTCGAGATTATACTGTTCCGGCGCGGCTTTGGATGGTTTGAGTTCGGTATTTTGATGAACATACATCCTGAAGGAGACTCTACCGGGTGCATGGGCAACTTGAGGTGTTGAGTAGAGGAAGTGCTGGAAGAAGTGAGTGAGGAGCCTTTTTGCTTGTTGGTCTTTTTGCAGGATGTGGTTGTACTGCTTCATGGACCAGGAGAAGGTGGGTGTCCATGGATGGGGCTTTGTGGCGATGGCCTGGATGCTGCGTGATGCATAGGCCATCTTTAGTCTCTCCCTTCACTACCTTTAGTACCTTTAGTACTTGGTCTCGTGTGTCGCTGGTTGAGAGTCGCCGTCAGAGCCAAGACACAACCACCACAAACGCACCAGGACACATCGCCCGGGGACTCAGCATGATTGATCTGGGCTACGAGAATGTTCTCTTGGCCAGCATCCTCACAGACAAGTTCGCCAATCCAACCCCCATCGAACAGCTCATCTCCGAGTTCGATGGCGTCACCCTACGCATCGTCACACCGGACCCCAAACAGCCGCATCTCCTGCAGCTCTCAATGGCAATGACTTGTTTTGATGTCCTTGCCGGGTATGGTGCCTTGGATGTCATGGAGCGCGAATACCCGGGTCTCAAAACAGAGACTGAACCAGGGTATGATTATACGCTACTGCTGGATCTACAACAACTACCGGAAGACCCTGATGCGCGGCAGTCTCTCATCAATAAGCTCGCTTTGATCAAGCGAAATGCACTCGCAGCGCCCTTTGAGCGGGCCTTTAGCCAGCATGAGCAGTTGGCGGCACAAAACTCAGAGACGAGCATCTCCGAGGATATGATGGTGATTCAGTACCGAGAGGAGGAAGCCATCTTCATTCAAGCGAGCAATGATCGTGTCACAGTCATCTTCTCAACGGTGTTTAGGGAAGAAACCGACCGTGTCTTTGCAAAAGTCTTTCTCCAGGAATTCTACGATGCTCGACGTCGTCCAGCTGTACAGAATGCGCCGCAGGTTCTCTTCACCATTCGTGATCCGCCCCTTGAGATTCGCAACCAAAAGGGTCTCAAGTTGAATGACAATATGGGGTATGTCACGTTTGTTCTCTTTCCACGACACTTTACAGGACATCGCAAAGACGCATGTATCAGTCATATCCAGATGTTTCGCAATACCTTGCACTTCCACATCAAGGCGAGCAAGGCGTACATGCACCAGAGGATGCGTGCGAGGGTGTCTGAGTTTCTCAAGATTTTGAACAGAGCCAAGCCGGAGCAGGTGGAGCGGGAGCGCAAGACTGCTGCTGGAAAGAGGTTCACGCAGCGATGAATAGGATAGCTACTACTAGTCTACTACTGATGCAACTGATGCTGAGTGTCTGTCCCTGTCCATGACTCCATGAATCATGATGCTTCGTTGCCAAAATTCGAAATTCAGCAACGACGAGAAAGACCCTTCCACCACATCCAACACCCTCAAGTATCTACCAGGGGAACCATGAGCCAGCAGCTCAGGCAGCAGAGCAAAGCGCCCTATGCTCATGACGATATGGATGTCGCAGACAGTGCATACGGGACACTCTCCACATCCAGCGACACTTCCGACCTCCCTATCGCCACACCCACCATGATCCCGCTATGCGCTGGCTCACACGCAACACCACAGCGCACAACAGGGACACAAGCAAAGTATAATTACGAACAGCGTGTGATTGCGCGATCATTGCAACAAGCTGCATCTGTAGCGAGGTCATTGAAGCAGCGCGCGACGCATGCCGGGTGGCCGATGCGAGTCCCGCTTGTTGCTGAGGATCACCAGCAAACCAATGGGTATGGCAAGGCTGCTCAATCAGTGGAGATGGAGCAGCGGCCTGCTGTGCGTAGAGCTGCAACGACTATTGACAGGGAAGAAGAGGTTCTGGAAGAAACGAGTCTGATGCCTCATAGTCTATCAGGACGACTACAGGTACTCCGGCCGGAAGTTATGATTCACGCACATGGAGAAAACATTATTTCAACAATGAATCCAAAAGCTGTCGGAGAAATCATGGAGAAGCAGTTCATCAAGACGTTGCAACACTTGGAAAAGCTCATTACGCGCGTGGATGATACGTCATCGAAAGTCTTGGTCACAGGAGACTTGAATGCAGGCAAGTCGACGTTCTGCAATGCGTTACTCAGGCAAACGATTCTTCCGGTTGACCAACAACCATGCACTGAAGTGTTTTGCGAAATTCTTGATTCAGTGGATAACGAAAATAAGGAGCAAGTGCACGGCGTCAAGCATGGTGTTGTCTACAACAAAGACGATGCGCTGACCTTCAACATTCTCGACTTTTCTGAGCTTGAAGCAGCCGTCTTGCAGCCTGAAGCCTATGCTTCCCTCAAAGTCTACGTCAACGACAAGCGTTCCGTGGAGACGTCTCTCCTACGCAATGGCGTTGTTGATATTTCACTGATTGATGGGCCTGGCTTGAATGCAGACTCGATGCAAACAACAGCTGTGTATGCTCGACAAGAGGAAATCGACGTTGTTGTGTTTGTTGTATCTGCAGAGAATCACTTTACCCTCTCTGCCAAGGAATTCCTCTGGAATGCAGCCAACGAAAAGGCGTTCTTGTTCATTGTTGTCAACAGATTCGATCAGATTAGAGATCAAGATCGTTGTCGTCGACAAATTCTCGAGCAAGTCGCCAAGCTTTCACCAAGGACGTTTGCGCACGCCGAAGAACTCGTTCACTTCGTGTCTGCACGTAGTGTTTCTGATGAGGATGAGGATTTTACAAACCTCGAGACACAATTGCGCAATTTCGTGCTCAACAAACGATCTCAGTCAAAATTGCTACCGGCAAAACATTTCGCAAGCAATTTTTGGCACGATGCTCGAGAGATTTGCTTATACAATCTGGCAGCTGCCGATGCAGAAAGTGTACAACTCAAAGTGGATCTCGCACAAATCGATGGTAAGCTGACACAATTGACACGAGAGCGACAACAAGCCATCGACGATGCTGTTCGGGAGAATGAAAAGATTTGCGAGCAAGTCCAGGCAAAGACACGATCGCAGATTGAAGCGGTTATGGAGACATTTGCCACATTGCAGCCCGAGGTGGCGTATGGCGGACTTTTGGATTGTGTGAGGTTTGCAGATTCATTGAGGACAATGTATCTTCAAGCCATTCAACATGCAACCATTGCTTCTGAATTACAAACGAAGCATGCGACGAGTGCTGGTGTACAGACCATTCAACAAATTGGTCTTGCGCACCTCGATCCGAGCGTGTATACACTTCGTCCATTCCATGTGGATCGCATGTTTTCTCGGAAGCGTGATGCAATGGAACGACACTTGCCAGTGACCTTGTCGCCTACTGATTTCATCGACTTGCAGCAATTCGAAGCATTGGTCGGCACGAGTAGTGTGAGTGCGGCACTTGTTCTTGTTGGTGGGAAAGCACTGGGTTGGTCGGGTCTTGTGGATTCTGGACTACGTGTGTTGCAAGTGGCTGGTATTCAACAATCGTCCAAAGTCGCAGCGACGGCTGTGTTGCTGGTATTGGGAGGATTGGGCGTTTATGCGGCTATTCGTGTTCCGCATGCACTTGTCAAGAATGTTGCAATGAAAGTAACAAAAGAAGCACAGAGACTGGAGTATGCACAAATCAATGCACAGCGTATTGCAGCGGAATGCAGGAAAGTGTTGAGTATTCCTGAGCAGGAACTCCGGTTGGCGTTTGCGAGTGTTGTTGAAGGTGAGCAACGGACCAAGAGTGATTTGATGGCGAGACTCACGGAGGCTGATGTCTCGGGTGTGTTTTACAAGGAGCATGCTGCAGTGATGATGCGTGAGGCGAAGAAGCTGGAGTTGATTGAGCTGTAGGCTGCCTGCCTCTTGTGACTTGTCCCCCTTTTTGTGTTGTAGCGAATGAAATGATGAAACCTCAAACTCTTGCTGACCACCACCACCACCATCACCGACAAGTAGCCTATCATCATGCTCTCTCGACAGACTCTCAGGCAATCAAGCCTACTATGCCACGCATGTCGTCTGACATTGCGCACCACCGTATCACACAACTGCACTTTTGCACCACGTACAGCAACAGCGACAACGACACCCGCCACACCACCATCAACAGCGAGTCTTGCACAGGGTAAGGAGACCGGGTATGCGTTACCAAGACCGTATACGCTTCCTTCACATCCGATACCGCCACGGGAAGTAGGTCATCCACACACTGATACAGCGATACCACCCACGCCGACACCCGCACCCGCAGCGGCGCCGGCGCCGAAAGTGCGTGCACGACGACCACGGAAGGCAGTCTTGACATTAACGGCGGATGCTGTTCATCGTCTCCGACAAATACAATCACAAGATGGTAAATTGATTAAAATCTCAGTCGTTGCAAAAGGGTGTGCAGGTGGTGCGTATCGTCTCGACTACCTGACGCCACCTGCTGGGAAATTCGATGAAGTGGTTGAACAGGATGGTGTCACGGTCGTGGTGGATTCACGAAGTTTGATGAAGGTGATTGGGAGTGTCATGGATTTCCAGGAAGATGTTCTCGCAAGTCGTTTTGTGTTTGAGAATCCCAATGTCGTGTCGACGTGTGGGTGTGAAGAGTCTTTTGCAACGAAGGAGGATGAAGAGCGGATACTGGGCACAGGCGGCAAGTTTTGAGAGGGGACATGCAAGTGGAATGGGGATTATACATGATGTGTATCAATTGCGTATAGCACCAGACTTTTCAATGACATCCTTGGCTTCATTGATCTTACTCGCAACGTAGGGACTGCCGCCGCGGTCTGGATGGTTGATGACCATGATCCTGCGATGCGCTTCCTTGAGCTTCTTGGATGTGATGGAGGCCTTTTCACTAGGTCATGGGTCAGCATGGACAACAAACCCTTATGAAAGGCGGTCTTACTTGATGCCGAGGATACGCGACGCCTCGAGTCTGTCCATCTTGGGCGCAAACCCGCCTTTATAGAACGCCATCGCTGCACCGCCGCCTGTTCATCAGCATGCCTGTTCGGTCAAGATGTATCTATACCTTTTTGCATGGTATACTTCTGCCATGCACGGATACCAATCTTGCCGGCTGTTGCAGCGACAGCGACACCGAGTCCTGCTGCAATAACGGAGGCCTGTTGTTAGCGCTATTCAAGCCGTCAAAGGCCGTACCATTCTTCAAGGAGCAAGCAGAGATAATGAGTAGAAGTGGACGTAGAAGTGTCGCTGGTAAAGTTGATCGAGGCGACGTCAAAAGGCGACAAAGACAAGAAGCGACATCAGCTACAGACACAAGTACAGACGCAGCAGGGACATGAGACGAGCAGAGACAGGCACAATAGGCTACTCTGCCTCGGCAGCCAGCGACCACAGATGATCCGCATAGAACCCAGCAGGTTTCTCCAGTTGAAGGACATGCACCTCTTTCCCCTTCTTACCACACACCACTGCTTGGCCATAGCCGCCATTCCCATCCTCCACCAGGCGGATCCCCAAATCCCTGTACACCGCCAAAGTCAGTGCCGGCCCTTGTTCTCCCGCCAATGCATGCGGCTCCTGTGCTACATCGTCACAACACCCCGCCAACGTCTCCGTCAACATGGCCAAACGCGAGGACAAGGTATGCGCACTCCCCTCGAGGCTGTTAATCTCCTTTGCGAGTGCGAATTTCTCTCGATCAAGGGTATTCATGACGGTGCCATGATCGCCCTCTCGTTGCCTTTCAGCGCCTGTATAGGCACCACGGGCTTGTTCGAGTTGTCGCGAGAGATCTTGGAGGATGGTGCGAGAGGCTGCTCTGCGTTGTTGGCGCTGTTGCCTGCTTTGGAGGAGTGCTTGAGAGACGCGTTGGATGGCACCGACGTCGTCTTCGATGGAGAAGTATTGTTTTGTTGTGCTGATGAGTTCCTTGTTGCCTGTGACGTCGTGGTTGTAGTCTGGCATGCTGCTGTAGCTGATAGCTACTGAGTACAGAGGATAGAGTATGGTGTCGATGCGCTTGTTTGTTGATGCAACGGACTGAAGTAGGGTTAGTGGAATAGCAGCAGTCACAAGATGAAATCTGAGCAGGATTCAGCGCAGCATCCCTCTCCCTTTCCCTCGCGAGCTTGCATCATCAGGATTCAAGTCAGGGTATGTCCGTCAGGCAAGGCATAGCAGGCCCTCTGCCATGTACAGCACAAGGGCCCTCCCACTAACGCACACTAGACCCAAACATCTAACCGCATAAAATCCAAAGCATAAAAAAATATGTCAGACAACGGTGAAGAAGTTCCCCAGGAGGAGGTTGCACAGGCTGTCGATGAAGTCGAAGTGTCTGCCGATGCACCCAAGGGCAAGATGTCTGTGGAGGATGCTCTTAAGGATGTCTTGAAGCGTGCCCTTGTCAATGACGGTCTTGCACGCGGTCTCAAGGAGTGTGCCAAGGCACTCGACCGACGACAGGCACACTTGTGTGTTCTCTGTGAGTCGTGCGATGAGGAGGCTTACACCAAGTTGATTGAGGCCTTGTGCGCTGAGCACAAGATCAACCTCATCAAGGTCGGTGACAACAAGAAGCTCGGCGAGATGGCCGGTCTCTGTGTGCTCGACCGTGAGGGTAACCCCAGAAAGGTGGTTGGCTGCTCGTGTGTCGTTGTCAAGGACTTTGGAGAGGACTCTGAGGCTCTTCAGGTCTTGCTCGAGGTATGTTCTTTCTTCTTGACGAAGCATCCACAGATGGCTAACAGATCTAGTACTTCCAGTCTCAATAGAGCACCAGTAGACGACAGTCTCACTCATAGACCACCTAAAAAGCATTTACCTTTTCCTCTCATGATCTCTCTCTTGACAATTTTCATATTTTTTAAAGTCCACGACATCATCCACGACATCGAATAATCCATTTGATGCTCTGCCATGGATGCAGACGTGCGGCCCAACCCCTCAGACAGCTAGGCTCTATCCGTCATGTTGGTGCAGATGTCTTTCCCGGCTCGTCCATCGTTCAAGCACGCGCTGAGCGACGTCGCAAAAAGGCAGATATCGAGACGAGTGAAGATCCACTCGCTGAGCCAACGACCATCAAGGCTCGTCGGAAACGACAATCAAGGGCGCTGCTTGCTTCAGTGGAAGCTATCCCTTCACCAAAAATACGGAACTTGGTGAAGGAAGTCAATGATGACCCAGATACCTCGTTGGCCATGTTGCGCAAGTATGCTTGGTCTTCTCCGACCGTCGGCAATGCGACCCTCCTCGATGCTGCCCTCCAACAAACAGAACTTGCATCTCATAAGGGCAAGCTTGTCTTGGAGATGAATCCAGGTCCGGGCGTGTTGACAGAGGCAGTTATTCGACATATGCAACCAAATCGCTACATCTGTCTTGAACCACGTCAGACTTTTCACAAGTATCTCACAAGGCTTGCACCGCAAATGTCCGCACCAAGCAATTTCCAAATTGTGAAGGAGGACGGGTATGACTGGTCGACCTACAAGACACTCGAACAAGAAGCATACCTCCCAAGAGACCAATTCTCCCATCCACGAGACGAGGTGAATCCCCATTTTGTATTCATTGCATCGCCGGCAGAGAATGCCATGGATCAATTGGTTGCACAGTGGATGGAGACATTAGGTACACACTCCTGGTTGCAGCGGTACGGTCGAGTGCGCATGCTACTCCTCGTCAATCAATCAACACGCGCACGCATGCTAGCGTCTCCGGGTTCTTCCCTTCGCACGCGCGGTACTTTTGTCCGTGAAGCCGTTTGTGAAGTCAAGGAAATTATCCATACACCGTGGATCTTGAACAAGGAGAAGAAATCGCTCAAATCACCCTGGCTACAAGATTTCAAGGATCTACCACAGACGAGTGCTTCGCTGGTGGCTACACCACAAGACTTTTTCCCAATGAGTAACATGTCTATGGTGGAACTGACACCATTTGCCAAATGCAAGATTACAGCCCCTTGGGAGACCTTTGACTATATCTGCAAAGCACTCCTCATTCATCGCACAACGCCACTATATCGTCAAATGCGTCAAATTGCTTCTGGCGCTTACAAGATTCTGGAAGACGTCTCTGATGAACTCAAACTCAAGACCCCTGCACAAATGACCGTGGAGGAGATGAACCTCGTGGCAGAGGCGTTTGAGCGATGGCCATTCCGACCGGATGTGTTGCAAACAGAAGCACCTGAACCAGGAGATACGAGGTCGGGATCAGAGTTGAGACAGTACTACCAGAACCGCATTTCTGGCGCGAGTTCGGATAAATGGGGAATGCCTGATACTTTGAAGAAGAAAAGTTCAATCTAATATAGCATTTGCATCTAGTCATTCATAATCATTTGAGCCATTTCACGTTGTTCATCCGTTTCACAGAGGAGTACCTTGTCGCCTAGCCATTGCACTCGATCAATCTTGTCTTGAGAGTGAGCGTGCAGGGAAAACCCAAGACAAGCAATCTTGTCCACGACTGCGCGTCGCAGCACATCCGACTTTTCGCCAATACCACCTGCAAAGACGAGTGCATCCACTTTACCTTCCAGCTGCACAAAGTAACCACCAATGATGGATGTCAATCGATGCACAAACAAGTCGAATGCCAGGTGACACGCTTCCGCTTCTTTCCCAGAACCTGTCATTTTCTCTGTCAAAACGCCAAAGTCAGTCGTCCCCGTCAATGCTTTCCAACCAGCTTGTTTGTTCAGTATTTCCTCTGCTTTTGATATATGCAGTGCTGATGTGCTTGTGCCTGACAATTTGCCAACATTGCTGGCATAGTGGAAGATCAGACTTGGATCGAGACTGCCTGAGCGTGTGGCGCCCGGTAGACCTTCAAGAGGCGTCAAACCCATGGTTGTATCAATAGACTTGCCTTGCTCGACGGCACAAACGGAAGCGCCAGAACCGAGATGGCAAAGGATGAGATTGACGTCGTTTCTTTTCAGTGCAGTAGCAATCGTGCGTGTCATAAAGCTGTAACTCAAACCATGGAATCCATATCGACGCAGCTTATTCTTTTCTGCAATCTCAGGATCAATCGGATACGTCGAGACGTATTTTGGGATTGTAGCATGGAATTGCGTGTCGAAACAAGCGTAACTGTGCGCATGAGACAAGAGCTCGTTGCATTTTTTGACGATTGCTAGAGCAGGTGCATTATGCAGCGGCGCAAGTTCTGTCAGATGATCCAGTATCTCGACTGTCTCTGGCGTGAGCTTCTGCGGCTCTTGAAAGTCTCCACCGTGCACGACACGATGAACAACGTGCGTGATGTCGTTCTTGTTCTTCAACTGGCTCAGTGACTCTTCAGATTCGAGCCTAGTCAGGATAGCACCAAACGCATCTTCTTGCGACTCAATTTTTTCAATCTCTTCATCTTTTGCAATAGACTTGCCATCAATGGACAGCTTGAGCTTTGCAGGCGGAGAAGTGAGGCCGCTGAGCGTCGCTTCTGCAACCTGCTTCAATTCTTGCGCATGGGTGACATAGACGGAGATCTTGACTGAACTCGAGCCAGCATTGACTGCTAGAATGAGCTTCTCTTGACTCATAGTAGCAAGGTATAGCAGCAAGACAGAGCAACCATTCTCTGAATGCTCGTGTCGGCCTTGACGAGGTAGTTCTACGCGGTTTGGCGACGTCATTCACAAAATTGCCGGCATGAAACCATCCCGGTGAAGACTCGATCGATCCGGTGGGCCACTTGATCAAAAGGCCGCGAGCTCCTCACTCCGACAATACCCTACTCATACTTCTTCCATCATGGTGGCTGAAGTCATTGATCGTCCCAACCCGGGCCCAAAGCCTTCTCAGCTGCCTGACAGTGTCAGCGACCTCGCAGTTAAGCTTCACTACCTGTCGCTCCCTGATGAAGATCTCAAGTCTTTGGACAAGTTTCGACGCGCTGCCAATTATCTGGCCACTGCTATGATTTTCTTGAAGCACAATGCTCTGCTTGAACGCGAATTGACTTTTGATGATGTGAAGCCCAGGCTTTTGGGACACTCTGGTACTGGCTTTGGTCTGACTTTGATCTACGCTCATCTCAACTACCTGCAAATCAAGACTGACGCCGACATCATCTACGTATGTGAATGCTACGTTTGTAGACATGCCGCTAATCTCAGGTTGTCGGTCCTGGCCACGGTGCACCTGCTATCCTTGCACCCCTGTGGATGGAAGGCTCTATGGGCACATTCTACCAAAAGTACGCAAAGACGAAACAAGGTGTGAGTAACCTTATTGCTGCATTTTCAGCTCCTGGTGGTCTTCCTTCCCACATCAATTCTGAAACACCGGGGGCCATTCATGAAGGTGGTGAACTTGGCTATGCTCTTTCAGTTGCATTTGGATCCGTGATGGACAGCCCAGACTTGATCACTGCTGTCGTTGTTGGAGATGGCGAAGCAGAGACGGGACCTACTGCTGGTATGAGCCAAGTCTTGCCATGATGCTTGGTGCTAACATTATAGGTGCTTGGCACGCGTGCAAGTACCTCGATCCAAAGGAATCCGGCGCTGTACTACCCATTCTTCACTGCAATGGCTTCAAGATTGCTGAGCGAACCATCTTTGGTTGTATGGACAACAAAGAACTGGCTGCACTCTTCTCCGGCTACGGCTACCAGTGTCGCGTAGTGGAGGACTATGAAAATATTGACCTTGATCTTGCTACAGCTATGAAGTGGGCTTATGACGAAATCAGGAAGATCCAAAAAGATGCTAGGAGTGGCAACGCACAGATGAAGCCTCGATGGCCCATGATTGTTTTGCGCACACCTAAAGGCGCTACAGGTCCCAAGATGTTGGACGGCGAGTTTATTGAGGGATCTTTCCACAGCCACCAAGTGCCCCTGATGAAGGCCAAGACGGACAAGTCGCAGCTGGCAGATTTACAAAAGTGGCTCGAATCTTACAAGCCACGCGAGTTGTTCACTGAAGATGGTGATGTGGTTGACGACATCAAGCGCATCATTCCAAAGGAGGACAGCAAGAAGCTTGGACAGCGTACCGAGACTTACAATGCTCACAAACCACTCAAGGTCGCTGATTGGCGATCCTATGCAGTTGATCGCGGCACCGCCGTCTCTTCAATGAAATCAATTGGTAGTCTTCTTGACCAGGTCTTGCAAGACAATCCGACCACCTTACGCCTTTTCTCGCCAGATGAGCTCACTTCAAACAAGCTCGACAAGGTATTTGAGCACACCGACCGCAACTTCCAATGGGACGAGTTCTCCTTCAATAACGGTGGCCGTGTCATCGAGATGCTGTCTGAACACACCTTGCAGGGCTTCCTGCAAGGCTATACACTGACCGGTCGTACGGGTGTCTTCCCTTCTTATGAGAGCTTCTTGGGAATTGTACACACAATGCTTGTGCAGTATTCCAAATTCCAAAAGGTGGCGCGCGAGACGACGTGGCGTGCCGACATCTCGTCACTCAACTATATCGAGACATCCACCTGGACACGACAGGAGCACAATGGTTTTAGCCACCAGAATCCTTCATTCATCGGTGCTGTTCTCAATCTGAAGCCTAATGCCGCTCGCGTGTACTTGCCTCCTGACGCCAATACGTTCTTGTCTACGTTGGCACACTGCCTGCGTAGCAAAAATTATGTCAATCTTATGGTTGGTTCGAAGCACGAAGGGCCTGTTTGGCTCTCGACTGAAGATGCAGACAAGCATTGTCAAGCCGGTGCATCAATCGTACTCTCCAACATACACAACACAATTGCTAACGTTTAGTTCAAATTTGCTTCCACGGACGAAGGCCTCGAACCTGATGTGGTGCTTGTTGGTATCGGCAGCGAGCTGACCTTTGAAGTTATCTCCGCCGCAAGCATCCTGCGACGCATCTGCCCAGCACTGCGTGTCCGTGTCGTCAACGTCACTGATTTGATGATTCTCGGCCGCAATGGTCACCCCCACAGCCTGTCGCAAGAGGACTTTGCATCGCTCTTTACGAAGGACAAGCCAGTTTACTGGAACTACCACGGCTATTCACAAGAGATTCAAGGCTTATTGTTTGGCAGGCCCAATGCAGACCGCTTCACCGTCGGGTCGTACATGGAAGAAAGCACGACGACGACGGCTCTCCATGTGTTGATGCTGAACTGTGTATCTCGCTTCCATGTGATGCAACATGCCATTGTCGGTGGAGGAAAATCCAATCCAAAGGTCGCATTGGAACAAACTCTGTTGCTTGGACAAATCAGGCACTGGATGTCCAAGACGGAGAAGTACATTTATGAACATGGAGAAGACCCAGAGAGTGCATTTGATGTGCCTACTTTCGAGGGATCTGAGAACTTTTCGTCCAAAGCACTCAACTCGCTGAAGGCAGACGAGAAGCAGGAGAAGAAGACCAAGGGTGGACAGGATGGCTTCTTTGTCAATTGATTGATGCAAATGATGAATATGACGCATATTTAGACGTATAGATAACCAGATAGCTTAACAGTATTGATTTCTTGCTTGACATTTAAGCTCATGATCTTCAGGGGACTGCACACAGAATGTCCTGCTACAACACTTTGTCGAAGCTGTCAAGACTCGATTGCGCTGCACACACCTCTCTGTCAATGTGCATGGCCTCTACTGTATTAAATCTATTGAAGAACCACTCCCTATCACCGCTCCTTTCTGGGTGCATGGATTGAGCGATGAAGAGATTCTATTCCCACTCAATCGTGGCAGGCGGCTTTTGCGAAATATCATAGACGCACCTATTGACGCCTTGCACCTCGTTGAGGATACGAGACGACACCCGCTTCAAGAACTTCGCCTCAAACTCAAACCAATCGCAAGTCATGAAATCTGATGTCTCGACCGCCCGCAATGCAATCACTTGTTCATATGTTCGTTTATCGCCAGCAACACCGACTGCTTTGACAGGGAGAAGTGCCGCGTATGCTTGTGAGATTTGATCATAGAGGCCAGCCGCGCGAATCTCATCAATGAAAATTTTGTCCGCGTGACGAGCAATACGTGTCTGCTCTGGTGTGATTTCACCAAGAATCCGGATGGCAATACCGGGGCCTGGGAAGGGATGACGTCCTACAAGCTCTGCGGAGATGCCGAGCTCGCGACCCATCTTGCGGACTTCATCTTTGAAAAGCTCGCGCAAGGGCTCAATCAGCTTGAGCTTCATGTCCTTGAGAAGACCGCCGACGTTGTGGTGGGTCTTGATGGTTTGTGAGGGTCCCTTGAAGGAGATACTTTCAATGACATCTGGGTAGAGTGTGCCTTGCAACAGATATTCAATCTTACCACCCGACTTGCCATCAATCTCGTGTGCAACCTTCTCAAATACCCGAATGAATTGGTTACCGATAATCTTTCGCTTTTGTTCCGGGTCGGTAACGCCCTTTAGGAGAGAGAGAAAGACTTCTGATGCGTCCTCCACGCGAAGGTTGATACCAAGATCCTCAGTGAGTGTCTTTTTGACCTGCTTCGCTTCATCGAGTCGCAATAGACCATTGTCGACGAGCACGGCGTGAAAACGGTCTCCAATTGCTTCATGCATGAGCTTTGCAGCGACAGTGGAATCGACGCCACCAGAGACAGCGCCAATCACTTCACCCTTTCCCCCAACGAGTTCCCGAATGCGTTGAATCTCAATCTTGGCAAACTTGGTCATACTCCAGTCTGCTTTGCATCCACAAACACCTTTTGCAAAATTCTCAATGATGGCGATACCATTGGGTGTGTGCGTGACTTCTGGGTGGAACTGAATGCCATACATCAGCTTCTCGGAGTGTGCGATGGCCGCAAACGGTGCACTGGTCGTTGTCGCCACCACTTCAAAGCCCGGTGGCAGACTAGAGAGCTTATCACCATGCGACATCCAGACCTCCATCTCATCACCCATGTTATCAAACAGGCGCGTCAACTCAGGCCGTTCGCGCGAGTGCTGCAAGTTGAGCGTTGCACGTCCGTATTCACGGTGTGTACCTGCTGCGACGCCTTTGCCATTGTGCCATGCGAGCTCCTGTAGACCGTAGCAAATGCCGAGAATGGGCAGGCCAAGATCAAAGACCGCTGATTCGACATGCGGCGATCCTTCTTCGTAGACAGAGTACGGGCCGCCTGAGAAGATCAGACCTTTAGGGTTCAATGCTTTGATTTCGCTGAGGGAAGCTGTGCATGGCAGCATCTCTGAGTAGATGCCAAGATCACGCAGCCGCCTGGTAATCAGATGAGTATACTGCGATCCTGCGAATAGTCAGCGCATGTCCACTTCTGCAGTGTCGCCTTACCAAAGTCGAGGATGAGAACTGTGTCGAACTGAGCAGGCACGACGCCAGGCCCACTGCCTGCTGAGGGAACTTGAGCTGGATCTGCCATGATATAGGGTGTCTACTTGTATGTAGCTTGTTCAATAAATTTCTCGCCCGGGACTTGATTTTCTGGCGAACACTTCAAGAGCCAAAACGCGACCACACCTACGACCGACTGGGCACGCAAAGACATTGAGCGCGCGTGTGGTCAGCATTCACAGCAGCTCTGGCGGAGTGTAGCAAGACGTATCTGCTTCCATGTCGCAAGCGCGACCATACAATGGGGTGCCTGAGGATAAATCAGATCTACAGGTCGTCGTAGATGGCATCACAGACTTTGGTCAGCGCGTCACGTCCACTGCATCAGCTTGGATCAATCCATCATCGACCATTGTTAAAGATATCACTCCGCATCTCAAGCGGCCATCTTTTCAAAAGCGATTGCTATCGAGCACGTCGCCGTCCGAGCTTCTGCGCACCAACCTGTCGCCTAGCGAGATTTCCTACCGTCAAATCACATACCTTTCGGAGGAAATGCTTCGTGATATACCTGAAGATGACGGATCGCAGTCCATTTCCTTATTTCAAGGATTCGAAGCATCTCTGCCAGATACGCCGCGGAAATCGCTTGAACGCAAACGCATCTCTCATCACAGCCATCGCCGGTCTTCCTCCATTCAAGGTCGGTCGTCCTCAGTCAATGGCAGAATCAGACAATCGAGGACGCCGGATTCTGCAAAGTGGGAGAAGGAGAGAGACCTGACGAACCACAAGCTCGAGGTGCTAGGTGTGCGGAAAGCACTCGCGTCCCAGGAAATCAAGGAGATTGACGGCAAACTTGCGAAGCTGAACAGCATGCGCTCAGAACTCATCGCCAAGCTTGAACAATTCGAGATTATGGAGGCGGAGACTGTGGATGAGTTGCAAGATATTGAGACAAAACTCGAGGAGGCCAAAGAGGTGGAGGAGCTCGCTGAGGTTGCGACACCAAACGGCGTCTTGACTCCGCCGTCCGTCATTGAGGAGGAGGCTGATTTTCTCTCACAATCAACATATGGTTCACTATCGAGTCACTCCGCTAAACAGCAACGCAAGCGGAAAGCCGCTCGCCGACGCTCATCACCGCTCTTGCACCAGCATTTTGAATCAGGGGCGCTGATCAAGGCAATGCCCGCTCATGCAGACATTATCACTGCGCTTGACTTTGACTATCCCATGGGAACCATGGTCACCGCTTCAGTCGACGATACTGTCCGCGTATGGAATCTAGCGACTGGCCGATGCCAAGGTCTACTCGAGGGACATATCGCCTCAGTTCGTTGCTTACAGCTTGAAGATACGCTTGTTGCTACCGGCTCTGCAGATGCCAGAATCAAGCTTTGGGATCTAGGGCAATCCGATCAGTACGCGGCAGTACCGCCATCTGCTGTTTCAAAACTCATCAACAAAAATCGAAATGAGAGTGCAGATGATTTGAGCCAGACTGCGACTGCAGGCGGTCGAAGCAGTCGGCAGTCCAATACAGATTCAACACAATCGGTCGATTGTTGCGTATACACGTTTGATGCACATGTCGGCGATGTCAGTGCTTTGCATTTCATCGGTAGTACGCTCGTGAGTGGATCTTCTGATCGAACTATTCGGCAATGGGATATGAATACGGGCAAGCTCCTCCAAACTATGGACATCCTCGCATACTCACCGCGCACCACATTCACCGTAGATCAAGCAGCCTCGCCTCCAGCAGATTTTGTTGGCGCATTGCAGTGCTTCGAACAAGGACTTGCAGCTGGTACTGCAGACGGTATGGTCCGCTTTTGGGATTTGAGAACAGGGCAAGTGGCAAGGGAATTACAAGGTCATACGGGTCCTGTGACGTGTCTTCAATTCGACGACATCCATCTTGTGAGTGGTAGTTTGGATCGAAGTGTGCGGATATGGGATTTACGCACAGGAACGATTCATGATGCGTATGCGTATGAAAAGGGCATTCAAGATTTGTGCTTTGATCGGCGCAAGATTGTCACTGCGGCTGGTGAACGCACTGCACGGGTGTACGATCGAGTGGAAGGCCGGCATTGGCCTTGTGGTGAAGAGGATCCAAATGACTCCGTCGTTTCTGTTGTCAGATTCAAGGAATCGACTTTGCTGGGTGGACGCAGTGATGGCACAGTCTCCATCTGGTCGCTATAGAGCATGGAAGCATCAAGTTTGTAATGACACGAGATACGAGTATGAAATTGCCAACGCTAATAGAGACATTGAAAAGAAAGAGACTAGTCGACAGAGGAAGCAGAGTCTTGAGCATTGGAACCTCTGCCGAGGGCTGCATCGTGGGACCGTTGCACGAGGAACAACCGCCTTCGCTCATCCCTATCCAAGTCTCGCGCAAGCCGTCTGCTTTCCGCCAGATCGCGCGCTGTGATGAGATGTGCCTTTTCCGCGCGTTCATTGATCTCTGCACTCGCTCGACCAAGGCGATACGCCTGGACGACAGCACCAATGGCACTGAGAAAGACAAGAAAGCCAATCATGTTGGCATTGGACGTGATGCGTACATCTTCACCTTTGTGTGCACTTGTACCGTGGCTGTAGTAAAAGCCATCCCAAGGGCCAGTTTCTTCGTGCGTGGTTCGTCTGTTGTACCTGTTGAAACGAGATCCCATCGTGTGGCCTGCATAGATACGCCCATCACCATTCCTGTATATGCCTCCCGTCGTGCTTCCCGATCCTGGCCGAGACCAACCCAGCCCGTAATGATCAAAGGCATGCCTCTTATTCGCATCCAACAGTAACGTATTGGCTGCAACAATCTTGCGAAAGCGTTCATTCGCCAAGGCCATGGCTTCAGCTGGTTCCTTGCTATCGAGCTTGTCTGGATGATAAAGCTTGACGAGCTCATAGTAGCGCTGCTTCACCTCCCGCGTCGACGCCGTCCTTTCAATGTGGAATATTTCGTATGGCGATGGAGTAGGTGTAGAGGGCCATGCAAGGCTTGAAGCGCGAGCATGCGCAGAAGCGTACAGACATCGTGTGATACGCATATTGAAGGTTGCCTATTGATACTCAAGAAGGCAGAAGCGATCGCATACACTCATATACTGTTCGCCGAGTCGCGTCTTGATGTTAAATGCCGCGTTTCAAGACCGTCGAGCAGCCTTACATGAGAAGCAAAGAGCAATGAGGTCGAGCTCTGCGTCAATTTGGGAGATCTGGTCGACGATGACATAAGCGTCATGGGCGGAGCTCCCCAGATTTTAACAGCGCAACGGACACGGAGCCAGCAGCTGCACAGAGAAGCAAGGAGACAAGCTTTAAACTGAAGGTGCTACTCACTCGTACTGCCAGTCTATTAGGGCACGAGCATGCCCGATCATGAGCTAGAGAATGAAGAAATCTCGCTGCAGGACACAAGGCCCAGAGCTACCTCGTTCCGCTCTGTGACTAGCTTCTCGTCCTTTCTAGATGACGGACGGCCGCATGATGTACCTCCAACGCCGACGCTACCTCCATACCTCAATACAGATATCAATGAGGTCCGTCGGTATGGCGATTTCACAACGATTGACTGGGTACAAGATGCTTCGCGGGAGCATCGAAGAAAGCTAGAGAAGCAAAAGCTGCAACGAGGCTCTTCTAGTCGCTTAGGCACTGTCAAAGGCTGGCTCTGGCACGCTTATGATGCCGGTCAAGCTTGGATGGTCGTTTCTCTCATCGGTGCCTGCATAGGCCTGAATGCTGCCTGTCTCAATATACTCACAGAGTTTCTCGGCGATATCAAGAGTGGCTACTGCTCACGCGGCTGGTACCTCAATAAAGAGTTTTGCTGTTGGGGTGTCGCAGGTGATGCAGAATCAGAACTCTGCTCAGATTGGACGCCTTGGAGTAACTACTTCATGTTCAATTACGCATTTTACATCTTCTTTGCGATTGTGTTCTCGAGTGCAAGCGCATACCTCGTCCGTCATTTTGCACCGTACGCTGCTGGCTCTGGAATATCAGAAATCAAGTGCATCATTGGTGGGTTCGTGATGCGTGGCTTCCTTGGAGGGTGGACTCTGCTCATCAAATCTATCGGTCTCCCACTAGCCATCGCGTCTGGTTTGTCTGTTGGCAAGGAGGGTCCCAGCGTCCATGTCGCCGTCTGTACGGGAAACGTAATAAGCCGGCTCTTTGAAAAGTACAAACGCAATGCTGCCAAGATGCGAGAAATCTATTCAGCTTGCTCAGCGGCTGGTGTCGCGGTGGCCTTTGGTTCGCCAATTGGCGGTGTCTTGTTTGCCCTAGAAGAAATGACTACCAACAGCTTTCCCTTGAAGGGCATGTGGCGTAGTTTCGTGTGTGCATTGATTGCCACAGCTGTACTCTCGGCTATGGACCCCTTCCGAACTGGTCAGCTCGTCATGTTCCAAGTCACATACGACCGAGACTGGCACTTCTTCGAGATATTCTTCTTCGTTATCCTCGGCATCTTTGGTGGACTCTATGGCGAATTCGTCATGAAGTGGAATCTCAGGGCAGCGACCTTTCGAAAGAAGTATCTCGCTAACCATGGTTTGGCTGAAGCGGTGACACTAGCCACGATGACGGCAATCATCGCATATTGGAACCCCTTTCTTCGTCTCGACATGACCAAGTCTATGGAACTCTTATTTCAAGAATGCGAGGAAGAAAGCTACGACGACATGTGTGATCCAAACTCACGCAGCTCAGTCTTGTTCAGTCTCATTAGCGCCACAATCCTGCGAACCTTGTTTGTCATTATCTCTTATGGCTGCAAGGTTCCCGCCGGGATCTTTGTGCCATCGATGGCCATTGGAGCGACATTTGGTCGATTCGTTGGCATCCTTGTCGCTGGTCTACAATCCGCGTTCCCTGAATCAGCCTTCTTTAGCGCCTGCAAGCCTGATGTGCCGTGCATTACGCCAGGAACTTATGCATTCCTGGGTGCAGCAGCTACACTCAGTGGCATTATGCGCATCACCGTCTCGGTTGTGGTCATCATGTTTGAGCTCACAGGAGCACTGACATTCATTCTACCAACCATGATTGTTGTGGGCGTTACAAAAGTCTTTTCCGACAATATCGGCAAGGTTGGTGGTATTGCTGATCGCATGATTCACTTCAATGGCTATCCGTTCCTTGACTCTAAAGAAGATCCAGCCTTTGGCGTACAAGTCGGGAAAATGATGGTTCGGGATGTGATTAGTATTCCTGTTCGAGGAATGCGTCTGGGAGAGGTCGAAGCAATGCTCACAAAACACGCTGTGCGTGGGTTTCCTGTCGTCGAGTCTCGGGAGACACGCATTCTCGTGGGATATATCGGCCGTCGTGAGCTCAATTGGGCCGTTCAGCAAGCAAAACAGCAGCTCAGTTTTGGACCAAGCACAAAATGCTATTTCACGACACCAGATGCACAGGTATCATCGATTGTTTCTGAGGAGACTTCTGAAGATGCCAACTTTTCAGCGCAATCTGCAATGTCAGCACCACCCATGATTCCACTCTCCCCATCCATCGCTGGCATTGAAGAAGCAGAAGGCTTCGCTCGTCCACCAGCCAAACATGGCGACCTGCTCACTGCGACCCCGCAACGGCAAAACCCAGCGTTGCATGTTTCGCCCCATTCCATTGACTTTTCGCGATATATCGATCCTTCGCCCTTGTCAATTCATCCCAAATTACCCCTTGAAACAGCCATGGATATCTTCAAGGCACTAGGACCTCGTGTCATTTTGGTTCAAGAACGCGGTCGACTCGAGGGATTGATTTCGGTCAAGGATATCTTGAAATATGAGCATGCCATTCATAATGGTGCTGGTGTGGCTGAGCATGATTCAGAGGATGAAGGGGAAGGCTATGTGACGCGTGGTACGGGTCGAACGGAAGATACTTATCCTACGACTTTGATTGAAGATCGTGTCTATGAAGCACTCGCTGGTGTTGGCGCGTCGTTCAGGACGCGTGTGCAAGAGTATGGTGGTATCGTGCGTGAATCACTGACGCGTCGATAGACAAAGCGATTTTGATAAGTTTGATACTTTGATGGAATGATGAGTCAATTGAAGAACCTAAAAGATAAAGTTTCTATCTGAGGTGCTATGTCGGACCCAGTGAAGCCAGGATCGATGAAGACGTCGTTGAATTTGGAGGCGACATGAATGTACGCTGTTGTAGACAGCAAAAGAGAAGCCAAAGGCTAGACGCTCTGTAGCACAAAAAGAAAAGTAAAGATAGCTTGGTCATGTCGTCAGAACGTAGAGGAAATTTGAGAGAAAGGACAAAAGAAAGGCCATACGCTGTTGGATAGCGAAACGAAGAAGGAGGCGTAAAATGAATGCAAAAAACAGCTTTGAGGCCCATTTTCTTTTTTGAGTCAGAGAAGCTAGCCACTGCCTGAGATGTAGTGACGATTAAGGGCTGCAATGCGAGATGCCAGTGCCGGCCATGTCATATTCCTAGGCACGAGTTCCTGCGTCGCGTCACCTGCTGCTTGTCGGTGCTTGGTGAGTTCATGCTGTGTCCAATCCAGCAATTCATACATGAATCGCAAGTTTGGCTGGATAATGACATTCAAGCGTCGTGCTCGAACCATAAGGTACGCTTCAGGCAATGGAAGAGCAAGACGTCTGACAACATCAGCAATGCAAATGGATGCACTGCGGGAAACGCCCACACGGCAATGTACAAGGGTACGCTGACCTTGTTTGAACCCTTCCTCAATAAATTCGAGGCATCGCTCAATTTGCTTTGCGAGCGGGTCAATACCATCATCTTGAATTTGTCGCACCCAAAGATGTGCCTCTGGCTTCAATCGGCTATCCAAGTGACGCAATTGCATTTGCCAAGCAGGGTGTTCACCCACAGACAAGATACGTGTGATACCCAATGCCTTGAGCATGGCGAGATTATCAGCATGTTCGAGATTGCCGAGATAGAGGTGATCCATGATGCGTGATGGCAAGTTGCCAGAAAATTGTTGACCCACACTGGATTGGAACCATGGCAGGGGAGTCTGGTGCAGACCCGTCAGGACCTGTGCGCGTGGAACAGGTGACGCGTTGAGGAGCAATGGCTCGAGTGCGAGTAAAGTGGCGACATCATCTGAAAAGCAGTAAAAGTTGCGTCGCTTGTCCAGGTGCAGTTTCAGAAACGCTTGGTCAACAGAGAGACCTTCAGCGTACACCAGGTAGCAGAGTGCCAGGAGACTTGTCTCGGTGTAGCCGTCTTTACAAGTCAGGAGCACATTGCGCGTTTGTTTTGCTGGAGTCATGCTGTTCTGAGCGCTTGTTTCGGCAAAGACGCCACCGTAGATGGTCGACGAAGATACCGTTGTTTGAGCCTTTCCTGAACTAGCTTGCTCATGGGTTTGCTTGTACATCCAGTCGCAGAAATCAAGCAAATCTTGTTCCTCTTCTGGACCGGGGCTCGTTAGGCATCCTGAAGAAGGGAAGACGCACTCAAGCTGTAAGTTAGCACAATGCTGCAAGGAAAGCCAGATGGGCGTACCACATGCCTCGCGTCGCCTGAATCACGAATCTCATTGTTGCGAATGGACGGAATGGCAACATAGTCTTCGCATCGAATGTGTATACCAAATTGCTCTCGCGGGGGTTTGCCATCAGGCTGGACCGTCGAGTTTTCAATCCAGTCGCAATCACATCCGAGATATACATTTTGTGATATCTCAGATGCTTGGCTCATTTTACGCATCTCAAGTTGTTCAAGCTCAATGAAGTCGCGTGACGAAGGCATCCTTGTACCGTCTCGCTTGATGTTGACCAGGTGTGGAAAATCACGCTCAATGACCGGGAACGTGTCTTCAATGACATACACGTTGTAAGATGGACCATTGCCATGCCATTGCTCGCTGAATTGCTGTTGAGCGCGAACGATGCGTTGCGCCGTGTTGAGCATGATGGCAACATCTTCTCTAGCGTCGCTACTGGTGTAGAGCACAACATCAGATAGCATGGCACACTTGACTTGCTGTGTGTGGAAGTTGCGCAAACTGACACCATGCACGGCATCTAGGTCAACAAATGCATCGCGTTTAGGGTCCAAGAGGTCATCAGCACCGATGGCGCCTTCCAGTAGCCCTGTTGAAGGTTTTCCTGCATGTACCAGAGCAATCCCTCGGTATGTACGCGGCGATGACGCATCCACTCGATCATGCCAACGGAAGAAATCACGCTGCGCCCAGTTATCCCTATGGATGCCATGCAACCAGGGGAACATGTCCTTCGTTTCTGTCAGGGGTAGCTTGGCTTCTTGTTGAAGTGCCTGGTCGAGCTGAGCAACGGTTAATGCAAAGACTTGAGGTGCAACTTGTTCATAGCGGCCAAGGGGTGAACTCAGTAATGCAAAAGTGTGCTTGTCTTGCGGAAAAGCATCGCGACGCGGACTTGTCGGCGGTGTGGAGGTGAGGAAGGGTTTTGGCGTTTGCTTTCTGATACTGTCGCTAGGTGAGGGACTGCGCTTGGTGTAGGTCGGTAGTTCAGCAACGCGGCGACTCACTGCAATCATCGTATGGTCAGTTGCACCTTTGCAAAAGAGACAATCGCAACACGTTCGCACCCGCACAAGAAGGGTTGTGTTGTTGCGAGGATGAGAGGGGACAACAAAGACCACAAAGAGACTGACAGAAGGTGTTTGTTTTGGCTTGTTTGACTGCGTGGGCTGCTGAGCGGAGCAGGCGCAGATGCCTGCGCTTTTGGTTTCAAGCTGAAATAGGGGGTGTGATCAGTTGCTACGTTGCGCTCGCTCGTGTCGTTGCGACAGTGGATACTCCTGAGTGGCGACAGACAGGGGATGTGCTATCTCTGCTGCCTGATGGTGTCAGACTGTCAGTACTTTGCAGGGTGTCTGCTGGACTGGTCAGGTACGAGGTCTGTTCAGTGGAGAGGGCGCGGGAGAAGAAGAAGCGAGCGAGCGAGCGAGTTAAACAAAAATCACCAAAGCTCAAGACTGCACAGAGACACTGGGCAAGGGCTCCTCAGACATTACAAAGTTACAAGGAGGACGAGTCGTATGCTGCATTGAGAAGATTAGATGCTGAACGTCGTATGAAAATGCTCATAGCAAGTAAGAATCTGGCTCTTCATGAGAGACGCTGCCTCCGCCTCGCTTCCAGTTCGCTAAACGCCGCGGACTTAAAAGGGCCAGGCAGGCCTCCTTACAGCTGCCGTCGAGTCGTCAGCTTCGTCAACTTTCGACTACTACTTGACACCTGATCTTTGAGCATGAGCAAGGCCAAATCAGCACGTCATACGGTGCCGAGTTATGTAACGACCGTCTGACTCAATACCACAGTCGAATGAGCTCCTCAGAAACGCCCGACATCGGATTCAATACACCCAAATCTGTGACCAGCGCCGTAATCATTTCTGGCGGTGTCAGATCCAAGCTCGGATTGTTGCAAATATCATCAAGTGACATGACATGCTCATTCCGTACGTCTGCAGAACTGCTCGTCACTTTAATACCTTCCTCAAAGAAGCCATTCCCTGGCGGTGCTTTGGCAAAGGCATCCTCACTGGATCGTAACGCAGGTGTACCAAGCGCACTACCGAGTGCACTGCCTGCCTGTGACCGCGACGGCGGATCAGAAAACTCAAGCACAGGATCGCTCTTGTTGAGGTCAAACTGCGAGAGTGGATAGATCCGCACAAACTTATGGGACTCGGCAACACAGTAGAAGGGTTTGCCCTCTCGTTTCGCCAATGCAGCGACGTTTTGCGTACCAATTTGATTGATGAGACCACCATTCTCGACAACGCCCTCGGCGCCCACAAGGACCATGTCGCATAGGGGCATGGCGTAGCCTACAGCTACATCCAGCAGCATGCATGTAGGAATACCATAGCGTTCCAAAACACGCTTCGACTTGAGTCCTGATCCATTTGGTCTTGATTCTGTGATGAAGACTCGAAAGCGACGGTTCTCTTCAGCTGCACGCGTCAGGACTGCCAACACGACGCGAGAATAAGAGTGAATCAACACCGTTGACCCATCCTTCACAAACTTTGCACCAATCTCTGCAATCTTGACACGCGCTTCACGGGCACGCGATATGAAGAGACGACCATTGGCCACGAGATGCGCTTTTGTTTCATCGAAATCCTCAACATCTCGTAGACTCTTGCCAATGAATGCTTCAAAGATGTCGCAACCTGCTTGGAGCGAGTAGGCATTCGGTACAGCATCGATCAAGATGCGTTTTCCACGCTTCAAGATGTCAGTGAACTCAGACACTGTTGAGGCGTTGGTTTTTGTGAGCACCTCAAGGAGTGCAGATATAGCCGCAAGTGGCATGGTGATGTCTGGGTCTCTCTCAAGATGGTCGCGGTAGATGGCGAGGACATCAAATGACCCGTTTGGAGAGTCGATGGACGTGTCGACACGCGACAGTCTACTTGGCCGAACAGGCGCCATGAGCAGAGGACGAGCTAGCAGATCGTCGTGTTGAGTTGTCGCAAAAGTCCGCTCAATGTTGCTCGTCAGGAAATTCAGGCTCAGCCGGTGCAAGACTGCGACGACCAGCTGACACTCATTGTAATATATCTGCCTTCCGCTATCATCTGCCAGCATTTCTCACAAGGGGCGTCTAGCGCCTGCTGCAGGCCCATCTGTCTCTGAAAACATGAATGTAGGCATACTACGAAACGGCTGGCACAATGCACTACATTTGACCGTTCTTGAGAACAAAGAAACTTGAGATTCTCCATGGAAGCTGAAAGCTCAAGCGTTACATGCTCTTCTCAGCTATACACAACCCTCCTTGGCAGCGATAGCTGACCCTTGACGACTTCTTGAGCGCGACGCGACAAGGAGTGTTTGCCAAGCCTCCTGTGTCTTCTGCTCCTGGAGCTTGCTACCTCCACATACGCGATCAGAGATGAGCTGTCAGCGCCCATCACAATCCAGTCAAATAACAAATTTCATGGCTACGTGGCACAGGCAAGCGACCAGCCTTGAGCTGCTTGGCACATCGTCGGACGTCTCGTTGCCACCAGCATCATTTTCAGACTTGAGTAGCATCTCGGATCTGCAGGATCATGTTGAGAAGGCGCAACAAGACACGACAGAGCTTCCTGAAAGCCTCAATCAGCTCTATGACCGACTAAAAGCTCGCGGAAAAGAACCGGTTCTTCCAGCATCATGGGATTATGACTTTCTTGGGCTTGACCGCTCGTTGTTTGCCGTGCATGACGACGAAAATGCAGCTTTGACTGGTATTCGCTGCATTTCTGATACCGAAGCCTCTCATTTCCGCGGCAAGATGGCGTTTGAGCGTCTGCTCATGGTTGGCAAGAGTATACGCACGGTCATGGAGCTCAATCGGCTTCGCAGGGTGCATCAGCAGGGCCGACTTGAGCCCATCGTCTCTCGCGCCTTGAGTGGATTCTTGTCATGGGCTGCTCAAGATGCTAGACAAGACCTCGACGTATTGGCCCTCTTCGCACCCATCACAGCAAGACCACTTCAAGCACAAAGACGCCGACCCACTTTTACGTCCAAAGCAGATTTGCAGATCCTCGAACAGCACACACAAGCGCGGATGAAGCGTATCGCCAAACTTCACCGTGCAGCGCGTACACACCTGTACCCTCTGACAGGTCCAAGCTATAAAGCAACGACACTGTTTGGATTCGCTCTTTGCGGTGCGCATGTTGGCATCCTCGCACTGGATAGCAGCACTGCTGAATGACAACCGCATGCAGTCATGGTAGCTGATTTCAGTGATGTAGGTCAGGATCTATGGAATAGCTTGGCACTTGCATTGACCATCATGGCAGCGCGTGACGAGTGTCTCGAATGTGCATCTGTCGGCGTCTTGCCACATCTCATCGCTTCTGCACAGTACTCTGGGTTAGTCGTTGATGAAATGAGCGCAGACGAAGATGTCTGAGGTGGTGCCAGATTGACAAACATACTCAACAGCAGAGCTTTGTCATCTTCTGATAGGATGAAACTTGCACCAGACGCCAATGGGGCATTCCGAACGCATAAAGTCACGCAGGCCGCCGCGTCTATTAGGGATCGTCGCGTCATGCGCTCATTCTTTCTTGGATCGCTTCTGTATGTCGCTCTTGGAGCCCCAGTTTCTGATCAATGGTAAGACAACATTGCAGTCATGGCTCCATGCTGATGACGCCCAGCCGTAGTTTTCTGACGGAGACCAAGACGTCATTGGTTGAAGCCAAGCAGTCTCTTCAAGTGTACGCAAAGCAAAAGGATTCCTTCTCCTCACTCGTCGCCCAAGTGGAGAAACTGGACAGCGCTTCTTTGACACTTCCAGCAACAGCAAGGGCAGGAGATCCGGAGACGGTCAAGGCGCTGCAATCTTTCGGTCAGAAAGTTCGAGCCATAAATGCTGCTGTGGACAAGCAAGTTGGCTTGCCAGACAGTGCAGAGTCGTCAGATTTGGTGGAAGCAATAGGCATTCTGTCTTCCGCTACTAATCAGATGATCTCGGTTTGTGCAGCTTCTTAGTCTACTTATGCCTAGTCAAATGCCTCTAGCGCTGCATACATCCCTGAACTGCATTCATTCACTGTAGTCCAACTCATCAATAAGCCTGTCAAGCGACTCTGAAACACTGTCTGGACGTTCGCTCTTTTTTAAGACTGCTGTCGCAGACTTCGGAGCTTGCATCTGCTCGGTTTTGCGCTTCTCGTGCATCTCTGTGACCGCATCAAAAGAGCCTTGGAGCGCCTTGGTCGCTCTTTCTGCGAGGTCTGGCGCTGTTGGAGGCAGTTTGACTGACGGCGATGGTACTGCTGCTGCCACTGGCACTTGAACGGGTGCTTCTTGCTCAGATTCCACAGGTTCACCGTCTGTCACTTCAAGATCGGCTGCAACACCTGCATCTTCATCCGCCTCGTCGCTCGCCTCAGATGCAGCTTGAGCTGTGTTTTTGGCTGCCTCGACATCATTATCCACAGTTTCTTCATCTGCCAGCAAATCAGAAATGCCAAGCCAGCTGTGGAAAATGTACTGCTTCATCCTGAAAATCTCATTCCTCTTGAACAAATCGCCTTTGCGCTTGTCATTGGCGAGAATCGTCCAATAGCGATTCAGATTCTCAGGACTGACAAATTCGCTGCTCAGACTGATATGAGCACTCGCAGACGCAACCTGGAAGAAGCTCCCAGCAGGAATTAGGAGAGCTTCCCCGGGCTTCTGACAGACGCGCACAGGTGTGACATGGTACTGAAACCTGAGATCGACCAAGTTCTCTTCAGTCAAGTACCGACGAGCACGACGGACAGGATCCTCCTCTGATGTCTTGTCGCCACAAAAACTGAGCATGTATCGACGAAGAACCGACGCGTTGCGCTGTGGAAAGATATCCCAAATAGCACAGCCATTGTTCCCACTTGAAGCATCTCCCCAAGTCATAATATTGATCGTGTCGTACATGCTCACCTTTAATGCACTGCCACTCAACGCTGAGCCTATCATTAGTGAATATACACGAGCGAGAGTCACATTACCCATGGGCAAATCGCTGCCCGCATACAAGACAGGTGAGGACACGACGGGCAAAATATTGGACGTAGACCAAGCATCCAGATTGAAGCGCCCTTTCGCAGACGTGTACTCTGGAACAGGCAAAAGGCTGTCAAAAGCTTCTAGCAGTGTGCTTGAGATCGAGCTTGCACATTCGCATAGTGGTAGTCCCTAAATGGTCAGCATTGCCAAATTATTGACGAGACACGAACAGCGAGTCGCAAACAAGCGGTTGGAGGGATGTTGAGGAAATCCTTTAGCCGCATTTGAGAGAGTACATTGCTGTTGCCGGCAATGACGTCTACCGTTTGGTCACCAATTAGCGTGAGAAGCTTAGTTGGTGTCCAAAAACGTTTTGTACGCTCTTCCAGACCTTGGAGTAGCAAGGGCTCGCCAATTGCCCAATGCTTCTGGAAGAGACTTAAGGACAATTTCTCGGCCCCTTCGACACACAACGGCAGGGCCCAATCAGCGTGCTGCACAGTCTTGAAAAATCGCCCAACGCCAACCGATGCTGCGATGTAGGGAGAAAAGTCTTGTGCCTGCCGAAGCAGATCGTCGAGCTCTTGCTCACGAAACGAAGTAAACGGGATCATGTGGTGCTTCGAATGTCGCATTGGTTGGCCTGCAACAGACTTACACGTATCGAACGGAATGTTCGACGAATCTGGGCTTTCCTGCCAATCTGTGAAGCAGTCCAAGCAAAGGAAGGTGCCACATAAATAACATGTCCAGTAACCTGAGAAGATCAGATTGAAACATGCATCGCAATGCGCACCAGTCGCCCGAGTCCGGGGCCGATGTAAGATTCGCTCTTGCTGTTCATGTTCATCTTCGATTTGGGCGAACTCCTCCAGTGGGCGGACCAGGCGCCGAAAAACAAACTCCGCATCCGTCTTCGACAAACCCCTCAACCCAACTTCTGAGACGCTACCTTCGTCGTCGGTTTCATGATTGTGGATGGAAGCCAGAACATAACGTAGATTGTCGTCGCTGCTTGGCGGGTCGACAAACTTCCTGATTATTTTGAAACGACATTTGGCAGGCTGGCCATCCACACAGTCCATGCAAAACAACACGGGCGAGATGTTCGAAGCTGCACAATCCTTTGTCTGCTGCCACGCATTTCGCGTGTCCGTCAAATCTCCATAATGCAGAGGCATCGCAGCGTATACCGGTCGTTCGGCATCTTTTGGTGCTCGTTGTTTTAACGTGGGCAGCTTTCCGTGAGAGATATGCACAACAGTGCCGACCATATCTGCGCGGCCCCCGGAGCGCTTCAAGAGGTCAACAGATGGGACATCACCCTGTCGCTCGTGGAAAGCGAGGTGTTTTTCCGAGACACCAGGTTCCGCCAAGACTCCGCAGTAAATGCAGAGCTTCCGATCCATTGCCTTGCTCTGAGAAATTTGGGGTGATGCCATCGTTTTGACAACCGGTGCATCAGACTCACCCTGAGGCGCTCGAGGGGACCCCTGCGGCACAAATTTGTCTGAGTTCGGTATGGTCCGCATTGGCTTTGAAGTTGCAGACTCTGCCTTGCTGTCCCCGGCTTGAGAATTCTGGAGGGACACATTTCGCGGCAAAACGGCTGCGACCTTTGCAAGAAAATCAGTGACATTCTTGTGCGATCCCAGTTTGGCACGGACCCAGTCGTCGACGTTGATCGCTTTGCCAAGCATCATATGGGCTTCGAGGCGGGCCATCATTGGCGTCACTGGCCCGGGGGCACTTTCCTGCACTTTGTTTTGCATGGGTGAATTGGAAAACGAGACGGGCGAAGGTTGCTTTTTCTTCTCGCTCACCAACGGGGTGGATCGAGCAGGAACAGGCTTGCGTTCCACTTCCTGTTTGACGCGTCGCACATTCTTTGGCGAAATCGAGCGTGGGACAGGCACCTCAGAATCGCTATCAGATGACTCAAAGGACATGGTTCCAGATGGACTCGCCTGCTCACCCGATTTGCCATGTGCAATCCTGAGCGGAACATCATCTGACGAGTCCTCATCCAAGCGGGAGATGACTCGAGGAACACGATTTGCTCTTTTGGGACGGACCGTCTTCAACGGTTCGTCGGAACCCTCCCGCAAGACCCGTTCCTGCCGACGGGTTTTGCCAATTGTGAACTCAATTTTCTCATCCTCGGATTTCTCAGTGTTTGGGTCCACGAGAATATACTCCCATCTCGGACGCTTCAACGGTCTGGCTGTCTTGAGGTTGCTCCCTTCCGGGTACTTGACCCTCGCCTGGCCAGCAAGCTTCTCTTGAGCTGAGTTCACACTCCCTTGAGAGTCCTCCCTCTTGGTATTCGACCGGTCGGACGTCGAGCTTGAAGGCTGGCCTGGCCTTTCATCTGGTTTCGAGGCCGACGTATGAGACGATCCACTGGACGGACGCTTCGTAGATGGCAAAGCATCTCTTGCTCGTAGTGCTGGAGTAACAGGGACTGCCTGGGGAGGCTTCTTCTCTGCTTTGGCACTCTCCTGGCGAATAGCTTCGATCTTGGGATTCAAAAGAGGAGCAGACGGTTTTCCGAGAGGTTCAGATCTGCTACGCGCCAAGTCTTTTGTAGCGAGGAAAGATTTAATTTTGGCTTCAGAGATCTTGCTGACTTCCGCCCAGACCGACGGCTCTGGCATCTGGTTACGCATGCTTTCGAAACCGAGATGGGTCCTCCACAACTTCTCGAGGCGAGTCGCTTCTTCTGTCGACACAGCAGAAGCTGTCGCTACCTTCGTCGTGGGAGTTTGACTACTGACGTTATCAATGCCATCAACTGCTGATGACTGATCTGAGGCCGAGACACGATGATCCGGAGTCTTGCTGGAGAAGGGCTGAAGTGGAGCGGGGGCGGGAATAGTCTTGGCCACAGCTGTCGTTGCAGCCGCCGGTTTGGCCTTCGACCCAGCAAACTGCTGCGAAGCGAGCGATGAACTAGAGATCGGTTGACTGGCAGACACACTGGTGGGACGAGCCAAGGACCCGGGACCATTCTCCTTGCTCGATTCCACCCTGGCAACCTTAGTTGTCTCAACTGGGGCTTTGTCTGTTGCCTGTGCGCGGACAGTTAGATCTATGCTTTTGCTCGCCAATCCGAGATCCGGAGTCTTCACTGGCTCAGCACGGGAAACACGAACTTCTTCATGCATGTTTCGACGGGAGCCACCAAACTCTCCGTTATACTGGGACACATTTACAGAGGAGGCGGACCGTTCTCCGCCTGCGGCATTTGATACTGAATTTGAATTGCGCTCGGGGCGTGGGACATGGGCCTTGCGGATGTCGAATCCTCGATGATTCTTGTTTTCAGCATGTTGCAGGAATGCCTTGGCTGATCCAAAAGTCTGCTTGTCACACGATGGTGCGAGGCACGTGATGCTGCCATGGGACTTCCTGAAGGGTATGCCGAAATGGCTCCCGAATCCTGGCAAAACGACAAGATCTCGGACTTCAGGATATTGTGCAAGATTCATGACATGTGGTGTACTCGCGGATCGAGGCTTTGCTCGTTTAGCATCATTTTGCATAGGCGAGGCGGATCGCTTCATGCCTGTTCCCCCGTTATCATTACTGGGGCGGTCTACCAGTCGATCTGGCCGCACGCCGTCACTGGTGGATCTCGTGGGTGAGAGAGGAGCGATGGTTGGAGATTGGCTGCTAACACGAGCTTGAGGGTTTGATGAGCTCGTCGACGAGCGACTGACATTAAGCGTCGATTTGCGCGGAGGCAAGCCAGTGACAACCTTGTTTTCGGAAGAGCCGCTCTTGAGCAGTGGTGGTCTCATTGAACCATTGGATCGTCGATCAGGACTTGCTGCTCGTTGATTGCGCTGATCTGCCATGAGATTGCCGCCTCCATGAGAAGGCACACCTTGTGGTTCTGGAACCGAGTCAGAAACAGACTGGATTGGACCATAGACAGAATTCTGAGTAGATCGTCGAGCAGTAGACGTGTAGGTACTTTTATTGAGAGGGGTGTATGAGACTCGCAAGGAGTTCTTACCCTTTTGTCCAGCGACAGCCTGTGTTGTCGACCCTAAGACCTTGTCCGGCGGTGGCGGGGAGCCTGGCACTGACTTTGACATGGCACTCTCGACCTCTTGTTGTGTTGCTTGTGGTTTCAAAGTGACTGGGACTGAAAACTTGGTCTGCGGGAAATTGGAAGCTGGCGCATGTTCTTTCACAGCGGGAGCCAAGCTGGCTGATGCTTTTCCCGCCTGATCATTGATGGTACTTGCTTTCTTAGGTGCCTCCTGGTCGGCAGCCATGCTTTGTGCTTTAGGTCAAAGTGCGTGTCAATTGACTCTTGAAGAACACAGCATCGTCTCGCCTCCTTGACCAGGCACGTTATAGGTCGTCCGCAGTACTGTAATTACGTCTGATCCGTGTGCCAGCGCTGGTTTATGCGGCGATTACTTCTTGACATGATGGCGGCTGGTCATCCTTTTTATGTTTGCGGGTGCACGTGTTTGTTGACTCGCACTTCAGCTGATTTTAGGCTGTCGAGGGATTACACCATGTATGAGAAAAGTACAATTAAGGAGAACTAGAGACACAAGCTAGGGAGCATTTACATGTGTTTCAGGCGGGCTGAATGTCAATTGCGGCCCCAAGCTTTCTTGAGGTAGCGTTGCAAGAAACTCTGCCCTTGTGCTGTAGCATGGACCGTTGAGTCTCCTGCGAACGGCTGCTGCTGCTGCTGCCCAAATCCACCAGATCTGACAGAAAAGTTGGTCATCGTAGTGCGTGGCTTGTGTTTGCTTTGTCTGGGCGCCATGTTATTGCTCGCATCACGCGGATACATGCTCGTTCGCGTCTGCCTGTAATCGTTGCTGTAGTCGCTGAAGCTAAACTTTGACTGCTCAGGCACCGGCCTGACGCTCTTGATTCGGCCGCCCAAGACATCGTTGCCCAAGACGACATTGCCCACCCCTGTGCGTTGTTGCCCATACAAAACGCTGTCATCTTCCTTCGGTGCAGGAACTTGCCATTTGAACCAAGGGGACGTCGCTCTAACAGGACTACCAAGGACGATTGGCAACTCGCCATCAGTCGAATACAAGCTAGAGAAGCCGCGAGATTGAGTCGGGTCTGTGTATTTGTGCAGGATGTCTGCAACTTCATCTCTGTCTTCCTCTGCTTCTGACTGCGTGGCTCGCACAACTTCAGGCAACTCAGGTGCTTTACTCATGTAAGCCTGATCAGCGTCCAGCGAGGCTCTTGTGCCCGCAACATGACGCCAACTGAGCAAATTGAACGAGGACTCGACTGTAGCGCGCTGCTCGGTCGGCTGACGCTGCCATAGACGTTGAATTTTGAGTACCTTACCGCTCTTGGACACTTTGCGCGACAACCCACCATAAGTCTTGTCGGCGACAGAGAGCGTCTTCTCGATACTGTCGCCGCGACAAAACATCTTTTCATCGAAGCGAGCTTGTCTGCGGCGTTTGATGAAGAAGAACACACCAACGATACTTGCAAGCGCCAAGAATGCTCCAACAGAGCCAACAATGATTAAAGTGGGCGGTGGCTTGGCTGCTGACTTTGTTGAAGTAGATTGTGCTGCAAGACCAGCCGCATCGCCTCCATCGGCTGTTGTGTTCCGTGGTGGCGAAGCCGAGCTCGACACGGGCGGTGTAGAACTTGATGTGGCTGCGGGTAGCGCTGCAACAGGCGAGATGGTATCTGACATCAATGAAGTCGCCTGCGCCGTTCTGCTACTTTCAGTCGCTGTTGCACGAATGGTCAATGTTGTTCTTGAGCTTTGTGACGTTGCAGATGGCAGTGGATCGCTCGCTGATAGCGGCAATACCTGAGCTAGAGTTATTGAAGCCAAGTTCGGACCCGTTGTTGATGACAAGATGAGCTCAATGGGTGGTATACTGATGACGCCAATATTGCCCACGGCCTTGGTCGCAGCAGCGATACGCTGATTGAGCACAGCGCTAGTACTCTGTCCAAAGAAGCCAAGATTCAGACCCGCCACTTGTGATTCTGTCGTGTCAGTGACCGGTTGAAAAGCCACCTTGAAGACTTACGCAAGACTTGTAGACCTGCTGCAAACGTATCAGGAAGACCAATCTGGCCATGACCTGGCTTGACATGTATCAATACCGTCGCTAGCGTCAACCAGTGCATGTTCGGTGTAATCAAAAGATGGGAGTATCTTGGCGGCCGGCACACTTGACTGACATGCCAGAGGGAGCAGGTCGAAGCTGAAGCTGAAGCAGGTGTAGAAGCGATTACTGAGCGTCGCTATGAAACGTTTCAGCACAGACGGACCATCGCATAGACGGAACGCCGTCGAATGCCTGGCTGCTGTAGCCAAGAGACTTCAGTGAGCTGCAGCAGCAAGCTTGTCAAGACGTTCACCGTCGACACGCATGACGCTCCACTCTGTCATCATTTCAGCACCGACCGCTTCATAGACCTTGATGGCCTTTTCGTTCCACTTGAGCACGGACCACTCTAAACGCTTGCCGCCCATGTCAAGTGACAACTTTGCTAGATGTTGTAGCAGCCTGGTGCCGTATCCCTTTCCACGGTATTGCTGGTCAACGTACAAGTCTTCCAAGTAGATACCCGGTGCAGCATGCCATGTGGAGTAGTTGAAGAAGTAAATCGCCATGCCTACCACTACTGCCGCTTCATCCGACTCAGACTTGGTCTCTGCAATGACTGCATGCGCATAGGCTGTTCCTGTGAAGCCGAGCGTGCTAGATAGCTTCTCATGCGTGGCAAAGACTGCTTCGGGTGCCTTTTCGAATTCCGCGAGGTCCTTGATGAATTGCAGCATCTGTGGCACATCCTCTTCTCTAGCTTTACGAATGCTGAAGGACATAATGAGTGAGAAAGAAAGGCAAAGTAGACGTTGCTGTAATGCTGTAGCAGTCTATGTCGTGAAAGAAGCCAACGAAGAATGCGGTCGCGTTTGCCGAAAACTTGACTTGACCAGACAATCCGGAAAAGCATCGGAACCGAAGCGAGACTACCATGGAACAAAGTATCTGGATCAGGGCGACTTATCCATCTACTCTGACCATTATATAGACCTATTTATCATCAAATCATGCTGAACAAATGCCAAACGCCAAAACTAATCGAATTCAGGGGTGTACAGATGCGTCATCGAGGATTGTGAGCAGGGCCAGCTTGCGAAGCGGCCATCTCAGCACGCGCCGCAGCTTTCGCTCGCCAGGCATCTCCCTTCCTCAGAATGAGCAAGACCAAGACAGTACTAGCCCAACACACACTTGCAAGAATCGAAAACAAGACATGGTTGCCGAGCCTTTTGAGAGCAGGTTCGGCAGCGGCACTTGCTCCAGCAGCGAGCAGCATGCGGACGAGGTTATTGAGCGCCATAGCACTGGAACCTCGTCCTGGCAGAGCGTCAATGAGGTACGTGGTCACTGCAGCATAGATGAACATCGTTGCAAGTCCAAAGATAAATGTCCCAATCAATGGAATGAGCCAAAATTGACCAATCGTCCAACCATAGATGAACAATCCTGCTGGCGCAAAAAAGGCACCAGTCCAAGCATTCAGGCCAAAGCGACGTTCGGGAATGTACTCGCCACCTTCTTTCTCTTTGGCTCTCTGCATGACAATGTCGCACCATTTGCCACCAAGGATTGACCCAATAATGTAACCAATCGAATTACCCAGGTACAAGCACCCAATGATGATGGTGCGGAAATTGTAGGGCGCCATCTCAAACGAGTACTCGATGGAGATGTTTAGAAAATACAAGCTTCCAAAATTGAGACTTGCATAAGCGATGGAGCATGCGACGGCAGGGAATGCAAAGAACTTGATTGTTTTCAGGGGATCTGCCAGGGTGTGAAGGAAGACTTCCATCTTGGTAGGCATGCGAAGAGATCCTGCTTCTTTATCGTATATTTCAAGCACCTTGGCATCACGAAGCGTCTCTGGCAAGCAGAATAGCAAGAGAATAGTGAGTGTACCAGCCTTAGCGACGATGAACCATTGTGTGTTTCGCCACGATCCAGCTGACGTCAAGAGCCCTCCAAGGACTGGACTCATTAGAGGCCCAACGATGGGTCCGAGGTAGAACCAGCCCATTGCGTTCCCTCTATGTTGTGCGAGATAAATGTCTGCAATGACACCGGCTCCAATAGCTTGGGCCGCGCCAGATGAAAGGGCTGCCAGGAGACGAAAGGCGAGCAGCTGGCTAATGGATTGCGAGACGGCACACAGAATGGAAAAGACTGTATACGCAGAGAAGGACAGAAGATATACTGTTCTTCTGCCAAAATGCTCACTCACGTAAGCCAACCAGAGAGGGGATACTCCCATACCGATGAGAAAGGTGGTAATGGTCAGATTCGCAACGGTGGCCGTGGTCCCAAAATCGCGCTCGACATTGGACAGTGCTGGAAGAAGGATGCCACTGGACATGGGCCCCGACATGGCGGCCGCTGCAACGAGAAAGACGATGAAGTGCTTCGTGCCTTGTGTGTATTCCCGCGGGTCTTCCACTTCTGGCACAATGGCAAGAGAGCTCAAGAAACCGATTCGTTTTGCGCGAGGTACAATGGTAGAAGCACCTGTGTGCATTCGCATGAGTACGGAACCGCGTGAACGTGTGCGTCGTAAGACATCATTGTGTTCTGGGTCGACGGGGTCGTTCGGTTTGCTTCCACTGCTCGCTGGGCTCTCGTCGACATCGTCTGTTGCCACAATCGCTGCTGCATCCGCCGCCGACTGCGCCATGGCAGTTTCTGATGAGTTACACGTCAATGGATCTAGTTATACGTCTGTAGATGTAGCAGATCTGATTTCGGTACCTGCCGAAGACGTCAATCGCGTAATGTTGCACAAGGATTTGAGACGGTCACAAACGGACCTTGAAGACAGTCCTGGACCTCCAGGAGCATTCTACTGCTAAAACACAGTCTCTCATGAGCTATATGTCTTTGTGTATAGTGAGACTGTCTGGGCAGGAGCATCATGAGCAATCTATGTTTGTCAAGCGAATGACACTACTTTATGTTTGTGTCGTACACGAAGCAGGAAGGCATGGTAGATACAAGTATTAGTGAGTGACTGCTGTAGACTACAGTGCTTTGTCAGTTCAAATTCCTGCTGTATATGGGACTGTCTCTGCGTTCCTTATCTCCGCTGTTATCGCGTGGCGCAGTGTCCGTTGCAGCAGGTGCAGCGAGCAGTGCAGCCAGCGAGTCTCCTTTCTCTCCGACCTCAACTCTATCTGCAGCACACGTCAGGCACAAGTCGGCCGCCTCGAAAGACTTAAGCTGCGCTTCACCTACATCGCCCCAGCGACCCTCTTCTTCTGCCAAAAAACTTCTTTCGTTCCCTTTCAATAGCAACTCTACAAGCATGTCCGATCTAGGCAAACACGCGCAAGCCTTCACAGGCCGCGGCGGCGCTGGCAACTATGTCATTAAGAATCCAATCCCCGAGGAAAACCTACCAAAACAGTTCTCTCAGAAGCCCGTACATGGCAACTTCTCCGGTCGTGGCGGCGCTGGTAATTTTGCTACAAAGGCAGAGATCCAGAAGGCCCAAGAGCTTGCTGGTAAGCTTCCTCGTCGGGATGCGTTTGCTCTGCGCTCTGTTGTGATGCGCATCCTGTGTATCTGCTGACTGTATACTGACTTTGTCTAGAGCACACTCACCCTGCCGAGCCCATCACCAAGCCGGCTCCGATTGTGTACAAAGGTGGTCGCGGCGGCGCTGGCAACATCGAGGCTGTTCAGTACAATGACAAGCACCGTGAGGATCTCGAAATCGAGGAGCTCATCAGGACACACAAGGAACTCCAGGCACCAGCCAAGGAGGAGCCTATCCTCAAGGTCGACTAGAGGCCTTGTTCAGAGGTATCAAACAACGTATGTCAGCTGTATATGCAAGAGCTTTGTAGATCAATCGTCTTCCATGTCTACGTCTTCGCTGCCCAGATCATCCATAGCCACAGCAGGATCCAGTATACTGCTCAACGTGACAGATGTCGATGGTCCTTGTGCTTCTATCGGTTGCGCATTGGTTGCCGCAAGAGCAGCCTTGGGTTGCGCCCACGCCGGTACTTCGCCAGACTTCTTAGGTGCAGCCGCCGCACCGCTCCCCGCTTCGCCATTTCCTACCGCTACCGCAGCGTCTGCCTCTTGTCTCGCAGGCGCAACTTGCTTTCCTGCGGCTGTATCCCTGAATTGAACGCGCTGCGGTACGACATCTGACAAAAAGTCAAGTTGTGGCAGTCTCGCTACTGCTGATGCGCAATGACTATAGTTGAGACCTTTCTTGCGTTCAGCAATGGTATAGAAAAAGGACTGTTCTGCGAAATAAGCAGCGAAGCGTTCCTAGAGGGTCAGTCGGACTACTTTAGGTGTAGCATCTGTGAACGTACCGTCGCAGATGCAATGACAAGAGCTGCCGCGTTGGATAGATTATTGACATCCTCATCCATCTTTGCAATCTTCTTGACGCGAGCGAGTGGGAGACGCCGATTGTGCGCAGCTGGCTTCTTGGGTGTACCTGATGGCGAGGCAGTACTATTAGCTTTTGATTTTGGGTTGGCTTTCATCGCTGGCGGACTCTGCTGTGTCTCTATCGGCTCGTCTTGTGCTGTCTCCATCGGCCCTGGACTCGACATCTTTCGCTTCGTCTGATGCCCGTAAGTCAGCTGGTAGTTACCTGTCGCGTCGCGTCTTGGTGATTTGCAGGAGAGCTCCTCACAAATTTCCTCAGAAAAAGGAGACAAAGCGCAAAGACAGCAAGACAAGCAGTTCCTTCTCATCCACCCTGCCATGAAACGAGATTTGGAGGCTCCTGCTGATGCTGTCGAGGACAAAGACACACAACTAAGCGATGGCGACGAGGATGACGACGAAGATGTCGATATGATTGACGTGGACTTTGAATTCTTTGACTTGGCACCCATCGACTTTCATGCGCTCAACACGCTTCTCAAGCAACTGATGGGTCCAGATGCCATCAAGTTTGAGCTGGGTGCCTTGGCTGATTTGTTATTGGCAAATAAAATTGGCTCAACAGTCAAAGTAGACGGCGAAGAGTCTGACCCGTATGCCTTCTTGACGGTTCTGAACCTGGATGTTCACAAGGAGCACGAGCAGGTCAAGCTAGTCAAAGACTACCTTTTGTCAAAAGTAAGAAAGCTTGACAAAATGCATGCTCTTATTGGCAAAGCTGGCGCTCAGGTTGGCTTGATCTTCAGTGAGCGACTTATCAATATGCCTGTTGAGGTTGCTGGACCTCTATACCGCATCCTCGGCGAAGAAATAACAGCACGGCAAAAAACGGGCAAAGCTGAGGATAAGCAGTATGATCTCAGCCATTATTTGGTCTGGTCCAAGTCATACGTAGAGACTGCCTCAAAGCTCGATGAGGAAGATGACCGGCCCAGGAAGAAGGGCAAACAGCCCAAGCAGGCCGCCAACAAGGAAGTCTTCTTCTTCCATCCAGAGGATGAGATCTTGATCAAGCATGCCTCGCATCACATCAACTTCCCATACAGCAACGCAGCACCAGAGTCAGACTCAAAACGGGCGTTTCATGACTTTGGCATCCATCCTACAGGCGAGCTGATCCTGCTCACCAAAGCACAATTGGCGAGTGCGATTGAAGACATTCAAAAGTCGTTTCCTTTCTAATGCAAAAAATATGGTTTAATATGCCAATGAAGATGCTGATGCTATATTATTACATGTCAAGATGACGCCTTGTGCTTTTCCCATTTGCCATTATGCCATTGCCTCCAGGGCTTCTCGATTGCCACTGGCTCGCGTTCCTTTGCTCTCGTGAATCTCTGCTTTCGAAGCATACCAATGTCATTGCGGCCAGGTAACTTCATGCTGTCGGGAACATCCAGCCCTTTTGTCTTCCATCCAATCGGCAGCTGTGCGAGGTCCTCCTCGCCATGCCCAAGTACAACGCCCTTCTTTGCAGCCATCGCACGTATTCTTGAAGCAGCGACCGGTTGTTTGCACGCAGCGCAATGCCGTAGCAGCGTCACAACCGTGAGCCTGTCCCAAGGCATTCGAACGAGCCTTTCGAAATACGGCCTGCCCCTCTCCCAGGCTCCTCGTGCTGCAAAACCTTGCAGCATAGCTGTCAACACTACAGAAGTGGGCTTCACTCCCTCCCAAACCATCAAATTGAAGTACGTCTCTGCATGTCGCAAATGACCAAACTTGGTGAGTCCCTTGATGGCTGTGCTGAAGAAGAGGAGTCCTCTTCGCTTGCGATGCGAAGCTGCTTGTTGCAACCGGACGGCTGCGAGTACTTTTCGAAAATCGACATAGTCCCCCGTGACAATACACAAGTTTAGAACGCTCGCCACTGTATACTCATCTGGCCTGTAGCCTAATCTGAGCATCGCTTGGAAGACTGTCCATGCAGCTGTGTTTTGGCGGAGTCGAGTGAGACGCGAGATCATAATATTGAACGTCTTGACACTTGGTGGAGTAGATGAATCAGAGAGGAGCCTTGCAAGGTCCTGCAATTGACGGACGGCTGGTTCCCTCAACAAGTCGAGAACATCGTTGTCTAACCTCTTCGCCACAATACTATCGAGAGAGTAGTCTGGAACTTGAGAAAAGCCAGAAGCATCACGTACACTAGGCTTGAGTAGTGCTTGTCGCAACAGCCGAATCGCTTCTTCCAATGTTCGTAAGCGCTCTTGTAGTATGGCGTCCCCTGAATCTCGCAGTCGCCGACGCCAACTTCCTCGTTGTCGGTATAATTGATCTAGCTGATTCTTCGACTTGCGTTGATTGAAATCGATGGAAAGCATAGAGTCTGCGATTCGCGCTACATGTCGCTCGAATAAGCTCGGCCGATGGATACGGTCTTTGCCGCCGACTTCGGCATCTGATGGTGTTTCTCGCGATGTTGTAGCATGCCTCACAAGGCCTTTGTTTTGTCTTTTTGAATCCTTGCTGGGCAATACGGGCGACGGCCGTTGCATGGCTCGCATGACACTGTAGAATCTGCCGAAGAAGTGCTTGTCCGGGGGTTGATTCCTGAATAATGGGCGAGTCCCCGAGGAACATCGCAGAAGAGGTTTGATCATCAACGGTACTCATATAGCTGCTGTTGCTCGGGCAATCCTCATATCACAGATGCCATGGTCGTCTGCAGCTCCTTCTGAGTGCCTATGTATTGCCCTTCCGTGTGGTTGCTTGACTTTTGATTTTTGGGCGCGTCGTAGAAAGCGTGCGATGGACAGCCAGACTCAATACATATAGTACTGTTAGTCTTGCACTCACTTGACCGGCAAGCTACCTGCCTAGTGCCATGATCAGAAGTCTCGCTGGATGCTGAGACCAGTGGCTGCCTTGAAACATAATGGAACGCTTCGAGACAATTCAGCATCAAGCTGGTGACGAAGACGCACTTGCTGATGAAGAGCCATCTCTGCTCGTTGTCATTCTCGACACAAATCCCATCGCTTGGGAAGCATTACAGCTTCAGCTGCCATTCGAAAAAGTCCTTGCTGATGTGCTCGTCTTTGTCAATGCGCATATTGCCTTTGATCACGCCAATCAGGCCGTCTTGATTGCCTCTCACATCGATCGCGCGTGCTATCTATATCCAACACCTGAAACGAGGTACGAACATCAGGTCGATCCACATCGCGCTGCAAACGCATATCGGCCGTTTATTGTCGTACAAGACCAAGTTGTACAGAATCTAAAGACTCTGATTGACAATACAACGACAGAGCACATTGCCGCTCAAAAAGCTTCAATGATGTCTGGTGCCATCACACTCGCACTGGGTTATATCAACAAGTTGAATGCTGCACGGAACGAAACAACAACGGCTGCTGGAACTGAGGCCATGGGAACAACGACTTCGCAGCAGCGCGTCAAGGCACGGATCCTAGTCCTCTGTGCCTCGGGTGATTTGGCCTTCCAATACATTCCCATGATGAACTGCATCTTTTCTGCACAAAAACTGCATGTTCCAATAGACATCATAAAACTCGCTGGGGATGCCGTCTTTCTACAGCAAGCAAGCGATGCCACAGGCGGTACCTATATGGATGCATCCTCAGCGAACGATAATGGTGGTGGCTTTCTACAACGACTCATGATGATTTACTTGCCAGATCAAAATCTGCGCAAGCACTTGAACCTGCCAAAGCAGGAGAATGTCGATTTCAGAGCTGCCTGCTTCTGTCATAAGCGTGTACTTGACGTTGGCTTTGTCTGCTCCGTGTGTCTCTCAAGTAAGCACACGCAAAGCACCTCTGACTTTTGCTAATCTTTTAGTTTTTTGCTCACCGATACCCAAGTGTTCAGTCTGTGAGGCTGATTTCAATATACAAGAACTCAAAGCATTCGGAGCGAAACCACAAGTCGCAATACAAAAGAAGAAGAAACGCCTCGGCGAGAGCACAAGTACAGAGACGCCCATCGAGATATAATAAACAAAGTCTTGCAATCTCCTATATTTGTACAGCTATGTAATGCACAAAACGGCCAAAAGAACGTCCTTGCATACGTAATAAACAAAAAGAACACTTCAAGCAGTCGCCGACTTTTCAAGATGCTGATCCGCCAAAACGAGCTGGTCTTTTGATAATGGTCGTCCATCATGCCATCGTAGACTGCGACATAGCGTCCACACCAGCTGCTGATACGCCTCTCTGCGTTTCAGTGTTTTTGGAGATAACGTCGCCTTGAACTGCTCATCCAACGTCTGCCAAGCCTGTCGTTCCCCCTCACCACTCGCATACACATCGAAATTCGCAAAATAGTCAACCGAATCTCCTTGTTGAGAACTAGAGATGGCTGTGCTTCCTGCATAAAACCCCTTTGTTGCTGGATTACCACGCACATCAAGCACTTTGAGGGCATCAAGCGTCCCTAAGACTCGACTCAACTCTGCCAGGTTTGCAAGTTTATTGCCGTGTAGGAATAAACGCTCGAGACGACTCAGCTCAGCCAGACACGAGAGGTCGACTAATTGATTGCCACAAGCATTCAATACGCGCAAGTTGGGCGCCGCGGCAGACAAGTTGGCAGGCAAGCCCGTCAAGTGACATCCAGCAAGCTCAAGATATTTGAGTGACAAGAACGCTGTAGGAAAGTCAAAGTCTTCCAAGATATTGCCAGAAAGGTATAACCGTTCAACTTCCCTCAACGCAACCCAGTCGAGATTTGCCATGATGTTACTATCCCTTTGTCGCCGCAAGGAGAAGCTTTGCAAGTGCTTCATTGTATTTGGCATGGGCAAGTTGGTGATAGCGTTATTGTCCAAGTAGACGAGTCGCGCATTGGGGATCTGCTGCATGTCAAAGGTATGGAGGTCATTGTCACACACCCGCACCATCTTGAGGTCCGGCATGATCCTGCCATCATTATCGCCAAGTTGGAAGAACTGCAATTTATTGTGGTCCAGATTGAGGGAGAGCAGATTAGATAGCTCACACAGACCGCTGATGATGTCCAATTCATTGTGTGACAAATCTAGCGTTTCGAGGGCCGGTAGTTCCCCAGGGAGCACTTCAAACCATGACAACTGGTTGTTCTTTGCAGACAAGGTGACGAGACTTGATAGGGATTCGCCCGTCAAGCTCTGTAAGTGGTTGCGATCGACTTCGAGATGACAAAGGTGAGGGAGCTTGCCGAGTCCCTCAAGATCCGGGAGCAAGTTGTCGTTCAGCACAAGCCGTTGTAAGTTTGGCAAGTGTGAGAAGGATGTGAGTGCGTCAAGCTGATTACGACTGGCGTTCAACTCCTGCAAGCTCTCTGGCAAATCGGTTAAATGCGACAATTGATTGTTGGCGACATTCAACTTGATCAAGTTGGGAAAGCACTTGTACAATCCAGTCAATGATCTCAAATGCAAATCGCTAAGGTCAGCATTGACGACTGCCTCCCAGATATCGATTGGATAGCGCTTGCTGATGGCTTCCACCAAATCGGCAGTCGACTGCGACATAGTAACCTCAATCGAATCCATGGACAGTGATGCATCTGCAGAGACATCTGAATCTTCTTGGTATCGACCATGCTGCGTAACTTTAGTCATCTCTTGAGCATAAGCGGATTGCGCTGGTGACTGTGCAGGCACAGGGATGGGCATACGTCGTTGTGGTAGGCTCTGCATACTCTCCTCCTGCGCTTCATTTGCATTCGAGCGTGAGCTTTCAGTATTGCTGAGGTCCAATTCATCTGGATAACCTTGAGCACCCTTGACATGACTTGCATCTTGAACGAACGTTCCACGCTCAGTCTCTTCGCTGATGTGCCGCCATTCAAGTCGACTAGCACTGTACACCATATCTCCATTTCGCAACGTCATATTTGGGTTTGGTGGGATATTCTGATATTTGGGTTGTTTTGTCTGTACTTCCTCTTGTTCTGGCTGGACAGCTGGCGAAGGTGCCATCCGCGCAGGTGTCGAGATCCACGTCTGCTTAACAGAATCATACATGCGCATCTTCTTCTCGAGCTCGTGCTGCTTTGTTGTTGTTGCAGCCGAGACACTACGTGAATCAGTGGCACTTGTCCAATCACTAAAATGAGACTTGGTACTCGCTCCGAAACCAGGTGCAGCAAACTTGTCAACGGGAATATTCATTGCTTCAAACCCACTGGGTTGTGGCACCAAACCACTGACTCTGCGATGCTCGTCTTCTTTGTGAAGCAGTCCACCAGATGCTTTTCTGGGATGGGGTGTAGTTCCTGCATGCAAAGACCCGGCAGTCGATGTACGATCTTCCGTGACGCGTGGAAGACCCTTTCCAAGACCACCGCCTTTCATGCGTAGTCGTGCCATCACATCATTTGCATTGCTGTAAAAGTTTTGTGTGGTGATGCTGCCCTTGGGTTCATGTTTCGGACGTTTCCGTTCAGGTCCCATGTCGTGGTCTGTGACTTCTGTTTGCGCTGACACACCAGATTGATGAGACTTGCCTGTACCGTTCTTGCTGGGTTGGTGTGAGTCGACTTCTGGGGAAACTTCCTCGGGAATGGGTTCCGACTGCTCTGCGACCTTTTGTAGCGCTGGCGTGCGTGAGCCAAGGATGTGAATCATGTCTGAGAGTTTGTCATTGGTGAATGTATCGTACTCGTTGTGAAAGAGCTTCAGCGGTGATTTGGTGGGTGATTGCATTCCCAGCGAGACAGGTTGACGAGGTGTCATTGCTGTGAGTGGTGATGTGAATTGCTCTGGTGACCGAGGCATCGTTGCAGCAGCAACAGTTGTAATGGCAGCAGAAGACTCGTCCTCGACCCTTGCTCTCGCTTGCGACTCTGGTCTGAATGGGAAGGAAAAGTTGGCGTAGATCCCATCCGCTGATCTGACTGTCCCCGGTCGCGTCTCTTCGCCAGAGGTCGCCTGCTCTTCCTCCTCGGCTTCTTCCTCGGCCGCTGCTTCTTCCACCATACTTAGACCTTCGTCAACATCACTGGGCGGCTGCATGAACATTCGCTCGAGGCCCGTCTGCGGCTTTGTAAAGATATCGCGCCCGGCAACTTCATGGATGTTGGACCAGTTTGCAGGCTTATCGCTCAGTACATTGACACTGCCAGAAAGAGAACTTGAGCCTTGGAATCTGATCGTCGGTGGACGTTCCCGCTCGATCCATTCCTGCGAGAGGTCTGCCTGTTCTTCCATGTTTTGTATGCTTGGATGGTCTCTTGTTTTGGTCGCGGCCTTTTTCTTGTTTTTGGCAACGCGCACTTCAGATGGACAGCACACACCAGACCAGACAGCGAGTATCAGTTGCTGCTACTATGGCATGCGCAGCCTCAGCTGCATGCACACAGGTCTTTGACTTTGATGATGAGCCTCCAAAAGCCAGGCTGAGTCTCACAGCGGCACAACCGATTTCCTCTGGAGCGAAACGCCCAAACAGGACCTATGGCAGATTCAAGCGTTCCATTGCGCCGCCTACAGAGACCGATTTGTATCCTACCAGACCTACGGTGACTTCAAACTGACTGAAGTATTAGTCGTCCCCGCACTGTCGAGAGTGCCAGGACGAAATCCACAAAATCGGCCCAGAAGCGGCCCCTGGATCGGGTGCGTACCAGTGGAGACGAAGACGACGATGAAAGTCCACCACGCTACACACTGCAGTTCATTCCTGCTGAAGACGCTTCTGCATACCATTCAGACGTAGGCGCAGGCAGTACGAGCGAACCAAATGAGCCAGGCGACGCAACTGACGACTCGCCGCAACGCCGATTTTCCCTCAGTCGATTGCACAGCCAGCTCAAGCTACCACAGCGAAAGGGTCTGAGACGACCCAAACGGATCAAGAGAGACTCTCACAAGAGGTCTTTGAGTATTGATCCCGAGTTGTGCCATCCAGGTACATCGAATCTTCAATTTGTACGACCCCACTCAATCTTTTATCAAGCTGATAGATGCAGGTCAATGCAGATGAAGCGGCATGGCAGAGACGTGATTTCACCAGGTCGCAAAAGACGCAGACTCGGTTTTCTCCACAAATTGCGGATGAAGTTGCCATCACGCGGCGTCCATGTGTGACTTGCGAACCTGAGGGCTTTAGCGACGACGACGCTTACCCTATCAATCCTGACACCAGCGATCGAGAAACAAGTCCAGTTGACCCGCAATCTGATGAATCAGACGAAGAAGATTCTGGGGCAGAAAAAATTGTGCCGTCATCTGTTTTACAGAAGGACTCAGCTCAGAGCATCCTGCAAAGCCAAGGCAACGCAGCCAAGCGTCTCAATGATCGTCACGCACAGCTTCTCACTCGTCGCTTGTCCAGCAGACGAGTTAGTTTTGTTCAAGTGCCAGCATCACCGAGTCCCATTCCTCAAGTTCCGCAGGCGATTTTGCCCGTTGTTGTTGACACGCCCGCGACAGCTGTCCCAGTACGCAAACGAGCAATCAGTCTGCGACATGACCGATTCGTCCCACCAAGCGCTGCTACACCCTCTGTCGAGCCTACTCAGTTCAATCGACAGGCTAATGCTGAGAGTATAGACACTTCCAAAGATCGAGGCAAGGTCGTCTGTCCAGCTCTCAGCCAACGCCGCATGACAATGGCAGCATCGAGACGCTGTACAAGGTCCCTGTCAGCTGCTGAAAATTCTTTCCAGCAAGTACGTCAGGCTTGGGATGCCTGATTCATTTGGCGAGCGGGTTCGCATGGATGGTGATACGCTCAATAATGATATCCTGCACAGGTCTTGACTTTTCATTCACTTCCACTTCTTCCATCGCATCCAGTACATTCAAGCCATCAATGACTCGAGCAAAGATAGTGAATTTGCCATCCAAGTGTTCATGCTTCTTGTAGCAAATGAAGAACTGCGAACCATTCGTATCCGGTCCACTATTCGCAAAGCTAACCATACCTCGTGCGGCATGTTTGAGAGACGGATGAAACACGTCCTTGAACTTCCCGCCCCAGATCGACGTGCCCTTCTTGATTATACCCTTTTCATTGGGAATCCCAGCTTGCACCATGAAATCCTTTATATTTCTGTGAAAGATGGCGCCGTCATATTGGCCTGACGCAGCAAGCGCGAGGAAATTGTAGCATGGCTTTTCAATGAGCTCACAGAACAGTTCTAGCTTGATGTCTCCGAGCGTCGTATGAAGTGTCACAGACATGACTCCGTGTCTAGCAGTGTATGGCGTGCGAAGTACTTGCTTGGCCGTGATGTTTGTAGTTCTACAGCAAAAGTCGCATCTACAGTAGAACTACAAATCTACCACACGACTCATGAGCTTCAAGCGTCGCGAGAAGCCTGGTAGTTTAGCTTCCTCTGCTGCAAATGAACAAACTACTGCTCGTGGTATAAGACCTTCTGCTGCGAATGGAGCACCCGTCACGTCAACAGGCTGCCCCTCGCTCGATGCAGTCCTCTCTGGCCATGGCGGCCTACCCACCGGCTCACTCTTTTTCATTGAGGAAAGTGGGACCACTGACTTTGCGAGTGTCTTGCTACGCTACTTTGCTGCTGAGGGACTTCTTCAGGGCCATACAGTCTGGCTCGGGGGCGGCTTGCCGGAATCCTGGTTCAGATCTCTGCCACTCGTCACAGACAAATCAAGCAGCACAGAGAGTAGTGCATCCTCGCGCAATGCCGCAAGCAGTGCAGCTGAACAAGAACGCATGAAGATTGCATGGCGTTATCAATCGCTCCCTGACTTTGGCTCTGGTGTCCGCGAACGACCGCCAACCACTTCACAAGAAACTCAACCAGGCTCAGCGAAAGACCTTTACTGCCATGCCTATGACCTGACGAAGCGTCTGACGCTTGCACCAGAGATGCAATATACAGTTTCGCCGTCCTGTGCACCCTCTTCAGCGACTGGCAGTGCTGATCCATTCGCGCCGCTCCTCGCTTCACTTATCCAAACACTCACTGAAACGACAGGCTTCATTCGAGCAGTCATTCCATTCCTCCTTTCTCCAGCGCTCTACCCACCAGGAGCATCTCAACCGCGGCATTTCATCCGGTTCCTCAATAACTTGCGACTCGTCTGTCGTCAATACCCACATCGCATAGCCATCATGGCGACGTTACCGTTAGATTTGTATCCACGCAACACAAGCATGACGACGTGGGCAGAGATCTTATCAGACGGCGTCTTGGAACTCACGCCACTTCCAAGTCCTACTTCAGATGTAACAGCACTAGAAACGTCTTCTATGAGTATGGCAGGTGATCCGACAGGCCCGCAAGGATTATTGAAACTCATCAAGATCCCTCAGCTCGAGAGATGGTCTGCCGGGAGTGAAGTCGATCTTGCCTTTAAAGTGACACGGAAACGCTTCTCCATCGAAGCATGGAGTTTGCCTGCACTAGGCGAAGAGGAAGGTCGGGAAGGAGGCGGAGCACTAGGTGGTGAAGGGCCGACCAAGGCAACCAAGATTGATATCAGTTTTTGATCTATACCAAGATATCTCTATTTTGCTCACGCAATGCCGCTGGGACGGAGGTGGTTGGCAAGGACCCAAGCTCACTAATGCAGAGCGTAATGTACTTTGCCGGCGTAATGTCATACATGATGTTGAGCTTTCGAACAAGGCTCATTGGATCCGTGTCTTCGTCTCCCGCTTTTGACGGACCTGTGCCTGATTTTGCATCTTCTTTGCCAGCGCCTTTCCCACCTTTTTGGTCATCCTTGCCCGCTTGCTTGCCCTTGCCAGACTGCGTGGGCTCTGTTGAAGTCTGTCCACTTGCCTTGCTGTTCTTGGCGGCCTGTGGTACATCCATACCTGTTGTACGCCCAAGCTCATTAATGACAAAAGAATCAAGCTGTACACGATCTCCGAACTTGTAAGTCTCACAAGCAACCATGACGGGTATATGTGCTTCATAGCACGCCATACTGACTAGTGCAGTGCCCGCACGACTGTACAGTGCACCATTCGCAAGAACGGCATGGGCACCTAGTAAACACTTTGTGACGGATTTGAGCGCATAAGAAAGTCCAGTGAGTTGAATGTAAGTGACGGGTATTCCTCGTGGCAATCCGACCAAATCGTCCTTCGTCGTACCACCCACGCGAGCAGTCGTCAAGGCATCAAGCATCCGTCGTCCCTCGAAATTCGGACGAGAATCAGCAACAACCACACTGAATCGTGTCCCTTGCTCAGCGGCTGCTAATAGGATTTTCAAGACAATCGTGGAGTGTGCATAGACAAGAACAACATCTCCGTCTGAGATGCGTGGCGTTGCAAGTTTTACGATGACTTGGCCAGCGACGGTGATGCGCTCACGCTTGAACGTCTCGATAAAATCGAAAAGCTCTTCCTTGAGATCGTCATCGGGCTTGTCGATATCGCGCGTTGAAATGGCTTGTTTGAGGAGGCGGATTGCAGTGCCCATGCTGACACTCAATGGTCTCGCTGTGATTAGATAAGAGATTTGTGTAGACAAATAGGGAGAAAGGTTGCGAGACAGCGTTGTACCCGACGGAGTAACATAGTCTGCAATGAGAATCTTGAAACAATCGAGCATCGCAATGCATCGTGTATTGCTACCGATACAATGACCATGTGAATAGCGCAATGCCAAAGCAACCGTCTCGGGATGAATATCGCGCGATACATGCTCAGACGTCAAAAGAGGCCGTCTTTCCAAATGTGAGAAGAGTGAATCACGGGCGGGTTCTGGGATGGTGTGCTTGGCATGAGTTGTAGTAGCGGCTGTTGGTGTCGCCGCCGGTGTCGCAGACACAGACACAGAGACTGGCGCTGCGCCAGCTTTCCCACTTGCGGCAGCATCCTTCCTTGCACTGCTTGCCTGTCCCTCTGCCTTCTTCGCACTCGCAGCAGCTGCGGCCGCTTGTTGCGCTTCAGCAACGGCGCCTTCTGGTAGATTGGCTTGCTTTTCTGCTACTTTGGCGGCTCGCCGCTGAGCCTTGAGCTCCTTGGCTGCCTTCTTATCGTCGACCATGAGATGCTCTCGTCTGCAGCGACTGAAGCTCAAGACAGAGATGGAGCGGGTTGACCTTGATCTTGTGCAGTTTTCATGAAATTTGGACGAGAACGCGACAAAGAGACACAGACAACCAGACAAATGGTCAAGCTTGCGCTCTTCCTCAAGGCGACACTAGACGGCGTCACAGACCTACAGCCTGATATCCCGGCTGACACGCCAGAAGAGTATTACTATAGTTTCCAGGTACAATGTGTCAGTTGCCGCGAGACACATCCAAATCATGTTGCCGTTAGCAGGCACGAACAGAATGAAATGCAGGGGAGCCGTGGAGAGTCCAATTTCGTTTGGAAGTGTCGGAACTGTGGACGAGAGTCGTCTGCCAATATCGAGGGTCCTCCGGCTGCGTGCCCGTTGGAACAATCCGGGAAGAAGGTCAAGATGTTGGTGTTTGAGACGCGTGGATGCGAGTTTGTTGGATTCAAGGCGGATGTATGTGCTCTGCAATGCTAAATACCGGCTAACAAGCAGGGCGATTGGATGTGCAAGGGTGAGAACGGCAAGAGCACTTTTGGAGCTATTGATCTTGGTGAAGGGGAATGGTATGACTACGATGACAATGCCGGGGCTGAAGTGTCCATCACAGAGGTCGAGTGGTCTATTGAGCGGACAAAGTGATGAGGCCGGGTGCGGTTGTCAGCTTTGATCTTACTCATCCGAGTGCGGTTCTCGAGACATATGCAGGACAAAAGGAAGACATACCGAAAGACTGACTTGCGACTGTATGCGGTCAAGGTCAGCTCAGCATCGTCATATGAGACACTTGGACGGAGGCCCTTTGCTCTGGAGTTGCTCATCGAGTGCCAACTGAGTCGCTTCATCTTCACCTTGCTTCGACGCTAGGTCGAGTTACTATTGATGCAGTCAGCGGTCATCTTTAAATTTATACTAGGCTACCTACATCATCAATTTCGATGGCTTCCAATTTAAAGGCTTTCCATCGGAAGATATCTGGGTGATCTGAGGGATATGAGACATCGAGAAGAAGGTGACAGGAAAGTGAGCCAATCCCCTGACTTCGAGCCAGGTTTCAGATCGGCCAAAACCCGAAAACGACATCTGCCAAAATCTAAACACCACATCCTCCTCGACGCTTTACTATTCTGTCGCTGGCTTCGGCTCTGTCGATACAGCTGGCACCGAGGCAAAACAAATATCTGAATCACTTATCCCCGCTGTCATTTCTGCTCCTGAACGCGATTGCTTAATTGTGGTCTAGGAAACATCTTGACTCAAATTGCAATGTCGCCACCTAGCTATACTGTCTTCCACTTACCATGCATCTGACCTGCCAATCCCACAGTGCTTCTATGCATTTGCTGGTTATGCTTATCTGGCCTTCATGCCCATGCTTTAGGGTATTACCAAAAGCATACCAGCCCCCATGCAGATTCAAGCACTCGTCCTCTTTGCATCTCTAGCAGCAGCTCTGCCACCCAAACCCATTGTCACATCAGTCGCCAAGGCCAGACCTGCTGCACCCACGACGACACCCCCTGCAGCACGCATCCAACCTACCACTTCTACAAAACTTTCATCATCAACGACAAAACCATCAACGACCGTGGTAGCCATTTCGAATGCCGGCAACGTCGCAGCTGCTCCTACAACTTCATCTGCAGTGGTCCCTATGAATCAATTGACCCTGCCGTTCGCCAATCAACCGGCCTTTGTTGACGCCATGTTGGATGCGCACAATACCTACAGACAACGCCACGGGGCAGCCAATCTCACGTGGAACCCAAATCTCGTTCAAGGCGCTCTTGCACAGCTCGCGACTCAGCAATTTGCTCATACGACCAACAACCCGTATGGAGAGAACCTCGCATCCTTCTACAGAAATGATTATGCTCGACCTCCGGTGAATAATCAAAACCCAAGACAACAGGTGCAATGGTGGTATGATGAGGTGAATGTGTACAACTTTAGTGCACCAGACTACTCGCACGCTACAGGTCATTTCACACAATTGGTGTGGTTGGATACGACGCAGTTGGGGTGTGCATGGGATCAATTGAATGGTACCGACGGTGGATATACACGGCGTTTAACGTGTGAATACTGGCCAAAGGGTAATTATCTCGGTCAGTTTGGGGATAAGGTGTTGACACCGAGGGGACCTGTGCCTGCTCCTCAGCCGACGTTGCTTTGAGCGTCACTGTATAATCAAGGGTTTATAGGTGCGTAGAACGAGCGAAAGCGTGTCATGTGTAATGAATGAGGGATCGAACGGTCCTTAAAAATCAATATGAACAGCTGCAAAATGCTAAATGACCCTTGGTGAATGTAAGTAAGAGAAAGAATGAATGAACAAGGGAATCAAAGATAGACTGGCTGTTGAGGAGGTGTGCCGGTAGCAGGCGCAACCTGTGACGCAAATTGACCACCATAGTTACCGGGGGTCGAGTACTCACACGTCAAGAACCTGTGATTTGCAGTGTAGTCGTCATATCCTCGGTCCCAGGCACACCCAACCTGCGTCGTGCCCTTCCAAACAACCTGCGTGAAATGTCCCGTTGCCGAGGAGAAGCCAGGGGAAGCGTAGTTGTACTGACTAATCTCGTCGTACCACAGCTGAACAGCATGTCTGGGATTCTGGTTGTTGGTGGGAGACATGTAAAAGTATGCGAGGTTCTCCCCATAACCTTGATTGCTGTGCGCAAAGACATGGGTATCGAGCTGTTTCTTTGCAGCATTGGCAAGATCAGCGTTCCAAGTCAAGTTCCCCGTCCCTGTGTGGAAGCTGCGCATGGTGTTGTGTGCAGAGAGCATGGCTTCAATAAAAGCAGGTTGTGCAACGAATGGCAAGGTAAGCTGTGAGAGAGGTGTATTGCTGCTGGTAGTACTGCTTCCCGCGACATTTCCTGCAGATTGAACAGGTGTAGAACGAGCGACTGGGGCGGTGGTGGTGATTCTGGCAGGACGTGCGGCTGCTGCGGTGGTGGTGATGCGAGCTGGTCGCGGTGGCGCTGCTGCTGCTAGTCCAGCTAGAGACAGGAGCGTCGTGAAAGGAAGATGCATGGTATGCTGAATGCTCGAGAGTTGAGTAGACGATGGAGAGAGTGTGATGCGCTATATGTAATGGAGTCCAGTCCAGTCCAGTCCAGTCCAGTCCTGTCCATGGAGGAGGCTGCCTCGAGTCGCCACCTGGGATTCCGGATGCGGCGAGGGGAAGCAGCATTCAGATGGATAACTGCGCAGGTGTACTGTACGGCAGTGTATACACCCAGTATCAGCTAGAATCGAGTGATCGACACCAGGAAGCTCGTCGGCATCTTCCAGGTCAGATCGTGGGCTGCTAGGCCACCCCAACTATGCCTGCACAACGTGCTTGAACCCTCGCTCCCGACACACATCCAGTATCACAGCCAATCTCGCTGGATCCACTGGGCCACTTACGATCCCGCTGCCGCCAGAAATGACACGATGCCCTCCAATCTCGACACACTGCACCGTCTTTGCATCACCAGGCTCAAATCGCACCGCTGTGCCCGCCGGGATATCCAGTCTCTTACCATATGCTAGCCCACGGTCCATTGAAAGAGCTGGGTTCGTCTCAATGAGATGGTAGTGTGAACCAACTTGGATAGGCCGGTCACCCGTATTCGTGATGCGCAGAGCAAAGCGCTGCTTGCCAGCATTGAGCGTCACCACCTTTTTGCGATGGTACACGGCACCTGGCTGATTGAGTGGTAGATAAGCCTTCTCCTCCGCCAAGATAAAGAGGCTCTGATCTGGGACAGGTAGAAAAGATCCATACAGCGCATTCACGAGATCACCATCGTCTGAGCAGATGGGTTGATGCACAGTGACAAGATACGTGCCGTCGGGGAAGGTTCCCTCCACCATAATTTCATGTAGGCTAGCGACAACAGAAGGCAAGACATGCCGCCTCCCTAGCATTTGCTTACCCAGCGACATGAGCTGGGCAACACTGTGGTTGCCATCGCGAATACGTTCTTGCAGTTGCGAGGCTATTAAAGCTGTAGCTTCTGCGCGGTTGAGCTGTACTCCACGCGCTAGTCTGCGTTGTGCAAGCTGACCTACTTGTGTAATGATCAGCTTATCGCGTTCTCTTGGTGCAAGATGCATTGCAGCGCGTAAGTCTAGTAGCTACTATGCGGTTGTTCAGAGACGAGGTCGAGGTCGAGGTCAAGGCTGGAGATAAGGATCGAAAAGAACAGTCACATTCTGATTACTTCTTGATAATCTTATGGAGCGGCTCAACACGCTGACGACGCGAGAGACCTGTTGCAAGCCTTGGCTTGACTGCGATAGGTAGCGCTGTGCTTGCGGCATAATTGATGACCCTTCCAGATCCCAGATCTGACACCACTTTGACGGGAGACACCGTGATAGTGGTTGCTTGGGCTGTGCGCACCTCCAAGCTCGATCCTGCCGGACGAACTTCCGAGCTGACGACTGTAGGCAGATTCATTTGACTGATGGAGGCCTGCAAGGGCTTCCTTCCAGCCTGAGCCAAGCCACGAAGCACCTCCTGTGCAATGGCTTGATTGAATGCCATTTGTGGGGTGACCACAACTTTTACATTCATTGGTGAAGGAGGGGTTGGCAAGCTTTTCCCGATCGTTTCAACGTCTGCACTCGACTTTGTAGTCTCAAAAGGTGATCTTGCACCAGTTCTTTGCTGAGCAGACGTGAGCGGCATTGCTTTCGGCTTGGATGCTTCGGGTGAGACAGGAGTTAGCATACTCGCTATTGCGTCCTGTTCAGTCTTAGATGATGAGATTCTCCTTGCCTGAGACGATGCATGCGTAATAGACTTGGACGCTTTCGTCTCTTTCGGCGACCCTTTCCTGGCAACCGCTGGCGTGACTTTCTTCTTTATGATGAGCTCACTCTCGCTATCAGATCCATTTGAGTCAGATGAGCTGAGGGGACCTGCACAATAGTCATCAATGGTCCGACGCGGTGTAATCTTCACGGCTGCACGCGGCACCACACCTGGTACTTTCGCCGACTTGCAAGATTCATTCAGTCGCGTGTTCTTCTCGTCGGGCTTCTTCTTGACCAGACGACGTTGTGACGTACCCAAGTCTATCAGATCCGAGTCTTCGTCACTTGAATTGATATACTCTTTCGAGAACACTTCCTTGACCTTTTCCTTACGCGCCGGTTCTCGTTTTCGCTTTTTGCCAACGGCTGGCTCTGCTTGGTGTTTGACGGCTGGATCATCAGGAAAGTCATAGATCTTGTCGTTCTTCATGTTACACGCCGGCGCATGGTCGTCATCCGATTCAATGTTGATAACTTGCTGTGTTGCCTTTTTCACAGGCATGACTCGTTTCGCTGGAGCGACGACCACGGAGCTACTTTCATGCTCGCTGTCGCTTTGATCAGAGTCTGGGACGATCAGAGGCGACATCAGGCTCCATTCATGCGCAGATAGCTTCCCTTGGTGCGTGTCTGTGTTTGTTTACGCGAATTTAGGAAAATTGTACAACGCGACGAGATACACAAAGTCACTCTATATACCGAAAACGAGCCTCGTCAGTCTTGGGGCCAGGTCAATGGCAATCCAGCCAACGCCCGTATACACCACCAACTTCGTCACCACCTCGACATCATATCGAACACGCGGCTTCTCAATCGTCCCATGCATCTGTCGCATATCCTCCCGTTTCGCACCTTCATAATCCATCGTTGCGTCATTACTCAAACGGCGTTGCTTGTCCCGTACATCCACCGCTTCGAACAAGTCTGCTGCAGATTGAGGTCCCACGCTATCCGTTCGTGGACGTCGAAAGTTGCGTACAAGCGTTGGCAGTTCCTTCATGCTGGGCAAGACTTCATCTGGAACACCTTCGGGAACAGTCTTGTATTTCGTTGCAGAGGCAAAGTCTCGACGTGGATAGAGAAAGCCAGCTTTGCTGAGGTAGCGATAGAATGGTGGAAGGATCGTAAAGAGAATCGGCTTCATTGTTGCGCGCCAAGCGAGAATGAAGAGGACGCCGAGTAATACACGTAGCAGTCCTCCAGCAATCGAAAGACCAGGTGACGACATGTACAAGTGTCCTGGATACGACCCTGTTGCATTGACATATGGATCAGCAGAATACCGCCAGAATCCAAAATACTGCCCAATCACCACCCCTGCAAAGGCAACACCATCGTCAAAACACGGACAGGCATCTGCAGGTTCTGGATGAAGTCTGACGAGAATGATGATGGAGATCAGGAGGATAAAGACACCCAAAGTGCCTGGTACGGAGATCCAGCGTTCAATGATGGGTGTAGCAGCCCATCGCGCCCAGCCTATACTGAAGCCTAGGATAGATCCTGCAATCACGTCGGAAAAGCCATGCATGCCGCAGTAGAGCCGTCCAAAGACAATCGTTGCTGTGTAGAGCGCCGTGAAGCATTGTAGAGCGAGTTTGGAGGATGCACTGCCTTCATATTGGGAGAGCATTGCAAATGCATAGAAGGCCACGGAGCATGCATTGGTTGAGTGTGAGCTCGGAAAGCCATATTCTAGCGCGGCTGACCCAGACATGTTTATGCGGTGCAATGGCGGTGAAAGCGGTCGAGGTAGACAAAAAAAGTCCTTGATGAAGCCACTGAAGAAGATTCCCGCTGCTAGTGTATCTACCATGGCATTCGCAAAGCTGACATTGCCGAACCAAAATATCATTGGCAGAAAGACGAGAAAGGCAGTGTGTGTCCCGGCATTCGCGGTATAGACAAAGTAGATGTCGAGAAAATTGGTTCGATACTTTTTCTGCAGCCGTGCAAGTATAGGCGTCTCTGCACGAATGATGGGGAGCAGCCTTGCACGTAGACTGTAGCGCAGACTGCTCAGTCGTTGTTGGTAGTGGTTCTGTGCAGACAAGCCGGCCTTCTTTAGGTCTGCGGCTTCCTGGTACGCTGGAATAGAGTAAGAAGACGCATTGGACAGGTCACGAACGAGTGACATGGACGTGGACTCAAGGCTGCATCCACAGACAACAGATGGCCCAAGTCGCGCGCGTGTTGCCCGAGATCTTGCAGCACGAATCAAATCAAAATCTCGCTACAACCATTCAGATGACACGGTAACTACGTGTACAAGGGCTTCACCACCAGCTGCCTGTCCATCTCCTCGTGTCGCTCTCGTACTCGCCCTCCAAATTGATGACAATCTCTCTTGTTGGACGCATATCCACTTCAGGATCGCTCGACACCGTGTAGACCTGCTGACGGGCATCATACTCCAACACACCCATATCGCTCGAGGTGATACGCTTGTCGCTTTTGAATGTAAAGAACCAGCCTTCACGAATCGGTGCAATACCAACAGCATGCGCACGTAGAGTAATCCCAACACGATCGTCACTCAACTTGTGCGACGTAATCACCGTCTTGACTTCAGGCTCCACCTCACTTGCATCCATCGAAGCATCACGTTTCATGTGTGTCTTGCCAACAATACCACTGCATTTGACTTCAGCGCCATTGATAAAGTCGCAGTAGATGTTGCTGCCTGAACCAGCACAGGCCAGCGTTGCGCCACAGTCTCGAAGAATCCATTGTCCAAAGAGACATTGCGCGTAGCCGTAGCCATTGCATTGGTAGGAACCTTCGACGCAAGCGCCACCAGCGACGGGACAGGTGTTGTCGACGGCCACAGGCGCAGGTGCTGGTGCTGGTGCTGAGGCAGGAACAGGAGCAGGTGCCGGGGCTGGGACCGGTGCTGGAGCGGGCGCAGGCGCAGGCGCAGGAGCAGGGGAAACGTTACCATTCTGAGCGGGTGGCTGAGCAGCCGGAGTCGTAGCGACAGGAACAACAGGAGCGGCCTGAGTCACTGGTACAACAGGCACAGCTGGTACTGCAGCCGGCTGCTGAACATTCTCAGTGTAAACCACCAACAATGCATTATCACCACCACACATCTGGTCAGCATCGCCTTTGCATGGGAAGTTGCAGTTGTTTGCTGTTTGTGTTGGCTTGACATCGCCACAGTAGCATTCATTGTAGTACTCAGTACCAGCGTATGCATAGCCCTTGGATGCGCAGAAAGCCGAGCAGATGGCACCAGTCATGTTATCTGCAATCAAAGTAGCTTTGTTGAGGGCACGGCCAGTTGGGTAGAAGTCGAGGTAGCAGTTGGTAGCAGCTGGCGTAGATGGACCCGCAGGTACGGCTTGGGTTACCTGAACGGGCTGCTTGATGGCTGGCGCAGCTGCGTCAGGTGTAGCTTGCGCACTAGGTGTCTCAACAATTACAGTACCGGTGGATGTGACAACCACATTGATGGGCGTACCAGTGACGGCAGTCGTCTTTGGCGTTTCAGGCACAATTACAGCCGGTTTGGGTGCATCCGGCACGACAACAGGGGCACTACCGCCACCAAGAGCCTGTTTGGCAATCTGAGCATAATTGTTGCTGTAGCCAGCAGGGGTATTGGCATAGGCCTGAGAAGCATCCCACATCATGACACCACCGAAAGATTTTGGGTATGCAGCTTGCAAGTCCTTGGCGGCCTTGACCATGATTTCAGGAGCGACATAGCCGGTCCCTGCATTGGCGGCAGAAACAGCGGCAGCGACACCCAGGTAGAGTTTGACATCCTTGTTGACGGATACTTCCCTCGACCATTTGTCCCAGACATCATAATTGAAGTTGTTGTTGCCATACTGATAAAGGCCGCAGTAGTTGTTGTAGAACTGTATGAAGAGCATATCAAACCAGGAACCAGCCAGTGCGGTTGCAAGACTTGCATCAGGATAAACACACTGAGGTGCACCAGCAATGTAGTATTGCTGTGCCGATTGACTGGCGTAATGAGATCGCATTCGCGTGATGAATTCTGGGTAAAACGCAGGATTGTTGTTTTCAATGTCCAGGTCAAAGCCATCAACACGAGAATCTCCAAAAGGTCGAATACTGCTGCTACCTCCACCAAAGTAGTTCCATAGATCGTCGGCTACCTGCTGCGCCTGCGCAGCACTGGAGAAGCCGTAAGCGCCAGAAGCGCCGCCCATCGAGAGCAGAATCTTCTTGCCCGATGCTTGACACATCTTGATGTCGGCTGCGATCTGATCACAAGCGATCAGACTCGAGCCTGGAATCGTAGATCCACCGCATGCATTGGCAAAGTTAAGCTCGTACGCGCCAACACCGAATGCAGTCAAGAACGAGATGGGAATGACATCAACGGTAGAGTCTTGGCAATAGCTAGACAGTCGTTGCTGTGAGCCGGCCGAGTTTTGTCCCCAGTATACAACGAGATTATTCGTGCTTGACTGTGAAAATGCGCTTGCTGTAGCAATCAAGGCCGCAGCAGAAAGCGCTGTCGTAGAGTGTCGCATGTTGAAAAGAGTGTAATTATTTGAAGAGCAAAGAGCAGAGTTGGAGCTTTCATATGAGCGTATGATGGCCCCGCGGTACGGTCAAAGAGCAAGCTCAATCTGTCCGATTCTGTCATGAGAGACAAGAGAATTTCCTCATTATTGCCCATCTGGACGTTATGCCAGCCACATTGTACCTTTTTCGCGTCACTTTTGTACAGACGCGTCAGCGGGGTCTATATTGAGCATCTAGAGCCAGAATGTCACAATCATCATTGAAATATGGCTGTTGGGCCAGACAGATGGTAGGCGGCAGGTCGGGTCAGTGGATGTCATGCGTTGTTGCGGTTTGTCGAGCCAGGGGTCACTCAGGTCGCAGGCACGTGAAACTACTGTTGAAAGGTGACAGTCACATAGCAAATAGAAGAGCTTCTAAGTTACAACTACGACAGTAGCATGTCTCAATAACTTCATCACACATCGATAAGTAGACCTGTTGAGTAGCAAGCGCATGGTCTTCTCCTGCTCCTGTTCACGTTGTGGATATGTGCGCGTCTGATTGGCTGCAGCAGGACATCGGCTACGTCTCGCTTCCAAGTGACCGCGTGCAGTGGCGGCGCGCACTACTTGAAAGTTGAAACTTGGCACCCCCATTCCCTTGTTGACTGCCAAGCTCTGACCGCGCTGTTCATACACTTATCGCATACTTACGATGCGGCCTCGTTGAGTCTGCAGCAAGTGTTGCATCAGCATTTTAGACTCAGGCGACCATGAAATTCGGCAAAAAGTGCGATAGAACCATACTGACGCACACGCTAACTTAAGCTTGCCGGGCAACAAGGTACCGGAATTTGCAGCACATTACATCAACTACAAGGGCCTCAAGAAGATCATCAAGTCTTCTGAAAAAGATGAACGCAAGGAGACAGACTTGACGGCCTTCTTGTACGAGCTCGACCGCAATTTGGAGGACATCAATGAGTTCTTCAATCGGCGCAATGGCGACATCTTTCGCCGGATCGGTTTGCTCCGTAGTCGTTATGCCATCAAAGATGCATCTGATCTGAAGCGACTTGATATGCCTTCTGAAGATTGGGAGGAGCTTGTCGCGGCTGTGATTGACTTGCGTTCAGCACTCCAGAAACTGCTCTTTTATGCTGAAGTCAACAAGCAAGGTATGGTCAAAATTCTCAAGAAGGTAGAGAAGAAGACGGGCGCTTTGGTGCGCGAATCCTACTTGGAAACGAAAGTCAACATGTTGCCCTTTGCGAGTCCAACGGCGACGCAAGATCAGCTCCATGAAGTCAATCGCTGGCTAAGCAAGCTTGTACCAGATGGAAAAGAAGTGCTGCTAGCCGCTTCCAAGACAGATGATAGCATTCGCCGCGTGCGCTCCGTCGTGCACATGGGTCTTGAGGAAGAGCGCGCCAAAGCGTTCGAGACCATTATCAGAAACAACGATAGTGAGGCACTCAAAGAACTATTGGACACGACTGTGCCTGCAATCTCGGATAAGGTTCTGGCAAATCTGCTCCAGCAAGCCCTCTTGGCGCATTCCTTTGATGTCGCTCGCCTGTTCTTGGATCGCATGACATCGCTCATCATTCAGGACGACATCAACGAGCGCAACGTCATTCACAAGCTCATCATTGTCCAAGGCAGACGCATCTGCAAGACAAAGGACGGACAGTTAGGAGGAAGTCCGCTTGCACAAGAAATGTTCATCACACCGGCCATTGCGCCTTCTGGCAATCTCAGCTTGGGTAATGCCGCGCTTGATTTCGGCAGTCGTACACGAGACGACTACAGTGAAGACAGCCCTGCGGCACTCAAATTTCTGTTGAGTAACATGAAAGCAAGTATGCGCAGCACCCTCGTCCACCTCGATGCGCACCACAGATCCCCACTGCACTATGTCGCCGAGTATGGCCTAGAAAAGTGTGCACAGGTGGTCATCAGCTACATGCTTGCATGGAATCAGTTGAGTGCATCTGATTTGCTCGAAGCGCCACGTTTTGAAGATGCTGATGGATATACTCCAATTCACCTTTGCGTCAAGCACAAGTATCCAATAACGCTGGGAGTCATGCTGCGTGCCAACAATCATGACAACAGGCAGACTTACGAGCTCCGCAAGTACCAAGGATCAACAGCTGTCAATCCGATCACACTAGCCATCGGTGCGCCAAACATCATTCGCGTTCTGTTAGATGCCGGCGTAGACGTCAACAAGCAGAATTATGAAGGTGAAACGGCGATGCACGCCGCAGCTAGGCTTGGCGACGTCGACTCGATCCAAGAGCTTTTGAAACCCAATGATCTGCAAACGGTCAATCTCTCTTTGGCTGAAAAGACGTATGGCTGGACTCCGGTGTTCGTGGCAGCTGTGGAGGGGCATCTTGAGGCTGTGCGCATTCTAGCACACGCAAGAAAAGCCCTTGATCAAGTGGACTTATCTGGATGGACCGCAATGGAACACGCTGTCTTTCGTGGCCATATCGAATGTGGCAAAGCGCTTGTGCCCATGAGTCCACCGGGCCCGACAAGCGTCTTTGAGGGCGTGCGACCACATATGACACCGCGTCACAGTAGTAGCGAAACTCGGGACGGGCTGACTGGAAAGGTTCAACCTGTTAAGTCTTTTGGTCATCGTTATCTTAAGGATAAGTGTATGATCATCGTCACCCTTGGCTCCACCGACTCGCGTCGTGTGCGCAGTCCAATACAGCTAGACAAAGTTCCTATCGCCGAAGCGAGTAGCACCAGACTCGACACCGCGCTTACGCTGGTTGTATCAGCCAAGAACGCAGAAGGAGACGCCATATTCTTCGACTTGCCCATGAGCGATGCGCCAACAACGGAACCTATTCTCTTTACAGCTACGGATCCAGACAAGGTTCAGCTCTTGTTTGATATTGTCCCGACATACTCTACAGGAGGTGCTAAGCTTGGACGAGCTGTTGCCTTGCTCAGTTCAATCAAGACCAAAGTGGGCTCCAAGAAGGCCTCGCTATGGGGAGCTGTCACGGTACCCATTGTCGAGTCAGAATCGCTCAGCGTCATTGGTACAATTGAATTTGAATTCAGTGTCGTCACACCGTTCTCGCACCCACAAATCTCGATTGAGAAGGAGTCGACTTATTGGAAATCGCTCATGACAACGCGTGTTATTGGACATCGTGGACTAGGCAAGAATCAGCCAGACCGCAAATCTTTGCAGCTTGGGGAGAATACTGTGCAGTCCTTTGTTGCAGCTGCCAACCTCGGTGCCAGCTATGTCGAATTTGATGTGCAATTGACCAAAGATCTTGTGCCCGTCATCTATCACGACTTTCTCGTTTCTCAGACAGGTATTGATGCGCCGGTTCACTCGCTCACGTTGGAGCAATTTATGTCTACCTCACAAGCTGAACGCCAAACGTCCGACTCGAGGAATCGATCGCGCGTGCATTCGCCTGACGCTAATGAGCCAAGGACTTTAAAAGAACGAGGCCGTTCTCGGAGTTTGAGCACACAGGAGATATTCTCCAACATTGAACGTATGAAGCATACAAGAGATTTCAAGCTGAAAGGATTTAAAGGCAATCAGCGTGGGCACTCTGTTCAAGATGACTTTTCCACTCTTGAACAAGTCTTCAAAAAGGTGCCCAAAAACGTCGGCTTTAACATTGAATGCAAGTATCCGATGCTGAGTGAGGCCGAAGCTGAAGAGATGGACAATACAGCGATTGAGATCAATCAATGGGTCGATACAGTCCTGCAATGCGTATTTGATCATGCCAAAGGGCGCGACATTATCTTTTCAAGCTTTCACCCTGACATTTGTCTTTTGCTGGCACTCAAACAACCGACCATGCCATGTCTTTTCTTGACCGAAAGCGGCACGACCTACATGTGTGACGTCCGCTCGTCCAGCTTGCAAGAAGCGATTCGGTTTGCTTCTCGATGGAATTTACTCGGACTCGTCTCTGCATGTGAGCCATTTGTCCTTTGTCCTCGACTCGTTCGCGTTGTGAAGGAGTCTGGCTTAGTTTGTGTGTCTTATGGTACGATGAACAATAACCCACAGCATGTCAATGCGCAAGTCAAAGCGGGTGTTGATGCAGTCATTGTCGACTCTGTTCTTGCCATTCGAAAAGGACTGACAAGTGAAGAAGCTGCTACAAATGGTCTAGGCGTGACGGCTGAACGCTCTGGCCCCAGTACGGGCCAGCTGACTCCAGAGAGCAGTGGAACGAGTGAGCCAGTCGTGGCGTGAGCATCAGTTTGGCGAATAGATCAAGATCTTATAGAATGGTTTACGAATAGAGATAACTACAAGAAAGAGAAGCTGTTGCAGCGCTAGAATTCGAGAAATGATATATGCTTAACGCGCCCGCGCGACAGCGTCATAGATCATCGACTCGTTGTATGGCTGCACATGTTCGTCAGGCAAGCCGCCGCCGACTGTAATGACTTGCGCTGGTGGAAGTGCCACGCCGAGACCGTATCGGCTGCTCGGCACACCATGGCTAGAGAATGAGTAATTGGCAGACGAAGTCTCGTTTATGGACGATGCTGGCGACTTGTTCAAGCCAAAAGCAGAGAGAGACAAAGCTGGCGAGTCAGACACTTCCTTGCGGAGCAGACTTGGGGGTGTCGGTGCAGTGCGCGGGCTGCTAAAGTCCAGAACGGGCAGCGAAGGGCTGGCAGTAGAGACAATCCTTGCAGGCGGCGTGACAGGAGCAGGTGGAGCGATCGTGATGCTTTCCTCGCTCGCAGAACGGACAAGCTGTTGAGCGGGACTGCCACGATTGATGGAGCGTGGAGATGATGGTCCGGCATGCGATCGCTGCACGGGCGAGCTCGCCGCATCGTGGAAAGATTGCGGCGACGCGGTCTGCGAACTAGCTTGCAGTGGAGGACTTGCAACATACGATGGGCGAGTCGAAGAAGCTGTTGCATAGCGCGGCTGTGGAGCATACATAGGCTGCCCGGCGTAGCTTTGTGTACCCGCGAACGATTTGGGACGAGGAGCTTCCAGAGCAGTCTTAGGAGTGAGCTTGATACCAGGATTCTGAGCCAGCAAGACTTTGGCCTGAGCACGGTTGATGCCTCGAATCTCAGCCAAACGATCAATCCTGTCTTCCTCAGCCTCAGTCTCTCGCTGTTTTGCTTCCCCCATTGGATTCAACTGTCGACGACCTTTTCCCTTCGTCTCGTACTCTCTGTCGAATTCAGTGGCACCTGAAGCAACAGGAGGAGCATTATCAAACATGCTGAAGCTGGTCGACTGTGGGCTGCGCGGCAAAAGCCTCGAGGCACCCTGCACAGTCTGACTGCGACGCTGTTGCAGACGTTGAGCTCGCTTCTGTCGTTCCCGAGCCTCCTTTGCTTCTACATCATCTGCATCAGCAGGGGCGAAAAAGTTGCTGGCACGACGAAGCATAATGCGAGGAGTGTTGAGAGCGCATCAAGGTTGGAGTGGGAGGACCTCTCTATATGCTGCATCCGGGGAATCATGTCTGACGCGAACCAGTGCCTGGAGTCTGACAAGCGGCCTGTCAGACAAGAAATGGCTGGCCAGAGTGTCTTAGGTTTTTTATTTCGGCGTCGCGCCAGCCTCCGCGTCTCGAGTCTCGACAACTTCCTGAGCTTGGACTGTAGCGTGCAAGTGAATCGCCGGCGAGTGCACGGCTTCTGCCCGTGCGTGTGGTTGAGGTGCAGAGAGCTCCATGACGAGAAAACTCCTTCATGTTGGTAGAAGTTCTGCGTTGGCCGCCGTGTAGCGAACGTCTCATTCTCACATGAATTCGATACATGTTCACCTGGGTAGCCAGTCAGCGCAGTTCAAGCTCTGCAACCTAGATTCAGCTGTGTCAGAGCCTAGACAAGAGACCAAAGCTTGGTGGCTCGTTGTCCGACACGCACAGCTAGAGTGCCGCAGGGCTACTGACTCTTAGGTGTTTAGAGTATACGCTAGCATAGCTAGCAGATCCGATAGGAAGCTAGACAACGATAAACAAGCCTCCAAGGTACAATTCAAGCTTCAATGCCATTTGATGAGGCCCGCCTTCATATCAGAGCTTGTATGCAATGGGAGATAAAAGGAGAGTATAGAGTACAGACACAGTTTGCGGCACCTGAAAAGACAGATCCAAAAATGACGTGAAGGGCGACAGAGCTTGATACTACATAGCAGCAATGAACTTCCTCAAGCGCTCAGCTCAGAGATTACAGCGGCAAGCCGTCGATGTACTGCGTGCTGACCCGACGCCTTCTACTGCGCGGCCAATGCCTCTATTCGAATTTCCCGCCGATGCAGACCGCATGATCACAGGATCCGATGCCGACTATCAGACTTCTACTTCTGTTGCTAGCATTCGAGCCTCGAAGGAGGAGGAAAGGCACAGAAGTATGGCATCAGCTGCTGCAGCTACAAACAATCCGAGTGATCCTGACAGCTACCTCACATTCGAGGGCAAGACAGCGCAAGATGGGTACGCTGCATTGCGATCCAAAGTCTCCGGTTCCTCCTTTTACGGCACAGAAACGTGGGATATCGGGCCCTATGCGAATCTATCATTACTCGTACGTGGCGATAGTAGAAAGTATTTCGTCAATCTGCAGACGGACAGCTACCTCGCAACCGATCTCTACCAGCATCGCTTGTTTCTACGGACGCCAGGCGAGTGGGAGCATGTTGTCTTACCCTTTGATGATTTTACACTCACCAATAATGGTCAAATACAGGATCATCAGGTTGCCATGGACAAGTACCGCCTGAAAACGATCGGTGTCAGTATACTGGATCGTATGCCAGGCAAGTTCAAGTTAGACATCAAATGGATTCGAGCTGCAAATCTTGCTGGTCAGGCTGCACAGCCGGATCAGAATGATGCGAATAATCTGTGAGATATTCACTATAGAAACTGACGTTACATACATTACGATTTGATCTTTCTTCATTCGTCCAGTTGATCACGAATACGTCGGTCATAAGTACTGAGTGGTGCAGACTCCCTTTCCTCTTTGGCAACCTCGTCAAAGGCACGTTGCGTCTGTGCCCATACCTGCTCTTCCTTGCCCCAGCCAAGGCGCTTGTCCGTGTCTGGCTTTGTAGGACATGCTTCCACGGTGTCCTCATCGAGTCCGGCCAGAACCTTGTCTTGCATCGTTGCCTCTTGAGGCTTAGTGGACTTGACTGCTTGCATTACATCTGCTTGTAGTGACAAGTGTTCTACAATGGTGTTCACCTCACCCATACCTCCTGTACCGAGATCGCCACAAGCCAGTCTCTTCTCAATCGGTCCAAGCAGCTCGAAACGCAGCGTCTCTTGAAGAAATTGCAAGTGGCCGGCAGTGAGTGGGTGTGTGAACATATGCGTGTTCATAGCAGGACAGGCAATAAGTTTCTTTCCCTGTATCGTGTTGCTTTGTTTAAAAGTCTGCGTTGCATGCGTCTTCGTGTGATGCATAGCTGGTGTAGGTTCTGAGAGCTGAGTGTAGTCCCAGGCACGCAGTACTTCAAGCAGCAATGTATCACATCGCCCACTATTGATCTTTGCAAGCGTATCTGCGCTCAAGGGTGCGATCAGCAGGATATCAGCCCATCGACGAATCTCAATGTGCAGGACGGGATCCTCTCGACTACGCCAAAAGCGATATTCGTCTTCATCCTTGAACACAGTGACGCCTTGTAAGCCACTATCGAGTGTATTAATCAGCGCATTTGGAGATTTTGAATCTTGCAGATTGAAGAAATGAAGCGAGTCATTGGAAGGGAGCAGGATGATATTGAACTTTCCAGTGGCATGTAGCTTGCGCACGAGCTCAGGCACCTTGATGGCGGCGATGGAACCTGTGCAGCCCACCACAAGATTGATCAGAGATGCGCCGTCCGAGGTTTTATTATCTGGCAATTTGAGCGTTTCTGCCATCAGTGCTGGCTCAGATTCGGTAAGGGCCAACTGGCCATGTGCATGGGCGTCAGGCTCCAATTGACAACTAACGAGATGACACAAAGGTAAGAACTCAGAATTATGATGCGGATTGCTAAAAAGACATTAAACTGTTGCTACATACGCCCTAGAGATACTGTGAAAACAATCATGCATAAGGTGGCGTGATATTGCCATGCAAGCCATGGATACATTCCTTGCCGCCATGCTTATTGTGCTGCTCAATGGCAACGGGAGCAATCGCCACTTCAGCAGCAGGTCCTGTTGCAATATCAGCAATCACGGCTGCGCGCACATCTTTCGCCACACCAATCACTTCTCCTGCCAATTGTTGTTGACCGACATCTGTCTGCACCACACGCGGGAATCGTGCCACTGCTTCAAGGTCATCCAAGATACCTTCGACATTGTTGCGGATGTATTGTTGCCGAGTATCAAAGAATGGCTGGAAATCCCAGTGTGTGACTTTACCTTTACTCAATGCATCGTGCACTACACGACGAGATCGCTGTGACTTGAGGACTTGTTGCGTCAAGGTTGTGATGTCCACACGAGACTTGATGTCATGCAGGAATTTCGCAGCAAGATCGCTGTACTCTGTCGAACTAGCAAGGTTGCTGCGTTCAAGTGGATCACGCTCTAAATCATACAGCTCAATTGGGTCCGTTGGGCAGTAGATGAACTTGTACTGTGATGTGCGAATCATGAAGAGCGGCGACACGGTGCCTTCACCCATATACTCACCCCTGACCAGATCAGTACCTGTGCCACCTTGCAAGTATGGGAAGAGTGAGTGACCGTCGAGTGGAATAGTGGGGTCAATCACACGATGCGCTTGTCCACCAGTCGCGAGATCCACGAAAGTAGGGAGGTAATCGAGTGAGCTGACACTCTCCTTGACACGTCGTGGAGAGAAGTGTTTTGGCGCATACACCATGAGTGGGATTCGTGCCGACATTTCATAAAAGGTCATCTTGTACCAAAGCGAGCGTTCACCCAGGTGATCTCCGTGATCACCAGAGAAGATGATGATGGTGTCGTCTGTCAATTGACACTCGTCCAGGACCTTGCGCAATTGGCCAATATTATCGTCCACATACGAGCAGTTGCCAAAGTACGCTCGGCGCGCGCGCTTCTTTTGCTCATCCGTCAGTGGTTTGTCCTTCAAGTCAATCACATGCTGCAATCGCTGTGCATGTGGCTCGAGCTCTTCATAACTTGGCTCGTGTTCAGGCAATGGAATGTCCACATCCTCATACAAGTCCCACCACTCTTTTCGCGTGGTGTAAGGGTCGTGCGGGTGCGTCAATGCGACCGTCAAGAAGAAGGGCTGTTCCACATTTCGCCGAGCGTGGTTGTAGAGGTAGTTTTTCGCGCGATACATGACTTCCTCATCATAGTCGATCTGATTGGAGCGTACACAGACGCCTGCATCCGTGACGGATGCCATGTTGTGGTAATAGTCGAGTCGCATGTCTGAAGAATCCCAATTGACCGACCACCCGAAATCGCCGGGATAAATGTCTGCCGTCAGCCGCTCTTCGTAGCCATGCAGCTGGTCTGCACCAATAAAGTGCATCTTGCCAGCAAGTGATGTATGGTAGCCAATCGAGCGCAGATAGTGCGCAAATGTCGGATCCTCAGACGAGAGCTGCGACGCGTTATCGAATGCGCCGATGCGATGTGGTAGCTGGCCTGTCACCATAGCAAAGCGCGATGGCGCGCACAATGGCGCATTACAGTACGCGTTGTCAAAGACAACTGCATCTTTCGCCATACTCATGAGATTCGGCATTTTAATGACAGACTCCTTATTGTATATGGGGAGAATGGGCGCGGCCATCTGGTCGGCCATGATGAAGAGGATGTTTGGGCGCTTGCCGCCTGCGCCGTTGCCATTGGGTGCTGGTGCAGCTGGCCTTGCTTGTCCTGAGTTGCTGCCTGTGCCTGCGACCATGACGAGTGTGATACTGGAAGGGATACTGAGTGTCGCGTGAGGTAGAGTTCAATGAAGGAGTACCGATATTTTTTGTTGACGGTTCCTGGAGATTCCGATTGTGGGTGACGAGCAGAAGTGCGTTTGACTGATGCTGAGACTGACCCTGGGTGGTTTCTGCGAAGAGGTAGAAGATATAGGCAGAGGTCAAGGAGGAAGGAGCCTTAGCCAGAAGGAAGGCCCTGGATGCGCATGACAAATAGGCCGCATAGGGCTCATGTATGGGGAAAAGGCAGTCACTGGGGGAAGAAGGCGACAGAAATTCCAGAACTGGCGCCATCTCGACACCAAAGCACACCATCACACACAAATCACGCCTTGTTCTGCTCATGTTGCGCTATGCAGGCAGCCTGGCACACTGCAGGTGTCTGTCAATGCAGTCGTGGCTATACAAAGCCATTCTTGCAAAGCGCACACCGTTCATTTCGAGGTTAGGTGCTGCCCAGCGGCTAGTCCGGGGCCCCGACCTGCAGCTGGTGTAAGGAGCCTATCTCCAGGCTACACGAGCTTAACTTTAAGCTCGAGAGCTAAGACTTCTACATCTGGGATTCGACCAGGAGCTCAAGACCAGCTGTGCCGACGTCTTGACCAAGAGCAGCCTGTGACATACGGCCCACATAAGTATATAACACGGAACACATGCTACAATGACTTAGCCTGGACTCTGTAGCTGACTGCAGCTGCTCCTCACCTTGGAAGCCCCGACTGGCGCAACTGAGTCTGATCCTGCAGATCAAATTTGACAGGTGTGCGCCACGATCCAGGAGCATGTGAATTGAGGCTGGTGGCACAACACCTCGAAAGTTGAAACCAACTTAGGGTCAGAACCATATAGTCAATCTTGACCTCTGATCGGAGACTGTGCTCCCTTGCTAGGCTTCATTGACCGCCGTCGGATATCTTTGACCAATACTGCTTATTCCAGTCTGATTGGTTAATATCATGCAGAAAGCTGAACTAGATGAGCTCATTCTCAATTACTTGGACTCCGTGGACACATACAGCTCATGTCAAACAGCGCTCGCTGAAGAAATTGCACAAGTAATTTGCCAATCCTAAAGCTGCTTTGCAACGGGCTAATACGCTTTAGGCATTCGTCAAGCTTGCTCGAGCGCGTTACCTAGGGACACAAGTGGATACGAGCAGCTTCAAACAGACTTATGATCCTCACATCACCACGTCAGTCAGTCTGCGTTTGAGAACCCAGCTAACCCACAAGTTCGACAACAGTGTCCAATGAGACCTCTGTCTCGAAAATCGCCGTCTGCATCAATGGTAAGCTCAGCTCGGCAGGACAAGATGTAGAGCCCAATTGCCACAGACAAGAATTGGACGGGGCCACCGCACAGAAGCATGGAACACACAAGGAGATGGAATCGCAAGAAAGTCCATTGTCCAACAAATATCCCCGTCCGTCTTCCCCGGTCGAGACTGAAGTTGAACTATCAGATGACCAAACACTAGAGCAGTTGAGTCAATTGCACTTAGCCTCTTCGAGCAAGCCTCAAGGCCATCCGTCCGCAAATGCGAGCGAGCCTGCGAGTATTCCGAGAAAGGCCAAGTCTAGTCGACGAGCACGGTCGGACCCACTCAATGCATTTGGCGCAATGCCATCTACTGCTGTCCGCGAAGCTCAACAATCTTTCATGATGGTCGTTGAGCGCAGTGTAGCCGCCATCAATGCACGCCGCGCGTTAGAAGAACATGAAGAGCTCGTTGCAAGCTACAAGAGGCTCAAGCCAGAGAAGTGACGATTGGGTAAACTATACACTAATCACGATGAGGGAAACAAAAAGGCGGCTTCAAGCATCTTCGTGCACAGGCAGCACGAGCCCAGCATCGATCTCGCATGGAGAATTGTCAAAATTGCCGCGCAACCAAACAGTCACCTTGCTCATAGCTTTCAACGTCGTCGTCACATTGCCAAGCTCAAATTCGACCGTCGCCGCATCTTCATTCTCGCTCGCTGCAATAGCGAGGGTTGCGATGCCTTGCTGTAGATCGCTCGTTTCCGCCTCATCATCGACCTGGGCACCAATAGCAAGAGGCGCAATGAGTGCTGCACGCTCGTCATCAGCACGCTTTGGGCCTCGTCGTTTCGACGAGCCTGGTTGCCCTGCATCGGCTGCGGCCTTCGCCATGGCTGGTGCATCGGCCTCATCCTGTCGTGCCTTGAGGACAGCGAGACGTCCAGCCGGTGTACGCCAAGTGACAGTCGTTGTCTCTGCATTCTCATCATGCACGAAACCGCCAATGGCAAGGGCCTTGTCATAATAGATTCGCTTCTCTAATGCCATACTGGGCACAATGATATCCAGAGATCTGTCCTTGACACTAACAATGATGGCTTCCACTTCGTACCCTTCATCGACACCTTGTTTGGCCCTGCGTTTGCATTCTTCCTCAATGAAAGCGCACAGGTACAGCATAGAAGATCGTTCCTGAGCTGTTCGTGCATTATCCTTGCGCACATTGCAATTCTTGGCCCAAGCCTCACATTCCTCTGACAGGAAGCCAGCGTCGAGGCTGCTTTGCGCTTCAGGGTCAGACTTATCTGCATTGTCGTATCGTAATGCACGATCAAGCAGACGGTGGACCACAACATCCGCGTATCGACGAATAGGCGAGGTAAAGTGCGTGTACAGCGGTACAGCCAGAGCATAGTGAGACCAAGTATCACTGTCTTCATGCAAACCAGTACAGATGTACTCTGCTCGTCGCATGCTGCGAACTGCCGTGTTTTGCAAAACAGCCACCACTGGATTCGTCTTGGCAAGAGCACCAAGCTTGACGAAGCCCTCTTGAAGGGTTGAAGACGACGAGGCATCAATGTCAATGCCAAGCCTCGCAGCGTAGTTAACAAACTCTTGCAATGGTCTATCCTTGGGTGGCGGGTGCATACGTAGCAAAGCGTGCTCCGGGAATGCATCCACAATCCTTTCAGCAACACTGATATTTGCCTTGAGCATGAATTCTTCGATGAGACGATTGGCATCTTTCAGCTCGTACACCTCTGCAACACCTGGGATACCATCCTTGTTGAGCTTAAAATTGAGCTTGAAGGCATTGATGGTCAAAGCGCCATTGTCGAACCGCTTCGCACGCATCGCCTTGGACATCCGAAGCAATGTCTTGACGTCTTGCGTAATTTCAGCTTCCGTGTGACCACCGTCAATGGCCTTGCCGACACCATCTGCCCAAGATTGGCCGTCAAGCAAGTTCTGCGCCTCGCCATAAGCAAATCGCACAGCACTGCGAATGACGGATCGTCCATACCAGCGAGGGCCGACTTCATTCCCATCTGCGTCCATCGTCCAAGTCACCGAGAAGGCGAGTCTATCAACAGCTGGGTTGAGGGAGCACAGCTCTTCACAAAGGAGACGCGGCAACATCGGAATTGCTCGCTGCACCATATAAACTGTTGTTGCTCGCTCTCTCGCAACCATGTCGAGTGCTGAATCTTGCTCGATAAAGTGCGAAACATCTGCAATGTGTACACCAATCTCGTATAGTCCATTGCCGAGCTCTCGAACAGATAGGGCATCGTCCAAATCACGAGCAGTCTCTGGATCAATTGTACACACGCGATCTTTCCTGAAGTCACGTCTGCGAGCAATCTCGTCGGGGGTAATGGACCATGGCGTAGCTGGCAGGCAAGCTAATGCGGATGGTGGATGGTCTCGCGTATCGACATCACAATCAGCGAGGATCGCAGCTGTCTCGGCTTCAATATTGCCCACCGTGCCGAGCTCACTCACAACACGTCCACGAGGGAATCGAGAAAACTCGCTCCAGACGATGATGCGTGCTGCATAGAGTGTCTTTTGCTTCTGCAAGATGTTGTGAACCCAGTTCCGGCCTTGCAATTCGCTAGGCAAATCTTGCTGGTGGAGCACAATGAAGGGAACGCGATTGTCTTGCGGCTGGAAGAAAAAGGTGCGGGCATGCTCCTGGTTGGCAATGATGGCTCGCTCATCTAGTTCCTTGCTGCTGATATCCCAGCCTGGCGGACGAATGATGCCTGCAATACGTGCCAATGGACGCGACGCAATGATATGCACCACTTTAGCACGAGTGCGTCCTTCGTGATTGGCTGCATTTCCATTTGTCGTCGAGGCATTACCCTGGGCTTGGACAACTTCGATGATGACTTCATCGCCATTCAGTGCACGATTGCGGGCCCGATCGCCTTCAATGAGAAAGTCGTCATTGACTGCCTTTGTCGTGATGGAGACCCATGCATCTTTGCGAGCCTTGGGACTGATACGCAGAGTGCCTTTATGGAACTTGCCAGACTTTTGTTAGTTTTATGTTGCACGGGATTGTACATACGTCAACTCCTTCCAATGCTGCATCTTTGCTGATGTAGGCATCGAAATACTGCCTACTGTTATTGCTAGGCAATTCATTGACTTTGGTCTTTTCAGCACTTTGGGCGTTTTGATTGCGGTCTTTGTTCACAGCGAAAGCCCTGGCGGCCTCATTCTCATCAGCCGGTGATGCAGAGGCAGCATGGGCAAGCTTGTGCTGAGGTTCCTCTCCATGTGCGCTGCTGGAGCTTTCCTCCTTCGTCGCAATTGAGCGCTTGCTTGGTGACGCTCCGTTGAGTTCAAATCGGCCATGTATACCACGGCGAGCACCGTATGCAAAGGGAGGCACCTGTGAATTGCCCCCGATCCTAGGTGAGCCGTGGGACGCTCTCTGCTCAAGTCGCCCATTGCGTGCTCTGGACTCAGCTGACCGAGCTGGCTGCGCTGGGTGGCCATTCGTTGGTGCAGTGTGCGCAACCAAACCCATAGTCCGCGAATATGGCGCAGCCTGCGCGAATGATGGACGTGCATCTGGCACTTGAACACCCGGAGCACGAGCGATGGTAGCTTCGTACGAGATTGACTCGACGGGCTGCGCGGGTACGTCTGGAAATGCATCTGTACTAGTTTGAAACTTGGATTGAGGGACTGCTGAGTTGGCAGGCTCGACGAGCTTAAACTTTGGTGTCTTTGGCGAAGCTGTTGCGAGGACTGGATTGGCAGACACAGGAGCGGCATCCGGTCCCAGCAGGCTGTTCTCAGCTTTACGAGCATTGGCCTTTGCTTTACGTGCCTCCTTGCGATTGAACTCCTTCAGTCTTTTTTTGTTTTTCTCCTCGTCGAATGTCCCAGGTACAGTTGAAGTCGCATTGCTCGTTTCTGCGTCGCCAATGGTGACAGGCTTGATTGTGCGACTACCTGCCTCTCGCTCGAGCTTCTTGCGAACAGCTTCTTGTCGCAAGAGCATGAGCTCTTCAGGCGTCATCTGAGCCAAATCATCTGTAGTCAAGACAACTGGACTGGGAGCTGCCGGTGCTCGTTTGACATGAGCGCGCGACCTTGACGCTGATGCAATGGGTTGAGGGGCAAAATTAAGAGCCTTGGCAGGCCCAGAGGAAGCATGTAGCTTCGAATGATTCTCATAACCAGTCGAGCCCGAAGCAAGGCCATTGGGTGCCTGAGCGCCAGTATCAAAGAGAGCCCTGTTTGCTTGTTGCTGCGAGGATACACGCGAATCTGGCATGTCCGACCTGCGCGCCCGCCTGTTTTTGCGAGCTGTACCTGGAAATCGTTTAGACGCATCCTGTGCAGTAGGATGCTCGGATCCCGGATCATGGTCCATGGCACGAGGTTATTGAAGCAAAAGAACTTGAGGCCCGGCCTTTGTACGAACAGACGCAGATACAATGAGATGTCGAAGACGCAAGGAGAAGGTCGCCGCTCAATTCGAGTCGGCAGAGACTCCGGCAAAGGTATGCGATGAACAAGTGATTGAGTCGTGACGTCTTGCACTTGATCTCGTCGCGTCTCTTGCCACACGCATTTTAGCCGAATCTATTGTCTCAAACATGATACTTATGCTACGTGTAAATACTCCTTGGAAGTGGCCTAATGAAGCCTGGCGAGGTTCTCGACAATCTGCTCAATCTCGGCGGTCGTCCTCTCCACCTTCTTGGCCACCTGTTCTTGCTCAGCCAGTGACATTTCAAGGTAATGCTCAAGCAAATCGCCATCAACAAAGCGCTTCGGCTCCATTTCCTTGATACTGGCAGACTTGAAGGCTCTGAATCGTGCGTGAGAGAGCCCACCAATCGAACTGATTGTCTCGCCAATTGCAGTCTGTAATGCCAACAGGAAATTGACTTGGTCACCTTGAATCTCGCCGACAATACCGATTGACCCGTCCACCGTAGCAAAAACACAGTGTGGCTTGACAATTGCATCGTCATCTTGCTGCATAATTTGTCCTGGTACGATCCTGTTGATGAACTCGCCGTACCTGAACGTCCCTGTCCTGTCGAGGCGCATTTCATTCTCTGCCAACGGCGAATCACTCGGAGCATACAGAATGAGGTTACCCTCAATCTCACCAGCCAGAATTGTCGTCTCTCCAAAGTAGCTAACTGCAGACATCCATGCTGGAGCAAAGTCTCGGGCTTCTTCGGAGATTCCATCGACAACTCGGCCAGCACTAGGGTCTTCAGTCTGTGCCCGGACTTTGAGAGTTGTGACGGACCTCATCATGTCGCCGACAACAACATCATGTCCGCGTGCAGCCACCGTGATGGCAAAGGTACTGCTCCTGAACTGGCCAACCTCTTTCAAGCTATTGCTCTCACAGCGATAAAGCCGTACGTAAGAACTGATCCCCGCAACGATACCGTCCCCTGGGACACTAACAAGGCTGTACACCGCACCACAAACCTCAGTTTGGGAATCAAGCCACAGGGACTTGTCAGCGTCGTTGATACCAAAGGATATAATCCTGCCACGCTGATCCTCGCTGCTTGATTCATGATCTTGGTAGGATGTTCCAACGATGATACGCTGCTCGCCTTCGTTTGTTGTGTGAAGGCAAAGCGACTGGCACATTTCTTGCGCCTCAAGCTCGTATGAGTCACGTTCCTCAAAAGTTATCTTGTCATAGACACGCACAAAGCTGGACTGTGTCTCATTCCCAGTGAGGGCATCGACCTCCATGCGTAGAGTAATGGTGGCAATGACATCGTCCATTTCAACCAATCGACGAACAAGCTCACCAATCTTGATGGTGCGAAATTGTAGCTTCTGGACATCATCAATCCCGCCAAAGCGCAATGCATCGTCTGTTGCAACAATGACACTAGAGCCAAGCGCAGTATTGGCAAATGCAGTGAAATAGTTGCAAGAAGCCAAGTCAACTGCAGAAAAGGCCAGCTTTGACCTTGCGCTATAGATGACTGTAGGTCTGTCACTGATGGCAAATACATTGGGGCCTTGTGGAGTGTTGAAAGCATGCAGACTGACAGGCGCAGTGCCGAGGGAAGCCTGCTTCCGGCCTGAGACAGTGGCACCCTCAGAGTCAAATACAAATGACAGGAGGGAGCCGTCATTCATGCCAAGCAAAAGCATGGGAGAATCTATGCCGTTCAACTGCTGTACCACGATTGAGTGAACGACCAAATCGGTCTCAAGCGGAATCTCCGCAAGGTTGTTGAGACTTGTGTTTCCAACCCACAGAACAGGTTCATTCCAGAAGGTGACAAACACTTTGTCATTGGCCGCAGCCAAAGCTCCAGTCTCTCTGCCTTCGAACGCATGCTGAGCTCTTTGCTTGATAGAAGATGAGCTGAGTGCGAAGCTGTAGAGACTATTGTTTGCAAGGACGCAAAGACCTTGCTCAACGTGCTTGGCTGCTGTGATGTTTTGTAGTGCCTTGGAGTCAATGACGACGCTGTCACTCAAAAGTTTGATCTCCTCCTTTGTTACGAGAAGCACCTTGTCGTCCACTTCGCTGGCCAGAATGATGTTGTCGTCTCCTGCGCTAATTTGCTCTAGATCACCATCCGTACCGACCTTGAGCACAATATAGCCGCTCACAAAAGCAACGACAATCAAAGCGCTCTGCTCCAGTGCCCATAGTCCACGAACTCCAGAGACTCCCACTTCGTAACGCTCATTTAAACCCACGCCATATTTGATGACTCTTAGACAGCCATCTTTGTATGCGCCAGACGCGGCAATCAATGTAGCTGCGCCTGCTGTATGACTTGGCTTCTCGAGCAACAAATCTAGTATTGGACTCAAATTGGTCCGCTTGCCCAGGATACGCAAATCTGGCCAACTGAATAATTGAGAGTCGCCATAGTGACTTCCAAGGAAAAGTTCATCCTTGAGTGCAACGAGCACAGTTGGCATACTGAATGGCGTCGTGTCCTTCTCGGGGTCTGCTGCTTGGCTCAAGTGCTTCAGCTTTGGCATCGCATCGCCTTCGATGTCAAGTGTATATAGCAAGCCATAGTCGTCGCCCAGAAGCCACTGGGATGCACTCAGTCGAGTGCGGCAATTATATAGCGTAGCGGTAGAAAGCGCCTCAGTTTCGAATGGCTTACCGGGTGAAATGCGATACATCTCTTTCTCGCCTAGACAAATTACTGTACCCTTACCAATATCCAAGGCCAAATCTGTGCCTGGTTGAAATGGGCCAGCTGCCAGCTTGCCGGGAAGCAGATCAAAGTCGCCTTTTCTGGGGTGCAATTCATAGCTCTTGAAGTGCGTCTTCTTGTGCAGATCGGTGTACAAGATTCCAAAGCAAGTCAATTTATCTACTGATGGAAGTAGAATGAGATCATGTGCCTTGACTTCGTTGAAGCGGCAGGTGACGGGCGTTCCAAAAAGTCGGGCTCCATCGGCTGAGCGCTTCCTTGGATTGTTCGTTCGCTGAATTGGAAAGACATTGACGACACCCAGATACTGATATACAAGAATATAGTCTTCATTTGCAACAACTCGAGGGCCGCCGTCAGGCTTGATCATGCCCGGAGCTTCGAGGTCGCCTGCAGCACCTGTAATGACTGAATCGCCAAAGACAGACAGAGTGAAATAGTGCTCATCGTCTGTCGTTACAAACAAGTGTTCACGTACGTCTGAGCCTGGAAGGAAAGCCGTCAACGTGGCGATGCGGCCAAAGCAAGTCAGCTCAAAGAGGGGTTTGAGCGTATGCGGCTGATGGATGCTGATGATATTTGAAGAAGCTGTGACGAGGTGCGGCGTAGTCTCGTCAGTAAGCTTTGCCGAGCAGGCAATCTTGACGGAGGTGGCCTTGGAGGCCGTGACTACGTAAGCCATGATTTGAGCAGCAGGTAGAGTCAAGCAGAAGAATGAGGATCTAGCAAATTGAGCTTGTACTGCCGAGGTGTCTTAGCAGCATCAAACAATCCAAAGTAGAGCTGTAGCCTCGATCAGTCCAGGAAGAGAAGCAGCCTCGAGTCCTGACCCTCTCTGAGCAGAAGTGATTCCTTGTGAGTTGGGGGTCGTGGTTGTCGTCACTCAGTCGCCGTCATCTGAACCACGGGAACAGCACGCGGCACCTTCAACAACCAACAACTCCGGAAGCAGCAGCCTCGCAACCACAACACCACACCCACACACACGTACATACACGGCCACACCCCCTTCGCACGGCAGCAGGACAGGCCCGGGCATACTCTTGCATCTGACAGGCCCAAGGCACCGCGTCTAGCTTCTTTGACACCTCGCTGTCATCTCGGAATAGCTCGGCACATCCGCCGGAATATTTTTGCTTGCCAAGGCCTTTTAAAGTGCTCAGCTCATCCTCTTATAACACTTCTTGTTTAGCACGACGCAAATCATCCACTTCTGCATCGCCTGAAAGAAAGTAAAAGCGTTGGGTCCAAGAAGCAGTGCCCATCATGGACGTACGTCAACCGAATAGTGGCGATGAAACGGAGCTGATCATACAGGACATGGAGAAGAAAATACAAGATGTTTATCGTATGTCACACAGCGCATGTGATCATCGAATAATGCTAACATGCAGGGAAAATTCAGCGGGAGAATACGTTGATTGAAGGTTCGATCCGCATGCGACAAGGCACGTCCAATCCGTCCGTTCAACAAGCGCTCGATACAAAGATCCGAGAGGGACAAAAGAATATCAGCTATTTGCAAGAGTCGCTGAGCAAGTTGCAGATGTCTCAATCGAGTGCGCCTCCGCTGCCGCCAAAGAACGACCCAAGCAGTGCACACGATATGGCACGCTTGTCAACTTTACCTACGCCACGGGCTCCGTACTCTCAGCAGCCTGGGCCAGGTATTCCCAAGACGCGCAACTACACAAAGCTGGGTATGTTCATTACTTTTTGCATCGGGCAATCACTAACATGTAGATCTCATCAAAGCAGACACGCCGCACACGCCGGCCAAAATTTCGTTGATGCTGCAGCAATTGGAATTCAAGTTGACGGTCGAGCGCCAATACAAAGAAGGTATTGAAAAGATGCTTCAGCTCTATGAAATTGAAGGAGAGCGCAGAGCAAAGTCTGATGCAAAGGCGAAGCAGGTTGAATCACAACAAAAGCTGCAGCTACTCAAAACGGCACTGAAAAGATATGAGGCCCTACATGTCGACATTGACGAAGAACCCACTGGCGATGATGACTCAATGAGTGCACCGAACCAGCGGAAACCTCTCTCAGGTCAGCTCAAGATCGGCATCAAGGCCGTTCGCGAGGCCGACCATGCTACTACCACACGTTTTGGTCGAAGCCCAGAGACATTTGTGGTTGTGAAGGTTGAGGATATTGTGCTCGCCAAGACTGCAAAGGTCCGAACAGATAAGTGGAGTGAAGAGTTCAATTTGCAGGTTGACAAGGCCAATGAAGTGGAAATCACCGTCTACGACAAGGCTGGCGACACTCCGCTGCCCATTGGACTGCTTTGGATCCGATTGTCTGATATTGTAGACGAGTTGCGAAGGAAGAGAATTGAGCAGGAGATTCAAGCGAGTGGCGGCGAATGGGTCTCTGCCGATGGCCTGCAACAAGGCTCTTACCAATATCCTGGCTCAACTGCGCCGACCATGCCTGGTCGCACAAACACTGCGAATCGCATCACTCCGCTCGGCTCTCACCCGTCGATTCCTTCAGCGTCCGGCACCGAAGCATGGTTTGCTCTCGAGCCAGCTGGCCAGATTCAGCTGAGCTTGGACTTCATCAAGGATACGACCGGCAAGTCGCCTGCGCTTGGCGGCCGAGGTGGTCTCCGTCGACAAGCTGCTATTCGTCAGCGCAAGGAGGAAGTGCATGAGATGTATGGCCACAAGTTTGTGCAGCAGCAATTCTACCAAATAATGCGGTGTGCTCTTTGCGCCGAGTTTCTGAAGAATGCAACGGGCTATCAATGTGCAGACTGCAAATACACTTGTCACAAGAAGTGTTATCCCCGTGTCGTCACCAAGTGCATCTCAAAAAGTAATGCAGAGACTGATCCAGATGAAGCAAAGCTCAATCACCGAATCCCGCACCGCTTTGAACCACTCACTAACATTTCTGCCAATTGGTGCTGTCATTGCGGCTACTTGCTTCCACTGGGCAAGAAGAATGCACGCAAGTGCAGTGAGTGCAACCTCACTTGCCATACGCAATGCTCGCATCTTGTGCCAGACTTTTGTGGCATGTCTATGGAGATGGCAAACCAGATTCTTGCCACGATCAAGCAATCTACCAATGCAATCCTGTCCAGGCCACCAAAGGAGAAGTTTTCAATGACAGACAACATGAATGGCGGTTTGAGTGGTCGCCCACCGCAGTCTCATCAGCAACGGCCGGTTCGCAAGCAAGTGGTGAGCGAGCAATCCTACACGGGAAGTACGCAAGACTCTGAGTTTGGACGTCCACAAAGCGCTGGACGACCTCAGCAGCTACGGCTAGACTCGAATGCAGCGGCAGCAGCAGCCATCAACCGCACAGGATCCTATGCTTCGTCCTCGCGGCAGTCTCCTGGCAGTTCACCAATTACCGAACGTCCATCACCGCAGAGTCGCCCTTCTGCAGGACCTCGCACAACAAGTGCTGCTGCAGCTGCAGCAGCTGCTGCGTCCAAGGCACTTTCTGGCGCGACGGGCAGTCAATCGCAGCGATATCCACCTTCACCTTCGCAGCGCACCAGCTACCAGGATCTCCGCCAGCAGCGTCCTTCACAATCGACTGCAAGTGAAAGCAATCTGGTGCTGCCCAACGTGCCACTCGTCTCGCCCCTTTTGTCCACCAATGATCGCAGGGATCCCATTGCACAACAATTGCAGTCCCCAGCACAACCCGGAAATCGTCAACAGGCTGCACCACAACAGCAAGTTACGTCGCCGCAGCAGGGCCAACCTACCTCTCAACGGCCACGTCGTGTGGGCCTTGCCGACTTCAACTTTATTGCTGTGCTTGGCAAGGGCAACTTTGGAAAAGTCATGCTTGCAGAGTACAAGGCTACCAAGAAGTTGTATGCCATCAAAGTGCTCAAGAAGGATTTCATTATCGAGAATGATGAAGTAGAGAGTACGCGCTCGGAGAAAAGAGTATTCTTGGTTGCCAACAAGGAGCGACATCCCTTCCTCATCAACCTCCATTCTTGTTTCCAGACAGAGACTCGCGTCTACTTTGTCATGGACTACGTGTCTGGAGGAGATCTCATGCTGCACATCCAAAAGGAGCAATTTGGCCGTCAGCGTGCTCGCTTCTATGCTGCTGAAGTGTGTCTTGCTCTCAAATACTTCCACGAGAACGGTATCATCTACCGCGACCTGAAGCTCGATAACATCTTGCTCGGAACGGATGGTCATATCAAGGTAGCCGACTATGGTCTCTGCAAGGAAGAGATGTGGGCTGGTCAGACCACCACGACCTTCTGTGGTACGCCTGAGTTCATGGCACCGGAGATTCTAGCTGAGCAACGCTATGGTCGCGCAGTCGACTGGTGGGCTTTCGGTGTGCTCATCTACCAGATGCTGCTGGGCCAGTCTCCCTTCAGGGGCGAGGACGAGGATGAGATCTTCGACGCCATTCTCTCTGATGAGCCCCTCTATCCCATTCACATGCCAAAGGACTCGGTCGACATTCTTCGCAAGCTCCTTATTCGCGAGCCGGAGAAGCGTCTTGGCTGTGGACCAACCGATGCTCTAGAAGTCATGAATCATCCATTCTTTGCTGATATTGACTGGGATGCCATCTACCACAAGCGTGTCAAGCCTACTTACGTTCCTACCCTTCGCGACGCGACTGATACCTCCAACTTTGATGAAGAGTTCACCAAGGAACAGCCCAAATTGACCCCAATCAAAAACAGTGGTTTGTTGACGGCTCAGATGCAGGAGCAATTTAGAGGATTCTCCTGTACATGCGACTGAGTCGTTCAACAGGTCGCGTAGCCCATCTTTAGCTACGTACAGTCAATCATAAGCTAGATTTTTGTTCATAGCATCACCCGCGGTAGTCTCTTGTACGTTCGAAAATTGCAATATTTGAGCTTGAGCATATCTACCGCAGTGCAATTGACACTAACAGATGACATCCGTCGGTCCCTCGCTACTCGCGGTTATAAAACGCTGCGACAGGCTCGCCTATGAGAAGTCGCTCGAATCTGATGCTTTCTACGTTGATACTGCCGACTTCAAAACTTCATCTGGCGAGGTGGTTGGTTGGATACATAAGCTAGCTTGGCTGCAATTGAACAGACCAGTAGAGCGAGATGCCAAGCAAGGACTGCTCGATGCCTTCTTGGACATCACCTGTAAGAATGGACGAACATCTGTTCAGATACGATCCAATCTGAGCCAGTCCAAACCGGACAACGCATGGGCCCAAGAGATCGCTGAGAAGATCCGTTCACTTAGTCTAGACGATATACCAGTCTGCTCGCAAGACGCCTTTCAAGGCTTGTCCACGGAAGCCAAGGAAGCAACAATCCTGATTGCTGCAATCACGGCAACCTGGCGTCGTGACAGACTCGATGAGTTTGGCCCTCTTCGTGGCTGGCGAGATGAAATGTACACAGTCTTTGCAAAGCGAGGCACACCCGCTTTGATGCTTGAGCGTGCTGCATGTGGCCTATTCGGAGTCGTGACTTATGGTGCGCATCTCAATGCTTACGTCTTGCCAGATCCAAGCCTTCTACCACCGAAACCGTCCCTAGAGGCTATCAAAGCTCATCGTCTACGCACACGAGTCTGGTGTCCACGTCGCGCAATGAACAAGGCCACATATCCTGGCATGCTAGACAACACTGTCGCCGGCGGCATCTCGAATGGTCTGTCGCCATTCGAAACGATTGTTAAGGAGGCAGATGAAGAAGCCTCGATCCCAGAAATTGTGGCACGGACTCAGATTCTTCCAGTTGGCGTCATCAGCTACCTCTACGCCGATGGAGAGGTAGAGGATCGCGCAGGGTATATTCAGCCCGAAGTGCAGTACTGTTTCGATATTGAGGTGGCGGATCCCCGCGAAGCAGGGGCCATCATACCACGGCCCAACGATGGCGAGTCAGAGGCATTCGAACTGCTGGACTGCAACGAGATTCTTGCCATCATCAAGCAAGGCAAGTTCAAGCCAAACTGTGCTTTGGTCTTGATCGATTTCATGATTCGACGAGGCATTCTCACTGAAGAGGACGAGCCCGCCTATATCGAGCTGTTGGAACGGCTCCATAGACGACTTCCATTTCCTACACGCTAGACTATTTACAATTTACTCTTACGATCACTAAATGACCCAAGCTTGCCTTCGACAACCTTTTGCAGAGTCTCATGCCAGCCTTTGACAACTCCATCTTGCATCCCTACACCTTCGACATTTAGCGGCTCATCGAAGCGCATCATGTCGTACATTTGCTCGTATACATTTCCTTTGCTATTGCCAATAGCAGAGTCAAGGTACCAGTCATCAAAGTCAAAGGCATCCACCAAACGAACAGCCTCCTGGCCGACGCGTGGCAGAAGGTCATCTCGGAGTTCCCTGACCCATTCGACCTGCTCACTCGACATGAATGGATAGAGCTCTCCCAGATTGGTCAAGACGCAAGTGGCGAAGAACAGGTCGCGCAAGAGGAAGAGGACCTCGCGAGTTGGAGCCGATAGACTTTTAAGCTCTGGCCCAGACATTCTCTCCGAGAAGTTTGCGAGGAGGAAGAGCTGCATATGAGCTCGAGAGGCGTTGTAGGCGTCTTCGTGGTCAATTGAGCCTTGCTGGGGACCGGGTTTCTGGGAACGCTTTAAAGCCATCTCCACAAGATGCTTGGCGCGCATCTCGAGCAGTGCATTCTGAAGACGTTCATCACGAATCCCATGAGCAGTTTTGAGAGCCCATGAAGCTGATGCTGCTGTTGACGTCTTTTGCAAATAAGCCGTTGCTTTGGACTTGGACTGCTTCAACGATCGGACCAGATACTTGCAGGTCTCCCCATAAAGGACCCAATTCTCACCTTCAATAATAACTCCGGCGGATGGATGTGAGCTGATGAAGCTAAACCCAGCAAACTTGTGATAGCCAATGCCACCAGTAGACTCCTTACAATGGTTGCATGCCTCGAGTGACGTTTGCGTAGCGTAAGCTTTCAGGCCAGAACTCCAGGCATGTAGTTCAGCGAGACGATCACCAGTGTCCTTACTAAACGGGTCTGCCTTCAGCTGCTCTTGTTGGTGATTGTACAAGTCTCGCAGATAAAACGAGGCAAACAGGAGCGGAAACACTTGCGACAAGTACGGCAGAGTTCGTAGCTGAATAGACTTGTACTCTGCAATGCGTGGCTCAAGGCTGGCTCCATTCCTGGTCGAGCCTTGCCGCCTGAGATTTGAATAACGGATTGCCAGTGTCAACGCCCTAGACATATTGTGAATGGCCAGATCAACCAGGAAAACTCGCACAAGTGACATTGTGCCTCGAGCCAACACCTTTGCTGCTGGGTTGAGATACGTGTATACTCCCTCGCGGGAAACCTCGACGTTCTTCATGAGGAGCGTCATGCGCGGTGTTCGGAAGTGATAGAAGCGCATATAACCGTTGTCCATCGATTCTGAGCCCAGCTTTGGCCCAATGTCGTGAATCTCAAGGTTTGGCAGAACTTTGTGTGTTTTCAAGTCTCTGATCTGAATCAAAAATGGATGCAGACCATGATCCTTACCATGAATGATGAGCTTCGTCTGCACAATGGCATGGGTGGCTGTCTTGCCAAGCCCTCCACACCAATACTTGGCATCTGCGGGGTCTGGCGTGTGAACCACGAATTCGTCGGTCGTCTGGTCGAAAGTCGCTGTCGTTTGCAAACCAGACAGATTGGAGCCATGCCGCATTTCAGTCTGGCAGTAACAACCCAGCCACCGTCCTGCTTTGAAATTGGCCTCCCAACCCATAGTCTCAAGTTGGTATGTCGAACTTTGAGCCATCACCGTGGGAATGCACATTGAGTCGTTCAGCCAAACTGGGATGTACGAATCGATATAGATTCTCAGCATGTCTCTCGTCTGCTTCTCCATTTCATTCTCGACCCTAGTGATGCGCATGTAAGCCATTGCTTCATCGTATGCGCTTCTAAAGCGTTCCGTTCTCGACATGAAATGCCGCTTGCGACGGTCAAACGCGGGATCATCCTTCAACAACGATACCAACCAGCGCCGCTCATCTCGGACTCCTTGGGTTCGTGCGTAGACGATAGACATCTCATCAAGGGGGAAGCTGGCTTTGCTGCGGGCGTCCTCGAGGTCATTGACAGTTTGCGTGGTTGACATTGCTTGTTTGTTGGCCATTGGCAGCGATCCTCAACAGGCTTGACGGACTAGAATGACGTTGATTGAGAGGTGGGACTGGACCAGTGCAGACTCAGACAGTGTAGATGCTTTGCAGTTGGTAGACAAGGTTGACCCCGCGCCTCAAGTTAAATTCCGGCAACTTCCGCTTCCCATCTGAAACGCGCTTGACCGTGCGAGAAATGGGAAAAGTGCTGGACGCGTAACTTGCTGAGAAGTAACGAGATTAGAATATGCCATCATAGACACCTGAATAGAATGATGCCCAGTTAGTCACGGTGAAGGATACTCAGTATGCATGCAAGGGTACAACAGAGAGTCAAAGATGCTGGATCCGGTGAGGAACAAACGACATATCAAGCTCAACAAATCGAACGATTCCCTGAAAAGAATCCTCATGAGATCCAATTTTTCTTCACTTTCTGAGGATACGCATCTTCTCGTCTCTGTTGTATCTCTTGCACCTGCTCGGTCATTGTGGTTGTATGTGCCATGAAGAAACATTCTATGCGTTATCTTGTTGAACGACAACGCCCTCTTTGAGGTTGCGTATACGTACTGAGATCAAATTATACAGAAATATGACTGAGCACGTACATGTTCGCAGTCTCTAGATTTTGGGTTGTAGATCTCGTAGACATCATCGCATTCTCCAAGACAGTCCAATTTCAACCATTTTGATGAGTAGCCAGCCAGCCAACTAGCTTTCCACCCGACTACATCCAAATGCTGAGTCAATCTACTACAAGGGCGCTCTGTCGGCACTGCAGACGTGCATCTACTACCATACAAGCTCTAGCAGGTCGACCTCCCGCTCATACATCGCTTGTAGGCTTTCTACGCTATGCACAAGACTTGCCACTTGATCGCGCATCGACTGTCTTTCGAGGGACTTTGTATGAATATGCTGTTCTAGAATGCCTGAGACAACACTCTTTCGATGTGTTTCGTACTGGCGGTGCGGATGACAAGGGTATTGACTTGCGAGGGCACTGGCGTTTGCCTGTCCCGAGGTCGGCAACGCAAAACAAGGCTAGTGTGAATGATTCGAGTGGTACGACATTGAAAGGTCGGCAAGTAAGAGAGATTCCCGTTGTGATACAATGCAAGCATGAAGTCAAGAAAATGGGCCCTCGAGTAGTACGTGAGGTGGGTGGCATACGAACACTGGCTACGACGTTGGACACAGAAGAGGAACCATGCGAGACACTTCGCATACTCGCATCGTCATCGCCGTTCACGGAAAAGGCAGTGCAAGCCATGATGACTTCAGCATCTCCAATCCTACTTTGCCTCATTTGCGCACCCGCGAGTATCAGCAATGATCTGGCAACGGCATCAAAACCAACTCGCGGCCAAGCAAAGAAGCCGGTAGAGCAAGAAGAGCTAGAAACACTGGGAGTACTCAAGCAGGCCATCTGGAACGTTGCTGCAGCCAAGATCATTGGCAGTGAGGTCATAGTGCGCCTTGTGCACTCTGCTGAGAAGGGCTTAACGCCATCGGCAGAACCGGTCCTCAAACTGTACTGCGGGAGTCAGATCTTGTCCAAAAAGGCTCGTTAGAGGTTGAAGGTCCTCAGGGCGATAATCTAAGATTAGCATGAGCACAAATCTGACGTAGGAAGCTGTGTTGCACATGGCAGCTTTGAGAGATAGGTCAATTTGAAGCGGAAGAAGAAGAAGACAAAGCCAAAACAGCGAAAGAGAGACAGTGGTATGAAAGCAAATAGAAGGAGCTGGACAGAAGCAATGAGAACTGAATGTTTCTAGCGTGACGGACATCTAATAGAGCAACATGGACGCCAAGTCAGCTGCCATTTGTCAACTAGGAACAATTTAGAGCTTTCGTGATGAGCGGTCCGACACCAAACCAAGCAACATACAAGAGATCGAGCTGATGGATGATCAAGAGAACTTTTTAGGCATAACCATAGCTGCCGCCACCAGAGGCGCCTCCTTGAGGACTTCGAGATCGGCCACGGGTGCGGTCATAGTCAGCATAGCCGCCAGCAGGAGGGCCACCTTGGGCGTGATAAGCATCAGGAGCAGCATAAGGATCAGCAGCGCTACCTTGAGGAGGTGCGTAGCGGTAATCATAGTCATCATGCTGAACAGGTGGTCCACGACGCATAGGGGAACGTGAGCGACGGCGCATTGGGTCGGGTTGAGCGTAAACATCTCGGCCGTAGCTCGTATCTTGCGGAGGAGTGCCACCACGACGATACTGCTGCCGACCATCATCTCGTGGTTCATAGTAATCTCGGGGCGGGCCAGCAGCGGGCGGAGCGTCACGATAGTAAGGGTCAGCCTGAGGGCGAGGTGGCGCGTAGCTGTCGCGAGCGTAAGGGTCACGCGCATAAGGATCTGCTCGGGCATATGGATCCCTTGGAGGTGGCGGAGCAGCTGCATAAGGGTCTCGAGCGTAAGGATCCTGGTAGTAAGGATCACGTCCAGCGTGGCCATACGGGTCTCGTGGAGGTGGAGCGGCGTAAGGATCACGCGCATACGGATCGTGATATTCCTGACGGCGTGGAGGATAAGCATCGTAGCTGCCGCCATGGTGCTGTCGGTTGTCGTACGAGTGATAGCCACCTCGACCGCGACCACGGCCTCGGCCTCGGAAATTTCCTGTTGGTGGATTTGGGCAGTGCTTGGACCAGTGACCACGAGAGCCACAGTTGAAGCAACCATCCGAGGACTTGGCCCCATCAGTCTTTGGGCCACGCGCACCGCCAGCTCGCTGAGGCTCAACGCGGATCTTCTGGTCAAGCAGCTCTTGACCGTCCATACCTCTGCAAGCTGCATCAGCTGCCTCAGCAGTCGTGAATTGCACAAAGCCGCAGCCAATGTTGGTCTTGAGCTCGACATTGGTAATAGTGCCATACTGTGAAAACTTTTCTCTCAAGTGGAACATCTTGCACACGCTCGATAGATTACCAATATATATCTTTAGCGGACGGCCTTCATCGTCAAAAGGTCTGGAAGCGTTAGTCAAGCAGGAAGAAGCATAAGCTGAGCATACCGAGCGGGAGGTCCTGTATCTTCAAAATCGTCATATGACTTTCTTGGTTCTTCAGCGCCAGGTTCTCCTTGCGGAGGAGGAGCTTCTGAGGGATCATCATCGAGCTGACGTTCATCTTGCTCTTTATCTTCAGTAGTGCCTTCGGTCTCTGCCGGAGCTTCTTCGGTAGGAGCAGGAGCTTCAGTGGCAGCCTCGACCTGTTCTGTAGGCAGAGCATTTTCAACAACTGTAGGAGATCTCATATTCTCCGGAGAGGGTGGATCCTCCTTGAGAGGTTCTTGTCCATCAGCACTCATAAGCTCAAGAATAGATAGTGTGAGTTGAAAACAGTCCTTGGTGTCGTTCAATAAAACAGCTGCAGCCAGATCGTGCGACACGTGGCGCGTCATCGTGGGAAAATCGTGGACTATCTGAAAGACGTGGACTATCTGAGAGTTGAGACAATGGAACTCTTAAGCTGAGTAGACACATCTCCTGAAGAAAGTCTCGAGAAAGATGATCTCTGCCACAAGCGATGCAGCTATCTTATTTTCAGTAATCTGATGCCAATTGTCCCTTACACAGTCAGGACAGCCTCATGATCAGTCGACTGTGCAGGCAACGGGTCCTTGTGCTCCTTGCCGTTCACTGCGCCAGTCTTCTTGAATGCCTGGTCAAGATCTGCCTTGATATCATCAATATGCTCGATACCCACAGACAGCCTGAGCAATGTTGGCGTTACACCTGCAGCTCTCTGTTCTTCCTCCGAAAGCTGCTGGTGCGTCGTTGCTGACGGCTGAATGATGAGCGTCTTGGCATCGCCAACGTTGGCCACATGTGAGATGAGCTTGAGGCTACCAATCAACTCAGATGCATTCTCCTTGCCACCTTTAATGCTGAATGTCAAGACACCACCAGCTCCCTTCTTCAGGTACTTTTGCGCCAAATTGTAGTATGGGCTGCTCTTGAGGCCCGGGTAGCTCACAGCCTCGACATCAGGTCTCTTCTCAAGCCATTCTGCGATCGCTTGAGTGTTTTGAATGGTGCGTTCAAGTCGCAAACTCAGAGTCTCGAGGCCTTGCAACAGTTGCCAGGAGTTGAAGGGACTCTGCGATGGCCCAAAGTCACGAAGACCTTCCACGCGTGCACGAATAATAAAGGCAATGTTACCGAATGGACCAGCTTTGCCAAAGACGTCGTTGAAGACAAGGCCGTGATATCCCTCAGAGGGTTCCGTGAATTGCTTGAATTTGCCATTGCCAAAGTCGTACTTGCCGCCGTCGACAATGACTCCACCGATGGAGGTACCATGACCACCGATCCACTTGGTGGCAGACTCAACGACAATGTGAGCACCATGCTCGAGAGGCCTGAAGAGGTAGCCACCGGCACCAAAAGTGTTGTCCACAATGAGTGGTAAGTCGTGCTTCTTTGCAATGGCTGCAATCTTTTCAAAGTCTGGCACTGAGAAACTTGGATTGCCGATCGTCTCAAGGTATAGGGCTTTGGTGTTTTCATCGATTGCCTTTTCAAAGAGCTCCGGTTCGTCTGCATTCACGAATCGCACTTCTACGCCGAGACGCTTGAAGGCGACCTTGAATTGATTGTATGTACCACCATAGAGATGAGTCGTCGAGACAAAGTTGTCACCAGTCGTCAAGATATTGTTGAGGGCAATGAATTGAGCAGCTTGACCGGAGGACACAGCCAAGGCAGCTGCACCACCTTCGAGAGCGGCAATTCGCTTCTCAAACACATCTGTGGTTGGGTTGGTGATGCGAGTGTAGATGTTGCCGAATTCCTTCAAACCAAAGAGGTTTGCTCCGTGCTCTGCACTTTTGAAGACGTAGGAAGAAGTCTGGAAGAGGCCTGGAGCACGAGAGCCTGTCTCGTCGACTTGATGGCCGGCATGCAGCTGGAGGGTCTCGAATCTGAGGTTCTCTGCAGACATCTTTGGGAGGTTGCTTTTGATGGGAGATGAAGGATGAGTGAGACGGGGCTGCTGGCTTTAGTCTCGAGTGCTGGCAGGGATGAGGTTGGAATGGCGTGCTATTCGCGAGCATTTGCGTGGAGCCGAGTCCAAAGTGTGGGGGAACAGGCATTCATCGCACGGCACACCGACAGTAGGAGACTTGTTATAGGCTGTACTCAGCATTTGTGATAGGCCCTTGATGAAGGCTACCTCTCGCTCTACAGACTGGAAGACTATGACTTTGTGCAGAGACTGGCCCGAATGATGTTTCTTGTGCATGGCTCAGGGTCAAACGCCGTGTCATCGCGCCATATTCGTTTGTCTGCAACTCAGGGGATGGATCACCATACATAGGCGTCACTCGCTCAGTCTCAGGGGCTAGGGCTGTAAGTACTAAGTAGCAACTTGCTCACCTGCACGCATCGATCGATGAGCCGATGCCGAGATCGTGATCTTCCCATCTCGTTGAATTTTGCGGCGACGACAGCAACGAGACGCGTTAATGGACACAGCAAAGGCAACGAGCTATACAGACCAGGCCGGGCCAGCAATTACAATACAAATCGGGGCTCAATCGGCACAGGACTGTTGAGAATAGTATACAGCGATCGCTGGTCGACGCGACGCGTATATCAAGATCATCATGACCAAGTCCAATGTGCTCGACTTGGATACCATGATTGAACAGCTCTATAAGAAGCAGCTGCTGGCAGAACCTCTGGTGGAATTGCTCTGCACCAAGACTAAAGAGCTGCTTATGTCAGAGTCTAATGTGGTTCAACTACAAGCGCCAGTGACTGTAGTCGGCGATATTCACGGGTATGGACTCCCTTCATCTGCTCAATAACTGACTCGAGGCAATTCTATGATCTCCTTGAGATCTTCAAAATTGGTGGATACTCGCCGCATACCAATTACCTGTTTCTCGGCGACTATGTGGACCGTGGTCTTTTCAGCGTTGAGACCATCTCTCTCCTCACTTGCCTCAAACTGCGATACCCAAATCGAGTGACGCTCATCAGAGGCAATCACGAATCACGCGCTGTAACACAATCCTATGGCTTCTACCAAGAATGTGTCCGGAAATATGACGGCAGTGCACATGTCTGGCACTATTTTACATCCATGTTTGACTTTCTCACCCTAACAGCCGTCATTGACAACCAAATCTTTGGTGTGCATGGCGGCTTAAGTCCCTCCATACACACACTCGATCAAATAAAAGTCATTGATCGGTTCAGAGAAATCCCACATGAAGGGCCCATGGCTGATCTCGTCTGGTCAGATCCAGATGCCGATAAGGATGACTTTGCCATTAGTCCGCGTGGCGCCGGTTATACATTTGGTGCAGCAGTTGTTAAGCAATTTCTGCACCTGAATGGCATGCATCACATCTTGCGCGCACATCAGCTTTGCAATGAAGGTTATCAAGTCTTGTTTGATGATCGGCTATCAACAGTCTGGTCGGCACCCAATTACTGCTATCGATGTGCAAATATGGCGTCTATACTAGAGGTGGATGAAGCTGGTGGACGCTTCTTCAACGTCTTTTCAGAAGCACCAGAGAACGAACATGATGGCCCAACACAGCACCAACTCCAGAGTCAGGCGCCAAAGAAGGAAGTGGACTACTTCCTATGACCTTGCGATGGGTGAAAGTGCCTTTCTGGCATTCAAGAAGCGATGGCCAATTGTAGATTTTGTGTCTTTCTATATAATGCATATGTTTAGTCGAGAAATTTGAAACTCGTTGCAATGAGAGCCTTGTTGGGAAGTCGGCCTTGGAAGGGGCAAAGGAGGGTCATCTTTTGTTTTGCATCATCCACGTCCGTACTGAAGTTAGCTTTCCCGGTCGGCGTGATGGAAACCTTACACAACGAGGTGGCACAGCACGCTGCTTTGTGACACAACCTCTGCCGAGTCATGAGACTCAGCTTGGACCATGGTAATCATTGAATGAAGCAAGAGAGAACTAGGTTCACACGTCGCAACATGTGCATTTGAAGAGGTTTGCTGCTCTGCGCCAATTGGAAGCAAAGAGTGATTCACACCAACGCCAGCTTCCTCCACCTGCTTTAACTTGAGATCTGAGAATTGAACAGACAAGGAGAAGGGCGACAACGCTTGCCGTGCGTCACCATTGAAGTACTTGCGAAAGGCAGCTTGCTGTTGACCCCGTACAAAGGCCGAATCTCGACCAACGACGCCGCCGGATTTCGGCAGTTTCAAGACGGACAACCCGTCCTTGCCGTCGTATTTGCGTGACATGTCTGAGTAAAGGCGCTCGCTGTCAAGCGTGATGATGACATTCACGTTGAACTCCGACACAGCTGCTTGGATCAAGTCATAGCCTTTCGTTTGATCAATGAGACCGCTGCTGTCAATCAGCATACCGCCTTGTCGTTGTGCAGCATCTTTCGTCGCTCGAGAAGCGGCTGCTGAAGCCAAGCGCGACATGAGCAGTTTATAGTACTTGACGTTGTTGGTTGGACTATCCGATCCAAAACAGTACGAGAGCGGTATTCTTGGCGCTAACTCTGTCATGCCTGTGGTTGTTGCATTGCCAAACCCATCCACCACATCAAGCACACTCGTCAGTGGCATGGCAGACAAGGTACCTGGCACGGTAGACATGCCTTCGCGCGGATCCAGGTTGACGAGAAGAGGTTGATGTCCTTGTTTGATGGCATAGCTAGCCAGGATCTTGATGAGCGACGTTTTGCCAGCATCGTCTGGACCAATGACTAGTACGCGAGGCCCGCCTGCTTCACTCTGACCTGCCTCTTCACGAAGACGTGCCAGTGCGAAATGACAGTTCAGGTAGGCCATCATGGGCGACTCATCAGAGATATAGCTGGCGGAGGGTGTGCCCTTGATTTCAAGCTCGCAACCTTGCCAGGAGTAAACGGCGCCTTTTGCTCCAGTGAAGCTGTATGTTGGGCCTACTGTGATTTCGGTACCAAAGATCTCTGCATGACCAGAACGTAGCTAGAGATGCGAGTGAGCTGAGGTGAGAGGAGAAGAAGAGAGCTGCGTACGCTGATATCTATCCGGGCATCAAAGTCGACTTCAAACCTGTATTCTTGACCTCGTTCTAGCCGCTCAACAGCAAGGTCTGAGCTTATCTGCCGTCAGGGATGCGCAGAGGATAGGAGCAAATTACTTTTGGAGCAGGCATGAGCTAGCTAGCAGTTGAATGGGGCAAGTTGGGAAATTCCAGCTAAAGCAAGTACACTGTGTCGACACTTTCTGTCTGAGCACTGTAGCTACGAGTAGACTGGCACTTGGTAGTCAGCCAGGTATTGTATGTCGAGCACTGAATCTGTCAATGGAAGTGTGTGCAAGCCAGCAAGGGGCAGTGCCGACACGTGCGCCTGAACCCAAAATGACATTTGCGCCTGCTTCCCTCGCTGTGCCCTCCGTCGTGCCCACACAACAAACACTCTCTAGACCCACGCACCCGCAAGGCCCTTCCGCCCCTTCTGCTTCCCTCAAAAAGCGCCTTCTCTGTCTCGGGCCCCAACCTCATCATCGTCCTACAGAAGCTTGCTTCTTCGAACAGCATACTCTAGTCTTTGTCGCCCATCAACAAGAAAACAAGACCCTCACCCAGCACCCGCCTTCAAGCGCGCCCTTTCTTGCTAGCCTCGCGACGCAGCCTCTAATAATCTCCGACTAGTTTGCACAAGTCAGGACTCTTCGGTCACATCGCTTTTGGACAAAGGGCCTATTTCTGGACACGAAGCGACCCTTTGAGCGTTCCCTTAGTAATCAACAGTAATCAAGACCAAGAAAACCTCCAACAGCATCAGTCGCCTTTCTCTGTGTTCAACAACACCAAGGGTCTTCTACCTCTTCGCGACTCTCAACAGCTCGGTCTCCTGCTGAGCCCTTTAATCTTCTGACGAGCCAGACAGCCAAGTTCAACTCTTGACAATTAAAGCAAAGTCACCATGTCTAAATCACAATCTGCCTTTCTCAGGGAATACAAACTCGTCGTTGTCGGTAAGTTGGTCTTGCTTGGTGGACGGAAGCGCCTTCATCTGTCCTTGCGATATTGCACGGATGAGCTAACGCATACTTCTTTCTAGGCGGTGGTGGTGTTGGTAAATCAGCGCTTACAATCCAACTGATACAGTCACACTTTGTCGACGAGTACGATCCAACAATAGAAGGTACGTCTGAACTTGTACCGGCTCTTGCTAACAATCTCCTTCAGATTCTTACAGGAAGCAATGTGTGATTGATGATGAAGTAGCACTGCTCGATGTTCTCGACACGGCAGGACAAGAAGAGTACTCTGCCATGCGGGAGCAGTACATGCGTACGGGTGAAGGTTTCCTCCTCGTCTACAGCATCACCTCGCGTTCTTCCTTTGAGGAAATTGTCACGTTTCAACAGCAAATTCTTCGTGTCAAGGATAAAGATTACTTCCCGGTAATTGTTGTTGCCAATAAGAGTGATCTCGAGGGTGAACGACAAGTATCGCAGCAAGGTTTGTCTTTTGAATATTACTACTTGACGCTAACACAAATCAGAAGGACGCGATCTCGCTAAACAATTTGGATGCCGGTTTGTTGAGGCGAGTGCAAAGCAACGCGTCAATGTCGATGAGGCCTTCTACAACCTTGTTCGGGAGATTCGCAGATACAACAAGGAACAATCTGGTGCAAACAAGGCAGCACTGAATGGACTCGGTCGGCAGCAGATGGAGTTGGATGACTCCAAGTCACAAGGTTGTCATTGTGTCATTCAGTGATTCATGTTTTTAAACTCTTTTTTTTGGGAGCTTTGGAAGGGGGATGGGCTCATCACATGCTTCCTGTTCTGTGAAATTTGCTTTCAGAAACACACACACGCACACGCACACACGAAAGAGATGTTTTGATTGGGACATGCATCCTTCTTCATTTCTCCTTTTGACAAGAAGTATTTCACAAAGCTTTGCTCACTCTGAGCTTGTTTGCTTCTCATCTAATCCCTTCATCACCATTCTATAATGCAGTACAACCGATTTGCTAAATCTTTCCTGCTTGTGCTTTCTGATGCTTATAAACAACATCCTATGGTGCGTTTGACCATTCTTGCCATGCCTCTCATCTGCCACATCGAGACTTCAATCGTGTTGTCGTGTCTTGTTAGATTAGCCATCCATGCGCTTTCATCGCAAACGCTCCTCAAGAAACTCTTCAGTCAGGTCATCCGCTTCACGAATCTCAAGCACCTTGGCCACATCGCATTTCTCCTGAAACCAGACTTTTGCAGAAGCCTAAACTGTCAGTACCGTATAACACAAGCGAATAGCACAGACGTAGAGTGTTGCCATTTCGGTAGAAGCAGTCCGAGGAATCCAATAAATCAATGCCAATTTGTCAGCTTTCCTGCCACTATCATTCTTATACTGCAGAGCATAAGTCAAGAGGACATAACGTGGTGTATTATCAGGCAAGTCATCCACTAGATCATCCACAGACTCGATTTGTTCAATACCGGCCGATGCGGCAATCGCATGGGTTTGTTTATTGATGCTGACTTGATTTGTGTATATTAGCATCGTGTTGTCAAGGTGGAGAGAGCGACGGTACAGGAAATGTAGGCATTGCCAAGCTTTGCACCACCTAGCCTGAACTTGCGAATGAGCTGTTCAGTATCGTGTGAGAGCGAGAATAAGCGCGATTCAGAAGCCTATTGATCGTGTGAGATGCTTCTTCGATCAGAGCATCAGAAAGCGTACCATGACTGTTCTTTCAACGCTATAACACGCACAGAAGAGGATGAAGAGCGAGTGCGTTGTATTGCACAGATGTTGTTGAACTTCCATTCAGATGGGGCATGCCTGAGAGAACGAGTAAAGATACAGGATCTTGATACGGCTAAGAAAAGGACAGAGTAAGAAGTACATGGGGGTTAGAAGTAAACATTCATCCAAGAAGAACAGTAGAGATAAAAGGACAGTGGACGGAGGCGCCCATTGCTTTAGAGCACATACGGCAACACAGCCGTTGCTCCCAATCCCAATACCAGCCCAACAAGGGCTCTGACTTTACGCCGTTCAGCCGCCACTTGCACCTCGAGTTCCTCCACTTTTGTGCGTTTGTTTCTTGGTACCGCTTCCATCTTGCCATGCAATGCAACATCCTCCATCTTGCCATGCAAGTGTGGTTGTTCAGGTCCTGTGGGTGTTCCATCTTCCACCTCCAACGATCGCTTCTTTGAACGCGATTGATTTGTTGAAGCAGGTGAGAGGTGACTGAGTGCTTGTGCATCCAATCTTCGCGATTCAGCAACTTGCTGTTTCGCTTCTGCCAACATCTCAGCAACAGATTGCGGAGCGTGTCGCGCACCTGTTGCAGTGAGTACTTCGGAGGCATCTTGCTTGAGTTGTGCAAGAAGTCCACCTGCACTGCCATTGCCTTGTGTCTTGCTATCAGGCGTTGCAGTTGCTTTCTTCTTCATATTCTTGTTGTTACTGCTTGGGACGACCTTGACTTTACCGTTGCCAGTGTTATTATTATTGTTGTTATTTTTGGTGCTTGACGGCGGTAGTGATTCAGGTTGCAACGCTTCTCTTGTTCGTGCAAGTGCACCATCCACTGCATCCACAAGACTCTCTGATAGACTTGCCAAGGTACTACTACTCGCTTGCTTCTTGTCCGTTGTTGGCACGCTTGCCTTTTTTGGTGATTTTGCAACTTTCGACTTTGCTGGTGCAATAGGGCGTGGCGTGGCTGGGGGTGCGAGCGCTGGTGCTAGTGCTTGCGTTGACATTTCTGCTGAGAAGCTACTCGACGCAGATGGCACAGATTTACCAGCGGACAATCGGCGCGTCGGTGATGTGTGCGAGGGTGCTGTTGTATCGACCTGTAGCAATGCCTCCACCCACGCTTCAATCCCATACACCTTGGCAAGTTGCAACGCGTCTGGCGTGCCGGGGATCCAAACACCCGACGCGTGTTCATCCGATCTGGCATTCAAGTCGCGCTTGACGATTGCCATTTCATGTTCTTCCTCCTCCATCGATGCATCTGGGAAGATTGCACGAAACATGCTCGTGGCAGAGACATAGTCATCTTGTGCCTGACGCATGATGAATTGAGGGAGGGATGAGTTTGGGAGGGCTGTTTTAATGCGGACAAAGGTCTTGATGACGCCTTCTCCGTCGCGCACATCGAATTTGACGTCTTGTATGCGGCATTTTGAAGCGAGGACGTGTGGGTCTGCGTGTATATGCATGAGGGTGTTGCGTGACTGTGGCAGGTGCCTTCTGAGTGCCTTTGCTGCTGGCATTGCTGATGTTGTGGTAGCAGTAGCAGCAGTAGTAGTAGTAGTTGTGGTCGTAGTTGCTTAGCCTAACTTGTTCTGCCTAACCCTGCTGCTGTTGTGCTGACCCGAAGCCAAGACGGCAACAGCTACGACTACTAGCCTAGACAACTAGCAGCCATGTCCCTCGCCCGTATCTCCCTCAAGGCACTCGCAAAGGTATCCACAAGACCAGCCGTCAACATCACAGCCTACAATGCAGCATCCCTCAAGCGAGACCAATCCACCACCTCCGTCCCAAACTTCTCTGCTTACCGGTATGCTCTTTTCTTTATATCGCTCAAGAATAGAGAGGCTAACAATCCCACAGCAAGAAGAGTGCCAATATCGACTCGTCCCGGGCATTCAGCTACTTCATGACCGGTACCTATGGCGCTCTCTTTGCCATTGCCGCACAAGCCACCGTCACAGACTGGCTTGTCAATATGTCTGCGAGTGCCGATGTGCTTGCCATGGCAAAAGTCGAGGTTGACATTTCTGCCATTCCGGAAGGGAAGAATGTTATTGTCAAGTGGCGTGGTAAGCCAGTCTTTATCCGTCATCGGACAGAGTCTGAAATCAATGAAGCCAATGAAGTCGATATGAAGGCACTACGGGACCCTCAAAAGGATGCTGATCGTGTCACAAAACCCGACTGGCTTGTGATGATTGGCGTGTGTACGCACTTGGGTTGTGTACCGATTGGTGAGGCTGGAGATTTCGGTGGATGGTTTTGTCCGTGCCATGGATCGCACTATGATATCTCTGGTAGGATCAGGAAGGGACCTGCTCCATTGAACCTCGAGATTCCGGCGTATGACTTTTCAGAGGATGGAAAGCTCGTTATTGGATAAGGCTAGAGTGCTCAACTTTCACTAGAACCAAACTATTCTTCACTGCAAATACTGCGCCATTCAATGAGTTCTGTATCTTGATTCTGCTACTCGTGCTCTCTTTACAAAAAGTAATCAGGTGTACGCCGTGTCACCATCGGCTCACCGTTCCTCGGCGCCGGGTCAAACTGCAAGAACGTATACTTCATATGCTCATCAATCTCCATAATCGCTGCTTGGTTGCCACACCGATAACAGTAATTCGGTGCAGAAAAGATGGTCACGACATTTTGCTCCTGCGACCAATTGTAGCCCTCCATCACCAGTTGATGGGCTCGCGCAACAAGGGTCAAGCCATTGTTGTGGTTGAAGGCTTCTGAGATGTCTTGACCAAATGTGTAGCCTGCTCCACGCGGCGATATACCCCAACCGCATCGATCATCCGGGTCAGACCAGAGCAAGTCGCACATGGGACCTTCGTGAGGAACTTCCTGGATACGATCCAACGACCGGATATGATCGAGTGTATCAATGGATGGACTCAATCCACCATGCAGACAAAAGATTTGATCATCAATGAGCGCCGTCAAGGGTAAGAAGTCAAATAAATCCGTAAAGTGCTTCCACACACCCGCATTGCCATACTTGCGCAAACACTCATCGTAAAAGCCATAGACTTGTGTGATTTGTCGAGATTCATGGTTACCACGTAAGATGGTGATGCGTTCTCGGTAGCGGACTTTGAGGGCAACGAGCAAGGTGACCGTTTCCACTGAATAATAGCCACGATCGACGTAATCACCCATGAAGAGGTAGTTGGTATCGGGTGACTTGCCACCGATCTTGAAGAGTTCCTGGAGATCGTGGAATTGGCCATGGATATCGCCGCAGACTGTGACGGGGGAGTGCACTGCTTGGACGTTACTCTCATCCTTCAGAATCTCGCGCGCCTTTTTGTTCGTGTCAGCAATTTGGATGCTGGCTCTGTGGATGTGTTCTTACCTTGTCACATAGCTTCTTGACGTCTACTTCGGAGAGCTGTTTGCAACTCATGAGCATCTCTATCCACGTATCCACATCGTCGTGAGAAGTCTGCGTGGCTACACTCTCGTCAATCATGCTGACTGGCGGGCCTGTTAGCTTTTGAACTGGCTTGTACAAGGATGAGAGCACGCACCGTCCTCCATGGTATGCTGTGGTGTGTGTTGTGTGTGTTGTAGGGTGGTCGGATGCGCGTTGTGTGTGTCGAGCTTGTTGTATTGAGCCTGCTGCCGTGGTATATGGATCTTTATACTCTCTCTTACTGACACTCTCTCTCTCTACTCAGTCTCAGTCCAGTCAGTCCAGTCCAGTACTTAGTACCTGTCCTGCTACTGCTGCTTCTCCTCGCCCTTGATTTGCGCACAAGACTTGACACGGCACAGACACAAGACGCGACAGAAGCAACGAGAAGGCAACAGCAACAGGACTCGATGCAGGAGCCATAGAACAGGGACAGGCAGCGTGGCAAGGCAAGGCAGGCAAGCAGGCAGAAGATGCTATTTGACGAGAGTGACAGGCCGCGAAAACGGGTCTGCATACAAGCACCCAAACACAAAACCACAACCCATCCTTTTCATGACGACGACGCGTCTTGCAACAGCAGCAGCAGCAGCAGCAGCAGCAGCAGCAGCAGTAGCAGCAGCAGTAGTCACGAGGTGCTGGAACCAACACTCGAGGAACTAGAGCAGGAGCAGTCTCGGAATCAGTCCCGCTTCAGGCATCGCATGGAGGATATCTTTGAACGATACGCGCGTGACTTTACCGAAACGGCGGATGAGATTGATATTCGCACTGGCCATATCGTGCTGGATCGCGGACATTGGCTTTCCCTACCAGACGTGCAAGACTCAGAAACAGGCGAGGAGAGTGACTTTTCAAGTGATGAAGATGGGATTTTGGATGATCATGATGAAGATATCTTGGATTTCCTCGTCGCGCCCATCTCGCGCGACACTCCAGCATGGCTCAAGGGAAATCGCTCCTCACCAGCGCCCGTGTCAGGTTCTGGTCTGTTTTCAAACACAACTCATGCTACGCGGAAACATCCAGTGGAACCCATGTCAAAGTCATTACAACTCCCACCAGACGATGTCGTTCTACAGCAATTCGGTACAGCAGGGCCAGCAGTCTTGGATCTGTTGAAACGCCAAGCTGAAGCAGAACGTCTTGCACTGGCATCAGCACCGCCTCAACAAAATCACAGCCTGGGCAGGGCAGCTTCAGAGCCAGTGATGGGTCATTGCGTAAGAGCCGATGCAGCAGAAGAGGAAGACGATGAATTGAGTGCTTTGTTGGATTCACCTGCGCATCAATTGCGTTCGTCGCCTACGGTCTCTCGACGTTCTCTACTCTCGACTCTGGATTCTCGCGAAGCGATGCAAGTAGAAGACAGTGATGCATCTGATGATGAAGAACAGGAGAGTCCTCCGCCCAAAATCCATCAACCAGCAGTCATCGCTGCAGTGGATCGCGTCAATCGAGAGGAAGCAACGCACAAAGTTGGATCAGCAAGACATGGGCTCCCGACAAATTCTTCCCCTCTTGCAAGTCACGCCTCCATCAATCCCTCCATTCGCCCTCTCCTTCCAAAGGCGCAAATTAGCGTCACCTCTTCACCATTAGCGCGGACTAGCAGAAGTCAGAGTTCAGTACCCGCTACACTACGCAAGCAAGTCTTGACATCCCAACAACAGCAACAAACGGCGGCCCCAACAGGCATTTCAAGAGTATCAGTCAGTCCTCCAAAAGCAGCGATACGCACATCTCTTCGAACCACGCATGTGTCAACAGTCAAAATCAAAGCCTCTTCGGCCCGCCCCTCTGATTTACGCAAAGAAATGGCACGTCTACACAACACAGATGATTTCTTCATGCAAGATTTACCAAAGACGCTTTCGGAAGGACGTTTACTGAGGCCAAGACGCGCAACGGTTTCTTATAGCGATGCAGCCATGGCACGGCCGTCTTCCTCTACCTCTTCCGGGTCTACCGATCTTGTTTGTGCATCTACAACACTTGCACCGTTAGCGCCTTTGTTTATCGATCTGGATGAAGTGGATGATATTGCCATCTCGAGTCCTATCCATGCACTCACATCCACACCTAATTGTGGTAGACAAAGCACTTTGCAGACGAGTATGGCAAAGACAGAACCATTGGACTATAACCCTTTTGATATGGAAGACGAGGAAGATGAGATTTCGGGATTATTCTCAGCACCTGCTGCCGCGTCTCCTGCTCCCGTACAACAAGCAGCACGATCTATTCTCGTGGATCAAGTTGCTGTGGATGTATTGCTGGAAGAGTCAACAGATGAAGAAGAAGATGATTTGAGTCTTGTTGTACAGTACTTGAGCTCACCCACATGCAACCAAGTCAAGCAGCCTGCTTCCCGGATCGAGACGGATTTGTTGGAAGTGCCGGATTCTGAGGAGAGTACAAGTTTGAGCAGTCAACCGATTGTGTTACAGGGTGCTTCGAAAGCGATTGCAGTGAAGAGCACCCCGCCATTGTCTACAGCCATCAATCAACGAAAACCTGTGTCTATTGAAGTCCCTGATTCCGAGGAGAATTCAGTGTCGAGCAGTCAACCAAGCACCATCCAAAAGTTTCGAAAAACACCCACGCTCAATACAACGCAGGTGATTGCGAAACCAGCGCCACCTGTAGCCATGGCTCCACGAAAGTCTGTATCAGGGAAGTATACAGGTCCAATCAACACTCCCATCAAGCAAAGCCTAACAATCTCTGCAGCGTCTGCTATTCGCGATAGACTTGCATTACTCATGTCAAGGAAAGTGGATCCTGCTAGCGAACAGCGGACAACCACCGTGCCGTCCCTGAGCGAGCAAGCAGCAAGTCGTGCACCTGTCCATTCAACGTCACGAGACTCTACGACGTATACTGAGAAGGGAGGTCTTGAGACTGATGAATCTGGTTCGGGAAGTGACTTGCTCGCCGAGCAACAATTGAAGCAACCGCCTCATTTCATAAATTTCATCCCGGCAACGATGGATATTGAGGATTGATGCAGACGGGATGCGTGGCTGTAGAATAGACTTTTGCAATGCTATGCTTATAACAATACGGGTACCAATACAAAATCATCACTGTCAAACAGACCGTTGTCTTCAGTGCAGGTCTTGAGCACTTTCTTGTAGAATCCTGCCGAATGAGGCCAGCTTTGCACGACACGCATCACCACCAGATCGTCCGGCTTCTGCGAGTGAAGGATACTGAAACATGCGCTTATCACAGTCTAAATGCCGTACATGCGCATCTTCATAGCCGGCATGCGGAGATAAGATGAGTTTCGCATGGTCTTGGAAATTGACTTGAATCGTCCCATCCCTCAGCCGAAATAAAATGCCTGCTTTGCAACGTAGGTAATGCGTCATGGTGCATAGATCCTTATACACTGTCTGCTGTGTGCCTGTGACTGGTGTGCTATTCGCTGCACTGTTGAGATGTGCCGTCATATACCCCCTGAAATGTTTCAGAAGTGACACTTTTTTGCGTAGATGCTCAGGCACCTGCGTCATGGTATACGCTTCAGGCTGTACAGCCTGACTACCTTCGCTTGCTGGCAAAAACTCAAAGGAACTCGATTGTTGCGTGTCGTGCTGAATGATCGTTGTGCCATCATTGAAGGAGACGCCTGTTGTGCCATTGGATAGCTGATAGCCGAGTCCATAGCGATGAGAGTAATCGACCCACTTAGAGACATAGAGAAAACGACCATCCTCTTCCATGCTAGCTTGCAAGCCAGCCCGAGCTGTGCCAGATAAGGCGGCAGTCTCTAGTAGCCGACGTGAGAGCGTTAGCAGCGACTGCGTCAATGTTTTTGCCTGGACAGCAGCTGCTGCTGCGAGTGATGAAGAACTCGTGGTTGAATAGGTACGTGTGCTTGCTTGACGAGAAAGCGCAGCCACCGGTCTCGGCGATGCTTCTCGCGATGCTTGTCGTGATGAAGAGGAAGAGGGTACAACAGCTACTGCTTGAACGGCAGGCTGGGTCAATGCGCGTCGGGCAGCACGAGTGCGTAGTCTCAGCGGTTCTTGTGAGACATCTTGAACTGGATGTAACGGTGCTGAAGGTTGGGATGTTGCTTGAAGTGATGCAAAGCGTGATGATCGAGTAATAGGTGCTGGTCCCTCCACGGCTCTCACTGCACCTCGCAATCTAGGTTGTTCAGCAACATGCTCCATACCAGGCGCTGATGCAGGTCCACGAACAATAGCAGGACGCACAGCACCAGTCAGCATAGTCGATTGTCTCCTCTCTCTCAACTGATCAATTTGCGCTTGATGCGCAGCCATCTCTTCTTTTGACTTGGGCGGCACAGGTGGTGGTCGAGGCACCTCACCCATCTTGACTGCCTGTAATCGATCTGCTAGTTTACCAGAAACTTGTCCCTGGCTTGTTGCACCAGGGCGACGAGCATGCCCATGGACCATTTTGGCAGCGGGTCCAGTATGCGGACTCAAACTGACTGGGAGGTAACGACCTTGTTCGGGTCTCTCAACAACGCTATCGGCAAGCTGACCATATTCCTTGCCTGCAATATTCTCCTTACCAATACCGGCATTGAAACAGACATGATTCAAGTTTCGGCGAAAGACACTCGAGCTCTGTCCAGCGGGCCAACTTGGCGCTTCGTGCGTTGCTGAGGGTGGAATCTGTCGCGGCATGACACCGGTATTGAAAAAGGCATGATTTGCAATATCGTCAATAGAAGGTCGGTTTTCTGGATCGGTTGCGAGGAGGGAGCGGATGAGTCCTTGCGCGACCTGTGAGACTTTTGCCTCTTCTGGGAAATCATACTCATTGACTTTGATTTTTGCGTAAATGGCCTTGACCTCTTTACTCTGGAAGGGCGGTTTGCCCACAAGCATTGCATAAAAGATGACGCCAATAGACCACAAATCCACTTCATACGAGTGGCCCTCGGCAGAGCCAAAGAGAACCTCGGGCGCAATATAGTTGGGCGTTCCGCAGATTGTCTTTTTCCGGTCATCGTCATCCACCAACAATGCGGCGAGGCCGAAATCACCGACCTTGATGTTCATGGCTTCATCGAGAAATAGGTTGCCGAGCTTCAAGTCGCGATGAATGACGCGTCTCGAGTGCATATACTTGGCCGCACCGAGAATTTGTAGGCCAAAGAAACGTACCTCGGGCTCAGAGAAGCGCTTCCTTTGCTTGAGCATTTCCATCAAGGTACCCTGTGTGCAAATATCCAAAATCATGTAGACATTGACATCATCCTCGAAGCAATCCCTTTGTTTGACGATATTCGGGTGATCCATTGACTTGTGTACTTTGATCTCACCAAGCAGCTTCATCTTGACCTTTTCACTCGTAATGGACTTTTTGGCAATACACTTGGCAGCGAGTCGCGTGCCTTGAAAGTCCGTCACTTCGAAACACCGAGCAAATCCGCCCTATCCAAGTCAGCAAGCATACTCCAACACAAAACAAGCATACCTCTCCTAAGAGCCCTCTGCGAAAGTAAGAGCGATCTCTCTTCCGATCATTGATCATCGCTGGCGGGGTATAACATAACGCACTCGCCTTTTGTTTCCGTTTCGCACCCGCTGCAGCTGCCGTCGCTGCTGCTGTTGCTGCTGTAGAGGCAACGACAGCGCCATCTTCCTTACCTAGCGGTACTCTTGCAGGTACATTGGCTGAGATGGGAGCCAGGGCCGGCATTGAGCAGGCGAGCAGTAGAGATGGAGTGCGTCTCTTTTGTGTTTTGCCCAAAATCAACAAATGGCAACGAGAACTTGGCAGTCACATCTTCTTATGAATAAATACTTATTACTTACGCTAGATGCCTACGATGAGAATCGCTTCGATGCAGTCTCCCAGTTGATGACATGCCAGATTGCATCAAAGTACTTGACTTTTGCATTCTCGTACTGCAGGTAGTACGCATGCTCCCACGCATCGACACCCAACACCACCGTGTCGCCCGTAATTGGGTCTTGATTCGGGGTCGTTGTGATCTTGAGCTGCTTTGTAGAGGCATCCTGCACGAGCCAGCCCCAGCCAGATCCCTGGATCGAAGCAAGCGCAGCATTGAACGCTGTCTTGAGACCATCCACACCGCCATACTGTTTCTTGATGGCGTCTGCAAGTGCGCCTTCTGGCAACTTGCCGCCCTGCTTGTTTGCCGGGGCCAAGTTCTCCCAGAACAAGGAGTCTACAGGTTAGCTCTCTTGTCGTCTGTGCATTGACTGGGTTCGTACGATTGATGTGACCACCGCCATTGAAGCGAATAGCAGCCTGAAGGGCAATGGCAGCCTTGACATCCCCACCATTCACAGCCGACGCCAATTTCTCCTCGGCAGCATTGAGATTTGTGACATATGTCTGATGGTGCTTCTGGTGATGAAGCTCCATGATGTGCTTCGAGATGTGTGGCTCGAGTGCGTCATATGCGTATGCTGGCCTGTTAGTAAACGAACAGATAGAGACTGAGGGTCATACGAAGCTGAGGAAGGGAGTGCTTGCTGCGCATAGACATCCTGATTGGAGCAGTAGCGGCTTTGAGGGAAGTCTTGAACATGATTGAGGAGGATGGTAGTCTGTAGTCTCTTGGAAGATGTCGCCATTTGTACGTCAGCGAGACAGTGCGACGAGATGGGGGAGAAGAGGCAGGAGAAAGAAGACTTCAAGAAGTATCGAGGCATAGACTACAAGAGAACAGAGCTAGAAGAGGTCATCAGAGTTGCTGTCCCGGTGCAATCTCAGCACCTGGCCTCACCTGCCCAGCCAAGTGTCCGCCAGCAAGGAACTCATTACCACTCTTCGCCCTCGCCTGCTGAATACGTGCCTCCATCTCTGGTCTAAAGTTTCGGATGAGTCCCTGCACTGGCCACGCTGCAGCGTCACCAAGGGCACAAATCGTCCGTCCCTCAATTTGCTTTGAGAGTTCCCAGATTTGATCAATTTCACGCTCTCGCGCTTCACCACGCTCGAAACGCGCCATCATGTTGGCGAGCCAGGTGGTGCCCTCTCGGCAGGGTGTGCACTGTCCACAAGATCTAGTTGGTTAGCTCGTCCCTGCTTATCATTTGGAAAAAAGGGAACTCACTCATGTTGGTAGAATGCCGACAATCGAGAAATGGCAGCAACAATATCCGTTGACTTGTCCATCACAATGACGGCAGCGGTACCCAAACCACTCTGCAAGTCCTTGAGTGAGTCAAAGTCCATGAGTGCATCTTCACACTGAACCTTGTTGAGCACAGGCACACTAGAACCACCAGGGATGACACCGAGCAGGTTATCCCATCCACCACGAACGCCGCCACAGTGCTTGTCAATCAGCTCACGCAACGGAATCGACATCTCCTCCTCGACAGTACAGGGATGGTTGACGTGTCCCGAGATGGCAAACAGCTTTGTGCCTGCATTACGATCACGTCCCATACCGGCAAACCACGAAGCACCACGGCGCAAAATGGTGGGTGCAACAGCGACCGTTTCGACATTGGTGACGGTGGTTGGGCAACCGAAGAGACCGACGTCTGCTGGGAACGGAGGCTTGAGACGGGGCTTGCCAGCTTTGCCTTCAATAGACTCAATCAGACTTGTCTCCTCGCCACAGATGTAAGCGCCGGCACCGCGGTGGAGGTAGATGTTGAAATTGTAGCCAGTTCCCAAGATATCCTTGCCAAGGTAACCCGCTGCGTACGCCTCGTTGATGGCAGTCTGCAACGTACTCGCTTCATTGTAAAACTCACCGCGGATGTAGATGTAGCAATCCGTTGCATTCATGGCACGACCAGCCAACAAACATCCCTCAACAAGCTTGTGTGGGTCTTTACGCATAATCTCACGATCCTTGCAGGTACCAGGTTCACCTTCATCTGCATTGATGACAAGGTACCGAGGCCGCGGGTCTTTTTGCCATCCAGGCTTGTTCATAAAGGACCACTTCAGACCGCTTGGGAAACCAGCGCCGCCACGTCCACGAAGTCCCGATGCCTTCATTTCAGAGATGATCCAATCATCGCCCTTGAGGAGGAGTTCTTTGGTCTTGTAGTAGTCTCCGTACTTCATAGCATTTTTGAGAGTCGGTTCATGGTGGCTGTAGAGGTTTGTGAAGATACGATCTTGATCCCGTAGGTTGCCGAATGTCTTTTTGGGTGCATCAGCGACGGTAGCGAGACCGCGCTTGAGCGTCAGCCGTGAGCGTACGAGGCTATTCATTGTGTTGGATGTTGCTTTTGTGCGTTGCTCAGCTTAGTTAAGACGAAGCTCATTGGCGGTAAGATGGGGTTAGGCAATTGGCACCAGAGACGCGCCAGAAGTGAGAGACGCGACGAAGAGAAGCTACAGACGTAGAAGAAGAGGAGAGATGGACGTCGATATGGAAGAGGATGCTCCTCGGTCAGTCCCCAACAAAGGAAAGGGAAAGGCCAGGGATACAGGCACAAAAGATGCCATCGACGACAATAACCTGCCCTGGGTCGAAAAGTATCGACCAAAAGACATGACGGATGTCGTGGCGCATACAGACATCATCGCCACGCTAGGCAAGTTCATCGAGAGCAACAGGCTCCCGCATCTCTTGTTCTATGGACCGCCAGGCACAGGCAAGACTTCGCTGATTCTCGCCATGGCGCGGCGTCTCTTTGGCGACCGGTACAAGCAGCAAATAATGGAACTCAATGCTTCTGATGATCGAGGTATCGATGTTGTGCGTGAACAGATCAAGACATTTGCATCGACCAGGCAAATCTTCAGCTCAAGTTTCAAGCTCATCATTCTCGATGAGGCAGATGCCATGACTATTGCTGCACAAAATGCACTGAGACGTGTCATTGAGCAGTATACAAAGCATGTTCGCTTCTGCATCATCTGCAACTACGTCAATAAAATCACACCAGCCTTGCAATCGCGTTGTACACGATTCAGGTTCCAACCGCTCCCGGAAATACACGTTGAGAAAAAGATCGATCAAATTATTGCCGCTGAGCATGTCAAAATCACCCCCGAAGCGAAAACAGCATTGCTGTCACTCTCTGGGGGTGATATGCGTAGAGCAGTCAATGTTCTACAGGCGTGTTCGACTGCCTTTGAGCAAGAGGAGATTGACGAGGCGGGTATCTACAATTGCGTTGGCAATCCACATCCACGCGACCTGCGACGTATTGTTGAGAGCATGATGAACGACGATTTGACAACATCATTATCGCTGATTGCCCGTATGAAGGCAGAGAAGGGTCTCGCACTACAGGACATCCTGGGTGGCGTGTTTCGTGAGCTCGAGGAGATTGACTTGAAGGGGAAAGTGCGCATGCTCGTGTATGATGCGTTGGCAACGATTGAGTATCGCTTGAGCATGGGTGGCACAGAGAAGATTCAGTTGAGTGCCATGGTGGCGACGATGAAGCAAGGCGTTGATCTCCAGGCGAGATAGTAGAGTATTCCAGTGACTATGCACTCAATTCTCAATCTTCCTGCTGAACACACTTGTACCAACTTGACTTGGTCTGTACCTAAAAGTGCTATCAATCTGTGCCTGAGATCTGACGGTTTTGACAGCTGCGAGATGAGATTTGAGATTTGCAATTACCACACCACAAAAGGCATGCAATGAGGGCTCGAACGTGTGATGGGCCGTCGCAAGCATGCAGGCCGAGCTGCGAACGAACGCGACAAGACGAGGCAGAGTATCACAGCGACGGCACTGACGCACGCATGTGGCGGTTTGCAAAAGACACAAACGACAGCAGATTACTTGCGCATTTCAGGCATTCGATGGCTCCCACTCGGATTCTGCACTTATTTCTCAGACCTTCGCATTCTCAATCTCAAAGGATGTGCATTGATACAATTGCCATACAATTTCGACATGTTGCAGCAGTTGCAGTACCTTGACGTGAGTGGCAATCCGAATCTAGCTCTTCCGGCATCTCTACTGAAGTGCACTAAGCTACAACGTCTCATCTGCTCTCCTGCCTTACTCGAGACTCCCTCTAGCTGGCACTTGCCCTGGATAGATCTAGAGAAGACTGTTCCACGACTAGGAACGCTTTGCTGCAAGAGCATCTTACTAGAGTGTGATATCGACGACCTCGATTGGCTCAACGTCCATCTCCGCCAAGAAGCACTCATGACACCCCTACACGAGCTTAAACGCTGCTATGAGTGCAATACGTTAGGTCATCTGCCCGCTAGTCGAACCCGTATTGCTACCGTTGCATTACGACGCGTGCCTCTGCATTTTTCAGTTTGCTCTTCCAGATGCTTACATCAGCTACAAGCGACAATGCGGCTTGAGGATGCCTTGAATGAGGAGAAACGGACGTTGCGACTCACCAAATTTGGGCCAGGTGGGTTCTCTGCTAGATGAACTGCGTATACGCCTGGTGATTGGTTCGATGTCCGAGATGAGACAATGACGACAGATCGTAATTGAAATGGACTTTGCGTCAACGGGTTGGAGTTGCACCTTCCTAGCCTGCTGATGGCCTGTTGGACGCTGCAGCTGGTCGAGGACATTGCTGGCTGACTCGGGGTGTCCGTCACTGTCGCATTAGATCAAACCAGATGGCGAACTCAAATCGCAAATCTACATCGCAGCAAACAAAACTCACCAAGACGCCTTCTTCAACCCCTCAATAACAAGCTTGGACACAAGGGCCCTCTACCTATAAACGACCACCTCGAGCAGAAGAAGGGCCCTCGCCCATACACAGGCTGTAACACACACCAAAAAAATTCATGAACTGGATGCGCAGGGTCAGTGCAGGCGATCAAGCAGCAACGACAGGGACCTCCCTCCATGCCGCCATTACCAGTACCACGACAACATTCACGTCTGTCAAACGCACTGCACCCATCCTGAGCCCCATTGTGGCGCCTGATCCACATCTCTTCAACCGATCGCACAATGGTAGCACGGCTAGCAGGAGTCCCGAATTTGAGAGTGAGGCAGGCACAGACGAGACGTGGTCGCACTTGTCGACCACAGTACAGGATGAGGCAGAGGCTGACCTGTTTGGCTCACCAGCGAGCCGAGCATTGCGTCGCTGGACATTCGATGGACGTTTTACGAACCCTCAAAAACAACCAGCAACCACCAAGACACCCATGATGACTACCAAAGCGGCTCGTCGAGCAGAACGCATCTCCTCCCTGCCACATATCAAATCTTCCGCTCAATTATCAAACAAACAGCAGCAGAGAGAGCATCGCGCTGGATGGCGAGATATTAGCACATTGGCGAGTCCTAATGCTACATCGCACGCAATTCGAATCCCAGAGACGCCGGGCTATTTGCAACGTACCGACCAGCTTGACCGAGTCGAAGAGGACGCTGTGGGGGCTGAGCTCAAGTCTTGTGATCAGAGTGAGGATGGCGGTGATTTTGTGTTTGACCACTACCCGGAAGAAGAGGAGGAGGTGGAGCACTGGCAGCCAAGACGTCACACAGAGGCATGTTCAGTACCGCTCCCCTGGACAAACTCCTCGATGCGTCGTGCAATGAACGATGCCCACGCTCACGACCTGTCACACGAAAGCGCTTTTGGCTGGAGACCTTGAGCTTTGCTGCCCTGTGTCTCTCATGCATTCTTCAAATTCCCCTTAGCCTTCATTTATAGCCTTTGGCGGCTCATTTCCTCAGCATTTCACAACGTCAGCGCAGAGAAGAATACTCATAGCAAGCCAGTCAAATTCAATCTTTCTACAATGAAATGCAGTAGTACCTGTTTTTTCAATCCACCACCGCCGTCTCGAAGCGATTATTGACCATTCTGACTGTTGTTGGGAGTACAATTTGCCGCTTCTTGGAGCCACCACGCCGCAGTCGTTTCCTGGCCACCATGACAGGCGCACTGGACTTGTTGATGATGTAGTTAGAAAAGGAGCCGAGCAAAATTCCCGTCATGTTGCCAAGTCCTCTTGAACCAATGACCACCAAGGTTGGATCCATTGTGTCGATGATTTCAGTGATGAGGTGTTTTGGTGCTGCATGATGAATCACCTCCACTTCACAGCGCACTTCGAGTTTTGTCCGCATAAGGAAACGCTTAAGATCCACCATAATATCATCCATTGACGCACCGCGCGTTTCGGCATGTTGCGCCTCGGTGCGGCGGTCTTCTTTTTCTTCCACGTCAAGTACATGTACGATGCGCACCGTATCACCGTCTCGCACAACAGTTCCAATGGCCCATTCAATTGCATACTTTGCCTGTGGTGACAAGTCCACCGCGATCAAATACTGTCGTGTGCGTTTCGCTTTCTGATAGCAAGCCTCGTAATCCCCTCTTTGCAGCGTACAAAATAATCTCCCTTCAGCTTCCTGCCTGCGAGACTCAAGGATCGTCAAGTCTCGATTCCCTGATGCGACTTCTTCCGCATCTTCGTCTGAATTTTGTACACTGACAGCGCGTGAATCGTCTGTGAAGGAGGTGTTAGGTCGGATCTGCTTCTTCCTAGTTGCAGCCAGTGAATTGTCCTTGACAATGGTGGGTACACTGCCGCCAAAGTTTTGTCTTGAGAGGGTGTTGTGTGTGTGATCTCGAATAATATCGAGTCGTTCATTCTCTGCAGCTGCAGCGAGCGACATGGGTGGCCGATGTGGTACAAAGCTGGACTTGACGGTATTGTTCTTGTCTTCTTCATCGTCATCATCACTTTGTTCATCTGATGAATCCGATTCAATCGCAGCCTCTGGGTCATGATCCTTTTCCACACGCTCCTTCTCCTGATTCTCCCTCATCTTGGCAGATGGAGCTAGGGTTGCAAGTAAACCACCTGACGATGCCATTGCAGAGTCTGTTAGTTTCCTATGCATCCCCTTCATGTGTAATGGATCCGCTGCACGCGTCGGTGATGCAGACTTGCGTGAACTGCGAGTTGATAAGCCACTGGGCGACACGGCTCTCCCCTGTGAACTTGAGAAACTAGGTCGAGAGGTACGATCATTATGCGATCCCTTTCGACTCATAAACATGCGTTGTGAACTCGATCCAGCACTCAATCGATGTGAGCTCGACCCACTCGTACTCCCACCAACAGAAAAATCATAATTCTCAGGCGCTAGATCGCGCGCTACATTGGCGGATGCTAGCGCAGCTTGTCGTTCTCGCTCATCACGCGCATTGATGAGTGCTTCGACTTCGCGCGCTTCTTCAGCCATGGCTGATTCGAGGGAGTATGTTTGGCTCGGTCTTCCTTTGCGCTTGGAGATTGGGGCGGCCTTGTGGAGTGAGTATGGGATGGATGTAGATGGAAAGCGACTTACTGCATCGAAGACCATGGCTGCTTTGTTGCCTGGACGCGCTTTGGCAGGGATGAATGTGGCAGGTGCGGTGCAAGGTGGGGGGCTATGGAGTGTCAGTGTGCACTGTGCTTGCTTGTGCTCTTGAGCGTGTGGAGCTGAGAGGGACGGGAAGAGATAAATTTGACAGAAGACTTTCACGAACCATATCTCTAGATTCTCTACTCTTCACTGAGGTATGTCTAGCTCCGGCCAGTGAGGGCCAAGTGGAAACAGGTGCTCAGCTAGAGTAACGGACTTGATTAAGACAATGAATATAATCTGTCAATCCCCTGACTGCTCGAGCATGACTCAGAGCAGCTTGACGAAAACTTTCTGCTTTTTATGATCCCCTCTCTTTGCTGAAGCCTGTCTTTATCTTGGCCTACTTATGGTTTCTCTTCAGTATGCAATTCATTTGCTAATAGACGTACAGATGTGTGTGAATTTACAAAGTCCAAAATAACAGCCAACCATGGTTGATTACGAGCGAGCAGGGTCGGGTCTCCATCGTCCTTGCAAGAATGCTTCAATATCCTGATTCACCAGGAGCTCCTCCATACTGGCACTGTGTAACTGCTGGTCTAGTGAGAGAGTTGGCACCCCTGGGCTTGCAAGACCGCTGTTGCAGTCGTCCTTGAGGGACAAACAGCAGGTACTTGGCACAGACGAGTACAACGACATGCTTCGACCAAACACTGGTTGATTTGCAATCGATCCCTTCAACGTCGAACAATAAGGCGATTGTATGGGTCCCCGCGCTTGCCATTCTGCAAGTCCGGACCAGCGCTGTGGTTCAATGGGCGGCGACATGCAAGGTTGTCGTGCGGTGAAGCCAAAACTATCCACAGACATCCATGGTAAGATCCGTTGCGCTCCTGGAGTCGATCGCTTTGTACGAGGTCCACAACGTCGTGCGGTGGCGCGTGGGAGGGTCTTGCGCACAGCCGTGTCAATCATGCGTTCTCGTTGCGAGCTCACTGTGGCATTGCCGATATTGGCCATTGCAGGTGTCGCTGTGCTCTGCGGACGGTGGATGGATGGATGAGCAGGTCTGCCGGGCGAATGAACAGCTGGGAAGAAGCAGTTTGGAGGTGCAAACAGCCGTTTAAGCACATCAGGCAGACGTAACGTATGGTCGCTTGGGTCTAGTTCAAGTATCAGTCAATGTGATGGTTACAGATCGAGAAGAACTTGCATTGATGACGATAGAGACGGTGCTTGGGAGGACCGTCTTGTCGTCTGTACTCCCTGGGTGCCGAATGACCTGCCGCAGGTCTTCTGGGCGTGTGCAGATCCATTGTCTTCTCTGCCTCTTGCAGACGAACCCTGCCGGGTGTGCGCACGCGACGCACGTCTGGTTGTTGGTCACCTGCAGCGCTCGTTGCACAGAATGAGGTGAGATCTGGGTAAGGCAAGCGCCAGTCTAGACGGCTGTTGACGGCATCGATGGCATCCATGGCAAAGCTACGACCGTGGATGGCAGTCTGCATTTTGGGACTCGAGAGCAGGAAATGGATGTATGGCTGACGGAGTGTTTGCAGAGATGAGACAAGGCCAAGACAGGGGAGTGCAGCACAAGCAGTGTGTAGGTACTGTTGCAGAGTTTGATGGGTATAGGTCAGACTGGTACGGACGACGAGAGATGCTCTATGCCAGTGACTGGATATGAACCAAGCAGATAGGAACTGAGATACAGCTGGTTGTCAAAGCCACTTCTCAGGCGTCGTAGCATTCACTCAAGGGTGTACCAGGAAGGCGTCAGTCTTGGATCTTTGAATATCTAGTCACTAGCGATGTTCTACACATAGGGATGAAGACAGCGGGTAGGTGTCGACCGAGGAGCACTAGCGAGTGAGTGTGTGGTCTGAGGTGTAGGAGAGTCAGTCCAGTCGCCACTCGGTCTCCAGGGTTAGGCGATGCTCCCTCCAGCCGCCCCTCCGGAAGTGGAAGACAAACATACAGCAACGAACAGCACCAACACTACATCCAACAGCTGGCCCTTTCATCTACCCATCTTCCACACCATTTCACCTCATTACAGACATTTACAGGATGGACAGAGCCTACCAGCAGCACGCATGGGCAATGCAGCCTCAAATGCATCCGCAAGACCGCATCCCCGTAGCAACGGCCTATACCGTCATTCAAAGTATGTCCGCTCCCCTCATCTGCTGATGTCTTTCCATCCATGTGGCTGCACAGCGGCTTCTGGCGCTATCAGCAGATTACATATACGAGTATGCTGACCATCTCCCGCAGGTGCGCAAGCCCGGTATGAATCGGCCAGGTCATTCGATGTGGACGATGATCTTGAGTTCAACCCTTGCCTGAGCCCAGAAGAGTACAGCGCCTGTTTTGCTGAATCTTCCCTCTCAACGCGCTCCAACCGCAGTGAATCCAATTCACCTCCGCAGCAACAATCCCTCCCGCACTCGGTGATCGGGATGAATCCATATGCGCAACAGGCGCAGGTTGTGCATCAGCAGCATCAGGGATTCGCCAATCAAGCCGCTGCCAGCGGACGGCACCGGAAGCGCAATCCTATTCAGATTGTGGACCCGCGCAATTATGCTGGTCAACAACAGCAACAACAAGCATCGCAGCAGCAGGGCCATGCTAACCAATGGAGGTAAAGGCCTTATAAAGCACTTACTTTTGTTGGCGCCATCTGTATGCTCTGCGATGCCCCGTTATGATTGCTGCCACTTCCCACATTGTAAATTGATGATCCTGTACAGAGACAACTTCAAAAGACGACGAAACCAATTTCCTTTTAGAGAGCGAGCGGCCATTTCACATCGAGCCTGGCTTTCATGCACATCACGCCAACACAGTATCTGCTTTACCCTTCACCATCTCAACCACAAACGACTGTCATTATCATATGTATGAAAGGAATGGAAGCAGCGCAAAAGATCACATTCACCATCGTTCATTTGCTTACCGTCTTCGCTCTGACTTTAACCACCTTTCTTGGAGCGTGCCATTATTTCTTGGAATATCTGTACCTATCGTAGCTATGAAGCACTTGATTCAAGTCTGCCAATCTTCCTTGCTTGTCGCCGTTGCTCTTCATTTGCATTTTGCGACATTTGACCCGCTCGACGTCAGTGAACCTCTCACCCGCAAAACACATGATGCCCAGCTGATCCCAATGGGCAACTCCAGCTCGTCCTACTCAGGCGCGGCAACGCTCGATTCCTATATCGCCGAACTGACCGATATTCAATACGAAAAGACACTCGGCTCAGCGCGCTTCCTCAAATGCGTTCGGGGAAAACACGAAGATGGTCGCGTGGTCGTCAAGCTATTCATCAAGGCTGGACCAATGGACTTGAGAAAGGCAGCTGCGCAGATGATGCGCGAGAAGGATTTACTCATGCAAATACCTAATGCGCTAAGTTACCAGCGGTTCAAGGAGACAGATAGGGCGGTGTACCTTGTACGCCAGCATATCGCAAGCAATTTATACGACCGCATCTCCACGCGTCCGTTCCTAGAGACAATTGAGAAGCGCTGGATAGTCTTTCAGCTGCTGACGGGTGTGCGCGACTGTCATGCTCAAGGGATTCATCATGGCGACATCAAGACGGAGAATGTCCTGGTGACTTCCTGGAATTGGGTCAGCTTGACGGACTTTGCCTTCTTCAAACCAACCTTCTTACCGGAAAACAATCCAGCTGATTTCTCCTACTACTTTGATACCTCGTTTCGCAGAACTTGCTACCTTGCTCCAGAGAGGTTCCATGGGCCAAGCGAGACCAAGACAGGTTCTGTGACGGATGCCATGGACATCTTCAGTTTGGGATGTGTCATTGCAGAGCTCTTTCTTGAGGGCGAGCCGCTGTTTGATTTGGCGCAGCTCTTTAAGTACAAGCAAGGCGAGTACGATCCTACATCACTTCTCGACAAGATCGAAGATGTCGGCATCCGCAGCCTTGTGGCACACATGATCCATCTCGACCCCGACAAACGACTCTCTGCGGATGGATACCTCCAAAAATGGCAGCGTCGTGCGTTCCCAGACTACTTTGCGAGTTTTCTGCACGGCTATGTCGCACTCATTACGGATCCTGCACGGCATCATGCGACAACGCCGAGCGCGGATTTGGACGATGCACTGGATCGTATCTATTTCGAATTCGACAAGATTAGCTTCTTCTTGGGCTTTGATGATTCTGCTGCTCAACTCGCACACGTCAAGTCAGGCATAAGTGTTCCACACTATCGACCTGTCCATCTGTCCCATGCAGTGCGATCAACAGGCGAAGACGGCGCTCTCATCTTCCTCAGCCTCATTCTCTCTGGCGTGCGCAACACATTACGTCCCATCACACGCGTTCGTGCCTGCGATGCAATCCTCGCACTCAGCGAACGTGTCAGTGATGAAGCAAGACTCGATCGTGTCATTCCCTTCTACGTCACACTTCTCATGGATGAAGCACCCGAAGTGCGTGCAGCGGCACTCTGGAGTCTCACGGCAGTCTTGACGGATATTCGCGTTTTGACGCCTGTGAATGCGTTTGTCTTTCCGGAATACTTGTTGCCTAGACTACGACCGCTTGCGACAGATGCAAGTACACTCGTACGGATCAGACTTGCACAGTGTCTACCAAAACTTGCTCAAGCGAGTACACGCTTCTTGGATATGGCACAAGCGCTCAGGACGGAAGGGTTTCTGTCACTCATGGAGGCAGGAGATCAGATGGACGGCCAAGCACTCGAGCAAGATTCTTTTGCAACATTGTTTGAGATCTCCAAAGGCGATACACAAGCTGCAATTCAGGAACTTACAGTGCAGCTATTGACGGATGATGATACAGGTGTCAAACGAGCGCTACTTGGCCACGTTGCGCCATTATGTGCGTTCTTCGGAAGGCAGCAAGCGAATGATGTGATTCTAAGCCATCTCATCACATACCTCAACGATCGCACTTGGACACTCAAGGCTGCCTTTTTCGATCAAGTCGTCGCGTTGTCGACGCATCTGGATCCGGATAGCGTTGAGGAGTACATTCTACCGCTCATGATGCCAGCATTAACGGGTAATTGGACCAAGGACCATACATGAAGCTGACAATAGATCCCGAAGAGCATATCATTGAAAAGGCAGTTACAGCACTTACACGGCTATGCCAGCATGGCTTCGTCAGGCGACCCTCGCAATTTAACTTGGTAGGTATGGTCGTTCGATTCCTGATTCACCCCAATCTCTGGATTCGCGAGGCAACTGCGGCATTTGTCGCAACTGTCAATGAACCTCTTTCACGCGCCGAAAGCTATTGTCTCATCTATGGGCAAGTCAAACCATTTCTACGCATGGAAATCAGTACACTGTCGGCAGTGGCAATCTTACGAGCCCTTCGTAAACCACTATCACGTCTCGTGCTGGATCAAGCGATGCTATGGGCTTCAGCGGCATCACAATCATCCTTCTGGCAAAGTGCAGCACGCGGCGCCTTTTCTACAGATTCGCTAGCGGATCGTCGTGCGAGCCAGGTTGGGTTACCAGCACAAGCAAAGACCGCGCAGCCGCGTATGATGCTCACCAAGAGTTCCTCTGAGGATGAACCTTTTCTTACACGTTTAAGGGCCCTTGGACTCAAGTCAGATGATGAGTGGAAGTTGATGACATTGCGTGAATTCATCTGGCGCATTAGCCGTGCTTCCTCTGATGCTGATCGACCCACCACAGCCATGATGGCATCGAGGACAGGTACTTTGTTGCCACAGACGGTGTTCTTTGATCAAGTGCAACAACCTGCTGATCGACTTCAGCTCGGGGCTCATGATGTGCAGAGTGCCTTGACTGAGGCGTCTCGTACGCTTTCGCGCCGTCGAGTATCAAGAATACACCAGACTGGCAAGAGAATACCGTCTCAGACTATAGCTGAAGAAATGGATAGGCTTGAGGTGGGCTCAAGGGCAAGCAGTCTCAATGGTGACATGGGGAAACGTCCAAGTGCCATTCATCTACCTGGACTCGCGATTAAGGCCCTACCAGAAGTCGGCACGTCTACCACAAATGCTGTTGGGCAAGTCGATCATCTCGCGGTCGAAGCGCCAAAGACCAAAAGAGCAGTACGACCAAGCCATACCTATGCAGGTGGAGATCCAACGGTGCTCAATCTGTTGGACAAGGTCTTTCAAGAAAACATGCAGAGCCGATCCCTCGATTTCGGCCCGGCAATTGTGCCCGTTGTGCAGCCCTCACAAGGTCGTCAGGGTCGCTTGACGGGTCCATGGCAGCCAGAGGGTATCTTGGTTGCGCATATGCATGAACATACAGCTGCCATTAATTGTGTCCTTGCTGCGCCTGATTCACGCTTCTTCGTGACATGCTCAGATGATGGCTGCCTCAAGGTCTGGGACAGCGCCAAGCTGGAACGACAGGTTGCGAATCGCTCGCGACTGACATTCCGTTGTCCAGCTGGCGTCAAAATCAAAACGGCGTGTTTCCTGGAGAATAGCTATTGTGTGGCGATTGGATCAAACGACGGTGCGTTGCAGATTATTAAAATTGATTGCAGCGTCAGCGGGCCAACCAAGTACGGCAGAGCACACAGCCTCCGCAAATTCGAATTGCCAAGCGGCGAAGTACCAGTCAAGCTTGTGCACTATGCAAATGATGCCCAAAGTCTGCTCTTGGCGGCGACATCCGATTGCAAAGTTGTCGCACTGGATCCTAAGAGTATGTCAGTGGTGTTCACTTTGCAAAATGTTGCTCATCATGGAAGTATCACAGCCATGGTGCTTGATCGCAAAAGAACATGGCTACTACTTGGCACTAGTAAAGGCGTCTTGAGCTTGTGGGATCTGCGCTTTCAGCTTTGCGTCAAATCTACTGCCTTGTCAAGCGCCTCTTCAGTTGCTCATCTCGAGATTCATCCATGCCGTGGTCGAGGGCGCTATGTCCTTGTCGCACTCACAGGGTCTCCAGGCGGAGTGCTTGTATGGGATGTGGAGAAGCTCATCTGCAGGGAGTTCTATACAGATACTATGCCGACAGCTGCACTTTTCGCTACTGTGGATGCGGAGACAACGACGTCCGATGTGGCCATGCAACAGTCGGCTGCAGAACTGACTGATTTGAGCAAGAAGACCGAACCAGCAGGACCGATGGCAACACGCGCTTTGGCAACTGGTACATCCATCTTGAATGCAGACGGCAAGCTTGGTTCTGCGTTCATGGTGACGTGCTCACGGGATCAACGTATGCGTTTCTGGGACTTGTCAAAACCAAGCGACTCCAGAATTGTCATGGCATCTGAGCTTGCATCAGAAGCGAAACGCGTTTATCAGCAAGAGACGGTCGGGCTAACATCGATTGTGGTAGAGCAAGTAGCAGGAAAAGAGTCGATCACAAAGACAAAGTCAAATGGCGTTCGTCATGCATCCACCGGATCTGCAGGTCCACAAACGGCGAACAGCATCAAGGATCATGCAAGCCTGTTGCATTGCCATCTGGACTTGGTATTGGATGTTGCCATTCTCACGCTTCCTTACCAAATGATTGTCTCGGTAGATAGATCGGGTGTGCTCAAAGTGTACGCATAGGGAGCTAGAAATACTAACGAAGCACAAGCTCCTCTGATTTGTCTATTATTGCCCCGTCGCCGTTACGTCGATATCGGCGACCAAGTTCGAAACACATCTCATTCACCTCGCGTCGAAAATAAGGGGTCTTGAAGCTGACGGGCATGAATGCAGCCTTTCTGTAGATGTGTACAAGCACATGTTCCATCCTTGAATAATGGGTTCATCCTGCACATAGAAGCTTCTGTCGCGGATAGCATCCCTAATGCAAGATTGTAAAATTGTCAAGTTCAGTGTCAACCCCAAGCCTAGGCTGCGGCTTTCCACCAACTTTCTTTGCATCTGCAGTTGAGCCTATGCTAAGATCGATTCTGACGCCACTTATCGCAAGTCTAAAGCCACGCAGGATGTCTAAAACTATAACGAGTCGTTATCCCGGACAGCTACCGCATGTATGCGTGATCAAAGAAGTCAAACAGAGCCAGGGCTATATATGTGACTTTAAGCGTGAGGATAAAATAACACCTTTTGAGTAATAGACATCCGACTTCGTAGCTGAATTAGCTCGATGAAGGCTGTTTTTATTTTCTTTAAAATTATCTTGAAATTCATCAATTGATCAATTTTAAAATTACAAAATCTTAATTTGAAACCGACGTGGTTTGTTTGAAACTTCACAATCACAATTGACACGTTTCAGTCCGGAAAGAGCTCCGCACAGCTTCTAAGAACTTTGCGACAGGCCTGCACGATGAATCTCTGGGCTTTGATGGCCTACACATCACTGCTAAGTCGCTTTCTTATCGCGCATGCCTCGCCTGAAGCAGGTCCACAGGCTCCATCCGTCAGAAAGCGACCGCCTGGGAGCTCAAGTGGACAACAAGCACTTTCGAATGCAACAGGCGCAGAGGAAGAACCAAGATCAAAAGTTGGCAAGGCCAAGGGCACGAGACCGAACTTGTTTGTGCTTTACGATAGCAAATGCTACCATTTGCGATTCGAAGTAAAACGCTTGTTGAACCCGGAGAAGTTCCCACAATTGACCCAAGAGGACTGTGAGACAAGATGCAAACAATCCATCATCAAGTATTGCCGTGGGAAGGAATTTATGACCCGTAAACATCAAAAGACGGACTGTATTCGGTCGGGTCATTGCATACGGTCGAGAGCAATAAACATCACTGAAAGGAGCTGTTCAGACAGACTGACGGCTGCGGCAGCGCTGCAAACATGTTATCTAGAGGGATGCGCTTGCAGTGCTACTGTGGATGTCTGGCGTATCAAACGATACGGACCTGCAACTCCGAATGACCAACACAATTTTTTCGGACCGCGGGTCGAAGGCAAAGCCTTGCCGCTTTGTCATCCAGAAAATATGGTGAAGAAGTTTGAGGCCAATCGATGGCAAATTGGAAAATGGTCTGTTGTGCAAACAGACATCGATTGTGATGAGGTCTTGACAGAGGAGGACGAATGCAGCTGCACAGGACCAGGTAAAAGACCTTGTAAGGCTGTCGAAACCTTTACGACTAGCCGCTGCGCTCTCGACAATCCTGGGCCCCACGGAGGATGCATATGCGCAGCAGAGCACCATAGGCAATGCATGGCTGAGACAGGGCCCAAATCGCCAGCTGCGGATGAGGTAAGTTACTTCGCTGAACTTGAAAACGAATTTGGGGCCAATTATTTCGAGCTCGACGACTTGTTATAGTAGTTCCGCCGGTAGTACGACTTGCGATTGCGATGATGAGAATGACTTTCGAAATCCAATTACTATTCATCTTTCTGCAGGTTAACGACTTCAGGCTCCTCCCAAGCTGCAATAGCAAATGCAGCAAACACGATGAAACAAAGTGACAGGGAAGAAGTCGACTACGAACACAAAGTAAATTTACCTACGTCATGCATGTACTGAGACGCGCCCGACAGCTACATTGATATTGACGGCGAACAGCATCAATTATCATGCAAACCCGTTGCGAAGCCATTCAGATTTTGTGCTTAATGTGATAACCCCCACACTTCACTACAAGATGGGTATCGGAAAATAGGTTGAGTTTGCTCGGAGTGCTCACAACGTGCACGCGTAGAAAGCTAGACTTGGTTCAAGCGGCATTACAGAGATGGGGTTTTTTGTTATATTCCCTTCTTGCTACAGACTACAGCAATGGATGACTAATTAGGGTTTTTTTATATATTTCCTTCATTGCTATAGAGTCTACAGCTATGGTCGTAAATGTAGGATGAAATGAGCTTTATCTCACGAAAGTCTGCCTAGAAGACCGACTAACAGTGCGGGACTGGCTGCCGACGTGAAAACCTCGACTAGCACACCCGCTAAAACACCCTTGGAGTTATGCGCGCGTGCTCGCGCACAGCGTTTCAGTTTGTGCTTCCTCGCAGGCTTCCTCAGATGCACTGAATGCAGCTGTGGGAGCCGTTGAGTGGGCCTAGGGTTAGGGTTCAAAACGTTTTGCGTATAAAATTGACCAAGTCAAGTTTGCCCACATCGCGCCAATGGTCTAGTGGTATGATTCACCCTTAGGGTGGGTGAGGTCCCAGGTTCAATTCCTGGTTGGCGCCCCCAATTTTTGCCAGCCTTTTTTCGAGCTGATTATCAATCCTCGTCATAGCCATAGACCAGATCAGCTACAGACACGCCTCAGCTATGGCAAAGCTTTGAGCAACTTATAATCTTCCGTGCCCTAGACACGTAGCCTCCTTTGTCTTCCGAGGTTGCTCGATAAATTCGCGAATTTTGCATTTCAAAGAAACGCGCCAAAAGTTCCCTCACAAGGTCGACCGCGGCCATCCAATTGTCTATGGCATCTTTGAGGGAGCTCCTTGGTGCTTCTCTCAGCCCCGATCAACAGCAAAGGGAAGCCGCCGAGCAGAATCTGCAAGGCGTCTCATTGCTGACACTTGCACAGTTCCTTGAATCCGAAGGCGATGCGGCACTCCGACAGACTGCACTAGTCCTTTTGAAGAATGGTGTGGTCAAGCACTGGTCACCTACCTTTCCCGAGTTCTGCGAGCCTCTTTGCCCGGATCAAGACAGACCTACCATTCGGCACCTGGTTTTCAAGCTCGTTGGCGATTCAGAACGGTCCATTCGGCTTCAAGCAGGGTACATTACGAGCAGGATAGTGGCATCGGATTACCCAGATGAATGGGCAACCGTCTTGGACGATTTGCTACGAATCCTTCAGAAGCCTCCATCAGAGGCATGGCTGCATGGTGCATTGGTGGTGATGAAGGACTTTGTTGAGGATAGCATGAGCGAAGAACAGTTTCTACCCATTGCCCAGAATCTGGTGGAATACCTCTTGGCAATCGCTAGCGAAAGCAACCATCCTAGCGGCGTTCGTGCACAAGCGATTCACGTTTTCATTTCATGCCTGGATGCGCTTGAAATGCTCTCATCGACACGTCGCGAGGGAATTCGTGTCTTTGTGCAGCATGCACTGCCTCCTTGGCTTGAGCTGATTGCCAGTATCGTTGCTAGCAAGAGTGATGAAGAGCTCAAAAGTGCTGCCATCGAGACCATCAGCAAAATGCGCATTCTATTCCCAGCGCCACTCGCACAATACATGCCGGCTATCTTTGTGCCCATCTATGCTTCGCTGAATGCAGCCGATCCTTTCGAAGAGTCAGCACTGGTCCAGCAGCAAGTTGAATTCTTGAGGAAAGCTGTGCAGGCACGCATTATACAGGAAGACACTCTGTCCATCCAAGCAAGTTTCGAGGGATGTATTGCGCTTGCCCTCAAGTTTGCTCAAATAACACCGACAATGGAAGAGGAATGGCAATCAGACTTGGACGGTTTCGTGGAAGACTTGGATGAGACGTCATTCAGCACACGCAGATTGTGCACAGATCTACTGGAAGATTTATCAGAGCTACATCCAGAGTGGCTCAATCAAACCCTTGAGTCTGCTATCAGACACTATCTTGAAGCATCGGCAAGCGAGCATCTCTGGCGGCAACAGGAAGCGCTCATCTTCTGCCTAATCACCATGGTGCACCGCAGCGACAATGCCAATATGCTACTCGAGAAAGCCTTGCAAGCTGAGAATCCCTTTTTGCGCGCACGCAGTGCCATCTACGCCGCGCAAATAGGTGTGGCGTCATGCCTGCCTCTGGTCCTAGCGATGCTCGAGTCAGACTCTATTTTGGCTCGTTTGTGTGCCATCAAGGCCATGAGCAAGTTTGCAGATTCAAGCGACCAAGTCAAGGTGGATCAAGCCGCGATTCTGAAGCGCATGACTGCCAAGCTTGATTCATTGCCGGCTTCGTCTTTGCTCATGGTTGCTGAAGCTGTTGCACCCATTGTGCAATTGGAGCCTTCTGTGGTCTTGCGCGAGACAACCATCCTGCCAAGTTTCTTCACTTTGCTTGGAGGCAATCCTGGTGACATATCGCTTGTGGCTCAGGTTGTGGACATCTTCGAGTCGCTTGCCAGTTCCGTTGATTTTGCTCAACTGTGCTCTGTTGTATTGCCCATCTTGTTCAACACCATCAGCAATGAGCCTGCACTGCGCTCGATCGCGCTTGATATCCTCAGTGGCATGATTGAAGGCTCAGAACAGCTCCCGGATGGCTTTGTCACTGCAATTTGGCCAGTCTTTACCATTTCGCTTGAAGTTGAAGAGCTGCAAACAGCGCACGAGATTTTGAGAAACTTGGTTAAAAAGGCATGGCCACAGATTGTCGCTGGAAACCATGTGCAAGACTTGTTGTCAGTCATTGGTACTGCGTTTGAGGGGGATGAGAGCACATCATTCTATGTGCCGCAACTCGTCATTTCGCTCATCAGACAAGCTGGTGCATCCCTCAATGACATTCTCCCGGAGCTGCTAAAGATCATCTCGCAGAAATTGCAAGTACCAGGCCTCTCTAGTGCTTACCAACAGAACCTTATCTCAGTTTTTGCGGTCATTGCGTGCACACAAGCAGCATCACTGGTTGACTTCTTGGTGCAGATGCAAGCACTTCAGGTGGTCATGTCGACGTGGTGCGAAGTCTTTCCAGATTTCCATGGCTACAGCGCGATTCGATCAAGCGTGGTAGGCCTGTGCGAGATGTACAAGGTCCATGCTGCTGCGCCATCACCCCTTGATGACATTCTAGTCAAGGGAGATCTCATCTCGGATAGCTCTGGCAAGATTGTGACGCGTTCTCGCGCTAGAACACATCCTGAGCAGTACACACAAGTGCCTGTTGCCGTCAAAATCCTCAAACTCTTGGTTGCTGAGCTTGTCAACGAGAACGAAGGCTTGCGTGAAGATGAGGAGGTGGTCTCGGATGATGAGTGGGATACTGATCTCGACAAAGTGCTGGAGGAGGCACAGCTGAATGAAGCTGAACTGCAACGACTTGATGAGGATTCTGAAGATCCGCTGAGCACAATCAACACGCGCGAGTACATCACCAACTTCATTGGGTATCTGAGTAGCAGCGGTGATCGCGTACGTGCCGACACCCAGGCCCTCGCCTCGTCCGAACAACAGGCGCTTGCTAGCATTTTGTCATAGGCGTCTCATCAGTCTAGCGTAACACCACCGGATGATCCCAATGAGCCTGCCTCTTTGCGCACGATCTGAACGCCAGACAAGGCACCTGTGCGGATTTCTTGCTCATGTGCTACCAAGACACTCGCTTCGATGTTTTCCAGCATTGATTCCGCCGCTACTAACGTGTATTGTGACACAATAATGGGATGTGTTGCCGTGATCTCCTTGGCACCCTTGAATGATGCGCGAATAACCACTTGAAAGGAGACAGAGTACAGCTTCCCACTGGTCGTTGAGGTATAGGTTGCATGAGGCACAATGGCTTTGTCGTTGAGTCTGCCTGTGACAGGCATAGTGATGCCCACTTCCAGGGGACCTTCGCAGTCAGCAAGCTTGGCTCCCATGAGGTCACGTCTAGACTCTGCAAGACGTTTCGTTACCACAAACGCCTCAAAGACTTGATCTATCTGGTAACGCACAACTTGTTCAATGGTAAAGAGCAACTCCTTGCAGCGTACCTTTTTGACTTTTGCCTCCCAGTCTGGGTTACCCACCAAGGTCACCGTTGTAGTGAGTCGATCACCCGGTCCAACGCAGGTCCTAGGCAACATACATTGCATTTCGACAATGTGGTCGACGCTCACTGGCAAGAGCTTTTGTGTCTGCTCAAACATACCCCAGATGGGCAAATGATCGAATCGTTCCATAATGACTTCGATCGCGAACCGTTCAGAGTTGATACCACTCGCATGCAGCGTTGCCACTAGCTCATACGTTGTACTGCGTGAGGGATGTATTAATGTTGCCGGGAGTGTCTCTTCTGGTAGGGGCATGCAAAAGGGGATATCCATGCTGAGCACCTCGAGCGTCTGGTAGCCACTAGCTTCTTGTGCTTCCCATAGGAGCAGTTCTTTGCCGACGAGCGTTGTGGTAGAGAGCTTTTGACTTGGAGAGACAAGGGACTTGCCTGGCGGCGAGCAGACTGTGTTCTCATGTACATAAAGTGCGAGTGAGATGAAGACAACGGGGATCGGGTTCCCAGCTGGCGACCGTACTTCAACGGTGCCTGTGAGTCTGGGCCTTGTAGCACGAATACCATTGAAGCCCACAGCTAGCTCTACATGCGGGGGCGCGCGGATAGAGATGATATTTGACTTGGCCGTATGCTTCATGAAGAGCAAGACGGTACTCCAGCTGCTGCCTCGAGGAAGTGGTGCAGGCTTCAAGTCGCGCGAATGTCGCACCACGCACAACAGACTGACAACCCACACCATCAGCCATGGTCTCCACGCGATCTGGAGGCGCATCAGGCAACAGGTACTCTGTCATCTTACCAACCTATAATGAGCGATCCAACCTACCCATCATTGTATACCTGATTGCCAGGACATTCAAGGATGCGGAGCTCGACTGGGAGATTGTCATTGTCGATGATGCAAGCCCAGATGGCACACAGGACATCGCCAAACAGCTCATCAAAGTCTATGGCAGTCAGCATATCTTGCTCAAGCCGCGCGCTGGCAAGCTTGGTCTCGGCACAGCGTACATGCACGGCCTGGAGTTTGCGACGGGCAACTACGTTGTGATTATGGATGCTGACTTTTCGCATCATCCGCATCATATTCCTGAGTTCATTGAGAAGCAAAAAGAGGGAGACTACGATATCGTCCTTGGTACACGGTATGCGGGTAATGGCGGTGTCTACGGATGGGACTTCAAGCGTAAGCTCGTATCGCGAGGCGCCAACTTGTTGTCACGCGTGATTCTGCAACCCAATGTATCGGACGTGACTGGATCGTTCCGTTTGTACAAGATGGATGTTCTGAAGCAGGTCATTTCGGAGACCAAGAGCAAAGGCTATGTCTTCCAGATGGAGATGATTGTACGCGCGCGTGAAGCGGGTTACAAAATTGCAGAGGTGCCCATTGCCTTTGTGGATCGCATCTACGGAGACTCGAAGCTCGGCAGTGATGAGATTACGCAGTACGCCAAGGGCGTCTGGTCACTCTTTGTGAACATCTAGAAGAACTTGATTCCTACCTCTTCCCCATCGCTGCCCTTCATCATTTGCGCTTTGCCCTTCTTGGCAAGCACCTGTATAGCGCTCCTCAAGATGGCCGGATCAAGCTGATAGAAGTCTTGATCTGCAACACGATCTTCCTGCGTGAGTTCATACACCGTCAAGACGCTGCCAGTCTGGCCCGTGTCTTCAATATATTTCTGCAGCCGTGCTGCCCATTCCTCTGGCCGCCGCCAGTAGATATAGGCTCCTGTTTTGGCCTTGCTCGTGTAAATGGCAGAGCCTTGCTGCACCATCTCTTCAATGATTTCTCGCAACGTCTCTAGCTTGAGGCGCCGTCCAATGGCTTGGTTGTGAAAGAGCTCATTATCGAGCGTTTCTTCCGTAATGGGTAGCTGATGCAGCCGTTTGGCTTTGTAGTAGAAGAGAATCAAGGCAATCCAGCTTGCGCGCTGAGAGATGAAGGTCTCTTGATTTGGCTGCCTTGTAAAGAGCGGCGGGAAGCTGTGGATCTGTGGCAGCTCGAGAGACATGTCCGCCGGTGCACATGGGAATGCACAATGTAGAAGATGTAGCGATGAGGATGTGAAGCTTGAGGGTCTCTGTCCAGGCGTAGTGGTTGGTCACAATTTCGTGACTGCCTCGACTTGCGGGGTTCCGGCGACGTCAGACTCAGATGCCAGGCCAAGTGCAGCCTCCCATCACACCACGGCCAGTATGGATGCGCCGAGTCCTGCAAAGCTCATTGGCATTATCAAGCAATCGCTTGATGGAGATCATACACAATTGAGTCCAGCACAGGCGATTGCGCTCCTCTGCCACGCGAATGTGCTTGTTGCGGGCTTCAAATGCATCAAACCTGTTGACGGCGACACTGCGCCTAGCTCCCTAGACAACGTGCAGCCCGTGGAGATTCCAGAAGATGACATCAAATTGAGTTATGAGCTCGAAGACACGGCACTCGACTTGAAAGTATCGGCCATGCGAAGCAAAATTGTCATCTATGGCATGGATCATTCAGACAATACTGCTTCACTCGAGGTCGCTACAGATGAGTACACAAAGAGCGCAACAAATGCAGAGTCCCTTGTGGATTCTTTCATCAGCTTGGCGCAGGTGAAGGCCTTCAGCAGTCTGTTCAAGGCTCAAATACTAAACAAGCTCGTCGCAAATACTGATCAATCAGAGGAAGATGATCAATCTGGCAAGGCGGCCCAGACACAGGCGCAGCCCCGGGCTCAAGCACAAGAGCAACGTGAAGAAAGGATACCCATGCCTTCTCGAGAGGAGCCCTTACAACTGCCAAACCAGGGACGTCAGCAAAGTCGGCCGAGTGATTGGCCACCGGAGCTCGAAGACGAACACCAGCTGCTGCAGCCTGCACGAGGCCAGTCAACAACAGGCGGCCGTGGTATTGGCCGCATTGGAGATGATGACTTGAGACCACCGGGAATTGATGCCATGAATCCCTTTGGGCGAGATGGGCCTAGGATGCCTGGTATGGGTGGCGGCCATCGCGGCATGCACCCAACACCAGATGACTTCTTCCCTGGTGGTGGCAACACGGGCCCCTTTGGAGAGTTACCAGATGGAAGGACACCTGGACCAGCTCCACCTGCAGGTGCGCGCTATGATCCTGTCTTCCCAGGTGATCCATTCGGGGGACCCGGTCGAGGTATGGGACGTGGTCGAGGTGGCGGTGGTCCTGGGCGAGGTGCATTTGGAGGTAGCGACAACATGTTTGGTTAGTGCTGATGCAAAGGCTCATCTATAGGCTTTTAATGATTAGGTTTTACGAATAGCAACGAACAATAGTTTTAAGCTCGACTGTCATAGTATTCTTGTCGTGGTAATCTAGTCTATCGACTCGATAGTGCTGGGTTGGACACTATACGAATGCTTCCGATACTACGCTGAGGCTGCAGCTGTGCCAGTCACTGTCCAGTGTCCAATCTGTCCCAACTTGGCTATATCAGTAGTCATCGCCCCACTGCCGCGTCTCCCGCCTGGCCGCCTTTATTTGCTCCACTATCGCGTACATTTGCCACCAGGCCCTCAAAGTTAATCGCTTGAATAGCACCAGCAGCATGTATCTGTATGACGATTCACTGATGAGGCCTGCGAACAGCGAAGGCAGGCCTATAAGTAGTATTATGGCTACATACTGTCACGGGAAGGCACAACTGTTGAAGCATGCAAGATATCGTACAGCTGGTTCGGCCTGTGCCGGTTGATCTTTCATTTGCGATAAGATATCCCACTCCCTGGTCCAAACAACCTTCAGAGTTCAGAACTTCAGGCCCTGGAAGTTGAATGCTTGGAGATATACATCGCCTAATTGTACATAAGCCTGTATACGCCCTGCTCTACGCCCAGACGCAACGCTTCTTGCTTTTTGTAGTCGCTGCATCAGTATGTCGGCCGTGGCAGTAGACATGGCTCCAGTCGTTCAAGTCGGCTCAGCCAGCAAGCAACAGCTTGAACTTGGCGGAGCAGATGTCCAAGAAGGCTCCGTCACAACCGAGTATACAAAGGCCGAGTACAAGGAGCTTTTGAGAAAGATTGACAGAACATTGATGTACGAGCGCTTGTGAAGTGGATCAAGAAACTAACCATGCAGGCCCATCATGTGCGCCGTCTATGCCATCCAATTCGTAGATAAGACGTCCCTGTCGTACGCATCAGTCATGGGACTACGAACAGACACACACCTCAAGGGCAATCAGTATTCCCTTTTGGGAACCATCTTCTACATTGCATACCTGGTGTTCGAATATCCAACCAATGTTGCAATGCAGAAGCTCCCTCTCGCACGATACCTGGCCGTCAATATTGTCATTTGGGGTGTCGTCTTGATGACCACAGCAGCGTGCAAGAACTGGACCGGGCTCATGATCAATAGATGGTTTCTCGGCATGTTTGAAAGTACAGTGACGCCCGGTTTTGTGCTCATCACCAGTCAATGGTACCGAAAGGAAGAACAGGCGCTCCGCATTGGTGTCTGGTTTTCATTCAATGGTGTTGCAATCATGGTCGGTTCTGGCATCGCTTATGGCATCGCAAGTCATGTTGGACTCGACCCTACAGCAGCTCTTAAGGGCTGGCAGATTCTCTTTGTTCTCTTTGGTGGACTCACTGTGCTACTCGGCATTGCCTTCTTCTTCTTACTGCCGGATAACCCCATGACAGCTCGTATGCTGACTGCCCCTGAAAGGCTGATGGCCGTCGAGCGTCTCCGATCCAACCAACAAGCTGTCGAGAACAAGAATATCAAATGGTATCAGGTCAAAGAAGCGCTCAGGGACGTCAACACTTGGCTCTACATCCTCTTCTCCTTTGCCGCCAACGTGCCAAACGGGTTCATTACCAATTTTGGCTCCATTCTCATCACGAGTTTTGGTAAGTTGGCTCAAAGAGCTAGAAGCATGACTAACGCATAGGCTATACGAATAGGCAGGCTCTCATTCTTGGCATGCCAACAGGCGCTGTCGAGGTGGTTGGTATCCTTGGCTTTGCTTACATGGCACACAAGACTGGTCAACGTCTGTACACAGCGGCTTTGTGCATCCTTGTGTCCATTGTCGGTCTCATCATTGTGGCATGCACGAATGGCGTTGCTGGTTTGTGTGGATACTACCTCGTCTGGGTGTACCCTTGTACAACTGTCATCATTCTCTCACTCATCTCGTCCAACACTGCTGGCTACACCAAGAAGACGACCACCAATGCTCTTAACCTGATTGCATACTGCGTGGGCAACGCTGTTGGACCGAACGTCTTTAAGCCATCCGACGCGCCTGGCTACTTCCCAGCCAAGGTCGTCATGGTGGTCTGCTTCTTCATCTGTTTTCTGGTGTTCCTCCTCATTCGCTTCTTGAACGTGCGGGAAAATGCAAGGCGCGACAGGCTTGCAGCTGCCGCTGCAGAATCAGGGGAAAAGGAACACTTTGCAGACAATAGGGACGCCGCCGAGCTGGACTTGACGGATCGTGAAAATCTGTCCTTTAGGTATTGCTTGTAAAGTCATGTTGTCGTATTACCACGATGTAGTGTCTATATGTTACACTCATTTTATGCCAACTTGCTTTCATCATCACTAGTATCCCTGGAAGCACCTATTCGATTCAGCCGCATCTGTGATGCCGTCCTCGAAAGAGGGTGATCATTCGCAAACGATGTATTGCGCACGATCCGACCATGCCTTGAGTCTGTAAGTCGTCCCATCTCCATCTCGCCTGCTCCATCACTGACGCCAGCTTCGAGTCGTTCATAGAGATGGTCGCCGCGTGCGCCAATCACTTTCCGCCGCTTGAACCAGAGGTGATTGATGCCCGCAATCAAAGAAGCCTTGCGAGGACCTTTGAGCATGTAAGCAAGCAAGACGAAAAGCAACGCAAAGAATGCGACGGCCGAAAACTTGTGGGCCGCAACGCGTTGTGAGAGATTGGCCTGTGCGGACGTCACTACCATTTCACCGGCAGGTTTGAATGCTGCTGGTGAGAGATTGGGTCCAAAACCAACTGGGTCACTGGATTTGAGGGTCGGTACTGAGGATGAGGCATATAGGACCATCTTGCCGAGCGTCCAGGAGACTTCTGTACCAGCAAGTGACTCTGCGCTATTGAAGGCGCCATCGAAACCCTTCTCGCGTGCGCCCTCGCGCAACTCTTCTGTTCCATTGTGCGATGTACTTTTTCCAATCTCCTTCGTGACGCGTGGTATGCCAATCCCATCATGTAGGACATTCATCATCCAAGATGCTTTGAAACAAGTGCTCTCGAGCTTACCTTTTTTGACGCCCTCTGGATACTTGCCACCATCCAAGTCACTTTCAATGTCATGCCAGGAGCGACTGCAGAATGATTCGACGGCGTTTGACAGTGTGTGGTAGTCGTATGCGCCACCAAGACCAAAGACATCCTGTGAGGAATAGTAGTATTCGCTAATGCCAACAAAGTGATTGATATCAAAATCGATACCCGGTACATGAACGCCAGCAAATAGACAGGGCGCATCCGGACAAGGCGCATCTTTGCTGAGCAAGGGCTCTAGATCTGTCAGACATTGGTGTAGACTGCCTGTTCCGATCAACTCGTGCGGTACACCAGGCTTTCGCAAAAGCTCTGGAACATCTTCCGTCAAGCCGCGTGGCATGCATGGGTCTGGGTAGTGCTTGTCATTGGTGAGCATACCACTTGCAACGATGCGCTCGATGTGGCGTCTTCTAGCTTCATTCGCACCAAAGCCAAGCCAAGTGGATACAAAGACTCGCCACTCCTTTGTGTCTCCAGCGAGCGTTCGTAGTCTCAGCAAAGTCAAGTCATTTGCATGCGCCTCTGCTTCCGTCTCGTTGGGTGCAAATGCGATCTGAGCACTCGCACCGCCCATGTCCAGGAAGCCATATGTATGCCGTCGATTGTCAGCATGTGCATCAAAGCCGCCGAGCAGGTAATTGACTGCGACCCAGCCATACAGGCCCTCCATCTCTCCCGTGATGACTTGGAAGTGTGAAGCGCATTCAGGGACGAGAAAGTCGAAATGCTTTTGAGTATACTTGCATGCAGCTTCCATGACTTTCCGCTGCTTTTCAGGCGAGACAAGACGCATGCCTGCCGTTGCAAGTAGATATACTGGGGTTTCCTTGACCTGCGATGGCGGTATGAGCTTCAGCGCATGCTTGTAGAGTTTCTTGAGATGCTTGTCGCCGACATGACCTGCATCGTCTGCAAAGCTAGAGATTCCCGGCTTGATCTTCAGCATCCATTCTTCCCCAGACTCGTCTCCCTTCTCAATCCTTGGTAATGAAGCACGTTCCAGAGTAGATGCAGCGAGCGCAGCGACTGGATGGTCCTTCCACGAGTAGACCTGGACGCGCGAGCCAGAAGAGCCTGCGTCGATGATGATGGCGTACTTGCGAGCACTGGCCCAGCCATCGAGCGGGGCCCGCCGCTGCTTCATGCGGTCTCTGCAGCTGTCGCCTGGTGCTCTGTGTGCTGGCTGTCTCTTGTGTCTGAAACTGCAGCGAGAGACAAAGACCATCCACCCACAGCAACCACTCACCATGAGCAGCGGAGGCGGCGGCGGCTTCTTTGGCTCTGCTCTGACAGACAGGTCCGGCAAGTTTCATCGCAGAGACGACTTTGCAGGACTTGAAGATGCTACAGGTGATAGGTACACAAGACACCTATACTCAAGAACCCACAAAATAGACTAATACTTTCCCTGCAGCTACGACTTTGACGAGACCTACGACGGCCTCGGTGACCAGCTCGAAGAAGCAAACGACGACTTCAACGATGATACCTTTGGAGACTCTGGCGCCATCGGGAAAGATTTCGACTTTTCTGGCAAGACGGCAGGTGCGGCTGATGCTCTCGAGGACGATCAGCTGGCGTATGAGCGCCGGAACCCTGCAAAGCGTACGCCAATGATTGATAGAAGCACCGATCCATGGGCCCAGCGATCTGGTCAGCCTGCTGTTTGGGGCCAGCACTCGTCCTCATCATTGCCGCCTGTTGTGCAACCTAGTCAGCCAGCTGCTCGTAAAATGCAAACGCTGGAGGAGATCGAGGCGGAGATGCTGGCTAGAGCTAGCGCTCCCAGGACTGCTCCCCCTCCTCAGCAGCAGCAGATGCCATCGCAACTGTTTGCTCATCAGCCAATGCCGATGGGCCGGCCACCAGGATACGGTCAAATGATGCCTCCTCCTCAGCAAATGCCTCCGCAGATGCCGATGCCATTGTCCATGCAGCCTATGCCGATGCAAGCCATGCCTATGCAACAACCAATGCCCAACCAAGGCCGTCCTATGCCACCAGGTATGCCTCCCTTTCCGCAGCAGATGCCTCCACAGCAACCAGCTGCAGCCAAGATGAAGGAAGCTATGGCAGACGACGAAGAGGCACGCCGTGCAGAACAGCAAAAGAATCTGCGGCGAGCACAAAAGATTGGTCAAATGGCGCGCTACAATGGCCTCATGTCCAACGGCGACAAGAATTACGTGCTCAAAGTACAGCTCTCGCAGCTCGTGTCGGAAGACCCCGAGGCCGATGACTTTTACTATACCGTGCACTCGACGTTGCGTGGTCGCAGCAGCTTGCAGCAGTCACTTGGACATTTCGAGCAGACTTATCTGAGTCGTGCTGGTCAAAACAGACGCGGCAGGGACAACAAGAATCCGCTGCTCAAGATGCAGCAGCAAGTGCAAAAAGTCATCGCAGCGAGCAAAGCTCGGCCAAAGTCGACATCACTGACGGTGGAGGGATCGCTTGGCAAGCTGTCATTCAGCCGTGTCAGGCAGCCAAAGCAGGTGCTCAATATCCAGTCCTTGCCAGATGTCGCGGTACCAAATTCAAAGCAGAGCAAGCTCGAGGCGTTGCAAGCAATCGAGTCTGTTTACAACGAGCTCCTCCTCCTTGAGCAGGCCAGTAGACAGGCACCTGCAGAAGGAGCGCCTCAGGAAGAGTTTGACAACTGGCGAGCCAAGCTGGACAAAATGGCCGATGATATCTGGCAATCGTTGCAAGTCGAGTCGGACAGTATCCTGATTGAATATCTCAATTATGCCAAGGGCAAAAAGATGATTCCACGACTATTCCGCGGCCTCAACCCTGAGCGCCGCTTGGCGCTAATGCAATGCATTGTGCAGAATCTTGACAAGCTTGCTGTGGTCCGCCTTGCGCGTTACGAGAATGGCGCACTGCCCAAGGATGTGCGCGATGAGATCGAGCTATTTTCGCAGACAGTCTTGCCACCGTTGCTGGCCTTTGTTTCATCTGCCTCGTTGCCACTCGTCATCTCGCTCTTGACGCAACTCCTCGACAGCAACAACGTCAATGTATTGTGCATGACCAAAGTTGGTCTCTCATTCCTCACCATGCTCATCTCTCGCGCAGAGATTGCCAAGGCAGAGGACGGTGCACAGGCAGGTGCCTGGCAACAACATTACAACGCCATGTTCAGTAAGCTTGAAGGTCGCTTCGGCTTGATCTTCCCACCTATTCAGCCGCACGCTGAGGAAGGCTACCCCTGGCAATTCTTAGCTGCGTGTGCAGTCAGTGCGTCACCTGAGCAGCAGCATGCACTCGTCAATGAAGCACGGGACAAGGTGCTCGAGCAAGTCTCGAGTGCCAAAATATTGCCGCGCGAAATGGCAGAAGTGAAGCGGGCGCATGTCAACTTGTTTTTGAATGCTATTGGGCTGGATGCCTCACAACTTGAAGGGTAGCTAGCTCCTCTATTACACGTATAGCACAGACTTTAGTATAAAAAATTGGGCTAATACCAGCTGCTTTAGTTTATGCCACCTTGCCGGGGACGACTGGGTGGGAACTCGACAAACCGCCGTCAATGATGAATGCTTGACCATTGACGTAGCTCGACTCCAAGCTACTCAGAAACAAGACGCCATGGGCGATCTCTGCACTGACACCATTACGCCTAGTCGGGTTGAGCTGGCCAATTTTACCCTGTGTGCCACGACTACGCGCTGAGCTAAAGACAGGCGCCGTCATACCGGACTCGATCAGGCCAGGACATACGGCATTGACGCGAATACCCGTTCCTGCAAGCTGCCAAGCAGATGTCTGGCAGAGGTTGATGACGGCTGCTTTAGAGGCAGAGTAGTCACTGGATCCGGCACCAGACCGGACACCGGCAACAGAGGCCGTTGCAACGATACTGCCACCAGAAACGGGCTTTTCAGCAGAAGTTACTTGCATGGCTTCTGAAGCATAGCGAATGGCGAGGAAGACACTCAGCGCATTGACGCGCATGGTGTTCATGAAGTCCTCCGCATCGGCATTCGAGACCAAGTTCATGGTGACGATACCGGCATTGGCAAAGAAGATATCCAAGCGGCCGTAATTGTCGACGGCGTGTTGGATGCAAGCCTTGAGTGCTTCTTCATCCGCAGCGTCAAATTCACGAGGAATCACAGCTGTGCCCGGGTATGCCTTTTCGAGTTCCTGCTTGATTTGCTCCAGATTACTACCATCGTAGTCGCAGATGTAGACAGCCTTGGCACCGCGTGCTGCAAACAGCTTTGCAGTGGCTGCGCCAATACCAATCAACGAATTGGCGCCGGTAATGATGGCGACTTGGCCCTCGAGGGTCGTGGCGGGGGCCTTTTCAAGGTGCACCGTGACTTGCTTGAGTCTATCTTGTGCGGAGGACATCGTTGAGATATTGAGACTAGATCTTTAGCTTCTGGGTCTTGATGCACAAGTTGGTGGTCTCCAGATTTGGTGTTTTGTGGCCGGCGCTGTGCTGTTGCGGGGTCGGGATCGCGCGAAACCTCCGGGCGCCGACGAGGCAATCAACGGCGACGAGATGACATACGACGAGATGATACTACTGCAGGCACGCTGCGCCCATTCTTTACAGGGTGCACATGTGATTAACCTTGGCCTGCTGACTATGGTTGAAGATATGGCTGGGTGATCGACGGCGAACGGCTACAATCTCAGTCCTGGCTCTACCCTTCTCCTGACGTAAGTACAATACAATGTGATGATAATCTCTCGAACAGCTCAAGAAGCAATGATGGATTTCTCACAACGCTCAATACAGAGATAGCAGTCGTCGACGGTCGCAAGGTCGCCTAGACGCATTGTGGTGATTTGATATACTGTCTGACGACTCTGACATCGCAATAGCGATGTTTTTCAAGCAGACCTTTGCTGGCAGCAACGACGACTTTATATTGTCTATGCATCCAGGAATATTGTAGTAGTTCGCCGGAGCAATTGCGCGACCTCATCATGACTCAAGACGACGCGTAGTGACCTGACTCACTCTGCTTCATTGCGCACATGCAACCTACCTATGAAAGGCAGCTAGCAGCTTTATCTCAGCACTGTGCAGCCGGCGACTATGAGCTCATATACGCTTCAGACAGATTTCAACCAGCTTTGGCAATGGGATATCACAGGCCCAGATTTTGACGATTTTGACCATGCAGAACAGAGAATTCTTCAAGACTGGTCGATTCCATTCCGAAAAGAGGTTCCCCGGAAGAAGTCTACCGGTCTCATGAACGCCTCGTGGAGGGACAAACGAGACACTGCATCTACTTGTGACGAATTCCTCCGCTGTCGCAGTACATCTACTTTGCAGCACTACGATCAGGTTTGGCTATCGTGTCTATCTGACGGCTGTTTTTCTTGGGTTGTGAACGTCTGCTCACACCACAAGTATACAACACAATGCTTGCCCTTGTCTATTGCTGGCTTGCCAGTTCACATCTGGTCTGACGATCTCTTGATCACCACAAAGCCTCCTTCCGAATCCTCTTCCTGGCTGGAACATAAGCTCAGGATCGATCCGCATCAGCTCTATGATGATGCCGATATCGGAGCTCTGCTTGACTCATTCCCACGCGCCATTGGCTTGCGCATCATGCTTTCTGGCTGCTGTGAGATCCTTTACGCCACGATGGCTGACACATTGTGGGCAACTCTGGTGTCGCGCAACGCAAGCAAGGACTTGCTGATACGATTTGCCGGCGTGCGGCATACTACTTTGAGATGCCACGATGCAAAAACAGCTAAGGGTACCGCCACATTGTACAGCTCACCAGCGGATTGCAAACACAATTCATTTGCCGAAGCCTGTCTCGGCTTCAAAATCAGGCTCCAAGAAGAGCCTGGCTGTGAATATTGGATAGCGTCTGGCTCGTCATTTCGCAATAAGGCAGATAAGATGCAGTCTATCGCCGCCAACATATCCCATAAAGGATCTGGTTTCAATGTAGACCTCGGCCACTTGCATGGATCCGTCATGCATGCTTCCCGTTGCTCGCAAGATATGGTCCTCATCAAGCAAAATCTTAACTCGGGCTCTCACAGAATCGTTTCTTCCCTCACAGAGAGGATGCCTCTGCAAGACCGCTTTGCAGACCCAGCTCGCGTTCTCAAGAGCCCTTTGACTTTCGTCACGCTTTCACATGCTGCCTGTCAATCATTATCTGACAAGACCGATGCTAATGCCGAGACTGTGCTGCCCACATGCAAGGAGACTGTGCCCACAAAGCCGGATCAGACACGAGTCTCTGAGCTAGCTGGCAAGAATGTGCGCAGCAAGATCAAGCGTTCCTTGCCAGACACACTCGTTGAAGGCGTCCAGTATCTGAAAACTCAACATGCCACGTCTCCGAAGTTCTCCCGCCATTTGCTTTGGCGCATCAGCTATCTTGGTCAGTATATGTTCTGCGACAATGTCTTATCTATTGCTGATTCTCCAAGTAAGGAGAGTGAGGCAGTAGTCTTTCGAGATTGTTCTGTCGAGTTCTCGTGCAAGCGTTGGCAAAGCACGAAATGGGGTCAGAAACGGAAGGAGTACATAAGCTATAAAAATCTGTGGATTCTTCAAAGCGGTGCGATTCTACCAGATCAGATTCAATCTGCGAGCATCATCTGTCCTGCAACTCCCGGCTTCAAGGCGAACAATGCATCGGAGAACGGAGAACGAGCAGTCTGAATTGGTCGGACAACATTGGACACCGACGACGCTGCATTCTTTTATCGGGCCTGGAAGGCGGAGCAGCAGACTGACATGTGTTGTTGTGCCATATGGATGATGCCCTGGTTGCCACCCAGCTGCATGTGAGTCCTTCCTTGATTCTGGAAACAATGACATCTAGCTTGCCCATTGATACTGCGGTCAAGTGCAATGTGATCAAGCATCTTGCGCCCACAAATTGGCCTGCCAGCGCCACTCGCATTTTCCCTCATACCATACCTTTGCCGATATTCTACCCGCGTCCGCTTTGCAAGTAGATTGTTGTCGGCTTTGCTGGAGTTGTGGTTCAAGGTATCTGCTCTGAGGCACTAGGTCAGCTCAAAAGCGTGCTATCTGTAGATTATATTGCTAAGCTTTTCGCAAACTCAGAGTTGCGACATATGCCTTTCTTCTGCATTGAAAAGACCGGGAAAGCGTCTACATTGCAGCGTAGTAGAAAAATGCTGCTGTTCACCTGTCAGCTGCTGCACATCATTGTAGAGCTCAAGCGCCGGTGTTGGAGCATGAAGCGTTGGCGACGGCTGTTGTGTTTGCGCCTTTGCGGAAAGTGAAGATTGCGAGCGCTGAAGCTGAGCCATCATCGTCAGCCGATTAAGGCTACTCATCTGCATCGCTTGACTAGGCTGTGTATCATCCAGCACGGGCAATGAATCTGTTGTCGGCAGTGAAAAGTCGAGCTGATTGACCATCGCTTGCCGATCAAGGCTGCTGGTGTGGGAAGATTGCGACGCAAAGGGTTTGGCGCTGTCATATAAGATGTCAAGGATCCTGCCCGTGCATTTACAGCATTGGAAGACAGATTGGAGAGCGCCTGCCTCGGCCGTCAAGTCTGGCTTCGCCTACTGCTCTGGCTCGAAGAATTGAGTCGCTTTGGCGTTGAATCTTGTGTGCGACGACGTCAGTACTCTTGCAAGCACTTGTCGTCACTAATCGGAAGCAGAGGTAGCGATAGTTGAAGAGAGGTGAATGAAGACGAAGCGGCGATACATTCCATCTGAAGACAAGACGTGTGAGCGCAGAGGTCAGTCCGTGACACTTCCCAACAAGAGATGCAACACTACGTGTACGGCACAAGCGCATCCAAGGATTCCAAGTCTACCTTCGGCAAACCGAACACTGTACTCGCAGCGGACATCTCTTTGTCGTCTTCGCGTGAGGCATCAATTTCACCTTCTTCGAGGTCAATTCCAATAAAGTCATTTGAAACGATCTCCTCTGTGTTGCTGGGTGCATTGAAGATCTGCGTTACATTTTGACTTGAGCTTGTATTACTCTTTGTTGAGTGAAGCACAGACGAGAAGGATGGTTCCAGTCGAAAGCTGGTCGGGATGGCTTTGAACAGATGAATGGTGGGGAATTCTTGCACAGTACGATGCCGTAGAACTTGCGCCAGACTTGCCGTCTTGTCTAGTACCGTCCATACGCTTGTAGAGCCCTTGACTGGTGTTTCAAATAGCATATGCATCGACTTAAGGGTATCCCTGTCAACTTTTGTCGGTCGTACTTTGTCCAGAATCTCTTCTAGTGTTTGAGTCTCTGGCACGCGATCACTCACGAGGCGCTGTGGCTCACCCTCAATCTGCCACTCGAGTGTCCAAATGAGACACTGCCGCTTACCATGCCAATGCGAATGATTCATGCGATTGCGTTTCATACCGCGCGGCGCTAGCTCGACCACCACTTCGCCTGCATCTCTCGCTTTTTGTACAAATTGCTTGACGATATGCGGTGGACGGCCATTCTTTTTGTCTTCATGCGATGCGCGTGCGGCATTATCCAAATCACGCTCAACAGCGGTGAGGAAGTTATAGTCGTTGTTGATGCTCGCATCGTTGAACTCAGAACGCGGGATGAAGGCGACTCGTGAGCGTTGCCCAGAGCATGGTTTCTCCTGCTTATGGCGCTTGGAGCAGGCTAGCGAGCAGGTCAGGGTGTTGCATGCTGGGCACTTGTAGCGGCCTGCTGCAGTTTCGCAGATTTGGCAAGATACAGTCGGCGGCTCATTTGAGGGTTGTATGTCGCCTTCTACGACGTCCATACACAGTACGTCAAGGCAGCTGCGGTAGACAGCGCACAGTGTCGAGTGGTAGAGAGTCCTGGATGAAAGTGCACGCTCGCATTTCTCACGCCGCCAACCAGGTTGGACCAGCTCAGGTAATGGACAAACACGGGCCTGGAGAGCTGAACACTGCAGAATCCCTTGTGATCGCTGCTCAGTCATCTTCTCAGATAATGAGCATAATCTCTCATGTTCTCTGGCTCCTCCAGACTCTCCTAAGCCAGTACATCCCGTGGCCCATCTGAAGATATGTCCAGCATGTCGCCGTCTCACGCGAGTTTTTGACTGCGACAAAGACAAAGCATCTTGCATCTGCTCGAGTCAGCAGCTGGTCGCAGAGGCTTTAGGAGCAGCGTGCAGCCATGTCCACAAAGACTCTGATTGAGGCAAAACAGGCTTCCTCGGCCGAACTTGCTACGCCCACAGATCCGTACAAGACACTCAAAGACTGTCTTGCCGGGACCGCCGGTGGTATTGGACAGGTGCTTGCGGGTCAACCGTTTGATTGTGTCAAGGTTCGGTTGCAGACACAGCCCAAGGGCGCCAATCTATACAGTGGTGCTCTAGATTGCGCGCAAAAGACGCTGAAGAATGAAGGTGCGCGTGCATTCTACAAAGGCACGCTGACACCACTTCTTGGCGTTGGTGCATGCGTGTCGATTCAATTCGGTGTATTTGGTGCATTGAAGCGATACTACACCGATAAGAATGCTGGAGGCGGTCTGACACGAGGCCAACTATACCTCTCTGGTGGTCTTGCTGGCGCTGCCAACTCCATTATTGTCGGCCCTGTCGAGCATATTCGTATTCGCCTACAAGCACAAAGCGACACCAACAAGCTCTACAACGGACCCTTGGACGCAGCTCGTAAAATTTACGCAGAACGTGGTATCCGTAGCATCTTTCGTGGTTATGGCCCTACCATCTTCAGGGAGTCTCACGGCACTGGTATCTACTTTACAACTTACGAGTCCCTGCTCAAATGGGAGCTTGGCAACTCTGGTCGGACGCGCGATCAAATTCCTGCATGGAAATTGTGTACATTTGGCGCAGCCGCAGGGTATAGCATGTGGCTAACCGTCTACCCGGTCGATGTGGTCAAATCACGCATGCAGACGGATGGTTTCGGTGCAAAACAAGTCTATCGCAATGCGCTGGATTGCTTCAAGCAGACACTCGCGCAAGATGGTGCGAGGGCGTTTTTCCGTGGCTTCTCACCGGTGCTGGTACGAGCTGCACCTGCTAATGCGGCAACCTTCCTGTGCTATGAGTACACCCGGCAAATGCTGGGATAGACTTGGTAATTCTTTATAGACAGAGCATGAAGTGCTGCATGACATCTTTGATCCATCTGAATAGAATTGCTCACTGCCCCGGGTGGCCAGCGTCATGATGGTCAGTAAATGGAAGGGTATCCTGATCATCTCATTGTGCATCTGTATTGGAACGCGGGTCACCTAGAATCAGCAAGTAGATTGAAAAATCACACAATAGCTCGATCAAGGGCAGCAAGAGCCATCAGGGAGGTTACTGGCCTCATCACCAGAGCTCAAGGCTTGAAGCACAGAGTATGAGTATGCACTGACTCACAGCTTAGGAATTTGATTCTTGTCTCAGCGGCAAGACACATACCGGGTTGATAGACTTCTTCAGCGACTGTCTGCCAGTGTACCGCATCTGGTCGATCAAGGACAATTTTGGAGCATGTTAACAGAGCAGCGTATTGTGGCCGGAGAAGCAAGTGAGGAGCAGCACATATAAGAAGACAATGAGTTGCAATGTATTAACCCACTTTACACAATTGATTGAACCAGAACATCAAGCGTGCTTTGCAATTGCCTCCTTGAGCTTTTGAGGGTTGGCTCCAACAACAGTTTCGAGAATCTCACTGTTCTTGATGAGCAAGAAGGTAGGCATGTTGCGGATGCTGTATTCGGCGGCCACGTCGCAGAGATCATCCACGTCGACCTTGATGAAGCTCGCGTTGGTGAATTCCTTCTCAAACTCGACCAGCTTTGGTGCAATCACCTTACAAGGCCCGCACCAGGTTGCGTAGAAGCTGAAATGGTTAGAACGGTTGAGTAAGAAGGGCTGGCTTACTCTACAACAATGAGCTTGTCGGCTTGAAGGGCTTCCTTGAATTTTTCGGTGGATTCAACGTTGTACACCATGGCTGTTCTTGTGGTTGTAAAGAAACGTGTAGCTGGCTTTGCTGCCTTGAAGAGAGTCCTGGAGAGTATGGTGATCTGAGTGATGATGCAGAGTAGGGGAGGGTGGGCTGTTCGGCGCGTCTTTATACTCCTTCTTCTGTCGCTTTGTCAGATTTCGCCGCCGAGCTGATCTCATTGCACGTGTCTCTGACAAATGCCACAGTCACACTACACCCAAGGATTCAACCTCTTGCTAGAAGGACCCTGCCCAGGCCTCCAGATGCTAGAACACTCGAGAAATTATAGAAGCTATCAACACTCGCTATGGCAGAAGAAGACATCTTCCACGCCTCGCTCAATTTGGAAGAAGCATACTACGCAGAAGGCTACAGAGAAGGTGCTACACTCGGTGCACAGCAAGGCCTGATCGAAGGCCGCATCTACGGTGCTCAAATCGCCTATGAGCGCTTCTTGCAAGTAGGCTTGCTCTATGCCAAACTAGACATCTGGCGTGCTTATGCTACTCATGGAGACTCAAAGCCAAAGCTAGACAAGGCTTTAGCTCGACTCGAAGCACTGCTAGAAGCATTGCCGCGCACCAATGAGGAAGCAGAACCCGGTGCAGACTATGAGGCTGTTTTAGCAGGTGCCATTGCGAAAGCCAAAGTCATTGCTAGTCTCGTTGGTGAACGCATGTCACTTGCTCAACAAGGCTTCCTGGTGGATGACGCTCAAGCATCAAGAGACCTTGAAGACGGCGCAGAAGGAGCAGCACTGCTTCGAGGTGGCAAGAGACTCGGTTGTGGATCCGCTAATTAGATACTACATCATTATGTGATACTGTACACCATACAAAAACTATTCAAAAGCCCATTAGCCCCGTTCTGATCCCTGTGATTCAGGCGCTAGGCGTGCAGAGTAGTAAGACGCTTGAGAGGTCACCATGGACGCTCTCGAGATGTTTGGGTCATACACCGCATAATCTTGCGGATTGACGGTACTGGTTGTTGCGGTTGTGGCAAAGGAGACCGCAGACACAAAACTATCACGCGTCGTGGCGCGAGAAGGGATGGGCCGGCCGTCTGGGAATTGCATGGGCATCTTCGCCATCGGTTGTATATACGCAGGTTGAGCCATGATTGGTGAAAAGGTCGCCGTCGACGGGGTATTTGGAGAAATGGCATCCACAGAAGCTGAAGCGATCGGCTGGACGTACTGTGCAGGCATGGGCGAAAAAGTGGCCGCACTTGCTGAGTTTGGCGATGAGTCCTCAATCGTTGTGATGGGTCTGACCAAAGGCGGTGCCAATGCAGGTTGGACGCTGGCAGCTGCGACTTTGGGCGAGACTGGAAGTGGGCCACCAACAGACGAGCCATTTACAATCTTGACAGGCTTGCCGATACCAGTCTTCCAAACACCGCGTTCATACTCATCGTCATCGTCATCCGTGCCCGTTCCATTGATGAGTGCCTCGCCTTGATCTGTCGAGGCTTGGCTGTCATTGTCATCAAACTCATCCGCAGAATCCTGGTTTCCCTCAACGCGCCCATTCCGCAACTTGCTTCCAGCAGAACCAGGACGCTTCTCATATTTACGCGAAAAGGAACGTTTGACCATAATGTCCAAATGACTTGTTCGTTCTCCCAACCAGCTACCCTCGCTATCGACCGTCTGCAGTGAATGAACGGATTGCCGGGCATTGGCGCGTGTCTCAATGTCGCCAAGGACACTCTCGTCTGGGGGAATATCCTTGGCCACGCGAGATGAAGCGCGCGGCATGGCAGGTGATGAGATACCTGCTGCTGCAGCAGGTGAGGCATAGGCTCGCTGCCAGAGTGGCGCTGACACCGGCCGTGGTTGAGACGTGACTTGTGGCTGTGACTGCGCGACAACGTCTTCTGGTGTATCTACCGCAATACCCGTAAATCCCATATTAGAGGGCGGGCGTGGAAAGGCATCACCATCCAATAAGGGAGAAAATGTCTTGACTTCGCGATTGACAGTCAGCATCTGCGCCTGTACCGTTCTCGGCTCAAAGTGTTCTGCACGAGGAACTCGCTGAACCAGCGCTTCACCCTCTTCATCCTGCGCTGCTTGTACTGAGGCACGTTGAGCAGGTTGTTGGAGGACCATGATGGTCGCTTGTTGTGGTTCCTGGTCAAGCTCATGTGCATCATTATACAGCACAGAGCTGGTATCACTGAACGGCCTTCCTGTTGATTGTGTAGCACTATTATAGTGACTTGCGACATCGCGCTCTTTGCGTGCGCGCGCTGAACCTGCGCGTTTCCAGAGAGATGTCCATGCGCCTGCGATAGAACTGCCGCGAGAAGAAGGTCTCTCTACACGCGTTGACTTGTCCACCACAGCAAAGTCTGGATAGGAATCACGGTTTCCAGCAAGTACAACTTGTGCATCTTGCATGATGCGCGCATGAGCTGTAGGTGGAATCGAGGATGTTTCATGCCAGTCTGATGGAAGACCTGTAATGGAATTTGCCTGCGTCTGTGAAGCGGCGGCCTGCACTGCATAACCGCGTTGTTGCTGAAATATGACGGGGATAGGCGGTCTCGCAGGCGAAGCCTTTACAACAGCAGTAGCAGATTGACTGCCTCCACTTGCCGCACTGCCTCCAAGCAACTTACTCTGCCGCCGTTGACGTCGACGAGAATCTGTTTCCAGCACTTGTCTCAGGGCACCCGTATCCAGCTCATCCGCAATATCATCCACAAAGGGTGATGCTTCAATCTTGCGCCTCAGTGTTGGCAGCTGGCCCTCTGGCGTCTTTGGGTAATTGAAATCTTGCGAGTAGCGCAACGTTGGCTTTGGACTGAAGATGAAGCCACTACGCCGAATTTTGATGGTCCGTGCGTCTGCATCGATGGACTTGATGGTCGTGTCTGTGTAGCTTGTATGGCGCTTCTGACGCTGACCATAGGGTACTAGCTGCCGGGACGCATGTGCATCGTCCTCTTCCCTGTTGTCATGACGTGTCTGCACAGGTAAAGAACGCGTCCGCTGGTAAGTTGGAGCGGCATTCGCGAGATCATTGGGCTCGGCGCGTTGCAATGCATCACGCGTGCTCTTCCGCCGCTTCCAGAAGAAGTGCATCTGCAGAAGGGTGCAGGTTGTTGTGTATGTGGCTCTTTTGCGAAGTCTTGCAGATTCAAGTCACCAAAATCAAGTGGCAGCAGCACTGCAGCAGGAAGCATCGACAAACAAACACAACGCCCCTCACCACATGTCGCTTGTTCACTGCATGTGCCGGACCTTGGAAGGGCCGTACTGAAAGATTCAGAAGACGCTCCTCAGCTGCGAACGCCCCGCTCAGGAGATGCCCGGCACAAGGATGCGCGCCACAAAGCATCTAATAGCTTGCTCTCAGTATGCTGACGTTGAACTTGTAGAGCTTACGATCAGTTCGGTAACTGTATAAAAGCTTTCAATCTCTTTCAAGTTCGATTTGCGCAAGCTCTTTTGCTGTTGCATTCAACTGCTGCAACGCTGCTACAGATATGGATAAAAGGCTACAGCCTTCTGCCTTTCGCAAGGAACGGAAGCACTCCAGAACTGTGCAATCAATGGAACACAGCTCAGGGCATGCGGCAAGAGTCATACATGCATCGAGGCCGATGTCGATAAGCGAAGCTTCAGAATGAATTGAATGGTTAAGAATGCTGGATGAAAAGGACATTTCTCTATTGTGTCCTCATAGGATTCAACCCTCAAGAGAAGAATCGACGCGCGCTCTAGACTTGCATACGGCCCAAACGACTTCCGTTGTCTTGTCTCAAGCTCACTTGCATAAAGCTTTGCACTTACCCTCTGAGTATTCCCACTTCAAATCGCCCTTTGCACACGTCATTACATTCTCAACTCCATGTTCATGACTTGCTTTACTGTTGCAGAAAATGTCAGCCTGAGGCTGTGTCGGAGGCACTGCTGCCTGGACACCAAGGAGGATCCCGCAAGCAGCAACAAAGGCAACTTTCATCGTGTTCGTCAGCATGAGTCTGAGGTGTCCTGACAAGGTTAGCATTGTCATTGATGAGCGGTGTCTCACTGATGGGTGGAAGAGCTGATGGAGCTTGTTGCGCTTCTCGTCAACACGGTCTGGTCTCAGGAAAGAAGTGCCGGCGACTCAGTTTAAGAACGTCCAGGCTGTCCTTACCCCTAGGGTCTAGATGCGAGCTGAGAATAGAAGTCTTGCGAGCAGGAGTCAAAACCTCGCAAATATGCCAACAGTGCACATGATTTGTAGCAAATATTCGTGAGTGCAAGTACGCTCCATATGGTCGAGGTGGCCTCCATTTCAGGGGCATCTGAATATCACACACGTGGACCGCGGCACAGTACTGACAGGACACACATACCTCCATCCATAGGACGAGTCGCGAGTATTCTTCGATGTACGCTTGATATCCGGCTTGAGTACAAGTTTAAATATGCCGCCAACCACAGGCATGACTATGTTTAATTTGTGCAAGCAGTACGCAGACTTCCTTGTCATTGCGCTACATACAATTTGCTATACACGCTCTCTCTATGACAAACGCTACTTTGACAAAGCGCGCGTCTACAGCTGTGCTGTACCTCGATGCAAACATCCAGTGCTTGTAGACTACATCAATGATTTGGTGGCAAGCATAGCAGAAGAACTCAGACGATGCACAGTCTCGCGCATCAATGTCGTCATTCTCTCAAAGACAGAGCAAGCCTATGAACGCTTCATCTTTGATGTTGCCAATTTGCCTATTGTAGCGCCAGAAGACTTGCATGTGCCTTTTGCGGGGACTTCAGATGAACCTGGTCAGCTGGACGCTCAGTTCCGAGCATCAATCGTCAAGCTGTCCATGGCAGAGACGCGACTCGGACCATTGCCACCGAATTGTACATTCGGCGTTTCGATTGACCTGAGGAACGAAAGCATGCCTCAAACAGTACGTTCCCTTGTATGCTAGCTGAGCTGACGGTAGTTGACATCGTGGATACAAGCAGACGAAGTAAGCGCCGGACAAACACTTGTGCCGCTGAGACGCATCACCTATGGGCCCATCAAGCTCAATAGCTGGATAGAAGAGACCAAGGCGAAACTCAAATTGAGGGATGATCCCATGAGTTTCTAGTCTGCAACTGGGTACTGCCCTGCGATGTCCCAACGGCTTGCGCCACTTGCAACAGCAACATATTTCGTGAAGGACAAAACGCCCGTGTCGCGCATGACGATGGTCATTTCATTCCAGGCTGCGTGGGCTGTCAACAAGACGCCATCTTCTTCATCGTCAGCAGATGCCTTGTACACTGCTGCGTCTTCGTCGCCATGCGGGGCCATGAAGCACAGATACCCACCCACCTCGCCTTCTTCCCAAACAGGCTTTGCTGGAGTCAAACACAAATTGACGTCCAGCAAGAGACGCTGGTTGGCCGTTGCCAGAGTGTAATCCAGACCGGGTCGAAAGCGACGTGCGCATGTGAACCGCGATTCTGGCTGCAAGGCTGTGACGAGGGCAAGCCACGTGCGGAAAGCGTCTGAGGCGACCACCTTCTCAATTTGGCGTAGCGTATCAGCTGCAGCATCTGGAGGTACCTCCGAAGAAGATGCCAGTCTCAAATATCTGTGGCGATGCGGCGGACCTTCTACTTTCCAGCCATTGCCGACGCCTGTTCCATGCGGCGTCATGATTGAGCCATCAATCTTGTCATGCGCATCAGCTTCCACAAGAACTTTCTTGAGCTTATCTGCAAGGTCTTTGCGCAGGATGCTGGATAATTGAATATAAGAGTCATTGCAGAATTGCTCATTAACTTGCTTCAATGTCACTGGACTCAGATATTGCGGGTTCATAACTGTGCTGAGCTCAGTAAGTGCTTCCTCACTCAACACATCCGGAAATTCGGTCGACTCTGGGTAGGCGTCGAATTGTGCATCGTCAGTGGCAAGAAGCTGTTCCAGGGTTGATTTCGCCTTGGCCTCTTCCTCATTTGCTAAGTCTGTTGCACGCGCATCATATCCTTCTTCTCCTGGCTGAGCAACATGAAACCAGCCAGAGATGCTCAGCCTATTCTTCTTGGAGACCACCTCTTCGACCGAATGGAAAGAGTGTCCCGGCTGCACTGCAAAGAAGATAAATTGATTCCATGAGGGTGGCAATGTCAGAGATGGTTCGTCGACTGGAATTCCCTTGGTCTTGACAGGATACAGCTCCAAAGCGCCGCCATCAGTTGGCTGCCAGCCTTCATCAGGCAAATACAAGATGTAGCTGACACTGCGTGTACCGATCACATCATCGTGATTCAGCAGATGACAGCCTTGTGTGTAGTTATTGATGCTCATGTCAATTTTGCTGCCAGATAACGGGCCGACCCCTGTCACTTTCCGTAGGTATGTGCGAAATGGCACAGAGTAGAGGGCTTCACGGACTTGAGCAATGTATTTGAGCTTTTGCTTCTCGGATTGTTCCAAACCATCGAGATTTGCCAAGTCGCCCGTCTGCCGTACTTTGTAGATATCTGTTTCCTTCTCCGTGAACACAAGATTTGCTAGAATCTCAGCCTTTACAGCATGCAAAAGGTCGTCGTCAAAAAGTTGTGGGATGCACGCATGCTGGTAGGGCTCTGAGGCTGCGTATGCTTTACTTTGTTCTTCCGATGTGTCCAATAAGCCCTTTGCAAAGCAATCGCCCGGTCCAGCTATTCTTGCCTTCTTTCCAGGCCGCTCCTCCATCTTGAACCGAACTTTGGTATGGGTCTGACTGTTCTGTCGCATCGTCGCATTCTGTCAACTTTTTTTTTGTTCACGACCATCACGCTCGACAAAATGGACCAGATTAAAGCGCTCCTCAAGCAGGCCAAAGATGCGTCTGATGAGCTACGATTCGACCAGGCACAAGCATTCATTGTCTCGGCTCTGGAGCTCAACGCAAATTATGCACCCTCGTACGAGATTCTGGGCGAGATCTTTGTTGAGCAAGATGCACTCCCTCAGGCGCGTATAGCCTTTCAGAAAGCCATCGAGGTGGCTGAGAAAGAAGAGGATGCGCGTTCGGGATTTGGCAAGTACCTCTGGCTCGGCCAATTGTCTGAAGAAGGCGGCATGGATTCCCTCAAGTACTACAAAATGGGCGTGAAGCGATTGATTGCACATATCGCCAATTTGCCTGAAGCGCAACAACCACCGCTTCGTGCGAGGCTCGCAAGCGCCTACTCAGCTATGGCTGAGCTCTACATGACAGACTTGTGCATGGAAGCCGATGCAGAAGCGAATTGTGAAAAATATGTGACGAATGCCTTGTTGGCGGACGAATCGAGCAGTGAAGCATTGCAGACGATGGCGAGTATGCGACTCTCTCAACAGCGTGTCGAGGAAGCTCGCACGGCACTACGGCATAGTCTGTCGTTGTGGCATGATCCAGATGGCGCATCAGGGGCATTGCCTGCCTATGCCTCACGGATAGCCCTTGTGCGATTGCTCCTTGAGTGTGATATGACGGATGAATCGCTTGACGTATTGCAGCAGCTGTCCCGCGAAGATGACGAGAGTGTCGATTTGTGGTATCTCTTTGGCTGGACCTATTTCCTAGCCGGGCAACTGCTCCCGCAAAGCGAAAACATGGAGAAGCGGAATGAGTCCTGGGAGGATGCGCGGCATTGCTTGCAGAAATGTGAGCAGCTGTACAAGCGCCTCGAGTGGGAAGATGAAGGCATCAGGGAGCATGCTGGCGAGCTACTTGCGACCATTGCTGAGGCTGGTATCCCACTGACGACTGTGGACGAGGGCGACGAAGAGGTGGATGCCGAAGATGCTGAATGGGACAGCGAAGATGAAGCGATGGATGAATAATGATTTGCATGCCTAGATGTACATGGTCTTGATACCTTCTACCGCAGAATCGGTCTTGATCGGTTGAGTCGTCTTCTTGAGCCGCTTGCGGTCGAGGGCCGCCTGCTTCTGTGCCTTCTTCGCTTGCTCCTTGCGATCTCTCGCGCTGAGGCGTTTCGGTGGCGGCTTTGTCTCTTGCTTCTCAACAATCTCTGGCAGTGACTCGGTCTGTGTTTCGAGTTCAGAGTGAACTTCTGCTTCATGCTCTTGTAAAGCGTCATTTACGTCTGCTTGAGCTTGCTCATCCAAGAGGATTTCAACCGCATCGTTGACTTTACCTTTACAATCGTCCATGACCTGCCGAACGCGTTCCAGTGTAGCCCCTGGCACACTCGCCAAGCAAATCTTCTCAAGATCGCTGGCAGGTGCGTCCGTGGGCCGTGTTTCCAATGGCGGAATAGACACAGCTTGGGCTTTGATGCACGGTGGGCCATCATGAGGGCCATCTTTATTGCGAACACTGCTGTAGTGTTCCCAGCTGTGATAGGCAATATGAAGCATATCCCCACCTGCAGTCTCATCTGGCGAGACGACATAAGCCATATCAGGCTGATAGATCTTGACATGTCGTTTGAAGACATTGGCAAACCCCACAATCTCCAAGTTGTCGCCATAGACACCATCTTGTGCCATCCGGTCAAGGTACGTATCAAAGTCTTCCTCAACGAATGCAGCATAAGTGTCTGGATGCTTCCGAAGATACTCCACAACTTCATGCCTAATTTGCGCATGGGTCATTTCACTCTCTCCAAGCTGATCTGCAAGCGAGCGAAAAAGACAGTTTCCGTCGCCTGCGATGTCTTTTATGTAGAGAGATTGAGAAGCTAGCTGGTGGGACAATTGCCGCATACCCATATCTGCATCATCGGGCGTATAGCTGTGAACCTGTTTCTTTTGTTTGCCACGTCGAGCATGATCTTGCTTGCCCATGCATCTAATAAGAGCGCAAAGTAGTAGATGGGAGAGTAAAGGTGTACATAAAATGGATGAACAATAAAATGGCCGCTACGGGAATTGAACCCGCCATCTCCCGCTTACGAAACAGGCGCCTCGCCAACTAGGCCTAGAGGCCAATGTGTGCATGTCAAATGCATGAGTCCTACTTAAAACATCAAAAACGCGTCTATAGCGCCAAAAACATAAAAGAAGCGATAAACCACCCGTTAACCGTGTCTATGGTAGTTCAAAAGCAGGTGATTGATAGTCTAGACAATGTACGGAAGGACTAAGAAGCGTGCGGCGACCGTCAAACAGGCATTGCCGACACAAGCCCCACGACAACGCAAGAATGAGGCGATTGCGCGTCTTGAAGCGGCACTTGCGAAGGATGAGCTGCAAATTCAGGGTGTAGCGTGGACGCGCGATGACAATCTACGATGGTCGGCGGCAGGCTCATTCTTGGAAGAGAGACAACTCCAGCTCGTTGCGTCTCAGGCGCTACAGCGACAGCAGAAGCGATGGCGGCAAAAGGAGTCGTCCTTTCGATCATTGAAGGAGCTGTGCGCAATACAACTTGCTGTGCATATCGCAGCCTTAACGCCAGAAGTGCTTGGGTGCCTCGCAGTGCATCAGGCGCGATTGGTATGGCAGGCGATGCAAGCGCTACTGCCATCAAACTTGAAAGTATGGATATTGTTTGCTAGTGCCTTTCCTCATGAATTGCATCTCTTGGAGGATGTTGAGGCTGGAGAAGGCATTCTTCATCCACTCGTTGCGAGACGCACACACGTCGGTGTGCGAGAATTGCCACAATGTCTGGACTTCCTTGCAAATCCTACAGCCTCGTCAGTGTCTGCTACTCCATCATGGCAAGTTCTCTTGGATGTCTCAGGCATGCCGATTCCCGTCGACATGGCTTTACAATTTGGCACAATTAAGAACTTATTGGTGCTCATGGCAGGCAATACAACCATTGATGTATCGACTGTGCGTCACTGGTGCCGTGCACAGTCTGTTGGGAGATTTGCCGATTTACAGCTATTGCAACTCGAATCAATAGCCATGCCATGGGCGGTTATGATGGACCTTGTTGCGTTTCCGGCACTGCAGCTCGTGTCGTGTCGGTGCACTGCTTCCTGGCCTCCGTGGATACGAGCGTGTCTGAGTACGGCTGAGGGTTGGCAGAACAAAGTTTACACCCTCAAGCAGACTCCGTGTCTCGATATCTTTGTGCATCTTGGTAGTCGAGCAGACAAACGTCCGACTCTACCACGCACGGAGGGTGAGGTGTATTTTGTGGATATGAGCAAAGTGCGGCGCATCCTCGCTGGCTTACAGAAGGATCAGCCGGCAATTTCGACAGCACCAGTGGTGTCTACTGTCAGGAAGAAGAGGACGCAGCAGCTGTCTGGAAGAAATATCCTGCAGGGAGTCTTGTAGCCAAGTAGCTGTTCCGAGCCATCTGAAGGTTTCATGTTCAACAACCTTCAGCACTCGCAAAGCCTGCCTGCATCCATTGAACTCGTAACTAAAACGGTGATGCATGTCCATACCGCCGCTACGTCTACTTCTGCCACAGGCAACTCGCTACAATGACCTGCTACCCCCTTCCTTGCTCGTCCAATCTGCATCACCTGCAGCGTGTCTTGTAATTCCATTTCTCTTGCTAGCACAAGAACGCGATCGAGCCATTCGTCAGGAGAAGTTGGCAGGTGGACCTGACTTGACGGAAGTTCCTGTTGCTGAGGAGCAAACGACGCATGCGGCAAGCACGCTTATTTTGAATTGCTATGGCTCATTGGATGCACTTGTTGCGGCCATGGACGGCGAACCAGTACAACCGCTCTCGCGGTTTCTGAAAAGCGATCTCATGGATTCAGGGAGATTCTTGGAGACGACTCAGCAGGTTGAAGTGATTCACATTGATACACTCGCAAGTCTCTTGGGTATCTTGTTCGTCTTGTCAACTCAAAAGCGCTCGCGAGCAACAACGGGCGATGCGACCGAGACGGAGTTGCACGTTGCAGATTCGCAGGAATCCTCAGAGTCTCTCATCGTTGCTGCCAGGGAAAACAAAGAGCGGTTGCTCGTCTTACTAGGCATCGACGTCATGCTCTCCAAAGCAGGCGAATGGACAGGTCAAGGCCTTGCTCGGGTCGCTGCAGCTGCGATCGATGCGTGTGCTGATGATTGTCATTTATTGCTTCACTGCACGACGGTCCAATCTGCAGACAATGGTGAGCGCATACCGCTACTGACGGCATCGCCCGTATTGCCTGCGACGTTGCAGATTCCCTATGTCACAGTACTGGATGCACTACGACCGTTGATTCAGCATAGCTGGGTCATTCGTCATCAGACAAGTGAAGAACTGGAGGGTGTGCAGGCGGAAGCGTATCAGGGTTTTTGGCAAGATGACACAGGCACGCGGTATCAAGTCACTTGGCGCGAACGGCAACCGGGTGGTTTGTGCTTTGATGTGCACTATGCCCGTCTGTAGCTGAGTGTAAGATCATGATCGTATGGCTACTATAGCTAAATAGATTGCCAATGTTAGATGGATTGAGAGGTCCCTACAAGCGACCAAAGAAGAGATCCTTGGCCAACTCTGCATCCGTCATACCTTCCTGCGTTCTAAGGACTTGACCCACAACAGCAGGTGGATTCAGGCCCATCTTTTCAGCACGCTCAAAGCGTTCAAGGCGCGAGATGCCGACGCAAGGTCCATACCGTCCAGATAAATCGAAATCGCGCAGAATAACTTGCAGGTCGGATGGGTCTGCATGGATCATGGGCGCTAACTTTGCTTGATGGATGGCTCGCGCTGCTTGCTTGATGGCTGGATCATGAGGGTTGAGGGTCGGCGCTGCAGAGTCGTGTGTGGCGATATCGAGGACGACGGGCGCTGTGGTGCTTGTGCTTTGTTTCTTGAGGAGGGCAGGTGATGCTGCTGCTTGTTTCTTTGCATCTGCGACTCCGCCTCGTGGGCCGTGTTTCTGTGCCTTGAAGGCTGCTGAGAGTGTCTGAGGCATGTAGCTGTAGAGTGTAGTAGTCTGATGATGTGGTGGCTTGTTGATTTGCTTTCTCGCCCGTTGCAACGGCTGCGGCCATCATCAGCAGCTAGAAGGCATGAGGGGAAGGGCTGAAAGAGGAGGGCAGACAGGCAGATAGACAGGAGGAGGTGAATATAGACATACAACAGGCAGAGACATCTACTCTTGTCATATAATATATAATATATGATATAGTCCCCGCCTTGTGCCACCCAAACACACACAAGAGACCGCATCAGGCAGCACTCAACCCACCCACCACACACACACTCATCAACAGCTGCCCATCATTCAGGCCAGGCAGAGACACACTCCCATCATGCAGCGTCCAACGCGGCTCGCCATCACCGTCCTGGTCTCCCTCTTTGTCTTGTGGAAACTCATGACATTCGGCAAGGGAGGCAGCAGCAGTGTTGATACACCTGGCAGCAGCACAGGGACCGGTACAGGCGGTAAGGTCAAGCAGGCTGTGAAAGGCGCGTACGATGCAACGGTCCAACTCAAAGATTCTGTCGGTGGTGGACGCGTACAAGAGTACCTCTCTGGTTTATCGGAAGGTGCCAAGTATGCCATGAACACACCACGGGCCAATGCCACTTTTGTCACACTGGCTCGCAACTCTGACTTGCATGAGATTGTCAAATCCATTCGCAATGTCGAGGACCGCTTCAACCACAACTTCAACTACCCCTGGGTCTTCCTCAATGATGTCCCTTTTGACGATGAGTTCAAGCGCGTCACATCTGCCATGTGTTCCGGTAAAGTAGAGTATGGTGTCATCCCAGACGATCACTGGGGCATGCCTTCCTTCATTGACAAGGACAAGGCTGCTGAGACACGCAAGCAAATGGGCAAGGATAAAATTATCTATGGTGACTCTGAGTCGTATCGCTACATGTGTCGTTACGAATCGGGATTCTTTTATCGACACCCACTCATGATGAAGTACGAGTACTACTGGCGCGTGGAGCCGTCGATTGAAATGTACTGCGATGTTGATTACGACCCTTTTGTCTTTATGAAAGAAAATAACAAAGTCTACGGCTTCACCATCTCCTTGTATGAGTATGAGAGTACCATCAAGACACTCTGGGAGGAAACCAAAAAGTTTATGAAGAAACGACCGGAACTGATGCCGAAGAACAACCTCCTCGAGTTCATCTCGGAAGACGGCGGCGACACCTACAACAAGTGTCATTTCTGGTCCAATTTTGAGATTGCAAAACTTGATTTCTGGAGAAAAGGTGCGTATGCGGAATACTTTGACCATCTCGATCAAGCAGGCGGCTTCTTCTACGAGCGATGGGGCGATGCACCCATTCATTCAATTGGCGCTGCGTTGTTTGCAGAGAAGGACCAAATTCATTGGTTTTCTGATATGGGCTATTACCATGTTCCTTTTACGCATTGTCCAGTGGACCCCAAGATGCGAGAAAAGTGTCATTGCGATGTCAAGGAGAGCTTTGACTGGAAGGGCTGGAGTTGCACACCGCGCTTCCACGATGTCATGAAACTTGAGCGTCCTGCAAACTGGAAGGATCACAGTAATTAGAAGCTTCTGCCTCACTCATATCCATCCCATATCCATTATCTCATTCCAGTCAGCTTGTCTCTTGCTATTCAGCATCCTTGATCTGCTGCCACTCCGCAGGTGTGTAATCGCGCTGTGTAAACGCATGCACGGCCTTCACCTCCTCCATCAACTCCTTCATCACCAGCTTATGCCGTTGTAATGTCCGTAGCCCTTCAAACTTCCCAGACACAATCACCACCTCGTACGCTTGTCCGCATCCACCACTGATATCCTCAATTTCAACATGCGTTGCTGCAAGGCGTGACCGGATCGCTGTGTCGAGTTGTTGGCGATCGACGCCGGATGTGGTTGACGGTGCTGATGTGTCTTCTGCCATGGATCTCGTCTTGACTACTGCTTCAGGATTGTAGATGTCGCAACAGACAGCATGGCCACTCGCTGAGATCCATTCTGGCTCAAATGTATTCAGATGGCAGGAGGAGGAGGAAAGCTACAGCTGCTACACGACCAATCCACGCCCATCACCAGACCATCGATACAGCGTCAACAACTCCCTCCGCTTCTCCTTCTCTTCATCCGTACTCCTCACTTTATACCGGATGGAATTCAGCGTGGATCGCATCACACGCCTGAAATTCCGCTGGTAGACCGTATCGAGTGTGGTGATGGCACTCTCATGCGCTCGAATATACGTCTCGCACGCTTCAATCACAGCGTCATCTGCATCTTGCTCCAGCTTATCCACAATCAAAAACAGCAAGAATGAACCTTGCAAGAGGTAGATCCCTAAAAAGAAGGGAATGTAGGATAAATCTGGGTCGATGCGGAGGATGGTTGAGACTGCTTCTGCAGCAGTAACGGCGTGTGTGGTTGCACCAATGAATTCATCGCTTGAGATCCAACCATCTGCGTCATTCATCATATCAATCGGATCAAACTTGCAACACAGCAAGATGTGCATGGTATGCATGAGTTGTAACGCATACGCAACAAAAGTGCCCTCTGAGAATTGACGCGCTCGTGTGAGTATATTGGCTGGTGCAGGAACGGTGGATGGATCATTCCAGCGTTCAAGGGATCGTTTGTAGGCATCGAGGTGTTCGCGAACTCTTGCCTTTTGTGGTGCTAAATCATCAAATCGTAGCAAGATGTGGTGCTTTAAATGGAAGATTGTGCAAATTTCCCCCAAGATGGACATGAGCGGTAGGAAGAAGCCAAAGATACCCGGCCCTTGTACTTGAAAGACACGCGGACCTCGAGCGCGCTCCTCATATAGCATTTTGAGGAATTGACCGTGCTGATGTTGTTGCTGTTGATGTTGCTGCAAGTAACCATCGGGTGTTTGTGCATCCCCCGACATGTTCAACTCACCAGGCCCATCAATATCCTCGTGTGATTGCCAGAGTTGTTCATCCATAGGGTGCAACAGATTCGTACACTCAACGTCCATCAACACCATGGGTTTATTGTAGCACAAGCATAAATGCCGATCAATCATAAACAACAGCCACCATGCTCGCCGTCTTTCTTCACGCGTTGTCTCAGAGATTGCTGTATGCTCTGTCCACTCGCGATTGAGATGCAGCTCTTTTGCAAGTGTCCATGCACCATACAACCAACGCAAGGAGACACCTTTGAATTCAGATGCCATGATGATGGTACCGAGTTGCGTATAAGTCATCACATCATCCAGCCCACCACCACCTACTTCATCGTGCTGCAAAGGTCGTAACGCAGCAACAGACAATTCAAATAACCGCTGGACAATCTTTGCCCGCATCACGGGTGTTTGACCGAAAAAGGCATTTTCACAAGTATGCGCACTCACGCACAATACTGCGAACACCAGCGCTGGGCTCGTGACTCTCGGTGTTGTTGGGTGGAGAAAGTCACGTTGCCGAAGTGTATAGCCAAGCACATACGGTGAATTGTCAAAGTACGTTTCTGCCAGGTGACTAATGACGTGCAGTGGTAGAAATGACAATGCTCGTAAATGTGCCACAAAGATTGGGTAGCGAAGACCTTCTGGTAGTGAGCCTGGTGGATGGTATGTTTGTCGGTATCGATCATGCATCGGTAGGTGAACTTGCGGTGAAGCACTTTTGAAACTCGCAGGTGATTCACCCGTCATACTGGGCAATCCGCCACGATGTCCCATGACTGAGCCTGGGCGACGATACTCGAGCGGATCCGCATGATGACTTTGAGGATTGAGCATGTAATTAGTTTGTGCAGCAGTACCGGCGAGTTGTGAAAACATCGATAGACCCGTCATCGGCGATGGTAAGGTTTCTGTCGCGTACATGCCTGTTGATGTCGGAGGCAAGAAGCTACTTGTATTGCTTGGTGGCATGAAGCTTCCCTCTCGAGGAGGATGTGGAGACGGTAGCAAGCCATCCGGTGGAATACCTGGTGACTGAGATAAGAGTGTATCGAGCTGGTCGCGCTGTAGGCTAGGAAGGCGCATTCCATTGTCGCTCGTGGGCGTGCGGCCGTCGTTAAAGTATGGGAAGTGCGGCGCTATCCCAGGTCCTTGTTCCTGCTTGAAACCTTGTTGCTGCTGCTGCTGGTGCTGGTGCTGCTGGAGCGACGGCCCTGCACGATAGGCATGGACAGGCGGCGGTCGTGCAGCAAGTGGTTCGGGCTCTCTATGGCCATCCTGCTCCTTCCTTGCCGCCTTGCCGCGCTTTTTCCGGGCCCTGTCAAAGGTACACGGTATACTCGTCTTGACACACTGCTGGCAGGGATTCTCGCCGTTACATTTTGTGCGCAGCGACTAAGAGGCAGAGGTGTGTTAGCGAGCCAGTTTCTTGGAGGTTCACAAGGATTGGAAGGATGTACGTAGCAAGAGTCGCATGCGCGAGAGATGCGCTTCCGGATGGGCCCGCCTGCTGGTCCCTCCTGTGCGTCTGGCATGGGAGGGGGCCTGTTGTCGCCGGGTAGTGTGTATATATGTCAGCTGTCTGTTGTCGATTTGACGGCAGCGGCTCGATCCAGGCTGCCGTGGAAGGAGAGAGGAAGAGCTATGCGGTGTCGGAGTGCTATGGATCAGTACATATAGATCGAGCAGGAGACGGCCCTGATGGCCCTTCTACCTGTACTCTGCAGTAGTCTATCCATCGCCTGTAGCTCACTAAGTAGCTGTTGATCTGCTGCTGCTGCTCGTGAGAGACCTCGAAGTTTGCAGCAAGAACACAAGCAGCCTCACCCAAGGACTCCATCTACCTGCCTGCTGATCTCAATCTAGATACTGCTGCTGCTCTCAATCTAAACATTACTGCTGCTTAGCTCCTCGCTGCCATGTCGCAATATATCCTGCTCGACGAGCTCCTCACAATCATAGACGTCGACTCGTCAAAATACGAAAGAGGTGCTTGACTTTCATCGACCTCCAGCTCCAGCTAACACGGCCCAGTGGCCAGAATCACAGGCCAGTCTTCAGGTGATGACCTCAACATCACGCTCGATATCAACTCTGAGCTCTACCCAATCAACAAGGACGAAACCATCTCCCTGCAAATCAGCAGCACCCTCACAGATGAACTACGCGACCAAGCAGACTACATCATGTTTGGCAAGATTTACCGGTTCGATGAAGCAAAAGGCGGCAAGACGAGTGTCCTTGTCAGTTTCGGCGGGCTTCTCATGCGTGCAGAGGGCAACGACCGTAAATTGTCGCGGCTCTCACAAGGCGATGGTGAGCTTTCTATGCTAGTCAAAGGCCCGATTGCTAACTCCTTCAAGTCTACCTACTGCTTCGCAAGTAGAATCTCAGGGCCTTGTATAGAAAAGCATCTAGACTGCCTCAACAAACGTGTACTGCCCAGCCAGCTGCCCAAACAAGGCCTCCTTCTCCTCGAGATCCTTGAGCAATGGGTGATTCGCATCTGCATCCTTGAGTGCCGCTTTCGCCTCCGTTCTGTCTTCTCCCTGGATGGCAGCCAAGACAACGCGATTAGCCAGAGCATCTGCTTGTTTTGTATCCCGCTGCAAGGCACGCTTCATCTGTGCCAATGCATCGTCCGTGTCTCCACTCGCCAAGGCTGCTGCTGCTTTTGCTACTTGCATACGCACCGCACTCGGACTCATCTCTGCTAGTTCCTCGAATGTATAGCTCGCTGCATTGAGGCGATCTCCACCTTGACGCATCATGATCCAGGCTTCAGCCAGTTGAACGAGTTCCTCGTCGTTGCACCATTGCTGTGTGTTTTTCAAAACACCCTCAGCCTGAGAGAGCTGGTCGAGGGCGAGGTGGATGTGAATCTGTAGTGCACTTGCTTCGATATTCTCGTCCAAGGATCCCAACACATCCAGCGCTTCTTCATACCGCTCCAGGCGCGCCAACACGGTCGCAACCACGACTTGGACGTGCGGTTCTGTGCTTGTCAATAGACCATCTACACCCTTCTCCGCTTCTTGAGAGTGTCCTAGCTTGGCATGACACAATGCAGCACACGCTTTACTGTGAGCGTCCTTGCTTGTTTTGAGTTGTTGAAGGGCAGCAGTCGGGTCTAATTCGATTTGTGCACGCAACACAAGTGGTGCGATACCTGGTTTCTCTTGCTCTGCAATGACTGCTTTGTAGTCGCCACGGTAGAAGAGGTTCTTCTCATTGTACAGCGGATCTTGGCTCATCTTGTCTGAGTTGTGTGAGTATGCTTGCTGTGGTTGACGTGTTGAGTTTATTCGTGTTGCGAGATGTCATGGACTAAAACTTGGTCTGAGAAAATGGATGGAGAGATGCTATTCAATGAAGTGATACTACGTCTGCCCTAGTGACCGTGCCCGTCATCCTGCTGCTCAGGCTTGTCCAGCGTAATCCGTGTATCAATCCTCAGGATACCAATACAAGCCTCCACCGCACTCTTGAAACTCCTCAACTTGCTCACCGTAGGTTCCAACACACCTGCAGCAACATTATCCCTGACCTTGCCATTATACAAGTCGAGGCCATAGAACTTGTATCCGCGCTTCTTCTTATCTGCCTCAGCGGCGCCTTGCGATGCAGCGTGGTAGGCGCGCAATTTTGCAACAAGATCAGAGGAGTCCTTTGCAGCATTAACGGCCAGTGTCTTTGGAATCACCAAGAGTGCTGCTGCAAATTCTGCAATGGCCAACTGTTCCCTGCTACCGAGTGTTGTTGCGAAATTGTCGAGGTAGATGGAGAGGGCCGTTTCAACGGCTCCACCTCCCGGCACAACAGAACCACTTTCGAGTGTACGCTTCACAACAGAGAGCGAGTCATGGATGGATCTCTCCATCTCGTCGAGCTGGTAGTCATTTGAACCGCGCAGAATGATGGATGCAGAGGAATAGGCCTTTGTGCCCTTCACGAGGATACATTCATCATCAGAGATGCGTTCCTGAACAACTTCTTCTGCGTAGCCGAGCGAGGATGCTTCAAAGACTTCATCGCCATCGAGGTTCGACAGGGAAGAAAGGAGCGTTGCACCGGTTGCCTTGGCAATACGTTTCAAGTCTTCCTTCTTGCAACGTCGTACAGCCATAGCGCCAGCCTCAACAAAGGCCTTTAATGTCATATCGTCAATACCCTTGGTCGTCAGCACGACATTAGCGCCTGTTCCCAAAATCTTTTGTACGCGCTCAAGCGTCATGTCTGACTCTCGCTGACGAATCTTTTCGAGTTGTTCAGGGTCATCAATCGTGATGTGCACACCGAGGGCCATCCGTGTCTTTTGCAGATTCATATCAAGACAAGCGATTTTAGCGCCCTGAATGCGTGTCTTCATGGCTTGTGAAGCCACGGTACAATTGAGCGCATAGCCCTTGACGAGTATACTCTCTAGTGCTGATTTACCATGTGCCTTGAGGATATTGACTGCCTTGACTGGGTATTTCGTCTCGCCGCGAGAGTTGGTGGACTTGACGCTCTGCATTGCATCGACGACCATGGAGCTGAAGAAGGCAGCATCGCTGCCAATAATCTTGGAGGACATGGAAGTTTTGGCAACATTGATGAGACAGTCCTTTCCGAGTGCATCTACTTTTGTGCTCATAGTGGTTTCCATGTACTTGGTGGCCTCTCTCAAGGCCAGCCTGTAGCCTGAGATGATGGTTGTTGGATGGATCTTGTTCTTGACGAGATCATTCGCTCGTCGTAGAAGCTCAGCAGCAACAATCACTACAGAGGTCGTCCCGTCACCGACTTCTTTGTCTTGCTGCTGGGCAAGCTCAACGAGAATCCTGCCCGCTGGATGCTCTACCTCGAGCAGGGACAGGATAGTCGCTCCGTCATTCGTGACGGTGACCTCACCAATATCATCCACCATCATCTTATCGAGGCCTACAGGCCCAAGGGAGGACTTAACGACATTGGCAATGGTTTGTGCGGCAAGGACATTTTCATTGCGGACATCTTCACCGGAGACTTTTTCGCCGCCGAGAAAGAGGGTCGACTCGCGTGGAGCAGAGAACATGGTCGTCATGGCTGCTGCTTCGTCGTAGCACCTGGCTTGTCTTTGGTCTTGTTCGTGGTCGTGGTGTTCGCGTCTGAAGAAATTCAAAATGAGAAACAAGACGACGGCACCAGCGACAGATTATAGATAGTACAGACGGACATGGCCTCCATTGAAGAGCAAGGCGACAAGGTCAGGGAGCTGAAGGCATCTCTTGGCAAAGATCATGAAGATACAAAGGCAGCCATCAAAACCTTGCTGGAGATGAAGGCAGCAGCAGCGCCCGTCAAGCCAGCAAAGGAGCAGAAGCCCAAGGAGGGCAAGAAGCAGGCAGCGGCGCCTGCGCCAGGCCAAGTCATCATTGGTATCACCGTGGAGAAGGAGCAAGACTTTTCAGACTGGTACTCACAGGTGCTCATCAAGTCTGACATGCTCGAGTACTATGATGTCTCTGGCTGTTACATCCTCAAGCCTTGGTCCTACTCCATTTGGGAGAAGGTACAGCGTTGGTTCGACGATGAGATCAAGAAGCTCGGCGTAGAGAATGCTTCATTTCCACTCTTTGTGTCCAACCGCGTCCTGCAAAAGGAAAAGGACCACATTGAGGGTTTTGCTCCCGAAGTCGCTTGGGTCACAAGGGCGGGCAAGAATGACCTTGAAGAGCCTATCGCCATTCGTCCTACCAGTGAGACGGTCATGTACCCCTACTACGCCAAATGGATTCGCTCCCACCGCGACCTGCCATACCGCCTCAATCAATGGAACTCGGTCGTGCGCTGGGAATTCAAGACGCCGCAGCCATTCATACGCACGCGCGAGTTTCTGTGGCAAGAGGGACATACAGCCTTCCAGACACGCCAGGAGGCTGAAGAAGAGGTCATGCAAATCCTCGACCTCTATTCAAAAGTCTACACAGAACTGCTTGCTGTGCCCATGATCAAGGGCATCAAGACAGAGAAGGAAAAGTTCGCAGGTGGACTCTTCACTTCCACAGTCGAAGGCTATATTCCCACAACAGGCCGCGGTATTCAATCTGCCACTTCCCACTGCTTGGGTCAGAACTTTTCTAAAATGTTCAACATTGTCGTGGAAGACCCAGATAAGATGGGTGAAAAGCTGCATGTTTGGCAAAATTCTTGGGGCCTGTCTACACGTTGCATCGGTGTCATGACAATGATTCACGGAGACAACAAGGGATTGGTGCTGCCTCCACGGGTTGCGCATACACAGGTCGTTGTGGTGCCTTGCGGTATTACTGGCAAGACAACACCTGAGGATAAGAAGGCCATCTACGACAAAGTCCGTGAGATTGTCAAGACGCTGCAAAAGACGGGAGTGCGTGCCAAGGCGGATACGCGTGAGACCTACACCACTGGCTACAAGTTCTCTGACTGGGAGATGAAGGGTGTTCCTATTCGCATTGAGTTTGGGCCCAAGGACGCTGAAAAGTCGCAGTTTCTGACTGCACGGCGGGATACGGGAGCCAAGGAGACCGTTCCCCTCGATACACTCACGGAGAGTATTGACACACTCCTCAACAACATCCACGATGCCATGTATGCCAAAGCCAAGAAGGCCTACGATGACCACATTGTGCAAGTAACTGCGTGGGATGACTTTGTTCCAGCGCTCAACAACAAGAATGTCATCTTGATCCCATTCTGCAAGACGGAAGCGTGCGAAGACAAGATCAAGGACCGTTCTGCGCGGCAAGTGGAAGGCGACGAGCCAGAAGACGATCGTGCACCGAGCATGGGTGCCAAGTCGCTGTGTATTCCCCTGGAGCAGCCAGAGTCTGAGGAGGAGACATTGAAGCGCAAGTGTGCCCAGTGTGGTGAGCAAGCCAAGTGCTGGACTCTCTTTGGCCGCAGCTACTAGACCTGTGTCTCTAGACTTCTTCGGCTACATTCTACTTCTTAAATCTCCGTCTTCGTGACTGTCGCATTGCTCCTCTATTTTGTGCATCCTCGCAACAACCACAACCGCGACGTGACGTGCGACATATGGCATGGCCGCGACGGTGAGTACAGCAGCAACAGGGCCAGCGAGCTGATATCTAGTGGCGCCAATTCAACTTCTTCGAGTGCGTCAAGATCCCGGATGCAGAGGATGCATCTGCGCCAGGACCCGTTGCGTTGTCACCTGCGTCAAGCGGCGCGGTGATTGCGTCCACCGACAGCTACATCTTTTTGGGGACTCAAGATGGACAGCTTCAGGCAATTAATAGATCCTTCAAGGTTGCTGCCTCTATTCAAGCCTATGCGCATGGTCGTCTACATCACATCATGCCATGCGATGAAGATTTGCTGGTAACACTGGGCGATGAACCGACCAGCAGCGGTGCCGATGGACCGACGCTCAAAACATGGAGTCTTTCTATGAGTAAGAAGGGCGTCCTTCAATTTAAATTGCTCTCTGCAGTGCCCTTGCATAGTCAGCGACCACATCCGATCACTTGTTGCACCACACTACCTGATCTCAGTCAAGTTGCGATCGGTTCAGCAGATGGACGCGTTGTTCTTGTCAAGGGCGACTTGGTGCGTGACCGAGGAGCGAAACAACGCACTGTCTACGAAAGCGAAGAGCCTATAACGGGTCTACAGTTCCTGGTGTCCAACAAGATCACTACCCTTTACATCTTCACAACGTCAAAATTGCTAACCCTCACGACCATTAGTGCGTCTGGCAAGTCTGTGACACAGGTGCCGCGCATTATGGAATCCGTAGGCGCTGCACTTGGCTGCATTGCTTATGACAAGCACAAGAACCAAATTGCGGTTGTCCGCCAAGATGCTCTGTATCTGTATACAGTCGACGGACGAGGTCCCTGCTATGCCTTAGAGGGGAGCAAAAGTGCAATTCACATTTTCAAGGACTACACGATCATTCTCCAGCCGCCAAGCGAAACGCGTGCCTCAGCTATGAAGTCTCTCGGTCGAATTGGCAATACAGATGCCATCGACGATGCAACCAAGCTGACTATGCTTCAAACTGATCACAAGTTTATCAGCCATACAAGCTTGTTTCCTCAAGGTTTGCGCACAGTCTTGACCTGTTGGCACGAGCTTTTTCTCATCACATTGGACGGCAGGCTTTTTCAATTGACTGAGATTTCAATGCAAAGCAAGCTCGACATCTTGCAAGGCAAGAGCATGTACACATTGGCAATACAAATTGCCCAGGAAGCGCAGTATGATGAAGCAGCCGTTGATGCCATTCTCATCAAATACGGTGACTACTTGTACAGTCGCGATGACTTTGAAGCAGCAGTCAAGCAATACATCAAGGCCATTAAACGCTGCGACGTTTCGGCAGTCATGCGAAAGTTTCTCGAAGCGCAACATGTTCCACTGCTCACAGAATTCCTCGAGGCTTTACACCGTGCCAAATTGTCTAACGCAGATTACAGTACCCTGTTACTCAATTGCTATGCCAAGCTGAAGCAAAAAGAGAAGCTACAAGACTTTGTTCGCGAGCAAGGTGGACATGCAATCGACCTCGATGTTGCCGTTGCTCTGTGTCGGCAAGCCGGATATTATGACCAAGCCATCAGCCTGACTGCGCAGCACAAGAATCACGTTATGTGTATTGGTATCATGACTGAGGACAAGCAGGACTTTGCCAGTGCTCTTGCCTATATGCGAAAATTGAAGAAGCCCGAAGATCTTGGACTACTTTTGACGCATTTCGGCAGAATTTTGATGGCGCATCTGCCTGCGGAGACGACTCGGCTCTTTGTTGAGTTCTACACTGGTAGCTACATGCCAGAGACAGAGGTACAAGCAGCAGGCATCATCAGTCCACCTAGACGTGTCACGGGAGGCTACACCGCTGGTCTCTATGACTCGATTCTGCAGCAAAGTAATCGATACGCCCAGGCTCTACCTAGTCTTCCTTCACTGGATATCTCACAGTACAATCCCCTGCGTCGTGTGTCTTCCATGGGGTCTTCCCAGATACCGACACCAGTCATTCCAGTGCCAGTGAAATCGGGTGACGCACAATCTAGTGCGGCGTCAATCCTGACAACGGAAGAAGAGGCTGCTCAATACTTGGCGCCACCACCACGCTCTGCCTTCCCAATCTTTGTCGACTATCCGGAGCACTTTCGCCATTTCCTTGAGGTCTTGCTCGAGCGACAAACGCATACCGAGGAGGATTTGAAGACGCGTGCAGATCTTGTCTCAACGCTGCTTGAGATCTATCTGCAATTAGCCAACAAGAGCGAAGACGTGGATGCTCAAAGTAAATGGCAAGAAAAGGCAAAGGCACTGCTTGATCGTGAATCGAATGTCGTCGACAGCAGTAATGCACTATTGCTCTTCCATTTGGCATCTTACAAGGAAGGTGCCATGCTCGTACAGGAGCGTTCTGGAAGGAAGGAAGATGTCTTTCGATCATATTGCACTGCGCGCGACACGCCCGGCGTGCTTCGCACGCTGAAGAGCTATGGTCAAGACACGCCACAGCTCTACCCACTGGCACTCAAGTACTTGACATCAGCACCACAGATTGTCGAAGAAGCTGGACCGGCATTAGGACTTGTCTTGAACCAAATCAAGGAGCGTCGCTTACTAGTTCCGATACAGGTCGTACAGGCGCTCAGTGCGAATGCTGTCGCGACTATGGGTATCATCAAAACATATCTCGCTGACATTATTGAGCGTGAAAGGCGCGAAATTGAAGCCAACACGAAGTTGATTGCCTCATACAAGCAAGAAACCTTGGAGAAGGAGACGGAAGCCTTGAAGTTGGCTGAGAGTGCTATCCAGCTTCAGATGGCGCGGTGCTCACGATGCGGTGGCACCTTTGACTTTCCCGTCATTCATTTCCTATGCAAGCATTCTTTCCATCAACGCTGTGTGCTGGATAATGCAGCCGTGTCCCAGATTGGCCCGAATGCGACGGAGCCTGCTTGTCCTATTTGCCACGATGCAGATACTGCCGTCCAGGCAATGGCAGATACGCGAAGACAGGCGTCTACGGAGAAGCATGAACTCTTCTTGGAAGGTCTAGAGGGAGCCAGGGATAGGGCGGCATATACATTTGCGAGACTTGATTTTGAATCGTAGTGATGTATGTCTAATCAATCTCAATTTCATCGCCGTCATTGATGTAGAGCACTTCTTGCTCGACCTTCTTCTTCTTTGAGCTGCCTGATTCCGAATCATCCTCTCCCTCGCGCTTGCGCTTCTCTCCTGTGCCATTAACTTCTGGCGCAGCAGGAACAACGTTGTCCGTCTCGACCAGCTGCTTCTTCGGCCGCCTTGCAATGTCGGGTGTCGAGTCAAGCTCCACGATAGTCTGGCCCTCGATGTGCTGAATCGCAAGGACTAGATTCACGCGCGGTCCGGCTTCATCATCTTCGTCCTCATCGACAACGGTCAAGAAAACGCCGCTCCCCGCACTCAGATCGGCAAGCGATTTACTGACATTGTCGTCAAAGTCAGGGTCATAGATGAGGTTGTCTGTGAGCACCGAGATCTCGTCGGTGTAGCCGCAAGTCTGTTTCAGCATCTCCACAACTTCCCCAAGCGTGTGTTTGCTAGTATCACATCGTAGTTGTGCACGCGCGACGCCACAAACTTGACAATCTTGCACAGGCGAAGCGACAACTTCATTGTTGAAGACACGCTCCGGCCGACGCGATAAGAAGACCGTCTTAGCTTGCTTGATTTCATTTTTCAAGACTTTGAAGGATTGTAAGACGCACACGCCAGCAATGATGGCATTGGTTGTGGCAATAGCCGCAATAATATTACCGGCCATTTGCTTGATCTCAAACTTGGTCTTCTTGTCAATGCCAAAGATGTGTGCACGAATATTGGCAGCGGCTGCCACAAAGTCGAGCGTGTCAACATCATCCTTGTCGAACGACAGTACGGGTGCAGCAGAGTCGGGAACAGCGTCTGCCTTGAGCTTTAGGAGCCTAGCGCTGAGCCTGTCGAGGGAATCATTGAAGACCAGGATATTGTCTTCCAGTGTCCAAAGTGCCTGATCATTTGTCCATGGCTGCCCACCCTGTTCCTGAGCTTTGCTGTTGACTGTGTCGAAAGACAGCGAATCGGGCTTTGTTCTCGACTGCCACATCTCCTCCATAGACCGCAATCTTTCAATATCTTCCTTGAATACCTTGTCAAACACGAGCCGCTTGAACTCTGGTTGTCCCACCGCTTCGCGAATGACCTTGAGTGCATTTGCCTCTTTTGCGAGGTTGGCAATCTCATCTGCATTCTCTGCATTGGAGGAACCGTCGAGTGTGCCTTCATCCTCATCTACGCCAAAGACTTGACTGAAGAGGTAAGATTTTGCCCAGACGATGCAATGAATCGGTTGACTGGGAGTGCTTCGAATAGTACAGATGGGGAAGCTTTTAGGCACTTCTTTTGGATGGCAATCATAGCACTCGGTCTTGCCACGCACAATCACCTGCACCTGGCCGCGAAAGCCTGTTGTGCCAGACTCAATCAAAGGTACATCAGCCGCCAGGCACATCTTGTTGACATGGCGACGCGCATCGATATTGTCTAGAGCATTGAAGACGAGATTGAATTGCTGGAACCATGCAATGTCATACTTTGCATCTTTGATATTGGCGTGGTATGCTTCGAGCTTGACGTGTGGGTTGAACTTTGCAGCTGTTTCTTTGGCGACCAGCGCCTTGGACTTCTTGATGTGCTGCTTTTGAAACAGGAACTGTCTGTTCAAGTTGGATAAGTCAATTGTGTCGAGGTCAAGCAGATGTACTTCGCCAAAGCCAGTCAGGACGAGGTTCTTCAGCAATTCACAGCCAATACCGCCAGCTCCGACCATGAGCACCTTGGACCTTTTGATGGCACCAGCCAGTTCAGGCAAGCACTTCTCTACATGGAAGTCCCGGTCTGCCATCGCTTGAGATTGAAGAGAAGGAAGCCAACCTCTTTAGGCTTGAGTCAAGTCGCGGTCGCGTCGAATGCATTAAACTCTCTAACCCTACACCGTCTATTTAGTATTCACAACTTCATTCGATCTTCTTTCCCTCAAGCCGCTCAACAGCCTCGTCTACCAGCTGTGAGGCGCTAACACCCGTCTGCATCTCAGTCTCACTTGCTGCAACAGTGTTCTTGCCACGTCTCGCGCGTGTCGGGCGTTTGGCTGGGCTCTCATCTATAAGCGCGGGCTCTGTCATTTCATCCTTGACTGCCAGTGCAGCACTTGCCTTCTTTGAACGCTTGGCAGGCGTCCTTTTTGTATTTGAATCTTCCTTTGCATCTTCTTCCTGCTTGACGCGCTTTGCAGGAGTCTTTTGGGCGCTTGAATCTCCCTCTGCATCTGCTTCCTTCTTGACACGCTTCTTGGACGCCGACTTGCTCTCACTACCATCCTCCTCGGTTGCTGGCTCCTTTTTGACCCTTTTACGCGGCGTTGGCTTAACTTCGTTACCCTCAGAGTCATAAACAGGCTCCTTTTTGGTACGCTTCTTTGGTGTTGGCTTGATCTCATTACCTTCGCTGTCGTACTCTGGGTCCTTCTTGACACGAGTCTTGGTCACCTTGAGCCTAAGCTCCTGCCCTTCTGGCCAATATGCCTCGTCGCCCTTGGCGCCAGGGCCATCACCAACAACTTCCTCGGGTAAGGGTGGGTTGTTGAGGTTGTACGTCTTAGAGAGTTCAAACACAGCCTGCTCTTTATCCTTCGCTTCGAGCATGAGATCCATGTCATCTGCACAGGGTGGCATATGATAGATACGCTGTGAATGAGATCTGCGTTGCGACGGCAATGGGTGGTTCGGCAGCTTAGGCTCAGACATGTGCATTTTCTGCTTGATTCCCTTTCGTTTCCATGTCTCGGCAATCGCAGGAAGCAGAAGCAAGATATCGAGCGTTCCTTCGCGGAATTGTTCGTCGTGCACGACGTTGTGATGGTGCCAGTCGAGAACAAGAGGGATGTCAAGTTCTTGGCACAAGGGAAGCAAGTCTGTTACGCTCCAGCTCATGTCGTCGTTTTCAAGGACTAATCTGCGCTTGATGGGATCAGAGAGCTTTGCGTAATTTGTGCGAAAGCGTGCAAGCGTTGCCTCTTTGTCTCCGTACATGCCACCAAGATGTAGAATCATGACTGCATCGCGGTCTCTCTGCTCGTCGAGTTTCAATCTGGTGAGGAGTTCGTTGTGGAACTCTAGGTCGCGAACTGCATTCACGAAGACCTTTGGGTTGGGAGATGCGAGTTGAGTAAATTGGCCCGGGTGGCATGTGATGCGATGGTCATACTTATTGGCGATAGCTCCCGCCTCTCGTAGCTCCTTGTCGGCGTGCTTGAGGTTGTATAGATAATCTTCATGTGATGCAAAGGGGAACATCTCAGAACTGATGCGAAAGAAGCGAATGCCATATTTTTCATTCCACAGCAGAATCTTGCTCAGGTCTGCCGCATTCTGCCTACCGAGCTCCAGCACGAAAGGCATGCCGTGATCAGGTTTCTGTATCGTTGCAATACGAGTTGTTCGAGAACAGAAGATGGGCTCCTTTCTAGAGCGTAAAATGGTATTGAGGCAAGCGTATCCGAGCCTTCCCTTGAAAGGGATAGGAACATAGTCAGAATTGACGGCGGGTGGACGCGGCTCGAAGTTTGCATACCGTTCAGCCGCAAGAGCATCACGTACACGGTGCTTATCTGCTTTGGTCGGTGACTTTTGAATAGGCTCACCGTCTTCATCCAGCTCCACTTCTGCTTCTTCCTTGACAGATTGACTCGCGCTTTCTGTCTTTCGAGGAGTCGCCTTTCTTGATGGTGTAGAAGGCTGCCTCTTTGCTGGTGTTGATTTTGCAGACTTTACGAGGGAGTCTTCGCTCTGGGCGTCACTTAAGCTTGATTCTGAATCAGAGGCTTGGTCAGGCGACGCCTCACGGTCTGCGGGATCCTCAAAGACATCAGGGTCGTTTATCAGATCTTCATTCTGAGCATAGTTAATTTGCTTTGCAGAGCGTGAAGAGCGACGTCGACCCAAGGGTGGCGGGGAAGCACGAGGCATTCTGTAGCTGATGGAGCTGAGGGAACACAGCTGTGGCAAGGCAGGAGAGAGTCTAGAAGAGAGTGGAAGAGCGAGTTTTGACTTTTGAGCAAGAGACCTGAGGCCTCTGAGCATAGACCTGAGCAGGCCGTGTACCGGATGAGCAGATGGCGTGGTGTGAAGTGTTTTCGCAGATGACGTCGACATTGTCTCTCCTGCCCATCTGAATTCTGAGTCGCGCGAAAGACAAAAGCAAGACGCGACCAGATATAGAACCACACACACAGCTTGGCAAACTCAGCCTCCATATCTGCTTAAAGACATAGCGAGCTTCTGCTGCACATGGCTGCATTTTGAACTCTGAATCCTGCGAATGTAATGCATCGAAACTCTTTCTCGGGGCCGCCCTTGCCCTCAAAGCCGCTAGAATATACGCCAGCTGAGCATCTGCAACATCAACAGCAACAGATGCAGCAGTCGCGCGACAAGCAGTACTATCCTGCACAAGCTCAAATAGGATCGTACTACGATGATCATCAAAGTGAGCGCTTCTTCAGAGAACGGCTGCAGAATGTACATCTGTCAAGCGAACGCGTGCCCCAGAGCTACGCAGAGCAACCGCTTCCACGGCCGCGCAGCGCAATACAATACAATGCTTCCCAGCCAAGGTATGCCACACAACAGCAGACACTGCTGAAACAACCGCTTGTCGAGCCCTTCGATATTCAGGAGGCGCGGGGCCACCTGCATCATCCGCAACAAGACATGCGGGAGAGGAGAATGAGTACTGGCCAGCGTACAAGTCCGTCACGTACACCTACAAATACTACTATAAACTCATCAGCCAGCAGTCTCCGGCCGCTGAGTGTTGCTGATGCTGGCAGCAGTGTACGCACGAATGAAACAGCTCACTCAAAATCGTCGAGCAAAGCCTCTGCAGGAAGAATCACGAGGAAGCCGGTAGTCCTTGACGTTGAAATGGCACCTACACGACCGCTTCGCAAATATCACAGTCCCGATGACTTGGACCGCTTGATCCCTCGTAAAGAGGCTAACAGCGGAGCCTATGTTCCTCGTCCCCTACCTTCTGAGTTGCGACTTCAACAGAAGAAAGCTGAGCAGCGCCCATATCCCAATGCTTCGAGCCAATCGACCCCTCGAGCCCTCTCACCTATACAAACACAGTTTGCACCGCGAAACTTGCCTACAAGTCCGCATACAAGCGACAGCTATTCATCGTTGCCCAGACAGAGCCCGCACAGTGCAGGCTATCAAACGCTGACAATGCCAACGTCGCCTATGGAACAGCAACGGTTGGCCGGATTTCGACCAAGGACCCCGCAGACGACGAGTCCACCAAGCAGACAAAATAGCATCCCATTACAGATGCCTATGCATCCCTCCCTCCTCAAGTCTCAATCAAGTCCGGAAGCATTCTTTCCTCATGCTCAATTGAGGCCGCAGTACACGGTGCGGCCAGGATCCATCTCACCTGAGCGAGGAGAGCAGATCAGAATGACGCGCAGCACACAATACGAGGACAGGCGGAACTCTACAAGCTTTGTTCCATCTTCTGTAAATTCTTTGCCTTCGCCTCCGACTCACTCGCCGCAGATGCCAGAACCTCTTTACAGGCACCCGATTAGTGAGCTGGAAAGCTATTATCAGGGCAGGATCCCTTCTCCGGATCGTTCTACACGCTTTCCCGATACGCCATATGAGTATGATGTTTCTTCGTCGCCTGTTGACGAGATTGATCGTCAAGCGACAGTTCCACCAGAGATACAAGCACGACGTGGCAGACAGCGTGGCGAAGTCTTGATTGAGTCTGATCTACCGGCCATGCCGCCACTCTTTGAAGCGCCGCCAGCCTTACAACCTCTGCCGCCTACGTCAGGTCCTGTACGGCACTTGCCTTCTGCCAGCCAAGCTGGACTGCAGCAATCGCCTGTTGTTCCATTATCACCCAAAAAGCAATCATCTAGAGACAGCATGCGTATGGAACATGATCCGCTTCAGTCCATCAAGGTGCTCCCAGTGGAGCCTGTTAAGCGACCTGCATTGTGTCTTGAGGAACGCTTCCATCCAACCAGCTTTGCCAAATCGTCAAAACTCAAAGTCAAGGTCAGGGTGGGTCAAGTGCCCTTTGTCGCTGGTGGCGAGATTTTCGGGTACTTGGAAATAAGCTCAGATGAAGGCTTTCGCGCAGCGCTTGGTAGTACACAGGTCCTTGTCGGTGAAATTGGTGTGGAGGTACTAGGCTGTGAGGAGATTTCTCATCCAGAGACCGGTCATGAACCACGGTCTCTGACATTCTTATTCGGCAAAAAAGTATTTCAGGACCGAGCAGATATGCATCCAAGTCGATCGGGTCAACAGCATGTTGTCACGAGTGCAGTGACGCTCATGCCGCCACCTGATGCGGATGGCTATCGCCAGCCAAGTAAAGGAACAACGGGCTTTCCCTTTGCCTTTGTGTTGCCAGTGGATGCACCGTCAAGCGCTGATTTGGGTATTGCCAGAATTCGCTACACGGTCACTGGATATGTCACAGTCAAGCTGCAAGGCTCATTCGAAACCATCGCGACGAGTCTTCCAGTGCGTGTAGTAGAAGCTTGGGACATGCACAACCCAGTCTACAATAACCCGGTTGAGGCATCCCAGGGACGAGACATTGCAAATTACAATGAAGTGTATGTCAATGCCAGCTTGCCGAAATCGCTCTTCCTCGAAGGCGATGAGATGTATGGGCATATTCGCATTGCGAATCACGGTGCCCGCAAGGTGCGTGAAGTCAAGTTTTACCTGATGAATCGCTTGACCTTCTTTGGTGACAAGCGGCAACATGCACGAGAAGTGAATCCAGCTGATGACTGGTCTATTGACTCTGAAGCTGTGTCAATTGCTGAACCACATCTCATCACAAAGGGTTCTGAAAATACATGGCAGTTCAAGCTCGAGGTTCCTGAAGATAAGTGCCTGACCATTCGCAACACGGCATTATTCGAGGTCACACCATTTGTTTTGGTCAAGATATCGACCGGTCCATTGTTCAAGAGCATCAAAGTGGCCTTACCCTCCATCTGTATTGCGGACCGTGCGAGCATGATTGAGGATACTCAGGTCGCACCAACGCATCGGTCGGGTGGCAAGGTCAAGTTCCTTGTGCCAAACCTGTACAAGTTTCAGCGAATCATTAACGGCGAGCCTCAGCTGGGACAAATGGGTGGGGTTGAGACGAGTGACCTCATGACCTATGTCGATGCGCATGCACGCGTTCAGGCACTCTCATAGGGGCGTAGCACAACGAGTCCAACAAATGACATATTTCCAAATATTAAACACAATTCCCTACAGCTGGAATAACGAGCTGGCTCGCTCTTCAAAAACGCCTTACGCACCCTCGCCTGGCCTGGTCGAGTTGCACGCGATGATCTTGATCTTCTCTGCCATGACAGTCTCATTCTCGAATTTGAAGCTCGCATCCTTGATAATGAAGGTCCATACCTCGTCGCAAAACCGATATGTGTCCAGGTGGCCCTTGAATGTCAGCCGCGACTTGACCTTTTCATTGAGCGCTTTGCTGGCTTGCTCGTCGTAGTGATATAGGATCTTCATCGCCAACTGAGGCGCAATCCGACCTTGGGTGACCATTTCATCCAACGTATCCGTCAGCGCGACGCCAATCGACGTGTTCCGGTAGATCTCATAGTAGGATGCGCTCATGCCTCACAAGAATGGAGCGAGTGAAAGAGCAGGCGATGCGTCTCTACCAACTGAAGCGCAGCAGGCTGCCAGAGCGAAGAAGCGACGGTCAAACAAGACAAGTTGGCGTGCTCTGTGTCTCGTCAAAGCCAGACACGCGAAGGAGACAGCTGGAAAGAGAAGCACGAGGAGCAGACCAGACCGGGCAACGCTGCAGGGTGTGTGATGGGCGCTGGTTTGGTTGCGGCGCGCGGTCGATTCTGCGCGACGACGACGCTTGAAAGAGGCCAAAGAGCGCTGACACTTATCGACAAGAGCAGGCCATGTCGAGACTAGCGCCCATCAACCCGAAGCCCTTCCTACAGGATCTTCTTCACAAGACTGTCGTTGTACGGCTCAAATGGGGCCAAGAGTACCGCGGCACGCTGCAGGCAGTCGACAATTACATGAATTTGCAGTTGCTACAGACACAAGAGTTTGTCGATGGGAAGGACGCAGGTATGCTGGGGGAGGTGATGATTCGATGCAATAATGTCCTCTGGATATCAGGCGATCAAGAGGACCTGAAGAATGCAATGGAGGAGTGACAACATGCTCACACATGAGATCTGGCTCGGAAAGGTTGACCATGTCTTCGACGTGCTTATCGCAAAGGGATGATCACTTGCGACATGCACTCAATCTGTGCCGGCCGGCATATAAAGCAGGCCACTATGCCTTCCGAAATGTACATTACTACTCAAAAAGCGGCATCACATCTACGCTCTCGACAGCATACCAATTTTGCTCTTCAAAGATATATCGATTGTCTCCTTCGATGCTGCTTGCAGTGCTTTGTTTATGCTCACGCGTACCGAATCAGTATACTTGGCTGCTTCGTTGACTTCGCCCAAGGCATGATCTGCAGCCTCTGCGTAGGTGAGCACAAGCTGTGTGAGCGTCTTGATTGCATTCATGCTGACAAAATCCTCCTCATCCCCCAAGAGTGTGATAACGGCATCTACCATGCGCTTTGCTTCCACCACATCACGCACCTCTTTGCTTGCCCTTGGTTCTCTCGCTTGCTTGCACAATTCAGAAAGCAGATACAGGCCATGCGCTCTGTTGGAAATGACTTCATCAGTGATATCCTTGAGCGCTTCCCGATACTTGTTTTGAGCCAATTTCATTGTATTGCTGGTGCTGGTGCTGACGGTGTTTGTTGCCTTTGCCGACGTTGTAGCCACTTCTCGACGCATTTTGATGAGCGAAAGCTGTTGAACAAGCGCCTGTGCAAGTTGGCTGACCTGTTGACCAGACTCGCCTAGCCGATGTGAAGAGTGCCTGATCACTCCTAACTTGGCGTTCACCTCGTCAATGTCCATGATGGTCAAGTGCTTGTCGAGAGAGGGACTTTCAATTGTGATTTTGATCAGAGTTAAAGAGACATAGAGTCCTTGATCGGGTCGATCGTCCAGTCCACGAACAAGCCGAACAAGCCGTTCCGTCGACTCGTGAAAGACTTTGGCATAGACTGTCGGCAGCTCAATCAAAAGCTTCATATTCTGCAGTGCTGCTATTGCAGGTGCGTCCCATTGAACCAGCTTCTCATAGAACATAACCAGTAATTGTTTCTCCGAGCGGACAAGCTCCGCTATCCGTAGAAAGTACTGGCAGACTTCGATAGGCTGAACGGGCGTCACTTCGCCACGCTTTGTGAGGACGGGCAGCTCTGACCTGGTAGTTGATTGTTGCCAGAGCTCCATAAGGAGATCCGCTTCACGGCAACGGACGAATCGAATGACTAGTCGTTCACATAGATCTCGTGTAGCGTGAAGACCTTGGCGATGTGCTGAGTAGCCGAATACAAAGGCACCTAGTGCGACGTCCGCGAGCACTACTTGAGTCACCTGAAAGTCCTGCGTCAAGATGCATAGACGCTCCAGAGCAGGATCCAGTACTTCCGAAGGAACCTTCATGTCTCCTATCATCATCGGTTGCGCGACCATATCAATCAGCATCGTCTGTGCAGGGGCACCGAACTGCTTGATGATCTCGCGCACGACAAAAGGCGCGGCTCGCTTTCTGATGCTGCCAGCTTCTGACTTGTCGTCCAATGCTATCATGATTTGAGGCAGGATGTACTGCAAGTATCGACTGACTTCCATGGAGGATGGCTTTGCTGCGATGAGCCTGGCTAGAAGTTCAAACTGTTTGAGAGACACTTCGCCATTCTCCTGCGGCTGGAGGACAAATTCAGTTGCAGCAACGAAGCCTTGAGGGCGAAGATATATGTCTGTCATGTAGCTTGATATCTGACCAGAAATTGGCGACTTGTTGCTCGTAACGAGTAGGTTACTGCAGGCTCGGAGGAGAGCAACCGAGCCGACGTTGCAATCATTCATGAGAACTTCAGGCATATTATTCGAAACATTGGCCTGGTAGTAATGAACAGCAGCAACCAGCTCAGGCAGATGACGCGCCTTGATCGCCCCTGATACAAAAGTAGGTTTGGGCAAAATCTGCAGGACTCGCGTTAGCGGTCCACGTAGCTTTTCAGGGGACGGCTCGGCTCCAGTCAGCAGCTGACGCAGTGTTTGTTTTGTCGACAAGGGCGGCAAGTACATTTGAGGCATATTGCAACGGATTGCAATGAAGAAGACAAGCTCGCTGAGACCATGCACCGTTTGCAAGTCTCGTGCGCCAAGCATGCTCCCTTCTGTATCTTTCTGGGCAGCTTCGTGGATCTCAAGCAGCATAGAAATCACATATGCAGTGACGATAGCTCGTTCCGAGACGCCTTTCATGTCTTTGCCGCTGACATGTGTGCCAAGATACAAGCTGTGCAGTAGGCCACCATGGCTCGTGATGGCATCTTGAGTCAGTCCCCGCGATTGAGCACAGACATAATACCTTGCGAGATTGAAGAGGCCAAGTACGCCTTTGCATCCGCGATGGCGCTCTTCAGGGTGCCCATGAGCTTGAGCACCGTGCTAGCATCCCTCTGAACAAGATGATGCTCTGTTCGAGAGTGGATGCGCCTGCGTGAGATTTGGCGTGTGAAGGATGCGACTCGAAAAGTTTAAAACCTATACACATACTCATACATCCATACATCCATTGCTGCAGCGCCTGCAGTGACTAGGCCCAGGCTGTGAGTATGGCAGAGAGGTCGCACAAGAAGACCAAGACAGCGCCGGAAGACGGACAAATCAATATGTCAGCAGAGGACGGCCGGCGGCGTACAGGAGGCAACATGGCGGCTGAATCCGACTTGCTCGCGAAGCTCGAGCGTCGTCAAACGACTGCTGAACAAGCGACGGAACTAGAGAATGGTCCAATCAATCCGTGGACTGACAAGCCGCTATCAAACAAATACTTTGGCATCCTAGAGAAGAGAAGAGATCTCCCTGTAGCGCAGCAGCGGGAAGAGTTTCTCAAGATGTTCCATTCAACACAGATCCTTGTCTTTGTCGGTGAGACAGGTTCGGGAAAGACGACACAAATTCCACAGTATGTGCTGTACGATGACTTGCCACAACGTGAAGGCTTGATGGTCGCATGTACGCAGCCTAGGCGTGTGGCGGCCATGTCTGTTGCACAGCGTGTGGCCGACGAGCTCGACGTAAACCTTGGTCAAGAGGTCGGATACACTATTCGGTTCGAAGACGTCACGAGCAAGAACACTGTGCTCAAGTACATGACAGACGGTATGCTTTTGCGCGAGGCAATGAATGACCACATGCTCTCAAGATACTCCTGCATCATTCTCGATGAGGCGCACGAAAGAACGCTTGCAACCGACATTCTCATGGGCCTGATGAAGAAGATTGCGCAAAATCGACCAGACCTCAAGATTGTCATCATGTCTGCTACATTGGATGCTCAAAAATTCCAAGAGTACTTCTTCAATGCACCCCTGCTCGCTGTGCCAGGTCGAACTCATCCTGTCGAAATCTACTACACGCGTGAGCCAGAAAAGGACTACCTCGAGGCAGCCATCAGAACAGTACTACAAATCCATCAAGATGAGCCGGAAGGTGATATTTTGCTTTTCCTGACAGGCGAAGAGGAAATCGAGGGTGCCTGTAGGAAGATTAGCCTCGAGGGTGATGAGTTATTACGAGAAAGAAACGACTGTGGACCCATCAAGTGCTACCCGCTGTACGGTTCATTACCACCGCACATGCAGCAAAAGATCTTTGAGGCAGCACCGCCTCCACTCAAGGCTGGTGGCGTTCCTGGCAGAAAAGTCATTGTATCGACAAACATTGCAGAGACCTCCCTCACAATCGATGGTATCGTCTATGTCGTCGACCCTGGTTTCAGCAAGCAAAAGCTGTACAATCCTCGCATTCGGGTGGAGTCTTTGCTCGTCAGTCCAATCAGTAAGGCAAGTGCACAGCAAAGAGCTGGTCGTGCTGGTCGAACCAAACCAGGAAAGTGCTACCGTCTCTACACAGAAGGCGCATTCAAGACAGAGCTCATTGAGCAAACATACCCAGAAATTCTGCGTTCCAATTTGGCGAGCACCGTGCTCGAGCTCAAGAAGCTCGGCATTGACGATCTCGTCCACTTCGACTTTATGGACCCACCAGCGCCGGAGACGATGATGCGAGCACTCGAGGAGCTCAATTACCTTGCGTGTCTGAATGACGATGGAGATTTGACGCCCTTGGGTCGCACAGCAAGTGACTTCCCCCTCGACCCAGCGCTTGCCGTGATGCTGATTTCGAGCCCCGAATTCCATTGTTCAAATGAAATTCTCTCTCTTGTGGCATTGCTCTCTGTTCCACAAGTCTTTGTCAGGCCCAACTCTTCTAAGAAGCAGGCTGACGAGATGCGCAAGTTGTTTGCGCATGAAGATGGTGACCATCTTACATTGCTCAATGTATATCACGCCTACCAAGACAATGGTGGTACCAAGGAATGGTGCTTTGAGTACTTCCTGTCGCAGCGTGCTCTGCAAAGTGCTGATAATGTTCGACGTCAGTTGCAGCGCATCATGGAGCGGCATGATATTGACCTGGTCTCGACGCCTTACGAGGACAAGAGCTACTACGACAACATTAGAAGGTCCCTCGTATCGGGCTTTTTCATGCAGGTGGCAAAGAAGACGGAGAAGAACTACTACATGACAGTCAAGGACGACCAAAAAGTCCTGATTCACCCATCGTGCGGTATTGAGCGGCAACCGGAGTGGGTTCTGTACAACGAGTTTGTCCTGACCAGCAAGAACTATATCCGCACCGTCACGACCATCAAGCCGGAATGGCTTCTCGAGGTTGCACCTACGTACTATGCGCTCGATGAGTTTGCCAAGGGCGAGATCAAGACTGCTTTGACCAAAGTTATTGGCAACCTGGGTCGAAAGCAGGCCTTTGCCGGAGCAAAGCGCAAGAAGTAGCCGCTGTATCTAGAGCAATCCATATCGATGAACCCCTTCTTGGTCTTGTTCTTGTGCCTGTTCCTGGATGATGTCCGCGAATTTGCTCGTCGCGTCTCATCACGTCAGTGCATCGATTTCACAACACAACATCCACCGTATCGCGCTCTCGCTCTGAGACAGGCCTGGTCTCTCATCTTTGCTCGACTCATACCGAACACTCATCAGCCCTCATCCTCACTTCTGGCCGGGCTGAGCGATAAGCGCCGCTGGCGCCCCGATGCACAACTCACCTGACAATACTGACGGGCGTCCACAAAGCCGCAAAACGCATCTATTTGCCAAAGAGAATGGCTCAGAACATTCGAGGCAAGCATCTATGGAATCGCCAGACCTTTCTCTGTCAGTGAAAGCGGCTCCCGACAGAAAGCAAACGGATCTGAGCACAGGCAGCGATGGCGACGCTTCTAGTGCCACGCTGACAACGCTTGCCTCGGAGACAACGACCCCGGGATCATCCATTGTCAGCAGCGGAGCCAACGAATCATGCGCACAAGAGCTGGCGAACGTCTTGACGAGTTCAGTTTCGCATCATCGAAGCTCATCTAGCCACTCGGCACAGCGCCCAGCTCACTTGAGGCTTCCAGACGAGGTTCTACAAATAATACTAGAGCGAGTGGGCTTTCCAGATCTCTGGGGTTCAGCTCAGTATGTTAATCATGCTTGGTACCGTATCGCTAGACTGCACGTCTTTGCCAGCGCCCGGTTTCTGAATTTGCTATTGACGACCAACTTTCAGGCCTTTGAGTATACATACAGTGGATACCAAGAAGATGAAGACGATGGGCCGCCTGAGCCGCTCGATGAAGAAGATTGCTGGCCCGGCGTCGCACTCGATGCGGAAGAGACACTCAAGTATTTTCCTGAGCTCTTGACCAGCGACTACTGCGAGGCAAACGACGGTCTGCGGCTTTATCTTTCCCGTAATTGCACCTCCATTTTCCCATCTTTGCTAATCAACGCTAGCTCTCAACACTTGTCCGGATCAAAGGCACCCTTTTGCCATTAATTGTGCGGTGATACGGCTTGATAGACTACGGACCGTGCAACAGCGTTACACGGTCTGGGCCATCAATGTCAGTGATACGGACTCTGTCACCGTACAACCGCTCGCATTTGATGCGGAAACCGGCAATCTGACGATTGATTTGACGCAGTGCTACGCCCGGCTGTACAAAATATATCAGGACGCGCATGTTGAACGCAGGAAGCTTGTCGATCTTCTCGAGGCAGATCTCTGGGCCCAATGGGCGCGTCAGCATGGGAAATACTGGGGTAAAAAGAGGGCCGGTGTGTTCTTTCAAGGTGTCTTTATCGAGCGCATCGGGGAATTGCTTGAGTCATTTGACAATTCCTGGGCTACGCTCGAGGATCTGCTTCAGCGGTGGGACCTCTTTTTTCGCAAGACGAGATTCCTCGAACACCTCTCTCTACATCGCTTGAAACGCTTCTCCAAGCATGCGAGACTCCATACTCTTTACAAGCAAGATGATCCGACATGGCAAGATGTTGAACAGAGGGTCCAGTTGGAGACTAGAATTCAACAGAATGCTGCTGGCACACGTTTTGAGGTGCAGTTTCTGCGTCGAAAAGCTCAATTTGCTCGCACATTCGCGATGGCATGTTGGGACATCTCACCCAGGTCTGATCGACAGTCCATCATCAACTTTATTAAGCGTCGAGCTGATGACCAGCCTGTGGAAAACTTGCTGTACTGCATGTCAGAACAGCAATATCAGGACATGCTTCAAGATTGGTACTCTGCAAGGATGACTAGCTTGTCAGAGAATCCCTGCTATGTCCTACAATCGATTGCATATCAGCTAGAGACGCCACCTCCGAGTCCTGACTCGCGCAGAAGTTTGTCAAATACCAGTTATGCAAGCGTCTATGATCAAGAAGACGCTGATCGAGATGACCAATGACGAAATGATTTCATGAAGCGCCCAAACCATACTCTGCGGAAGGCAGTCTAGCGTCCAGCATTAGCCAGTCTCGCATCGTCCTTTTGACCCATTATATTTTGCTATTTTGTCACTACGAGTTGAGATCAGTCGCTGCTATATTCAGATGCGGTTGTAGCAAATAAGTCAATGTCATCAATGCTGTCAGGCGCGCCGGCCGCCCGCCCTGCTGTGTTTTGTACACGTTTGCCGCTGTTCTGCTGTGAAGGAATGGATGGCGCTCTCACTGGTTGCTTAGCTGATGGGTGAATGATACTTACGCTGCCAGTCTTGTCAGGCCTTCGCGCACCGTTCACCATTGTGCTATTGCCCTTCAACACAGTGCCAGCAAGATTTTGCAGCTTTTCACGAGCCTGTGCGATCGACAGGTTTGATTGTTGAGCAGTAGTCGTGTTCAATTGGCGTTCTGGACGCTCTGATGCAACTGGCATTGGCTGTGTACGCACTAGTCCATTTGACTGACGTGGCTGACTTCCACCGGGCAAGCTTGGTCCACCCCGAACTTTGCGAGTAACTTGCGTGCTGTCGTTCGCTTTCCCTACATCAGTGAGGTTGCGCGCTCTGTCACCTGATTGTGTTTCTTGGTGTGCAGGCGTTCTGGCATTAATTTGTCGTTCCAGCGGCTCTTGCTCTTCCCCGCTAGACTCTGCGCTCAAAGCAACTCTCTTTTGTCGTTTGCGAGATGAGATTTGAGTCGGCTTAATATTTCTGCGATGGAGAATAGGATTATCCTCCTCGTTGCCAGATTGCGCAAGTTGTTTGACCTTCGGAGACGCCACATTGCCTTGGCTAGACCCCAATTGTTGCCGCATCACATCAGCATCAGCACTTGAATCACTTCCGTGGGAGACAATTCTGTGTACGGTACTGCGGGAGGTGCCTCGATTGCTTCTCCTCTTTCGCCGAACCACAGGCAAACCATCTGAGGAATCAGAGGACGCATGACCCGTCCGTCCAGATGGCCTCGTACGACCCGCTCGCTGAGCTTTGGCAGGCTGATTGGGTAGCACATTCGATTGATCAACATGGTCTGGCAGTATTGAGGTTGCTTGCGTGTAGCTGATCCGGCGCCGAACTGGGCCATGATCTGTTTCATTCCCCGTAGCAGACGTAGCACCGTGGTGTTGCCTCCTAGGATTCCATAAAGCTGGGCGATGTGGCGACTTCGGCGTTAGACCAGAGCTACTCTTGATGTTGATCTTGGTGTTAGAGCCTGCTTTTGATAGATGTGCGGGCATGGGCTCATCTAAGCTATTGTCCATCTCTGGAGACCCTCTCAAAGACACGCCTCGAGATCCATTTGCAGACTGCGTGATGCCGTTAATGTTGAGGGTTGCGGAAACTGCGCCAAGCTTTGATGGAGTGGCCACACCATCTTGTCCTCGTCTTATAGTTGGCTCAAGCGGCTCATCGCGCTCTGCTTTGAGGAGCTCATTGACACGATTTCGTAACTCATCTGACAGAGCATTGGCTCGACAGTTGTACAATTGGGAGAGTGTGACGGAGGCGAGACTAGCAAACTTGCGACCCGATCTGGGTAACGACGAGAGCGGATAGTCACGACCCATGATATCGCCGAGCACGGACTCACATCTGGTCAGAGGCTTGTTGATGAATGTGACGTCGAGATTAGCAATCAATGCGTGTTGTAATATTTGAGCCGGAATCGGCCGTGTATCGGATCCAATAGGTTTTGGCGTCGTTGCGACATCTGTATCGCGCTTGTGGCGGAAGGCGAACACATCGCCACGCACTTTGTAAATCTTGGTCTGGGAATCAAGGAAGATATCAGACACCTGCATAAGCTTGTACTTTGTGCGTTCTCCCTCTCGAGAAGCGATGCGTACTATATCCGAGCAGTACACCTTTTCAGGACCAAGAAAGAAGCCGGTAAATCTGGGTCCAATGGGTTCTTGCAAAGCCTCATCTGCGTATTGAAGTTGGAATTTGCCAATGGGGCTCGCTGTAGAACACACGTGAGGAGGATCCCGCAGAATCTGGTCCTCATCGCCCGTGATGGCGAAAAATGGCGCCAGGTCTGCTTGCGGCACACCTTCCAGTTGTTCGTGCGGACTATTCATGGCGACAAGTGTGTAGTGAGGAACTCTGACAGGGGCCGGGAGTTGATTAGCCGGTGACATGTCAGGAACAACGAGCATGCGGCTGGAAACAACAATGAACGTGGCTTTTTTGGCAAGATGTTTGACAATCTCGAATGAACGGTAGATGGGAGCATGCGGTGCAAGATCTCTCGCTTGATCTGCCCTTGCTTTTGCCATGATGACGAGTGCGATATCGCTCATACCCGTCATCAACGGCGCTCGCTCCGTGACTGGCAATCCCAGTTGAACTTTATTCGCTTGCGCTTCCGTGCGATGCTGCCTACAGAGCTTGCAGAGGCAATTTGCAGGAATATGCTGTGCGTCGAGCAACAACCAAAGAAGGTGTTTTTGGAATTCTGCGACCGAGGCATAATGCTTGCCTGACGGATGACCCCAGAGCGACGCTTCACCTTTATAGCGGTAGTTCCCAGCGCGTGAGAACTCCTCCAAAAATACATAGCCCTCTGGAAAATCGTCGAGCGTATAATGATGCGCTGTGTCTCTCAAGGATGTATTTTGCTTGACAAACTGCCCAAGGGCACTAAGCCAGCGTAGTCTCCGTGGCGTACCATCGTGTCGTCTGACATAGTGGTCGAGCAACTCGCTGCTGAGCTCATCGTCCTCGTCCAATTCATGGTGCGCGGGGACCTGGCCTGGTATTGCGTCACTAAAGTCGCATCGAATGGCCAGAGGCTCTGTCATAAAAGTCACACGTCTGCCGCATCCGGGGAAGGGCCTCTCCTGTGGACTGCCGATGACGGGGCAGATGGGTTGAGTGTGTGATGATGCGCTTGTGCTGTTTGCCGTTGTGTTCTTGGGATTTTGAAGGAGACGAAAAGGTGAAATTCAGGTCACGATCAGATCCACGTCAACAGATCCCACTCCTTTAGTATTGCCAGACATGCCATGGTCCAGCTTCAAGAAGTTGTGCTTTGGCCTAGTGCTATTTGATGCTGTGCTCTGTGCAGGCATCATCTGGCGCGTGAGCTATACAGAGATTGACTGGAGAGCGTACATGCAGCAGGTCGAGCTCTATTTGTCGGGCACGCGTGACTACAAGCAGATAAATGGCCAAACCGGACCCCTCGTCTACCCTGCTGGTCATGTGTACCTGTACAGCTTATTGTACAAGCTCACGAGCAAAGGCTCTGATTTGCTCGCTGGACAAATAATCTTTGCTGGTTTGTACCTCATGAATCTAGTCATTGTTATGGCCACCTATGGCTATGCTGGCGCGTCTTGGCTCAATGTGCCTTTGCTGGTTCTCTCAAAACGTCTGCATTCCATCTACCTTCTTCGCATGTTCAATGATGGGCTGTCGTCACTCGTCATGTCAATCTCTGTTTATTGGTACACTAGACGCAATTACCTTTTGGGCTCTCTGTTCTTTAGCTTTGCGCTCAGCGTCAAAATGAATGCGCTGCTCTATCTCCCTGCAATCATCATGATTCTTCTGCAAGCTGTCGGGGTTGGCAAGAGTGTACGGCATGGATTGCTCATTCTGGCTATCCAAGGCCTCATGGGTCTTCCATTTCTTCAGGCGAATGCAAGCTCCTACCTGTCGCGGGCCTTTGACTTTGGCCGTGCATTCGAGTACAAGTGGACAGTCAACTGGAGAATCCTGCCAGAGTTCCTCTTCCTCTCGTCGGACTTTGCCGTCTTGTTGCTCGTCCTGCATGTAGGGACTCTACTCTTGTTTGCCTCGACACGCTGGAACAAGCCTTCCGGTAAATCACTGCAGCGCATCAGCAAGCTGATCATTGCCAATACACTCGGTTTTCTCTTCCCAACTGGCGAGGATGTCCCTGAATCCAAATTGACGCCTCCATTCATATTGACGATGTTGTACACGAGCAATATGATTGGCATGTTATTTGCACGAAGCTTGCACTATCAATTTTACGCATGGTCAGCTTGGAGTATACCCTTCTTGCTCGAGCAAACGGGGCTGCCGCTTATCACTCAACTCATCATTTGGGCTGCTCATGAAGATGCCTGGAACGTATACCCCAGCACAGTACGCAGCTCGTCTATGGTTTTGGGGTCACAGGCCGTGATTCTCGCTGGTGTATGGTGGAATACAGGGGTCAAGGCGCAAGCGAAGGAAGAGACCAATGTGGAGGCTAAAGGGTAAAGACTGAGATGCCAGGTTATTTTGAATCCTATACAAGCACACAAAGTTGTAGCAACATGTTGGCCCAAAGTGAAAGCTTCTAAAAATCTAAGCGAGTTTCTGAATGATGGCCTGTGTATATTGCGATGTGCTGGCCTTGCCACCCAAATCACCAGTGATGGTGGTGCCCTCTGCAAGAACATCAAAGATTGCCTTTTGTACCTTATCTGCCTCAGAGTGCAACGCCATGTGACGCAACATCATGACGGAAGAAAGAAGCAGTGCAGTTGGGTTGGCGAGACCCTTGCCTGCGATATCAGGCGCTGAACCGTGAACGGCCTCAAAGATAGACGCATCATTGCCGATGTTGCCAGAAGGCGTCAAACCAAGACCACCAATCAGACCAGCACACAAGTCGGAAATGATGTCTCCGTACAAGTTTGGCATGACTGTGATGCGGTCAGCGTATGGTGCAGGGTCAGTGACGAGCCTGAGGCAGGTGTTGTCGAGCACCTCGGTGGTGAACTCAACATCCGGGTACTCCTTGGCGACTTCACGCGCGGTAGAGAGGAAGAGACCGTCAGACATCTTCATGATGGCAGCCTTGTGCACGGCAGTCACCTTGTTCTTACCAATATCGCGTGCGTATTGAAAAGCGAAACGAATGACACGCTCTGACGCGGCGCGTGTGATGAGCTTGATGCTCTGAACAACACCAGGCACAACAACATGCTCAATACCAGAGTATTCTCCCTCGGTATTTTCGCGGATGAGGACGGTGTCGACATTGTCGTAAGGAGTTTTGAATCCCTGGATTGAACGGCACGGTCGCACATTGGCATAGAGGTTGAATGTTCTGCGCAGAGTCAAGTTGAGCGATACGTGTCCCTTGCCGATGGGCGTCGCGAGAGGGCCCTTGAGTGCAACGGTGTTTTTGCGAATGGATGCAATGGCTTCATCTGGGATGGCCGTCTTGCCGTCCTTGAGAATCGGGGTGACGTCGCACTCCTCCCATTCAATTGGAATCTTGGCCGCTGAGAAGATGTCAACCACTGACTTGGAAATCTCTGGACCGATGCCGTCGCCTGCAATCATGGAGACTGTGTAGTTGCCATTGCTGTTCTTTTGCGAGGCGAACGTGCCTGCTGCAGCCTTGACCTGTGCGTATGCGCGTGTATGACGCTTGAGAGCGAACGCAGTCTGACGGAGAGAGAGCATACTGCTGCTGCTGCTAGGAGTATAGATGAAGGAGGATGTGCTTTGTGTGTACTTTCCTTTTTGCTCCGAAAATGTCGTCGGGTGTCGGGATTCAGTCCGCGAATTGTGCGCGGCGTGAGACGAAAGGGAAAGGCGAGGGATGGAAATTTGTATACTACAGTGTATAGATTCTGTAGAGATGACTGAACCCGCTACGAAGCAGCTCACTTCTCTCTCTCAGCGCCCACAGCCCGTCTGATTGCCCGTATGTGATCAGGTGTCGTCTGGCAACTCGTTGTTAGCAATTGTACCAAACTGAAAGAACTCACCATCCGCCAAAGACCAGGCGGCCATGATTTAGGCTTGACCACTGTTTGAATGGCTCAGCCCATGTGTCTGGAGTCTTGGGCGTGCCAGTGAATATCCGCTTGACAGGATCCCATACCTCGCCGTTGTCTGGGTAGAGCACCAGGTACAATGAAGTACCCCTGATAAGGTTCTCTACGCCGCACACCACACCGTCCGCGACATCCTCCTTGAAGCAATTGAGTCCAATGCCCCAGAGGAGCTTCTGTGTTCTGTCGTCTCGTAGCAATGATGTGATGCCCTCAACCAGTCTGTCAGTGGCACCCTCGCCCGAGCAAGAAAAGGAGATCCAGACCCGTTTTTCTGCCAAGCTGTGTTGCAAGGCCTGCAAGACGTCAAGAATGAGGAACGCTTCCTTCACATCAGGTAGCGTCTCGAAAGCGATATACTGAACGTCGCTCCAGGCAGGAGATTGGATGAAGTGCTGTAGACGCACCCTGTGAAACTCCCGAAGAGATTCCATGTCGCCATCGTTGAAGACATGAAAGTATTCTGCTCCGTTGCCTAGCATAGCTGCATAAGTCCCCAGTGTCAGTACGGAACTACCACTACCATGCTTCTGACAAGCTTGAGAACTCGCGAGCATTCCAGCATTCCAGACATCAGCATCAGAGCCTGGTCCAGTAAGATGCTTCATCGTATCTGGAGATTGCTGATAGGTCATACATGATATCAGCTCAGCGCCAGCCTCGAGGTAGCTTCTATGTAGTGTCTGCACAGCATCTGGAAAATCGTATAGAGCTTGACTGGTCCACAGAGGACTGCTGAAGAGAGCAGCATGTGCATCCTGCGGTATACTCTGCAAGACATATGTGCTCCCGCCATCGAGTATGAGCACCATAGCAACAAGCAACAGAAATCTGGGGTAGCGGCTCGAGGTCTTAGTCTTTGGTCTCAAGTGTAGAAGGTCGTGCCTGCAGCGACCTAAAATTCAGATGTCCCACACGCTTCGGTGTCGCGCTTGGAGCAGCACCAACAATTGATCTTGAGCCGTAGCAGCATCATGTCGAGTGTCATACGGTAGCACATCTAATCTGCATGCGCTGACGATTCAGTGACAAGGCGTTTGGCAGGCGTTGCGCATCATGACGAGGGCATCATGGCACTCAGTTTTGCACATGAATTTGGCAATACACTACAGCTGATTCGTCATGGGCCGGTCAGTGTCCAGACTCGCACCTCATGATCAGGCTCATCGTGGTGCTAGCGACGTATCTGAGAGCTAGGTGATATCTCCAGCTCATTGCAGTCATGATTGCATTGGCCCAGCTGCAGCGCACACGAACACTAAATTTAACAGTTTCGCGCGTTCGCTCTGCCGTTTCTGCCGTAGCGCTAGCAGTCTGGCGGTATACGCTCACACTCACAATGCGCTCTATTCATCACAGCTTACACAAATATGCCTGACCAGGCCTTGCACAGATCATGATCTATCTTTTGGTTGTTGCAATGGCATGTGCGCACGCTACAAGTCTTACATGTGATCGTCGTCGCTAACTTTGGACAGGCATCTCTCGTCTGTAATCAGCAGCTGGCTAAGCAGCCGCTCTGCGCATGTTCAGCCTGTGCGCCTATTTGAGGCTTCTCACTGATCTCTGCTACATATGATGCAGGATTCATGCATATACATGGCCTTGTGCTAAAATAGAGTTCGTACCTGGGCCCGGAAGAACACCTAGATCGCAGCTATTGCTGGGCACTGGGCAGCGGCTGTTGTGTATGCAGGTTACCGTTGTCCGTCAGGTGGGTCGCGTCTCCGGCGCGCGCTTGTTTTAATGCATTTCGGAAAAGGTTAAAATCTCGGTCTGACATTTAAGACATGCAGCGGCAGAAAGTCTCAACTGGGCGCTCAAGCTTTCAGCTACGCTCAGTGTCAAAGCTTCCAGAGACAAAGCGACGTCAAAATGTGTCTCTGAACTGGGCCGTGCTGGTCCCATGACACTATACCACAGTGGCAAGGGTTCTTTGCCGATGACAAAGTCATCAATGACTCATCGTAGTCTTTGAGGGCATGCCAAAGGGCAGTCTTTGCAACCGTATCTCAATGCAAAGGCTTGTCGAGTTTGAATGTTAGTCTCGATTCAGAGGAGCACACTGCGGTCTGAGGGCGCACAGGCTCTTTGACAGATGGCTTGAGAACCAAGAAATGGGCAAGGACCAGCCCGTGCGCTTGACTACGTCTTGCAGCTTGCAAGTCCAGCACGCTTTACGAGCAGTGAATCTGGACTGGCCGAGTGATGGCCAATGGCTGCTGGACTGCATTGGCACGTTTATGGGGACTGTAGCGAGGCATAGGCCGCATAGCCGGGTGAAGCTACGGTGAATCTATGAGCGCTAGTTTCTGGCGGTGCAACGGTCGAGCTGCAGGGACCAACGGCCTTTGCCAACGGTCGCGGAGTCTGAAAGAATTAATTGTGATGGTTAAGGCACAAGGGACGCCACCACGAGAGGGATCGGCCCCACGGCCAAGGCAACGGGGGAACAACACAGACGACAGCTGGTGGCCTTTAAGAATTGCCACTACACAAAGCCGCCTTGTTTAAGGCCTCACAGCACATGATGGGCTCGTTGAGCAGATTGCAAAGCGCGATGGGTGAAGAATCAGGGTGTTGGAGCGGCAAAGGACGACAAGCATGGGCCTTGTATAAAGCAAGGGCCAGCGCTCGGCATGGCTTGGGAACATCAATCACAAAGTCATGCTGTCCAAGGCACTGCTCCTCGCTGCCGGTATCAATCTCTTCGCTCGTGCTGCTGGTCAGACGTGCGATGGTTCCACAGCGACACCCGATGTCTTCTCCCTGCAATCCAGTCTCGACGGCTCTTGCGTAGATGACTACGCCGATGATGGTCAGCTCTACACTGACAAGTCAACACAAACGAAAGCGAACCAATTCACACTTGTTCGTCAGGTCAGCGGCGGTTTCCAGCTCATCGACCAGACCGTCAAGAACGGACCCAAGTTCTGTGTCGGTGAACAGGCGACTTCAAATCAATTCCAATGCTCTGGTGACGCAAACCCAAGCAATGACCAGAACATGTTTGGCGCATGCAACGGCCTTTTGACATACAAGGGCTCCTCAGACTTTTACGCGTGTGGGCCTGGCATCTTCCCGACACTGACCAGCTACAACTACTTCACAGTACAATACCCCAACTGTATTCCTGTCAAGTTCTCTATTGTCACGTACGACCAATGCTTCCCTGCGCCGCCTACCTCTACAAGCGTGGTAGTTTCGTCTACTACGGTGTCGACCACCAGCACGACCCCAGTGACGACGAGCTCCGTTCCTGAGACAACCTCGAGCACGACAACCACCACGAGCTCTCAGCCTGAGTCAACTTCGACGACAATCTCAACAACGAGCTCTCACCCTGAGACCACCTCGAGCACAACTACAACGACGAGCTCGCAACCCGAGACTACCTCAACCACAACGACGAGCTCTCATCCCGAGTCAACCTCGACGACAATCTCAACAACGAGTTCTCACCCCGAGACTACTTCGAGCACAACGACAACGACGAGCTCGCACCCCGAGACTACATCAACCACAACGGCGAGCTCTCATTCCGAGTCTACCTCGACGACAATTTCCACGACGAGTTCTCATCCCGAAACCACCTCGAGCACAACCACAACGACGAGCTCACACCCTGAGACCACTTCATCGACGACCGTCTCTGAGTCTGTCCCATCCAGCTCTGTGCCGGTGACTACCTCGACGACCATGGTCACCAGCACTTCTGCCATTTTGTCGAGCACGACAGGCAGCTCTTCGACTCCAGTCAGCTCTTCGACCATTTCCTCTGGAACTGTCATTACCTCTGCTAGTGCGCCTCCTGCTAGCTCGACAGTCCCAACGAGCTCTGTGGCCACGACTTCCAGCGCTGTCGTTTCATCTAGTTCTGTGGTCCCTCCCTCGTCAGCAACTACTCCTACAGTCCCTTCGAGCTCGGTCACTTTGCCAATTTTGTCTTCCACAAGCACTCAGGTGATTCTTTCAACCTCGACCACTCCGTTCTTGCCTCCTCCACCTCCCCCGACTCTGGTCATCATCACCACGTCTGTCCCTAGCACAACCACCATCACAACAATTGTGTCGACTGGTACGACCGTGACGACAGTGACACTCACCAGCACTATCGTGGTTCCTACCACCATTGTGGTTCCTCCTCCCGCTCCATCAGCACCTACTCCTCCTACACAGACGAACCCAGCTGGGCCTCCTCCGCCACCTGCCGCACCTGCCGCTAGCGGTACGCCACCTGCCGGACCTCCTCCCGCTGGCCCTCCTGCAGCCCCCTCAGCAGGAAGTCCACCAGCTGGCCCTCCTATCCCAGCAGCGCCTCAGGGTCCTGCACCCACTGCGCCAGCTTTCACAACAGTGGTTAGGCCAAGTGTGCCTGTCAACTCACTGCCAGTTTCTTCACCGTCACTGCCAGCGAGCTCAGGCGCAGGAAAGATGATGGCGGTACCTGCTGCACTCATCGCCGCTCAGTTCATCCTTTCTGCATTGTTCTAAACGACCCTTGATGGGCGTTATAGACACGCTTGTACACCGACACGACTTTTGTAAAGCATGGCTAGCATATAGATATATCTAATAAGAAATTCGGCATCTCAATATCTACTTGATTCTAAAGCTTAAGTAAGAGCTTTCCAGTGCTGACTCGGCCTTCGAGATCTGCATGCGCCTGCTGGACATCCTCCAGTGGATAAGTCTTGTGGATGGCGACCTTGATGTGGTCCCTCTTCAGATGGTCAAACAACTTCTCCGTGTAGTATTTGAGCTCTTCCGGTGTGCCCAGGTAGCCAAAGACCTGGGGCCTGACAAGAGTGATGTTTCTGCCGTTAGCTTGCTTCCAGAGGGTGAGTCATACTTGGGCGTCAGGGAAAGAATACTGATTGGCGGGACTGCGCCAGATGCATTGCCAAAGCTGGCCAAGGTTCCCTTACGACGCAGGCAATCGAGTGAGATTTGGAACGTGTCCTTGCCAACGCCGTCATAAGCACAATGCACGCCTTCAGGAACAAACTCCTTCACTCGTTGAACAACGTCTTCGCTTGAGTAATTGATGAGGTGTTGGCAACCATTCGCCTTGGCAAGATCGAGCTTCGCTTGTGTGGAAGCAGTGCCAATCACATTGGCACCCATTGCGACAAGGATCTGAACCAGCCAGCCGCCCATACCTCCAGAAGCTGCATGTACCAAGATCCAATCATCGCGCTTCACCTTGTAAGTTTCTTCAACGAGCGTGATGGCGGTCAATCCTTGAACGAAGCTTGCGGCAGCAAGCTCCTCGCTGATGCCCTGGGGAATTTTGGCAAACATGCCATTGTCCAGCACAGTTAGCTCGGCATACGCTCCAGACACAGCCGAATATACGACCCGGTCTCCCTCTTGAACATCCTTGACTTCTGAACCAACAGCAACGACTTCACCTGCTGCCTCCTTGCCCAATGTCAAGGGCAGTGCAGCCTTGTACAAGCCCTCGCGAAAGTAAGTGTCGATAAAATTGACTCCGATTGCCTTATTCTTGATGAGCAGATGTTTTGGGCCGAGTTGCTGAGCGGTGGGTACAGGTAGCTGCTCTAGCTGCATGACCTCTCGGCCGCCTGTCTTATGGATGCGGATGGCTCTCATGGACTTCATTGTTGCCTGGGCTGCTTCAAGCTTGGAATTGTGGTGTGGTGGGATTTAGCTAAAAAAAAAGCTACGTCGTATTCAGCTCAACTACTGTCCTCCATTATAAGAAGGAAGCAAAACAGAGAACCTTCCGCACAAGGTGCCTCCAGCTCTCCACGCAGAACAACGCTTTAGTGCCGTAAGGCAAATTGGCTGGTCATAAGAGACACAGCATATCTCGTCACTCCCAGTGCTAGTCTCAATAGTGATGCTGTTCCCCAGCGTATTTGTAGTAAGGATTGCCGTAGCAAGCCTACCACAAGACCAGACAGGCTGGCCAGCGCAATGCTTTTTCGAAAAAACCCCGAAAAAAGCTTCGAAGCAAGCCGTTTCGACTAGTATGGTGAGATCCACTCATAGTGAGAGCGAGAAGGGGACACTCCCAAAGTGGGCATGCTAGACTACGCGGTCGAGAAACAGCGTATCGGGACCGGCACAAGAAGAACGAGGGCTCCAATCGGGGACCAGGCAGAACCCCGACCGATTTGATAATCAATGCCGCAAGGGCCGGCAATGATGCAGTGGGTGGTCGTTATATGCCATAAAGTAAACTGGAGGGAGCTGTACGCTTTGACCGCATGCGGCAAAGGTACAATAAGCTCAGATGAGACCTCCGGGGCCCCAGGTTGCCTTTGGTGTTGACCTAGTTGCTGCCATTTGTTGTTTGGAGACGACAGACGCTCCAAGAGAGTGGAAGGGAACTCTCTTACCTGTTTGATTGATGTTTGGACCCGAGCAGGAGTGACCAGGCTCTTCAAGACGACAAGTCGGTCTCAAAAACAGGGCGAAAAAAATCTTCACCCGCCAATTTTGCACGAATACAGCGGACAGGTGCCTGTTCTACCGTGCTTGCAAGGAGGCGCTGCCGTCCAGCGCGAGTCTCCTTGTCTTAACGCTGACTGACCGAACCCCCTGCTCTGTAGCGTCATCCTCAGAGCACGTTTCCACCAAAAAGTGACTTTATGATGTGTTGGTTCGGTGTGGGGTCGTCGCCGTCGCGTCTCAAATAGAACAGCTGAAGAGAGTCGACAAACACCACCTCCGACCCTGCGCGATCTTCTGTCATAGAGCAGCTGGCAGATTCATCAGCAGCAGCAGCAGGACGCTACGGGCGTCGCAATGAACGCGGCATTCGCTGGCAATTTCAACCAGGACTACACCTGCGTCAGTGTCGGTACAAAGGAAGGCTACAGACTCTACAACTGCGAACCATTTGGCAAGATCTATGAACATCCCGGCGGTCGGTCCATCGTCGAGATGCTCTTTTGCACATCGCTCGTTGCACTTGTTGGTCTAGGCGACCAGCCAGACTTGAGTCCGCGTCGTTTGCAGATTGTCAATACGAAGCGTGGCTCATCCATCTGCGAGCTGACCTTTCCCACTGCTATTCTAGCCGTCAAGCTCAATCGGAAGCGTCTCGTCGCTGTGTTGTCGCAGAATCTCTATGTCTATGACATTGCCAACATGAAACTGCTGCATACTATCGAGACGTCGCCCAATCCCAACGCCATCTGTGCCTTGTCTTCCTCCTCAGACGCTTGCTATATCGCGTATCCGTCTCCCACACCCATGCCTTCCTCTGGAGCAGATGGCGCGCCGGCCCATGCGCCTGTTGCAAATCCAGCGCATGTGCCAGTCTCTGGCGATGTTCTCATCTACGATGCATCTTCCCTTCAACCTGTCAATGTGGTCGAAGCTCACAAATCGCCCTTGTCGTGCATTGCATTGAGCTCGGATGGCACAAAATTGGCAACAGCATCGGACAAAGGCACCATCATACGCGTCTTCAGTGTACCTGGTGCAGACAAGCTCTTTCAGTTCCGCAGAGGCAGTTTACCAGCCAAGATTTACAGTCTGAATTTCGACCTCTCATCGACCTTTCTCGCTTGCTCTTCTGATTCAGAAACGGTGCATGTGTTTAAGCTTTCGCACGACCATGCACGGCGTGATCGACAGGAAGCCCCGTCTACAGCGCGTGTACCGCCAAAGGGCGCAATGAGCATGATTCGGAAAAGCTCACAGGGCTTTGGTCGGACATTCGCTGATACCTTTGGTGCATATCTCCCGAATAGTGTCACGGAGATGTGGGAACCTATACGTGACTTTGCGAGTCTCAAGCTGCAAAATGGCGGTAAAGTCAAGTCTGTGGTGGCAATCAGTACAGCGGGACCTGAGCCACACGTCATGGTCGTTAGCAGTGCTGGAAGTCTGCTGCAGTACGCGATTGATCTGGAACTTGGCGGGGAGTGTCCTTTGGTCAAGTCGAGTTCATTGCTTGCCATGACTGAGTGAATTGGCGACGAGTGAGTGAATACATGTATGCTATGCTAGTAATGAATGTGGAAATACCGTTCAAAGGACTATGCCTGCCTGCTGTAGTAGGCAGATTCCACATCAACAATACGCCGACCTCGCGCTTGTGCAATGGTGCTCGGTAGTCTTTGTTCCTTGAGCGCCTCGAAGACGCCCTTGACCACGTTCATGCCTGTGCGGCTGCCCCAGACCTTTGCTGAGAGGTCGGTGATGCCTGCACAACGACAAATTTCGTAGATGAAGTGGTTGGCTCGAATACCAAATCCTGCAGGCCGTGAGCGAAGTCTGAGCTGTACAGCGTGGAATTTGTAGTCCACGTCGCCGTAGATGGTGCGATCCTGGTAGCGATGCACGAATTCCATGTTCTTCACTGCCTGCGTTACTGCTTTGCGTGTCGCTGTCCCTTGCTCTGCATGTTTACCCTCACCAAAGCCAATCATGCCTTTGCCATTACCAACAACAGCCAAGCAATACATACTCGCCTGCTTGCCCTTGCGGGTCTGATTTACAACGCGCCGAACCACGAGCGGCCGTTGAATAAGAGATTTGATTTCAAGTGTCGTCAGTCCCGTTGCCTTTGCAAGTAGCTCCGTTTCGTCCTCTGCAAGACCTTCGCCTGTCGTATCGGGCGGAAAAGCAGGTAGGGACTGGTACTGCGTATCGCCCGACTTACCGAAAGCAAGCGTCTTCGGATGGTTGGCGTCCAAAATGGGGTCAATCTTGGAAAAGTCTGACGGATAGTTGATGCGCTTATGTGTTGTTCTGAGCTTGTTGTTGAGTACAGACGGTCCCTGCTGCTGTCCATGCTCAGCCTTGACTGAATTTGCAATTTCATCAATAGCGCCATTTTGTAATCTTGGACTTGCAGAGAACAGACGGCGGCATACGGCAGCTTCTTTGGCAAACACCCGACACCGGTGCATTGCTCTGAGCGGCTCTGTGCCTTTGCTGGAGCTGTGGAAGAGAAGAGCTGCTTGATGGTTGAGCTCGTGGGTGTTGCCTTCTGTCAATTCACGTGCAGGGGGAAAAAGAAATAGTGCGATACGCCGATACTGCAGGACCAGTGCAGGTACTGTACTACTGCTACTCTGTTCACTGTCTACAGCTGCTGTCAACAGCCATTACTCGGCTCAGACATCTCAACAAGTGCTCATACAACCATCATTGCTGCTGCCAGGAAATTGCCCTTTGCTTCTCAGCTACTGCTACAGGCCGCATCGCTTCAGACTCAAGTCTTCCGTTCATTGTGTCTGATGAGCACCGAGACACTCAAGCGTGCAGCATCGCCTGCTCCACGACAGGCAGAGGGAAGTAGTACACGGATTCGCACCAAGAAACAGAAAGGAGCTAAAAAGGCCAAGGCTGGGTCTGCTGGCGACGAAGTTCTCATCAAGGACATTGCCCGCATGAGGAAGCAGGCCCAGCCCAATACCAATGTAACTCCTGAAAAGCTGGTAACATTTGAGGTTGAGGTCGTCTGTCTCAACTCGACTGGAGATGGGCTCGGTCTCTGTGGCGAGTATGCAGTCATTGTACCCTTCTCCCTTCCGGGCGAATGCGTCAAGGCCAAGCCATACTTTATCAATGAAGTAGACAAGATTATACTATGCGACATGGTTGAAGTTCTGAGCAAGTCATCCAGGCGAGACGATTCTTTGGTCCAGTGCAAGTACTTTGGCAAATGCTCGGGCTGCCAATTCCAACAACTACCCTATGCTGCACAACTAGAGCACAAACGGCAAGTTGTTGTCCACGCCTACGAAGACTTTTGCGATCTGGAGCCCTCCCTCATACCAATCGTTGGGGAGACAATGGCATCTCCATTGCAGTACGGCTATCGCACCAAAATTACACCTCACTTTGACCAGCCACGGAAAGGTTTTGCGCCTGGACAAGTACCAGAAATTGGTTTCAACGAAAAAGGCCGGCGAAAGGTGTTGGACATTGAAGAATGCCCAATTGCCACGCCCGCCCTCAATCGGGGGCTGAACGCAGAGCGCAAGCGTGTCTTGGGCAATCTATCAGCATTCAAGAGAGGAGCAACATTGCTCTTGAGAGAGACAACAATGAAATCAGAAGAGGGCTTAACACACGACTATGTAACGGATTCCAAAAAGATAATTACGGAAATCATTGGAGACAAGCAGTTTGAATCTCCTGCTGGCGCCTTTTTCCAAAACAACAACAGTATCATGCCCCGACTCACAAGCTATGTGCGTGAGCAACTGCAGTCTTCCGCCAAATATCTGATTGACGCGTACTGTGGCTCTGGTTTGTTTAGCATCACTTGCAGCGAGGGACTCAGTGCAGTCAATGGCGTGGAGATTTCGCAAGACAGTATTGCATGGGCAAAGAAGAATGCAGAAGCCAATAATGTAAACAATGCCGAGTTTCTGGCTGGCAGTGCTGAGCTCTTGTTTAAGCAAATCACCTTTCCTGCAGCGGAGACGGCGATGATTGTGGATCCGCCGAGAAAGGGATGCGACGAAGTGTTCCTCAACCAGCTCCTCGACTACTCTCCAAAAGTTGTGGTCTATGTCTCTTGCTGCGTACAGACTCAGGCCAGAGATGTTGGATTCATCTTGGGCCACGACAAGGGCAAGGACTATGTGCTCGAATCTGTGAGAGGATTTGACCTATTCCCAAATACCTACCACGTCGAATCTGTTGCGGTTCTTCGCAAGCGTCCCGCTGCATAGTAAGCATGGTATCACATAGTATATTACAGAGCATTCACTGTAGGCCACAAGACCAAGGTCGAGCTACTTTTGTCCCATCTGAATCCTCGCTCCCTTCGTCACCGGCAGCAGAACGACGGCCAAGAGTCGACATCAAGCCAGCAGCTGGCTATCGACACAGCATGGCGCCCACAGCTCCTCCCGTAAGCTCCCAATCCTTATCATGCGCATCTGACAGCAGGTTATCATGGATAACGGAACCGGTCTGACAAAGCTTGGATTTGCTGGTAACGACAGCCCGAGCTTTGTCTTTCCCACAGCAATCGCAACACGCTCCGGCAGCGGGCCAGCCGGATCAGGACCTGCAAAGCCCTCGAAGCCCTCATTTTTGTCTGGCGGTGGTGGGAGTAGTGGAGGCAACTTGGCGCAGAAGCGCGGCACAGAGGATCTTGACTTTTACATTGGCGAAGAAGCCATTGCACAGACATCATCCTCGAGCAGTGCCTACGGCATCAATTACCCCATCAAGCATGGACAAATTGAGAATTGGGATCACATGGAGCGTTTCTGGCAGGAAAGTATCTTCAAGTATCTTCGCGTTGAACCAGAAGACCACCACTTTCTGCTGACGGAGCCACCCCTCAACCCTCCAGAGAACCGTGAAAATACGGCGGAAATCATGTTTGAGTCCTTCAATTGCCAGGGACTCTATATTGCCGTCCAAGCGGTTCTTGCACTGGCTGCCTCTTGGATCTCGTCCAAATCGAAGGACAGGTCATTGACCGGTACTGTCATTGACTCTGGAGATGGTGTCACCCATGTCATTCCAGTTGCTGAGGGCTATGTTATTGGCTCTGCCATCAAAAATATCCCTATTGCCGGAAGAGACATTACGCACTTTGTCCAGACCTTGCTGCGTGATCGCAACGAGCCAGACACATCCCTCAAAACGGCAGAGAAGATTAAGGAAAACTACTCCTACGTCTGCCAGGATATAGTGCAAGAGTTCAACAAGTACGACCAGGACCCGGAGAAGTTTCGCAAGTATGTCGTTGACTACCCGAACCGGCCAAGTGTCAATGTGGATGTTGGCTACGAGCAGTTCCTTGCGCCTGAAATCTTCTTCAACCCAGAGCTCGCGTCGAGCGATTTCTTGACGCCATTGCCTGAAGTTGTGGACACGGTCATTCAGCAGTCGCCCATCGACGTGAGACGTGGACTCTACCGCAATATTGTGCTTTCTGGCGGCAGTACCATGTTTACCAATTTCGGCCGACGTCTGCAGCGGGACATTAAGCAATTGGTGGACGAGCGTATTCTCAGGTCCGAGACCAAGTCGGGCGCGAAGTCTGGTGGCCTCGACGTGCAGGTCATCTCACACAAGAAGCAAAAGCACGCCGTGTTTTATGGAGGTTCGCTGCTGGCGTCGACGGCAGAGTTTCACACATTCTGCCACACGAAGCAGGCGTATGAGGAGTATGGTCCAAGTATCTGCCGGCGCTACCAAATCTTTGGCTCTAGTCTATAGTCTCGTACGGGCCACCTACATAGCTGAATGCGCATGCTCGACGGTATCTGGCCCTATTAGAGCAGTACTGTCTGCGACTCTGCGCTGAATTTGCTGCGAGTGCTCGAGGACGCGCAAGAAAATTTGAGCGCGAACACGACCACGAACAAGCAGCAGTAACTACCAAACAGCCAGCATGTCGATGCAATTGTAAGGCATCTATATTCTAGCTACAAAGCTGACAGTAGACTGAACCCAAAGGCGGAAAGTGTTCGCCGCGATCAGGCGTTGCAGGTAAACATTACCGCTGCGACAGGATTGCAGGATGTCCTCAAATCCAATCTTGGTCCAAAGGGCACAATTAAAATGTACGTGTCTCGTTCTCTAATCTTACTCTAACGGCAGGCTTGTGGATGGCTCGGGAAACATCAAGCTCACCAAGGATGGCAAAGTGCTCTTGACGGAAATGCACATCACAAATCCAACAGCTTCCATGATTGCAAAAGCGGCAACGGCTCAAGACGACATGACGGGTGATGGCACAACATCTGTATGTCTCATGGTCGGCGAACTTCTTCACCAGGCTGAGCGATATATTCAAGAAGGTCTGCATCCCTCCTTGATTTGTGAAGGCTTTGATCTCGCCAAGAAAGAAGCCTCCGAGTTTCTCGACAGCTTCAAGATCAGCAAAGAGGTGGACCGCGAGCTCTTGATGTCTGTGGCACGCACATCACTCACAACAAAGATCCCTGCAGGCATTGTAGAGACGCTTGCACCAGCCATTGTGGATGCCGTCCTTGCCATTGCTCGCGAGGACACGCCCATTGACTTGCACATGGTCGAGATTATGAAGATGCAGCATAGATCAGCCTCAGAGACGCAGCTCATCCGCGGGCTGCTTCTCGACCACGGTGCACGGCACCCTGACATGCCCAAGCGTATGGAAAATGCATTCATCCTGACAATCAATGTCTCGCTTGAGTATGAAAAGTCGGAAATCAACTCTGGCTTCTTCTACAGCAGTGCAGAGCAGCGCGAGAAACTCGTTGAATCGGAACGCAGATTCGTTGATGCCAAATTGAAAAAGATTGTTGAGCTCAAGGAGGCTGTTTGCGGTGGCGATCCTTCCAAGGGCTTCGTCATTGTAAACCAAAAAGGTATTGATCCATTGTCCTTGGACGTCCTTGCCAAGCACAACATCATCGCTCTGCGCAGAGCCAAGCGTCGTAACATGGAGAGGCTACAGCTCATCTGCGGCGGCGTAGCGCAAAACAGTGTGGACGACTTGAAGCCCGAAATTCTTGGTTGGGCTGGTCTTGTCTACGAGCACACGCTTGGGGAAGATAAGTTCACATTCATTGAGGAAGTCAAGGACCCAAAGTCGGTGACTTTGCTCATCAAGGGTCCGAATGCACACACGATTACCCAGATTCAAGATGCCGTCCGCGATGGTCTCCGTGCCGTCAAGAATGTTATTGAGGACAAGTGTGTCGTACCTGGTGCAGGTGCCTTCCAAATTGCGTGTTCTGCGCATTTGAACAATGTCTTCAGTAAGACAGTCAAGGGCAAGGCCAAGATGGGTGTTCAAGCATTCGCTGAGGCGCTGCTGGTCATTCCGAAAACCCTCGCAGCAAATGCTGGCTTCGATGTACAAGACACCATCGTCGCGCTCCTCGACGAGCATGCTGAGAGCCAAGCAGCAGTTGGGCTTGACCTTCGCACAGGAGAACCCTTTTCGCCAGAGGCAGAAGGTATCTGGGATTGCTACCGCGTCTTGCGCAGTCTGAATGCATCGGCCTCTGTCATCAGCTCAAACATACTTTCTGTCGATGAAATTGTTCGCGCTGGCCGTGTGAGCCTGAAATGAGCGGTATCTTGTTAGTAGTCCATATCCGAATCTATGTAGCATGCTTAAGACACAGCTTGTCGTGTTGCGGCCCATCTCGAGAACTGGACTTGTTAAAAGTGCGTCGTTGTAAGGCCTCAGGTTCCTTACGCCGCTGCTCCTCCACATTCATAACTCAAGCAGCTATACGTATGTAGTTGGCCTGAGCATGAGATGTGGAAGAGATTGAAGCATACTTACAACATAAGAGATGCTTCTCAAAACCGTGCTGCTAGCTCAGCAAGCACGTGCTTCGTCCCAACAAACCGCGTTCCATCTGAACAAGGTATTCCCATCATTCAACCTCAGCACAAGTAGTATTCATGTAAGCTATAAAATGCTAACGGTACGCTATGGAGCAGCAGTCCCCATCCCTATCCTTCCACCAATGCTCAACCCAACACAAGGCAGCCTCTATTGGGATGAGGGCTGGCTCGATGTTGCGTCCTGTCCGCGGCGTCGCCTTCAAGTCGGCGCGCAAGGGGTAGAAAACTCTCATTGAAGTGCGTCTATTCGATGTCTTGCCTCGTGCACAAGGTCGCCCGGCTGACTGATGTTACAGGGTACGTTCGATCGAGCTGCTCTGGTTGATGCGCGCCAAGGATGCGGCGTGACCATGGCGAGGACCATCAAACAGTCCAAGAGGAGTTGGAAAATAGTCATTCGGGTGCGTCTATCCGATGTTTAGGCTCGCCTGCTGTCCAGTGAATGAGGCGTTCAATTGAAGCGTGCAGCAGGGCGAGATAACTCCTATATTGTGCAAATTGGGGGGCAAACAGATGTTGCATGTCCAGAACATCGAGGCGCTCAAGGTCCCCGTGGGGTCTTCCTGGGCGACCAAGTAAACAGACCTTGCTTGTCGCATCGACAATGGCCATCTGCTATTTCGCTACGAAGGTTGGCCAATGGACGGAACCCGACTACTTGATGGAGCTGGAACCCCTTGCTACATCCATCTATATGGCATGGGCTGTTAAGCAGCCTGGCATGCTGCCTGCTCGCCAGCCAATTGTGAATGATTTGGAAAAAGTCACTCCAATCCTTGTATTGTCGTCGTCCAAGAACCCGGACGCTCTAAAGCAAGGCTTTGAGGCATATGGGGCCTTCGGCCAGCACTGAGGTCTGGATGTTTGCGATAGGCCAGCAAACCGTCAGATGCTTGGTGTTGCCATAGGACCGCAACTTCAACCGCGTAGCGCCTTCCAGCAGATCAGCAATCGTTTTGAACGTATCTTTGCGCATGCGCTCATACCCAGTGCCAAACTCGACACCGCATGCCTCAAAGCCTTGCTCAAGGTTGGATTGATGGTGCATCTAGGATCTGGATGAAGCACTGCAAGTCGGCTAGATTGGGTTGCCGGACTGGCATCATGCCAGGCTACTTGATCGCCCAGGCCATAAAGATGCCAGTGGCGAGGAGGTCCAGCGTCATCAAGTGGGCAGGTACCGTCCACCGCCAACTCTTGTAGCTGAACACCAGATGGCCATTGTCGAAGCGACAAGCAAGCTCTGGCAACTTGGTCGCCCAGGAAGACCCCGGACCCCACGACGACCATGAGCGCCTCGATGTTTTGGACACTTATTGCCCGTTGGCCCCCAATTTGAACGATATAAGAGTTTTCCCTCCCTGATGCACGCTTCAATTGAATGCCCCCTTCACTGGACAGCAGGCGAGCCCAGACGTCGAACAGAAGCACCTCAATGATGGTCTGCCAACCCCTCACGGACTTCTTGCTAGTCCTCGCCGTGGTCACCCCGCATGCCTGGAGCGCATCGACCAGAGCAGCTCGATTTAACGTACCCTGTAAGACATCAATCAACCGGGCGACCTTGCGCGCGGTCTCCGCCGCCTCGGCTTGGAACGGAACGAGAGCTTGGCATTCGCTCTGGTGCAATGGCAGGGTGATGGTCTTGTGGTAAGACAAGAATCGCACCACGATCAGACCCATGTCGGGGTCGACTTGCATCATGACCTTTTCCGACTTTCCCGCTTAGCAGCTTCAAGCAGAAGCCGCTTTGGGATATAAAAACTGCGGTAGCCAAGTGGTGAAGCGGTCGACATCCAGATGCGACCACGAACGCCAAAACTTGTAATGCTGCGGACGGGGTTGTTGACCTAACAGATGCATTCGTGGCCATGAAGCAATCGTCGTGCAACGTAATAAGTTAACCCTTTGTTTGGTTTCTGATCGTGGTGCGAACCTTGTCTGACCAGAAGATCACCACGTTGCCATTACACCAGAGCGAATGCCAAGCCCCCGTTCCGTTTCAAGCCGAGGCGTTGGAGACCGCGCGCAAGGCCGCCCAATTGGCTGACGTCTTACACGGTACATTCTATCGAGCTGCTCTGATTGATGCGCTCCAGGCATGCGGCGTGACTGTGGCAAGGACCAGAAAAGGCTGCCTCAACCGGAACGAGCGCTGGTTTGCAATCCAGGGTCATCAAGGCTGCAAATAAAGTCCAAGACCAGTCCTTTGAGTTGAATGTGAGGCGGGCGTGCTCGAGACTCCGAGCAGGTTCCCGCAGGTTGGCAATTCAGGGGAGCCTACAGCGGGCTTGAGTGTCTCGAGTCTCTGCACCGCAAAATCGACCATGCCGATGCTCACAGCATGCGTCTTTTTGTTTGCTTTCAATCGCGTTCCGCAGTCAGTCTCTTTGACAAATGACCGAGCCCACGTGTAGAATCTGTAAGCATCGAGTATTGCCTTGCGGGGGCGTGTGTTGCGAGGCACCGTGATGCCACACTCCCAGATTGCGATGACAGTAGCAGTGCGTTCCAGCGTTCCAGCTTCATCTGGTTACGAGATCCACGAATGCGACAATGTTTTGTACGTCTCTACACAGGCGAGGACATTGGTTGCAGTCAGTGCATTATAGTCCACTTGTAATAAGCCAGGTCCCTCCATGATGCTCCATCTGCGCAACCAAAACTATGCCCATCTGAACAATCAATTTCGCAACGCCAACTGATGGCGACTTGGGCAACATCAACTTCAGCCAAAAGAAGTCCGCAGCGCTAGGCAAAGCTCGTGGTCGCGCCTATATTCAAACATGTCCTTTTTCGTCCCCCTCTGCTTTGAATTTGGCAGCGACAGAAATCCCTGTAATCGCGAGCCTTACGGTGTTTAAGCAAGCTGACGAGATCAGGTAGATGCAGGATCCTGGGTCCAACGCTTGGATTCGTTGCAATGATTCTTGTTGCCATCATTGCATGGCCCGCTGGAGTGATTGTTATGTGCTGTAAGGCCTCTATCGAACTTCTGGCTGAGGACTGACAGAGATTAGGCAACCGGGACCAGGCCAACAAGCTATTTGGCGCTCCAGCAGAAGCGAATGGACAGGTAAGAGCCCTTGAACTGAATTTCCCTGCTGATCAGACGCAGGTTGGCAATTTGATACCGTTCTAGCACCCGGCATTGATGTCTGTGTGAGAACGCGATACACTTCATACCAAGCAAGTCCTGTTCTCGACTACGGCCGCAACGCGACACCCTATGTCTTGAGCATTCTACATAGAGTCATGGCTCTGACCGTTTGTGCTACCCTTGCCCGCTACCCATGCTCTATATTGCCATTTCTGCATTCGTGTTGGTTGTCCGCTTCGCATGTTGCCCCGCGAATGAATTTGCGACCGCGCAGACAAAACCGTGTCCTCGGCGAACGATACATCCAGCAGTCAGGACTCCGCCAAAAGGCCAATCAGCGCGAGCGTTGCTGTAAACTCAGGTACATTCATACACTACCTGGATGGCGCATCGCGTAGGTAGGCGACTACGAGTTGCGGTCGTCCTCGTGGTGGCATTTATCTTTCTGTACAAGGTCTTCCTACCAGACCTGGCGCTAGACGAGCTCGTGTCTGGCTATGACGCGGATGGATCGTACATAGATCCGTTCAAAAAGTCTGCACGGCCTGAGGCGGACAGAATGCATCCAAAGATCAAGCAACACCTAGACACGCCGGAGGTAGACACAGGGTCAGGTACGGGAACCACGTCAAAGACGCAAGAGGTCGAGATTCCTGCTCCTTCAAAACAGACCTCACCCTCTCCTGTTGTACGGCCTGCCTTTAATGATGGACGACCCGAAGACGTCACACCGAGTGCAGCGCCAAGTTCGGCCGTCTACTTTGATTTGAAGCGCAAAGAAAGGTTTCCCGTTGAACTTGACCGTCGTATCCCTCTGCCAGTGGGATCTCCTGGAAAGCTTCCTCAGATTCAAGCCAAAGTGCCTGCAGAGTCAGTTGTACAAACCAAAGAGCGGCACCGGCGACGAGATGCCGTTCGAGATGCCTTCAAGCGCGACTGGGACGCATACAGGAAATATGCTTGGATGCACGATGAAATCAAGCCCGTCACCCAAGGCTCTCATGATCCATTCGGTGGATGGGGCGCAACGCTCGTTGATGCGCTCGATACACTTCTCTTGATGGGCTTAACTAGCGAGTTCAAAGAAGCAGAAGATGCGGTGGCCAAAATTGACTTTACGCGCAAGACGGCGGGCCCAATCCCGGTGTTTGAGACGACAATCCGGTATCTAGGCGGTCTTCTGTCTGCACACGATTTGGCCGTGCACCAAGGTATGAAAGCCCCCGTCATGCTCAAGCAGGCCAAGCTTCTGGGCAAAGTACTTTATGGTGCATTTGATACGCCAAATCGTATGCCCGTCCTCCTTTACAACTTCGAAGGGCAAGACACTGCAGCCCTCAAAGCCCCAGTAAATGGTGTCACGAGTGAGCTAGGCAGTCTACTTGTCGAATTCACACGGCTCGCTCAGCTCTCAACTGGCGAAGAGCGCAATCAATTTTATGATGCAGTTGCACGCATCACTAATGAGCTAGAGGAATCCCAGGATGACATGGATCTGCCTGGTCTATGGCCGAAAGTCCTAGACATGTCTGGCTGCGAGCCGGAGAAATATTTCCTGGACAGTCATGCTGAAGAAGAGGCTACTGCTACATCTGCTGCTTCGTCTGGAGGTATCATGGACAAGAGACAAGACTCGCGATTCAACAGCGGTCAAAACTCATCTCCTGAGGACTTTGCGGTGGATGCCAAGGGGATGCCCATCAGTTCAAGTTCGCGCAAGCCCATCAAAAATGAGTGCGTCAAACAAGGACTGAAGCCTTCAAGAGGCCAGCAGGCCTATACCCTGGGTGCTATGGTCGACTCTCTGTACGAGTACTTCACCAAGGAATATCTCCTGCTTGGAGGCGTCAAGGAAGTCGAGCAATACAAGCGTCTGTATGAACGCTCCATCGAGGCTGCCAAAAAGCATCTTCTCTTCAAGCCTCTTGTACCTGGCGACCTTGGTAAAGACAAGATTCTCTTTTCTGGATACTTCACGTCTGGTGGGATCAATAAAGATGAAGGCAGGTTCGATGCAAACATGGAGCACCTCACGTGCTTCGTCGGTGGTATGTTCGGTCTTGGTGCCAAGGTCTTTCACCGACCTCAGGACATGGAGATTGCCATCAAGCTCACGGAAGGTTGTGTATGGGCATACAGTGCTACTGCGTCTGGCATCATGCCTGAAACCTTTAGAACGGAAATATGCACCGAGTCTCGGTGTTCATGGGATAAGCATGTCGCTGGACTGAAAAAGAGCTTTGAGCAGCAAGAAGAAGAAAACAGTCCTGACTGGGCTGTTGATATGGACAGAACTCCCAGCAAACCGATGGCTGCTGAGCTTATCAGGGTTAAGAGGCAAGAAAGTACTCGTCAGAAAGGGACCGAGCCTGATGCTCCGAACGAGGCGGCCCGATTGTCGCAGCAGGCTCTTGAGGTTGCCGAGCGGACCAAGACACAAAAGTCATACGGAAAGCCCGAGTGGGAAGACCCTCCGGCGATGACAGTCTACTCTTCTGCTTATGTTCTGCGACCAGAGGCCATTGAGTCAGTCTGGTACATGTGGCGGCTGACTGGGGACCGTATCTGGCAGGAAAAGGGGTGGAAGATGTGGCAAGCTGTCGAACAGCACACGCGATCCGAGGGAGGCCATTCAGCCATTCACGATGTCAATTCGGTGCCGACTGACCGCACTGATCATTGCGAGTCGTTCTGGTTTGCCGAGACTCTCAAGTACTTCTATCTGCTATTCGCAGACTTTGATGTTGTGTCGTTAGATGAGTGGGTGCTCAATACAGAGGCACATCCTTTCAAGTTGCAATGAGCAGCCCAATGAAGCATTGCATATGTTTTACATGCTCTCAGTAGCCTTAGATCTAGACTTAGATCTGGTTTGACTTTGGACAAAAGGCGAGTGGGTGCATTCAATCCTTCGACTTGCTGTTTCACTCCGAACGACATGTTCTAAAATATTCAGCGTGTCCTACTTTCTGCAGGCCCCAGCATGCCCGACATTGAAGAACAGCTACAATCTGCGCTCTGGCTCAGTGGTATGTACAATGAAGCTTGGCCTGACTGACATGCTTGTATAGTCGGCAGGATTGCTGACGAACGAAGCATCGATAGTGAAGGCAGCGTGAGCGTGTCTGCTGACTTTATCGCCTCACTGACATCCTACGTGTGGATGCAGCTGCAAAACATGACACTAGACGTAGAACACTTTGCCGCGCACCGGTCATCACAAGTGGTGGAAACGGTGGACGTGATGCTGTGTGCACGCAAGAACACGGAGCTCTTGAATGAGATGCAGCGCCTCTTGGCGGAACAGCAGGCGGCGGCAGAGAAGGAGGCACGGCGCGTTGCATAGGAGAGGCCTTGTAGACCCATGTCTTTATGCTCTATACATGTCTGATATCACCGCAATATGTTTACTGCCGACGCGACTGAATGCTTCCTTCCACCGTGTTCGAAAATTGGGAAGAGACCTCGAGCTCATCGCATCCACCACCAACCTACCAAGACACCTCGAGAGACGCAGGAGATTGCACAGATGGCACAGGCACAGGTTCCAGAAGTCCGATGGGCACAGTACGTGGCTCCCTCATTGATAAATGCGGCTAACCTTGACAAGACGCTCAAACGAAAGCGAACACGACAAAAATGTCCTCTATGTGACAGTTGTCTGCCCCGATATTGAGGATCCCAAGATTTCCATTGAATCAAAGAGCCTCAAGGTGCATGGCAAGGACAAGCACGGCAAGGAGTACGCTCTGGACCTTGAGTTCTTTGCAGAAGTGGAGGCAGAGGCCACCAAGCAACGGCACACGGGTCTTAACCTCTTCTTCATCTTTCAAAAGAAGGAGGACAAGGCTGAGTTTTGGCCAAGACTGACGAGCTCCAAGGCCAAGCAGCACAACATCAGGACCGACTTTGACAAGTGGGTTGATGAGGACGAGCAGGATGAAGCTCTGGAAATGCGTAAGATTTCAACCATCGCTTCAGCAGACTAACAAGACACAGCCGACATGGGTGCAGGAGGCGGTATGGGCCAGCCCGACTTGGCCAGCATGATGGGCGGCGGTGGCGGCCTCGACTTTTCCAAGCTTGCTGGAATGGAAGGTATGGGCGGTATGCAGGGTCTTGCTGGTGGCGACGGCGGCGAGCAACCAGACTTTGCCAAGATGATGGCCGACATGCAAGGCTCTGCTCCCTCTGGACAGCTGCCAGAAGGCGACTCGGATGACGAGGAGGAGTTGCCTGCGTTGTCTGAAGTCAAAGATGACAAGTGAGAGTTACAAGCTTGCAGACATTCATAAAACATGAAAATTGAACTATCTCAAGGAGCGGATGGCGGTTTGATGGCCATGCTAGTATGATGATGCTACGTACTCTAAGATGATAAGTGCGAGCTTTTGTGATGCTGGAAGAAGGTCAGACAATTTTGAAGGACTGGATAAGAACGCTTACTCGCTACATGTTCTGGAGAGATTGCTCTGCATGATGCACATTGTAGTCACGGACCTATGTGCGAAATGTCAACCTTCATGGACATTCTTTGTGTGAGATGTCAAGTTGGCCTTCTATGTGAGGATGGCGTTGCTGAGGTGCACAAGTGTATGAGGCCAAGCATCATGAAAGCATGCATGACCCAGCCTTACCTCTCATCATTGTTCTCGACTTGAATGGCGTCCACAATCGAATGGGCTCGACCAGCAGAGCACACCTACAATCGAAGCCCTCTGTCCGACTCCCTACGCAAACTCGCTTGCTTTGCCAGTGACGAGGAGGCCTATAATCAAACCGAAAAGGCCGATCACACTAGCGAAAATCTCAATCTTATGGAATGTTAGCTGTGCCGTTGCGTTTCTTGAGGTATGTCAGCTTACCACGAGCACTTTGACGAAAAGACTGGGATCTTGCGCGTCCGCGAGGGCCGCACTGGAGCCCGTGATGCCGACAGCGACGCCACATGCAAGGTTGCAGAAGCCGACGGTGAGACCGCCCCAGAAAAGAGAGTAGCCTGTGAAGAAGTTGGCCTTTGTATATAGATCTGGCCCTGAGACTGCGGCCAATTTTGAGGTAAAGACGATGGACATGATGAGTCCGTAGATGCCGACGACTTCACAAAAGATGATGGAGATGAGGTTCTTCGTTGTGATTCTCGATGCGCGCACACCGCCACCGAGTATACTTGATCCTGTGATGAAAATGCCCCATCCTGCCCCAATGACACTAAGACCTATGCACATGGCGCATCCACTGCCGGGACGTTAGCGATAGATTCCTGGCTGCCAAGCGATAGAGCAGAGGGCACATACATGAGTCCCCAGGCGTAGGGCGATGTCTCTGTAAGGAATTTGCCGACTATCGTTAGCATAGCTTCCACACTCTATAGTACAATACCATCGAATGCTTCTCCGTCGCCAGTCAGAATCATGTAGAGCCCTACGAGCAGCCTGGACCTGCATTAGCATGTGTGAAGGCGCAATAGGGTGAGCGGGCAGTACAGGAAGGCAGTGAGCCATGACGCGAGTGCGCGGAACATGGCTGCGAGTGGAGGAACTTGCTCCGGGGGTGTGGAGGTGTGTTCTTGCTGTCCTGGCTGCTAGTAGATGTCTAGATTACAACCTATAAGCTCCAGTATAGTCGATGCGTACTTGATGGCGCGTGAGAAGCAGCACGTGACATACTCTAACCCCATCCGTCATTCTGCAGTCACGGAGGAAGAAAACACAAAAAGGAAGCAGACTCAGCACTACACCAGCAGGTACTAGACTACTACCGCACAAGACATACGCATCCATCACCACCATGAAGGTCTCACACGATGTCACAAGCTCACGCAGGAAGCAGAGGAAGCAGCACTTCGCAGCTCCCTCCTCAGAGCGCAGAATCAGGATGAGCGCACCCCTCTCCAAGGAAATGCGCACAAAGTTTGCTGTCAAGTCCCTCCCTATCCGCATCAACGACGAGGTCAAGGTCACACGCGGATCACACAAGGGCAAGGAGGGCAAGGTTGTTTCTGTCTACCGCAAGAAGTACGTGATTCACATTGAGCGCGTCACAAGGGAGAAGGTCAACGGTGCATCCGTCCCAGTCGGTGTCGATGCCTCCAAGGTCGAGATCACCAATGTTGCGACAAACAAGGTATGCTAGCTGCGAAAGCATTCGAAGCACAAGAGACTAACTATTGACAGGACCGCAGCGATTTGATTGTCCGCAAGGGTGGCAAGGCCGAGAAGTAAAGTGTTGTCTTTGCTGCGTAAAGCATCGTGACCCTCTCATGCCTTTCACACTCCTCCATCTACCAGGGCGTCCATGTCGTGCGTTGGACGGAAGATGACCCTGCTCCCCTTCACAGCCATTCTCGCACTCCATACAATCTTGGAAGTTGCACCGAATGCACACCAGCATCAGCCTAGATGACATGTATATGATCAATCTATGCACCACCTGAATCGCTTGATCACAATGACCTTGACAATAATATCTGCTCCAATGAATGCTATGCTGATTGAGAGGCGAGGCTCATTGATCCCCGTTTGTACTACCCACCACAGAGGCATCCTCCTCCTCTGAACTCGCCTCTCCGTCGCTCTCCGACTCGTCATCACTGCCGCGCTGCCGGAACTCGGTAATGTCAAACTCTTCATCCTCTTCATCCTCATATTCATCCAAGGGTTTGTACGCAAACACCTCGCGACCCGAGAGACCTGTGAGCTTGCCTGCCATCCGTCGCTGCTCCTTCTGCTTAATCTCCTCATTGACAATGGCCTCCTTCTTGGCCACACGTTCATTCTTCCATTTCGTAAAAGACTCGAGCGTTACGGGCGTCTTGGTGCCTGTAATCTTGTGCCGCTCCGTTTCGAGGAACTCTTCGATGGAGATGACGGCCTTCTCCTCCTTCTTCTTGTCCTTGGATTTGAGCACAAAGCCCGGTGGCAAAGAGTGCCGGTACTGACACTGGTCACCGCCATTCGGACAGATCCAGAACCAACCATACTTTTGTGTCTCGACAGCCTCCAGGAAGAACTTGCAGACAATGTCGGTTGTGGTCTTTGGATTACCGGCCTTGGACAAGACGACACTCCGCAGCTTCTCCTCGTCCCACTTGTCCATTGTATCGTCCACTTTTTCTTGATCACGCGCATCTGTGTAGAGATCCTTCTTGGTTGCCTTGCGCCCGACATCCGGGTCGTGACTGAACTTGCACCGGGCGCCTTTATCGCATTTGCCAATCTTGAAGAATTGGCAGAGGACGGTCTTTGGGTCCACGCCAAAGGGTACTTTCTGTGTGGGCAGAACAACATTGAAGAGGTCTGCATCGAGCTCCTTTCTCGCCTGGGCGTCCTTCTTCTTGGCCTCTACTGCTTTGCGCCTCTCCTCTTCCGCCTTCTTCAGCTTTGGGTTACCGGCATCGGCCACCTGCTGCTTGACCTTGGCCACCTCCTTTTGTACTTTAGATGATTTGTTTTTGTTCTTCAAGCCAAAGCTGTTGTCAGGACTGTTCAGTTAGGCTAGGATCACATACGTCTTGTCCTCCTTGACCTTGGAGCCCTTCTTTTCCGCTTGCACGCCTTTGGGAGCCATCTTGACGAGGTTTGAGTGCGCTCGCTGTGTCAATTGCGTATGCCCCGCTGTTGCTTCAGGATTGTTCGCCCCTTGCTGATTATCGCTGAGCTTCTACTCACTAGCAAATCAAGAGGCCTGGAGCAGCAGACGAGCGTTGATGAGAGAGTCGTTTGATGGAGTCGAGTGCCGTCGTCGCCCTTTCCAATTTTATTCGCACAGTCAGACCAGGGGAGGACACGGGAGTTGATAGACTACAGAGATTATGGGCAGAGTACAGAGCATTGCTGGATCACTTCTAGAGAGCAAGACCGCCTGCAAGGGCTGCAGCAGCCAGCACCACAAAGACACCGAGCCGCGACTCGCCCGCTGCGTGGTAACGTGGATGAGCGCCTGAATTGACGGAAGCGCTTGTGCTGGCTGTTGTGGATGGCCGCAGTGTGACAATCTGGACGGCCGTACTGGTTTGGCGAGCGCGGGTAACACCATTGACGACGACCACGGATGTGATGGGATCGAGAGGGACGATGGACGAGGAGGATGAAGAGGACGATGAGCTGCTGCTGCTGGAGGCTGAGGAGGAAGAGGAGCTCGACGAAGAGGAGCTGCTCGAGCGAGAGCTGCTGGTGAGCCTGGAGCTCGAGGAAAGGGTCGAGGAAGAAGATGATCGGGTACTCGAAGTAGAGCTGCGCAAACTGCTGCTCGACGATTCGCTCGAAGTAGACGGGTCTGCACTTAGCGTGCTTGCTTGCGTAGGGGAGGCCGGGGCCAGTGTTGAAGAGCCTGCGCCTGCCGGGAACTGTGTGCCTGCTCCGCCGACACCAGGTGTGAAGAAGGAAGTGATGGTGACGACGATTTGGCGCCTATCTAGAGGTGCTTCATTGTGTGCTGCTGCTGCCGCCGTTGCGAGGAGGGAGAGGAGGGAGATGCGCATTAAGAGTGATTATAGTACAAGTAGTCGAGCTGTTGAGTAGAAGTGAAGGTGGTACAAGTAACAAGGGTCTGGTTGTACAGTGAAGTTCCTTGGCACCACAAGACAGCTACTCTACACTGTCACTACTACAACCTCATAGAAGCATGCAGACCGCGTAGAATGGCAGACATGGGCATACACGCACAAGGCAGCTACCGCACACGCGCACTCCACTACCTGAAATCAAACATAGACAGCCGCAACTCAGCACGGCAGCAACTCGCTGCAACCCGTACATTCGGCAGCACCCCAACCCTCCTAGATGAAGCAGGCGCATATGAAGCACCTACCAAGAAGGAGTGCTACATATTTCCAACCTACGCCAAACGGCACTATCTCGACGCAGGACGCGAAAGGCTCGCCATTCACGTCAATGTCCATGGATGGGTCTTTACACCTGCGATACCAGGCGCATCCAGGCGCAATCGCTATACAATGCTCCTCGCACGATCTCTCGCTGGACTGCCCAATATGCCAGAGCCAAAGCGCGTCAGTACAGACCCGTTAGATGGTGTCACAGAATCCCCATCCATGCGCTCGACACTTGGCCGGTCTGCCGGCAGGTGGTTCAAGCGCAGTGCAAGCGATTCAGACAGCAGTGATAGCGATCTGGATTATAGACCTCCTTCTCCAACCACAACGGCCGGCAAGCTCAATTTTGAGCCTCCGCCGCGAGCCGACACAGATGCCTCACTCGAAACAACCAGCTCAACAAGCTCCAAATTCGATCAATTATCTGATCTTGATCTACGCATATGCCACGACAATCTCAACCTGCGGATGGGCCCGTTTCTTGCTCGCTCAGAAGTGGGTAGACTCATCAAGTTGCGTTTGCGGATAGGTTCTCATCATGAAAGTATTCATGAATTGCACACCCGTGACAATGGCCATTTCAAATCTCGCATTGCACTGCCGCTCGATGCGCAACATCACAACGAGGACCTTGTTCACGTCTCTGTTGTGGAAGACCCAGAGATCAGCGCTGCTGCAGAAGTGCCCATCATTGGCGACGTTGGCATTACCGTCATTAGTGACATGGACGACACCATCAAGCACACAGGCATCACCGAAGGTGTACGGGCGGCTTTTCGCAATGCCTTCGTCAGGGAACACGAACATGTCGAAGTGGACGGCGTTCGTCGTTGGTACAAGACTCTCAAGGAAGCCGGATGTGCCTTGTCTTATGTCTCAAATGCACCCTGGCAGCTCTGGCCGTCCCTCTCGAAATTTCTTGAAGCTGCAGGCCTTCCTTCAGGCTCTGTCACCCTCAAAGAGTACACCGGTGGCATGCTGCAAAGCATCTGGGAACCAGCAGCAGAAAAGAAGCGCGCCAATGTACAAAAGATCATGGAAGAATTCCCACAGCGCAAGTTTCTGCTCATTGGTGACTCGGGCGAACAAGACATTGAGCTCTACTCTGAACTTGCAGCAAGTGGTTTTGCTAAACAAATCCTCGGCATCTTCATTCGGGATGTGTCTTCCTCTGGCCAAGCTTCAACAACAGGCCTCTCCGGCGAAGACTTTTTCACTTCAGGAGCTCTGGACGACGAAATTGATGTACGAACTGCTCCCACTGAACCTGAACCCCCGAAACTCCCACAGCGCAAAGCCGTCAGTCTGATTGATCTTTCTGACCCTACGCCTCTCGAGCCATCAAATCATATGCAAGACTTGCTCAGTCTGCACTCCTCCAGCTCCACACAAAAGGCGCCTGTCAGCCAAGGAGAGACTTCCGCACCAGAGAGAAAGAAGCCAGAGGTGCCACCAAAGCCCACTTCTTTGAAACACCTGACCAAGCAGGTAGAGGAAAAAGTGGTTGATAAGGTTGAGCAAGAGCGCGCTAAAAGACCCATCCTTCAACGCGATGCAAGCAGCAGCTCTCTCTTGTCTGGTCTGACAGGTCGAACACGAAAAGCTGGAGCAGGAGTTGTCAATCAAATCTCAAGCACTTATTATGGACAACGTGGAGTCAATGAACAGCTTCGCCGCAATGAAGCCTGGCAGCGTCGAGTCGAGCGAGCAAGATCATTACTGCCTAGCCACATCAAGCTATATATCTGGAAGACGGGTGCAGATGCGGAGCACCACAGCGTCGAGCTCATTCGCAAGAATCAGCGAAATCGACCTGCTGATTGAGAGGGCTGGTTGTCGAGCACGGTGAACCATTCCTGTCGTCTACTCGGCGCCTCGAGCTGGACAACCTTTCGCGGCACTCCTTCGAGCCTTTGCCCATCCACCAGATCCCATCCATCTTGCCAGCCCGGATGGTGCGTCAGCGCTTGTAGCTCATCTAGAGATTGCACGAGATCGCGCTGCGCTTTCGCCGTCTGCACACGATCAGCCATCGATGGGCTGGACCACGAGACGTCGTTAAAGTTGTAGGAAACGGGTGGTGCCGCTTTACGTTTCGGCTGCTTGCCCCGAGGCCCACTCAACGGGGTCAGCTTCCTCTCCTTGTGCGTATTACTTGGCGGCATCGGACCATACATTGAACCTAGACTCGACCGGGAAGAGTTGACGCTTGATACAGACAAGGCTCGCTTCCTAGACGCAGTCTTGACAACGCGGTACCGGTGTTGTTCCAACTGCTCGGCAGATTCATAGTGCTTTCCGCAGTGTGCTTCGGGGCACGCAAAGCGTTCGAGGCGGAGGTGTTCGCCTAGATGCGACTCCCAAGAGGCACGCGTCGGCAGTGGTCGCTTGAATGTACACCCTGCCCATTGACATGTATACTCATTTAGAGTAGACTTTTTGAGATGAGCCTTACGACAATGCTTGACCAAATTCTCGAAGCTGTGCAAGACGGCGCCGCATTTTATCCATGCGCATGGCCAAGAAGCAAACTTGACCGATTCGGACATCTTGAGAGGGCCTGTGTTGGAGCTGTTGTCACTTGATGCTCGCCGGCGGTGCTCGTCTGTTGAGGATAGATCCTCCTGTCGCCAACCTCCCTGATTCCGCTTCAGGAGGGAGCGTGAACGTCTGATATAAACGACCAGCCGGCGTCTGTGGCGTGGCTCCTCTTCGTCGGCTGCATCATTGAAAATAGCAGGCACGGCAAATTCACCAGCGTCGCTTTCTCCGTCGGATTCGTGTTCCGGGTCGACGGATTTTGTGGGTGCTCTGGAAGTTTGACCTTGCAAAGCGTGTTTGTTTGGCAATGTGCTTGTGGTTGACATACCAAGTTGGTCTGCTGAAGCCGCCACTGGCTTGCTAGGCACTCCTGCGGTCTGATTTCGCTTAAGGGCGCTCTCTGTCTCGCGTCCATCGATCGCTCGACTGGTTTTGGGTGGAGACTCCAGACTTTGATTTAAGGTAGACGAAATGCCTTTTTGTGATGTGACAGTGCTGCTAATCGCCACTGATGGTTCAACTTGCGGATTGGCACCTGGCTGCGGCAACGAAGTGTTTGATTCTCCCTTCAAAGATTCACGCGTGGCATCAGGCATTGGCAGGACCCCTTGTGTACTCTCCAGCTTTGACTTTGTCAAGCTCGACACGTCCGTCAAAGAGGTTTCTGATTGTCCAAATGTAGCTGCGGGAGTCTCCTTATTTGTTGGGCCTCGTGTTGGTGAAAGCACTTTGGCCTTGGATTCGGGACGCATGTCGTCAGTGGTCGACTGAGTGATTAGCTGAGGTGCTGCTACTACCGACTCCTCTGGGATAAGCTTAGATGGAGGCTTGACATTCGTCTCAGAGGCAGGCGTCATTTGCGAAACAATTGCTTGAGGCGTGATCGCTGCTTGAGTTGCAGATGCCGGCAAAGATACGCCAGCCTGCCCTTGTTGAGTATGCGCATTGTGCATCTGACCGACAGAAACAGGTCGAGGCGAGGGTCTCGAGGATTTACCTGGTCCTGAATTAGAAACGACAGCGAAAACTGCACTTTTACTGTAGTCACCGCCCACATCACTAACGCGTTTAGCGAATAGCATATACTTGTTGAACACATTGATGGGCTGTACTGGCGTCGTTTCAGGGTCTGGCGGGTCAATAGTATCCCAGAATGAGCCTTTCATTGAGCAAGACTTCGGCAGGCGACGCTCCAGAGAGGAATTGAGACGCAAGTTCTGTAGACGGCCAGCTGCAAGCAAAACAGAGAGGCCCAGGATCGAAGGCTTCTTCGCCTGTGGTCTTTTCCTCTGCTGCAGTGCGGTAGTGACAGTCGCGACAGTAGGCGCTGGGCAATTCTGGCTGCTACTTGGCACTGATGGTGCGTTATTGGTCTTGAGAAGTAAGCTGTCATCTAACGGAGTTGGCCCGGCTGAAGTACTGGACGCTTGTTGTTGAGGGGGCCAAGGACCTGCCACATTGCTCTGCTTAATCATACTTGAAATTGGCGCAGAAGATGCATCGACATGACCATTTCCAGGCGATATTGCTTGAAGACGCCCTGTCGCGTGCTGTTGAGAATATTTGGAAGTGTCAGCAACTGCTGCTCTTCCTACAGGAACATCTTCCTTCGGCACATCAAGAACTTGTTTACTCAATGGAACGATCCGATCCATAGCACGACGATCGAAATCGAAACGCTGCTCAAAATACCTGGGCCATAGTGTTGGCCACATGCGCCCAAGCTCGTTCAGCAAAATCGGCAGTATTCTCAGTGAAGCGTCTGAAGCAGACACGCCATAAGTTATCCGACGATTTTCGGATAGAAACCTGGCAAGAGCAGGAAGGGCAGCCAAGTTGAGGCGCACTGCGTTCAGACGCCCTGTCGTGTGTCCGGTCGAGCTCGTATGCGCTATGTGCTCCTGCAAGATCCTTGCGAGACCGGCATCGCGTTCTTCTTCCTGCCGCCCAGGACGAGGCGGTTCCTGCAGCGGAGCGGCTTGAATAATCTGTTGCTGAAGTGACTGTGACTGTAGCTGCGGCTGCACTTGAGATGGCGCAGATGTTTGTGTCGCATCCACTGCTTGTGTTGACGGTTGCTCTTTGTATTGATAGTGGACAGCGTATCCCTTGGGCCTCTGATAGCCATACATAGGAGCACACTCTACTGCAGGCTTGCGCCTCAAGAAGACATGATCCGGTCTTCAAGCTAGCGCACTGAGGGTTTGTCGTTGGCGTCTGTTCTGAACGCGTCTGAAACATCTCGTCTGAAAAGCGACATCCCAGAATATTGCACAACGAAGATATCCACTTGATATTACTTCGGCGCTTGACCATCGCAGCATCGGGCTTTGCTGTTAGCTTCTCGGTAAGAGCCGACTTAGACTCGCCATCCACGATGGAAGCAAGCCGGCCAACTGTCGCAGCTGCAAAATACACTGAAGATGATAGCGACATCGACCTTGCAGCGCTGAGTGAAGAAGATTTTGAGCTTGAGTCAGATGCAGAACCTGCTGCAGAGAAGGAGCTTTCGTTTGCAGAGCAACGTAGAGCGCTGAACAGTGGCCCGCACGACCGCAAATTGCCAACAAGAATCAAGAGTGCACCTGCATCGCACGTCCACGTCAACGAACCAGGAGCACCAGAGGCTTCGCGCAAGCGGAAAAGGGACAACAAGCACGCTCCAATGGAGGTCTCTTCCAAGAAGCCCGTCTCTCGAGCACGAGAAGCTGTCGAGACATTTAAATGCGAAAGGCGTGATCCTCGATTTGACCAAAAAGGGGCCACCACCAACGCACCTGAGGAGACTGCGCTTCGTCACAAGTACGCCTTTCTGGCCGACTACCGTCAAGATGAGATGAGAATATTGCAAGCGTCGATCAAAAAGGAAAAGGATGTGTCAGCGAAAGCAAAGCTTGAGAAGACGCTCTCATCGATGCAGTCCAAGCTGCAAGCAGTGCAGGAGCATGATCGTCGACAAAAGGCGGTATCGAAGCACAACGCTCAGCAAAGAGAAGCAGCGAAAGCCGGCAAGACGCCGTATTACCTAAAGGAGGCCGATAAACAAGCTCTTTACCTCAAGGACAAGTTTGAGAATATGAAGGATTCGGCCTCGCTGTCTACATATCTGCAGAAAAAGCGCAAGAGAAGGAGTCAGAAAGACCGTCGTCAACTGGGCTAGTCCTCAGCTGTGGTTATTGGTCTTGTCATTGGTCTCAGCGAATTGAAATGAGCCCCGAGAGAATACATGTGCTGATAGCGAGCAAGAGACAGCTTAGTTTCATGCTTTCCTTCGTATACCAAGTCGTCTCCTGCTGCTTGGACAACACTCACTGAGACCTCAAACTTACGAGCCAAGGCGAGTATTTCCATTTCTCCGCCCCAACGCGCCGTTTCCTCTATCTCTTTAGCGTATGCCTCAACTGTGACTGGCTCCCCTGCTTCGAACTGCAGGAAGGGCGAAAAGTCGTCAGAATGCTCTCGGATAAAGGAAGCTGTCTGCTTCCTCAACTCTTTATAGTCCACCTGGAGATTACGATGCAGGCCAAGTTGGTCTGCAAATGCAGAATAGAGGCAATGTCCATCAGCTTTGATCTACAGTCAGTCTATTGTTCATAGCTTGGTCATGCCTACATCAAACTCTTCCAGAGAACGAGCCTTGACTTTGGAGGCCACTTTCGAAGCTTCTATTGATTTGTGATCCGGCATGGCTGATACTTCCTCACGAGCTTCTTGTCTTTGAGCTTCCATGGCCTCTGCTCTGCGCTGCAGGCGCGCCTTGGCCTTGTTGACCCTCTTCCCAGATTGCTCGCTCATGTTTGACTCGATGAAGCAGAGATCAGCTTAGCAGACTAGAGCAGCGATCGATTCTGAATCGCTAGAAATGAGCTGGAGACAAGTATGAACAGCTCAGCTGATTGGATTCCTAGCAATATGTGTGGTCACAGGCCCGGGTCCGGGTCCGGTTGGCTGTGAAGCTTCAGGGTCAAACTACGACAGTCCACTACATAATTCCACAGTACTCCTCATACACTTTTCTGAAGCTATTCAACTCTTGCGGCTGCGTCTCTGAGCTTTCTATTCTATCATTGCGGTTCAAGAGTGCTTGTTTCTACCGGGCAATGCCAAACATGCAAGCGGAAGGTGCGGAAGAGACACTCTTCCAGTTGGTCAATGACAAGCTCGTGACCTCTCCTCAATGCATACCGGATGCATTCAAAAGCTTGGCAGCTGATCAATTGGAGCGTTTTAGGCTGCGCTGCTCGGAAGCTCTCTTGCTGAACGAAGCTCTATGGATCGACTGGTTAAGTGATTGGCAAGACATGGACGCTGATACACTGTTGGGACTTCACTCACTCTCAGTCCAGCATGGAAAGTCACCCAAACTCTGGCTCATGTTTCTAGACTTCCTCGACTTCAATGCAAATGAGTTGTCATCTTGTACGCCTGGCGATATCGATACGATGTACGAGAATGCAGTAAACAGTACAGCCTTTCTCATCGACAGTGTATGATCCTGCATTTTCTTACTCTGCTAATATCAGAGTCAAAGTATTTGGATCCGCTACTGGAGACGCTTGCTCGACAAAGCGTCAGATGACCCCGAACCGGAAGAGGTGAAACAACTTGAGGAAGTCTTCATGTTGCGGCTTTCGCAACCCCATTTGACCCTGGGAGAGACCTTCAGCGACTTTTCTTCATTTGTCACCAAATACGACAACTCGAACTACGAGGATCTGCTCAGTCGCGCCAGTATCACGTTCGCTATTGCTAAAAAAGCCTTGATGGAAAGGCAAGATCATGAACGGATGCTAAAGCAGACTGATGGTTCTCTTCAAGCGTATCTTGCCTATCTCACATGGCAATGCGAGCAACCTCTAAAGAGCGACTACTTTGTGCATCTTGGCATCGCCCTATTGGAGCGTTCGCTAAATGCCCATCCATACGATGCTAGAATCTGGGAGCAAGGCATCGTTTTGTATCAGAAACTCTCGTCAAGCTGCGACCTGGACACTCAATTGAGTTTTGCGCAGAGAGCTGTCGCCATGTGTCCAAGCTATGCGCTCTTCTGGGGCTTCCTAGCCAAATGCATTGCGCAAAGCTCTCGAGCTGGCGGAGACACAACAAACAAAATATGGCAGGCTTTCGATAATGCTCTATCCATTCGAGCAATTCGCTCAAGCCTCAACGAGTTCAATGAACTTGTATCAGCTGCCTATTTGGCCTTGCGACATTGTGAAGCCGAAGAAACCCCTGTGCCAAGAAGACCCGTGCGCTTGTTAGAAGTCGCGTGCAAGAAAGTGTCAAAAATCGGGCACGACCAAGGTTTCTTGCTGCATCGATTGCTCATTAGCGAATATACGAGGCAAGGCAAGGTCGAGCTTGCATCCAAAATTTGGAAAAGTCTGGCCCGCACCCATTCATCGTATGCCATGTATTGGCTGACTCGTTACCAATGGGACAAACATCATAGTCCTAGCAGCAGTGCTTTCACTGTGCTCAAGTCGGGATCACTTGAGGCTCAAGATGCACCCCAGCTCTTGCACGATGCTTTGCTCTGTCACGCCCTCGAAAGTGGATCGGTCGAGGCTTTCGCCAAAGCTTCGGCTGTAGTCAAAAAGGCAAACAGTCTTCTGGCCGTCAATCTGAGGGCTGATAGTGAGAGAGTCGCTGCTTCAAATGATGAGCTTGCCAGTGTCCGGACAATCGACAAGCGAAAAGCTTCCAGTGAAGACATAAGTCAGGAGGCACCTTTCAAGAAGCACAAGCTGGATGTGGACAACAATAAGAGGCATCGAGAATTCAAAACCATCATTGTGCAGACTTTTGTCCCGGCGATAGACCAGTCTCGGCTCAGAGAACTGACAAAAGAGGTCCGCTCCGTCCAAAGCATCTCGCAATCGCTGACCATTCAGATGGGAGAAATCATTGATATCAAGACACTCACCAACGACGATCGTGGCTTGTTTTACCTCGAGTATGACAGAGAGATTGGTAAGCAAAGGACGGTCGAGGATGTCGCTTACTCTAGATATAAAGCAAGCCGAGAAGTACTTGGGGCCGATATTGACTCAAGGCGGCAGCGTCACAAGCGCATCGGGTACGGCGCTGTTTGTTACAAACTTTCCACCGACATTCAACTCCGACGCACTTGCAAATATTTTCGGCGATGTAAGAGCCCATGACACAAGGCAATGACTAACTTCAGGTGGGACCTGTACTGGATGTACGTTTACCGAGTCTTGCCTACAACCAATCTCGACGATTTGCGTACGTTCAGATGACAAGTCAAGCTGATGCTACGAGCGCACTGAGCAAGGATGGTATGTCGATTGATGGTGTGACCTTATCAGTGCAGATTTCTGACCCTTCGAAACGAACGTCTCGTCAGAACAAAACGTATAATATCTTTCCCCAAGCCCTGCTAACTATGTTCTTAGCCGCCACGAATTATTCGTCAAAGGAGTTTCCTGGTCTGCAACAATGGACGACGTCAAACAGCTTTTCGAGCGACATGGTGAAGTGGAACAGGTAAGAATGCCATCAACCTTCTCCACCAAGCACCATGATGGCATTGCCTTTGTTGCATTCAAGGAAGCTGAAGGGGCAACAGCTGCCCTCGCATTGAACGGTCACGAATTTCACGGGCGAGCGCTGGAGGTCCAGCATGCAACATCTCAGCGAGATAGTTCTACTGGGCGAAAAAACGATCGATCGAGGGCTAAACAAAAAAGTATGAAGGCGATAGCCCTCTTGAATCTGGCAGACACTGTCAATAAGATTTACCTTGCCGAAGTTTGTACCCAGTATGGTACAGTCCATCACGTTGAGCTTCGCCCAGATCATGGGGGTGCAATCATCGAATTCGTGGATGCAGCATCTGCAGGCAAGGCTGCTCTTGCTCTTGAAGGTCGAGTGTTTGACAACAAAGCGGTCCACGTTGGCCAAGTTTCTGAGCTTCTGCAAACGTCAAATCCTCAGCATCATGATAAAACTGTCATGCTCCCGTCGTCGATTGGAAGGAGGAAGAAACCACTGGTAGCGGTCCGTCCCTTGCAATCCTTGGGCACAAGTCTAGAATTGGCCAGCCACGCACGCGATCAACCTTCTGCCAAGACCAAGGGTCAAGATTATTTCCGAGAATTGATGGAGAAGAAAAGCTGATTTGTGCCAAGCTCAGTAGCTTACAAAGACTAATTTATACTGATCTCTATGCAAAGCTCACATCAAGTGCTTACTTCACCTTCGTCAGCCTCCAAATTCTGGAGGATGTCCTCAGACGCGAGTGCTACCTCGTCGCGGTCACGTCTATCGTGCCTCGCGGCTTCATCCCATATTCTGATATTAGCAAGGAAAGAGAAGAGAGGGGACAAACCTCTGAAAATATATTCGCAGACTTCGAATGCCGCGCACGTAACCCGCGTCATGAACTTCTGGATGCGCCGGAGGTCTGGGGTCCGAGTTGAAGCCAGACTCGGCGGTGATGCAGTTGGCGAAGTCTACAATTTTGATGCGGATTTCCGGAGGAGTAGGTATTTGTCGCTGTGCAGTCGGCTGGTCAGCTCTTGCTTTCGAGAATTCTTCTTCCTCAGCGGTCTCTCCGTCGTACAAAAGGAGCAGACTGCTAGCATAGAGGCGATATCCCTTGAGTCCCTTCACTATATCCTCCAGAGCAGCGAGCTTGGTGAGAATTCTGGGAATGTGGTGCACAAGAACGCCACCTCCTTCTTCAACACTACGGCCATCGTGAAGGAAGCTTGTGAGGGAGTCTTGGAATTCACGACCAGCTTTGAGATCCCTGCCGTAATACTTATCTTGGAATGTGGACATCCTTTTTTTTTTGTTCCAAACTTGCATGCCACATATCCTAACACCAAGCTCACGCGAGGTTGTCATTGCACACTTCTTGCGCTGGGACTTGCGCTTTGCTTCCGTTGCCTGCGTGCCATACTGTCTAGTGCCCATCTTCAGGTCGAGTACACACGGTCGATTCATACCTTTAGTCAAGTCTTCGATCAGAATGAAGCGTTGTATGCGCGTATGGACGCCACCTGGCATATTGTCGCCCTCCTGTCGTTTCAGCTCTTCCATGCGCCTATCTCTGTCTCGCTCAGCGCACTTCTGCGACCAAGTCAACTTTGCCTTTTCAAAAGTGGGCAACTCAATCTTGCCAGAATCTTCCGGGGGGTCCGTCTGGTTGACAGGGCCTGAGTTAGCGACATTGGGCCGAGTAAAAAGGGGCTCTAGTCCAGGCGCGCGATCGGGTACAGGTTTACCAGTCAGATCCCCTGACCGGGTCCATTCAGATATTGAGTCAAGATCCATCTCGTCCATTGCGAAGACTGAAACGTCGTCGTCGACGTCGGTTTTGGCATTGTCATCTAGGCGACTCAATGGCGAAGGGCAATTGATCTTTTGGGACGGCGAATTTCGGTTGCTAACTGAGCTTTTGTGCGCGTCAAGCGATGAGCCAAATCTTTCTTGGGTATCGACTTGATCTGCTAGTCGAGAAAGGAGGCCGCTAGAGTACCGACGGCGTAGCTTCGAATCCTCTTCAAAGTTGTTTTCGTTCATGCTTGAGAGAGAAGCTGAACTTGGCAGTGTCCTAAGCTGAGAGAGCTGCTGATGGCGCCCGGATCTGCGAGGAGATGACAAATTTGAATCAAACGCAAGTCCATGATGCGGAATCTCGCCAGTGCTTCGATGCACACCGGATCGTCGACCGTGTCTCGAGCGATGGAAAGGCGCAAATACTTCGCGTAGTACATCTTCTTGAAGTTTCCGGTTGACTGTGGTTGCGCCGATATTTCCAGCGACGACAGCTTGAGTAGCTCCTGCTTTTGCCAGCATGTTTCTTGGAAAAATGTGCCTATTTTGAGCGAAGGCAACCTCTGGTGCAGGCGTCAACGGCTGCGACGACTGATCCGACGCGCCAGAGATTGTGTCGCGATGAGTGACATTGAGTACGCCGATATACTTTGGCATGAACGGAAGTAGCTCTGGGTGCTTCTCCTCGATCGTTTCATAAAATTCATTCTCATTATTCGCCAAAGGTTTGCAGACTGCACGCTCAGAGAAGCGAAAGATTGGATTATGCCCGCCTACCTGATGTTTGAATGGTTTGAGAGACACCACACCGGGAACACGTCCATGACCTATGCTCCATTCGATGTCGTCGTTGTGTGCGTCGGCCTCTACTTGGTCAGCGACTTCAGTGTCGCTATATAGGTCCAACGCCTCAACTTCACTCTCAAATCCAGCGATCTGAGGGGAAAGGGGATCTCGCTCTCCGTTCAATGCATCTGTTGCTTTATCAGGAGATGTGCTTGGACGTTGCTCTGGCTGTGCAGAAAAAGGAAGGAACGAAGACGCAACAGATTTCCGTCTGATGGGAGATGTAGTAAAGACTGGCGGGGTCATGGGCGGAGAAGCCAGGTCCACCAAGGGAAGAAAACTTCGCACATGTGCCTTGAACTCTGCTGTTGTGGTAGTGGATACATGGTCTGCTGAACACGGGGAACGCATAGCACCGAGTTCCAGCTCGTGCGCATCATTGACACTGCGCGGTAGCTCATCGTCAGTGACGGCTTGCGAGCTCTGCAATCGAGCGTCCCGGCGCACTTGCGCGACATCTACTGGTTCCTTCGAGCTGTGTTTGAAGACCTGCAATCTGTCTGAGGCTTTGCGACTCGATCGCGCGGGCTCATCAGATGAAATTGTCATGGCGTCATTCGTTATGCCCTTGCTTATGCGCCTTGCAGTCGCTGTGCCCGAGGCGGCCGTCTTGGGAGTGGATCAAGGGCGAGTGTACAAGTGGCGCTATCGTGGACCGCAAGAAGGTGTCGGCTAGCGAGAATGGATGAAGGAGGTGCGAATGATAGAGCAGAGTATGCCGTAAGTCTGGTTGCTGCGGCTGCTGCTGTGCGCCAATGGAGTCTGTCTAGTTGGATGCTGGTAGCTCAGCTGTTGGTGGTTCAATGCCGTCAGCAGCAGAAGCAGAATTCAGGCGAAACAAAGAACACGAACCAGCAACAAACACAACCACAGCACAAAGGGCGAGGGGCAGGTCTGCTGCTACTGCTACAAGTAGTGCTTCTACTGCTACAAGTACTGCCAGTGCACTGCGCACCCGCATCACAATAACCATCCACCACGCGACATGTTCACACCCGCAGGGGCGAAAAGCCGAGCAGCTGCGCGTCCAGCGCGTATCAGGTCGCGTCTGAGCGAGGGTGTACCAGCCGCCCTGCCAGTTGTCGGTGGTCCCCCGTCGTACTCATACGGGTCTCCCAGTGCGCGCAAACCTACCCAGGTCGGTTCGAGAAATAACAGCGACTCGATTGCCGGAGCATTCAACGCAGCTATCCGCGAGTCAGAGTACTCCGTGCATCTCCCTTCGATGGACTTGGACGGTGACGAAAGTGCAGAGCAAGATACCAGTCATGAGTATTCAAGGGCATCTGCCTCGTCCAAGTCTATTGCCGTTGAGGACATTGAAGCGTCAATTAATCGGCGTCGCTCTCTGCGCAGCAGCAGTCGGTCAATCGGCCGTGGCAGTCCCTCAATTATCTCGGAGCAAGACTTCGAGGACCGCACAGCAGAGATAGACACGACCACGCATGTCTCATTCGACTACGAGCTATCTCAGTCATCCGCTGAGGAGGACTTGGATGATGACGCTCTGTTGGGTCAACTCGGCATGGCCAAGAAGGAGAGCCAATTCAACAGCGGTCATGTCGGCGTTGTTCTGGCCGATGAGGATATGGGTGACCTGCAAAGTCAGTCGATGTCCAGTACATCAATTTACGATCGAGCGATGCAACACTACACAGATCTACGAACCAATGCGCCTATGTCTATCAGAAGGCTCAGGCGCAATTCAGATTGGAGACATTTCGCCATCCTCGGGTGTCTGCTCTTGCTCCCACTCTACTTCATGCTCCCGGAGTTGCAGCTCAGTCCCTATCGACGCAATCCTCTCAGCATTAGCAACTCTGGTATTGTGCCGGAGACGCCATTTGAATTTGGGCAACGTCTTGTATCGCTGGAAGCGGCGGTCGTACAGCTGCAAACAGAGTATGCCCGATTGGCAGATCAGGGCACGCAGAATCGAAAAGACCAAGCGATCTTACTTTCAAGCTCAAGTTCATTGGCAACGGGCGTTGGAGATACTCAAACCAAGCTTCAACAGATGTCTCATGATCTCAAGGCTATTCAGGCGCGTCTGTTGGAAGATGAGAGGCGCACAGGAAGGACTGCTGATACGCTGCAACAACTGCAAGCTGGAGTCTCTTCACTGGAGAAGAAGCTTTCACAACAGCAGCAAGAACTTGCGAATTACATACGCTCAGGTGCACACCTCTACAAAGATGTAGACAGTCTCAAATTTAACCTGGAAGAGCAGAAAAAGGCCGTTCACTTCCTCAATCTGCAGCGCGAAGGAGATTCTAAAAAGCTGCACAATGAGCTTCTCAAGACCTTCGACTCCATCTTGCCGGCAAGGCTGCCAGTCTACTTGAAGCCGGGTGGCGACTTGTTCATTGATCCGAAATTTTGGACTCTGCTCCAGGCAGCGCGAACAGCCGACATCAACCAGACTGCAACGTTCGCTGAGACTTTACTTGCTCACAGAGATGAGCTGAAGACATTCATCAAACAGTCATTGCAAAGCTTTGCAGAGGACAATGATGGCTTGATCGTATCAAAACCTCAGTTCTTAAGTCTCCTGACGGATGAATTGAAAACTTTCAAAACGAGCCTGGATACAAGAATGCATCAACTAGCTGAGACTGTTGACACGGCGCATCAGCTCGCTAGCGACGCCTCCTCAAAATCTGATCGAGTAATTTCTGCATCATCAGCGCAGCGAAATGACTCAAAATCCACGAGCGCTGAAGCGATTGACTACCTCGTTTCGGAAGCGCTATTGAAACATTCAATAGACGTTATCGACAAGCCTGACTATGCGGCATACAATGCTGGCGGTCGTGTCAATCCATTCCTGACATCCCCAACATACATGCACAGTCCGAGGGCATTGCTTCAGAGAGTGGTCTCAGGCGTACTCCCTGGCGTAGGAAGCATTCGGTCGCACCCACCAGCCGTCGCGATTCATCCATCTACAAAGGTCGGCATGTGTTGGGCGTTTCCCGGTACGCAGGGATCTCTGGCGATCAAATTGAGCCTTCCCATCACCTTGACTGATATTGTCGTGGAGCATGTTCATCCTGACATTGCACATGACGCATCGAGTGCACCTCGCACCATCGAAATCTGGGCCCATCTCACGGACAGTGCTGACGACATCGTTTCAGGCTCGCGCGTCATGAAAGCTGCACCGGCCAGTGGTTTTGTTCACGTCATGGATATCGAATACAATGTTTATCACGGCACACAGGCTGCGCAAATTTTCACGGTTCCTCCACGATTGCGACAGCCTGGCGTTTTCGCAGACCAGGTTCTGTTCAGAGTCAATTCAAATTGGGGTAACCCCGACTACACATGCATTTATCGTGTGCGAGCTATAGGAATGCCTGGCAAGGTGAATGCTGCTGGGAGTTTTCGAGACGACGAATCGCTGTAGTAACTCTGTTCACCTGTGGCGGCATTTTAGCATTTGATGTAGTAAGCTGGCCAAGTCCTTGTCACGTTGTCCACGAACCACCAGTCGACACCTGGTATTGCAGGTTGAATGAATGTTGCTTCAATTTCTGCAAGCATTAGCGCCTGCTCGAATTACAGGTAGGTCTTACTTTGGCCGATGTAGCAGTATTGGTTGATGCTCGATGTCAAAAGCATCACCTTCATCTCTGCCCATGCATGGCTTGCCTCTTCCTCATCACTCTCAGAGTGTTCAGGTGGCGTCCAAAGCTCCGTGATGGCGAAGCTGATAGTATCATTGGCATACATCAGCTGCTTGATTGACACAATAGCCAGTCGTTTTTGATGTGCGCCCAGTGCATCTGTATCATCCAACGCCATTGGCAGAAGTTGTCTCACGAACGCAAGAGCTGCATTCCTTTCTGCATATTTGGGAAGTTTGAAGTCAGGAAGCCAAGGGTTCTTTGCTGGTAAGCCGTGATACATGCCACCAAACAAACTTGATAGAGCGACACCGAGGTCATCAGGAATATTCATAGAGAGCAATTTGCTATCATTAGCTTGACGCTGAGGCGACATGGTGCATTACTTCTTGCTCATTTGCACAGAAGCCGAGCGGCCAATCTGAATGGCAGCATCAAGCTGTGAACTCAGCTCTGGTAGCACATTGTGCCTCAACAGATAAAGGAGAAAATTGTTGACGATCAATGGAGCATCGCGAAGCCTTTGGTCAGTATGTTCGAATGAATCTTGCCTCAATACCTTTCCACTGTAGACTGACCGGCCGCAGATTCGCACCTACCAGACATGAAGGCACGAGAGCAATACTCAAAGTCGAGGTTGTCGCTTGATATTATTCGAGTTTCATCTAATTCATCAGATTGTTCTTGACCGCTGTTGATCAGTACGATGTTGACGATTGCGAGATGGCTTACGCAGTTCCCGTTTGAAGGCCCGAGAATGAAAGATATGCGTCAAAGACAGCTTTCAACCATGGTAGGGCGTCTAAACGTCTCGCTCCATAGAATCGACTGACAGCCAGCTGAATGCGCTCGAGGATTGGCACGTCAGTACGATACAGTTCTAGCTCAATTTTCGCTTCTTCTGCACGCATAGGAACGTCCGCAAAAAACTCTTCTGTCTGGTCAGCTTGACCAGTAAGTATTGGCGGTCCAACCAAAGCCTGAAGCAGAAGGTGCTAGATATGGCATTTTGGCTTTCGTAGCCTTAGAAAGCTTCTTCTTCTTTTTCTTTGCGTTTTCCGGCATCTCTCCTGCGTTTGTAGTTCAAAAGCAAGTATGCCGAGCTCGAAGGATGGCTATGAAGCTTAAACAAGGTTGTTGTCACGATTTGGAAATCTGAGCAGACTGTATATCGTTGGCAACTTTTTGCAGCGCGGGTGGCAAAGTCAGATGGACATGCTACACCATGCAGCCCCGCTGAGCAGGATAGATCGGCCGAGAAAAACTGCCTGTGCAATACAAATGCATGAATCCGAACATGTTCAGTAAGAGGTGCACTGTGTGCAGGACATTTTGCAGTACAATGCCCTGCATGGCCCGTTCGTATCATTCATAGTCGCAAGCACTTCTCAATAGCTAATTTCTACAATTGTAATCCAAGAGCTTCAAATCCTTCTCAAGACGGTAGATCCAACATGAGCTTCTCTGCTTCTTTCTCGGCATTCCAGGTTGTATTGTTCAGGTATTGCTCGACAAAGTCCAGGGATGTGTCGAGCTGAGCGAGAGGCGGAGCCTCAAACGGAGCAGGGAAGAACATCATGGGGGCGTTACCTCCAACCTGTCCGGCGCACATTGCGGAACTAGAGCAAGACTCATCTGTTCGTGACGGTGGCAACTGCAAAGGCTGTGGTATAGCAGCATGCGCATCTACCGAGTCAATTGGCAGAAGCTCCATTCTTGCAGCTCGCGAGAGTGAATCCTGAGCATACTGTACTTCTGCTTGCGTATCGATCTGTTGATTCGGAGAGCTGGCGTTTGCCGATGGCTCGAGAACCAAGACCTGAGAATCAAGACGACCGCAGGTCACATCTACTGCGAAGGCCGGGGGAGTGACTCTGCTTGGTAACTGTGAGTGGGGGTCATCTTGCGTTAGGCCAACCCCCGGTGCGTCATTTGCAAGCATCGTTGGAGCAGGAGCGTCTTCTTGATACTCTGGAGCGACATCAACAATAGCTTTTGCGGCTTGGGATACGGATGGACGCTCTGCCCTTGCTTGCAGAACCGGGTCAAAATGCGCATCAGATACTGCAATTTGCGGAAGGTTGACAAGCCGAGTCGCGGTCTGGTTCGTTGAAGTACATATAACCAAGTCGCTTTTGAGCGTCAGACCTCTTTCTGGGATACTGATGTTCGTGGCAGATGGCATGTCTGACATTGAACGCTTACTAGTTTGTGGCGACTGCATTGATTGTTGTGTACTTGGCGCATTAAATCCCAGGATCTCGGCTGTACTCTTCAAAGGCATCAAGGGATTGAGTTGAGCCGTATCTTCTGCCGAAGGGCATTCCTCAGCTGTGTCAGGTCTGGAGGACGATAACGTTTGCACGCACTGCTGCTCAATGGTGCGCCGAAGAGTGCTATCTGCAGAAGCAACAGAAAGCAGACGAGGTATTTCTTCATCTTGTTCTGAGGATTCAGTCACGCCAAACCCGCCTGCTTGATTGCCGTCGGACGCAGGTTGAATGGCTGGGCCGCTTGAACACTCCTCAGCATCATGCCATCCCTGAGGAGGTTCACGAACGACGACTTCTTGATACTGCAAGCTGCCAAGGGTTTGCTCCTGCGTCTCCGGTGTAAGATCTTCAAAATTGACCGAGCGTATTGGGCCAGGCTCGCAGGCGACACTTTTCCCAAGGTCGAGCATGCAAGGAAGCTGCACCCGGCTGACGCCTGAAACTTCATCGCGTGTGCTTGCGACAAGCATCTTTGCCCGCTTGCGAGGTGGCGATGGCGCCGACTCGAGACAGCCTGCATCGACCGCGCGCATCTTTCGTGAGGGCTCATCGAGCGCATGACGAGACTCGCGCTTTTTCACGCTACGCCAAGGACTTCTAGACACCGAAGAACGAAGAAGGGAGCTCTGTATAAACAAATCTTGTTGGCGATGATAACGCTGCGCAAGCTTTTTGATGCGATCAGTGCAGCACTCATTCTCGGGATCGCTATCAGGTGCCAAGATATCTTCCGGGTCATCTTTTGAGCTCATTATCTGCGCTTTCAGAAGCTCTACATGAGTTGTGCGAGCCTGACAAGCTAGCTATCTCAAAACGCGCACGCGTCCTAAGCTCTGTCAATGTGTAGGCCCTGTAGGATGCGCGTTCCAGATTCCAAAATATCGTCACGCTCGAAAATCGAAACGGAAAACACGATTGCAAGCTTAAGACCGCGCGACGCGATCGCATTTTGCTTGGCCTCTCAAGCTGCGTGAACCTTGCTAGCAAAACTAGTTCTGGCGCTTCTCACTTTGATGCGCATCTACATTTACACTTGAAGCGGACCAGATCCAAATCTTACTCGGCCGGGGTTCTCCGCGATACCATGGCACCAAAGGGTCGTGCCTCCCGAGGCCGAGCGATTCATTCACAGGATGCGAATGAAGTATTGGTCCAAGATTCCCAAGTTGCTGAAACAAGTGAAACGAGTGCGACAATACGCATACTTGTTGCATCAGACAGTCATGTTGGCTATGCCGAGCGAGATGTCATTCGAGGAAGAGACTCAATTAACAGCTTCAATGAAGTTATGGAGCTCGCCAAGAATAGAGACGTTGATATGGTTCTTTTGGCCGGCGATTTGTTTCACGACAGCAAGCCGTCGCAAAGCTCAATGTTTGAGGTGATCCGCTCCTTGCGCATCAACTGCCTGGGCAATAAGCCGTGCGAGGTACAAGTTCTTGCGGATGACCCTGTCATTGGTCACGACAAGGATGTTCAGCACATCAACACACAAGATTACCATGTCAATGTCGCTATTCCGGTTTACTCCATACATGGAAACCACGACGATCCTTCTGGAGTAATCTTCTTCATCGACGTACTTCATGACTAGCTGACCAAGTAGTTTGGTGGGCTCTGTGCCCTTGACATCATTCAGGCAGCTGGCCTTGTCAATTACTTCGGTCGTGTTCCGCAGTCGAACGATATTACAGTGCGACCAATCTTGATGCAAAAAGGAACGACCAGGCTTGCACTTTATGGTCTGTCAAACGTGCGCGAAGAGCGCCTTCATCAAAGTATGCGGTCAGGCAAGGTGGCCTTCATGCGACCCAGTCTTGATGATACTGGGACCGTGGATGACAGCTGGCTCAATATCCTTGCTGTGCACCAAAATCACCATGCTCATTCTACAACAAATTACTTGCCAGAGTCCATGATTCCGAACTGGTTCAATTTGATTGTATGGGGCCATGAACACGAATGCTTGATTGATCCTGTTGAAAACCAGGAACAAGGCTTTGCAGTATGTCAGCCTGGATCATCTGTCGCAACGAGTCTCTGCCAAGGTGAAGCGCAGACTAAGCACGTTGGCATCCTGACAATCAAAGGGAAGGATTTCTCAATGGAGAAGATCCCACTGAAGACCGTGCGACCGTTCATAATGAAGGAGTACCGGCTGGTCGATGAAATTGACGAAGCTCAGAATCGGACCAAGAATGGCAAGGCGCAGCAAGGTAAGGCCGCTGTGATTGACTTCTTGATCCGCAAAGTCGATGAAGCTATCGAAGAAGCGATTGACGAGTGGCTGGAGACTCACCAAGGTGCCGAGCTTGACGGTGAAAACACGACCTTGACGCGCAGCGACTGCCCCTGCCGCTCATTCGTGTTCGTGTAGACTACACCAAAGACGCGGAGACTGGTGATCACTTTGAAATAGAGAATCCGCAGCGGTTCTCACAGCGGTTCATCGGACGTGTCGCAAATCCCACTGATGTGGTTCAGTTCCATCTCAAGAAGAAACCAGCAGCAAAGCGCAGCAAGAATCTCGAGTTTCATCAACATGATCAGCCAAATGGCAACTCAGAGCAGGTACCTGTGAGTGAGCTCGTCCGGCAATACTTGGAGCAGCAATCGCTCAAGTGCCTTCCAGAGACTGAAATGGCCAATGCCGTTACGAAGTACGTCGAGAAGGATGACAAGGATGCAGTGAAGGATTTTGTCGAGGATCATCTAGAGAGGCAGGTCAAACTGATTGTTGAACGCAAGACAGCAGTCGAAGCAGTGGAAGAAGCAATTGAGTCCAGCAAGGGAGAATTGGGCGAGCATGCCCGGGCGCACAGAAGTGACCTGGCTAAGCGCAAGCAAGCAAGACTGGCAGCACGAGACTCCGATTTTGAGTCTGCGGATGAACAGCCTGTGAAGAAGATGGAGAGTCCAAGACCGTCTCGAAAGGCTAGCGCAAAGAAGGGTAGCGATTCTGAAGCAAGCTACAAAGCAACCACCTCGAAAAAGAGGCAAGCGCCGTCACAGACTACAGCTAAGGCAGCAAACAAACGAAATACTGCAACAACTTCCCGTGCAAGCAAAAAGGTGCAAGCTAAGGCATCCAGCTCAGAGGACTCAGATGATGGGTTCGAGCCTACGCCCGCAGTCAAGAAGCGCAAGTTGTAGCACAGTCAGAATATCCATCTGATGACTTTGCCCACGTGCCGCTGACCATGAACGCTGCGACTCACGCTTGGCTGCTTAATTTTTTTTCTTTTGCGCACACGGTCGGCCTGTACACACGTTGCCGTGCAACGAAGCGTAACCTACACCAGAGGCAAGAATGTCATCGAAAAGCGTAATGCCTCAGGACTCAAGTTGACTGACTGCTAACAACACAGGCCTCCAAGTTGAAGCGTGAAGCCGCTCGCGAAGCCCGCGGCAAGGGCTCGAAGAAATCGACACCCAAGTCATCAAACACACCTGTTGGCGAGGGTGCAGAGACTACACCAGATGCATTGGCTCAAGCACTAGCGGACTCAAATAACTTTGAGCGTACTGCGACGGGTGTGCTGACGTCCATGCAGATGTCTCGCGATATCAAGATTGAATCTTATACATTGTCTTTCCACGGCCGAGTTTTGATTGAGGACGCAACCATTGAGCTCAATTGGGGACAACGTTATGGTCTACTTGGTGCAAATGGCTCCGGAAAGTCTACATTCCTCAATAGTCTGTTTGCCCGCGACATTGAGATTCCTGATCACATTGATGTCTACCTGCTCAACGCTGAAGCAGAACCAATGGAAATCAACGCAGTGGACTACATCATTGGATCCGCTCGTGAGCGTGTGTTGAAGATTGAGGAGGAGATTGAGAAGCTCTCTATGGCTGATGAGGTTGACGAGCTTCTCATGGAGGCCAAGTACGAACAGCTTGAAGGACTAGACCCATCTACATTCGAGGCTAAAGCAGCGGCGATTCTCAACGGTCTTGGTTTCGATAAGGTGATGATGGCCAAGGCCACAAAGGATATGTCTGGAGGTTGGCGCATGCGTGTCGCCCTTGCTAAAGCGCTGTTCATCAAGCCTTCCCTTCTGCTTCTCGACGAGCCTACCAACCATCTCGACCTCGAGGCTGTGGTCTGGCTCGAAACCTATCTGTCAACCTACAATCACATTCTTGTGGTCAACTCTCATTCACAAGACTTCTTGGACAATGTCTGCACCAATATTATGGATCTGACCGTGCAGAAGAAGCTGGTCTACTATGGAGGTAACTTTTCGACATACATGCGTACTAAGAGCGAAAACGAGACGAATCAGATGAAGGCGTACGAGAAGCAACAAGAGGAGATTGCGAGCATCAAAAAGTTTATCTCCTCTGCTGGTACCTATGCAAACCTGGTGAAGCAAGCAAAGTCGAAGCAGAAGATTATCGACAAGATGGAGGCTGCCGGTCTAATTGAGAAGGTGGCGATGGAAAAGCACATCACATTTGCTTTCCAGGAAACATCCAAGCTGCCACCGCCCATCATCGCCTTCAATGAGGTTGGATTCTCCTATGACGGCAACATTGCGCATGCCCTCTACAAGAAACTTGATTTTGGTATCGACATGGATTCAAGGGTTGCTATTGTTGGCAAGAACGGTACAGGCAAATCGACGCTGCTCAATCTTATTACTGGTGCATTGTCGCCAGTGGAAGGATCTGTGTCAAAGTATGCCGGCTTGAAGATTGCCAAATACTCTCAACACTCTGCGGATCAATTACCGTATGACGAGACTCCGCTTGACTTTGTCATGAACAAGTACAAGCCCGACTATCCCGGACAAGAGGTGGCCTACTGGCGCGCATGGCTGGGCCGTTTCGGTATCTCGGGTACGCACCAGACCAGTGAGATTAGGACCCTGTCTGACGGCCTCAAATCGCGTGTCGTCTTTTGTACCTTGGCACTAGACCGGCCGCACATCCTGTTGCTCGATGAGCCGACCAACCATCTCGACATTCAATCTATCGACGCGCTGGCAGATGCTTGCAAGAAGTGGGAAGGAGGTGTTGTGCTTGTCTCTCACGATTTCCGATTGATTGGACAAGTCGCCGAGGAGCTATGGGAAGTCAAGGACAAGCATGTCGTCAAGTTGGACATGTCGATTTCCGAGTACAAGACGACTCTTGTGAATGAATCAAAGGATGCCATTGAGAACGCTCTCAAGATTGGCAAAGGACTTTAGACTGTATATAGAACGCTTGATAGAAACCTCGACGACTTTGCTTTACAAAATTCTGAACTTGCAACCGCGAAACTTCACAAAGCTTCTACAGCGAACCATCACTTCTCCCACCGGTACTGTCAGCGAGGTCCTCACATTTGACAAAGCCTTCCTAGCCCGCTATGGTTCGGACATCGCCCATTTGCACGAATCTGCTCAGACAAAGCTTTACGAGAGGCTTTGCGTCGATGACAGGCGCGGCGACAAAGGAGGGTCCAGCACAGCTACTCAACAGCATGGCAGCGCTTAGGCTGCAACCACGGCAATTTGCCAAAATGCGGATCGACGGCAAGGCTTATACAATCACGAATGGGGATGTCATTCATCTACCGACACGCCTGAAGAATACAAGCGTCGGCGACACACTGCGACTGACGCATGCAATAATGGTCGGCTCGCGAGACTTTACTATCAGAGGCCAACCGTTCGTCAAGGAGGACTTGTTCGAGTGCTCGGCAACCGTGATTGAACATACAAAGCAGCCTATGCTTCGAACCATTAAAAAGAAACGGCGCAATAGACACGCCAAGCTGGTGGAGAGCAAACAGCCATACACTGTGTTGCGCATCAACAAGATACAAATTCATGAGCCAACAGCTGTGACGGATAGAAAGCAGCTCTAGATACACATTGCACATGAAGAAGCTCTACTAAACGCAACAACTACTGCGCAGTTCCCCGTTCAAATGAATCGCGCATTTCTTTCGTATACTCATCGTATGCCCTTGCCGCTTTCTGATTGAACTTGCGATTCCGATCATTGATGTAGGATCCAGGGTCTCCTTCTTTGGCTCTTCTGCGGCTATTGTTCTTGTCGCGCTGCAAATCTCTCGCCGCGATGCTCTCTACTAGCGCATCCACGCGCAACTTGTCGGGCCGATCGTCCAGGAAGGCGAAGCTTTGGGCCGGTCCCAACTGCGTGTGGTCCTGCTCGTGCCGTTCAGCCTCCTGCTGGTTAAACGCTTCAAAGCCAGGTTTTCGAAGTACTGCTGTTTCGCGCTCATATTGCTTCACTGCATCGGCTGCATAATCGCTGAAGCCAGCCTGGAGTTTGTTGCTTTGTGACCTTTCTACCTTCTTGTCCCATGCTTGAGATTCCTCAATCGAATAATCCCATGCACGCTTGCGTTCAAAGTCTTCGCCAGCATCAGTCGCATCCAACCTTGCCAGCTTCTCCACCGCTTGACTCTTCTTGAGGCCGAGCTTCTTTGCCGCGATCGGGTCGTTTCTGAGCCGTGCATGCTCTGCGTATAACTCATCTCTATTTTGCTTCTTGCTATCTTTTGCACGAAGACGTAGGACACGCAACTGCTGTAAGCGAGCTGCTGCGGAGTCGTTGGGTGTCGTAGCTTCTGATCGCATCGCTGCGCTAGAGGGCATGGCTCTACTTGGACTAGGCGTTTAGGTTGGAGGCGACCGGCGCAAGGAAGTGTAGCTGTAGCGGGTGCGTGCGTGCGATGGTCGTCTGGAAGTTGCGCAACTCGCTTCTCCAGGGCCCACGTAGAATTACCTCCCATACATACCACTGGCTGCAGACTCAGTGCAGAGCAAGGCATGGCGAACCAAGACCCGACCCTCGCTGTCTCTCTCCACAATAAGGCCATGTCGTTCAAGTCTGCATCCTACCAACGACCGCGTCCGAGACCACTGAAGCAAATGCTCTTGCAGCATGCCGCAACTCCTCCTACAAGCGTCGACGCGCCAACATTCACAAACATCGAGGCCACACCATCCTTGCTGCCGGCCAAGCGCTATTGCGACATCACAGGACTTCCAAGTGTGTACTGCGACCCGGTTACAAAGGCTCGCTTCCATAATCAAGAAGTCTTCGACAAGGTCAAGATATTGGGCGTAGATGGCTCTCAGCCGTTCCTTGCGCTACGAAACAGCCAGATAGTCTTGCGCTGATCCAAGATTACTGCAAGTATTAGTCCGACTGGAAGGCTACTTGACAGAGTTTTACACAACCTAGCTCTGCTGTCGTTCTGATACACATCCGATGAGCTGAGCTTTTGCAATTCCCAAGGATTCAATCTCGCATTCTTGGATAAATCCTCTGTACATGTCGCTGGCATACTAAATGTTGTTGAGCATCGTCTCGTCCGTCTGGGTAACTTTAGCAGAAGCAGTGCAATTGGCTCCCATGCAGTAGAATGCCAAGGGCGCCTGTTCAAACGTATGAAATGAGTAAGGCCTCTGTGAAGCCTAGCAGCGCATCCGGGACTCAAAGCAACACATCAACGTTGAGCAGCATCTCAGTACTGTCATTGAGAATATCTGTGATCGCCAAGAAAACAGCACGAGAATGTTCACAAGCTCAACGAATCTTCAGCGAGGCAAGGCCCATCTAGGAATGAGTGCAAGAATCACACAACCTATCTCACACACGCATCGACCCTGAATTTTGAAGAGCATCGAGCTTTCTTCGATGATATTACACAGGCGCTATTCAGGTGAGCTCGCAATCATTCAGCTTTTTCAATGATTATGCCGAACTATGGGCAGAATTCAGTAGAAGCAACTTAATACTATGACAATACACACGCATGCGAAGTGAGTCACACCTCACTTTAAGAAGGCCGAGGCCATCAAGGACTAGAACTACTCGCCGCTTGGGATTTACCTATCCATAGAGAATGGCTACACTACCATCGATACAGACGCAAATCGTTCTCTGCTTTTCCAGCTAGCTACAAAGAGACTGCAGCACGTCTTCTCATGCTAAGCGCAAGACCGAATGCGCCAGATGGTCCATGCCAGTCTGTAGCTCGGAACAGCACGAATGAGTCTCGTAAAGCCGCCGCAGGGCCAGAGATCGCGTGTGAGACCAAAGGAGCTGGGCCCTCGATGCCATCGGCAAGTCGAGGAAATCTCAGAACAAGAGAAGGATGGAGGGCAATATACCACCACGCAAGTGTCGTGCGGTGGAGTTGTCGAATCAACAATTGACCGATAGTTCTACGCCAGAAGAAGATTACATGCGACGCTGTGAATACAGCGATGTCCGAGGCACGTCGAAGATTGAGAAGCCAGCCAGCTGCCGATACCTTCCTCCACTTCGAGTTGCAGCACAGTAATTGCGAGCAAGAGGTGTCGTTGCTGCCTGACTGGAGTAGCTCCGTATTTCACTTCATAGCGAGTGCGATAGGTGCGCGCCAGCTTCTTGCTAGCATCTCCGGCTTTGGTCAATTTCAGTACCAGCGTTCCGATAGAGCCCTTGTCCAGCGGATACACATCAGAGTCAGGCCGCGCAAACAAGCCGTGCGGAGCTGGTAATTCCAGGGTCTCGAACTCTTCGTCAAAGGGCCTCGACAGCTCCCGCAAATCGCCTTGAATCTGCTCTTCTGTTTTGACCGCTTGAAGCTTGAAAATTCAATGCTTTCGAGCGCGGGGCAATCCAAGAGGACAGTAAACGTATTCGGCGCCTACCAATATAGCTTTGGCGCAAGGGCCGCGTGTAAGCACAACGGCCCTATGTGGAGGTGTAGGATTGTGTTGAGGACCGAGCGGTGTCTCTAATGAGGTTGACTACCAGATCTACCACAAGGATATGTTGGCTGTCGCCACCGCCTTCAAAACTTGGCGCCAATATCTGGAAGGCTCTGCTCATCCTATCACCATCTGGACATCCCACAAGGACTTGGAGTTCTTCACAACAACAAGAAAACTCAATTGCCAGCAAGCTCGATGGTCTGAGCTGCTCACTGACTACAGCTCCAAGGTTGCCGACCGGCCTTGTAATAGCCGAGGACTCCCGGACGCCACTTCTCGTGCAGAGAACCCCGACCACGGGATGGAGATGCCTGCCTGTTAAATAGTGTCAGAGCGCCGCTGGAGACCGATCAATTGAATCTGAACGCTGTTCGATTGCGAGCTCAAGTCAGGACTGTGACAGACGAGTTGCTTGCGCAGATTTTCAATGCTTTACGATGCGCACAAGGTAACCCACAGAGTTTTGAAGCAGCACTGATCCTCTTCAGGATCTGGATCTGGACGACAGGTACGCTTTGATCGATGGCAAGCAACTCGAAACAAGTCCTATGAACCAATTGTGAGTCTTCGTTTTCGTCATCGTACACGCATCTCGCTCAACTCCCTAACCCAAGTATTCCTCACCGATTCCCACAGCGAGCCACGGCCACAACGCTGCTCACGTATGTCCCTCTGCCTTTACTGACGCTGCTCGCTGCCTGCGTCGCCCGGGCCTACCTTGTCTCTTGCTCGCGTCTCTGTAACGAACACGCAGCCTTAAACCTTGCATCCGACTATCCCGCACCACATGCTCTGGCAACTCATCGCGGCTCTACTACCTTCCGCCCTTCAACGACGCTTACCACCTCAGCACATTGTCTATCGTCACGCGCTTAGCTTCCTCGCATCCGGCAACGCTCTATCCCCTTTTCCTTACTCGCGCTCTTACTCGTCGACAACGTCCACCACGTCGTCCCTTGGTCTCCCTCTTCCTTATCCTGCAGCTCGGACATCTCCACTGGGCTCATGCAGTCTCGCTTCCCCTCTTCTTTTTCTATTCTCGTCACCTACATCTCGCCCAAGTCCTGTTTTCAGAACAACCATTCGTCCCGTCCTGCTTGCGCACCGTCACACTCTCCCTAAAGAGGGACATTCCCCAGGCGTCTCCTTCTTCCCTACCAACACATCATGGATCACTAGCAGTCTTCGTTCTCGTCATCGCATACGCGTTTTGCTAATCTGCCTAGCCACGTCTGCCGATCAGCGCCTGCGCACCGCTTCACCTGGCGAGCCGCCGCCAGGCTGGTCGTCATTCACTTCATCTTCCCTGTAATGGTCCTTGTTGCGGCAGTCGTCGCACAAGCGTACCTCTTTGCTTGATCAGTCGTTCAGCGACGACAAGGACCCTTGCGAACCATAGCCTTCCCTCAGCCGACACGACCAAGGCTATTCAAAACCTGACCGAGGCGGTTCAGGAGCAGACGGACGTCATAGCTCAACGAGCATGATCGCGCCTTTCAATCTTACTGTGCCTGCAAGTTTGGATCGTTCAGTGGTTGGCTCGCCAGTGGGCGTGCTTGGTCTTCACTAAGTTGCGTGTCAGTAAGATCGAAAGGCGCGATTAAGCTCGTTGAGCTATGACGTCCGTCTGCTCCTGAACTGCTTGAGTCAGTTCTCTTATTGCTTTGGTCGTGTCGGAAGATGGCAGGCTGCGGTTAGCAGGGTTCCTTGTCGTCGCTGAACAACTTACAAGTCAGACACGTAGGCTGATGCGCCGTACGCCGCAACAAGCACCAAAAGAGGGAAGACGAAGTTGATGAAAAGGAGCATGGCAGCGCCTCGCCATGGGTGGCGGTGCGCACGCGCATCTGGTTGGCGCAGGTGGCTACGGAGATTAGCAAAACGCGTATGCGATGACGAGAACGAAGACTCACAGTCTGTCCATTGTGTTGTTTGGGGAGAAGCAGACGCCCGGGGAATGTCCATCTTTAGGGAGACGCGAGCAAGAGAAGAATGCAACGAACGAGGGACGAAACTGTTGGAGGTGATGCTACTCGCGGTCAAGATCTCACGACGTGATCGGCAGTGGCAAATCGCATGTCTATGAACGACCATCATGGAACAACACAGAAAGCAAGAGAAAGCAATAGAACAACAGATGTTCTATAGGCTTCCATGGACACAACAAATGTTCTAGCAGCTTCCATGAGCGCAAGTATATAAAGGTGGCAAGGTCTCATAGTAACATAGCAAGGAATCCCAGTATCAGCTGAACACGCGAAACACCTAAACACCCGAAGAGGTTATGAGCCTTGTTTAGTTCAGCATACTTACAGAACCTTCCAAAGATCAGTACGCTCAACCGCCTTTTCAACCAAAGACGTCTTCTCTGTCGCACAAGGACTTTGCCCCAGTGGACAAGTTCGATGGTACAAATTTCAACCTGTGGAAGTGGAAGATGAAAGCGGTGCTCCTGTCACAAGAGGTGTGGCATGTGGTCGAGCCCGAGCTCTCTGGATCAGCACTGGAGAAGGACAAGAGTGCACCAGCACTTGAGAAAGATAAAGAAGCACCGGCTGTTGATGCCAAGGCAGAGAGGAAAGCATTCTCTACCCTCGCCTTGTCCATCAAGGATTCTCAGCTGGTCTTAGTACAAACCTGCAAGACAGCTCGAGAGATATGGTCGAAGTTGCATGAGATACATGCAGCACAGTCAGCCACGAATCAGCTTTTCCTCCGTCAGAGCTTCCTCGCTTTGAGGATGGAAGAAGGCGACTCGATGCTTGAGCACATTGGCAAGCTGAACGCATTGGCGTTGCAGCTAGACGCCGTGGATTGTCCCCAAAGTGAGGCGGACAAGGTCATGGTGCTCCTCAATTCGTTGCCACCAAGTTACGCACACTTGAGGACGATGCTCAGCGTGCAAGGGCCACTGAGTACATTGAAACAGGCTTCCATCGAAGCGCTGTTGCTCAATGAAGAGCTCCAAAGGAGAGGAAGTACAGTTCCACCCACAGGAGACGCAGCGTTCTTCCATTCGGGGAACCAGAAGGGCCGAAAGGGTCCATCGCCAAAGAAAAAGGGCCGGTGCCACTACTGCAAGAGAGATGGGCACTGGGCAGCGGACTGCCGCAAGAAAATAGCAGATGAGCGTCGCGGTTCGGCCGGCGATGCGGCGGCAAACAGAGCAAAGGTGTCTGAAAATGATGCAGAGATTGCCTTTCTCCACGCCCAAAGAACGAGTGATGATCAGACACAGGACTGGATTATCGACTCTGGTGCTAGCCAGCACCTGACTCCGCTGAGAAACTGGTTCGTTTCTTATGAGACAATCTCGCCAAGGAAGGTGTATCTTGGTGATGACACGTATTGCGAGGCCACCGGCATGGGATCAGTCAAAGCCACTGGATCCGACGGCACAGTCGTTACGATTAATGATGTGTTGCACGTCCCGGGCCTAGCGCACAACTTGCTTTCAGTAGCGAAGTTGGTTCAGAGCGGCATTCGCTTGGACTTCAAAAGCACGAGCTGCTCACTCAAAACGAGCACCGGAAAAGAGGTCGCAGTAGCTTGCAAACGCGACAATCTTTACTCAGTCACGCTCAATAGCGCAGTATCGGCCTTGGTGACTGCTGAGAAGGTCGACATACAGGTTTGGCACAAACGTCTGGGACACATCGGCAAGAATAGCTTGGTGCGCCTGCCTGGTATGGTCGATGGTGTGTCATTGGACGGCGAGTACGACAACTCGCATTGCATTGGGTGCGTCAATGGCAAGCACACGCGTCAATCGTTTCCATCGAGCGAGACGACAACAACAAAGAACCTGGAGTTAGTACACTCGGATGTGTGCGGGCCAGTGCAAGTGGCAACTTACGGAGGTGCCAAGTACTTCGTCACATTTATTGACGACCACTCGCGAAGGGCTTGGGTCTACTTCATCCGGCAGAAGTCGGAAGTCTTTGAGAAGTTCCAAGAGTTCAAGGCGCTTGTGGAGAACCAAGCTGACTGTCGCATCAAGGCGCTCAGATCAGACAACGGTGGCGAGTATTGCGGCAACGCTTTCGAGAAGTATCTCAAGTCTCACGGTATTAGGCACCAGACGACAACACCACACACACCACAGCAAAATGGAGTGGCAGAGCGCCTCAATCGCACTCTCGTGGAGAGCGCGCGATGTATGCTCGAAGAGAAGGGCTTGCCAAAGGAGCTGTGGGCTGAAGCAATCAACACCGCTGTTTACATCAAAAACAGAATTGCAATCACGGCACTCAAGGACAAAACATCAGAAGAAGTATGGTCATCTCGCAGACCAAACTTGAGTCATCTCAGGGTATTCGGTTGCGACGCGTATGCGCATGTTACGGACGCCAATCGACAGAAGTTGGATGCGAAGTCAAAGAAATTGGTTTTGGTCGGTTATTACGAGGACAGCAAAGCATATCGACTCATGGATTTGGACACACAAAAAATTACGAAGGCGCGCGACGTCATCTTCATGGAAGACCGAGGAGACAAACGCGATGTGGTGTACGTCCCACGAGAGGAGGACGCTGACGACGACAACACGAGTGAGGCTACTATCGACAAGCCTACTGAGTCGCTACCAGCCAAATCGAAGGAGGTCGCTCACGCTAAGCCAACAAACGCTACGAGCTCAGGTCAAGTTCGACGCTCTGCTTGTTGGAGGTGATGCTACTCGCGGTCAAGATCTCACGACGTGATCGGCAGTGGCAAATCGCATGTCTATGAACGACCATCATGGAACAACACAGAAAGCAAGAGAAAGCAATAGAACAACAGATGTTCTATTGGCTTCCATGAACACAACAAATGTTCTAGCAGCTTCCATGAGCGCAAGTATATAAAGGTGGCAAGGTCTCATAGTAACTGATTGACGGTAAGCGGATTGCAGCTAACTGATTGCGATGGTACTTCAACTATGGGGTGTGCTGGCCTTTTAAGGCCTGCGTTGTCAACTCATCAGCACAACTCTCACGCTCTAGAGTTGCCTGCGCACAACACTTCCCCTGCTTCTGTATCCCCTCCTTCCGTCTTCCCGATGCCAAGCAGCCTTTTGAAGTTTTCGAATTTGCTTCGGCCGAGAGCTTTTGTCAGCAGGTCCGCGAGCATTTGGCCAGTGGCAACATAGTCAAGATGCATACAGCCAAGTCGAAGACACTCGCGAACGTAGTGGAAGCGTGGCAAGATGTGCTTAGTGCGTGTGTGAAATTTGCTGTCCTTTGCCAGTGCGATAGCTCCTTGATTGTCGCCGTGAAGCTCGACAATAAGTGCTGCATCTTTGCCATCGATTGGCGGTGACATGTGAGCGATGATGCACTTCAGCCATTGAAGCTCTTTTGTGGCATTGCTGAGTCCGACATACTCTGCCTCGGTTGTCGACAGCGCAACAACGTCCTGCTTGCGGCTTGACCAAGATACGCAGTTGTTGCCGAGGAGACTAACGTAGCCACTTGTCGATTTGCCCGTGTCCTGGCAGCCTGCGTAGTTTGCGTCAGAGTATACGTCAAGCTTGAATGGGCCACGTGAGATGACGAGGGGGTCATCCTTTGTCGACTGCATGTACCGTAGCAGTCGCTTCATTGCCTTCCAGTGTTCGTGGCTTGGGTGTGACATATACTTGCACAAGATGCTGAGTGGAAACGCGAGATCTGGGCGGGTCGTAGTCATGACAAACATGAGGCAGCCGACAGCCTCTTGGTAAGGAATCGAGGTCATCTCCAGTATTTGCTCCTGCGTGGGCTTGACATCTTTGTCCTGAGCCGAGAACTTCGCGTTTGGGTCCATCGGCAGTGCTGTACCTTTGCAGTCTGCCATACCGAAACGTCGCAGTGTGTCTTTGATGTACCGCGAGCTTGACAACTCGATAGTTCCGTCGTTGCGGCGCACCAGCTCAACGCCGCAAAATTGCGTGGCTAGACCTAGGTCTGACATGGCCCATTTTTGCTTGATTGCGGTCTTGAAGTGCTCAAGTGCATGGGAGTCGCGCGCGACGATGAGCAGATCATCAACATAGACCACCAATCGAATTACTCCACTTGGCATGGTGAACAGGCCTTGCTCCTGCTCACACTGAACGAACCCGTAAGCGGTGAGAAATCTGCATAGCTCGAGGTACCACTCCCGACCTGACTGCTTGAGGCCATACAAGGTCTTTTTGAGCTTGCACACGCGGCCTGTACTGTCCTCGAAGCCTTGAGGTTGCTCCATAAAGACATCTTCGCTGAGAGTGCCATTCAGAAACGCGGCGACGACATCTAGGTGATGGATTTCCAAACCTTCATTGACGGCAACAGTGAGCAGAGTGCGGACAGTGGTGAACTTAGCGACCGGTGCGAATGTCTCGTTGAAGTCGACTCCCTCGATCTGCGCGTAGCCTTTTGCGACCAGGCGTGCCTTAAACTTGTCCAGATTGCCGTTTGGGAGAGACTTGACCTTGAATGCCCATTTGTTGCCGATGACAGGGTGGTCCTTTGGGCGCTCCACCAAGTCCCAAGTTTTCATTTGCCAAAGTGTGGTCATTTGGTCCAGCTGAGCCTCTTCCCAATACTCGCGCTCTGGTAGACTAGTCATCTCTCGGTAAGAATTTGGCTGGACAATCTGTGCCGCTGGTCGTAGTACCTTTGGTAAAGCTTTTGTGAACAGCATGTTGATCTCATCCACTTCTTCCACTTCCTCATGTTGGCCTTCGGGTGCTAGGGTGTCTTCTTCTTCGTCGCTGATGCTGTCCTGCGCCGATACCTCCTCAGTGTTGTCGTCGTCGTGCTTGTCGTCCTCTCCGCCGTCGTTGCTGGTCTCGTGAAAGACAGCGTCCCGTGACCTGATTGTGCGGCGGTGCTTGGGATCCCAGAAGCACCAGCCTTTAGTACCAGAGGGATAACCGACGAAGACTACCTCTTTTGCGTGGTCGTCCAGCTTCTTGCGGGTTGCGCCTGGTACGTGGATCCAAGCCTTGCATCCAAAGACGCGTGCGTGTGAGAGATTAGGCTGCTTCCCATACCAGGCTTCGTAGGCGGTCATGTCCTCAAGAGCTTTGATTGGCGACCTATTGCCAATGTACACCGCGGCGTTGATGGCAAACGACCAGAAGCTCCCGTCGAGTCCGCTTGTAGCAAGCATTGCTTTGGCGCGCTCAGTAAGGGTGCGATTGAGGCGCTCTGCGACTCCATTCTGCTGCGGCGTGTGTACATTGCTGAGGTTGCGCTGGATGCCTGCGTCGCGGAGTACCTTGTCGAAGTCTGCGTTGATGTACTCG